TTGTTAGGAATACTTTCCCAATACCGACTGGCTTCACCAATGTAAGCCACTTCGGAAGGGATTAGCTTCCTAGAGCAAGGGAACAATGTATAACCAGAGCTTATTAAGGAAGGAATATAATAAGATAGTTATGTTTGTGACTTAGAGTGGTATGAGCTTCTGAAGTATGAGAATGTATTCAAACTAACTACTAGCTACGCTAGACAGTTGAATTACAGAGACTGAAATATCTGTAGGGACAGGGCGTTTATATAGACCTTATTCTTGATATCCTTATTGCCTTACTCCTAGCGATCATTTTGATCATTATTGAGCGAAATGATCGCTTCTGCCAATCGGCGTTCCCTTGGTCGTTAGTCATTGGCCGGCGCGCTCATTTTGCTCAATACTGAGCGAAATGATCGCTCCTACCAATCAGCGTTCTCCTGAATCTACTCACGTGTTACTTCGTAACAGTATAATATTAGTAGAGACAGGATATTTATATAGACCTTTCTCTTAATATCCTTATTGCCTTATTTATTCTAATTATTCTTGGCAAAATGATCAGAATAATCACTTCGCCCAATCAGCAGCACCCTGGTTATCAACTATTGGCTGATGCGCTCATTTTGATCATTTTCCCAAAAATGATCAAAATGATCACTCACGTGACGAATCATGTGTTACCTCGTAACATAGTGGCGGCGGTAGTCGCCAGGCCGCATACTAACCATGTTAAGATGCCGTATGCTCACCATGGCTGCCTTAGTGCCTTAGGTAGTCATAATATAGCCAATAAGAGGAGGGCGCTAGCCCCCCATCCGGTAAGGCGTTGGCCGCGTGGTCACCATGCGACGGTGGACTAGACCTTAGGCTCCGCCTTTCATGACATATAATCTCTACCAACAGCTTAAGTAGGATAACACGACGCACAGCACAATACTTAAGTAGACTGAAACAACGTCTAGATTTGGTATAAAAAATTGCATTTTAAAGATCTATATTTAATAAAATATATTGACTTTTACTATCTAGTTCTTGACTTCTTACTCGTGATTTCACTTGATGTTCCTCCAGTATATATGTGACTTGGGGGTGTTTGAGTAGCCTTGCTGCCCTTGAAGATATTTTTCAAAATTGGGACGGCTGTTGTGATGGGTTTCTTTTCTTCTGGATCCCATCCATCCCTCTGCCAAGATTGGTCATGTTGTATGCCGGCAGGTAGAGATCCTGTTTTGGCAAGTTCATATCCCTCATCGTCTTGAATCTGCTCCTCTGCAACGGTAAAGTCATAGTGCACAAATATTTTATTAAAGCCTTCTCTGAGGACTGGCCAAAAAAATGGGATTGTTGCACATAATGCCGCCAGAAATACTTCCACTGTTGAAAGCAGACCGGGACCAGGCATGTTCCAGGTGGGATCAATTCCAACCCCACCTCCGGTGATAATTATGTCTATCAGGCGCCAAAGTGCAAAGCCACATGCTCTATTTTATATTATGTTAGAAAATAATATTTGAATGAAAAGAGATGATACATTCACTTACGTTGTTCCCATGATTAGAATGGCCAGCATGCTTTTTCTGTTCGTATCAGCATCCTTCAGAAACTGTAGACGAATCGCCAGTATTAAAACGAGACAGTCTAAGAAGAAGTTGCTGGCTGAGTGGCCCTTGATTGTACCTGTGAGTTCTGACAATTTCGTAGCGGCAAATCCATAGCAGCCTCTAGGCTCCATCTTCCAGAACGCAGATGGTGATGGAAAGCACACAAAGGTTGATATGAATGTTAATGCGAATCCCCATAAGCAAACCACAATCAGAAGAAGCTGTGCAAACCGGTAGGTGATCATTCCAGGCTGATAGACGCGGATGTATTGGCACAAGAGCGATATCTTAATAGTGGCTGTTGACGCAGCATACCCAATTCCCCAAATCCACTGGAATAAGAAGACCTTTTCGAGAGATGAATGTGATAGAAGCGCAGCATGCCTCCCTAAGCCATAGCGTGTCATTACGCAAATAGATACTGTTGACATTGTAAAAAGGGACTTATTTAATATTTAGCACATAATATACTTGTTTAACTTAGGTCAACATACCACAGCAATAACAGCAAAGAAATCATCCCACCATGGCTTCTTCACTACAATGAATCGGGTCCATATGCGACCGATAGTACTGATCCATAAGAAAGTCTAGGCATGTATTATAAGTATGCATACTTCGATATAATGCGAATATAAGTCAATAACATACTGTGAGTATGATGCAAACAGTTAGCATGTTACGCTGTTGATTTGGCCATGGCAATGGCTCAGCAGCTAAAGCTGCAAGCACCTCAGGAGGCGGTGGTCCTGTTGACGCCATGGTAGCAAATTCAAGTGGCTATCGTAAGTCATTCAAATCTTTCAGAGATATAGCATGGCAAAAGTTGCAGTGAATAACGAGAATGCTAAGCAGGCGGATGAAAATTGTTGTACACTTAGAAATGAACGCGGGGGCCAAAGCAAAAGTAGATAAGCTCAGTGCATGATCGCATACAACTTTAGTCTAAGCTGTCAGTATCGGCCCCCAAATTTTATTTCAGCCCTGCAAAGAGTCCTGTAGATTACTGACAAGGCGGGCCAATGCAGGAGACCCCAAACAAGGGGGTTCCATATTGTCGGAGCAGACTACCACAAGTCATTGAAAGAACGATAGTGGTTGGATGCCGCCCCTTTATCTGTCTTAATTGAGAAGTTTTAGCGCTGACATGGCCTTGAGGCTTGAAACTCAAAACCCTTACATGTCATAATTAGCCCTTGTCAATATTCGTATGTTCCGTATTTTATAGTACACAATATCATCCTCTAATTCGAGCTTGATAATTAATCTCTTGATATAAGTTTAATGCTAATACATGTTACTCTAACAAGCGTTGATATTTAGAATTATTTTCAGTAATGCGAATGTGTTACTAGCTTGTCCACTATAGCACCTGAGATGTGCTTAATCTAAATAAACAGTCTTTAAGTTTTTACATTTATCAAGTTCACTTCCAAGTTGCAGCGCAGCTTGTAATAACATGGACGATAAAAAGAAAGTATGGGTCGACGAGCCCTTCATTCTGATAAGCCCTTCAAGAAGCGGCGCTGAGGTATGCTTTCTGAACCTTTAGTGAATGACTATAGCTACTGATACCTTAAAAGATAGGCAAAAAGCTTCCTCCTGCCAGAGCACTTGCTGCTGAAATGTCCGTCGTGCACAATGGATTGATCCGTGGGATCAACTCTGTTTACAATCAATGTGTCAATGTTGCAACCAAGGGCAGTAAACAAGACAAGATTGACTTTGCGAATTATGCGTCACAGTGTGCAAAGCTCTTGCACATGCATCATGACCATGAAGAGGAAACACTTTTCCCGAAGATGAATGAACTTGCTGGAGTTCCTGGACTAATGGACGGCAATGTTAAAGAGCATGCAGCATTCCATGATGGATTCGCCAAATACGATGATTATCTCACACTTGTCAAAGAAGAGAAGGTCGATCTTGATGGGGAGACTTTGCGAGGTCTTATTGACAACTTCATGCCATCCCTATACAGTCATCTCGTAAACGAGGTCGATTCCCTGGTCGCTCTCGAGAAATATGACGAAATAGATTGGATTCAGTGGTTTAACAATGAAATTGAAAAATGGAACAAAGTTTTGATGAGGCAATCAGATTTTCGAGTAGGTTCATGGATATTATACCTCAATCGTTTTCAAGGCTGCTAACTTCAGGCCATATAGACACAGATTGTGCCTCTATACCTTGCGTTGCACGATGGCTCGTACGAGAACGGAATATGGAGCCACTTTCCCCCAATGCCTTTCTTACTATTATGGATACTGCGTTTTTTATTTATGCATAAGAATATGCGGTGGTGGAGGTTTGCCGGATGTGACCTCTATTCCCGTCCGAAAGAGCTTCCATTCGCGTAATAAGCTCTCCATCTGGAGATATCCTTTGAACTGGGTATATAATCCAATATTCCTATCTAGTTTCATATTTTGGTCTTGTATATGATTTCTGTTATTTCCAGATAATTAAGACACAATGTCATACTGCACGCAAAAGTTGACCAATGTGACTAGAGCCGCAAATTCTCATGGTATCTTTAGCCTGAAAGCCTGCAGTGTTTTTTTTACGGCCTTTTTCCTTATTCTAGAAGAACTCAATAAGCGAACACTTGTACTTAGGTCTTAATCATCCCTTGAGTTGCCGATATGATGTTGAATCTGACACTCCTTGTTTTCGGACCCCAAAGTTTACGCCATGGCGAACTAGGATCCCATGCCAGCAAGTTTCATCTCTAGCCACTTAGAGACTAAAAATAATAAGTAGCTAGAAAGCATTTTATTATGTGGCTGCATATTTCATTCACCGTGCTGATGCCCAGCATCTTACACTGTCCGCATTGAGTGCAATATCATTCTTCAGAATGTGCCTGACCTCCAGTTTCAGCTTGGAACGGAGGATGCTAACCGACATTTGACATAATCCAGTAGTTCAGTTCGCAGTTGCAAGTGCTTACGTCTAATTTGTTTGCATGATCATCTTAGCGAATTGCGTTCTTTTGCCAATAACTTAGGATAACATGTGATAGCAAAGTGCACAGGGAAGTATTCATCCTGATATGGAAAACCGCCATAGTTGCACCTTTGCTTTTGGCACCTGCATAAAATACATATTTCGGTATTAGGAAATATTTCGAGTATCAATCAGCCTTGGCAATTTTGATCAAGTGCGCCGCAATCACGTTGGTCAAGCCTACAATAGGTTGCTCGCACAGTTCACCGCAATTACGCAAGTGTTAGTTTTTTTTTCCAGCTACAGATTGCGAAGCGACATCTGTTCCTAAGCTTGAAAAGCAAGCACTATCCTTTTCTCACCATAGACAGAACGGCCAATAATTACTACTTAGTTCATCTTCTTCTGAAATCTACAGGTCGTTTTATCTTAATTTAGGACGGCAATTAACGGCAGAGTGTTTGATGAGATTTTCTGGAGCAGAAAATTTTCATATTTTGCGTCTTTGGAATGTAATAGGTGAACATAATCATCCAAGCTCTATTCTGCATATTCGGGAAAAAAGTTCTAACAGATGAAAAACAGTGAAACTGCAATCATTTAGACCCTATTAAAGCATAATGACCCTTAATATCATTATTATTGGAGCAGGGATTGCAGGCCTTTGCGCGGCGGTATCTTTTCGACAGGCTGGACATTCAGTGAAAGTACGTATGCTGACCTTCACAATTATCCCTAGGTATTCTCTGATATTATGTTGTGCTAGGCTAAAAACTATGGTAGATCTTTGAAAAATCCGCGTTTGCAACAGAAGTTGGTGCCGCACTTGTCATTACGCCCAATGGAGTCCAGATTCTCTCCCAGCTCGGATTTTCCTTCACCAATGCCCGAGCGGTAAAGTTAAAATTTTGGAATGTTCTTAATGGCGAAAATATGACCTTATTGTCGAGTATCGACCTCCGCGCTGCAAACGAACGATTTGGAGCAGAGCCTTGGGCTGTACATCGCGTGGACCTCCACAATGAATTACTTCGTCTAGCAACTTCTTCAAATGGCCCCGGTACACCAGTTAAGCTTCATCTATCTTCTGAAGTACTTCGAGGCTCAATAGATGGTGTTGTTTTTTTGAAAGACGGCTCCACTTACAGTGCAGATCTAGTTGTTGCAGCAGATGGTCTTAAATCTGTTTTGAGGGAGGAAGTAACGTCAGCACAACCAATCATATCGACAGGTATGAGTGCATTCCGCTTCTTAGTTGATACCCACCAAATCAAAGAAAATGAGAAGCTGGCTGGGCTTATGCCAAAGCTCAGTGGTGGAGCAAATCTTATTGCGGACGTGAAAGAGACTGCAAAAGAGCGACATATGATGTGGTATGCATGTCGAGAGTAAGTCATCTGATCTCAACTTGTTTAAGTAATGCTGAGAAAACGACTAGTGGTGAAGTTCAAAATGTTGTAGGCATACATCCATCAAGAAATTTTAACGAAATTGATTCAGAGAGTGAGTATGGAATATATAAAGGAAACAGGAGCCTAACGTGTGTTTAGTGGCAAGAGAAATCATGCTTGATGAGTTTCGAAATTTTTCTCCAGACTTATTGGAAGCAATTAGGTATGCTTCAAACTTCGGCAGCGATGGAACTAAGTTGATCTGAAATCCACAGGCAAGCTTCTGAAGTAAAGTGTTGGCCGTTGTTCACTCATGAGCCCCTACCCGTCTGGCATAAAGGCCGTATTGTTTTGATCGGTGACGCAGCACATCCGGTATGGTTATATAAAAATATCTTAATCATTACTGATGGAAATTCTAGATGTTGCCGTTCGGTGGACAAGGTGCGAACATGGCAATAGAGGATGGAGGCTCACTGGGATACATTTTTAAGAATATCTTTGATACGGCAGCTATTCCAGAAGGATTACGTTACTTTCACAACGCTCGGCATTCACGCGCCTCAAGGGTGCAAATCTTGTCAAGTGTACGTGCAGGTAAAGAAAAGGATGTCGAGGAGAAGCTTCTTCAATACAGTGACCCCCCAGGTTCAAGTACGTTCTGCGCATGTTCGATATATCGGCTTTAGGAGCTGACCACAAAAGGAGTACCTACAAATATGATGGAGCGTACAGCGCACGATTTTGGGCAAGTGGGAACGTTTTGATTCAAGATCTGAAAAAGCTAATAATTATGTAGGTTTAATGCTTTTAAGAAATGTGAAGAAGTCATGAAAGGATGAATATGGTTTAAGCTGAATCAATTGCATTTATTATTCATTCTTTTTCACATCGGCGACCTTGAGAATTAATTTGATTTTAGTTGCAGTTTTAAACATTTGATTTACAACTTGACTTCCATTCACAATTTAAGTCCCCAGTTTTGAATTTCTGTCTAAATTTTTATATTCTATAACCATCGCTTGTACAAGCGTATAAAGTTATGAATTATCTATAGTTCAAGATTTCTGCGTCAAACCTATCGGCAAAGCCGAACTCTTCAATGTTATTTTCCCTGCTAAAACTTTGATTGGGACTGAAGCAAGTACATCAAAGACGTTGACGTTACTTTTCACGTCCTTATGTATCCAGTTCACTACTTCAATAGCCAGTAGACTGTCAATTCCGTAACTATGAAGAAACCGCTCCGTATCGATTTCATCTGAAGGTATTTGCAAGATCCTTGAAATTTGGTCAACAAAAGCTTCCGTAACAGCTGTTATTGCCTGTTCAATGGATTTTGCTCGAGCTATATGAGTGTATGTCGGCGCATTTTTTTGATCAGAAGATGTTAGGGTGCCCAAGTTCTTCAAACCGATGAGATCCATGATGCGAAATTTAGGGTGTTCAAGGTAGTATGGGCGATCGATGCCGGCTTTTATCGCGCTGCCTCCTGTAGCAAGTCCAGTGATTATTTGTTCAGGACCTGTGCCTTTGATGGCACCTTCAATAGCAAGCTCCATAATGGCATGAAATTCTGCCTCATTAATCCCATACGGTTCTTCCCATTGTCGTAGGTTGTCCGTGATGCCTTTTTCTGCCAGAACACCAATCTCGCGCATAATGCCAAGATCTATAGTCGTGGCATGGACTCCTAGAGAGCGGAGATAAAAGGCCAACTCGTCTTCGTACGCTCCTGCCGCGCTGTAATTGCTCTGTCCACGGTTGCCAAAAGTGGCTACCGCAGAACTAAGAATTACGAAAAAGTCCACATTCGGCACGTGCTTATAAAGATTCCAGCTGCCCTGAATCTTGGGCCGCGTGGCGTTGATCCATTGTTTATGGGTCATTTTGACAAAAAGAGAATCATTCAACACCATGGCACACTGGAAAATGCCTCGGATCTTGCCCAACTCTCGCAAGCATGTGTCAATCGAAGATATGACAGCGCTCTCTGACGTGATGTCGCATCTTGTAATCTGAACTTGAACATCTTGGGCTTCGAGTTTGTGTAGTAGATCTCTCGCAACGCTTGAAGAGGCCCCCGAACGGGATAAAAAGCACAGTTTCCGCGCACCAAGCTCAACCAATTTTGTTGCCAGGCTTCGGCCAATACCACCAAGCCCACCAACGAGGATGTAGGCTGCCTCTGGATCTAGAGAAATAGCATTTTTTTGATAATCAAGGACAGATACTATGTCCTCATCACCCCACGTGAGAACAAGTTTTCCAAGATGCTTGCCGGCTTGCATTAGACGGAAAGCTTTCTCAACCTCTGAGATTGGATATGATGTTATTGGAACAACAGGTTTCGATATTCCTCGGCGTATGAATTCAAAGGATCCTTCAACAATGGAACCCATTAAATCTGGTCTGCTGTGCTGAATATGTGCAAGATTGAGGAACGTGAATGTTGCGTCTTGTTTGAAAGGTGCCATCTCGAGACCCGTGTTGTTCAAAATGTCCCGTAACCCTATCTCAATAAAATAGCCGAACGGACCAATACAGTGCCACGTCTGTCGAAGCGCCTCTCCAGAGAGCGAATTAAGGATGACATCAACACCTCGTCCTCTTGTCAAACGCTTAATACCTTTGGCAAAACTGGTGTCGCGGGAGTTGAAGATGTGTTCATCAGGAATACCGTAAGTGTCGCGAATCAGCCGTCTTTTAGTCTCACTTGATACCGTGGCAAAGATGATCATGTTAAAATGCTTCGCTATCTGTATAGCGGCTTGCCCCACACCACCAGCTGCTGCATGGATGAGGATTGACTGTCCTGGCCTAACTCTAGCCAATACAATCAGAGCATACCATGCGGTCCCATGTACTGTTGGAATCGAAGCTGCTTCTTCGAACGTCATAACTGCCGGAATTAGCGCACAGTAGTCTGCTCGCGTACGAGGATGCGTGCTATGAGTTCCGTGGCCAACGAATGCGACTCTGTCGCCAACCTTGAATTTTGTTACGGCTGTGCCAATACGGCGAATGACTCCAGCCCCGTCAACACCTAGCCTCTCATCTGGAATTTGACCCATGACAGTCATTACATCACGGAAGCTGAAGATTGTTAGCAAACTGAATATTCTAATAGTTTGATGACGTACTTTATTGATGATGCTTTAATCTCTATCTCCACTTCGTTTGCATCAAGTTCCTTGACTGCGGCATGATCGATCTCCATACACAACGTATTTAACATTCCAGGCGACGTTATTGTCATTTTGAGGGCAGTTCCAGCAGCTCTCAAAGGAATTTTTGTAGTTGTTTTCGCCTCAGTATGGAGCAGACGATTGATGTTATTGTTCATCGCATAATCCTCTAGAACTCGACCGGTATGCAAAACTCCATTTTCCACCCTGAATTCGTCATCAGAAGACCGAGATTCAAGGATCATGGAGACTAAACTTGCAAGTTTCGGCCACGACATTGTTGTTCCAGTGGCATGGAAAGTGGTGAACTTCATTCCGGGAACTTCGTTTCTGACAACACGAGCAAGGCCGTCCACAATCATCGAACTTGGACCATGGAAGCATGTGATCCATAAGATTTCTGCGGCATTAAGGATAATTTTCTTGATGGCAGCGAAGTTTGTTTCCGTAATATCCTCGAGGATGGATTCCTGCAACTCCAAAAACGAAATGCAACATTTGCCAGCAAGAATAGATTCTTCTGATCCCAACATAAATATTTCTGCCGCATAGCCCCTTGACTTGAGAGTAGCACTCATGATATCAGTTGCAGACTTCAATGTATCAGTGAACTTGGGTGGTGTAATAAGGTAGATGTGTTTAGCCCGCCCCGGCATAGGATCATTTGGTCTAGGGGGTGAAGACAAGTGTTTTCTCGCGGTGACGAAGCTTAGTCCTTCCTTGCGGACTATCGTATCGCTTTTCAACTCAGAGCTGAGCCTTGATAAAAACCACGCCAAAACACTTTCATTTACCCATACGCAAAGTCTTCCCTCTGGTTTTAGACTTTCTGCGGTCTTTAGGATCATGAGTTCGATTTCTGAACTGAGGTTTAAAATATCTGGCAACAAAATCACGTCATAGTGTTCTTCAATGAAAACAGTATTCAATGCTGTTTGATTGGAATCCAGAGCAACAACAGAAGCTGACGGCAAGAATTTTTTCAAGTATGAGGTTAATCCAGGATCTTCGGACGTTATGGTGACATTCGCAGTCTCTAAAACTTCAGGCATCTTGGCAGAAGCTATTTGAGAGCTTTTCGAGGTAATTTCTAAAATCGAAATTCCTGGATTAGAGTGGTGAAGCAATTCAAGAAACTGTTCAGGTTAGCCCTTAAAGCAATAAGCATGCAAAACTTCATGAGACTTACTTTAATCAAACAATTCGAAGTTTTATGACTCTGTAATTCGTTTGCAAGTTCTTCCTCAGACAAAAAGTCAACAGCAGGCCTCCAAATAATTTTACTCGCGAGACTTCTGGTATTATCCTGATCATTGACAACCGCACTTGTTGCAACTTCAGCTAGGAGAAGCCCTTGGATATTAATAGTAGGTGCATTTTCACCGCTATCCAGCATTACAATATCAGCAGTCATGTCTCGTAGTCCATGCTTTTTCAAAGTCGAATGCCCTGAAAGTTTAGTTCCTGGCAACCAAGGAATATCGCTCGAAATCGTTATTTCAGCAATAAACTTAGGCACCATTGCACCTAGTGTAAAGTATCTGAAGGATGCTGCGAAAGCAAGGTGAAAGATGGAGTCTAGTGTTCCTGGATGAACAACATGAGGTCTACAGCAACCACATGAAACGCTGTTTGCTATATCGGGAATTTCAACGATTCCGTAGGAATTACCGTCTCTGTTTCGCACTTCACGTACATTTGAGAAAGAGGGACCGTATTCCAGGCCAATTGAAGTAAAATGATTGTAAAGTTCGACACAATTGATAACAGTTTCGCATGACGCCTTCGATTGGAGCACTCGTGATTGTAGATCATGGAACTCGAAGACCATCTCTCTACGCGCTTCTGAGTTTGCTTCGAGCTCATACTCGATCAGCAAGAGCCCAGAACAGTTTGAAACAAGGGTCTCTCCGTCTTGGCAGCTTGTAATTGAGAACTCTGTCCAGGTTGACGTAGAATCCCGTGTCCCGACCAAGTGTGGCCGCAGTTGAATGATACATTCCAAGTCCTGCTCTTCAGAGATGATAGCCGCAGATGTAAATTGAACGTCTCGTAATTTATACGATAGTATCTGTTTCGTATCATCAGCTATCTGACCAGCAGCTTCGATTGCCATGGCTATATATCCAGCGGCTGGATACAATGTTGTGCCTTGGATTTTGTGATCCAGAAGCCAAGGATCTTCTCCAAGTCTGATCATTCGCCTCCAAGCTCTTTCCCTCGGGCTCAAAGACGGAAGGGGCGCTCCAATGAGACTCTGTCTTGGCTTCTTCCGGTAGAGATATTCCTTTTCGAACCTTGTATCATGATAATACCTTTGTGAGTGCTTCCAGGGATAAGCTGGTAAGTCGAAGAGAGGAACGATCTTTCGGCAGCTTGCATATGAATTCACTTCTTTCCAGTTCACTTCAAAACCCCGACTCCAAATTGCTCCCACAATATGCAAAGCCGTTTCAGCAGCATTTTGGTTGCGAACCACGAGCGACTCGTATGGGATGTTATCTATGTTGTATTTTGAGAGCGTCTGCAAAACCGGTCCCCTGAGTGCACTGTGCGGTCCAACTTCGATTAGAAAATCCACGGCATTTTCGGTGGAACGTTTTGCATCTCTCATAGGTCGCGCCATGTCGTGAATGGCATCAGAGAATCTTACTGGTGACGTAAGATTGCGAACCCAGTTAACCACTCCAAGCTGGTCCGCCTGTATGATACATCCTGTTACGCTGGAATGCATAGTGCACTCGCGCAACGGTTGCAGTGCTTCAATATCCGCAATCTTCTCGTAGTACTCTTGAGCAATGTTGTGCATGTGTGGACTATGGTATGCCGTGTCAACTTGAAGCTTTCTGGCAAATATTCCATTAGATTTGAGCATCTGTAACAATTGATCAATACCAGATGTGTCTCCTGATAGAGTCACACTGGTAGGAGAATTGACGCAAGCGATTACAACTTCTCCATCTGTTGTTTTTGAGATCCACTCTTGAGCGTTCTCTTGGGTCAGGCCAACCGCCATCATTGAGCCATGGATCCCAGGTGCGGATTTTTTTAGCTCAGCTGCAAGTAACCCTCGATAATAGGCTATTTTCCATGCGTCTTCCCTGCTCAGAGCACCCATTGCATAAGCTGCCGCAATCTCACCACTTGAGTGGCCGACAACGGCTGTCGGAAAGATATTCCAACTCTGGAGGAGGTCTACGAGAGCGACTTGCAGCACTGTACACAACGTCTGGCTGAATTCAGCTAAGTGAAGGTTTGAGGTTGTTTTTCCTCGACATATTTCTTCGACCGTCGACCATGGACACGAACATGCTTCACGAAGGTATGTATCAGAGGCAAGTACCGCGTCTCTAAATACTGGATAAGACATAAGTTCTATGCCCATTTTTGGCCACTGTGCTCCTTGTCCGGTGAAAACAAATCCTATTCGGAGTCCCCTGGATGATGAAGATATTGGCATTACGTTCTCCGGGGTGTGCAGAATTTGTCCCAACTCGTCTAATGATGATGCCGTGACGCATGTTCTGAAAGTCAGATGCGATCTTCGCTCGCAGAGTGTGAATGAAAGCCTGGACATGAATTCTTCATGTTCTTCACTTCTCGCGTTGAGGTCATGCGACTTCTTAGTCACATAATCTGCTAGAGAGGCTTTCACACGCGATATTCCATCTTTATCTTGAGCACTTATGAGGTACAATCGTCGCTTTGATGTCGAATTAACCGAGTGGCTCTCCAAGCATTTGATTCGAACATTTCCAGCTTTCGAAATTAGGTCATACGTGGTGTGCCCCTCGAAGTATTGGTCCATAAGTCCACGCTCCTTCAAATAAGAAAATTTGTCGTCAATAATAGCATGTGCATTCGTCCCTGCATAACCAAAAGAATTGATGCTGATGCGACGCAAAGTATCTGCCGACCAGTCTGTCAGCATTTTTGGGACTTGAAGATTCCATTCGTCGAATTTTATCTTCGGATTCGGACAGTTGAAATGAATATTTGGTGGTATTTTCCCAGCTTCTAGCATCAGTACACCTTTTATCAGGCCTGCAACACCAGCAGCGGCTTCAAGATGACCAATCTGCATTCTGTCAGACACTGCAAATAAGATATGAGAGTGTGACCTGCGTTTGTTTTAACCGATCCTACTATTATTTTGTTGGCTGCTTTGCGCGCTAAACCGAAAGTTCGACCTAATGCCTGCATCTCTGCCAAATCTCCTGCCTGTGTACCAGTTCCCTTCACAATGATTAGGATACTGTATCATTATTGATGATATTGACTTACATGGGCCTCAACATAGCGTGTATCATGAAGTTCGAGTCCGGCTTCTCGATAAACATCTTCTATCAAGGTCGCTTGTGCCGATGCACTCGGAAAAGTAAGGCCTTTAGTGTGTCCGTCGTGATTTGATCCAGTCCCACGAATTACAGCCCGTATGGGATCATCAGCACGCAAAGCTTCATCAACGCGTTTCAGTATGACGCAGCCAAAGCCTTCACCACGGCCGTATCCATTTGCTGATTCGTCAAACGCTTTGGATTTTCCATCAGGAGACAGGAAATCCTGATTTGACAAGAACATGAACATATCTGGGTTTAAAAGCAAGCTCGTGCCGCCAACAATCGCAATGTCAGATTCACCAATGCGTAAACTCACGCAGGCTTGGTGAAGAGCTACGAGGCTAGATGAACAGGCTGTATCCAAAGTAAAACATGGTCCGCGCAGATCCCAAAGCCATGATAATCGACCAGACAGCGAGGTAGTGCAAGATCCAGTCGCACTGTACATTGGAGCACTTTCCGGATCACGATATATCATTTCTTTGTAGTCGCTGGTAAAATGACCCATGAAAACTCCTGTTTTGGTTCCTGCGATTTTCTCTAGTGGTATCCCCGCTCGTTCTAGTGCTTCGTACGCCACCTCGATCATGATCCTGTGCTGCGGATCGATGGCCTCAACTTCAACTTTTGAAAGCTTGAAAAAGCTTGCATCAAATGTTGAGATGTCATCTTTCAAAAAATGCGCTCCTTCAGTTATGCTACAGTTGCGGGATTTCGTCGGTGTAGAGAACGCTTCAATATCAAACCGCTCTTTTGGTATCTTTGACCATGCCGCTATGAGAGAGCAATCAGCTGAAACGTAATTTCAGCGCGGAATGGGATGGAAACTCACACTTTCCCGCACATATTGACTCCCAAAAGGCCTGAGGATTTTCGCAATCGCCAGGGAATCGACAGGACAAACCTACCACGGCTATTGACTGACGGTCTTCAAGTTTTTTAGCCCCCATGATTCATTCTGATGTCTGTCTGGACTGTCTTGCTTGCTATATAGAGTAGATCAATAATCGATTTAATATTTTCTCTAATGAGAATTTCAAGAGGAAAGAATGCTTTTTTGTAATTCTTCTCCCTTGTAAACGACAAGTATTTGGGTTAACCCGTACTCCATTAGGCTGATACCAATTGCACAAAAAGTGAGCTGTGACGAAGTTACAGGGTATCACCACATCACCCCTGATAAATGACTAGTCGCTCAAGCCACAAACGGGCCAGAATCCTTGGATGATAGTCTGACATGCATTGACCCCTGAAATTCAGAATAATCGCTATCAACAAAAATTCTGCGGTTCCTGAACTGTTCAGCTGCATGGGCTGCTGATTTTGGGGGCCTTTTCAGTGCATGCCACGTGCCAACGGTAGAGCGAACCTGCATTATCTTAAAGAAGTCCAGCAAAGAATACGAGTCAGGCGCCTCGGACCGAGCTACTGTGGATTTGATGATTTGCAGAAGAAATTTCAGTTTCCCAGCAAATACTCTGTATCGGTCACTTACTTTTCTTTACTCTCGCATTTTTAGACTTATTATGGAAACGACCAACGAGATCTTACGAATCATTGCTGATGAGGCCGGTGTGGCGAATGATGAATTGGTAGACGAGAGTGAGTTCAGGGACCTGGGAATCGACAATATACTCGCCAAATGCATAATTTCGCGTATTCGCGAAGAGCTTGATCTTGAACTATCACCTACATTTTTCATCGATAATGCAACAGTGGCGGATCTTAAGATCAATTTGGGGAAACGCCTGCCTTTGAATTGTATGGCCAGCAATAACCAGCCGGCACCCCCTGTAACCGAGAGATCTCGTCCTTTATCTCTTGTGCTCCAAGGTACAAAAGAAACATGCTCTAGGCGCATTTTCCTTTTGCCTGATGGCAGCGGCTCAGGAATGGCTTATGCACGTCTTCCTAGGATCGGTCCTGATATATGTCTTATCGCACTGAACAGCCCATACCTTCAGTTGGGATCTTTCACTACCTTCAGAATGAAAGATGTTGCTGAAATATGGGCTGATGAGATCCAATTGCATCAACCACATGGGCCATATCTGGTGGGAGGATGGTCTGCAGGAGGCTACTATGCATTTGAGGTTGCAAAACGTCTAATAGCAAAAGAGGAGAGAGTTGAAAAACTTGTTTTGATTGATAGTCCGTGTCGCCTTGAGTATGAGGCTCTGCCAATAAGTGTTGTGCAGTACTTGAGCAGGAACAATCTCATGGGTAATTGGGGAAGCAAATCACCGCCAGGTTGGCTGATCGATCATTTTGACATCACGATCAGCGCAATACAGAGATACATGCCTACAGAAATGAATGGGCCACATAATCCGGATGTCTTTATCATTTGGGCAAAAGAGGGCATAATCCATGATCGCAACACCTCCAAGATCGAACTGGATATGAACGTTAAGGTGACACGCATGTTGATTGAACGTCCAAAATCATCTGGTGCATTGGGATGGGATAAATTGTTCCCAAGTTCAAGGTTGAGAGTGGCAGAAATGCCAGGTAATCACTTTACGCTTGTGTATCCTCCAAATGTGAGCTCATTTTTCGACAATTATCGCGATACCTAGCTGATTCAATACGTAGTGCGCCGTACTTTCTGTTTTGATGAGCGATCTAATATGCAATTCTGAGAACCTTCAAGGTCCATGGCAGATAATTTAGAGCTCTAGTTAAAAACAGAGTAGAACGAGGAAATTAATTTGCGCATTAGTCTGAAATAATGAGCCTAACTGATGCATTGAGTGGGAATAAGCCGCAATATGAGTCTTGAATTAGGTGGAAAAAAAATTAGCTATGTATGAATTTCTACGAACTTCGGCAGTATATCACAGCGGCGACAGTAGGCTAGTATGGAGCGCTGCTCTATGCTTCTCTAATTCTCCTGCTTGTGTTGCGGTGACTTTGATGAGCGAAGAGAAAGAAGACAAATTGAATATGAATAACTCCGTAAACATGCGGAGTTACAAATTTTCTGCTGTAAAGTCGTAAGAGGATGGTTAAGAACCGAGGCAAAGGGAATTGGATAGCACCATCGATAGCATTAAGTGAAATAATTCAATCTAAGGCTGGAATGTTTTCTTTGAGTGCTTCCCTAATGCTCTGATCCGTTTTCCAAAAATGTAGAATAAGTAAGGAATAGGAAGCATTGCAACAGCGATAAAGCCAAGTAGACTGAGACCCCAGTTAGGGTTCAGATTTTCAAATACTACACATAGGTTAGCTTTCGATGCATATCTGCCGCTGATTCCACTCACAGGCCCGAGAAAATAGTGGAAAAGCTCCGGCAAGAATGCTTCGCATAAACATATTTGCTGCTAGTGTGCTTGCAGAGAGCATTAGGTATGTGTCAACAAGATAGGCTAATGCGCTTTGAAATATAGCAAAAAATCCGAGACTTAAACAAGCAGAGCCAACACAAAAACCAATCCAGTGAATACTTGGTTTTGCTGTCCAAGCCATAATGAAAAGACCAGCGGTGAAAAACACGGATCCGACCATCATGGGTAACAGCCGAAGCTCCGGTATAGCTTTGTTATCGTTTATTGCAACTTTTTTCTTATAATTTGCAGCACCGGCAGCAAGAACAATGCCTCCAAAGATAACCCCAATGATCATAGCGCAAAATGGAAGGGTCGATACAATGGCGTTCCATCGGCGAATTAGAGCGAATTCGTACTGCACCGCGGGAACTGCTCTGAAGGCTTTTTAGCGTTGACTATAGAGAAGGCTGCAGTGAACATACAGGTAAATGATAGCGTACGTAAATGCGGAGTATAGATTCATGAAGAAAGCAATAGGATCTATCATCATCTCGAACGGGACAATGAGATACCTTCTAGATATAGCTTTGAATGTGATTCCTACTTCCTCGCTCTTGGCATGGGCAGCCCAGTTCTTGGTCTCTAATCGAATGCGATGTGCTTTTCGTGCAAGTAAAACAGGAGCGTAGCTTTCCTCGATCCAAATGACACTGGATACAAACGCTATCATAATTATGATCCCTGTAACCTAACATTATGCCGCAAGTTAAAATCCTTCAGGGAGGCTGAATAGGCCCAGAACTTACATATTCAGTCCATCTCCAGCCAACTGTCGGCTCTGCAATAACGAGTGCGCCTCCAATTATAGGAGCAAGGAGTGGACCAATGGTAATGGTCAATCCCCAGAGCAGTAAAGCCGGGCCTCTTTGAGTCGTTGGCCACACATCTGCCAACACTCCACCAACATTGCTGAGTGGTGCTCCTCCAAATACACCACCAAAGAACCGCGTAATTAAGAGAGTCTGAATATCTTTTGAGGTCGCGGAGGCAAATGAGAAGAGGCCGAGCGCGAAGATAGGGATCAGAATCGACGGTTTGCGTCCGTATGCTTCAGACATTGGTGCCCAGAGAAGGGGCCCAAAAGCATTTCTGCCTCATGTCAGAACCAAGGATAAAAGTGAAGAGTATCTACAACACACCCAAAAAGATAAAGCGACATCCCCAGCAAAGCAACCTCACTGCTCACATTAAAGTGTTTCTGTATTTGAACAACACCAGAGTTGTAACTAGTCCCTGGTTAGCTAATAGACGATAATCGCACCATGAATTAACACCCACACTGTACTTGCGAACGTTGCACTCATTGTGCATAGACTATAAAGCAAAGTAACAACAATTTTCTTCTTAAAGGGCCAGTTGAGAGCATTATAAACATCGTCTGCGTCATCAAAATCCACTAGCTCTACCTTTGAAGAGGAGTGAAACTTCGTTGATGCATCATGGTCACTCGATACGGGCCGAACTTTCTCCTTGTCGTCCATTATATTGGTAATGGAATTCTGCTGGGCTATTTCAGCGTACGCTCACGAAAGAGATTTGAGCAAAGTCGTACCTCTAACATGTAAAACAACTGATCGAGAGAGAAAACTAATAATTATTCAGTGATACTATCACGAGTTGTGGAAATCAAGTGCAAATCTCAGGGAGTCTTAAGGTAAAAGTACTGATTACAGTACGTCAAGTCGTAATATTGAAGATATCAAGTAATTAACCACTTATTACTCAAGAGAGAAATCATCCTCCGCGGCTCACGATTCCGCATTGGTTGCGGGTCTTGCCGCCGTGGCTCCAAGGTTGTCGACTAGCCCTAACCTTTAGACAAGGATAGCAAAAGCTCAGTCCTCCGCCGCCACAGTTTCAAACTCCGAAAGGATGTGCGGACCCCAAATTCTGGGTGTTTAATTTCTGTAAAAATAGTTTGCTCCAGATTGCTGACAAGCTGACTCCTTGATCAATCTTGCGAGTGAGATATGCAGACCTACGGACAAGGTAGTTCTAAGCATCCTTACAGGGGCTGTAACCCTTATGGCCAAGTCAATATCTTCTCGCAAGCTACCTTTCAGTTGACTGGAATATTGATTGTTTGTCTGCAACATTCAAAAACGGTCAAGATGGAGACAAGACCAGTAAAATTAGTTCTTTTTGGTGATCAAGCTGTCGAGAAATTGACATCCATTCAATCCTTGGTTCGCTTTTCAAAAACCTCTCCTTATGCACGACGGTTTTTGCAAGAAGCCAACGATCTTGTGCAGTTACTCCTCTATCAATTGAGTGAGGAAGATCGTGCATGGAAGTATGAAGTTGGCACGTTACTTAGCATGGCAGAGGATAACACAGCATCAACCGAGCCTAATGCAGTTATTGCCACTGTTCTCATGTGCATTGGGAGATTGGGGGATTTGATAGTGTAAATATCTAGACATCTAACTGGGGTATGCACTGATGATTATATAGCCATGCCGAAGAAGATGCGTCAATTCTTGGATCTCATGATAATCAAGTGCAGGTTCTTGCGTTCTGCACTGGACTCCTTCCTGCTGCAGCACTGATTGCAGCGTGCGATACTAACGATCTCTTCGAACTCGGTAAAGAGATAATCTCCATCACATTTAGAATGAGTCTAGCGATCCAACAGCGCTTGACAATAATTGAAGATTCGAACGCGAGCTGGGCAACCACCTTGGTGTGCAAGACTCCTGAGAGAGTGCAACATATTTTAGATGATTTTCATCACTCAAAGGTATGAACTCGATGACTGAATATACATAGTTCCAGTCTTATGCTTAATTCATACGCAGAACACTCCTTACGCGAAGCGCATAGCAGTTTCCGTGATCTCAACTGATTGGTTAACGATCAGTGGAGCTCCGTCCTCTCTACGAGACCTAATGGAGTACTCTACAGAGTTGAAAAACTGCCCAAAAATCGAAACAGACACAAAGGCTGCACACACACCATATCTTCCACCTCTTGACATGAACTCCATCCTTGGTGACTCTCCACTTCTTGATAAACCCATTACCTCGAAGGCTAGAATTCTGTCACCCTCATCATGTAGACCATATACTGAAAAGAACTTACGCTCACTGCTATCCGAAATGATAGTCGACATCGTATCAAGGACATTGCGGATCGACGAAACTATCAATTCCTGTATTTCAGCATTCAAAAATAGATCTATATCTCTCACTGTGGCAGGCCCTACAGCACACCTACCAGCTGTTGAACGGATGTTGAAGTCGCAAAATATCGTGTACGAGTTCAATCGGCATCGAAATTTAGTAGACATCTCATCATCCCGCAGTGGTTCAGGTCTAGTTGCCGTAGTAGGTATGGCAGCAAGACTTCCTGGAAGCGAAGACGTAGACACATTTTTTGAGAACTTGATGGAAGGTAAAATAGAACTTCAAAAGGTATAAAACACCTATCGACAATTTGATACTATGCTGATGGTAGCAGATTCCACAAAGCAGATTTGAAATTGATCGATATTATGATAGTGATGGAAAAAGTAAGAATAGCACTGCCACGAATCAAGGTACATTTCTCGAGCGGCCTGGCTATTTTGATAATCGTTTCTTCAGTATATCTCCACGTGAAGCTCTTCAAATGGATCCACTTCAGCGAATGCTTCTCACGACCAGCTGGGAGGCCCTGGAAATAGCTGGCTACTCTAGAAACTCGACGCTTTCAACACAAAACAGTCGTATCGCAATTTATTTCGGACAGGCTGCAAATGATTGGAATGATGTTCTCAACAGTGATGATATTGATATTTATTATGTGCCCTCACTGTCAAGAGCATTCGGACCGGGTCGTTTGGCATATCACCATAAGTGGGGTGGTGGTACTTATTCAATAGATGCTGCTTGCGCAACAAGTACCACTGCAATCCATGTGGCATGTCAGGCTCTATGTTCACGCGAGTGTGACATGGCATTGGCAGGAGGTGGCTCTTTATGTGTGTCTCCCATGACCTTTGCTGGACTCAGTAAATCCGGGATGATTTCTAACCGGGGCGGCTGTCGTACATATCATGATGATGCCGATGGATATGCTCGAGGGGAGGGTGTTGGTGTTGTTGTGCTCAAACGCCTGGAAGACGCTACGGCTGAGAACGACAATATTCTTGGGGTCATTCGTGGCCATGCTAGAACATACACCACTACATCATCTTCCATTACACATCCAAGTGCAGAAGCTCAAGCTCATCTTTACAAAGAAATTTTACGACAAACAGCGATGGACCCAAATGAAATCGCCTATGTCGAGATGCATGGAACAGGTACTCAAGCCGGGGATCTGGAGGAGATGAAATCTGTTATACAAGTTCTTGGGCAGCATAGAACGAAGCAAAATATTTTGACCGTCGGAGCCGTCAAAGCTAACGTTGGTCATGGAGAGGGTGCCGCTGGGGTCACTGCATTGATCAAAGTTCTCATGATGATCAAAGAAAGAAAGATTCCTCCCCAACCAGGAATACCTTTCAAAATTAATCGACACTTCCCGGATCTTGACGCACTTCACATACGGATCGCAGGATTTGGAGGAAATGACAACATTTTAAGGCCAAGTCCAGTGTCAAGAAATGGAAAGATCACGTGTTTGCTGAGCAGCTTTGATGCTTCTGGCGGCAACACAGCGTTAATTATCGAGGAAGGGCCCGGTTACTCTGTAAAAACAGAGCATCCGGTAAAATTCCATGTCGTTACTTTGTCTGCGAAAAGCGGACTCTCATTACAACGGAATCAGCAGAGGCTGTTGGATTTTCTAACAAGACACCCAGAGACAGCCCTAGCAGATTTATCGTACACGACAACTGCTCGAAGAATTCACCATCCACTTCGTGCAGCATACACGGGTCATTCAACCAGAGAAATACTCACCAGTCTCCGCGAAGACTTAAGCAGGGACACAAAACTCAGTTCAAAGAAGTTCAAATCACCTAACGTAATTTTTGCGTTCACTGGACAAGGTTCTCAGTATGCCGGCATGGGAAGATATCTTTTCAATCACTGCATTGCTTATCGAAAGATGCTTCAGACTTTCCAAGAAATGTCCGTGCATCAAGGTCTTCCCCAATTCCTTCATCTGCTCTCAGACACAAGGGCAAACATCACTGAATCATCCATTGTTTCTGTTCAAATTGCGATCGTAGCCCTCGAAATTGCCACTGCAAAGTTGCTCAAGTCCTGGGGTATTTATCCGCAAATAGTCATCGGTCACAGCCTCGGGGAGTACTCGGCCTTATGCGTTGCTGGAGTTTTATCTGTTAGCGATACATTGTACTTGGTCGGACGACGAGCACGAATGATGGAAGAGCGACTAGTTTCCGGGGAATATGGGATGCTTGCTGTCGCCAAAGGTGTGGAGGCTGTCATGCAGTTGCTTAACATCGAGAGGAACTCCTTATTGAGAACTCAAATTGCCTGCGTTAACACGCCAAACTCAACAGTTGTTAGCGGTCCACTTATTGAGGTCCAGCATTTGAAAGATCTTTTGGAGCAGAAAGGATCGAAGTCAACGTTTTTGCGCACACCGTATGGCTTTCATTCTGGTCAAATGAGCACAATTCTTGAGGAATACGAGGTTGTCACGAAGTCCGTTACTTTTTGCGCTCCAGTCCTACCGATAGCTTCCACCCTCTTTGGCAGGATTGTTCAAGCTGGCGAACAACAGATTTTCAACTCCAATTATCTCATCCGGCAAACCCGAGACAGTGTAAATTTTATCAGCGCGGTGCATGCCATTCAAACCTATATTCAAACGGAAGCAGCATGGATCGATATTGGACCAGAACCTATTGCTGTGAATTTGGCTCGCAATATCTTGACAAGCAATTCAAACCACTTCCTCTACACAATGAAACAAAACGAAGATAATTGGGAATCAATCTCCAACACACTCGCTTCACTTTATCGTCTTGGAGTGCATATCAATTGGCCATGTTTTCACAGGCCATTCTTGGGCTCACTCTCGCTCGTCAAGATTCCCACGTATGCCTTTGACGAGAAGCAATACTGGAAGCAGTATGCTGAGCGCTATCATTCAGGCCAAACAATTTCGTCGGAGGACGAAAATGTCCTGAAAAGAAAATCCAGACAATGCACGGCCCCTCCGTTCAGAACAACAAGCTTGCATAATGTGGAGGACGAAATAGTTAATGAACAATCTATAAGCGTCACCTTCACATCACACACATCAGAGAAAGATCTAAATGAAGCGATTCAAGGCCATGTGGTAAACGGAGTAGCGATCATGTCAATGAGTATCTTCTGCGACATGGCTAAATCTGCCACATACTATGCATACAAAAAGGTTCACCCAGATCGTGAAGTACCAATCATGAACATTCATGAACTAAAGATGACGAACGCTTTGGTCTTGCTTAATTCAAATTCTCAGCAAATCGTCAAGACAACAGTTACATATTCCGGAGAGTCCGCACATGTTAGCTTCTCATCGACGGCGAAGGGTGCTCGAAGTCAGGATCATGGCAACCTGAGAATATCATTTCAAGACTTTAATACTTGGCCTCTTCAGCAAAAGCAGATGCAATTTCTCGTTGATGCAAGACTAGAGCATTTAAAGGAGATGTCAAACAAGGGGTCAGCACACCGACTGATGAAACCAGTGATCTATAAGTTGTTCGGCAACCTAGTCAACTATAGCACAAGCTACAGAGCTTTGGAAGAAGTTTGGATGGACAATGAATGCCGAGATGCTGCTGGGATCATCAAATTAGCAGATGTTCCGGGCACAGGAAAATTCTTATACAACCCGTTTTGGTCCGATGGCGCCATCCACATTGCAGGATTCCTTCTGAACAGCGGTTTGAAATACGATGAAAATACAGCCTTCCTCTGTATTGGACTGGAGAGCTGGGCCCTAGCGGAGGAGCTGCGCTCAAACGAGTTGTACACCACGTATACTGTTATGCAAGACGGAGGGGTACCTAACATGATCACTGGATCTGTTTTCGTTTATGACAGTAAACAGAAGCTCGTCCAGATTGCAACAGGGATTCAGTTTCAAAAGATGAACCGGACTACTCTCGATGCTCTTCTGAAACTTCATTCATCACCAGGCCAACCGCTAGTCACTGTTGATTCGAGGACAACAATGCAACCAGAGAAGTTGGAGAACAAAATACGTCTTGATGCTCTTATGCCCATACCTTCACAGCACGGTTCACAGTGGGATGTGGCACACAAAGACAGTGGATATGCCACACCGGACAGCCAGAATAGATCCAGCCTCATGAAGACGTTCATTGAGATCGTCTCTTCTGAATGTGGATGCCGTGAATCAGATCTCGAACCAGGGACTCTCTTTTCCGATATTGGTGTGGACTCGTTAATGGCAATCACCATTATTGCGGCTTTTCGAAAACAGACAGCCATCGAACTTCCTATCACATTCTTCATTGAAAACAAAACAATATCAGAAGCAAGTAGAGTTCTTTCTGGTCAATCCACAGACTCTTTTCCACAACCCCCATCAGAAACTCAACAAAGTGGGCTCACCTCTAACATAAACTTGGCTTCGACTGTTACTGTCACAAACGTGGTTAAAAATGATATTTACAGAGACTCTATCGAGGCAGGAGTACCGATGCAATCTCTGGAAGTTTTCAACACAATCCCGCAACCCAATGAAGTCAAGGTGGAAACCAAACAGGTTGTCAAGCAAAGTCAAGTTCTTCTACTGCACGGCAGTCCTTCTTCCTCTGGGCCTAAACTATTTCTGCTTCCGGATGGAACTGGCTCCCCAAGCTGCTACATCGGTTTACCATCTATCAGCCCTTCTATAAATGTCTACGCTGTTAAATCTCCTTACGTTCGCTGTCCAGCGGAGTTTACTTGTGATGTGCGATTTATTTGCGAGTCCTTTCTCTCCGCGATTCGATCAGTGCAGCCAAATGGACCATACCTTCTTGGTGGCTTTTCTTTTGGTGCACTTTATGCATATGAGCTCACGAGAATCCTCATTGAGCAGGGAGAAGTTATCGATTGTCTATTTATTCTTGACATGGCTGTGCCAACTACGATCAAGACTCCTTCGGTTACAGGGCAACTTGTTGCGGAAGCTGGACTTTTACCACCCACTGGGGTTACATCAGCGGCCCAAAAGGAGCATATTGTGAATACAGTCCGGGCAATGGTGGCGTACAGACCCACACCTTATATTTCTGCTTCGAAACTGAAGAAAACGATATTAATATCTTCCGAGGAGCCACTTGCTGCTGGAAAAAATTTTGAATTGTCAACTTGGGCTAGGGGAAGCGATTCAACATATCGAGGTTGGGAAAATCTGATACAAGGAAGCATCGAGTGTAAAGTTGTGAGCACAACTCATTTTGGCCTCTTAAAATATCCAAATGTACGTTTTCCCTACTTACAGTTTTCACCTTCAGTCGCACCAGACATTATTTTTGGACCTCGACTAACATGACACGCAGATCAATACTTTGAGAGATATATGGGTAGAGACATTAACTTCTATGTAAATCATTTCTAACACTACTCTATTTTCCATTCAATGTATTTATCATGTACTTTAAGCTACTGCAACACTCCGAGCTTAATCTACTCAGTATTTCGTGTCCGCACCTGCCGCTATGATAACATGTTATGGTCCACGCCAATGCAGAGATATTTCTTTAATATAAAAAGAAAGCTAAAGTTGTACTATGGCTTGGTCATTCTTCTTTTTCTCCATGAATAGCAGATTGGATTAGAAGAAATATTGTAAGTATATATCGACTATTTTGCCCAGCAATACTAGCGAAGCTGGCTGGTATTTTGTCTTTCAGTGCCTTCCTGAAGTTCAAAGAGTGAGAGCATAACAGCCGTAAGTGGAAATGCCTTGACGGAAGTCTGAAATAATATTATAAGATGGTAAAGTACCCTTTTATTATTTAATTCATTACAATAAGGGCTTAATCCATTCTGTTTTCATCTTCGAAGAAATGTTCCAGTAACGTATTGAGTCTGCTTGCATACTATCTTCACGTATGTGATAAAGTCAATGGCGCTCGGTTCATGCCTTAACATCAAGGGAGAGATTAATGAAGAAATCGAGGCAATGTAATTATCGATTATCTAGATCAAAATATCAAGATGGATAATAAGCTTATTTAATACAGACTGCGGTACTACATTCATGAAGGCCTGCACTCCGTGTACTGTACATTTGAGAAGATAGTGGCCCTTCTTCACACTTCCGATAACTTTTCAAACAGTTATATCAAGTTTTGATGCGCGTATGGTGATGCTAAAGGATACCAAGTTCTTCTCTGATATTTAATGACGCGAAGGCCGAATGTCCGCTGTACTGTACCAGCTCAGTGTAAGCCATGACGAATGAGCTAGTGCCTCTCTTGATTTTGGCCCCCGCTTTCTTATCACACACAAGCGAAAACTCTCTAATGAAACAGCATTGTTCTCTTAGACAACGCCAAATCTCTCCATAAATTGGTATGTAATGACTTATTCATCCATTCAGCACGCTCTATATGGAACGTATCCTTCTCGTAGTCATGCTCTCCAGCTTAAATGCCTTCTCTGCCCAGAAGAGCTCTCATAGAAACATTCATTTCTGAGAATGTTCCTCATGGTCCTGAAATCCTTGCTGACGTTCCAAACAGCATCCTATTTTTGGGCTGCTGTCACGCAAATGTGGCCAATGATGACTCGGGTTGGATCGGGTGAGCAGCCGTATGAGGAAGTGGCTTGCAAACCTGGGGACAGGCGGTCACCCATGTCTAATCTCACGCAAAGGCTTAAAGTCCACGGCTCCGCTTGTAGCAAGCCGCCGTCATTGTCTTGCTGAGCGTCTAAGCCCGCAGCGTCGTCGACTCGCTCCATGACATGAATGCAGAAAGAATCCGGGACGTTGAGCGTCTTGCGCGAGGAGTGTACTCTAAATGTATGTTCTCAAGAATCGAATTCCAATGCTCTAGATTGCAGCTAGCTAATAAATTTTGTCTAGGTCGCGATTGCGAAGGTAGAAAACAGATCAATAGAAGTTTTCTGTTGTAAGCTAACCATGTCCATAGGTGGATATAAAAACTTCTCAAATGATATACGGGCGCTACAGAACAGCTTGCAGGACATAGAAGATGCTCTCGTCTCGAATACTATTCCCACGTCAGAAAATGAATTGAGTCAGCTTATTAGCTCTTGCGAAAACGCGTTGAACGAGCTATCAAGTCGCGTTGACAAATTTAATTGTCTTCCTCTTCAGTCCCAACGCACTTGGGATAGATTGAGCTGGGGCCAGGACGGCGAAAGCAAACTAAGGGATCAACTTAGCAGTCTTCCACAAGAGCTAGGAGCATTTTACAAACGCTTACGAGAGTCACCAAGTGCTCAGATTGATCGTGCATTACAATTGCTCGTGAAAGAGGTTTCAAACGGGCGACACGAAACGTCAACAACGACCTCGCTCAGTACCGCAGCCGCGAACCGTGATGATCAAGCCAGATGGGAGCAACTGATCCATGACCTTGGTGATCTAGGCATCGAGGAGAAGATGGTAGTCGAGCACAAAGATTTCATAGTTGATTGGATCCTAAAAGCTATCAATGATGGTGTGCTTACAGGCGAAAAGATGCCCACAGAAGCGGAGTCCATATTACGATCGCTTTCACCACCACTTGAATCACTAGAATCGCTATCCCCAACCTTGGAATCGTTACCAAATCAGTCTCTAGATCGTCAATCAACTCCGTCGCCATCGATTGTATCTTCAAAAACAACAATACATGCGAGCACCACGCCTCCTGTATACGTCCAACTGAAAACAGCTCTCCCTTCAAAGGTGGACATCCCACCCCGACCAAACATGAGTGCATCTCCACCTCGGCCCGTTTCAATTATTAGTTCTAATCAGTTTTCCTCTACTACCATGCATGGGCCTCCGCCACCGCCTAATACGGATTCTACCGGAAGCAACATCCAAAAAAATGCCGAGATGATTTGCTTTCATTGGAATGGTCGAGAATGGAAACATGCTCAAGAGAGCCTCAAGGCCCAGATAGCATGTGTAGAACGGGGTGAGACTATCCACATATCTGGGGTTCCGCAACAACCAAACGTTCGAATCCTGCGATATCTCCTTGGGATATCATACAGCCTATCCGGCGACTACATTACTGCACGAGATATATTTGAATCTATTCTTTTGGAGGCAAACATTCAGCAACTTGCTTTCGACGACGGTGATATAGCGGCAGCAAGATGGCTTGGTGAAACGTGCATAATGTTGAATCAACTGGTCAATGCTTCATTAGCTTGGGCAATCTCATACTACGGAACTCTCTTCAAGAATCCTCCTCAGCCTCCGGGAAATCACAGAGACAAGTACATGCTTGAGGACTTGCGACTCCTAAATTCCAAAACTGGCGGCCTGCACTCTCTTAAGAGTGCCTTCACGAAGACCAATCGAGACGCAAGTTCTATTCTCGTCGGCGTTTCTGCAAGCCTCAAGTTTCAACTCGTCAGCACCGTCCTGGAAGTTATCTCACAGTATGACAAGCCAGGACACACCACTCGTCGATTACCACCAATCATTTCTATTGCAGAAGGATTTCTGACACAACCACTTGTGGCAAACCAATCGTGGCCCTTGCCACAAGATCCATTCTTTCGTGTGGACAGTTCAATCGACCTTCTTTACGCGCTCAGTCGGCCACATGCGCCAATAAACACAACTGCAATATCAACTATTTCGCTTGGTAAATCAAAGAGCTTGATCTACGTAACCCGAAATTCTATCAACTGGCTTGTGGAGGCAATTCGCTTTGCACTGAACTCGCTGGCCATTGAATGGAAGATTTACTCCTCGGAGTATCTGCTTCGATTCAGTCAAACACATGAACATATAGCATACTATGACTGTTTCGCTATACGGTTTCACAAGTTAAGTTTTCGCAACCTCTATGGGTTCAAGCTGAATGGAACTACGTATTCTACGCGGCAATTCACACACACAACTACTGCAAACCAACTCGACGAGAACGCAAGGAAAGAGATATTGAGGGCTGAACTCGCAGCGAAGCTACAAAAATATGTCAAACAGGCTGAGATTGACTACGCAAAGGGGAAGTGGCCACCCAAAGAAGCGGCCCCCCCTCGTTCTCCCCGCCTTTCTCCACGTAGAACGGCGATCGAAATGGACTCTGAAAATGTGCCACGTAGTGAATTGGCCGACCAAAACGAGCCAGTTCATGAACTAATGAGCTATGAGATTGCAGAGCTTCCTGGATGAAGTTCTATCGATCTCCAACCATTTAATTTTTGCTTTGATTGTAAATGGTGGTCTTTGTGCCATGCTGTTCTTCGCTGTGGCTCCCGAGGAAAGTTCCAAACAAAGCGATTGATCTATCCCAAATTTTGCATCAACTGATTTGCAAGCTCGATCTAATGTAGCCCATCTGGCGTTGATACTTAAGAGTCACGAAATTCTGCTCCCGATGTCTCGGGTCGGGAGGGCGAATGTAAGCTACATGCCTATTTTCGAGACAATGATATCATTCATCGGCTCTTATGCCGTAATAACAACCGTGCTAGGTTTTAATAAGATTTAAGTCGGCTTCCTGACCCAAGCACCCCTTACTGGGTCATGGTATTGAGTAATGACGGTGCTCTCACAACGTTTAACAGTCTTTAGGGTTGTTCACTCCAAGCCAATCGCCCCTCCACGTTCACCAATTCACATGAGCAGTATTTGAGCCTTTGAAATTATGATTATGAGCATCCAAGTCGAATGCGCAAACTAGTCGGTAGATCTGCCTGCTTTCTCAGGCAGATGTAAGATGTAGACCGTATGCTCTGCTTCAGCCTCAAGACTGTATATTCAGCTTAAAATTGGAGATTGAGGTACTCCATCGGCATGTATCACTTTGTGGATAAGTAATGGCGTGAAAACTTTAGATTCTCGTGCTCCTAGCTGCGAATTGATTTTGCTCAAGCTCTCGCTGATTGTCGAAGAAGTTTAAGGGTAGCACTGTTTCATTTGGCTGATAAGCCGCTAAAATGACATTGTTTAGGCGTAGTTTGCGATATAAAACTAGACGTTAAATTTAAATCATCCGCAATGTCACGAATCGTGAGCCAGAGTGAAGTCCCTATCGCTTTTCGAAAAATCATTCACTCCTCATTTTATCCAGAAATTATTGATTTGAGGTCCCCGCCCAGGTCTTGCGTGCGAGCTGATATGACCCCGCTGATTTTGAAAGGCGTTCACGCTTTCGAGTCGCCGCTCAACGTCTTGACATAGATGCTACCTTTTGGACTTTTCTTGAAGATGGAATCGCTCATCGATGCCGATAAGTGCTGGTTTTGCAGAATTATGGGGTAGTCTCTCATGAGAAGAGCAAGAAAGAATCGTTATTTCGTGACCGAACGCTTTTATTGGGCGATTAATGTTTTTCCAGGAGCTAGATAAATCAACTTTACTACTTTGCTATCAGTTGTGGCCGTATCGAGGTCTGCCATCGTCTTTCTAATAGATCGGACGTGCGACTCTTCTCCTGATTCCGTCATCTTTTAATCAGTCGAGCTCGTTAACATGCTTGAAGAGGTCGCCCAGATCAATTGTTTGTTTTATTGCCTCTCGGGTCGTGTTGGTCGGAACTAATAAACAATCAAGGTTGGGCTACGATTGCCCCATGTATGTCCACAAATATAAATATATATTCTATAAACTACTTAGTTAAACATATTGCGCCATTCATTGCCTCAAGCTCAGCACATTTGCATTTCGATGAGCTGTCCAAGCTGCTGAACAGGGCACAGCTTATGTTTGAAATCATATCCGCGTTATTATTCCGGCTTTTTTTTTGGCAAAAGATCTGGACTTGCAGGCCTCGTGCTACTGGAACGGCTCATGGGGTCCGATGCCATTTTCATTGCTCAAGGAGCTCCGCATCGTCAGAAGAATTTGCCTTCTGTGACCAACCCTAATTTGATCAGAGGATTTAGAACACGGGCGTCAAGGCAGAATCGAATTCAGCGCACAAAATATCGAAGACTCTTGTATGTCAAGAGGGAAATGTCAGCATGAAATTTCACATTAGCCATTGTAATCAATATGCTGCCAGTGCGATCGTTAATGCGCGCCGGATGTCGCTTGGAGTAGTTCTGTTCCAAATTTCTGACGTGGATTTGACACGCAAAGTAGTCATGATGACCTGCGAGTTTCTGGTGCTCTAATCATAGACACAATTGGCTTTTCAGCTCAGAACAGGTTGAATAAAATTGATGCTGGACAAGTTATACACGGCGGCTCAAGCGTAGACAATTATAATGGCTTTCTTTATTTCTTTTCTTTCCCTTCTTTTGGGTTAACGGGAGAAAAGGGTGGGGGGCTGCCATCAAGCAATGAATCTCCGTTGGAGCGGAACAGATTGAGAGGTGACAAGTATTCAAGTAGCTTGTATTCAATGTACCCAGTACGATAAACGCAACAGAATAAATGCACAGCATGGGGCAGGTTCTGTTCTCGCACTATGATATTTCGATTGTGGCATGATAATTCAACGCGCTATCCAAAATTCATTCTATTCATCGCTAGTTTTTTGTAGCTAGAGGAAGAGCCGATGGTTCCCTTTCTCAATGCGTTACATTCCCAATTTGAAGACGGATAGTGATGATCGATCGGATCACGAAAACAGATTCAGATTGTGCTGCAAACAGCAATCCAAAGGCCCAGTCTTGGAACTAGTCCATGTCGAGAAACGAACAAGAGCCTTGTTCAGTCTACACGGCCATATTGATACTGATTGTTTTCTCTTGGAGGTAGGCGAACAGCCCGGCCTTCCCAAGCTCCCGTCCATAGCCTGATTGTTTGAATCCACCGAATGGCGTCGTGTTGGCCGGAAATGCCACTCCATTGATGCCAACCGTGCCGGCCTTGATCTTCGAGGCCACTCGGAGAGCTCGAGAAATGCTCTCGGTGTACAACGCCGCTGTTCGTGTTAGCCGAGAAACGATCAACGAATTGTTGCAAGCTCACAGGAGAGACCATAGGCAGTGTCGTTGGCTAGCTTCACAGCCTCCTCCTCCGTCTCGAACGTGCGAAGGTTCAATACAGGGCCGAATATCTCCTCGCGGTAGATTTTTGCGTCATCTTTGGCATTTAGGAAGATCGTTGGCTGCACGTACAGTCCTTTGTGCCCTTCAATCTTGTTGCCGCCTACGAGAAGCTCAGCACCAGACTCGGCTTTGCCGGACTCAATGAACGACATGACGCGATCGTACTGGAGCTTGTCGGCCAGAGGGCCGAGCATTGTTGTCGCTTGCGCCGGATCAGATCCGAAAGCTCCTTCTGCGTTTTTGAATGCGTTCTTGAGTGCCTCGATGAATTTCGGCGCGATCGACTTTTGGACGAAAACGCGAGACGTAGCTGCGCACACCTGGCCGGTATTCCAGAGGAAGAGCTGTGAGTTCCTGGGAGATGGTCAGTCATAAGGTTGCTCCAGCATGGTACAAGACGCACTGTGTGACGGCGTTCTCCAAATTCGCGTCGTCGAAAATCAAAGCCGGGCTTTTGCCACCCAGCTCCAACGTTACTTTCTTCAGATTGCTCTTCGCCGCGGCATCCTGAACTTTACGTCCCGTCACACCCGATCCGGTGAAACTGATCTTGTCAATGTCCATGTGTGCTGAGAGCAAAGCTCCCGTGAGGCCATTTCCCGAGATAAAATTGACTACACCGGGAGGGAACCCAGCTTCCTTGTACAAAGGAGCGACCAAAAGTGGTGAAAAGGGCGCCTTTTCCGAAGACTTGAAGACGAAAGTGTTTCCCGCCGCCAGAGCCGGCGCAATCTTCCATGCGACGTATAGGATGGTTGCATTCCTTCTCCCGTGAGTAAGTTGTGCTTTGAACACTGCACCTGGACACGCTCATGGACATACCAAGCCGCGATTCCAGCGCACACGCCGTACGGCTCGTACTGGACTATCTTGTAGGAGCCGTCTTCTTCCTTGTAGCTCTCTCCCGCAATTTTATCAGCCCACCCCGCGTAATACCTGTACACGGATGCACACATCGAGGTGATCATTCTCGAAGACCCGGCAGGCTGACCGATGCTCGCGGCTTCGATTTTGGCGATCTCATCAGCCTTCGTCTCGATCAGGTCTGCCAGCTTCAGCATGCAATGAGCTCGCTGAGTCGGGGTGAAGTTCGACCACGGTCCTCTTTCGTACGCTTCTCGCGCAGCAGCAACAGCGCGATCAACGACGCTTTCGTCTGCCACCGGAACCGTGCCAACTACATGATCGTCGAATGGAGAACGCACTGTGTAGCTTTCCTTGGCTGCGAATTCGACAAACTGATCATAAATTAAAATACCGACGTCACTTAGGATGATGCCTGCGGACCGACCTCATTGTTAATCCAATGCCTGTTCTCAAGTTTCGAGGTCATGATGAAGGAAAGGCTCACGAAGACACGATCCACGACTCTAAAGAGATTTTGAAATGGCAGTACGAAATGATTCCGCGGGGTTAGCTCTTTATGATGCAAAAGTGGATGCTCGTATTCATCTAGTCAGCAAGAAGGTTAACTTGTCAATCTGACTTAAGCTTCCTCAGAAATGGGCATCATTACACGGAGCTAAACCATAAACGCCGATTCGAGCGGGGAAACAAACGGTTTTGACATCAGACACATCCACTAAGTCGGGATAGGATGAGTCGGCAGTACAGGCTCTTTTGCAGATCAATGTATTGGCAGCCCCTCATCGCCACGAGAAACCTCTCGTTACTAAGCATCCGCCTGGAACCAATCCGCCAAATTAGTAGTCTGGTGCCGGACATGTATCTAAACACACGCAGATTGCCGATATCACTCACCACCTTCTGGTACCTTTCCCTTGCAATAAATTGGCTTGGCCACAGGTAAAGTGTACCTTGCATAGGGCTTGCTCTCATTGCGAACACGTTATCCGGCTTGTGATAGTATCCGTCGATCAAATCAACAACATTGCCCTACTGGTTTCCATTATGAGTGAGGTCGAAAGAAAAAAAAAATCAATCATGACGAATGTTCCGGAACTTGTAGTAAATGACTTCCTCCGTTAGGCTCTAGGCTTGTGGACATTTCAGTCTTATACGAAACATGTACGTGTTGGAATAGATTGCTACCATATTTGTTGAGTGCATTACCAAAGATACAGTGGGCCATGTGCTCTGCCAAGATCCAGGAGCAACAGACAGCTCAGAGACAAAGGGGGACATAATTTGTACAGATCTCGAGGTGGGTATATGATAACAAAACAAAAGTTCCCGAACTCCATTTGAGATTCATATCCGCGTACATGGTCATAAAAAAAAGGTGCGTGGTGTAAGCAATTCATAATACAGCTGCACTGGCATTATCCTGGATGTTCCCACCAGAGCGCCTCACTGTTGTTTACGGGGTGTCATCATAAGTGATCCTCAGTAAGGATGTAAGAAGTTCTGCTGCTTTGACGGTTTGCTCGACGTTGGCGTCTTGTTCTGTCGTCATCATTTTCAGTGTCTCGGCCTGTAAGCTCTTGCTCCTGAAGCTGGCGTGCAAGTTCTTCATCTGCGGTCTCCTGTTCCTGAGAAGTGAGTGGAATTGCGGGAAACGTTCGTCTTCGGTGATTCCGTGAGCGATCTACGCGGGGTGGCCGAAAGATGTCTCCGGGATTGAGAGGATCAAATGGCATGTCTCTTCGATCTCGGAAAGGGTTCGGAGGCAGCAATTGTGGGAGTGGATTCGTGTCCAGAAGAAACCCCGGAAGCACAGGCGGCGGAGGTGGTGGTGGTGGAGGATGCAGATTTCCAATTCTCAAATCCAGAGGCGCCGCCGGAAACCCCTGGCCGGGATCCAAGAACTCTTCCACGCCAAACTCAGGCGGGACGTTGAACCAAGGACAGTCACAGGTTTTCCATTTCTGCGCGCACAACATGCAGAATTCGGCGTTGCATCTGCACCGCATGTGGTTGCAGCCTTCACTGAGCTGAACCATGGCCCTGCAATTGTAGCAGCGTTGCCAGCCCATCTCCTTGCCAAGGTCGAGGACCTGTCTGGTGGCCTCGTCGTTCTCACAATAACGTCCGCCGTGCCACTTGAGGCCGCACTTCTTGCACACCTTGGTCTTACACTTCTTGCACTTGCCAAACTTCCTGCCCGTCGCAGGATCGGTCTCGATGTACTTTGGCTTGATCCACTCTCCACAGTTCTTGCTAGGGCAGTACAAGCGATGTTTCGTGGTGTACTCGGCGTACTTGCGATTCCATGTGATCTTGAAGGCCGTGTTGAGCAGCCGCTCGACGTGTCGAAGAGGAATCATCTCATCGGTGCAGCATTTTGGAGGCATGAGTTGCGGGTCTTCGGTAGATAGGACAAAGAGACGTTTCAAGCATGTGTGACACATCCGGTGTTTGCACTTAAGCAATGCAGATCGCTGCTTCGATACTTCGTCTAAACAAGATACGCATTCTGCTTTTGTCGAAGAGGACGTGGAGGATTTCCCCGCCGATGGCGTCGCGACCGGTGGCTTTGATTCCTTACTGACGGCCTTACTTTTCAAGCTAGAACCCGATCTGGGTGATTCTGTCGGCTGCTCTGCAACATTCGTCGATGTCGATGCAGAGGCCTGGTGCGGATGCGACGAGCCGGACCTTCGAGTATGGCGTCGTACAGCCATGCTTGATCGCGACTCATTTGTTTTGCTGTGAGCGGCTGCGAACGTCTTTGGGAGGAATATGGCCTCGAGAACCCCTGGCTGTCGTTTTTTCTTCTTGGAGGAGCTCTTCGTCCTATCCGCGTCCAAGGCGCTCGGTAAAAGCGTAGGTACGCCATTACACTCGTTTTCATCTCCGCCTCCCCTCAAAAATGCCTGTTTCTTCCGTATCTGCGCGATGTCTACCTGGTTTCCAGACAAAGACTTGGTCAGCATGGGCAGATTCCGGGCTTTTTCCATGTCCCACGGCGGGTCTGCCAATGCGCAGCCAGCTTCTTCTGCCTCGCTGACCTCGCGCTCGTCACATCCAGCGTTATCATAGTTATTTACCCCGTCAGTTCTTTGTAAGTCATCGCAGGCGATCTCATTTTCAACATCTTCGTCGTCGTCGTCGTCGTCGCGGTCATTATCGAAGTCGCCGTTGGTGTAAGAACGGCTGTAGACGTCGTCATTCTGGGCTACAGGTTGCATCCCATGACTTTGCAAGTTTCTTTGCGCCACCTCGCCCAGCCGCTCTGGTATGAGGCTGTACGGGCTGTCGTTCAAGTTCGTGTCCCCAAGAGCTGCGTGTGCGCGCGAGACTGGACCGGCCATCGCCGCGCAGACTCGTCGCACGGCGGCGCCCTTTTCTGCGGACGAAGAGACGCACAGGTTTGCACAGATACTGCGCGATCCGAGGAGGAAGAAGAAGAAGAAGAAGAAGAAGAAGAAGACGACGACGACAGATGCGGCGAAGAGCGAGTCGCACGCCGCCGCTGCTCGAGGCGCGCAAGTGGAAAGTTGAGGGTCGTTCTCATCCCACGCCAGCGAGCGAGGGCGGGACTGCGGGGCTGACGACTCGAAACACCGTCTGTCGCACGCGCGCTGGTCGACGAGCCAATCTTTTGCATGTCAGCTGTTGCCTTGCTGTGGCGGGCGATGGCGCTGCTCGACTTGATTTGCTTCCGCTTCGCCCCCCAAAAGATGCTCACTGGCTCGTCCTCCCCTACAGCTCGCGCACACCCGCTTGCGCTGCTCTCCCTCCGCCCACGCACACGTGTATGCTCACCACATCCACGGCGTCCGCTCCCTTGCTGTTCATTTAAAACCTGCGCCGACAGCCTCGAGGCATACCAATCATGTCCTTCTTCTGGCCGGCTTTGCGGGCAATGTGACCCTCCCTGATGGTCGTCCCCCGGATCCTCACGCATCTCCAAAGGCGACCACGTAGACCTCGACGACGTGGCCGAGCGCTCGTTTCCATCTTGGAACCCATGCTTAGGAGTCTGCAGAGATCAGTCCTGCCTTTGCGTCAGCATGAATCGTCCTACCTCGATCGTCTCCAAATCTTTATGCCGTCATGGGCAAGAGTCAAGCTTCAGGCAGACACGTGACATCTCCCGCTCTCTGCTTCCTACCATCGTGCTCGATCAAAGGACTCGTGAATCTCAACTCTTCGTGACTGCAATCTCAGGAGACGGCCCACAGATGGACAGCCTACTTCTGTACGGTACTACAAACTCGAGCAAGGTCGGCCATGTGCACGTTGGAGGACTGCTAGTCGAGAATATGAGCCTGACAAGCGTACCTTTCCTCTGCCATCCAACCCGGATCGGAGCGGTGCGTGAGAATGATGACAGTCGCGGACACTTCGACCAAGGTTTGGTCTGCACTCAGCTGTAGCAAGAGTTCACGCCAGTGATGGCGTTGGATTGCCAACGCTCAGCTGCACTATCTCCTCTCACGTCTTCGGAGCTAAAAAAAAAAATCCGTTGATTATGTAGAGGATCTAGCCTAGCGGTTGACAGTTTTGTAGAAGATCGCCAAATTCAGCGCGCAGGTTGAATACATCTGCCTCGTACCTCGACGACACAACACGGGAACCCCGCGAGCGCAACAGCTCGTGGATGAGAATTACAGTCGATCTGAGCGCCTGTCTCACCGGAGTTCTTTGGATTGATTTTCGGAAACAGCTTTTGCGTAGTTTGAACATCCATGCGTTACTGTACGTATGCTATCCCAAGCGTGATGCCTAGAACCCTCACACCTGGCTACATCAAAAAGCATCCTGTGCACCTTTTACGCAACCTTCAGTGCAAATCCAAACAACGAATCCATCTGCACCCATTGTCTCCCGTTCTTATCAAGATGCGCCTTTACAACATTTCTGACTACCTCCCATCTTTCCCTATTTACTTCTGCCAGCACACATATCTTTTCCTTCTTTTCGCTGGCAATTCGGCCCTCTCTAGCCTCCTTCTCTGCCTTTTCTCTGGCGTTGTCAACATCAAACAAGCGGCTCAAGAACAACAGCTGGTTGTACAGCATCTTCTCAGTGTACTCAGCGTGCATCTTGCCCAGACAACCGTGGCCAAGTCCCTTCGGGCCGAGACAACGATGTCCGTAGACACTCATTTGGCGAGTTCGAATGCCGCAAGAGGGGTCATCGCACACCAGAAAATTGGCGTAGAAACGAGCGGTATGCTGCCGAATCTGCGATTCCATCTGGGCAACCAGACTGATGTTCGGCATGACTTTACCACAACTTGGATTGGGGCAAGCCAACCCTTCGTGTGAAATGACCGCCTCCTTGTCCATGTTCGACGTGCTGTCCATCATGGGTATGACGCCTCGGAAATTGAACGACGTCTTGCACATACGGCATCGCAAGCGTAGTGGAGATGCGTCCTTGAAACGTATCGCATCTGGGATCTGGCTTTCCAGTGGTTGAATTTCCTGGTCATTTGCACTGACAGTACCACTTGCACTGCTGACACGGTACTTGCTGGTGTCCAGACCCAGGCACTCGGCAAGCATAGTGACATTGGTACCACTAATCGGCGCACAAAGACGCTCAACTGGAGGTAGTATCTGCTTGTGCAGGTAGTAGTCAATATCTGGCTTTAGTCCGGAGTCAGGCTTTAGAACATCGTCGACAGGGAATGCATTCTTCGCTGCGTTCTCAGCAGAGCCGCCGTTTTCACCGGTAATGATGAATGACATCACGTCTTTGGCTTTAATATGCTTGCCTTTGGCCATCTGCTTCAGGGCAACCTGGACTGAAGGCATGGAACCTGCATTTGGGTACTCCTTTGGTGCCTTCCCGAGCTGCGTGTGGATGATATACTTCATCAGTGGGATCTTAAAGCCTCGCATTTCGGAAGCAAGTGAGCGAAGATACTCATGGATGTTTTCAACGACAGTTTCTGGTTCGTCGCCGGACAATAGAAACGTTAGCAGCTTGCTGGAATTTGCTCAGTAAACGTATCGAATATTGTCTCATGAACCACTTACGATGAAGTGTCCTTCGAAAGTTGACAGTATTCCCTTCGCCTCATGTCTAAACCCTTGACTTCAAGCTTCTCTACAAACTTGCCATCCTTTTCTACCAGGTTGATAGCTGCATATTTCTTCTTGGCATGGAGTAAGATTCGACGAAAGACATTATCAATGTCAATCTCAAGCAAGCGGTAGCGATCGTTCACTTGCTTCTTAAACTCGTTGCCGATCTTTAATGCGTCCTGGATGTTGTCCATATTGGTGTTGATCATAACGGAGTCAGTGTCGCCGTAAATGACACGAAGCATGTTGCTTTCGGCGAGCTCTTTCGTGTTTCGAAGAATTTCACGGCCTTTGTATGTCGTGAGCATAGCTAGTGGTCGGGCATAGAAACGAGACTTGGTATAACCCAAACAACCATACATAGAGTTGGCTGTGAGCTTCAGGGCAAGCTGCTTGATGTCCCATGTGGCGAGCTGGTCTGGCGTAGCATTCTTGTCTTTCATCAACTTTTTGACCTCTCTGCGTCGCTTCACGAGGGTAGCAATGAGCTTCGGTAGGATGCCTTGTGCTTGTTCAGCGTCCGGTATTTCGGGGACTCGATCTTCTTCTTCGCCGATGTCCGACCGTTCGACGGTGGTGAAGCAGATGTTGAACTCCTGGATAATACTGGGATACAGGCTGTTGAAGTCCATAACAAGGATGACCTTATCGTAAAGGCCTTTTTCGGGCTCGAAGACAAGACCTCCCTTATATTTGTCCTTCTTCTTCGCATCAGCGCCTCCCTCCTCGCCATCTTCATGCTCCTCCTCATTTTTCTGTTTACCTTTACCCCAGACCTTGTCGGGGCAAATGTATTTGTTGCGATGGAATTCATGCAACAAAATGTATTCATTGCGCTCGGCTCTAGTGCCGCTTAACGTACGAGCCCAAGAATTACCAGCTAAATTAGTCAAAACTTTGGTGAGAGGCAACATCTGAACTTTCAACGCCAAAGCAGAGATGAAATAGGTATCCGTCTCACAATGCCTCAGGTAATTTATCAGGCCCTTTGGTGTGGAGCACCAAGTTTTGAGCGCGTTCTCATTATCGAGCTCGACTCGCTTCTCATTGAGGAACAGCTCACACATCTCCGTGAGACTCCACGACTGACACTTCATCATGAGAGACTTTCCCATGTCATTAGCCAGATCGCAGAGCAAGCGGCCAGCCGCTAGCTGACGCTCGACAAAAAAGCTGCCGCCACCCTTGCCCATATTCTTCGGCCACTGACTCCGCTTCAAGCGGCCGATTCTGTGCCAACCAGGGGTGTTACGCTCCCGCATTCGACTTAGCAATACGCCGAAATCGACGTCATCCAGTTTGTGACCCATAAGCACGTCCGGGTCATGATTGCCTAGAATAGCTAGAAACTTGCTGAGCAGGGCAGCTTCATTGCGTTCCATGCCAATCATGCCTCTATGTCTCTCAACCTCCAACTTAAAGCCGGTGGGATAATCGGCGCCAACGGGTCTCATTATTGTGAAAGACTTCGAAGGCAGCTTATCTGCAGGTGTAGTCTCGGCTAGAGACACATTCTCGTACACACGAGCGCTCGCGATAAGGAGCTCTTGCTTGTTTTCTCTGATGTTATATGTAGTGCGTAACGAGATGCTCATGAGTGTTAGCGGGGGAGCGTCCATACTGTCGGTCTCTAACACTGAAATGGCCTGAGGCTTATCCACAGCTAGCTCGAGCTTGCACCAGGAAGCGTTGTTAACGGCGTTGAAATCTCCGCCCTCAATTTTTAGCCAACAAGGTCCCATAATGTTCTTCCACAGAACGAACTGCTCGAAAAGTGCAGTGTTCGTACCAAAAACATGTGAGAACGTTTCCCCAGTAGTTTCTATGCTTAGGGAAGGCTTGTCATAGGGATATCGCAGCTTGAGATAGTCTGCCTCCTTTGGAATATCTGGAAGTTCGAAAGCGTATTTGCGTGAGCTAGGCTTGATCTTAAATGATCCTACCCGCAGCTTCGACATTATATCAGAGACTTCGTCGTAGACGTCGCTCATGCCCACTTCTTCATCTGTGTTTCGCCCATGCTTCTGTCGGTATTCGCGCGGCAAAAAGTAGAGCGTCCTCATAATGTTGTCAACCTTGACAAAACAGCTCACGAAATTACCAGATTTCTTGTCTTTGACTTTGCCGAAAAGACATAGACTGCCGTTGATCTCCGTGTAATCGAACCAAAACATGCGGAGGCTTCCGTCCTCTTCGACAGCTTGTTCCGGCTTGAGCTTTCCAAAACTTTGGCTCTGTGGTGCTGCTGGACTGCTCAGGATGTTCAGCCTGTCCGTAACGCTGTTCCACGAATCCGCCTCAACATTTTCGACCTTTGCCTGCGGGGGTGATGAACTTGCGGGTGATGGATACGCTTCCTTTTTAATCTTTGGGGCAGGTCTGGTACCTGACATGTTGATAGCGGGGCCAGTCGAGGCGACATGTCCGACTGTTTGCGCAACTTCCATGACGTCGTCGTCGCTCTCCTCCTCAGTCTTGACAGTCAGGCTCTTGCGTTGCACCGCCTTTGCAACAGGCGAAGAAGGCAGAGGGTCACTCATAGGTATATCCTCATCCGGTGCCAAGGCTATAAGCTCGTCGTTGAAGGCATTTTCAGTAGGCGGTGTGTGGGTTTGGAGAGCACTCTCGCTCTGGTCTATGCGAGCGTTCTTCGACGGTCTGACTTCCGGCAGTGGAGGAGATAGTCGCTTGCGCCGGTTTTCAAGCTTACTAGGCTTTGAGCGCGTTGAATTCCGTGGCACGTTGACATGAACATCTACTTCGCCGAGCAACTCCGCCATGAATGCGTCGTCTTCTGCTGTCTTTATAGGCTGTCTGAAGTAAGCATTATCGAAGTAAACGGAACGACACCAAGGGAATCTACCTTTGATCTAGAGACTGTTGTTGTGGTTTTTGCATTGAAGTACTGGCTGATGCCATTGCGGATCTTGTCACGCCTCTTTTGCTCTTCCTCACGCTGCTTCTTGGCTAGAAGCCACGCGTCAGAACTCTCTTATTACATAGTTCAAAGTCAGAGAAAACATACCTGCTTTACCTCGCGGTTGCGGTTCGTCGTCGTCATTACCGCTGCCGTCGTCATCGTAGTGGCCGTCGTCCCAGTCCTCTTCTCGACCGTCATCCGCATAGCCTTCGCCATTGTCGTCTACGACGAAGTCATCGCGATCCAAGCGGCTACGTACAACCTTCTTGTAGCCTTCCTCGTCCACCGTATCGTACAAGCTTTGGTATTCTTCGACTTCATAGGCGACGGTCGACCTGCTCTTCCGTGCCGCGGCGAGCTGGGCCAATCGCTCTGCACGGCTCGCCATTGCGAGAACAATGGCAGTAGAGCCAAAGGTCGGTCAGCAAGGTCGCTAAGAACGCGTTTTAATAGAAACGGGCGTGGTGATACCCTTGAGATTCGTAGGGGAGAGATCAAATCGTTTGGTGTTGACCACGACCGTAATAGCGTCAAACGTCGCTTCCGTGTTCAGTCGCGTCGCACCTGCCGCAACGCGCGCGTCGTCCGAATTTGGCCTAGCGTTCAATCCAATTTGGAGGTCAAGCCCCCGCCATTATAACGTGCTCTGTACTTCGCCGCCCAAGAGTGGTACAAAAGGTGGCGCCATCATCAGCACAATTGTTCAGCCTGCAAACCTTGATCCGATTCGAAGCAATCACGGCAATCTGTGCGCGCAGTGTCGACCCCGGCGTACTCTTCAGAACCTTTGACATCCCGCCGTAGTGGAGGTTTGATTGAGAGGTGTCCAATTGGAGTTTGGTCGAAGTTACATCCAAGCGCACTACCAGACACCAACTCATACCAGATCATCGATTCTTAGCCGTAGCAAGAATGCCAGAGTCGCGATCGCGCGAGCCACTTGTGTGGATAGATTGCGAAGTATCGATTCATTCCTCCCGCCTCGCCTTTTCTGGTGTTAATGTAGAGTCAGATGACGGGTCTAGACTATGACAATGACCAGATCATCCAAATAGCATGTTTCGTGACGGGGCCTGACCTGAATCTGCTTGACTCCGAGGGCTTCGAGGTCGTCGTTCACCAGAGCGAGGAGACCATGAATGCAATGGATGACTGGTGTCGGCGAACCCACCACAACTCTGGCCTCACTGCAGCTGTCCTTGCCTCCCAGGTGACGCCCGAGATGGCTGCTGAGCAGCTACTTGATTATATTAAAAAGCACGTACCCGAGAGCAAGAAAGCACTTCTTGCAGGCAACACTGTGCACGCGGACCGTGCGTTCTTGAGACGAAAGCCGTACAACCGAGTCATCGAGCATCTGCATCATCGCATCTTGGACGTCAGCACCATAAAGGAGGCAGCCAGACGGTGGAGCAGTGACGACGTGCTGAAAGGGTCTCCCCAGAAAAAAGGCATGCACGAGGCGAAAACAGACATCCTAGAAAGCATAGAGGAAGCTAGATATTACAGAGACACGTTGTTTACACCAAAACCGAGGGAATAAATCCAAAGCATGTTTGATAACTTTCAACTGCCCTATGAGCATACAGCCTCAAACAAAGTCGTTTGCAAAACATAATCGCAACTGACGACTGCCCGAGCAGTTATTTTCCGTGAGCTCTAGACCACGAATTGTTTTTTTCTTAGTTCTCCTTTTGCTTCTATCGACGCCCCTGCGGATATCGGCGCCTATTTGTGCATCTCGCCGCCTTCAGTCATCGTTGCATCTGCACGTGGGTACAGTCGATATGAGACATCGGGAGGGTCGGACATGGCTCCTTTCCTCACACCACGCAAATGACGTTGGTCCTCGGAGTTTTCGATGAGCTTGAGAAGGATGTCGTCTATAGCAGCGAGTCAGTGATATGTCAGTTCGACATTTTGAGTGACCACCCGCCTCGAAGCTGTTGGTTCATTGTCACCTCACCATTGCCTCTACGAGGTTTGTTTGTCGCGAGGGTATGCTTTGCGAAAGGTACTGAGTTTGTTTTAGTGTGCATTCTCTACTTGATATCACGGTATCTCACTCACGGTTGGCAAGATAATTGCGGCATCGCAACTCTGCCGATTCAAGGAGCTCGGGATGCGCTGTTTCAATGAACAAGGGCACTTTCGGATCGACGAAGAGAGCATTGGGGCGCAGTTTCTATTTGCGCGTGCGTACCCTCTCGCCATGCTGCCTCAGCCTTTCTGACGCGTAGTCAACCTCGCGGATTTGGCTCTTGTATGCGTCCTTGACTCCGCCGAGGCTGAATGGAGATGTGGTATATGCAGGCTCTTGCGTCCGTGGCTTATACTGGGGCGGATATCTTACAGCGAAGAGTCGAAGTTTCGTGGCTTCACCAACTCCAGCCAGACGTGCTATGAGCGGAAGCAAGTTGGTAGCGTCGAAGACTCTGTAACCACGAGCGAGATACCATATGGCACATTCAGGAGGCTGGATTCCTTTAACCCCACAGACGAAGATACCATCCAGGTGGCTAGGCTCGATGGCCTTGAAGATTGGTTCACGAAGGCGAGGCGCCATTTCTCCCAGTAGATAGCCTTCGGCGTCTTGACCGCTAATCCATGACTGAGTTCAATAAAAAGACAATTCTCTGGACGACATTCGTCCCAGTGGATCTTATATAGGAAATCTGACCTGGATGATGGATTCTAGGTCCACGACTGCCAGCGTGACGAGGAGATGGTCTAACAATAGAGAAGCAGAAAGGCGGTTGCATTAACGGGCTTCCAACAGAGGCTATTGACGTTTCGACAAAAGGCTTCCTTCTAGTATCTGCTCTATCTAAAGAAGTGACTGCTTTCTATGTTCAAGCTTCGCGTTCCTCATTCCACCACGGCCACACAGTCACTTACGCTCGATCATTGTTCTGGACAAAGTGAGTAGAGCGCCAGTGAGGACCGACACAGTCATGGCACAAAGGTGAAGCGAGATCGAAAAGAAAAACAGCGTCGACGCGCAACCTTGATAGGGGTTATTGCCGAAATGCACGTCGCGCACGTGCGAAAGAACCCTGGAGGTTTAGAGATGGGAAAGGTTAAAACGCTCACTTTGAATGCATGATGACTTTTCCCGGCATCGAATTCTACATGCGTCTTGGTACAAGCGTGCTGCGTGTCTTCAGGCAGCATATCTTCACATCTCGATGCATATAGTATACACAATGTAACAGTGTCTTGCACTAACGCCAGAAAATGCAGCGAGACATGATGCGCAGCGCCGATGATTCGTCCTCTTACCGGCCGTTTGGACGCTTTTACTTGAAGAGTTTACCCAGCGAAACCTCCTTGTCGTCATGCTTGTTCAAAATCTTGGCTGTGGCTAGATCAAAGTCCTCCTGCGTGACGTGTACGCGTCGCTCCCTAAGAGCATACATGCCCGCCTCTGTGCATACACCCTTCAGCTCGGCTCCTGAGCAACCGTTCATCTTTTCCGCGATCTTGGTGAGGTTGATTCCTCGGGTCAGGTTCATCTTTCTGCTGTGGATACGGAGAATGTCGGCGCGAGCTTCGACGGATGGTGGTGGGAACTCGATCTTGCGATCGATGCGGCCTGGGCGGAGCAGGGCTGGGTCGAGGATGTCAAGACGGTTGGTGGCCATGATGATCTTGATGTTCTTGGTGGGTTCGAAACCATCAAGCTGGTTGAGCAGCTCCAACATTGTACGCTGTACCTCTGAGTCGCCACCGCTGGAGCCCTCGACTCGTGACGAGCCGATCGAGTCGATCTCGTCCATGAAGATGATCGAAGGAGCGTGTTCGCGAGCCATGACGAACAGCTCACGCACCATGCGGGAACCCTCGCCTATGTACTTTTGCACCAGCTCACTGCCGCTCACACGGATGAACTTGCAGTCGGTGTGATGCGCGACGGCTCTTGCCAGCAGGGTCTTGCCCGTTCCGGGAGGGCCGTACAGGAGCACCCCCTTGGGCTGTGCAATGCCTAGCGACTCGAAGAGTTCTGGATGCTTGAGGCCAAGCTCGATCACTTCCTTGATCTCCTTGATTTGCTGGTCCAAGCCACCGATCATGTCATAGGTGGAGTCAGGGACCTTTTCGACCATCATGAGCGAGACGAGCGGATCGACGGACGAGGGCAGCATTTTCTCGAGCTTGTAGCTGTCGCTGAGGAGAGTGACGCGCTTTCCGACCGTCAACTTGGAAATGTCCACATTATCGCTCACGTCGACGACTGTAGACCAGGCGGCACGTGTTAGCGCAGACACCAGGACAGAATACCAGAGCGTAGGTGAAACGTACCATATTTGCCCTCCGGATGCACCTTGACCAGCACCTTCTTCGTGCTCATGACCTTCACAACCTCTCCCACATAGCTGCCCGGCTGCTGCAGCAGACCCAGTTCTTCGCGCAGCAGACGCACTCTCGAGTTGTAGTCGTTTCGCTGGGCTTCCAGTCGTCGCAATTTAGCCTGGCCCTCTATTATTTCCAGCTTCATCGACTCGATCTTGTTGTGAAAAAAGGTATCGAGCGCCATGATGGCGGGTGGAAGAAACAGGGCGCGGTGTTTCTTCTCTGTCCGAAGATGATGGAAGACGCGGCGCTTGTATCGACGGCGAGGGTGGCAGAACCAGACGCAAGACGAGTTGTCGATGGAGGCCAAGTGAAGATGACGAGCGGGTGGAGGCGAGTCTTGCTCGTTGTTTTTGTGGCTGCTCGCGTCGTTGTCGTCGGGACAGGACCAAGCAAAGAGAGAGCAGCAGGAGAAAAAGCAAGTTGTTTGAGCAGTTCAGTCGACGAGATCTCTGTGCTTGGATGACGAGTCCGGCGCTGAGGTCAAGCCAAGGCAGATGCTGGTGATGTACACGGCCGGATCGCGTTAGACCAGGAATGCGAGCGACCAGCACCAACGTGAACCAGCACGTTCAGTGTAGCGACTCTGTTCTTTGTTGTTCTTTACGAGTCCACAGCAAGCGCACAACGTCTTCCTCCTTCTCTTCTTCCTGGCCTTGAATACCACATACATCGCGCGCAAGAAGCACAAGCAGAAGCTGTTTGGCCGGCGCAGCAGCAGCGTCGTGCGTCCGCGCGCAGCTCCAACGCCCCAAACATTTGCTAGGAAGAGCAGCACGTTAAACTCAACTTAGATGCGACCCCCAGCTCACTCTCCCCACTTGTGACCGTCAACTCATTTCCATTTTGTTCGTTCTACTTCCTCTTGCATGTGGCATCGCGAACGCTCAGCATTGTTTCATCTTGTTTTTATGTCGAACGATGCTCGCGTTCTCTGCTCTGCCGTCTGAGCCTCGTGACCAGCCACTGCGTACGCAGAAGTAAACAAGGTGACCATACTAGCTCTCCGACAGCTCCAACTCTCGTCTTTACTGCGTGATAAGACGTATCGCTGGCTTGTTGCTACAATCAGACGACGTCTTCTGCAGGTCTTCGATAATGTCGAGCGAAACATCGCCCACGAGGAGGAACTCCGAGATATCCAGGCACGAGCAGAGCTCTGGTGGTCCTCCTGATGTCTCGACGCCGTCCCAGAGCCAGAGCTCGAGCGCTCACTTCGGCTCCGCCAGTCAGATGTCGGACACTCCGCGAAGGAGACCGCCCGTTCTAGGATCCCAGGCTCAAGTCGAGGGCTACGGTAAGTTACGTACCATCCAAAGGTAGCTGTGCGACGATGTTTCTGTGCCTAGATCGCTGACCACGACTTCTGAAGGCACCATCAACACGAACCCACGCTCTTCGCGGACATCCCAGAGGCCCAAGCCATCCCGGCGTTCGACATCAACACACGTGCCTCACAAGGGCCAGGAATTCTCTGTTGACGACGACGAGGACGAGGTCGACGAGGAGCTTGAGCGCAAGAGGGAGCAGGAACGCGAAGAGAGGAAGGCGGCCAGGATTCAGTCCTTGCGCCGTCAAGCTTCTACCGTTCGACGCCGTCCTGCGGCTCAGGCACCTAACCTGGCCAAGGTTGACTCTGAGGGCGACGAGGACGGGGAAGGGGATCGAGCTGCCCCGGCAGCCGCATCTGCAGCGTCGGCGTCGGCGCCGACGTTGGCATCTGGATCGGCTCCTCCCGCAGCAGGCGACTTGCCTGTCTCGTCTGGCGAGGAAGTGACACTTCAAGGAGAAGAGTCGGCGGATATACTCGATGACTGTGTCGAGGATGAAGAGGACGATGAAGGCGCTGTCAGTGAGGCAGAAAGCTTCACGCTAAAGGACCGTCAAGATGCCATCAATGTCACGCATCCGTTCGGTATACGCATTTGGAAGCCTGCTCTATACAAGAAGGGCCGCTCGGTTCAGCGTAACGCCGAAGCTGATATCCACTCTACTCCAGGGGGCAATGTCAACGCATGGCTCTTCGTTTTTAACTACCTCTGGACTGTCTGCTTTGGCTGGTGGCTTGGCTTACTCTGCTTAGCTGGAGCATTGCTGTGTGTGCTCGTCAGTCTCGTGTCTGAATCCTGCATGGCCTATGCCGTCGTGCTCTGGGGATTAGGCCGCTATCTTATCTATCCTTTTGGCAAGTTTGTCACCCTGGTTCAAGACGAAGCGTATGCGGAGGAGGATGAAGGCGAGGGTCGAAGTATCAGCGAGTATGAGCAATGGCAGAGTGGTGACCTGGAGGAAGGTCGCCTATTCTTTGGCCCCGTCCAAGTCAGCCGATCGCTTATCGGGCGACGAAGAACGAGTGTCGAATCCGCCAGCGAAACCCAGAGCTTATTGGGAAGACACGGCCGCAATGCATCCACTGTCGCGGGTGGATCACGTACTAAGCGCAGGATGTTTGGTCGCGGCAAGTGGAACTTCGGTCGCATCGTCTTCTACATGTACTTCTACGGGCTGATCACTCCAGCGCTTATGCTCGTGTCGTGCATCTGCTGGTTCTTGGTCTTCTCCATCCCGATGGGCAAAGTAACTCTGCTACTATTTGATCACCTCCGTCGGCATCCTCTTGCTCTGTCCTTCCACGCCGCTGGCAAGGACGTCAGACACCCTGACGGTCCTCCTTCGTCCGTATTGGTCTGCACATACAGAGCCGCTGGCCTGAAGTATTGGAAGTACACTATAGACGGGACGAACATCATGCTCATCAATCTTCTAGCCATTGTGGTATTCACAATCTTCGACTTTTACGTCCTGAATGAAGCTTTGGGACTTCGGAGCCCAATCACGGGAGATGCGTTCATCTTCGTCACCGCGCTTGCATCCATCATGCCACTTGCCTACTTTATCGGACAGGCGGTTGCATCCATTTCGGCGCAGTCGAGTATGGGACTCGGTGCTGCGGTGAATGCCTTCTTTTCAACGGTGGTTGAAGTGTTCCTGTACTGTGTCGCACTGAAAGATGGGAAACATCAGCTTGTAGAGGGCAGCATTATTGGGAGCATATTTGCCGCCATACTGCTTCTACCAGGATTGTCCATGTGCTTTGGTGCGCTTAAAAGAAAGACACAGCGCTTCAATGTCAAATCTGCTGGCGTTACGTCTACCATGCTTCTCTTCGCCATGATAGGTGCCTTTTCGCCAACCTTGTTCTACCAAATTTACGGAAGTGTAGGTTACACTGCTGTTCCGGCAAAGAAAATAACAGTACTAACAGGATTTTCTTGACAGCATGAATTGAAATGCTCCGACTGTGATCCCGACGACAGGCGTTCAGAAGATCGAGATTGCCGTCGTTGCTTCTTTGCTCAAGTTCCAGCTGTGCACGACAGCTTCTATCAGGATGCGGTGCTTCCGTATATTTACTTCTCAGCTGTCACATTGTTCCTCTCGTACATCATTGGATTGTTGTTCACTCTTCGCACGCATGCAGCTGTGATTTGGAACACTGAGGTAGACGAGAAAAAGGGCGCCAGCATGGAAACAAGCCATACGTCCGCGTCAGCTGCGCACCCACATCCTGCGTCGGAAGGACTTGACAGGCTTGGATTGACACGGCAGACGACTGCTGGATCCCTGGATCGTGACGTTCGAAATTCGGCGCTGTATCAACGCATTCTAGGACAGTCCTTACGGCATGCAGGAGTTTCATCACCCACTGCTGATATCCCTGGGACGGTCAAGATGTCACGGCCAGGCCCGCCTTCGGCAGATGGGGAGCCAACTGGTGTCAAATCTCCGCACATTGTCCCGCCAAAGAGCAGAGATGGCGAGGCGCCTCCTGCCTTTCATCTTCACGGACTTTCCGACGCAGATAATCGGGCCCTCATTCGTGAAGTGGCGGAACTGGCTGCCACCGCAGCCACGGTTGCTGCTCGCGACGCCCAGACACGACAACCCCACCACCACCGCACTGGTACGGCCGGTCGACAGCATCGTTCTGCTCACGAGCAAAGTGCTCAAGATGCACGCATTCATGAGATGGGTGGGGCGCCGGAGATTGGCGGTCACGCGGCCTCCGGTGGGCATGATGCGCCGAATTGGGGTCGCTCTAAATCGGTCATCATACTGTTGGTTGCTACCCTCGCTTACGCGATTATCGCTGAGATCCTCGTTGACACTGTGGATTCTGTCCTGGACAACGTGGACATTGACGAAAAATTTCTTGGAATCACCCTCTTTGCTCTTGTACCGAATACGACCGAGTTCCTGAACGCAATCAGTTTTGCGATGAATGGAAACATTGCGCTAAGTATGGAGATTGGATCGGCGTACGCGCTTCAGGTGTGCTTGCTCCAGATTCCTGCGTTGGTGGCGTACTCGGCGATCTGGGGTAGATTCATCAATCCCGAAGACGTCATAGATCACACTTTTACGTTGATATTCCCTCAGGTACGAGAGATTCTCCGTCAAGTCGCTTTCTTTTCACTCTGGTTGGACTAGCTAACACGATGATGACAGTGGGACATGGTCACAGTAATCCTCTGCATTTTCCTTCTCTCGTACATGTACGGTGAAGGCAAGAGCAATTATTTCAAAGGGTCTATTCTGATACTCAGCTATCTTGTTGTCGTGCTGGGCTTCTACTTTTCGAGTTATGAGAACGGGGGAGTCGATGCAATGGACACGCTTGCGCTAGGGATCAGTCCACTCAGTCCAGCTTGGAGGTCAGTCAAGCAGCACGGGTTCGAGATGAGAGGACGCGAACTATAAGCACATTGTGCGACGAATGACAGCAAGGCATGTCATACTTTGTAGAATTAGGGTAAAAATTTTGTGAGGTGTAACCCAGGGCATGGCGCGGCGCAGAACGGATATAAGCTTTATTGGGCGTATGATCTAAAACAGGCACTTGGGCTGACAACTCATCGGGCTTTGAAATTCATTAATATCATTTCTCTATCTTGCTCTACGATGTTTCTGCGTAACATCTGTGTTGAGAAGTCGCTCCAGCGCTTTTTTATTCCCATCAGTCCTAGGCGCTTGGTGATTGCAAGTTCACGTAGGAGCTCCTAGTGTCGACTCGCGTACATCCGAGCCTCTCTGATGACAGGCGTCTCGTTCACGATGTCTCAAAGGACACCAACCGTTTCCACGGTCGAAAGTGGTCCCGATCACGTGGTAGTATGGCCGGAAAAAGAAATGGGTCAGAGGCTTTTGCTGATCTGAATGAATCGAGGCTGTCATGCCTCAGCAGGCTGGCGGTAGCTACGGCGGGGATTTAGGCCACGAGTTCTGGATCTCACGAAGCGGCGGCGCCGTGTCGACAACGGCGGAAAGACGTCGAGGGCAAAGTCGCGCTGGGTAGCGTTTTTTTGCTGGGTAACTCTTTCGACAAAGCAGCGCCCGCCTTCGAATCCGGCTTCTAGAAACCGGGGTCCCGCCAGCGTGCGGGTCCCACGCGCAATCCCGAGCTCTCCCGCGACGCAACGCAAAGGTCGAAGTGCGTCGCTCAGGAATTAGCACATGCTGATTGTCTCGGTCAAAGATGGTTTGTCCAAGCCCGAAGCTGCCAGACCAAAGTCGCCTGCAGCAGCCTGAGCCGCGTTCGAAGCAAGGCAGACCAAAGCCCACGAATGACGACGCGGGACTGGGCAGAACGTGCCCACGTCGATCTACGGCGTCTCGGCCGTCGAGATCGCGTCATGCAAGGGCCGCGATGTCGCACGTTGGCCTGTCGGGGCCCTATCTCTCCGCTTGGGAAGCGGGCTTCTGCTTTTTTTTTTCCCTCCCCCAAGATCCATGATGTCTACACTTTGCCCTCCTGGCCGTCGGCGCCCTTTTTGACTGGCACGTCGCTTGGCACTTCCGCCCCTGCTGCCCCATATTCCCCATATTCCTGACGAGCTGACCTACGCTTCCTCGACGTCTCTTTGCGCCGCGTTTTCATCCTTACCGAAGAGTCCCACCTCTTCAGACCGATAACGAGTCTCGCCATGGACAATAAGCTGCCGCTGTCGCAGATTCTTCCTCCGCTCGTGTTTGGCACCGCGACCTTCAACAACCAGTACAACGTCGACCCTCTGGCGCTCGATACTAATGGCCTCGTCGAGCAAGCGCTTTCACACGGAGTCCGCGCGTTCGACACGTCTCCATACTACGGTCCATCTGAGGAATTGCTTGGTACGGCTCTATCCACCAGCTTTGTTCGTCGGCACTTCCCGCGCGAGGACTACTACATCCTCACAAAAGTTGGGCGCATCGCGAGCTCCGAGTTTGACTACAGCGCGGACTGGGTCCGCTTCAGCGTCAAGAGAAGCTTGGAGCGCCTGAAGACGAGCTATCTTGACGTCGTGTACTGTCACGACGTCGAGTTTGTGAGCAAGGAGGAGGTCTTGGAGGCCGTGCGAGAGCTGCGGAGAATCCGCGACGAAGACGGCACGATCAAATACGTCGGCATCAGCGGGTACCCTGTGCACACGCTTTGCGAGTTGTCCGAGCAGATCTTGCGGGAGACCGGCGAGCCGCTGGACATTGTGCAGAGCTACGCCAACTTCACGTTGCAAAACACCATCCTCGCGTCGCAAGGCATCGCGCGATTCAAGGCAGCCGGCGTCGACGTTGTGACAAACGCCTCGCCTTTGGGCATGGGCCTGTTGCGAGCTCAGGGTGTACCCATAGGCGGTCAAGGTGACTTCCACCCTGCTCCTCCAGGGCTCCGAGCTGCGGTAAAGCGCGCATCCGACTTCGCCGCAGAGTACGGCGAGAAGCTGGAGGTCATTGCGATCCGCTATGCGCTGGAAGAGTGGATCTCCGTCGGCTCGCCCGTCGGCTCTCATGGCGATCCAGCCTCGGGCGTGCCTTGGGTGCCGGAATCAAACGATCAGGTCGGCGGTCGGCGCCTTGGAGTGTCCGTCATGGGCGTCAGCAAAGCTTCGGAGCTGGAGAAGACTTTGATGGTGTGGCGCAGCATCCTGGACGGACTGGAGGACGGACAGACGATAGCGACGCAAGCGGGCCGATGGGACATGGCTCACGAATGGAGTCTGAACAGGAGACAAGCCGTGCTTCTGTTGGCAAAAGGGGTCAGAGATCGACTGGGGGAATGGGTGGATTATACGTGGGAGAGCCCTGGCAAAGACTTTGTGAATGTGCGGCAAAAGAAGCAGCAGCAGAAGCCACGGCCGGAGTCTGCACCGTGGCCAACACCAAGCGCAAGCCCGGAACCGACAACGCGCGAAGACGAGGCCAGGCCGCGGCTTGAGAAGACTCTGCCGATTCGATAACCATCGCAAGATCGGGCACGCCATGCCATGGGCTTTTCTCTCCGCGTGTCACACGCACGCGCGCGCCGCGGTTTTCGGCACCTACGACGCGTTCCACGATCTCCTTTTGTCTTGCACGTTTGACGATGACATAGATAGATATGCCTTTCATACGCTGATGGACCATCCGCCTGGTCAATGCGCGGTGGATAATTTTGGGAGAAATGAATGTCCCTATCCAGGGCTTTTTTTTTGATCTCGGCCAGAACCTTGACCATTACACTGGTCGTAGCTGTCGTTGGCGTTGTGCTTCATGCTCGTTTCGAACTTTTGAGTTCTCTTATGCACACGCTGTTGCTTCCTAACGGGCCGTGATCTTAGGTACCCTTCGGCTCAAGCTAAACTTGATGAAAACCCAGACCACGTTGGTACTGCAACTTAGCAACTGGTCGCGCTTGAATTGTTCAACAAGGAGCTTGACGAGCATCGCCAGAGTCAACCTTTCAGTTGCCTGAGTTTTGGCCATTTGGTAATCTGCAGGATGATCGAGAGGTCGCGTTTCTCTTTATTTTTTTTTTTCGAGCGCGTTTTAAACAAAGCAGAAGAAGTAACGTTTCGCTGCAAGATTGACCCAGTAACAAGCAGGGGAAGCTCGACTGTCTTAGTAGACAGCGATGTTGAGAATGGAAGACAGGAAAAGTTCGAATTGATGGAAATTGACAAAACTGAACATGTCCATATGCCTCGAACGTAATTTGAGGGTCGGCTCGATGTTAAAGACGAAGGAACACTACTCGATATTGAATTTCAGCTTGTCATAAATGTAGGTACATCTTCGTGCCGTTCTCGAGCATGGACACCGTATGGGCTTCATGAGTACAGCCATGGTGTTGCAGAGAAAGTCGTACACATTTATCTCTGTACTTGAGTTTCGTTGCTGTCTGAACGAGTTCTTGAATACCAACGGCGCCTTCTTACTTGCTTTGTTCAGCCTCGCCAGCATTTGCTCGCTACCTACCCGGCACCTCTGACCATGCCAGTGCAAGACGATTCAGTGCACGTAGATGTCAACTCGGAGAATTACGAACGGTAAGGTATCTAGTCTAAGCGGCGGCAGGTCGTGCAATGCAAAAGTCTACAGTACTCGCAGCACATGCGCTCGTTCGCTCGACAAAAAGGAAGACGTCACCACCTTTCTTTTTCGCCTGGCTCCGATGGTAGCTCGATCGGGACTGGGGGGATGTGGGGTGGCGCGTTGGCCCTCCAGATCTGGCGGCAATCTCTTCCCTTGAGCGTAGCATAGCCTCGACGAGCATAGTATTCCCCAGCTTTGGTGCTGGGTTCCTTGTTCGCGTTCGTGTCCTCGTCAGCAAGAAGTACGAGGTTCGAGGTCGAACATCTTGCGCACGTGGAGACGAGCGCACAGAAGGGGCTTATCCACGATACGTAAGCAACCAAACGAGGAGGTCAGTCAGTCAGCCTGCTCCAGGTGTCATAGTCTCACGGCCAAAAGCGCTCTCGTCGTGGCCAGGCGTCCCTTTTTGGGGGTCAGGCCGCGTGGTCAGCATGTCACGCACGCCAATCTAGATAGAACGAATGGAGCGAAAGGAGAGGGTTGATAAAAAAAGAAAGGACGGCCACAAATCAGAAAGCCGGCAGCGCAGGTGGCCGATGATTTGTTTCGCGGCATGCAATAGGCCTGTTTCGAGCTCTGGGGCGCCAGCAGTGGTCGGTGAAGCAGAGCCGGTTTCATGGCTGCGTACGCAATCGAATGCCGTCAAGAGGGCACAGGCCGTGCCCGTACTTGTTCCCTCCGTCGTTTGATATTCGCGGTGGTGTGTGGGTGCGATGGTAAGCAGGCGAGGCTATGCAATACGGCGCCTGCGCAGCCCCGTCGTGAATCGCAGCGAGCAGAACGAGCCGGGATGGATCTGAGCCGAACGCCAATCGATACGGCTCGCGTGCCGCCCGTGCTATCGCTTCTCGATTTCCCGGCCCCATACGGCTGGTGGTGCAGCAGCTCGAACAGGCCCACGAGTCGTTGCGGGAGCGTCGAATCGGTTCAAGAGTCTCGCAGCGCCCTCCTCGCAGCGCATGCCACCTGGACACGCCTGAGATATATCGCCCGGGCCGGCGGCCAACGAGCTTGCACCGCCGATGGCACGACTGTCACGGGCGCGCAGGAGGAGGATGGCTCCCCAGCCGGATGCGGCGGATGGTCTCCCAGGCAAGAAAACGTCGGCGGGGTGGACAAAAGCACGCCGCTCTTTGTCCGGCCGGCTACGCTCGATGCGGCGAAGGATGGGGGCTGGGGCTTCTGACGGTGACGGTGACGGGCTGGCCTTCGCCATGCCGGCCGAGGAAATGCTTGACTTGCTTGCTAGCGGGCGTGTCCAGCTCGATGCTGCGGCGCTGGCAGGCCGTAGCCAGCCGGTCGTCGACACTTGCGCTGTGCCTTGGCCTGCGTCCTTTTTCTTTTTTGGGTCGCTCTCGCTCCCCGCCTCCGCATCTCAGCTTTTTCTCGCTTTCAACCTTCCCCCCCCCCCCCCACACACAACCCAATCCCAAAGGACCCGCGCAATCCCGCCTCAGACAGGGAGAAAACCGGATGGAATGAGGTCGCACGACGCTCGTTCCTCTCGTAACCGCGTCGCCCTTGTCCCTCGCCCGGCGTGTCCTCTGTCCCGCCGCGGTTAATCCGGGATGTTGCTCTCCTCCTGCTCCTCCACATCCTCCACCACCGCGTCGTCTGCTCGGGCCATCCTCTCCGCCATCTTGCTCGCCTCGCTCGTCGCAGCGCAGAGCCTGAACGCGTCAGACACCTTCCAGTCGTCCTATCCGACCGGCAACGATCAGATCCAACTAAGCCCTCCCATCGGGTACGGGCCGCCCAGTGCTCAGAACAACACGCCGCGCATCAACCTGGTCAATCTGACTGTGAATGCGGTCACTAAGCTCAGCGTCAGTATTCAGCTTGCCGTCTTCCGCTCGTGCCATGTTTCGTGTCTCAGACTGCACTGTCTCCTTGTGTCTCCCCCTTCTCTCCACCACCCCCCCCGGTGCATGTCGCATGCCCTAACGTCGCGCACCGTTCCCTTTGATCGTCGTCAAACCGCCGTTTGCTCTCCGTCTCTTTGTCAACCGCTGTGGCTGATAGATGTCTTGCACGTAGGCGGAACAAGGCGAGAACGTCGCCATCCACGAGAACATTGTTTTCTTCCCTCCAAACTCCTCCTTCTCCATTGCTCAGTTCTCAAACAGCAATATCGCCATCATCTGCTGCGACGAGGCTCCTGGCTTTCTGCAACCGATTCAGGCCGTGCAAGATGCTGTATCACAGTCCAGCCCGGCCATAGTTCTGTACAGTACAAGGCACGACTTTTGCAACTTGGAGACGGGCGGCACTATACCTTCGAGCTACGCCATCTACTCCACAAACGATCCCAGCGCGTGGGTGACGATCGAGGCAGCGAGGGCGGAGTTCGCTTACAACGGACAATATCCGACGCAGTGGTTGATCGCACGTAAGACCGTGCTGGACAACATCACCATGTCGAGCAACAACGGTAACAGCGGAGGCTACGGCTTCGGCAGCGCAAATGGCTCGCCGTCCACGGCGGTGGCCATGATTATCTTGTACAGCATCACAGGCGTCATCACGGCACTGTTCCTCATCATCATCATTACCGGTGCCGTTCGGGCACACAGACATCCAGAACGCTACGGCCCACGCAACGTTCTGGGAAGGCCTCGGCAGAGCAGAGCCAAGGGTCTCGCGAGGGCAATGCTCGACACGATACCGATCGTCAAGTTCGGTGAGAGGGACGGAGAGCGACCAAAGCCCACAGACGTGGAAATGACGAGCGCGGAGCCGAGGCCATCCTCCGAGCATCACGATGCAAACGATGCGACAAAGGACCAGAAGGCGACGACTCTTGATTCGTCTCAGCCGGTTGCCGCGACCGAAGCTGGTGACTCCTCAACCGCTCGTGACCCTGCCGCGGCTGCGACCACGCCCAGCACCGCCGAAGAGTCCGTTTCCGAGCCGGCCAACGACGAAGACGCGCCGACTTGCTCAATCTGTACCGATGAATTCGAGCGTGGTCAAGATGTCCGCGTGCTACCGTGCGAGCATCAGTTCCATCCGGCTTGCATAGATCCATGGCTTCTGAACGTCTCTGGCACGTGTCCTTTGTGGTACGTCTTGAACCTCTTTTACAACCCCTCCAAAATGTCATTTTAAGGCGCTAACGTTCTTTCTTTTTTTTTTCCACAGCCGAATCGACCTCCGCCCAGCGAACGAGCAAGAAGGCGAGTTTGGGCGACCGTCCGTGGAAGGCCCACTTCCACCACCTCTCGAAGCCGACGGCCCGGACTCTTCGGGCCTGCACCCGGGGAGCAATCGAGCATCCCGACGCCTGTCCGGCTTCATCACCGACATCCTGAACCCGAGCAGGATGCAGTCCGCGTCGCGCGAGGAGCGCATCGCGGCTCTTCGCCGCCTTCGAGAGCAGAGGGCGCAGAGCGGAGCCGAAGAGGTCGAGACGAGGAGGAGAAGAAGGCTCACGGCCAGGCTGGGCGAGACGTTTGGAGTGAGAACGAGAGCGAGGGGCACAAGCCCTCCCGCCTCTGCAACGACAGGAGCCTCCTCTTCGCTGGCAGTGCCTGAGCCGCAGTCTGCACCGGCACGAAGCATCGCAGAGGAGAGCATACCCGAGGAGGGCCCTACGACGAACATGAGCGGCGCTCAGCAGCGACAGCAGTGAGACGTCGAAAGCGACCTGCTGCCGATACGAATTGTCACGAAGAAAGCCATTAAAAAAAATGACGAGACGACGGTTGAAAGAGCAAACAATTTCTTTCCTTTCCTTTTTTTTTTTCTTCCTACCATCCTTTTTTTTTTCTGGTTTTTTTCCTGTGGGAAACTGGCAAAACATCCTGGGAGGTCGGATTGCGTATCCCAAGCATACGGTCGGAGAATTCTTCATCTTCAACTGAAACCAAGCGCATCAAGTGTCACGCGACTCTTGTGTGTTAGTGTGTGTGTGTGTGTGTGTGTGTGTGTGTGTGTGCGTGTGTGGTCCACGACGGCATCGGTTTCGGTGTTTCGGGAGAATTAGATTGGGAGAGGTCACGCAGCAGCAGGAGGGGGGAAAAGGAAAAAAAAAAAAAAAGACCGGTCCTTTCAGCATCTGTGTTGTCGATCGAGGTTTATTTCATTTTTATATATTCTGGGTTGGATCGTTCTGTCGTAAATATGTACGGTGTACAGTATACCAGCAAAGCTGTAACGCACAGTCAAACAGCAATGTTCCTCCTATCATTACAACGATCGTGCTTGAATTTGGGCATCGAGACCACTTTTACGTATACGTCCTGCATGCCTTGGGAGAAAAGCGAATTTTGCGAATCTGTTTTTTTGGTGCAATTTCTGATCCAAGGTTTGCTCTAAATTGAACCCCTAAACGGTGTATTATATATACATATATATTTATGCCAGTCTTCCAAACTCCGAGCAAGAGAGGGAAATCGTTGACCTTTATATCGTGACCTGCGTATCCACGCGTTTATCCGTGCCAAATAATACTTGTCGTCTGTTGTCTTCCTCGTCCATGCTCAGCCATACCGGGAACACCAGTTTCACAAACCCAAATCCAGTGCGAACATACTCACTCCGTGTCGCCAATGCTAACCTTGATAAGAGGAACTTCAGTCGGCCTGTCCGTGATTTTCCGACCACGCTACTACGGTTCTCACATGAGCAGCATCATTTCTTCGCCTGCCCACGAAGAAGATCTGCACTGAGCCCACAAGAGCGACCAGCGCAGAGGTCCACCAAGAAACGCCGGCAAAATGCACCCGACTGCCGACGCCATAGAAGAAGCCTGATATTGGACTGGCAAGCATGCGTGCCACGCCACCTGCAGACGCTGCCAGACCATTGATCTTGCCGAGATGGGCAGTCGGTGCCGCTTGCTTGATCAAGATGAGCAGCAAAGGGTACACTAGAATTGCGAAGAAGTTTCGCAGAGAAAGTGCACCGTAGATCCATAGATGGATCCACCTCTTGGGAACCAAGATCAAGAACGGCATGACGACATAGGCCAAAGGGTGAGCAACGGTGACGAGGACTGTCAGGGGCCATATTCCGATCCAGGTCGCCAAGTATGGAAAGACGACACCTTGGATGAAGAGAGCAATGATGCCGTTGACGCTCATGATGACGCCAACATCCTGCGTGGACAGTCCAAGACCGCCTGACAGCCTCGACGCTGGTTCTTGACGCTCATCCTGGAAAAAGATGGGCATCAACGTATCAAACGTCATTGAATGATATGTGAAGATGGCCAGTGCCACGGTCAGCATGACAACGTTCCTCGTGAACACAGTCTGCTCATCAGGAGTGGACGAAGTACTGTTGCTCGTGTGTGCCGTTGCCGACTTTTGCTGCTGGCTTTGGGTGATGGTGACTGAGTCAAAGGTACCATAGCTCTCCGCAGACAAGTCAGCCGCTGGGTTGTTGACAGCGCCCGATGCAGGAATCAGCGGTCTCGCAGCAGAACTAGGGTAAGATTCACTTTGTTTCTCGCAAGGTTGCAAGCTGGGATGCGTCTCGACGAGGAAGAAGAAGGCAAAAGCGACGGAAAAGGCTAGAAACCCTGCACATACAAGATTTGGCAGTAGAAAAGGGTATCGCGCAAAGACACCTTGAGGAGAGAATACGTCTGGGTAGTGGAGAGCAGGCTCCGACAGAATGCCTCCAATCATAGGTCCTGAATGCATGTTAGTCAATTCAAGAGATAAGATGAAGCAGGAGTGCATGTACGAACCTAGGATTGTGCCAATGCTCCAGACGAATGGGAGGACAGCATAGGCTTTTGCTATTTGATGTACTGTTTAGCACGCAACTCCAAGAATTCGGATAATGTCTAAAGAGATTGACTTACGTTCATGCTTTGGGTTCGTGATTAATTCACCAACACAGGTCTGAATCACGCCGACATTGCCGTTTAGGAGCCCCCCCAGAATGCGGCCAGCCAGCGCCATCCAGAAGTTCTGGGCGAATCCTACGACAAAGAGCGAGATGCATGTTCCAATACATCCCGAAATGAGCACTTTGCGGCGTCCAATACGATCAGACAACGAGCCCCAGAAAAACCCAGTCAAGGCCTCTGCTAACGAGAAGGCGGCAATAAGAATGCCGGTCCAGAAGGCAGCGTCGTCGTGAGTACCTGCATCGTAGTGGAGTACGAGTTTCCAAGCGTATGGAAGTATGCTTGTGATTGCGATAGGTTCTGCTAGCCTGACAATTGCTGAAAGGGCACGTCGTCAGTCGCATTTGCTGCGAGCAATCGGCCTTTTTGTTTTCAAGACGCGGGGCTTACCGAGCACGAACAATTGCCAGGCAGGAAAATCGTCTGAATCCCGGATAGATCTTCCCTGTTGTGTTAGAGCCATGCTCGAATGGTTTTACTTGATCTCATACGGCAAACCGGAGTCGCAATTAAGCGCTCTCTTCAAACCAGACGATCTCTAGTGAACGAAATGATCAGAATGGCTTGAAGAGCCCTTAACGATTGCGATCGGCCAGATCTGCACACACGGGCTAGAGGTAGTCTGGATGCCAGAAACGAGGTTTCACGCCAGAGGAGCTGAGGGTTTCGAATGGGTTGACGTGACGAGAGAGGCTGGATGTTGAACAAGCAAAAGAATCTCGAGGAAAAGCCGGGTGATTGTTGAGGGCGAAAGGTCGAGAACCATCTGGACCAATGAAGACGTCGAGTTCTGCCACTTCAACCACGACGGCCTCGCGGCTCACCGCCCGGAGGACCCTGGATTAGGGTCCCAGGCGATCTTGAACGTCCATTGAGTTCAACCCCTCACATGAACATCGCCCACATAAAGCGCACACCCCCTTCTGTACAAGCAGCGATACAAAGCCATCGTGTTGCGGTAAAGGAGGGTATCACAAGAAGAGTGTCCCTGCATGAGCGTCCATTTCCTCCCCTCCTCCCCGCGAGGTTATTTTGCATTTTGATGAGCAATGTGACGGTCAGGTTGATTTGAATTGCCCGCTCGGTACGGGCGTGCAGATCCAATGCTGGTCCAGTCACATGAGCCTGAATAGTGTGTTGATCAGTTAACTTCGCTCTCCAAGATTGTTGCAGACGATCTAATCCAAATGTGAACTTTCCCATCCTCCCCACAGGGCTATCGTGCGGCTCGTACAGTAGCAGATCATGCATGATCTACGCCGTGGACCGACTTCTTACAAACTCCCTGCAGTATCTTACGACGTTCCTAGAGAAATGGAACATTGCTTGATTCGTCGGGTTTGTATCCCGATCGGATGCATGCAGATGGGCATCTTTCGCTCAGGATTGCTATCCTGGGATCGTGGGAAGAGCAGAGCAGGGGCCGTCACCACTCTGGCGGGACGCTTGGTCCGGTTTCCCTCATTTTTTTTCCGTTGCGGCATACGTATATGCAAGACTTGTCATATAGAAAGCATGCAGCTCCCAAAGAAAAAGGGGTCGGCCGCCCAAGCGCCTTTGTCATCAGTCACGTCGATAGTGTGGCCGACTAATGTTGCAATGCCATTTGTCGCTGCAGCCATCCTTTGGGCTTCTTAGTGACGATTGTCCCGTCTCCGCGACAAATGTCAGGCAGCCAGGGAAGTCTCGAACTATCTCGCATGCTGTACGCTCGTCAAGTTGAGAAGATATTCCGAAAAGGCACTCGATGCTCTAGTGTAGCTCCTAATGTTTCCAGTCTTTTCAGGTTTCCGACACCCTCGGTGCGGTTCGCTTGAGGTCTGCACCTCTGGCGTTTGGCAGTCGACTCTACGCTGAAGTGGGTTATTCCTGACCACCTTAAGATAACGCTCGCTACGTTTGTACTGGCAAGTCCTAGCTAATTGATGTACTGGAATGCCTTGATTCGTCTTCTTTGGCTTGCGCAGTCGAAGGGGCCCTGCGTGACTTGCTTAAGACTGTATGGATGTAGTACAGCCTGGACCCGGACATGTTGGCGAAGATGTGCACTCGATAACGCGCGGCACGAAAACGATAAGACCGTACATACGCAATGGAACCCAAAAAAAACACCAAAAGAAAAAGGGTAGAGAGAGATTAAAAGGAGACAGGTTAAGGATTTTCAAAAAAAAAAAAAAATCATTCATGACGGTATCATTCTCATGCCATTCATACTACACATAGCCTTGCATCCCTTATAACATATCTTCCCGCGATTCGTATGCGTCATGGAGCGGTGCAGTGAGCAATGCACCTCTTTAGAGCCGGGGCTATTCCAGATCTAGGTGGACGTTGCTGACGTCGCGGTTGTCGGCGCGGCAGCGGAGGTGTCGTCAGGATTCTTTGCGCACTTTGCGCAAGCGCACTTACCCGGTTCGCATGGGCATTTCTCGGCCGTAGCACCGCAGTTGCACTTTGTCTTGTCGGTGCCGGGAACGACTTCGAGGCCAGCCTCCTCGACGCCGACCTTGGATGTCTTCGCATCTGGGTTCTTGGCGCAGTTGCTGCAAGCACATGTCCCGGGTGCACAGCCACACTTGCCCAAGGTCGCGCCGCAGTTGCAGGTGGTGCGTGATCCTTCACCCGTAGGCACAGGCTCGCTCTTTCCCGCTTTCAAGTTGGCCAGGTGGCGAGCTTCGTTGTGAACATCCATGACCTGCTTGTTGCCCTCCTCGTAGAAGGACCTCAGCTTCTTGCCCGTGGGCGTGTTGATGGCCTTGTCGAAATAGCTGGCCAGCCCGCCCCACGCCTGGTTGGCCTTTGCAGAAACGCCGTACTTCTCGTCAGCAGCCTTGCTCTTTTCAGTGACCTTGTACTTTGCGTCGAGGCTGTTGAGGTAGGTCATGAACTTCTGGGAGACGCCGTGCTGCTGGTCGAGCATGATCGCCTTCTCGATCGCCTTGTCGCTAATCACGTAGCCGTGCGCAAGGTATTCGGCCAGGATACGGGACCTTGGCTTCTCCTCCTGAGGGACATCGTGCTCGTCATGGTGAGCGCCAGTGGCGGAGCTGGGAGCTGCTGTAGAGCTTCCAGAGGTGACGTGGATTTGAGCGGGGCCCAATTGAGTGCTGTCGAGAAGAAGGGCAGTTTTCGCGGCCGTCTCCTTCTCGAAGGTGACGGTGGCATGCTTTGTCGGAACCGCCTCTGTCTTTGTGTCTTCTTCGATTGTGAGGTCGCTGATCTTGCCACAGAAGCTGAAGAAGTCGCGGATGTCCTTCTCGCTTGTGGAGCTGGAGATTCCGGAAACGTGTACAACGGTCGACATTGTTGATGTGAGAGATATGAAGTGATGAGTGTGCGGTGGTTGTGTTTAATCGATATCTATATGTGTGGCTGGATGTAGCTGCCTGGAGTGTTCTGCACGTTGCTGGTGGGTTGATTTCCTTGTTGTAAGTCGAGTTACGTGGTGCGACTGCTAGTTACGTCATGTCAGGTGTGGCTGTGCAGGTCGAGGAGGGGTTGCGCCACCCTCCTCTTTTAACGAGGAGGAATTGTGCAGCAGCATCTAGAAACACCGTGTAGAGCGCAACAAAGTGCCACAGTGGACAAGTCAGCCACAAGCACTGTACACGTAGGGGTTACATACAGGTGGAACACACTGATTTTTTGTTAAGGGCGATGTGGGTGGGGAGGATGGTCGGTCGGCACAGTATTGTTTTGTGGATACAAGCAGCGAGTGATGGACAGCGGTTGGTGGGCAAGTCTAGTGGGGTGGACAATGGAGCAGGTACCACAGTGGCTAAGATAGCAGGAGCGGATAGCGGGTAGTGGGTTGGTTTAGTGGGTGGGTTTAGTGGATGGTCCCTAAAAGATAGGGGGCACCGGGCGGGTGGTAGTGGTGGACAGACGGTGGACCAAGAGGTGGGCGAGACGAGGCTCCGTCGACGACCAGCGTGTGGTAGCAGCAGCTATCAATAATGGGCATCACGCAAACAATGCGACCAGTCACTATCACCTGGATTGCAACGTAGGGGAGTTTTCCACAGCGCTTCCAACCCTGGGACCTCTCGGCTGGGTCATGCTTCCTCCGTCGCTGCGCGTTTGGCGAGTCTTTGCGTCTCCTCCACAGTCCAGCCCGTTCGCTTCTCCTTTCTGATCTCTTAACTCGCACCGAAAACTCATAGAGGAATCATCATCATCATCATCGTCGTCGTCGTCGTTGTCGTTGTCGTCGTCTTCGCATATCTCTCTTTATTTCTCTTCCTCCCTCCCTCTCTTTCCCTCCCTCTCGGTCTCTTCTCACTCAAATCCGTCTCGCGCCTCGGTAAGTTAGCAGAACTTTCTTCTGGACGCGTACACGTCGGTTCACAGAGCAGGCGTTGTGGCCCTATCCGCTCCGGCGAATCGCAGCTTTTCTATGCTTGCTTTTCCTTCGTCTGCAGTTCTTGCATGCGTCGCCATGTGCAGACTTTGTTCGTGCTCACGATCGCGCGCAGTGCGGCTAAGGCGCTCCGAGAATCTCCTGCCTTTTTGCTCGCGTTGCACGAACTCAGTCTTTTGCCGAATCGTGTTCGATCTGCGTGCAGAGCTGCTGCTTCTCTCCTGCAGCTGACTTGCCGTACTCCTTTCGGCCTGTTGCTGGCCTCCTCTTCCCTTGCCTGCGCCTTGCTCTGAAGCATCAAAATCTCAGCACATTCTCCTTTTCTGGGCACTGGCAGCCTGCATCCTCTGTTCGACATGCTATTCGCGCGCCTGTAAGTTATGCATATGACATGTATATCCTCTCCGCCGCCCACCAGAACAAGAGCCATGTACAGAGTATTAATAGTCTATGTGCACCAACCGTTTCCTCGGGACGAGGCCTGCCGACGCTCGCCTGGTGCTGGCGAAACCTCTTAGTGTTTCCTTTGATCTGTGGACTTGATCTTTGCCAGCATGTGATAGGTTCGCCCTGGTGCACTAGAACCGTTTGACCATTGCTGCTGTCAGGCAGCCCAGATTCTCTGAAGGAACCCAATGAGAAGCAGAGCGTAACGTTGGCGTCGGCCACATACGTAGTTTGGAAGTGCGTCCAAGCGGTTCCGCTTCCACAGACCATACCGGAAGTAGAAACACGATTGGAAGAACGCCTCTTTACCGCCTTGGTCATGCTCGACATTTGGTCCAGAGGATCATCTTTCCCCGCATGTAGTTTCGTATTCTTAAGAGTTGCGGATGCGCTCTCAGACGTGTCATACTGTTCTCGAGGCGATGTCCATGTATGGCTTTGGTGAAATAGAGAATGAGGGAGTTTGCCGTGATACATTGGCAAGTTGATTGGTACGCTGGTCCAAGTGCGTGCCACGCTCCACGCTTCCTGCACAGCAGCACGGCTGACATCGACTCTACCGACAAGTGTCGAACGCGGCGCCAGCGTGTTCAGACATAAAGACGATGACGGAGCCGATGATATCCTTTCATCCGCCGTCGAGCTCGCGTTCAGAGCGGAACACGTCAAATCCCAGGAGGCCAGCCTTGCTCAATCTACACCGGCTTACGGCCAGGGCTCATCGTAGCTGTGGAAATGACCCTGATCTCGGGGGGAGAGCTATCTTCGATGCGTTACCAATGGGAACACATCAAGAATCTTTTCGCGCCATTCTGATTCCCTGCATCATCTGTCCCCCTACACACAAGAGGATTGCGTCTTGCAGAGAGCGGACAGGGGAATATGGTCTAGCGCCACACACTAGTGAGGATAATGATATGGTCTTTGCGATGCATCAGGAGCTTAGCTACAGACAAACATATGCTTTCGCCCAACCTACGTTCTATTTTACTTTACTTGAAAAATAGTATGTGCGATCTATTCTTCGAACACCAAAGGAGCATGCGTCCCCGCCACCCCCCCTTGCCCGATTTTGATTGCTGGACACAGGGTTTCCATTCCTCTCGCAGAGCACAAAATACAGCAATTTCGCCAGGCAAACTGACCAATTTGGCTTTTCGGTAGCTTCTGCTTCAAAAAGGCTCGGACTGCGCTCAGAACCAATCCGCAAAAAACTTATATCGAGGCTCTCTCGCTTGGGTTGGCACTTCCCGTAAACTGAAGAAATACTCGCCTTCAAAACACGCCCCATATATAGGCCTTTCACACATACACACACACACACACCCCTTCCGCTCTCCCCGTGGACCACATCTCCATCAAACTCTCCGATATCCCCACATCTTTGACGAGATACACGGAGATATGCAGCGACAAAGGCCTGAGGACCTTTCCTTCCCTGGTCCCGAGTCAAACGATGTCTCAGACGGCAGCGCATCCAGACGAGAGGCCTCCAGCGTACGTGGACGCGACGATTCAAGGACCAGCTCTGGAAGGAGAGAGGTGGTTGCGATGGCCTGCCAGCCATGTCGCAAACGCAAGACAAAGGTAATCCCCCAAAGAAAACTCCATCCTACCCCTTCGACGCTCGGCCTGCTGTGTTTGTTGCTAACGGGTGTCCAGTGCGACGGCCAGCGACCCACGTGCTCGGCATGTGTGCAGAGGGGCCACACGAACTGCTTCTACGACTCGAGCAGCGACATGCGAAGGACTTCGGCCTTGAAGAAGAGGATAGACCAGCTGCTCGACGACATCACCAGCCTGCGGAACATCATCCTCTCCATCTGTAGAAACTACAACATCCCGCAGGACCCGGTCATCATGCAGCTCATTGAACAGACGCTGTGCCACGGCAAGTGGTCCTACCTTCCCGAACTGTCTCGCGTGATCGAGCAGCACGCTCAGTCGGCGAGGCCGTCGGTTCAGACGCCTCAGTCCATGGACGCAAACGGCCCGCTTCCGCTGCCCCTGAACAACTACCAGCCGCTGCAGCGGTCGCTGTCTTATCCGAACACTTCGTATCCTCCTCCCGTTGACCAGAGCACCACGCAGTCTTTCTCGGCCGCCGTGCCCCCGCCCGCTTGGTCCCCCATAGACATACGCGCCACGCCGACAGTGTACGCGGACGTCGGCCAATCGGGCTCCTATTTTACGACGAACTGTTCATATCGTCCGGCGCAAGCGTACCCCGTGTCAAGTAACACGTACTAGGGAGAGGGGGCTTTTAATATCACGTCTCTATCTTTTTTTTTTCTTTTTTTTTTTCTTTTTTTTTGCGCCCCTTTTTTCTTTGTAGAGATTCAAGGTTTCCGCAGGCTCGATACCAAATAGTAAAAAATGACCTCAAAAAGGCCGTTATTCGTTTCACGAAGCAACAGAGCCGGTACACAAAACATTCCTACCGGGGGGAGAAACGATGCTCGGATTTGCATGATACCCTTTTCCACCCATTTCAAGCCTGCAACCTCGCGAGGGCCGGTTGCGGAAAGACAAGTGCCGAAGGGCAGTTGGTTTGGACAGACTACAACAACACAACACCTGGACTTGCCGGCTACTTCCTTTGTCGTGATCGCGCCATGCTTTACTTTGGGGGTCATTGGATCGCACATTCTTGTATCTAGGCCAAACACGATTAGAGAGTAGAAACAGGCGAGTTGAAAATTAAGGATGTATCGTAAACGGCGCTCTCCTTACGAGCGGATATGCCAAGAAGACGCGGTGGCGTAGATTGCGCCCTCCAGCTTGCGTGTGTTTCCCAAACCTACTTTTTTTTTCCCATTTTTTTTTCATGCATAACATACTGCACCTGCAGGGCATACGAGGTGCAAGGGATCCCTTACCCTGCATCCCCGCCCCGTGATCAACGGCATACTTTAACTTCATCTACAGTAGGCAGATCACAGACTGGCCAGGTTCCGACAGAGAGGCTGTCTAGTACCTATGCAGGCAATTTAGCACGAGATCGACAAAATCTACCCCCGCTCAGCCGGAGTACCGTACTGTTTGTGAGATTCTCTAATATAAGCGACGATCAAAGGACGGGCCGTTGCAGGGTGACGGTGCGAGATTTGGCGCCCAGCTCGGACCTCGATCCGGTAGACCTCATTGCTGGAAACGTTGGACGGCCCTTGGTCTCGGCGACCGTGGACACATCTTTTTGGGTGTGCGCGATTAAGGCCTCGGTGCTTGCTCTCGCGCGGACTCTGAGCGGGTAGGGACAGTGTCAACAAAGGCCTGCAGACCTTTTGTGCCGTCATGGATCGCGGTGTGAATTCACTGTCAGGCCCATGTCTCTTGGCCGCGACAGTCTCCATACCGCCATTTGGACGATGCGTCTTTGCCGCCCTTCGCCTGAACTACTGTATAGCTCTCGCACCCGTGGCCTCCATGGAAGGAGGGACGTAGAGATATTGAGAGCCACCAGTGGGGCCACATGTTTTTTTTTTTCCCTCCCCTGGTCATAAGGATCTGGTGTACGCATGATTCACGTAGCCCTGTCGGCAGTGGCAATTCGATGGTTGAAATGGGAGGTGGCTTTAGATCCGTACGTGCCGAATCGCGTTCACCGTGTTGTGACGGACCACTTTGCTGCATTGACGCCATGTTCAAGAGCGGAACCGCTCCTGGCAAAGTATATCTTTTCGCCAGGCGTGGAAAAGCGTGCGGATTGCATCCGCTGCCAAAGCTCGCTGGCAGCGGGCTTCTGCGGCCATTGCCTTGCTGAAATCGCCATCTGATTGGACATCGAGATGTAAGTCATGATGGCCAGCGCATGCGGATCTCGGCCTGCACCCTTGCGGGTTCGAATCAGCTTCGCTTTCTACAGCCTTCCATCCGACGACCTTGTGGATCGGCCACATGGCATACGGGGAGTGATGCGGGCCACGAGGCGGGTGACTTCGATCCTGCAACCTGCTTACGGTGTGAGAATGAATCCGCACCAAGAGCAATGAAACGCAACCACGCAGCTGGTCATGACAAGGCTGAAAGACGGTTCGTTTGACACGAAAACTCCCAACCTTCCATCCGATTCGACCCGTCGACGAGTTCTGACAGCGGTATCGCTGTTCTGACGAGGATGGGGAGATGAGCGTGGAGCGCAGGGCAACACAACATGCTAATCGCAATCACATTCGAGTCAAACCTAAAATCTTTCAAGATGAACGAGGTCTATCTTAACATACTGGGGGCAACGCAAAGAGCCTTTAGAACGCGCTGACCGCGCTTGACGGATAACAATCCCGTCATAGCTTTTGGCACACACGTCCAACTGTAGCGACTCTACACAGTTCTTGTTTGCTCAGCCAATCATATCGGCTCCGACGCCGCGTCCAATAATAATTTGTACAACAGCTCGCGAAAAATGAAAATGTCCCATATACTCTCACTTAAATTACAACCAGATCGGCATCTTCAAATCTAGAACGACGACACAGCCACAGCAACAGCCTGCTCATCATCATGGCTAATGCTCACACTGACGCTTTTAACACCCGCTCGAGCTGCCGCTGCCTTGGCATCTCCGTGTAACTGAAGACAAAGATTAGCCAGTCATCCTTTACATCGTGAATTCGAAAGCAGCTGGAACTTACGGTCACTATCGGTGCTCCTGTCTCATCTGACACAATTTCGATCTCCCTAAGCCCGGCGCCGGCTCCCTTGCCTTGCACGCCAAGTGCTTTGAAAACAGCTTCCTTCGCGCTCCACCGGCCCGCAAAGCTTGCCCGTGCGTTCGGTGATTTCTTGCAGTAGGCCTGCTCGGCAGATGTAAAATTCCGCTCGATGAATGTATCGTTTTCTATGTTGATAGACGAAATAGATTCCACATCGACACCGACTTTCGAGTTTGGAGCTGAAGTAGCTTTGGTCAGAGACTCGACCATCTTCTTTGTCTGCTCGGTTTTAGGATCCTTTGCCGGCACAGGAGCCTTGGTAGGATACACCAAGTTGTTAGTCTTCTTGTCGACAGTCACTCGTGCACCTGGATCAAGGAACACCTTGCTCTGAATAGCATCCTCATAGGGGCTCTTATCCTTGGCACGGAACATGTTGTTGTTGATAAGGCCGTCGTGGAAATACCTGTACGCCTTCTTCTGCCTTGCCTCGACCTTCAGCTTGTAGGACTGGAACTGCGACTGATCGAGGGTAGCAAACAGATACTTAGGGTGGATGCCAATGGCCTGAGCACCTTTCTGCCCGAATCCGAAGGAGGTAACAGAGAAAGCCTTAATGCCATCGGTTTGAATAGTGCGGCTTGGATAGACAATGTAATCGAACTTCTCCATCACTTGATCAACATTGTCCGCATTTCGATTACCCGGCACAAGACCAGTGTTGAGAACTTGCAAGCAACCGTTGAACATCCAAGCTCCCGCAGCACCCTTGGGATGACCGGTGAGATACTTCTGGAAGATACCAAGAAGAGCATTGCCCTTCTTTCGACCGAGGTGCTTCATCTGCTGGCAAATAACATCCGACTCATTCTTATCATTGGCAACCGTGGACGTGCCGTGGAAGGAAGCAACGCCGAGGTCATCGATAGTAAGACCCCACGTAGCCAGAGCACCACGAAGTGGAGCGATCCTGGGATCTTGCTTCCAAAAGTTGTTACCCAAGCTTGCTAAGGCGTCCTTCTCCTGTCGCTTGGCTTCTCGTGCAATGTGCTCGGCACGATCTTGAAGATACTCCGACTCGTTGAATTCCCCACCCTCGGCTTTCATGGCGGCAACCTCCTCCTGCAGATACAAGAGTTCGGATTCCTGCCATGCCTTGATCTGCTGTCGGCGGAGATCCATTTGTCTCTTCCTGTACTTGATGTCAAGAAGCGGCGAGGGAAACTTGCTTTGCTGTTCGCGAGCAGTGGTAAGCACACCTTGACCAGGTGCCGGAACAGACCGGCCGATCTTGTCTGTGGCCGTGGCTGTAAAGCCTAGGATACCGTAGATTGGCACGCCCATGTCGAGAGCAAGCTGTGCGTCCATAATTACCTGCATACCGCAACCTTGTGATTCCATAAAACCATTTCGAGTTGTGGTGGTAGGACGAGACATCTCTCTTGGAGTGCGACCGTGAGCGAACTCATCCTCCGCATTGCTGGTAGCTTTCATATTGGCAAATTCGTACGAGCCTTCCTCCTGGAAGTCGTCGAATCCACCAACGAAGCAGACACGAGCCTTGCCCTCGACAATGCAGTCATAGCCAATGTCTATTGACTCAACAGCTGTCGCACAGGCACCAACTGGCGTTCTGATGGGACCAGTAGAGGAGAGTAGTAACATGTTCACCCACGCACTCATGGTGTTAATGAACGACTCTTGAAGGATGTCCTTCTGTAGGGGCTTGTCGAGGAAGCGGTCCTTATACATTCCACGCAGCGCGCTTGTGCCACCAATGCCAGAACCGATGCAGTTGCCAACCTGTGAAATATGCACATACTTGTAAAATTCGTACGGATCCGTAATACCACAGGATAGCAGTGCCTCTGCAGTAGACACAAGCACGAACAGCGTCACTGGGTCAACCTGGGAAATGATGTCTTCAGGAACACCATACTTGCGCGCATCCCAACCAGTTGGAATCTGACCAGCGACAAGACGGTCGAAACGAAGAGCCTTGGGGATAAGGAGAGTAGCGCCCTTCTTCAAGCGAACAGTGTATTCACCCGAGTCAGCGACCTCGAAGATTTCCACTTTGTCACCATGTCTGCGCTGGAATTCTTCAGCGGTCTCCTTAGATGCCTCGAATGGATCCAAATCTTCCTCAATCTGCACCTCGTGGAGCAGTTCTTTCTTGTTGGGATCATAGCCATTGAACAGTTCTGGCTCTATGAGGCGAATTCCAGAATGCTCAAGAATGTGCTTCTCGTACTTGGCCTTTACATCCTTGTCGTCGACCGGTTCGCCAGTTTTGGCATCCACCCAACCGGAGTAGCTCTTGCCCTTGAGAGGACCGTTGTGGTTTTTGATTAGACCCATGATCCAGGCCATCTCAATGCAGCCTTCTAGGGAGAATTCACCATAGGCTTCCATCTCCCAACGTGTACGGGAGTTGCCCCACGGACCCACCTCAGCAAAACCAGTAACGACGACAACCTTCTCGAGATCAACCATGCCCTTGAGGTTCTCATTGAGGGGTTTAATTTCAGTCTCCCAGTCGGGCAGCTTGGGGAAGTCGAACTTGATATTGGCGCGGCGCTGGATCTTGACCTTCTTGTCAAGTTGTTCACTTGCTTCGCCATTGACGATCTTATTTTCTATAGCTGTTTCCTTCACGACGGCCTTGCGAACTTCGCTGATTTCCGTAAAGTCTTTGCGCAACTGCGCAGTAAGGTCTTTCAAGTTCGGGAGGTACTGGAAACCGCCGTTTAAGTCTGCCCATACAGGCTCAATCTGGCACAAGTTGACGATTTGAGGCGACATGAGACCCAGGATGTTGAACGCCATCTCCTGCTGGGAAAAGGTACGTACGCCATAGCGCTCAATGCCCTCAGCAACGATGTTGTTACCGGCCATAAGACCCGTTCCACGCGTCCAGCCGATGACCGCACCACAGATGGTAAGGAAGCTTCCCCAGTTCTCGGAGTGCCAACGACTGAATAGGGTTTCAAGGCCAATTTTGGACTCCGAGTACAAGCCATCGTTGCCAAAAGTGCCGTGGTTTGGCGACAGTGGAAGGATAACCTGAGCGGGTCTTGTCTCAAATTCGCGCTCCATCTTTTGCGTCTTAATCGCACCAAGCAGTCTCAGCAAGTTTGTAAGCATGATTCTGTGCGCAAGCTCGGACTTTGAATCAAGGCCATCAATTTCGCGTCCATTTTCTGAGATGGCGGCAAACGGTACGATAAAGTCGAGGTCCCAGCCGAGGCCCTTCTTATCATCGTAGATGTAGTTCACCAGAGCATCAATATCCTGCTTGCTGCCCTGGTTGAAAGGCACAACAATGAGTTGCGAGCCCCGTGCTCCAAAGCGCGTGTACATTGACTGGTAATACTCGTTGACCTCGCGCGAGAAGCGGCTCGTAGTAACTACGACCTTAGCACCTCCACTTATGAGTCCCTGCAAGATCTCGGCACCGATAGATCCAGCTCCAGCACCAGTCATAAGCACATATTTGCCCTGGAAGGTCAAACCGTCGCGTGCCGCCTTTTCAAGGCAGTCAAGATACACGCCTGTCATCTTCTTGCTGTACTCCCAGCCGTGATCATCCTTGCGCTTAAGGTGCAAGAAAGGAATCGTCTCAACCTTGCCGCGCTTGCCGGGGAGGCGACCATTACGGCTAGTCTTCTTGGAGCCGATGGACTTTCCATTCTCCTGAGGAATAATCTGACCCTCGTTCATGGACAGGGAACGGATGACGTTGCTGTAGAGGTTCCTGATTTCTAGTTGAGATGACTTAGACAGCTTGTGCTGCTGCTTGATGAGCTTGTAGATGCGTTGGAGATCGTTTTGGACTTTAGTACGGTTGCCGTACTCGGACAGCTTGCCGCCTTCAGCCATTTCACGGACATAGTGTTCGAGCTTACGAACGCTAGCACGCGGTGCTTCCTTATAGATCATGTTACCGCGGGCATCAATTTCAAGTGAAGGGCCAGTTGGAATAGCGACATCCTTGAACACGGGAGGTTCATTGAGCACGTCCTTGCAGTTCTCGATGAGCTGCTGACCCAGCTCTTTGGCCAGCTCGTATGTTTCGCCGCGCTCGGTCGGACAGTGATCAATATGGTACTGCATATAGTCCAGGAGGCGCGGATTCGAACGGTTCATGATAGCGATGCAGCGACTGACAATTTCCCGGTCGACGGCCTTGAGGCGGCCAAAGATGATATCGTAGTACATGCTTAGCGCATCTTGTCGTGCCCAATTCCACGAAGAATCGTACACTCTAGCCTTGAGTGGCGTAAACGAAGGAGCTATGCCCGAAGCATAGAAGTCGCCGTGCTCAGCTTGCCAAAGATCCAGCTGCGCTTGAAGCGCATCTGAAGCCTGCTTCGATGTGACAAACGCCTTGTCACCGGCTCGTAGATCCATCTTCAAGTAGCGTGCGAAAAGTTCCAATTGCTGCTTGAATAGAGCCCGCTGGTCTTTGGTGAGTGCGTCAATCGCAGCTGGATCCATCAACATGCCGCCAGAAGCACCACCAGCATCGCCACCAACGGACGCCGTGGACAAGCTGATCCCAGCAATGCCAGCATATTTGTTGGCCATGTCATCGAGCCACGCCTTTCCATCGTTCTCCGAGCCAAGACGTGAAGCTGGCTCTGCTGTCAACCCAAGGAGGAGAACGCCGTCTTGTCGGCCTGGACCAAGGCCCCACCTCGTCTCCAAATGCTTTCGCACGGCTGTGATGTTGAAACCGCCCGGCATCTTCGATGAGACCATTCTCGCAACGAGGGAGGAGGAGTGCTTGCCAAGCTGGCCATTGAAAGTAGGTTGAATAGCTGCCCCAAGCTCATCAAGAGGAATGTCTTCTGGCTTCTCAGGCGCGGAACCGAACTCCTTGCCCAAGTCACCGATGATTTCATTCTGGAGCGTTGATTTTCCTAAATAATATTCATGTTAGCACACAGGCTTCAGAGGGGTAAAAATCGAAGAATAAAATAGCAGTGGGTAAGATGTATAGGGAAAAATTGCTTGCCTCCAACCAAGTCCTTGATCGCTTTGCTCAATGGGATGTCCATAAGCGGCTTCTTTAACTTTTGGGCAACGATGGCACGAATCACATCCGTCGCGGTCACGGGCGCGTCTGCTACAGCTGCAGCCGGTCCAGCGCTAGGAGGAGGTGGAGCTGCTGCTGCTGGGGCTGCCGCCGCTTGTTGTTTAGGCGCTGCAGCTGCTGGAGCGTCTGGAGATGGAGCTGATGCAGCCGCTGCGGGTTCCTCTTCTTCCGGCTCAACATCGTAGTAGATGTCCTTGGCGTCTTTGTTGTAGCACAGGATCTGTCGCTGGAGCGAGAGCGCCGCATCGTGGGCTTCGTACTTGCTTGCGAGGGTGCGTTTGGCCATTCCGCCGAGCGTGTCTGCGGGACCGATCTCCACGATACGCTCGGTGCGCTTCTCGCCCAGGATGACATCTTGGGTCTCGATCCACCGGACTGGTGAGGCAAATTGATATGCGAGGAGCTCGACAAGGAGAGTGTGGGCGAGTTCCTGTTCGACTTCGGGGCGCATCGCTGCGGTTGTTTGTGTTGGCTTTGGGGATAGCAGGCGTCCCTGGGAGAAAGCGTGAGTGCGCACGCGTGTATTCTAAGGGGTATCTCAAAGATGCCGAAAGAGGCTGTGTGTTGATGGTGCACGGAAAGGAAGGGTAAGGATCTTTTTGGACTCTCGAACTACCGGCCGCTGTCACCCTTACACAAGTGAATGTGTTCGCGGGACAATTGAGCCAAGTGGTGGTGGACCAGTGCTGGTGTGGAGAACCAGTGAGGCAGCAAAGTCAAGAAAAATGGTTAAGTGAAGGAAATGGAGATGGAGGGCGGAGAGGGTGAACGGGATGGGATAATCAACTACGATGGTCCAACCACAACGTAATGAGGAAGGATGCGAAGAGGAGGGATCAGTTATCTCGCCCGCAGGTGTTGATACAGGACACGGGAGGATTGTTGGTGTCGAGATGAGCAGTGATCCCGGGACGAAGTTTGTTGAGGCGAGATGGGCATAGGATGCGTGGGTGTTGTGTGCAGGCGTCGCGCAAGCACAGGCCTGGCAAAGTTTCTGCGCCTGGCGGTCGCGACTTTCTGATCGTTCCTTCCAAAGCGGACAGAGTCCTCCGCAGTTTCCCAACGTGAAAATTGTGGCGCTAGTTCCCAGTCCGGCAAGGATCGAGCTCCCCAAGCTGCCCAATCCATGTCCGCCTCCACGGTTGGGAGACCAGACGACGCAACTTTTCGTCCACCCATTGCTCCGTCTCCGTCATCCGAGGTCCTCGAATCACAGCATCGAGATCGTCGCAGACGTGCCACGCAGCAGATTGCGAGCCGGATTACTGAACGCGGGGACGGGAGAATCGTGGCATCGCCGGTTGCCTGATCACGGCGGATTTTTTGGTGGTCACCGTCCCTCTGATGTGAGGCAAGGGTGAAGGGGCGTCATGACGCAGGTCCGGCGAGCTAGAGGCTCACACGGATCCTCCCACACGCACACGTTTTGCACTCCCAGTGACAAAAGCGGTCACCCAATCTACAAGACGTCGCCGTGACCTCGACGCCCTCCGCAGCGGCAGAACTGAGAAGCTCTGCGTGTTGCTTTGCGGACAACCGCCGGGGGAGCAAGCACGCTCGTGCAGCGCTTGCTCGCACGCCGGAAAGGCTCGGCTGAAGGGCCCGACCGTCGTCAACGGGGCAGGCGCCATCATCTTGCCCCCCCCGTCGTTGTGGTTTCCCAACATTGAGAGATCTGGGACCCTGCGCTTGCTCAATTCGGTTGACTGGCTGAGCGGGCCCCAGCGCTCCTTCCCGCATCCGAGCCTGTCTCGCGCCCTCCAGATCCGTGTTTCTCAGCAAAAGAGAGAGCGAAGGAGCGGCGCGTTCGTGCGACTCCTGTAGATATCTGCTCAACCTGTCATCAACTCGTACTTACTTTGTCGAGAAGCCACGACTTCCCATCGCCTCCGTCTCACCCTTTCGCGAGTTTCCGCCTGCATCTGAGTCTCGTATCTCCTTCGCGGTGAGCGCGCGGTTTCTCGTCGAGCGCACAAGAAGTTGCTCTCGACAACCTTATAAAAAAAATTAGCGGCAACCAAAACATCCACCTCAACGCTGCGCAACCCTCTTGACTGAGCCTGTTGCAGCACACCCATCACCGTAGCCGTCGTGTACGCGCTCTCCAGCCATCCATCCGTCATCATTCTTGCCAATTGCTAACGTTGACGGCAATAGTTTCTTTCCCGCTTCGTGATACCCCCTTAGACTCTTGTTCCTGTCTCGACTCTCAGCTTCCTAGTCGTCCGCCACAGCAGCCGCAATACCATGTACGGCTCCGGCCCTCAGACAGGTGTCTCGACACCACGCTCGCAGGCCTCACTCAGACCTCTTGTCATCTCGCACGGCTCGCTGGAACATGGCTTCCTCATACCTACCGCCCTCCACTTCACCGCTACACAACTGAAGGATGCTTTCGCCCAGACGCTACCGGAGCCCACTGACGAGCTCGCTCAAGATGATGAGCCTTCCTCGGTGCCCGAGCTGGTCGCCCGCTATTTGGGCTACGTTGCCGAAGAGCTTGACGAGAGCGAGGATCCTGAGATCTACAGCGAGGTATTGCGCATCATGCTCAACGAGTTCGAGCGCACCTTCATGAGGGGGAACGAGATCCACGCCGTGGCCGCAACTCTTCCCGGTATCCCCCAGAAGAAGCTGGTCACTGTCAAGTCATACTTTGCAGCACGGGCGGCCATTAATCGCGTCATAAAGCCGCACGAGTCTGCCCTGTTTCGTGAGGCAGCTGACGGAAATGCCCATATCTACGCCGTTTTCGGTGGGCAGGGGAACATCGAGGAGTATTTCGATGAGCTGCGGGAGGTCTATACCACGTACACATGGTTCTTGGAAGATTTCATTTCCACGTCAGCTGCTCACCTCTTGGAGCTCTCAAGACATCCCGAGGCCGTTAAGATGTACCCTAAAGGCCTCGACGTACTTCGTTGGCTGCATAATAGCGAGTCACAGCCAGACACTGATTACCTCGTTTCAGCGCCCGTCAGTCTGCCGCTGATCGGTCTCACGCAGCTCGCACATTATGTCGTCACTGCGCGCGTTCTGGGCACACACCCAGGCCATATCCGGGACAATTTCAGTGGAACGACGGGCCACTCTCAGGGCGTGGTCACAGCAGCAGCAATTGCTTCGGCTTCGGATTGGCCTAGCTTCGAGAAGGCAGCCAAGGATGCGCTGACCATTCTTTTCTGGATTGGTTCCCGTAGCCAACAAGCATTCCCTCGCACATCACTTACACCGGCTGTCCTACAAGATTCGGTCGACAATGGCGAGGGAACACCAACGCCTATGCTCTCCGTCCGTGACCTTCCCATCAAGCAGCTGCAAGCGCATATCGACACAACAAACGAACATCTGCCCAAGGAGCGTCACATCGGAATCTCGTTGGTAAATAGCGCTCGCAACGTAGTGGTCACAGGCCCGCCCCTCTCTCTGTACGGTTTGAATCTGCGTCTACGTAAGGTCAAAGCTCCGACTGGCCTCGATCAGACCCGTGTCCCTTTCACCGAAAGAAAGGTGCGCTTTGTCAACCGCTTCTTACCAATCACTGCGCCATTCCACAGTCCATATCTTTCCGAGGCCCACAAGCTCATTGAAGTCGATGTCAAAGATATCAGGATTCCCAGTAGCTCACTTGGTATCCCCATGTACGACACCAACTCGGGGAAGGACTTACGCGAAGAAAAACTTGACAACATCGTCCCATCACTCATCCGCATGATCACACATGACCCTGTGTACTGGGAACGGGCCACTGTCTTTCCGCGGGCGACGCATATCCTCGACTTTGGACCAGGAGGCATTTCAGGTCTTGGCGTGCTCACTAATCGTAATAAAGATGGTACCGGTGTCCGTGTTATTCTCGCAGGTACCATTGATGGTACTAATGCAGAGGTTGGCTATAAACCAGAGCTCTTTGATCGTGACTTCGAGCACGCAGTTCGGTATGCTGCGGATTGGGTCAAAGAGCACGGCCCACGCCTCGTCAAGACGTCTACAGGCCAGACGTACGTCGATACAAAGATGTCACGAATGCTTGGCTTGCCTCCTGTCATGGTAGCTGGTATGACACCGTGCACAGTGCCCTGGGACTTTGTGGCTGCGACCATGAACGCTGGTTTCCACATTGAGCTTGCAGGTGGTGGATACTATAATGAGCGTGGCATGACCGAGGCCATTAAGAAGATCGAGAAAGCCATTCCCTCCGGCCGTGGTATCACTGTCAATCTGATCTACGTAAATCCTCGCGCCATGGGCTGGCAAATTCCGCTACTTGCGAAGCTACGGGCTGAAGGTGTCCCAATCGAAGGTCTGACGATCGGCGCCGGCGTGCCGTCCATTGAAGTTGCCAACGAGTACATTCAAACTCTTGGTATTAAACACATTGCTTTCAAGCCTGGTTCCGTGGAGGCCATCCAGCAGACCATCAACATTGCAAAGGCAAACCCCACATTCCCAGTTATTATGCAGTGGACTGGTGGCCGTGGTGGTGGCCATCATTCCTTTGAAGATTTCCATCAGCCCATCCTTCTGATGTATAGCCGTATTCGAAAGTGCCCTAACCTTGTACTTGTGGCCGGCTCTGGCTTTGGCGGTGCTGATGACACGTACCCCTACCTCACAGGTAGCTGGTCCTTGTCTTTCGGCTATCCACCAATGCCATTCGATGGTATCCTGTTTGGAAGTCGCGTCATGACCGCCAAGGAAGCGCACACGTCCAAAGCTGCGAAGCAAGCTATCGTCGATGCCGAAGGACTAGATGACTCGGAATGGGAGAAAACGTACAAGGGCCCCGCTGGTGGTGTCATGACTGTGCGCTCCGAGATGGGTGAACCGATCCACAAACTCGCGACCCGTGGAGTTAAGTTCTGGGCCGAGATGGATGCCAAGATCTTCTCGTTGGACAAGAAGAAGCGCCTTGAGGAATTGAAGAAAAATCGCGAATACATCATCAAGAACCTTAACGACAACTTCCAAAAAGTTTGGTTCGGTCGTAACAAGGCCGGTGAATCAGTTGATCTTGAGGACATGACGTACGCAGAGGTTGTGCGCCGCATGGTGGATCTCATGTACGTTAAGCATGAGAAGCGCTGGATCGACAAGAGTCTTGCCAAGTTGACTGGCGACTTCATTCGCCGTGTGGAAGAGCGCTTTGCCACCGAGGATGGTGATTCGAGCTTCCAGAGTTATTCTGAGCTGGATGAGCCATTCCCTCTAATTGAAAGCGTGCTCGCTAAATATCCGGAGGCCGATAAACAGCTTATCAATGCTCAGGACGTGCAGCACTTCCTATTGTTGTGCCAGCGACGGGGCCAGAAACCAGTTCCTTTTGTGCCTGCACTAGATGAGAATTTCGAGTTCTGGTTCAAAAAGGATTCGCTCTGGCAATCTGAGGATCTTGAGGCTGTTGTTGATCAGGATGTCGGCCGCACGTGTATCCTGCAAGGCCCTGTGGCTGTCAAGTACTCAAAGATTGTCGATGAACCTGTTCGTGACATTCTCGATGGCGTCCACTCAGCACATATCAGCTATCTGACTCGAGACTTATACGGAAACGATGCAAGCAAGATTCCCGTCATTGAGTACTTCGGTGGTAAGACCATCAACGCAGGGGATGAGCTCGAGATTGAAGATATGACGGCTATTGAGACGGATGAGAAGCTGCTCTACCGCTTGTCCAATGCGCCAAACGCCACGCTTCCTCGCGTTGACCAGTGGATGCAACTTCTTGCGGGTCGCTCGTACTCATGGCGCCACGCATTCTTCACCGCGGATGCATTCATCCAAGGCCAGAAATTCCAAACTAATCCCATGCATCGCGTTTTTGCCCCCTGTCGAGGCATGAAGGTCGAGATCACACATCCTAACCAGCCATCCAAGACGACCATCAGCGTTTGGGAGCCGCACAATGGATCTGGCAAGGATGTCATGACTGTCAAGGTCACCATCTCTGCGAAGAATGAGATTCAGGTCGACCTCATCGAGGAGCGAACTGCGTCTGGCAAGCCTGTTGCTTTGCCATTCAAGTTCACGTATCACCCCGAAGCAGGTTACGCCCCCATTCGTGAAGTCATGGAGGCACGCAATGACCGCATCAAAGAATTTTACTACAAAGTCTGGTTCGGTGAGAATGAAGTGGTGCCGTTTGATTCCCCGGTTGACTCTCGCTTCGACGGTGGCCGAGCAACCGTCACCAGCGAAGCAATCAACGACTTCGTCCACGCTGTTGGTAATAATGGTGAGGCGTTTGTAGATCGTCCTGGCAAAGAGGTCTGGGCTCCGATGGACTTCGCCATAGTGGTTGGGTGGAAGGCTATCACTAAGCCAATTTTCCCGCGTGTCATCGACGGTGACTTGCTCCGCCTTGTACATCTATCCAATGGGTTCCGTATGATTCCCGGTGCAACTCCATTAAAAAAAGGCGACGTTCTTGATACAACAGCTCAGATCAATGCCGTCATCAACCAGGACTCTGGCAAAATGGTTGAAGTGTGCGGGACTATCACACGCGACGGCAAACCTGTCATGGAAGTTACTTCTCAATTCTTGTATCGGGGCGATTACTCGGATTTCGAGAACACATTCCAGCGCAAGAATGAAACGCCCATGAAGATCACGCTTGCCACGCAAAAGGATGTCGCTATTCTCCAGTCCAAGGAGTGGTTCCAACTCGAGAATCCTGACATTGATCTTCTAGGCCAGACGCTCACTTTCCGTCTGCAGAGCTTTGTGCGCTTCAAGAACAAGACAGTATACAGCAGTGTGCAAACCATGGGCGAGGTGCTGCTCGAGTTGCCTTCCAAGGAGATTATACAAGTTGCCTCCGTGGATTATGAGGCTGGAGTTTCGCACGGTAACCCGGTTATAGATTATCTTCAGCGCAACGGTTCGACCATTGACCAATCCATCACCTTCGAGAACGCAATTCCTCTGAACGGTAAAACACCTTTGACCCTGAAGGCTCCTGCTTCCAACGAGACATATGCACGTGTCTCTGGTGACTACAATCCAATCCATGTTTCGCGTGCTTTTGCTAGCTACGCTAACCTCCCCGGCACGATCACACATGGAATGTATACAAGTGCAGCCGTACGCTCTCTGGTCGAGAATTGGGCGGCTGAGAACCAGGTTGGCCGTGTTCGCAGTTTCCATGCTTCCCTCGTCGGTATGGTTCTACCAGATGACCTTATCGACGTCAAGCTACAACATGTAGGAATGGTAGCCGGACGCAAAATGATAAAGATTGAGGCAAGCAATAAAGAGACGGAGGACAAGGTCCTAATTGGGGAGGCGGAGGTGGAGCAGCCAAGCTCCTCTTACATTTTCACTGGACAGGGATCACAAGAGCAGGGCATGGGTATGGATCTGTACGCCAGTAGTCCTGTCGCTAAGGAGGTCTGGGATCGTGCTGATAAGCATTTCTGGGACAACTATGGTGGGTTTTCGTGCGCTCCAGGTACACTGACACAATGCTGACGAATTGGTAAAGGTTTCAAGATTACACACATTGTTAAGAATAACCCGAAGGAACTCACCATTCACTTTGGCGGACCTCGCGGCAAGGCTATCCGCCAGAACTACATGGCCATGACGTTTGAGACCGTCGGAGCTGATGGCACCGTCAAGAGCGAGAAAATTTTCAAGGAAATTGACGAAAACACTACATCCTATACGTACCGCTCGCCAACTGGTCTACTATCGGCTACGCAATTCACTCAGCCAGCCCTGACGCTTATGGAAAAGGCCTCCTTCGAAGACATGCGGCACAAGGGTCTCGTGCAAAACGACAGCACTTTCGCTGGCCACTCACTCGGCGAGTACTCTGCTCTTGCAGCGCTCGCTGAGGTCATGCCAATTGAATCTCTGGTCTCTGTCGTTTTTTACCGTGGTCTTACTATGCAAGTCGCTGTCGAGCGCGACGAGCAGGGCCGTTCCAATTACAGCATGTGCGCTGTCAACCCCTCGCGCATCAGCAAGACTTTCAACGAAGAAGCCTTGCAATATGTCGTTGGCAACGTCTCTGAGGTCACAGGTTGGTTGCTCGAAATCGTCAACTTTAATGTCGCCAATCAGCAATACGTTGCTGCAGGTGACTTGCGCGCTCTGGATTGCCTGACAAACGTTCTCAACTTTTTAAAGGCGCAAAAGATTGATATCCAGCAGCTGATGCAAACTATGTCGCTTGATCAGGTCAAAGAGCATCTAGTCGAGATCGTCAAAGAGTGTGCCAAGCAGACGGAAGCGAAACCAAAGCCTCTCGAGCTTCAGCGCGGCTTCGCCACCATCCCGCTTAAGGGTATTGATGTACCCTTCCACTCCACGTTTTTGCGCAGTGGTGTCAAACCTTTCCGCTCATTCCTTCTTAAGAAGATCCAGCGCACCAGCATCGACCCGAGCAAGCTGGTTGGAAAGTACATACCTAATGTTACAGCTCGGCCCTTCGAGATCACCAAGGAATACTTCGAGGATGTATACCGTCTGACCAATAGTCCAAGAATCGGTAATATTCTCGCTAATTGGGAGAAGTACGAACAGGACGGATCAGCTGGCGTAGCAGGCCCTGGGAAGATAGCCCCTGCAGCATGAGCTTATTCTTCGTCAGCCTAGAGGTATGAAGAATTTAATGCGCTCGTACTCGAGCCTCGTGGAAGGGTGTGAGAGAATTTTTGCTTTGCTGAACGACGTGTAAGGGCTCGTGTTTGGAGATGGACAGGTCAGAATGGTCTCATGCTTTTGACTTTACTGAGACGGATAGATCCGGAGAAGATATTGTATTATTGAGTTTGGCGCAATAGAAGTGTCTATTAGTGGTTTCTTGTACTATGAAGTGTAAGGGAGGGGTTCAAAGGCCCAAATTTACTGGATTTGCGTGCAAGTACGAGTATATGCTTTTTGCAAGCACAAGTTACCGTTTATGATTGGCATTATGTTAGCATTCTTCAATGAATCCTCGCAGTGAGCTTTAAGCAGATATTTGCTGAAACGCGAGGCATGACATGAGTACAACGTCGGTGACGCAACAACCTAATACTTCGAGGCCGTTTGGCATGTCATCAGTCACGTGACCTTTCCAGCTTCTCCAAATTCGAATGACTGTGTAGCCTTGTTCATGTAGTGGGAAAGCTCTGAAGCTTCGGATAGACTACATGCAAGGACTGGAACTCAGTTCGACTCAAATATAACAGGGGTCCAGAATAGCAGGAGAGATGATGATTCGTCGTGGAAACGATAACCCCGAGCGCAAGGCCCGAAGCACTGGAAGGGTTCCTCCAATGTTGCTCCGACTCTCCGCTTCGAACGAATGCGATGCATGTTCCGTCCTAGGAAATATCGTTTTCGCATTGGTATTAATACGTGAAGACGGCGGCGGATCGTTCGCCAGTTCATCTCAGCACAACTTGTTTGCAGCAATGCCGAGTCTTCGCGTCATTCAAAGGGAGATTGCAAAGCTTCCACAAGGCCCTCCATTGGTCATCGTTATTTCCGGAGGCACGACTGGTATCGGCTCCTACATTGCGAAAGAACTTGCAAGACTGTTTGCCTCCAAGGGTAGCAAGCTACGCGTCTACATAGTCGGACGAAATATCACGCGTGCGGAAAAGGTGCTCGCCGAGGGTCGTTATCTCAGTCCTGGATCTGAATGGCGCTTTGTAAAAGCGACCGATCTTGCCTTGATCAGCGAGGTCGATCGTTGCTGTGCGGACATCATCAAACAAGAGACCGATGCTCCGTTCCATGGAGGACCGGTCAGACTCGATGCGCTCTACATGACACATGCGCGATCTCCTTTGGTCAACAGAGAAAGTAAGTTCTTAGAAATTCCAGTCGTCCCCTCTAGCTCCCATCAAGCTCAAACTGACGGTTCAATCAGTGACGGAAGAGGGCCTTGATAGCTTTCTGTCAACGCTGTACTATTCGCGGATACGGATGACTATGAATTTGATCCCTTTGCTTTCAGCCTCTCCACTCAACGGCCATGTCATTTCAGTGTATGCTGGAAGCTTCGAGGAGGTGAAGGCTGGCGATGAGCCTCCCATCGGCTGTCCACCAGACGATGCGTACGGCGTGAGCACAGTGCGTCGCAACACGGTCTACATGAAGAACTTTGCCTTTGAAGAACTAGCGTCACGACACGCAGGTCGCGTATCGTTCGCACACATCTATCCTGGACTCGTGGATGGACCAGCATTCACAGATCCGGGCAATCCGCTCTGGTTCAGGGTTATCTGGCGTCTGTTGTATCCGCTTCTTTGGCTGACTTATATGACGTCTGCGGAGGACTGTGGCAAAGTCATGCTCTACCTCAGTACCCCACGGTTTCCAGCCAAAGGCGTGAAGCAGGAGGGTATCGAGCCGGCAATGGGCACGGATGGCAAGTTAGGGAGTGGCTCTTATGCTCTTGGCCAGCGAGCAGACCCCAGCAAAGTAAGATCGTTTGACAAAGTTCGCCCAGAGGGCGTGGGTGAGCGGATCTGGGCGCACACCATGGAAACATTCGAGCGAATTGTGCGTAAGAACAAGCCGCAGGGCAGTGAAACAGAGATTCAAGCTGGGTCATGGGAGACAGAGATATCGTGATACTTTACCACCTCTGGCCATTTGAATGACAGGGTGATGAGCTCGCACAATCATTTGCAACACGCCATCACGATGTCCACATTCGCTCGAATTTCCGTGAATTGTGCCCGCTTTTGCGAAGTCCCAGAAGAGACACGTGCCAAAACCAATTGTCGCGGGCCTTGTCGTGAAGCGAATGGCACGCAAGAACAACTCTAGGAGCAGAAAAAAATTTTTTCAACACCTTCATTACCTGTTTTCATTTGTTGGACGGTCGTCGCCAAACGTGCCTCGAGTAGTCTGCGGCTGAGCAAGTCACTGCGGTCGCATGCCCAGCCTTTAGTGGCCGACTTCGAAAAAGCTTAGCTGAACGCAAATCTCAAAAAGCGTTCGTCACTCAGGGGAAACCGGCCTGGCCATTGGAGCACTCCAAGTTTCCAACGATTCAGCACAGAGCGGACGTCCCGCTAAAACGGCTCACCCCTGGGCTCTGAGTGATCCTGCAGATGGCATTGGCTTGAGGCAGCCGACGGCAGCATCCAATCAGCACCGGAATTTTGATGATGGTTACCCCTTTTGTGCTCGGAGCGGCTAGGACCTCCATGAGAAATGTTTCGAGTTTCATGCACTTGCAGCCCGCAGGACCTGCCCGACTTGTACGCGGAAATTGGTGTGAGGGTGTCAGTCGCAAGACGCCAAAGACGTGAAGTCGAACGCTCTGCGTATGCTGGCGGTCGACGAGCAAGAGCATGGCGAGAATGACCAAGGGCCCGACTCGCGGGGCGCGGTGTGAGAGCACGAACCGCAGCGTATCTGGTCCCGCGAAAGGCCAGAGGAGCAGCTCGGAGATTCAAGCATGGCACCTGCATATGCCTGTGAATCTACTCCTTAGGAGGCGTCGGCGTAGCCACCACACCATCTCTAGTCACCCCAGCCGACGGGCCATCATGTTACGGTTGCAGCCCACACGGCTCTCCTAGGGTAGGATCGTGAGCAGCCATATTTCTACCCTCCCGCAGCCCAGATCCAACATCCTCTTCACTTTCGCTCAGTCGATCACGTTCCTTGTCCAACTACCACACTTTCTTTCTTTGTTCATTCTTTTTTCAGTTGAGCCTGTGGCCTCTCCTTGTCTTCAGACGAATCGTCGTTTCACATTCATTTCAATCCAACCATTTCGACTATCATTTAGTTACCATGACACTCATTCATTTGTCCCTCTTGGCTGCTTGCAGCTTTTCGGCCCTTGTAGCTGGACTACCGCTACCATCTGGCCTAAAATTTCACATTGGCACACCTGTCAAAGGCGCCGGCTTGGATCAGTCGTTCACCCTCAGGTCACTTCTCTATGGCGGGCATTCAAAGCGCAGTTCTGACACTTACACGTTCTACACCGGAAATGGCGAGACATGGCCAGGAATCAGCAACTGGGTCTCGAACTTCGATGACATGTTCGCCGCAAACAAAGAAATCATCATGAACAGCTGTTCTCAATTCGGTGTGCCCAACAACTCTGAACAAGAAACCGCGGACATCAGCTCGGCAATCAGCCAGGTCGCAGGTGAGACGGGTATCGATGCGCGCTTTATCCTTGCGATCATGCTCCAGGAGTCTAATGGCTGCGTGCGTGCTCCAACCACCAACTATGGCGTGCGCAATCCCGGCCTGATGCAGGACCATAACGGTCAAGCAACGTGCAACGATAGCGGCAACGTCCAGAACCCGTGCCCGGCGGCTACCATCACGCAGATGATCCGTGACGGCGTGGCAGGCACCCCCTCTGGCGACGGCCTCGAACAGACGTACGCCCAGGCTCCCTTCACTGGTGCTGCCAAGTACTATGGCGCTGCGAGAATATATAACAGCGGCTCCATTGCGGCCTCGGGTAACCTCGACGATGGTATCGCGACTCACTGCTACGCCTCGGACGTTGCCAATCGTCTCACTGGTTGGGTGTATGCGCAGAAAGATTGCACTCTCGACGGCACTCCACCCCCAGCAGCTACTCCCCCAGCTACTACTGCAGGTGCATCTCCGACACCCACTGCTACATATTCTCCCGCAACAGCCACTGCTGTTCCCTCTGGATGGCCAAGCCCAAGCTCAGGAAGCTCTCCAAGCACAGAATGGCCTTCAGGTTATACTGGCCCGGCATCTGCCACTCAACCAGCAACACAGTCACCGACTTCTGCGTCCTCTGCTCCGCCGACCAACTTGGCCCCCGGCGTGACGACGCAATGCGCTGAATACTACACCGTGCAGGCAGGTGACGAATGCGATTCGGTCGCACAGAAGTTCGGCACCACTTTTGCGAATCTGAGAGCATTGAACACTCAGCTTGACAGCACATGCAGTAACCTGTGGAAGGGCTACGCATACTGCGTCAAAGGCGCATGAGGAATATTTGGATCTGGGGTATGACGAATGACAAGGACGGACGAGCATATGTGTATACATATATGTACCTATATTGTTGGTGCGGGACACCAAGATATCATGGCGCCCAAGAGGCGTAGATGCTGTGCAATGCTCAAGGTATCCTTGGAAACTTCTGGACAACGACACAAAGTCATAGGCTTTTCTGGATATCGGTCCTCAACTTGTCGTTCGGACGCATCGTCCAGAGGATGTAGATGAATATATACCAAGACCAGCGCTTTGGCACTTCAATGTTGAGAGCTTCTGTCCAAGAAAAATAGTAGCCACTCCGATTATTCGTGCTCCAGTCTTCGCCCGGCGGTAGACAATCTCGTGGTGCGTCGTTCAAATGGACTCGACCAGTGCAAGCAGATCGGGTAGATCTTTCATGTTGTGGCGTACGTAGGCAGATAGTCTTACTCAAGAACCGAAATCAGCTCTGTGACGACGAGGCCACCATTTCAACCAAGACTGAAAACTTTGAGCAAATGAGGCTCTGTGAAAGCTCGGGAAGGGCTCCCGATTGGCTTGAGCCGCAAATTTGACCGGTTATTTGACGTGTAGTTGGTGCCAAGATCAAGGTCTAGTTCTAGTTCTACGCCTCGTTTCATGCCTCAGGCAACAGCATACTGCAGAACTTCTCAGCTCGGCTCAGCTGAGCCCTTTGTAATGTTTCCGACCTCAAGCAAGTGGCGTTACTCAGCTCTTGGCCAGTCAGATCCGGACAATCAGATTATCCATCATCACGAGTCAACCAAAGTGCAAACACTTGGATTTACCGAATCGTTCGGGCGCATGCTTTGCCGAGCACCACCTGTCACGACTCGTCCTTCTTTGCGTTTGACTAACAGGAATTCGTCCAGGTGCAAGTCAAGCGGCTAAAGCTGGCACGTCTACATCACTACTTTTAGCAAAAGGATCCTGGAAGACACGTTTGTTCTGAACACCGTGGCGGGAGGACCTTTGCTGCGCGACCAAGCTTAGTCTTCGTTTTGTTTCACCCCAAGCTTCATAGAACAGTCATTGCGGCCTGCCAAGCGAGATTTGAGTGACCAAACGGCTTTAAAAAGCAATAAAGTTTTGTTTCCGTGTGCAGACCGTCCTCTTGGTCGTATGACATGCTGCCTTTGTGATGTTTCAAAACATCGCCTAAAGTGGTGACATGGTTATGCACAGACATTTGTCATTTTTATAAAAAAGGAATCTTTTCCGCGAGAGAAAGATGCATATTTGGCCTTCACAAGATCGAATTCAGCCAAAGATGACGATCGAGCATGCTATTCAAGCTGCCCTGCAGCTGTTAGCTTATCAGCTCCTTTCAAACTGGACTAGTTCGCGGAAATGCCGACAGCGCTACGGATCTAGATCAGTTTCACGTTTTCAGAAGAAAAATCGATCTAAGCACATATGTGAACCGCGTGTATTCGCAATCGTGTTTTAGCATCGTCACGGTGAACACTTAACGTCTTTGTCCTGTGTTGCCAAAGATTCGTACCCGTATCTTCGCTACGATCTTTGCGGGCATCATGTGCTACTCAGGTAAAGTGCATACCTGCAGGTGTCTCGTTGACTTAGAGGCGCACCAAGGGGACTTACTTTAGCGATATCAACGCCATTTCTTCTCATGTATCCATGTTGCCCAGACTTTGGTCAATCCTCGTGCATATGAGACGCGTCACAATTTTCTTTCAGCTGGAAGTCTAAAATAGCCATTAGCACTACTCGGCGTTCCTTAAAAACTGTAGTGTACGTCCATCCGGTCCTATTCTTTAGTTATGCTAGAAATACCATAACCGCAAACAATGGAGAAACTTAACGGCGTTCAGGTTCAAAACGAGCCTATTAATCTGGATTCTCTTCGCACACCACCTTCATTGCCGCCCCGTGAGCTGGTCAAGGAGTGGCCAACAGAAACGCACAAGCTTGAAGAAGACCGCAAGAGGTGGGCTGTGATTGCTTATGATACAGTTCTTATTCTCTTGCCACTTGCTCTGCTCGCTAAAGCAATTGTGGTTGCCGTATTTGGACAAGATGGCGACACTGGCGGCCAGCTTGATCTCGTTTCGCCAGTGCTGATCAGGCTGGACGAGTTCAACAGCCAATTGGTTACCTTGTTTACCATTGTGTTTGCGACGATCATTGCAACTCTTGTTAGACGATATGCGCTCTGGAAGTCACAAAAGGGAGCATCCGTCGCAACGCTGGAACAGCTACATTCTAGCATCAGCTTGCCAAAGACGTTGTCCCTGATCTGGTACATTGCCTTCTTTCCTTTGTAAATTGCGTGTTGACGCCCTGCTCTAGGTCGCTTCGGGCGTTTTCTTTGACCAGTGTATTGTTGGTACTCATTTGGTCGTGGTATTACCTCGGGTCGCAAGCTGTCTCCAGAGAACTTGCCTTCCATGATAGCGCTGTGCCTTACAATGTAAAAATGGCATATCCAAGCTCCTCTGGCCCCTCTGCATTCGATTTTGGTGTGCCGAACTCGACTATTTTGGCTAGAACGAATGCCAGATACCTGAGTAGTCTAATGAGTCCAAAGGCTGGAGCTCTCGTTGCTCAAACAGAAACCATCAGAACAGGTTGGGACGATGGCGGCAACGCCTTGATTCCGGTGTGGGACTTTCTTTTCGCCGATACCTATGAAGCAATGCACATGGAGACGAGCGGCTGGTGGACAACAGACCTTCCAAGCTACCAGATATGGTCCTCAAACATAGGCATTCCGTTCAAGGGGTTGTTCAATGACAGCACCTGTTTGGGTAGCTCAGACGCCTATGGGTGCTATTTGTTGACTGATCGTCTCATTGGAAAAGTAACTATAAACACGAGTTATATCCAGGCCAACTGCTCTGAAGTTGTCCTTGCAGGAGAAACATTCGCCAACAGCACCACGCCTCATTTTAACACGCTCTTCAACATGACCAACGCAACCATACCCACGATTAAGATCTCCCACAGATATAATGAAAGCTCCATCCAAACGTTCTGTAATCTTACACAGACTGGAGTTGAAATGGAGGTAGAATGCAGTTCGCAAGGTTGCAAATCAATTCGATCTCGTCCATACCCGGACCAAAGGCTGGCTATCGACCTCTTCTACAACACAACCATTGCACAGCTTTTCCTTGACAACATGGTCCAAGCTTCGGGCTCTCCTGCCTACGATGGCGACAACTATCTTGATAGTGACAGCTGGTTCAGCGACGCTGTGCTCAAGCTCGAAAACTATTCTTCATACTACGCAGAAGAATCTCCAGCCAAAGTGGCGCTTTTCCCCTCCCGAGCACTAACAAAGCTATTAAATAGTTACCTATCAGCCTCCCAACAAGCCCTCATTAACACCACGGATTCTAAAGCTATAATAGACGGGATCCTTGGCAAATCCTTGAACACCTTCTCAACTGCAACGATGAATGGTGCACCATACTCTCCGCAATACCGCATCTCTTGGCCATGGATGGCTCTCGATTTTGTTTCATGCGTAGTGTTGCTGGCAGCCTCCTCCCTTGCTGTTGCAATTGGAAAACGCACATTGGCTCCTGATGTTTTTGGCTATGTGTCATCGCTTACCCGCGACAACCCCCATATCAATCTTCCTGATGGAGGCTCGACACTTTCAGGGTTGGACAGAGCGCGTATGCTGAGAAAAGTGAAGGTGCAGCTGGCTGATTTGAGCGGCGAAGATGGCGTGGGCAGGGTTGGACTGACAGTAGCGGGAAGTGGAGACACTGGAGTATCGAAATTGCAAAAAGGAAAGCAATATAAGTAATATCGGGGCAGGTTCAGCATCATTGTATGATGTACTTATGAGATAAGAGATAGTAGTCACATTTTCTGTGCAAAATTATATACGTATTTCAGTGAAACTGTCCGTACATGTCGTAGAGTGTTCGTGAGCAGTTGTGTAATGCCAAACGAGTTACACAGTGATGACAGCCAAAGACATATTGTCTTCTTTCTTAGAGGAGTGATGTACTTGGAGCAATCTAAGATCTCAATTTACCATGAACTGGCTACACAACTTCACAAGCGGCTTTGAACGCGATGGAAGTTCAAGTCATGGACGTGGCAAGTGCAACAGCGGTCAAAAATTGGACTTCTTCCATCTTGGCTTTGAAATTTACAAGCACGAATCTCATTGAATCAATATCCATTGATGAAGTTACAGGATATCGTGAACTCCATATTGTAGCCCAAATCTTGAACGTGCGATTAAAACAACTCCTCGACCCGACGAAAATTCTCGGGACGACACTCCAGTGCCGCTTAGGACGACGATGAGGAAGTGCTGGAGAAGTCTTGAGTCAATTCAGGCCGAATGCTTTCGCGGGACGGGAGAATCGAGCCAAAGATATTCCTCGCGTCTGCGTAAAGGTGAAAGATCGGCTATCTATAGTTTGGGAACCAGATATAAACGAATCTGACTACGAGGATTCTGAGGATTAGCCGACACTCAAACAACCTCAACAGCTTACGAGAGTGCATGAACAATTATTATGAAATGTAATTGAAGAGTCACGGTGCGCATATGTCGTTAAAAGCGTAGACCGTCGTTCGAAGGTCTAAAAGACCTTGATTCAAAGGCGTGTCATCCTTGTCTTGACAATTGCTTGTTACAAACAGAAAGAATGACGCTAAAGCTCTCCCCCTACCACGGATTTACGCGCTCAATACAAAGAATGCGCTGATCTCGAATTTCTTACCCCTGGAACACGAGAAAAAATCAGCTTCTTTTTACAACCTTGAAAAGTGATGACGTCAATGACACTTCGTATCAGTAAAGGAGACATCGCATAAGCTCGAACCGGGGCGTATGAATAGTGCGATCATTCTCTCTCTCTCTTCTCCCTGTGTTCTTTGCTTCTGTCAACCCATATAGTACAGTTTAATATCTCGTTCCAAGCTTCAAGACTACAATTACCCCGATTTCACTCCGAATTAGGTACGCTTTTGACAGAGGACTCCAGTAGGAGATGTGTTAAGAAAATGCATGGCAGTCTTCTTGATTGGAAATTTGCGACTACGTCAATGGCTCGATTTCTACCAGTAGGCCAGATCCTTCTCACGCTGCCGGCGCTCCAGATCATGATTGCTGCTTACTTTACGGATGTGCTCGGGACTCATGTTTGCAACCCAGACTGGCCGGGGCATGCGAGATATCACAACGCCCAAACCATGGACTTGATGATATTCTTGGAAATAATGACCTTGTACTTTACATGGAGGTCGCCATTTTTAAGAGGCTCGACTGAGAAAAGAGAATCACTGTTTGTCGCAGCACTTATAGGATCTACATTCTTCGTTACTGGTATGCTAGCGCCTTACTTCCCAGGCCGACTTTGCCTAGATAAAGGCGTGCCCCCCGGAGAGCCTGGAACGCCGGGTAATTTGATTTACGGAGTGCCTCTTGTTTTGAACTGGATCGGATACAGGGTAGCGATTGGGAGAACCCAGCAGAGCGAGCACCAAGAATGAAAAATATAAGGAATGTGCATAAAAATGTGGTGTGACAAATTCCAAGACGCGGCGAAGAGCTATTGAAGATACAAGCTACAGAGCGAAGCTCTACAAGAAACAGTGAGAATTGAATAGCAATGAGATTTAGCACAGAACGGGAAGTTATTATCCACACGCGCATGGATTCTGATCGCATTATTGTCGCACTTCATTTTGGCTTGTTCAAATTTGTAATCAATACCACTGAATGGCGGGTTTCTCTCAACATTCGTAACTTTAATTATGTTGCAAAGGAGCAGATCTTGAATAAACTATGCAGCCAAGTTCATTTTATGCACACTCACATAAGATGAGGAAGATCAAGAGAATTGTCCGCAAATAGCCCCTCTCAGTCTTAGTCTAGATTGCTAGAGATAAGGACCAACTATGGGTATCTTTGAATACAGAAAGTCGTACTCCTTCGCTAGCCACCCAGTCGCCTCACCGCCTCTTCCAACTACACCGAGTCCACCAGCTAGCCAAAGGCCTGCAATAGCTGCAGCAGCTCCATTGACAAGATAAAACCTCCTCTTTCTTATCAATTCAATATCACTGCTCCAAGCCGTTGCCTGAGTGGGCAACCAACCCATCCATTTCGCCCAACCGCTCACCATATGCCATGAGCCAGCTACGACTAGAGCCGAGAACCCTACCCAACTTACAATAGGATGCTTTGCAAATCCATGAGATACGTACTCCAATCCCACATTCGCGCTGCCACCTTCCCACATCAAGGGCAGCACGCGGTTGATGAAAGCGTGTCCAATAGCGAGGGGAGCAAAAATGTAACCGGTTGCACTCGTCCAGCTTACCGGTGGCCACTTGATACTCCTACGCTCTGCGAATGTATCTGCGCCGTAGCGATGAATTTGCTGTCTTCTCCTGAATAGGCGTAGCGCAATACCAGACGCGATGTGCAGGCCCACAGCGCCGGTTATAAGGAGAGGCTCAAACGGAAGAGATTGATAATATGGCCGTGTGAGGAGGAGATAGGTGTCCGCCGTTGGGACAGATTGGGTGATCAGCGGTATTATTGACGTGTTCGTTATATGGAATGTGCCAAAAATCGTGAATGCATACGTAGAGTAGCGTTGAATACGGGTAACTGCTCGTGTGTCTTCGAGTTAGCATTCTCGGCGATATCAAGAATAAGGTGGTAACCTAAGGATTGGGTCTGTAATACGGTAGAAGGCAGGCCCATGGTGCCCTATTCCAACCAGAGTGCCTGATCTGGACAAGAATGGCGTCCTTGCACCATCAGGAACGGCCTCGTCTTTCTCATCAACCGGAAAGTAGCTTCCGTCTTCGCGGAATTCCGTGGGAGTCTCCTCCACCGGGGAGGGTTCGACCTCTATAAGTGACGCTGTGGAGGCACGAGACTCTTCTCGAGTCAAACGGGACGCATCTGCCATCTGCGCTCGCCTTTGTGATCAGTTTACGCCGCAATGTAGTTGGAAGATCCGGTTGAGATTAGCAAATGTGGAATGTGTGGCGTCTCATTCGTCACTGAGGCTGGAGCTCTCCACCTGACACGGATCCATCTCGCGCTTTCGCAACGAATTCAACGCACAATCTAAGCAAGCAAGACATAGAAAATTCCCTAAAAACAGTAGCCCAACATGGCGCCTGTAAGTATGTGCTGAGTTTGAGAAACATATCATACTAAGAAATAACAAACCAGCGTTTCCAAACGATGCCAGCGCCAAAAACCGAGTCCGCTCGTGAAGCCGCTCGTACATTCTACTGCGAATTATGCACCAAGGGCTATGCCCGTATGCCCGAATACGAAGCACATCTATCTTCATACGAGCACACACATAATCAGAGGAGGAAAGATGCGAAGCAATTTCATAAGAACCCGTTTGGCCAAAAGGACGCCAGCAAAAACGAGGAGCGGGACAAAAAGGCAGCGGGAATGACCAGTGTCAAGATGGACAGTAGCACCAGCGGAACCTCCGGTAAACTAGGTGGAGGCTTTAAGAAGGGCGGTTTCAAGAGTGCTGGATTCAAGAAAGTAGGAGGCTCAAATGCGGACGCCGCAAAAACAGAGCAAGAAGCCGTACCTCAAGGTTTGGGTGCGGGAGCTCATGGAGGCGAAATCGATAAAAAAGATGCGGAGCAAGAAGACGAAGGCCATGACCAGTCTGGCGACTACAGTTTTTGGTGCGAGAAAAACCCTGGATACACGTACTACGATCCAATGAGACCTGGTGGCTGTGACGTACGATGTCCGTGTCGGAAAGCAGGAAACGGTCAGTGCAGCGGAAGAGACTGTGAGCTATGTACACAGCTCGGCCCCTTGCCTGGCTGATGAAGGATGGCGGGAGCCTTGTTGCTTTTCAGAAAAACAACATTCCTATAATCTCTCTACAACTCCCTGGCAGCGGACTGGCCAACAAGAAACCAAACCTCGTTTCCAGTTTCCAAACGGAGACTATTGGCAGAACTTGAATTCGCTGACGGCAATTTGGATCACATGGCCTCTCGTGGAGTTACCACATCTCAACAATTCTGGGTATGGAGTATTTCCGTGTCCATATGGAAAAGAAGAGGCCTAACAGAATATCTAATTATGCGACAGCTAGTCCATGTATGGTGATTTGTCTGTCTCAACCAGTTTAGGAGCCTATTTTGGTCAAATATGCAACTGAAAATAGCTTAAGGGCAAGTTCATGCATTTTGAAGAACTGGATGATGGACGTATCAAGAGCCGGGTGAAGGACTTGCTGGCGGATTTGGAAGTCCCAATCATATCCAAATATTAATGTGGCGCTGACGGAGAGCGATATACAATCGCAGCGCATCTTGATCTACCCCTGAATGAATAGGTGGGCATTGGAGGTCACAATCTTGTGAAGGCAGACATAGCGAAGTTGATGAGATAAAGACCTACCAACTTAAGTGCTGGTCTACAATTTGAGAGAGGCCCTCGGTTCGTAACTTTGTTGAGAATGATGCGCTCATATTAAACAACAAACCTGAATAACCTTGACTCACAAAGCGCATCATCCATCCTGGTGCAGTAGATCACCTCGTGCAACAGCCCGTTTCAAGTTTTAAATCATCACAGGTTTCTGGTTCGCGAATATATATCATTCGGGCAACTACACCGTGTTGCTTGCAGCCCATCTCAAATTCATAGGCACATTCCTACAGGTGGTCTGAGGCTCAACACTTGCTCCAAGATGCCTACAACTTGACCTGGAAATAAGCCTGGCGCTCAAGAACTTTGCGGCTCCTAGTTTGCATACGACATATAGTTCGGAGCAACAGCCTTAGGGGAAAGATATTCAGAAGTTACGCGCCCCCGTATGACGCGCTTTTCTCAATGCTCACAACGCCGGAGGAGCGGAAGGATGCTCTCTCGAATGGGATCAACAGGTGAAGCAAACAGAAAAAGGGCAAGAGCAGTTACAGACGTGTTCATTGGCCATAGCGAGTCATGAGATGCACGCTTTATGCGGAGAGATGGGCGATTTCTACCGAGGGCACATCGTCGCTGTTTACACTCGGGACGAACATATACCATCCTCCGCAGAGGTCAAGGGGGCGCAAGGTCCGGTCGCATTCTACGCGCCAAGTACGTATCTCGGACAGGGATTTCGGCATGTCTGGCTCGATCAAGTGATATTAACTAGACTAGCGTCTACAATCGACTTGACTGGGAAAAGGCACGTTTTGTATTCTCACTGGTCCAGGCGGAAACGCTTGAAAAAATGCTGCGTACACCGCATCCAAGAATCTAGGTACTCGGGTAAACGCCTGTTCTCTAGGAATTAGACAAGATTGGGAAGATGCGGATGGTGATTGGGCACGCACCTGCGATGACGATGGCGTCGAAGAGAATGGGTGCGTTTGAATCAGTCGTGGAATATTCACTGCTTGGGATGCTGAAACTGCAAGTGAGAGCTATTCAAACAAGAAATTAGAAGACGTGCTGAAAAGCATTCTAGACTAATATGGCTTATCATCGCTCATATGCACTAATGACACGATTCTTTACACGAAAGGCCCCGATTACCGTCGTTATTCTCCTATATTGCTGTTTCACGCGCGCCATCAACGGCATAATTGGCACCGTTGACATAGCTAGCCTCGTTGCTAAGCAGGAAGACTATGACATTGGCAACTTCCTCTGGTTTGCCAGCACGTTGAAGCGCCGCTTCTCGTACATTTTCGATAGAGTTAAACCCCATGAAGTGGTCTCTCTTAGCCACCAAGGGCGTGTCGATGAGCCCGCTAAGCTCCCCTATTAGATTTGTTGTGAAAGAATGCAGATTGAGCACTCACGGAGCAACTCCATTCACCCGAATGTTCTTCGGCCCCATTTCCAATGCTGCACAGCGAACGAGACCAAGCACTCCATGTTTGCTAGCATTGTATGCTGCATGTTTGGCGAATCCAAGAGTCGATTGTATCGATGTGACGCACACAACGCTGCCTCCTGGTCCGATGTTTCGCAACTCCGCACGCATACTGTTCATCATGCCCTTCAAATTAATGTCCATGATCAGGTCCCATTGATCGTCTTCAAGCTCCGTAATTGCCCTTAGGCCGTGATGTTTGCCGATCACGCCAGCACAATTTACGGCACCCGTGAGCTTTCCAAACCTGGATACTGTAGCGCTGATCCATTCATCCACCTCTGCCCGTTTGCTAACGTCGACTCGAGTAAGTTGGATCCGAGAAGCTTGGTCCTTGAAGAGCGATTCAACGTGACTGAGCGCTGAGTCGTCAATGTCGCAGATGGAAACTGAGGCCCCACGGGAAACCAGTAACTGAGAGGTTGCGAGGCCAATTCCTGAAGCACCACCTTGAAAGTGTATTAATGCTGCAGTCCAGTAGCAAGGTGAGAAAATGTGATACCAGTAATCGCAATCACTTGGCCCTCAAAACTTTGACCGCTTGTCATCGCGTCTGAGAATATTCGCCTCAAGTTATAGGACAAGTCAGTTTTTTTTCCGTCATTTCTAGCTCAGGATTCTGATCTATTGGATTTATAGGCATGGTCGTCGTCATTTATTCTCTGAAAGGCAGTGACGCGGGGTATGAGCCAGGCATTCGGCGTTAATCACTCCGAAGAATTGCAAACGTTACTGTCGTGTCGGAGATTCATGGTCCAAGTGGTGTATGCTCAGCATACAATAATGTGTCTCATGTACGAAGCTATATCTTACATAACTATTTGTTATCACATCTATTTAGTACGCAAACGGTATGTTTTCGTAGAAGTAATATTAATATTACTATTAACAAGCCATGAGAGGTGGTGTAACCAGCACAAGCTGTCACACAATCACCCTCTGCATGTCAGGATTGCTGAGAAGGACAAGTCATGCTAGCTAATATAGCTGGGTGGCATAATAGATGTGCACACATATCCTCGCATAAATTATTGAAGAAGAATGTGTTGTTCATTTGCATATACTGAACTGCCTAGGAGCCTGACGCCCACTGAAATGCTCTTCTTCCTGTATTCTAGTAGCCTTCAGTGAATCATGGGACTTCAGCAGGTCAAGCTTGTTTTCACGCATCTCAGTCAAGCTATGGTATTTTGTCATTGTGCACTGTTTTTGAAGGTAACATTAAGTGAACGGGTCCGTGTCATGTGAATGTGAAAGAAGCTCGCTGAAACCCCATCGGGCCCCAATAATCAGGTCAAGTGCCTCTGGCAGATCATGCCTTATCCAAGTAGCGTTGGCTTTCGAAGCCCAAGGACATCGGTAGCAGATATTGTCCTTCTCTCACTTCATCCTTGGCTGTGGATTAGTGTCTGGCACGGACTTGGAGAAGTCGTCGAGTGGAGCATGTCCATCGTTCGGTCTGAGAGACTATGTACGCGCGCGGTGAAGGGCAATATGCCTCAATGATAGAATCAGGTACGTGTCCACAACTTCCGTAGATTGTGGATATGAAACCTAGCACATATCCCTTTTGTGGAGATATCAGGTTGAGCCAGTGAAAAACCTTTTAGGTCCATAGCCATTGCAAACCATAGCTGATCAAGTCGAATAAGCGCTCCTCAGCTTAACCTTTCAGAAGCCCATACGAAACTTGAATAAAAAAAAAAGCTCCAAGCAGTCCGTGTCGTATGCATGTGTGCGACAATAGCAAAAGTATACCGTTCCTGCGGCACTGTCAAGCTTCTTGTTCAGATTCCATAAGATAGGTGCAGACAAGGCCCTTTTTCGAGGATTATGAAGACAGCTCTCCTTGTCGTTTCAAACAGGCTATGCTTTTGCGAAAAGCGTAGGCTTGAGGGGTCTCATCGAGATTCCACTGACGCATACTGTATTCTAAGCCCAGCTTCGGAGGCTTTCCGCGCGTGACTGTCAAACTTGTAAAAAAGTTGACGATTTCGATCCCTCATCTACTTCGCTCCAACGATCCACGATGGCAGAAATGCCCTCTGCCGCGCGCGTCCAGACTCTCCTTTCCAACCTGTCGTCGGTCACAAACCGCATCGCCTCATTATCCACGCAGCACCCCGTCCGTCTGATCCTGGTCTCGAAGCTCAAGCCCGCATCCGACGTCCTCGCCCTCCACAGTTCAGATGCCAGACCTTCTCATTTTGGCGAGAACTACGTGCAGGAACTCCTCGAGAAGGCCGAGCTGCTACCTCGAAGCATAAAATGGCATTTCATCGGCGGGCTGCAGAGCAACAAGTGCAAGATTCTCGCCGAGCGCGTGCCGAACCTGTGGTGCGTGAGCAGCGTGGACAGTGTGAAGAAGGCGAACGAGCTGGAGAAGGGCAGGAAAGCTCTGATGGAGAAGGACGAAAGCGCAGACAGGCTGCGCGTTATGGTGCAGGTCAACACTTCCGGCGAAGAGTCAAAGTCGGGGGTCGAGCCAAAGGAGGCTCTGGGACTTTGTAGACACATTAGAGACTCCTGTCCGCATCTCAAACTAAGCGGACTGATGACGATAGGGGCTATTGCGCGGAGCCAGGAGACGACTGTCGAGAATGAGAACGAAGATTTCGAGGTCTTGCGAGCTGTCAGAGACGAAGTCGCGAAGGGCTTAGGCATTGACCCCTCTGAGCTGGAACTGAGCATGGGAATGAGTTCTGACTATGAGGGTGCGATCAAACAGGGGAGCAATGAGGTTAGAATAGGTAGCTCCATCTTCGGAGAGCGTCCGCCAAAGAATGAGGCCAAGGTCACTGGCGAGGCAGGCTGAAATACTATAGATTCTTGCAACGTCCAAGACCGTAGACTTTAATATTATGTTACCGCAAGGAAAACTATGCACAAGAGCAATAGGCTACTTCCACGCCCGACACGTAGACGAAATCAAGCGCCACCAGTCGTGCCATGCTCTTTTGAAATGCACAAACCGTTTTTATTCACCGTATCATGTTACCAGATCGCCATGCGAGACACTGCTATCCCAACAGAGAATCCAACTGCCTCGTCAAACGTAGACACCCATCTCGCACACTCGCTATCTCGCAAATCATTGATCTGTCACGCCTTGGGATAGTCGAGATTCCATGAGTTTCATCAAGACCGGCGGCACCCCTTCATCCGTCGCTCGAATCGTCAGGCGGTACATCTGCGAGAGTTGTCAGTCTCAACCTACAAGACAATAAACAAATCGATAGCATGGGAAACTCACTTTCGTGTCATAATTCGGCTCCAACCGCATCAAGCAACCGTAGTTTCCTCCCTCGCTCGTTCGCAACACTCCAGCACCCACGATGTTTCTGCTATTCGGATCAACGCCGTCCAAGACTCCCCAATTAAATCCTTCAGCCATGTGCCGCGTAAATGAAGGGCTAATTTCCCCTTTGGCCTCGAATATCTTCTGTGATTCTCTCGATCCTCCACCGATCTGTTTCCACCGCTTAAAGAAGTCCTCGGCAGAGAGCTCAGCTCCAGACATATACTTGTGCAGCGTAACGGGAAGCTGCAAAGTAAGCGCTTGCAGCGCACCAGCCATGTATGTCACACGTATCGTAGGGGCATCGGTGAATGCAGCTTTTGCCTCAAATAGCACTGTCTGCTGGGTTTGCTGATCTGGATGAATCGTCGTGTCGGGCAAACTTTTTACGTCCGATTTAAGTGCTTCAGATGATTGATTATCGATGACCGTCGTGAAAGAGTTGATTGGCGAAGCAAATTTGTTTTTGAAATAGAGAATAACTGCACCTGTAGACCCACGGTACTCAGAGCGCAGTCCAATCTGGATCTGTGCATCTTCGTACAAAACGCCGCCATCAAGGGTGAGTAGTCGATAGTAGCCATGTTCCCAGTCTGCACTGAGGTGGGCGGCACTAGCGAAATTGGGTGCTTTAGAAGCCGAGCCGTTCATGTCGAGGCCCGCGAGATCATGGCTGCCAGAGCTCATGGAGCCGTTGGTCGCATTGGCTAACTGCGCGTTATTGGTGAAAGAGCGTTTCGCTCCCGATGTCTGCAGAGCAACTTCCCTGGCGTCGGAGTTCGCGTCTTTGCCTCCGATCGCCCATACCCGCCTGTCGCTTGTATTCGCATGCTTCGAATGTAGTCGAGACAATAGAGGTGAGGCTCTTTCAGGGAATGGAGGCATTTCGTCGCATATATGTTGGAGCAGTTCTTGGGAGGGCATCGTCGCGACATTCAAGTACTCGCACGCTCGTTGCTGCAGTTCCGGATCCATGCTATGACTATATGCCCGGAACGTTTGCAGAAGCTGCGGCCGAATCTCTGGAAGCAAGTTGACAAACTTGAAGAAGCACGACAAAATCATTGCTTGTGTGCCAAACGAGCAATTTTGCATTTTGGCGTGGAGCACCATGAATTGCTCGATTGGACTGCAGCCCGGATTATCGGTGATGTGGTAGCAGCATTCGCCAAGGATATAAGCTGCAATCTTGACCAACGTCTCATGTATGTGATCTTTCTTGATGTAATCAAAGATCGTTTTTGCAGCATACGGCTGCAGATCCTCATTGTTCGTGACGATCTGGCACACTCGCTGCCAGACTTCATCACTGACGTGATCGCCCGCCATTGCTATCAGTCGTAGCGAAATATCAACGTACCACTGAATATCAGTGGCATATTTCTCAGTCAAAATTGCGATCTTGAGGACCATCTCCTCCCTGATGGCATAATCCGCGGTCTGCAAGTACTTCAAAAGCTCTGAAACGATAGGCTGGGCATTTGTCGAGTCGCACATGCTGTACAAAAGGTCCAAGCCTTGCCTTCTGACACTAATGTCTCGGTCTCGCAAGGATCCTATGATAATTTGCTGGTGCTTCTTGATTGGGTCAAGAGTGTCTGTACGTGCAGCTAAATGCACCATGGCTTCCAGACCAAGATACCGCACGTTCGTTTCCCGTGACTGGATGAATTTTCCAAGTTTACTTGATATTTGCACCATGAGTTCTCGCTCAGTGTCAAGATGGATGACTAGGTTGATCGCTTCGAAGAGAACGGCATTCTGAGCATTGTTCTGCTGCACATTCTTGGGCGCCTCCATGGCATTATCGAGGATCTTCTGCAGCGATACTCGTATGAGATCCTGGATGTGACTATCGTCTGCATTTTCTTAGCATAATCTAAAGAACGTGTATCATTCGACTGACCAGAGGGAGGATAGTATTGCAGCAGCTTTAGCAGTTTGACCTGAATCCATGGGCATGGTACTCTGTAGTAATGATAGTCAATGGAGCATTCATTGTCCACCACAATCGCCTTCAGTCGCCGTGCGGCCTTGACATAGCTTGACTTGTACTGCTCTGCATTGTCCTGCGCAAGTGCAATGACCAACGATGCCACAGAGAGTGCAACTCCCATGTCTTGATCATCCATGATGGAAATTATACGCTCGGCCCATTCGAATTGTATTATACCCGGGAACTTGCGGTACAATCGCAGAAGCGTCAGAGCTGCCTTTTTCTTGACGAAGGACTTCGAAGTTCTTTGCTTGCAAGTCAGCCTTAACTTTCTCTCTGCAGTAAGCAGCAGGTGTACCCACGGTGAGATCAAAAGGCGGTGCACGTCTGCTGCCAGGGCCTCTCCCATCTCCTTCCCACCCACGTTAGCGATAGCATGCAGCGCCAAACAATTAAATAGTTCATTGTGGTCATTCAGGTCCTTCCTAATGCTGTTGATAACCAAATGGACGAGCTCATGCTGTTCATGCAAGAACAGAGTCACAGCCAAGTAGCCAATCTGTTTCTCGGAATATTTGGTGCTAGACACCAGATTTACGGCCTCTAAATGCCCGAAATCGACATTCCAGCCCAAGATGTATATGTACAAAAGCTTGCACACATACTTCTTGCGGTCGTAGCCAGTCAACTTGCCATCCTTAAACTTTTGCCGTATGTTAGCCAGCTCCTTGTTGATTCGTTTCTCCTCTAGCTCGCGTGCCCGGGCATTGCGAAGATCAGCAATGAAGGTGACAAGACCTCGCATCGGCGCATTGGTGCCATCCTTGCGGGAAAATAGGCTAGCCGACGCGCCAACACTGGCGAGCGCTGTTGGGTCCTTCGGCATCTTCGAACTGTGTTTCTGACGGTCCACCCCGTCTCAAATGGAGAGCCTAAGACATCGGCAACGCTAGTTGGAGCCGAGAGGTTGAACTTTGTTTTGCTTGTCAGAGAAAGGCGCAACCTTTCGCGGCGGGGGGCGATAAATGCGGAGGCTAGTCCCTCTCCTTTGGCTGACTAGCTCATACGACAGCAGCGTGATATCGGAGGCCAGGCTACAGGTCGCAAGACGGCACGTCAAGCTTTCAAGCAGACCTTGTCGGCGCGCAGAGCGAGTTATAAAGGAGAGAAGCTGCGTTGTGGAGAGGAAGTGAACGGTGTAGGCTTGGTAATTACTATTCCCAGATAGTCGAGGTGTGGATTCGGGGTCCTTGCGCCAGTAATTCCGTCCTCTCCCAAAGGCAAGCTTCTGTACGTTCACCTCTTCTCGTCGCAAATTTGGCTTCGCTACACACAATTCCATCTCGCCGCTCAACCCTGCAACTCTTACGATGCGCAGGATACCTAAGATTTACGAGCCCGTCATTGATGCGGCCATTGGACGCATTGCCGGGCAGCGACATGTGTCAAAGTATGTGTGCAAGCGATGTCTGCGGCACGGTTCTTCCAGTCAGCTGCCTCCAACATCAACGGCACGATTCTCCACCAGTGCGGCTAGTTCAGCTGCGCTTGGAATGGACAAATTTTCAAGCGCAATGAAAGGGGAGACGTCGATGTTTGATGGAAAGGCAGAACAAAACGAGACGGACTTCAAGCCCGCAGAAACCTGGGAGGGCCTTGAGTGGGTTGGCACCAGACAATGGTACGAACAGCAGAAACGACCATCGAAGCCATTTCAAGGGTATGTCACTGCAGTCATCGAGCAATCCGCATGTCTTTACTGACACATGTGAAGATACGGCCGCATCACGGCACCATTGAAGGATCGAATAAAAATTCGGGATGAGCTGCTAAAAGCCATTGTCGAAGTTTTCACCATCAAGAAAGCAGCTCCAGATGCATGGAAGACGCGGCTGAGGCAGGCCACCGTGGATGACGCTGAGTTGTTCCCCCGCGGCATTCGCATTGGCAGTGATCCTCATACCAAAGAGCTAGTCTTGGAGTTTGAGAACGGAGAGGTAGAGAAACAGTTCTCGGACCATTTGCAGAGGACAATCAACTCGGAGAGCCAAAGAGCGAGAGAAGAGATCTCAGACACTGGATCCTCAACAGCCGAAGCTGCGCAAGCCACACAGTCAAGCTCGGAGGACTTCGCATTTGCTGATCTTAGGAGCGAGAGCTATGGCAAATGGTCGTCGATCAGCCTCGAAGATTTGGGTGTCAGGTTTGCGGTATGTGTTTCGAAGCGCGGGCATCTTTTGAATGCATCACTGACCATTTGTGACGAACCAGATTGCGAGGCGAGTTCAGCAACGCACTGGGATCAGGCTGACGGATCCGCAATTCACGCACGCGACTACGGCTGGAGCCATGTTCAATCATTTGTGGAAGCCTGAGAAGCCCAAGAAACTTGCCGAAAGACTGATGAGCAACGAAGAATTGGCCAACCTGCCCAACGTGAAGATTGCTGACCACAGAATCACATTTGTGCACCGCGAACGTGAAGTAGGCCGATGGAAGGTCATTGAAGAAGAATTGAATGAGCGCGGAATCCCAGCTTTGGGTACGCCCGGCTTCAAGAAGCGATCTGGGAAGGTGTGAATGCAAATCAGGGGGGGGAGCAGTGAGGAGGCGAGTTTTGTACTAATACAGCATCGTTGCGAAGCCGTGAATCTCTATGCCTTGCGCCGGGGCACGCTTTGCTGGAGACAAGATGAGGATTCTGAACTAGCAGGCAAGGTCTGCCAACAAGCATGGAACTAGACTTTGCGGCGCCAGACGCAGCATGTACAAATCTGGCTGCCTTGATGAACGGCAGCAGTAAGATGAGACAATACAGCGTGGTTCGATCGCAGTGACAGCGACCAATCAGCAAAAATGCCCGCGAGAATCCGGCGTGGCCTCGTCCGGCTGGTCGAAATGAGCGCGAGGCGAGTCAGATCACATGATCTGGCTGCGACACTAAAACCGGCTCGGGTCGTTGGCTCATTGCTCGTTTCGCTTCAGGAGCTCGCGCGCTGCGGCTCAGCTGTTCCACCATCAATCTCTTCTGCATCTCGCAACATCATCGATCGTCACTTCGCTCTCTTTAGCGCCACATCCCGTTGCCGTAGGCATCTTCGTGACAACTGCGCCCTGCATTTTCGACGCGTCGTGGCCGTGCTGGTACTTTGATCGCAGCGGCTCCAGGGAGATCAAAGCGCAGGCCGCTGCGTCCGTTCGCTTCGCAACGTCTATACACGTCGTGACACGCGCTGAGATTCACGCGACGCCACGCCATCTGAGATCCTGTCGCGGCCAACTGTTTCCCGTCGGGCGGTGCTGGAGTCATGGACATCAAGGAAAAGGACCACAACTTCCGAGCGTCGCCACGTGCGGATTCTTTCATTGCCGTTTCTGACGACTCGATGGACGCCGATGACGTGCAGTCGCCAGCGCCCGTGGAAGACGAGGCCGTCATCAAATGCGTCTGCGGCTTCGGAAAGGGCTATGACGATGACGACGCCATCATATGTGATAATTGCCGGACCTGGCAGCATACCTTGTGCTATTTCTACCAGAGACCGCTGCCATCAGACGACGAGCAGTATCTGTGCCTGGATTGCGGAGGAGCACGTGATGACCTCGACATAAATGCCGCAGCAGTGAGGATGCGTCGGAAGATCCGAACGCTTGCCACCATCGCGGATCGCATCTCAGAGCTCTCGTGCGAGATCGTAGCGCGCAACGAGGAGCTGGACAAGCTGGGCTGCGAACTGTCCTGCGTGGAGAGCGACATTTACCTTAAGGGTCCGTTGCTAGCTGAGCACGGCACAGCCGCTTCATGGGCTGTGCTAGATGAGTGGCACGAGGAGTATTCGCTTCTTCGATATGAGATCGACAAAACCATCGCCGAGAGAGACGCAATTCGCGCACGCGTTGATGAGCTGGAAGACGACGCGAATCGCGTGAAACGAAACGAGCCGACCAAAGCGGAGGAGTTGAAGTCAAGGTTGGATGATGAGGCGGCAGGACCAAAGCTGTGGACCACTGCGTGCTCGCTGGGCAATCGGGCGGCGGTTCCGCACTCGCTGCCACCGATCCTGGAGCGAGCTCTAGGAAGGAGTACAAAGAAGAAGCGGAAAGCTGGTCGATTACGCTAACTTTGACTCGGCTCTTTGACCACGTGCGAGTCCTTATTGGTCAGAAAGTTTTATTTTCGAGCTTAGCATGGGCATGAGCATTTTGATCGTCATAGCATGGGCAAGGAGTTCGTCTGGTGTCTACACATTGGCATATAGCCATTGCATGTCCGATGGAGAGAGCGAACTGTGTTTTTATGATATGTTGGGTTTATCAAGCATCGCGGTCGATGCTTTTCTTTGATCGTTCTTCATGGCGGTTCTCAACTGTGATATCATTAGTTGCAAACTGTGTAGCAAATATCGCATATGCTTGCGCCAACTTGGAGCGAGTTCACTATTCCTCCTCTGACCGACCTTGTTTGGTTAGAAGCAGACTTCTGACATACCAACCTTGTATCGTCGCGGCTTCCTGTTCAAAGCATGATGCATGTTCTCAATCTTGAAATTGGTTCGGTACCTCCGGGTAATATCATCAGGCTTCGTATTGACTTTGTTCAAGAGATATCTACATCTTTTATGCAGCGACAAAGACCTCTACTGTCCACCGAATAGTCTCCGAGATGGAAAAAAAAGATGTATTTAGTCAACCTATGTAACCAATCGTGATTGGAAACTCCACACCGTAAGTATCGCCGGTTTATATCCACCTTGTCATTGTTCTTAATCCTAGCACGAATACAATAAGATTATAATAGCATAGCAAACGACCTTCGTTAACGAAATGCAATGCTCTGGGAGACTAAGGTTCTTCTATGACGGCTATTTCAACCCTCTTAAGCTAGCTTTAGGAAAGGATTGATGCGGACGCTCGCTCGTCCCATTGCGAATGTCTGAAAACTTCTTCTCCACCTGTGCTTCAAGCGAACAGCTCAGTTATGAAGCAGTTCGCTCTTGCACGGTTATCCAAAGCAGTCGCAGTATCTAAAACCGTCCAGATAGTACGTGCCATCACGAGAAAGGCATAGGACAACCTTCACGTCGAGAAGCAACATCACGCGATTGAGACAAAGATCTCTAGTCGGTGTGATCGATAACCCGATCGTGCTGTCATCTTAAACGAGCAATGTTTCGCAAGAGTGACGAATTGAATGCCAGCACATGCTTGGAAAGTCCCGAGCCTGCAGTCGCGGCTGTAGCAGTGGCAATGCCAAATTATACCCTGCCTTGAACGGATGTCCAGGTCGTATCTGGTTCTAGACAACATGGCTGGTCAAGTGACAACTATTGGTGTGAGGAGATCAGTCCTGTTTGTTTCGCCTTCCTGAGAGGGTCACGATGGGATTCAGCGGTGCAATGGAACACGGCAGATCAACTTCACAAACGTACCAAAGCGGGGAACGTCAGGTCAAGCTACTGCTAGTTACCAGACGTATTCCAATGATCTAAGTTTCACGGCCTCAGATTAAAGCCAACGACCGCAGGTGATTTTTGGGCGCTGCGATCGTCGGATCTACGAGCAAAATCCCGTCAAACGTCCGTAGTCCAGTATTACATGATGAATTACGCTTTGAAGCTAGGTATTAGTTTGTAGCAGTACCTGAATGCCTCAGCTCACTCATTGCATCGAAAAAAAAAAACTCAGCTCATTGTCCGCTGTTTTTCTACTGGACCTGGATGCTTACTCCCCAATTGCATTATCCTTGGTATGCATATCTAGACAAAGGCTCTACAGATATATCGTACAGTTTTGCTTGCAGGGGAGTCAACAACTTGCAGAAGGGTTGTGAAATTCTACAATAAGTTTGTCGAATATAACAGCATCCAGGAGGGGCGAGGCGTGTGAGAGAGCAACATGAGCTGACTTTGCTGATGTGCCTTCGACATTCCAGATATCACAGGTGGAGACAAAGACGCGAATCAGGAAGATGAAGATGAGATTCTCTTCCAACTTCAGGGATATTCCGAAACTCCTGCCAAAACACTGCGTTTTATGATAGCACAGCGAGAAGTAGGGTTCAGAGGTAAACTTCGTGACACGTTGGAAAGACATAACGTATTTGTCTTATGATGTCGCCAGCAAGATTATTCGGTTCTGTACTGCGGAGAAGAGAACGGCTGATTGATAAAGGTTGAACGCAACAATAAAGTTCTGCAGCATAGCATACTTGGTATCTTTAGACTTGTACTATAAAAGTCGTAGTAATCGAAAGACTGGCTGCGTGAAGTATTGTGGAGAAATGATTATGTGTAGGCGATTTTTGGCTTTGTTCGTTGTGGTGAAGCATCCATACGACTACATGGAGCAATCTCGGCCATGTGCATTTTTATTTCCTACTATTGGATCCAAGCTTTTGAACACTTCAACGTTTCAAAATCCACGAAGAGTTCGCGTTCTGGATGGTAGCTACCATTATATTGTCAATCATCATCGCCCATTCTTTGAAGACTGCAATCCAATGATAGCCATGAACATTTCTTCGTAAATTTCTCCACGGTCATATAGAGTATCATAGTTCTGCACCTTGCCCTATGAACGGCTTTTGACATATGGTCCATGTTTCTCCATCTCCGCTTTGTTTGCCTTTGTTGCTCGATTGCAATGCTCGACTGCAACCTTACGCCAGATCACGTAATATCTGACACTTAAGGATTTCAAAGGGCTATGTAGCAGAGCGGCAGTAATGCACGCTCTTTGTTCAACATGGTAGTCGCATTCGTCGGATATTCTCCTTCCTTCGGTCCCGAAGAAGCCGGTAAGTTCTACATGAAATCAAATACTCAAATAAGCTTCATCCTGCGCCTGATATAAAACTAGGCGACCAATATTCAGGCTCTTCAGCCTGAAGGTCAACCCAAACGAGAGAGTCGGCCATCAGGTCGTCAACTACTGCGGTTGCCCTTCCTTTTTCCCACGAGAGATTATCCCGTAACATTGATATAGTTACGTAGCCAAGAACCTGAATAACTTCGAGAACGGTCGACTGGTCATTATTAAGCTCCTTGGGAACAGATCGGATCATTTTTGTGCTTCCAATCTGAATAATCTTGAAACCGGAAGCAAGAGGTTCCAAAGATTTGACCGCGCGGTGTATGTCATCACTAATTGGCATTAGCAGCCTATCTACCTGAAGGGGAAAGAGATTTATTGCATACTCCGATACCTCCATGCCACCACCAATAGCCTTTCCTTGTTGAATTCTTTTCTTCACCTCAGACACTGCCATCATCCCTCCATTCTCAGCCCTTGTCTCCCTGCAGACCTCTACAACTCGCACGGCTAGCTCAAAATAAAAGTCATTTACGCTACCGCCGAGCATCTGAGACCATATACTGCCCCCGCCCTTGGCGCCTTTGCTGGTGTGCGATGACGCTAAAGGGTCCACGCCGATAGCGTTACACATACGTGCAAATTCAGCGCGAAAAGTGGGGTTGCTTCGGATGTCCTTGCCATGAGTTATGCTGAAGTTGTGGAGAAGTTGCTGGAAGACTGATAGCTGAGTCTGAAGAGAATCAAGATGCTGTGCTTGGATTGAAGAGCCGTAGTTGGCATAAGCATCTTTAATGGCCTCGTTGGAGAAGGCCGAGAGGCCCACTCCACGGCGAGAAGCCATATTCAAGGCGTAACAGTGGGGTCTGCCGGCTCAGAAAGAACACGATAAGAAAGTTATCATAACTCTCGTTCATAGACATCGATGATATGTAGATTCACGTGTATAAAAACTTGGCCTAAGGCTACAAGGAAAAGTTGTCCTGCGCACGGATCACCACAAACGGGTAGCAATTTTCTTTCTCGAACTTTTTCCTTGCAGACCTCGCCCAAGCCTTCGCACTCCATCGGTCAATAGCAACAATGGCTCCTGCTAAGAAAGCTACCGCTGTCAAGACGTAAGGGAATTCCACCGCCACGACAAATACGACAAGAAAAGAGAATGGTAGGATAGTCAGGCACATATCTGCTGGAATGGCTCATCGCAGCACCAGCTCGATTCTTCCTCAGACTCAGCCCTCATGACGTCCGTAAGCTTCTTGCGGCGCTTGAGAGTATGGGCAGAGATGTTGGGGCAGAAGGTAGCACTTCGCTCCAGAATACATTGGCCGCTGAACGTTTGTGTATTCAGCGTGCTCTTCACGACCCTGCACGCAGGGCGCATCAATCTACGGTTGCGATCCAGATGTAGAAACGATGACTCGTTTCTGCGGATGAAACCGTGACTTTCGATGCGATATTATCGAGATGTAACTCCAGTTCAGAATGCCGCTATGCTGCAATTCTCGACTTGCGAGTACAAACATTAAACGCCTGACTATTCTAACGCAACACAGTACGGTCCCAACTAAGAGCGAGATTCTCGCGCCTGAATCTCTCCTCAAGAAGCGCAAGTCTCAAGAGAAGGAGCGTGCCAGCCGTGCTGCCGAGCTTGAGAAGAAGCGAGCTGTAGGTACATCCCTTTTGCTTATCGGGGAGACAGAGTTATGATGATAGCAAACCACCTAGTCGACTAGGCTCCTCGCCGATGTTGTCGCTAAGTTAACCATCTTTCGGGACTGATGTGGAGGAACGAGTCATCACTTGACGAGAAGTCATGTCGTTGATGGATCAGACTGACCATGTATCCACAGGCAAACAAGGAGAAGCGCAAAGTCATCTTCCAGCGTGCTGAGAAGTACGTGAAGGAATACCGCGATGCGGAGCGCGAGAAGATTCGCCTTCACCGCGTAGCCAAGTCCGAGGGTCACTTCCACGTTCCGGCCGAGGCCAAGCTCGCCTTCGTTGTCCGTATCAAGGGTATCAACAAGATCGACCCCAAGAAGCGCAAGACTCTTCAGCTTCTGCGTCTCCTCCAGATCAACAATGGTGTCTTCGTCCGCTTGACAAAGGCTACCATCGAGATGCTGCGAATTGTCGAGCCCTTCGTTGCCTATGGTTATCCCAACCTCAAGTCTGTACGTGAGCTCATCTACAAGCGCGGCTATGGCAAGGTGAACAAGCAGCGTGTGCCGCTCACGGACAACGCAATCATCGAGGAGCATCTTGGCAAGTACGGCATTGTCTGCATGGAAGACCTCATCCACGAGATCTACACTGTCGGCCCCAACTTCAAGCAGGCCAGGTAGGTTTTCGTTCTAATGTGTTTAGCTCTACATTCCGCTAACCATCACCGCAGCAACTTCCTATGGCCGTTCAAGCTGTCCAACCCCACTGGCGGTTTCAGACCTCGCAAATTCAAGCACTTCATTGAGGGAGGTGATCTTGGCAACCGGGAGGAGCACATCAATGCTCTGATCAGACAGATGAACTAAGGAAATTGTGCGGGCCAGTATGGGATCATAACAAGGAGGGCAGCGTATTCGGCTGTTTCCTTGCTGACAGCGGTGGCGTGGGTCACGGTTTATGCGAAGCATTTGGCAACCCTCGGATTAATTGTATGAGGGCACCAACGGCACGGTGGCGTACAGGCTTCAGTACGGTAGCTCGGTATGAAAAAGTACTCTGCAGATGACATGGCACACACAGAATTTTTTTTGACCCCTTGCGCAAAGTGCACTGTTGGGAACTGCAATTGTCCCCTTCACTTTGCAACCTTGTACAAAATCGCGTGTTTGGGTGATACGCCAAGCAAATGACAACACCCGAGTTTGAAGATAGATGCTACCCTCACGAAGTGATTTTTGTGCATGAGACACGAAGTTTGACAAGAAGACTTCGCTCGTAGGGGTCTAGTAAGGGAACCCAGTCCTGTATATTCGATTGCGTGACCCTGGATGAGTAGGAGAGGCTTACCACGTGCTGTCCGAGTGATCGACTGCAAATTAGAAGCTCACTTGCCCGAGGCTCAAACCAGTTGCTTGCCGGGAAAGTGCAGTGAGAAGAGAAGCGGAGGGAAATCGCTTGGTCGGTCCTCGTTGAATACGTCGCGGAGCAGAGATAAAGAGGGATCGTTGCGGCAAGCGCGACAACAAGGATCTTTTCGATCCCACGAAGCGGTTTGAGCGAGCTCTGCGTCTTCTCCAGCAGCCCGCACGTGCAGCCTGTGTAACTGGGCCTAATGCACACGTCCTGAATGCAAGCCAACAGGGTGTGTTGGTTACGCCTGGACCATTTGAGCGAACAGGAGGGAACCAAGAAAGAGATTGACGCTGATCACGGATTGCAGTGGCAAAGCTGCAACGAAGCGAGATGCCGCGAATGCACGGAAAGGAATGAAAAGATGAACACGGTTGTGCTGTCAAGCTCGAACAGCACGAAGGGCAGGCTCTGGCACACGCTGCTGGCGCTGTTGCCTTGCGCCGTGTAAGGATTAGATCATCATCAAGAGCATGGTGGCCGGCTGCCTTGGATGGTTTGTACGAGGTGGCAGCGAACGCGGCCGGGGACGTCAGCTATGACAGCATCATCAGCCAGCGACCGCATCATACCCAACGCCGTCATCGTCATCGTCATGATCTTGCTTCTGTGTTTTCGCCACTGAAGAAGAAAGGAAGAGGGAAAAAAGCCAGGGGACGCGTTGGTTGGCCGGACGGAGTGGTGCGAATGACTCTTGTGCAGCTCCCCTTCTGCTCCGCCGTGACCGACTTACCACTAGAACGGACTGGACCCCGCAAGCGAAGGGCGGGAGAGCAGGATGGCTGCATCCTTCTCGGTCGGATGCGGTGGGCTCACTTTTCCATTCCCACCGCACGCAAGGTTTTCGATATTATTTTCCCTCTTCGCGCCGTGGGAACTATTTTAGTTTACAGCACAGCAGCGTAGGTGGGTTGCAAGGGCCCAGAACACACCCTCGTTGAAATCTCCCGAGGACGGCAAAAAGCGGTCGCCGAAGCAGGCCGGAACGACGCCTGAGAAAGGAAGGGCGAAATGATGCAAGGACGGAGGGACGGAGCGCGCGTCTAGCACTTCTGCATCGGCCTTGGCCAGCCGTTCGCAGGAACGCATGTCCTCTCTCTTTCGTCTTTTTGCAAGCCCAACAGCATCCCCAGTTCCTCAGCTCATTTTGTGGAGGCCATGCTTTTCGGTCCTACCGCTATCGCCGACGCCGCCGCCGCAGCAGCAGCAGCTGCTGCTACGGCTGCTGTTACTGATGCTGACGCTGCCCGACTCTAGCCATGCTATGCACGACGGTGCGATGCAAGGCAGATCTCAACCGAACGCGAGCCCTGCGTCCGAGCCTTTCCGCTCGTCTGCAAACCCTCTTTTTAGCTTCTCTCTCTCTTCCCAATTCTCCACTTGCCTCTTCTTTACCCTTAACTCCTTCCCTTCTCCGCGTCTGCGTTCCGTAGTGGGGTTGGGGGGAGGGAGCTCGAGGGTACCGGCACAGAGGGGACATGCGCGGCAAAACTCAAAAAAAATCAATAGAAAACAAAAAGTGTCATATGCACCAAAAAAAAGAAGAAAAGTTTGGTGTTAACTGGAGGCGAAGTGTGGGCTCGGTGCCTCTTTCGCGTTGCGTGTGTCAGTAATAAGATACCGCACAGGTTTCGTCCTCACGTCTCCCTCAACGCATGCAAACAGCAACAGCAAACCCGTGACACGCAGCAAGAATATAAAACGGCTTTTCGTAAGATATGTGGGGAAATCCAACAGCTGGGAAATCCAAAACTGTGGTTGCTCCGGACGGTTGCTCGGCAAGAAAGCAAACTGACCCACGGCTCAAAGTAATTTTTTGTCTATAAAGTTATTTTTTTTTTTGTTTAATCGCTGTTAAGGCTCATGCTTTTTTTACTGCGTTCTGCGTTTCACGGAAACAAGGCTTTTGACTCTCCGTGTAACGCAGCATCGATCCTTCGTAACCTCCGGTTCAACAACTCTTTGGTTCTGGCCCCCTTCCCCACGTCTCCTCTCTCCGTTCCTCTCCCTCTTCCGGCCGAGTGCTGACGAACGAGCAAGCGACAATTCGCTCTCCTTCGCCAGCAGGCGGCCCACAGTGAGTGCCCAGTCACGGTTTCAGCCGGCCGCTGCACTACGAATGTACGAGATGGATGTTGCTCCGCTTCCGTCCATCGGCCGTCTGCTCTCGTGAGGGTTGAAAGGCGGGCTCCGGCGGGATGTACGGTACAGACTGGACGTCGCCTAAGTTCTTTTTTGGAATTGCGCACGCGGCAAAGCAAAAATACGAGGTTGAAAACGGGAAGGGGCTCAGGAGCAGGCCTTGCGCTTTCCTCCCCCTCGAGGACCCAACATGGAAATGCAGAGCAGAAAAGACTCGTCAATGCCAAATTGTTATTTCTTTTTCCCCTTCTCCTTGTGAGTGAGCGGAGAGGCAGACTTTTGCCATGCCATCCGCCCAGCCGTTGGGCGTCCGCAGCAATTTCTGCGCCTGCAAGCGAAAGAGTAGTAGTAGCAATAGTTTCACAGTCAAAGGCGCACAAGCGTGGTCAGTTTATGGCTCAGGCAGGGGCGTTTAGAGGGCCTCATTATTTCAACACGAGCGAAATGGGACTAACCTACTGCACCTATTACGACGACGAGGACGGGGCTCCTGTTCTGAGCAGAGCTGAATGGCAACAACGAAGAGCTCCGTGCTTGATCCTTTTTGGTTTGCTGCTTTTGTTATGATTGACAGAAGCCTTCGGCCTTGCGACCGGGACCGTCGCGTGGCGGCTGCGTGTGTGTGGCGGCCGCCAGGCTTTTATTGGTAGACATGTGGGCAGAGCGGCTTCTCCATTGCGAACACAGCCGTGGCCGCGTTTGATCTGACGCTTTCGTTGAGAGCGGATTATTGGTGGGCAGTCGAGTCAACGGGGCATTGCCAATTTTGCTGCTCATGTGTTCTCCCATGGGCAGCCTTTGTGAGGGGGCTCTGCAAAATGGCTGCTCGACATACTTTCGCTCCGCTCGACCGGCATGCCAGAGCTTGCATTTGATGGTTGACTGGATGGCAACAAAGCACGCGGCTTTGCCACGGTGGACTTCCTGTCGTTGTCCGACAGATGGGATAAGGTCTGACGTACGCTGGACAGAGGCTTTTGTCCGGCTGACAAAATACACGGCTACTGACCAGCGTGAACAATGAGCGCTACTGTGAGCTGTGTGTAATGGCACCCACCAACGGCGAGGAGGACGGGGAACGCAGAACATGGAAAAGGCGTGATTGGTGGGCAGATGAGAAGCGGAAGGGGTGGGCGTAGCCCTCTTGTCATCGTGAACGGTTTTTTGCGCAGTGCCTAGAAGAGATTTTTTTTTACCGCACCCCTGTCGTGGACCGCCCTCGCGCCGGAACCAAACGTACGGCCAGGCCAAAGCCGAACAATGGCCTATGCCCAAGCCCAAACCCAAGCCTCAAAGCGGAGAGCACAGGCCCACGGTTGGGAAGAAGAGAAAGAATGGGAAAAGGAAGGCAAGCTGCCGGACGAGCCAGGACTAGTGGACGCTAGGCGTGGACGAGCGTTCGGTCATGTGCAGGTTCAACTCTCCTTCAGGTGCCCTATTGACTTAGTTACAGGCGTGGAATGCGGCAGTGCGGACAGTCGTGTACAGCACCGTACATGTACGGGACAGTACTGTGCGCAGAGGAGCAGAGGAGGAGGTGATGGTGGTGGTGGTTGCGGTGGTGCTGTTGGGCAGTAACTTAACTTTAGCCGCCGTCATGGTGGCAGGTAGTAGCACGCCCACTCTGGCTCCACCCACTTCTCTGCTGTTTTTTTTCCCTTTTTGGGTGCCGCAGCATTTAGAACGAGCCCACGGAACCCTTCTGATGCACACGCAGACACACATCAGACGTACCTCCGTCCTCTTGCACACGGACGCACACGCCCGCAGGCACAGACGGGCAGACACACACACCCTACTCGCGGACACTCACGGACACACTCGCACACACACCCGCACCGCATCCGCCCGTCTACCCACCTACCCACCCGCGCACACTCCAAGTCGCTGACCTCTCACCTCATCATTATTCACGTTCCCAGTGATTACGCGCACTCCCACACTCTGCCACGCTCGTCCGCACCTTCCCCTTCCCCCTGTTCTGCCTTCACTTGTCTGAACCCACCCCCGTCCTTCCTTCCTCGTCTTTCTTCCCTACTCTTTCCCACTCCAACTCTCCTCTCCTCTCCGTCACCCTCTAAACCCACCGTTTCTCTCCCCTCTCGTCGCAGGCAGCGCTCTTAATTGAGCGACTCATCTCCACTCGCAGCGCCTTCATCTTCAGCGTCCTCTTTTTTCCACAGCGCTGGTTGTCGGCACCGGTCGGTTGATTCGTCCGTCGTTGCGTGTGTGTGTGCGTGTGCGTGCGTGTGTGTGGCCTTCGCAGACTTGATCCGCTTTCTTGGTCAGTCAGCTTCACCTCCCAAAAAAAACCCACCGAAACAGGCCTACCACTTTCATCGCCACCTCGCGATTCTGTCATCAGCCAACCGCCTCGCTTCCGCACCTCGGGTCGGTTCATACTTTCGCTGCAGCCTACGGCACCGAGACTGTGTCTTGCGTGTTCGGACCGCGTGTGCGTGTGTGCGTCTTGACTTTTGGTCCACCCTAAAAGGCAGACTAAACCGTCCACACGCACACACTCAGCTCATCCCCTTCCGGCTGTTTTTCCCACACCCAAAACCTGCTTCTCTCATCAAACCACTTCTCGACGTCCAGATCCTGCTCCTTGCACAGTCTCGCGGCATCGAGCTGCACTGTCTACTTCGGCCTACGCGTCAATCTCCAATTCCCGGATCACGGTCGCCTTTGTCCGGTGCAACGACCTATTAACTTAGCATCGTTGCCGTCGACCTCGACCACCTCCACGGCAAACGTCCTTCATCCCAATCCTCACACGAGGAATACGTGTTTTTGTGGCGCCCGTCGTCATACACACGACCTGCTCACGCGCTGCCGTTTCTCTGACGCGGTGCTTCCAACTCTTGTCGTGGAGTAGCTTTTCTCTCTCCAGTCAACGCCAGCCCTGGGACACGTCGCCTCGTCCGCGCGGTCGCACCCAGCTACGTTCTAGCACTTGCCCTTTTCACCCGCTTTTAACGTCATTACGCCCAATCTCGTACCCCGGATGACAACGACCTGCTAAGTGCTTTGACTTCGTCCGTCAAAGGGCTTTCGCTCTCCATCCCACGGTTGGAGGTGAAGGGAACGGTACTTGACAACGCGACCTTGATCCTTGCCACCGTAACTAACGTCACACCCAGGGCTTTCAAAGCCGTTTCTTTCGCTTCTAACGACTGCGACACTACTCAGTCATGCCGTCCTTCTACAACAACCGGCACATGCCGCTCACACCACCGGAGTACAGCACAGGCTTCCATAGCAGCCACTGTTCAGGCATGCCGTACCAGCCTCACGGTTACGGTGCGCAGCAGTTTGGACGCCAGGATGAGATGATGTACGACTATGCCGGCCGCTATGTACGTGCCAGTGCCGCAGTTCATCCGCAACAGGGCTATGCGTCGTCGGTAGGTGTGCAGTCTATCGGTCGGTACAACGACGGCATGGGTGTCACTCTCCCGCCAGTTCGCTCTCTGGACCAGTCTGTGCCCATTGACGTTTACCAGCAGCCTCCGCCATACCGGTATCACGAGCAGCGGTCACAGCAGAAACAGAAGGATGAAAAGCCTGTTGGCGGCGTCTCCGCTAAGCTGGACTATGACATGGAAGAGATGACGGATTTCGTCACGGAAAAAGCTCAACAATTGTATGCTTACTTGATGGTCTCTCTACACGTTGCAAATGTTGACATTATCACCAGGGTTCAGTCGAGCAGACCCAGTCATACCGCCTTTCGTGCGTGGGTCAACAGTGTGCTGTGCGCCACTCGTCTCCCATCAGCAACCATTGTGCTTAGCTTGCATTATCTTTCCGGTCACATGGCTCGCCTCGCTGCAACGTCGCAGCCAAACCATTCTGAGAACTTCATTTATCGCCTTCTGACTGTTGCGCTGATCATGGGCAGCAAGTTCCTCGATGACAATACCTTCATCAATCGTTCCTGGGCGGATGTCAGTGGCATAGACATCCGAACGTTGAATCAGATGGAGCGAGAGTGGCTGGCCGAGTTGGATTGGAAGCTCCACATCGACCCAGCCGAGCACAATGGTTTCAACGCTTGGATGCAGCACTGGAAGGACTACGAGAAGACCAGACTGGATCGTGGCGCTCAGTCTCTCAAACTCAGTCCCATTGATACCAACGTCCAGCACCACTCCCCGGCGCACAAGCCCTTCTCACCCCCGTCAGCCATCATGGGTTACACTCCTATGTCTGGTATGGAGTACAATGCTCGGCCGTTCCCCACCAACCACCACACACCTGTCTACACACCGTTTGACCCATGGCTAATCAGGCGGTCTGCGCACGACAGCTCGCCAAGTTCCGCACCACACACGGGACCGACTACGCCGGAGTACTACGGTGGTCCTGGCACTTGGGCACCGATTGACGGCTCTGCGTACTCATACTCTAGAAGAGGATATCAGATTAATTCCATGCCGCAGCCTCTGAATGCCCCCTATACTCCGTTCACTCCAACATACAACCAGCAAAACCCTTGGACTGGACACAGCATTCACTGCAACTGTGGTCATTGCTCACGTCAACAGGTTCCGTATTGGGTTGGCCCTCACTACTGCCAGCAGTCCGTGATGGCCTAGACGTTCTTCTCATTTGCGTGGACATCCGCTTCCTCCACAATGCCCATGGCTTGGTTCTGACCTTTTTTTCTCTTCTGCGCCTACTCGCCAGTGTTTCGTTTGCTCCAATACCTAAAAGTTTATCTGGGGAGAAAAGTGGTTTCGCCACCTATCCAAACACTTCTAATACTTCAAAGTCTATACTTCGCGACCATTGTTCGGCAAAACATCGCGGCACATACCACACGAGGCGGGCCATTAGAAATTTTTCACGGCTGTTTTATTTTTTTTCACTTCGAACGACCCCTGCATTTGTTCAATTCACCGGATAGACCACTTTTTCAATTTTCAAACATCAAAGGGATCAGCGGGTTTAACGGGCGTTTGGGCTCGGGTTTGAATTTCGCTCTCGTCACATTCGACTTTTACGACTCCTTTCCGGGAAGAAGTCTCTGCACCGCATGCCTTGCGTGGCGTGGACTTCGAGATTCTCCGCACGGTGCTCTTGGGTCATGGCCGCAATTTGGGTATCTGCCGAGCCGCTCGTGGCTGCATTGCGCGTTTTTTTTTTCGTGCAGAAACTCGGCTCCCTCTCGGCTATTGGTTGATGCCGCGCAGACGTTCGGCCCACCACACGTTCATACTCAACACTCGCACCCATGCGACGCATCGAAGTCGGAAAATCGGCGCTCACACTTGCCAAGATGTCGAACCAACATCCCATTGATGCTTCTTGGCATCTCTTTCTCCGACGACGAAATAACAAACATCTTCGGGTTCTTTACGGTCACGCTTTTTCTGCATTTAGATGGGATGCATTCACGGGAATTTGCTCTTTTTTTATCTTTCTTATCTGCGTGGAAATTATTTTCGCTCTTGTCGCCTTCTATATCTTCTTCGAGATATCACGATTCGATCCGAAGAAAGTGCGGCAGAAGGATACACCAGATCTTCGAGATCCAGTTCTTACGATGTCTTAACGGGTTACTTACGGGAAAAAAACTTCGTCTTCTATGTAATTGGGTTGAGGCCTAACAAACCTAAGATAAGAGCACTAGTCTCAAGTGTTTTCTTGGTCATGGGGTTTGGTAGCCGGACCATTCCTTTCGCTTTTCATCGGGCTGAGAATACTTTATACCCCTTTGCAGAAGAAATCAAAACGGGAGACAGGAGGGGAGTTTTAAAAAAGATGCTATATCAAAACACATTTTCTTTTTCGCACCAGTATTCCCCCTCGCACAGCATTTTTTTTTGTATCCAGCGAGCGAGTTGCACGGCATTCGACTTCCTCCCGTCTGCTCCTTAATTCAACATTTTTCATTTTCCGGAAAAGTATGATCATGTCCCCAGTCTTTTTCTTCCCAACTATAAGGAGGAACCCTTTCATGTTCGCCCTAACTTCGTTCCGCTATTTCCGTTCTCGCACGCGCAGCATGCGCTTTACCGGACCCGAATCCCGGGCCCGAGATGTACCAGTAAATCTTACTTTCTCCTCTATTGTTTTTCTCATGAAGCGTTCAAATAACATCAGACTGGGAAGTTCCGGAGAGAAGTTTGGGGTAGTAGCAGCAGCGGCAGCCGCATCACTTTTGACATGCTCTCTCGAGTCGAACCGAAGACAGATCAGGATTACTTCACGAACCCTGTGACTCTTCATGAGCGATCACACAAAATAAAAACAAACACTCAAGATGAATGATGCCACCTGCGTGGTGAACTTGCTCTCGATGTGTCTTTGGATTTCGTTGAACTTTCTCTTTTCCTCTCTAGGTCCAATTGAACTGTTTTCGTGATTCGCCGTTCCAAGGAACGAGAAAAAGCACGAACGAGCATCTCTCGTTCACGACACACCTTCTTTTTAAGATGATTCTGCCTTCCTGCGAAAGTCTAGAGATCGAACCCCCGCCTCATTGAGTCAAAAACTTTCCGATTTTGCATGAGCTTTGTCGGGACTATCACGACCGCTCGCAACTGCCAGTGTGATTTTTCTCTCATCTAGCCTTTGATGCTGCTGCTTGAGAAAAATTTCGCAGCAAGAGCACAGCGTTGGCAGCATCGTGATGCAAAAGCTCAAGCACTGCTGTGATCTGCTACCCTCTGAAATGAGATAGCTTCTCACGATGATAAAGCAGGACCTCACGTGGTTTGCAACGGAGGAAAGTACCCAAGTCTTGGGGGCCTTTGTTGGGACCGTATCTTATACTCTCTTTCTCTGTGCAATGTAATCGTGACACGGTTATGAGCTGCTGAGAGGCGACACCTTACCGTTCATGACTCTCATGCTACATGCTAAGCGACAAGATTCAGAACGGCCGCGTATTGCCAACAAACGAACGACCAGGCCTGATTGTTACTACTCTGAGCTCTCTGCCCAGCTTCCACTTCCACTGGAACAGAGTTTGCAAGGAACAAAGCGCCGAAGCCTGGCTCTGGGGCTACCTTTATAGAGACAAAACAGGCCGAGTTCCCCGTCTCCCTCACGGCATATCTGCAGGCGTGGGAACTTTGTTGTACGTACGACGGTATGACAAGACACGGGACCACAGAGGGAAGAGATGATCGAGGTTGCAGAGGAGGTTGCAGGCGCCCAAAACAGAGCGCCTACAGCCCGCGGCCACAGCCAATCACACGACGAACAGCGCTGTGCGGCCTGCTGAACCCAGGAAAGAATAAAAGCTGTGGGACGCTAAAAATATCTCAGCCGCCAAAACATCGCCAGCAAGACAAGTCGACTGTGGAATAGATCATCGTCCAACTACCATCTCTGGCAAATATGTCTACTCAAACGCCCAGCTGTCTGGCGGCACGGGCACATCAGGCCATTTTCTAGTTCTAACCGTCCTTGCTAAACCCCTCCCTCGCCGCACAGGAGCAGCTGACGCCAGGACGTCCGTACTGCACCATCCTCCTTGTCCATCTGGAGAGCCGTCACGCTGCACAAGCGGCTGATCATATGCTGTGGCATGAAACCCGCCAGTTAGCTGGAATGGTCCTTGCAGATGAAATCGTACGACTGCCGGGTTATTCTTGGTGTCGTGTGCTCCTCTTTTGGCCGTATTTCTGCCGCTAGCATGTGCATGGGTGGCATCAGAAGCCTTCTTGTGTGGCAGCGTCCTTTGCCTTGAGGCTCCTCGATGCAGCTCGGCCAGCGGTTGAAAGACGTCTGCAGCCGCTCGCAACTGGGGCACCCTGTAACGTAGAGATATCTTCCCCTAACATCTTGTTTCTCTTACATAGTACTTGTACCGCACTCCTTCCTACTTCGTCGCTGCGGCCTGGACGTAGACCTTTGAACCATTTTCACATACCGTTTTGCTAGCGCTGCGTCCCACAGAGCTGGCTCGAAGGATTTCAAGACGCAGAACCTGACACATTTGACAGCTTATTTATAATATTTAATTGATCCTCCGTGAGGCTTGGTGCGATTCTGTTTCTCACTCCAGCTTCGTCGACGACCTGTCGTTCACGCAAACCTTTTGGAGCACGACCACATCTAAAACAAGCACGATGGCCTCGACTATGGCCGCCTCCTTGATCAAACCTGGCTATGCGACCAGACTGGCCAATGAACCCAACGGCCACCGTCGCCCGGCCGCACCGATGGACACAGTGGGACCGTTGCCAGCGATCAAGCTGGCGATTCCCAAGACCCCCTTCACGGCACCGAAGAACGGATTGCCAGTCAATCCCAGTCCTCACACGGGCATCGTCGATCCCGCCATCCAGTTCCCTGCGGGCGGGAGAAACTCGCCTCCCCTGTTCAACAGAAGGCGCAGTCCGGCGATGAATCAAGCTGAATTTCTATCCCCACTTGACGCTTCGTCCTTTTCTTCTCAGCTGCCCGTGGGCTTTGCACAGGACAAAGCCACACAGACGGACGCACCGGATCTCTCTCGATCGCCGTCGCAGGCTTCGATTCGTGGCTGTCAGTACTGCCGCGGGTGCCAGCGCCGGTTGGGCCACGCCCGTTCGAACAGCCACTCGTCGAGCACGTCCTCTGTCGCCTCCGCCTCTCCGGAAACCGGCAGCCCGGAGATGGGAAACGAGCCGAGGAGGTCCTCTTCGTCGTTTGGGCGCAAGTTCAAGTTCAATCTCTTGCAGCGATCTAGCTCGATGCCCGCCCGCAATCCAAACAGGGGGCCGGCTGCGCGCGACGACGATGGCGACGGCGGCGGCAGCGGCGTTGACAACGAAGCCAGAACCGCGCGGAAGAAGTCGGTGTCGAAAGCGAAGCCTGTCAAGCGGATTGCTTTCGAACTGGTTGACGCGGAGGACCACTGGGCAGAATAACGCGCGTCAATCACGGTTGAACAAGGGGTTGGCGGTTTCTTTGTTTTGCTTTTACTGCACCTATTCCCCCAAGACAGACTCTCTTTTTTTTTCTTCTCTTTCTTTCATGTTCTTCTCCTTGTTCAGCGTTCACGTTTAGACGACGATCTTTTCTCACGTCATGCCAAAGGCGACGGCACTGGCCTTCACGGCAAACGCGTGGCTCGGGGGCGGGGCCATTCACCGTCATTGCTTGACGGTCGCGCGCATGTGCGAATCGCAGGAAACGAACTCGGGCGGAAGCTTTTGGTTGGCGCACGTTGGTCTTTTCTTTCTACACGGGCGTTCACGGAAGGGGGGACGGTGGTTCTCTGCTTAGGCCAGCTGCAGCAAGACGGTATTCAGACTGTATCTAGACACGGCACAGCACCCAGTTTTCGTCACTGCTCAAAACGAAAGCAAGTTAGTTCCCAGCTAGCAAATCTGAGGGCGAGAAGCGCGAAGATCACACAAAGAGATGAAGTTTTTAATTTTTTTTTTTTCAATTTTTCTTTTTAATCTCCATTCTATGCCCAAGCGAACAGATGCACAGTCGCCTTGCCCTGGCGCTGCGCTCGTGTTTCTCGGCGTGAAACTATCGAAGTTTGGTGGCAAAACGGCCAGTAGTAGTACCCTAGGGCTTTGTGACCAGTTCATCAAACCATTTCGGTGCAGCGCGCGTGTCGATCGGTCTGTGGATGAGCGGGCCAGGCCATGTGGCGCTGGCACAGCATCTGATAAGTTAAGCAGCAAACAATTGCGTGTACGAGATTGATCGATACATCTTGGGACAGGCGAGGGCCTCTTGTGACGACGGAGAGAGCGCACGCCTGCACTGCGGCACACTTCTTCTCTCCCCCCTCCCCAACCTCAAACGAAAAAAAAAAACAAAAAAATATTAGGCCAGCTGCGCGCAACCCGTGCTGCGGGCTGGTCGAAACGGGGCGCGTGTGCGAGGAAAGACGTGGCAGCAATCTACAGACGAAACAGGTCGACGACAGAACGCAAAGGAGCGGTCGCGAAACCGTCGCGCTCTGGGAGAACACAACGCAGCGGCTGCGAGGGCGGGAGTTGGGAGGCTCAAAGGCTCAGCTTGTTCCGCTTGAGAAAGATTCGTCTTTTCGACGCACGCGCCCGGACAGCGTTCTCGTTTCATGAGGCCTCGAGCGAGAGGCTGTTGCGCGGCCTAATTGGTGGCGAGTCGCATGTTCAGGAAGGGCAATATTCTAGTGTCATGCGCAGGGCTGCTCAGAGGGTCTCTGCGGGCGGGGGGGGGGGGGGGGGCTAAGCTAGCAGGCTCGCCCTCCCCTCCCTCCCCCCCCCCCCTTTCAACGTTGCAGTTCCGCCGTTCAACCGCTCAAAGCAGCCAGTAAACTTGGCCCGTCCCTCCAGCCGTCCAGCGGCCCCGAGTTTAGCGTCTCTCCCAGGATGTCGCCCTCCTGCCCAGCGGCCCATGGGAGCCGCACGCGCGGAAGTGGAGCTTGATTTTTCGCACCTCAGCATCCGCCCCATTGGGGGAGGGAGCCATTCTTCTCACACGTCTAGAGATCTTTCGCTTTCCTCAAGCCATCGTTGTTCCTTTCGTTCCTCACACTTTCGCTCTCCCATCGTTTCGCGTCCTATCCGTCCTCTCTGGCCCTGTCCTCCTTTTGTGCTCGTCAAGCAGCGGGCTCATTTCGGCATTGAGATTTTTTTTTGAAAATAAATAATTTAATTTTCTCCGCTCTCTTTCTCTGCTTTCCGACCTCTCTCTCCTTGCAACGGAAGCCCTTTTCTACTCTTTCCCGTCTTTAGCGAGACTCCATTCCCTACCCTTAGGTCCTCTTTATCCTTCTTCTTCTTCTTCTTCTTCTTCTTCTTCTTCTTCTTCTTCTTCTTCTTCTTCCGCTTGTGACGGTCGCTATCGCTGGAGGACTATGCTTTCTTGACTAAACAGTTTGTCAGCGGCGGACACGTCATTTCCAGCACTCTCTATCTGCCGATCGCTCGACTGTGTCCTGGTCCTTTTGGTCGTCCTGATCGCATTTTCTCCTACTCAACGCGTCACATCGGTATGGAGCCGAGCCCGGTGCTCGTTCTGCTTCGGCGTGACGATGATGCGTCCGCACCTGCTGCGACAAAGAGCGCTGCAGACCAGTTCTTGGAGCTGATATCCAACCCCTTCGCCAATCAGGTACGGTTCTGGCTCGTGACATGGAACCGCCCGCCGACCGCTGCTAACACAACTACCGCCTGCAGATCCGTGACAATGCTATCTGGGCTTCGCTGGCCACGTCGCTTGCCCTCACGGCCATCATTGCCCTCATCTTCTGCTTCCTTCGACCCCTCAACACGACCGTCTACGCCCCACGCTTGAAACACGCGGACGAAAAGCATGCGCCGCCTCGCATTGGCAAGAGTCCCTGGGCATGGATCAATCCGGTCTTGCAAACACGAGAGCAGATGCTCGTCGAGAAGGTTGGATTAGACGCAGCCATTTTCATACGTTTCACCAAGATGTGTCGAAACATCTTCCTCGCCCTCTCGGTCCTGGGCCTGGCAGTGCTCATTCCCGTCAACGTCGTTGGCGGCAACCTGCAGTTCGGCAAGGACGCCAAAACGTCCGTGGTAGGCATCTTCACCAAGATGACGCCCCAGTACATGATTGGCGAGATCTTCTGGGCCTTCGTTGCGGCTGCCTACGTCATCGACTTCGTGTGCTGCTTTTTCCTGTGGTCCAACTACAGAGCCGTTACCCGGCTCCGAAGAGAGTACTTTGAGAGTCCCGAGTACCAGAACAGTCTTCACGCTAGGACGTTGATGATCACCGAGATTCCGAAGACGCTTCGCACGGACGAGGGTGTGCTCAGAATCGTGGACGAAGTCAAGACCACCCAGGATCTACCCCGAGGAACCATCGCCAGAAATGTCCGAGATCTGCCAGAGCTGATTGAAGAGCACGAGGAGCTGGTGCAGCAGCTGGAGAAGATACTTGCTAAGTATCTGAAAAATCCGAATAAGCTTCCCGCAAACCGACCGCTCACCACGCCGTCGAAGAAGGATCCGAACTACGTCAAGGGGCAGAAGGTGGACGCTATCATCTATCTGACGTCGCGCATTGACGAGCTGGAAGGGAAGATCAACAACATTCGGCTTTCCGTCGATCAACGAAATGCCATGCCGTATGGCTTCGCAAGCTATGAGAGCGTGGAGGAGGCCCACAGCGTCGCGTATGCCGGTCGCCGCAAGCATCCGCACGGCGCGACTGTACGACTGGCCCCACGGCCTTCCGATATCATTTGGCAAAACCTAGTGCTTTCCAGGCAAGCACAACGTGTCAAGAAGTGGAGCAATTACCTTTGGGTTATCCTTCTGTTGCTTGTCTGGACTTGCGTCAACGCCTTACTTGCCGTCTTCGTCTCTAACTTGTCCAACCTTGCCCTCGTGTGGAAGGCGTTCGACACGGAGCTCCACCGCGACCCCCAGCTGTGGGCAGTCATCCAGGGTATTCTGGCCCCGGCGATCACATCCGCCTTCTACTACTGTCTCCCCATCATCTTCCGGAGGTTGTCAATGCGCGGAGGTGACATCACAAAGACCAGCCGTGAGCGCCACGTCATTCACAAGCTCTACGCCTTCTTCATATTCAACAACCTCATCGTATTCTCGCTGTTTGGCGCTATCTGGCAGTATGTGGTCGCCGTGATCAATGCGAAGGACAACGACGAAAACATCCTGGACGCGATAAAGCACGGTGACATTTGGACGAAGACTTTCTACGCTCTGTGCTCCGTCTCTCCCTTCTGGATTACCTGGCTCCTGCAACGCAATCTCGGCGCGGCCATTGATCTGGCCCAGATCGTGAATTTGGGATGGGGTTCCTTCGCTCGACGATTCCTGTCTCCCACACCCCGACAACTGATTCAGTACACGGCTCCGCAACCCTTTGACTACGCTTCGTACTACAACTATTTCCTATTTTACGCGACGGTTGCCCTTTGCTTCGCGGCTTTTCAGCCGCTCGTCTTGCCCATTACAGCGCTGTACTTTGTCCTCGACTCTTGGCTGAAGAAGTACTTGATTTTGTACGTCTTCGTCACCAAGAACGAGTCCGGTGGTCAGTTCTGGCGCGTGCTCTTCAATCGGTTTCTCTTTGCCGTCTTCCTCTCGAATTTGATCGTCGCATTCCTTGTGGTGGCGAAGGCGTTCGACTACTGGACCATGCTAGGAGCGATGATTCCGCTCCCTTTGATGCTCATTGGATTCAAACTGTATTGCATGAAGACTTTCGATGACCAGATCCACTTCTACACGCGAGGATTCATGAACAAGGAGGCGGGCGTCGTGTCGGACACGACATCCAGGCGGAGCAACAATGTGGCTGTGCGCTTCGGCCACCCCGCGTTGTACAAGTCTCTCATGACGCCCATGGTGCACGCAAAGTCTCAACATCTGTTGGCACAAGTCTACAAGGGCCGTCTCGGTGAGGACGACGCCGTGTCGATGGCTGGCTTCAGCGACATGTACAACATGAAAGATCTCAAAAAGGGTGGCCAAGGCAAGAAAGGCCCGTTCGAATTCGTGAACGACTCTCAGCTCGACTTTGAAAATTACAAGGACAGAGACGACTTTCGGTCCGAGTACGGCGGAGATGGCGAGCTGTACGGCAAGCCCGAGGATATCATTCGCACTGCCACCCCTGCCACGATCCGCGAGGCGAACGCGGCACGCATTGGTTCAGGCAATCATAAACGATCGAGCTCCAGAGATTCAGAGAGCACAGTTGGCGGCCAGGATATTGGCACCACGTATCCAGCGGGCTATCATACCACCCCCTCGGCACTTCGCGAGGCCTCCCCTAGCCCTGATCGAGGCGCCTGGGATCGGAGCTACTCCCCTGCGCGCTCAAACTTAGTTCAAGGTGCAGCACCGATGGGCAGTAACAGCTTCAGAAATTTCAGCGGAGGCTCCAGACCCCAGAGCCCCGCTTTAAGTGTTCTCAGCCAGCAGACACCCATGGATAATGAAGCTACGAGTTACGATTATTTTAGAGGCAGGCGGTGAAGCTCTCGCCTGCCATGATCCTTGTGAATAGCCTTTTTCTAATCGGCGTTGCCACTCTTCAGCACACGCTGCCGTGGCGTTGAACACAGCATCTTTTGCGTGTATATAAGGTCGAAGGATTTTTTTTTCTCGTTAAATAAATGGGTTGGGAAGCAAACAGGTCACTGCATCAGCATATATCGTACCCAGCAAGAGGGTTGGTACTGAAGATAGTGCATCGAAGTAACCATTGCCAGGGAGCGTTTACCGGCGCAAAGACTTTAGAATCATTTTGTTGTGATCGCCATTGTCGAGTAATAAAAGAGTTCCTACTTTCTCCGAGATGTATACCAGTGCCTGGAAGTTCAGTGTCGTGAATTCTTTCTTTTTCCCCTACAATCGTCACTTGGAAATTTCAGCCTTGTGTGGCTTGTTGAAAAACCAATTGGATTCTGATTTTCCTCAGCAAGTCGCTCATCACGTGCGCCCTGTCGCGCAGACTCGACTTCGTTCACTGAGGCGTCTTGTCGCGCTGTGCATCGTCGCCCATTTTGAAATTCAGCTACCCGTTGGAGCCTACGGACGGAATTTAAAATTGCTCAATGCTTTCAGGGCCTGCGTTCGATCTAACAGCTGTCTTGGACGTGTGAGATTTCCACGCACGCAAACCCTTTCCACCGGTGTGCGAAGCTAGCTGGACCGCGGCCCAAGTGAGAAGATCGAATCATGGCAGAGAACGGCGCGACGTCGTTTCCGGTCTCGATTCGCCCTCGAGGCGACCGGCCAGACGGCGACGTCGAGAACTTGGTCGCCAAGATCCGGCAGATCAACCAGCAGCGCGACGGCTTCCGCAAAGTGACCGAGGAGCAGCTTCTGCTCGAGATGAGCGAGGGCAAGACGGGTTCGCCGGAGGCGTCCGAGGCGGAGGAAGAAGATGAGTCGGACGAGGAGAAGAAAGGCACGGTCGAGTTCGTCTTTCAGAAGAGAGCGCAGATGCATCGCTCATTGCAGTACGTTCAGCTTGGTGGCCACGAGGTCATGTGTAGTGAAGCATGAGTTTCTGACACGGTTATGTTTTTTTTTCGTCTTGAACAGTCAATCGAGAGAGAATTCTTTGTGGGCCCTGGACACGTTCTCGCTGACGGCGTCGAGCATACTGAAGCAGAGCTTTCAGACTGCGTCTCCCGCCATGCGGGAGTCGATCAAGGAGGGCTCGTTCAGCTACACGCGCAGACAGGCCCAGCCGTCCACGAACCCGGAAAGGGAACGGCAGAAGAACCAGCTGTGGGCCGGGTCGTTCATGACCAACAACACCGAGTCGGCCGACACGCTGCTGGCGGCGGCGACGCGCCTCGAGGGCCTCGTGAAGGCGGAGACGGAGTACTGGCGCCAGCTGCTCTCGCTGACTTCGAAGGGCTGGCCGGTCTACAAGCCGGGTCCGCATGCGCCCATGCACGTGCGATTCGTGGCCTCGGAGGCGTCGCCCGACTTCAAATCGCAAGGCGTCGCCCAGCTGGTGCCGGACGAGGAGGGCACGATCCAGCTCGGCAGCAGCGTCGGCCGCGAGCCGCGCACACTGCGGCTCCGCCGCTCCAGACGCGGCGAGGTCGTGGCCAGCAGCGTCACCGCCTCTCTGCTCTCGCTGGCCGATCTGGGCAGCTCGCTCGAAGACAGGGTACGGCGCGAGCAGAGCTCCCTGTTCGAAGAGGAGCTCTTCCAAGAACTGGCGATGGAGTCACGGATCCTTCGGCCGCTTGGCGTCAAGCTTCGAGACAAGGTCCTACACCTGCCCGTGACTTCGGCACAGGGCGAAGCCGAAGAGTATCTTGTCGATCTCATCTCCATCGACGAAGCCTCCGAAGCCGTCGCCGCGTCGGCGCCGTCCGAAGAGAAGGACGTGCTGGACGCGCAGTCGGTCTTGCTCAGGCTACTTCTTTGTCACGTCTACCAGCTCCGACTTCAGCGCCGCTCGCAGATTCCGCCGCCGCTCTCGGACGCGCCTCGGAAGGCGCCCCCATCCAGCATACTGCGAACTTTTCTTGCCCTCAACCAGCACTACGCCGTGTGCGTGCCGTTGGAAGGCTATCTCGCGCACTTGCAGAAGTTGCTTACGGTAGCCGGCTTGCCCTTTTCGCGCGACGCGATCAGACTGCCCGGTCTGCACGAGCTTCTGGAAAACACGGCCGAGGTGTTGGACGAGAAGAAGAAGAGGGAGCAGGCGGGTCACGAGTCACTTTTGCACAGCCTTTTGGAGCAGATCAGCCAGCCGCAGCGGACGACGGCTCGGTTGAGGCTCGCGGGGCTCGCGCGAGCCGGAGCGTCGACCGAGCATGTGGTCAGCATACACGTCCGCACCGATCTGTCGGCGCCCATCTACGGCAGCGAGTTCGTGCTGGAGCTGCCGGCAGCTATGGCCAGGCTGATGTACGGACGGGAGAGTCACGACAAGACGGTCAGGTTCGCGGACTTGGCAGAGGTACGCTCGTTTGTCAACCAGCTGATGTCGCTGCACATCGTCTTCCACGAGCTGGTTCCGCGAGCGGGCAAGGGATGGGTAGGCAATGCCGACACGGCAATCATCTCGAAAGCTGTGGACGGCAAGGATCAGCAGAGCAAGTTGGCCGTCGGGGTGAGGGTTGAGAACGAGCAGGTCGAGATGAGGCGGCGATGGTTCGGCGGTCGCGCCGACCAGGATCGTGAGGTGTGGAGCCTCACGTCGACCAGGGCGAAGAGCCTCCCCGCCGTGTTCGAGGCGTGGGCGAGACAGTCGTAGAAAAACGTGCGGCACTGCAGCGTGCAGATCACACCCCACCCCGAAAAGACCAGGTCGTCGGCAACAAGCGATGCCGACTAGTAATATCCAGCACTCTGTGGAATGAAGAGGAAAAGAAAGAAGACGAAAGATTCCAGTTTGAGCGGATGAGGAAAGGATGGGTTGCTGCACGATGATGTCAGTCCAGGGGCGGCATGATCCGAAGGCGGATCTTTGCCTGAAGAATGGAGAGCGAGAGAGAGAACGGAGCAGCAGCAGCAGCAGCAGCAGGTGAAGGTGGCTCCAGTCGGTGACAAGGAAAAGGAATGCAATGGATGGACAAAGGACATTCCGCATCAGGTTACGTGTAGAGCCTCATCCAGGCCTGGACGCGGCCACCAATTTTTGCAGCCAGAAATTTCTAACCCAGGAAGTGGGAGCGGGCTGGGGCTGGGACGGTTTGGTTGAAAAGCACACAGCAACTGGAGTGTTCAGAGCCACGTATGGCGGGGAGCGAAGAAAAGCAGGGAAGAGAAAAAAAAAATTCAAATCTTATCGCAGACGGACGAGACGAAAGTGAACACAAAAGGACTCGGTTGTCTGGAGCCTGAATTTGGTCTTTTTTGTTTTTTTTTTTTTCCATCAAGTCCTCTCTTTCTTTTCCTCTTTTGCGTCGCCGCCGTTCGACCATTCTTCAACAGCTGCTGCTACGTCCCCCAGAGGTTACCGTCCAGCCATACGCCAGCCGTTCAAGTCAGTCAGTCAAGTCGGTCGGTCAATCCGTCGCAAGTCGGTTCAGATCCAACGTCGAAAACCAGTCAACTGGCACGTGGAAATACTGCAACACAGCGTGCCGTGCGGCCAATCCTACCAAACGACCTAGGCGCAGGTTTTTTCTCTCCTCGCGTCTTAGCAGGGCTGGTGAGGAGAGTGACTGGCCGAGCAGAGGACACGGCCAGGAACCGCCTGGTATCTGGCGTCGTTCTGGGCCTTTTTTTTGGGCGCTTTCGGCTTTCTTGCTTGCTGCGTCTTGCTCGTATGACTCGCTGCTGCGGTCTGGGAGAGCTCCTGCACGGTGAAAAGCACTGCACCCGCTGCTGACTGTTGGGTTCGCATCGTCCTCAAGTCAGCGCCGGGGTTGCACTGGACGAACGCAGCGCACCAGTCGATTGTCCCCCAACAGCCGCTCGTTGGGTTCGTGCCTGCACGTACTTTGTACGCCCAAGGTCTGACTCGCAAGTCCGCACCGACGAGCGCACCACGCACGCATACACAAACAGACGTGCGTGTTTTCCCACACGTACTCTAACCAGCACGAGCGTGGCTGCGGCACACGGCCGTCAGAGAGGACGCACTCACGCGCCCGCGCACTCAACGCGTTAGTCGCACCCGCGGCGGACAGCAATCCGAAGCGCGGTGCCGCCGCCGTTTGGTGGTTGTTGTTCCGCTCAGGAAAAAGACGGGTGCGGGGAGAAGGGGGCCCCGAACTTGGTCGACGAGGTTTTTTTTTTTTTTTTTTTTCTCCTCGAGCCCGAAGGCGAGGCAGTCGAAAACTAAGAGGCGGGATTTTGCTTCTTGCGTCGAATGAGAAGCGAGCGAGCGGAAGGGGGAAAAAAAATTAAAGCCCGAAGAGAAACACATCATCGTCGTCTGTATTATCGTCATCATCATCATCATCATCGCCGCCACATGCCAAGTAAGTCCTGGGCCGACCACAGGGCCCTGCGCGGGGTACTGTTCTCCCTCTACCTCCGCCCAAATTCACGCCCAACACCGGCGACAGAGGCCCCTTCGTTGGCCCCTCCGTCACTGGCCCCCCCCCCCTCTAGTTGCCCTTACCTCCCTCTCTCTCTCTCCCTCTCTCCCTCTCTCTTTTTCTTCCTCACCCTCCCCGCTCCAGACGGTGTCGCCCTTACTTTGCCCCTCCCTCCTCCCGCCTGTCCCAGTAAAGCGCTGCGTCCCGCTTCTGCTCGTCCTTAGCGCGGACGTCGTACCTCCATATCGTCACTCCTTCCTGGCCTCTCTTCTTCTTCTTCTTCCTCCTCCTCCTCCTCCTTCTGTTCTGCCTCCGCGACTTCTTTTTCCATCCGCCATCTTTTCCTTTCTTTTCTTTCCCTCCTCCCCGCTCTCTTTCTCCTCCCTCTTCTCCCCCGTCTCTAACCCATTCGTCTTCAGACAGCGTGGACGGAGACCTCTGCAGGGTCACGTTGACCACGAGAAACCTCAATCTCGGCGCCACCCACGCACCTCGTCCAACCGCTGCTCTGCATTCGCCGTCCAAGAGCTCCTCCGCCGTCCCAACACTCAGCTCATTGACCGCGTCCGCCACCTCCTCAGGCATTGCCACGCCCACCAAACGTGACACTCTTCTATCCTCGCTTGCCGGAGCTCGTCGTCAACGCACCGCAAGCATGGCGACACAAGAGCTGCACTCGGCCGCCGATCTGCTGCGTCAGGCGATAAATGTCAAGTAAGTCGGAGTCCTCCCGTCGTCGTCGTTCTGTTTCCTTTTCGACGGCCTCTTCGCCCGCCCAGATTTTCCACATCTTGCACCGCCCCGTGTCCTAGTCCGCCTTGCATCTTGCGTCTTCGCCGTCCTTTTTTTGGAGGGCTTTCCGTTCATTTCTCCCCGGCGGCTTCCAACACAACGGACCGACCGACTGCCGGTCGGAACAATCCGAGGGCATCTACACTCCAATTCCAGCCGCCCGTTCCCTTCCCCGGCTTGTTCGACCGGTAGCGGGGGGGCTGGCACCTTTTTGCGGCTGTTCAGCGAATCTCGGATCCGATCAGCTGGCTGCGAAAAATGCGCCGTGTGGACCTCCAGCCAGACATGGGCACGGCGAGTGCGGGCATGGCGCGGGACTTTGTTCCCAGCCAGAATCGCAGTAAAAGCCTGCCTTGTGCGGCTGTCACATGCCTGCGCTCATCGCCCTCATGCCTGCCACCGCACGTTTTCATTCCCATTTTTCCCTTCCCATTTTTATTTTCCACGAGTCCACTTCCCTGAAACGTCGCACAAAGTTTTTTACCCCCCCGAATTAGCTCGCCAGTGTCACTGGAGCCCAGTCATCTACGACAGCCCCTCCACCGATTTGGCGTCAAGCGCGCAAACTCGCCGCCTGACTGCTTGCTCTGTTGCCCGTCTTGTTTTGCTTTGCTTTGGCTTTGGCTTTGCTTTTGCTTGCGATTATGCTTTGCTGAGGCGAGGCGCTGCTACACTGCCTTCTCACGCTCTGCGTTCATCCATGAATCATTGCATTACATCATGCCGCTCGTCGCTAACCCGCGTCCTCCTTTGTTTAGTCAGCGATCACAGCAGCCACATGACGACGACCTCGATCACATAGGCTCCAACGCTTCGACGCCACCGGGCGCACACACGCCGCGGCCTGATCTGGTGGACAAGAGGCTGCCGGGCATAATACACAGCTACTTTGGACAGGTTTGTGACTCCTTCCGCAGCCGCCCAAAGTCTGCAAGTAGTAGCATAGACCACACCAGCACTCTCCCTTCCTCACCCAACAGCAAGATGGGCAGTGAGAAGCGGCACACGGACGAGAGTACGCTCGAAGGCGACAGACAGCGACAGCCGGCCTGCAAGGCCAGCGAGGCCTCGTTGCCAACAGCGCCTGCCTCGCCTACTGGTGAAGACGTGGCTGACGTGGACGAAACTGCGCCCACGCTTCTGCTACCTCATGAGCGACTCCAGTCTCCTGCGCCGCTAGAATCGACGGAACAGTGCCCTTCCTCCTTCTGTCCTCCCTATCCTACCCCGCCCACATCCTCAAGCTCGTCTGTACACAGAACGAGCAAAGACGAGCTGAGCAGCAGGAACCCCAGCATAGACTTGCTAGTGCGGCCGACGGCAGGCATGGCAGTGGACGGCGCAGCTGTCGCGGACCTGTCACCCAGGGGCTCGCGAAGGACGACCCTCACTACGAGCCCTCTGTCCAACGTGGTTGCCACGTCGCCTGTCGTTGCGTCACACTTCTCCAATCCTATTGCTGAGCTTCCCTCTTCTTCTCAATGTCCGAGTGTGAGCCCTGCTGTAGCATCCCTCTCTGCTTCGAGGCATTCCTCTGCCTCTGCGCTTACTTCTGCTTCTGCTACCACCGCTGCTACCACTGCTACTACTGCTACTGCTGCCTCGTCGTCCAATTGTCGGGAGAGTAGTAGGCTAACTCAAAGCGCTTCGGCGCCGCGAAAGCAGAACACGCCCCCTCAAACTCCACGAACGCGATCGCAGGAAGGCACGCAATCCGGTACCGCGACACCACGAAGCGGCAGCGATGGGCCAAGAGGCGCGACGATTGGGCCGGTGCTTGGCAAGCTTTCTGTAGAGATATCCGAAGGCAGGGGACTCAGGCCCAGCGTCGATCCATATGTGGTGTGCCAATTCCAATGGTCCGAGTTCATATCGGAGGGCCCGATAAGTCCCAGCTCGGAAAAGGCCAATGGCGCCACCAAGTCTGGCGGTATCGCCATACAAAGGACACACAGTGAAAGAGGAGGCGTCCCGCAGGCGATACCGATGAGGAGCAGGCAAAGCAGCCACTCGGGTCGAGATGTGTCCGGTGACTACCAGGAGACGACGGACCCAAAGTGGCACCACAAAGCTGTCTTGTAAGTGACCCCGCACCTTCCAGCTGTGAGAAAGTCCAATGGGAGAGATTTAAATGAAAAAATTTTTTTTTTAAAAAAAAAAAGAAGTCTCAGGTAGTTTCTGACGCGTTTCACTAGTGATGTGGTTGGCGAACATTCGGAGGTCGACATCTCCGTCTATGACCGGTCAAACTCAGAGGCGTTTCTAGGCCACGTTCGCTTCTGCCCGAAGCTTACGGACACGGACATTCTGGACGGCTGGTACCCCCTTGAGCCACGAGATGAACATGAGGAAGGCAGCGTCACTGGCGAGATACATCTCAAGATGTCCTTCAGCCGGACGGACAAGAAGCACTACGGTCCGGAGGATTTCCAGATTCTCAAGCTGATAGGAAAGGGTACGTTTGGACAAGTGTTCCAGGTGCGGAAGAAGGACACCGGAAGGATATATGCCATGAAGGTGCTATCAAAGAAGGTAATCGTTCAGAAGAAGGAGGTAGCGCATACCCTAGGCGAACGGAACATTCTCGTGAGGACTGCCATGACCGACTCTCCCTTCATTGTGGGCCTGAAGTTCTCCTTCCAGACGCCCACCGATCTTTATCTGGTCACGGACTACATGTCAGGCGGCGAGCTGTTCTGGCACTTGCAGAAGGAAGGCCGCTTCAACGAGCCGAGAGCAAAGTTCTACATTGCCGAGCTGATTCTCGCTCTTCAACACCTCCACGAGCACGGGATCGTATACAGAGACCTCAAGCCTGAGAACATCTTGCTCGATGCAAACGGTCACATCGCTCTGTGTGACTTTGGCCTGTCAAAGGCCAATCTTGCCGACTCGGATACCACTAACACGTTTTGCGGTACTACCGAGTACCTTGCGCCGGAAGTTCTGCTCGACGAATCCGGCTACACGAAGATGGTCGACTTTTGGTCCCTCGGTGTGCTGGTCTTCGAGATGTGTTGCGGCTGGTCGCCGTTCTACGCCGAGGACACGCAGCAGATGTACAAGAACATTGCCTTCGGCAAGGTGCGGTTCCCACGTGACGCGCTCAGCACGGAAGGTCGCAACTTCGTCAAGGGCCTGCTGAACCGCAACCCGAAGCACCGTCTAGGCTCGCAGGGCGACGCCGAAGAGCTGAAGCAGCATCCCTTCTTCGCCGATGTGGATTGGGATGCCCTGAGCAAGAAGAACGTTGTTCCTCCCTTCAAACCGAAGCTGAAGGGCGAGCTCGACGTGTCCAACTTCGACCCCGAGTTCACCAATGCGCTGAACAACCCGACGGGGTCGCTGAACGCGCGAGCTGCCGCGCTAGCGTCTGGCGTCAACCCAGCAAGCACGCCACTCAGCCCGACCGTTCAGGCCAACTTCAAAGGCTTCACGTTTGTGGACGAGAGCGCCATGGAGAAGCAGTTTGGTCGAGGGGATCGGGAAGAGATGGACAGAATGGACGAGGACGACGACTGGGAGAAGGTGGATTCTGACCGCAAGGGCGATAGGATGAGCGGCATCCAAAGCGACGACGTCTTCAACCACGGAGGATTTGACGACTGAAGACTGTCGCTTGATGTCCTGGTCTAACTATGCCCCCTTCTCGTTGCCTTTTGTTTCCACCTCGTTCTTTTCCTCTAAACGTTCTACGCCGTCTTGCACATTGTACTCGTGCACAAACTTCGTCCACACGCACGTCCGCACCCACCCATTCTCTCACTCCCTCACTCACTCCCTCCCTCCCTCCCTCACTCACTCCCGCAATCACACAGGGCTGGCTACCCTCGCGCAGAAAGGTAGCCTGTCTTGCGGTCACGCCTACATTAAAAAAAATATGCTGCTCTCACCACAAAAGTCATCTGTAAAGCGGTCGGCATTCTATCGTATGTGTGCCGCCATACTGTTTTTGCCACGGGTCCCTTTCATAGCCTTTTGGCGCTCTGTACACACCACGTTACGACCGATCAATGAATACAAGCACTCACGCACACACACACACCGCATAAAGAAAGAGATGCATAACAACCAGGGGGTACCATGAGCGGGGGAAACGGTATTTCTGACCGTCTGCATTTTTCCCCTCGTCAATTTTTTTCTCGTTTATGTCTGCATGGGAACGGTGTTTCATCTCATTCAGCGCTTGTTCTTTTGTCGACTGATTGCTGCGCTATGTCGCCGTTTTCGACTATCGTTTCCCAACGTAACTGTCATCGCGATGAATGCAAGTGGGAGGAACAATTTTACCTTTTTTTTTTCTTTTTCCTTTGGCACACGATTAGTCGTGTTGTCTTACGTCGTAATGCTGTACATGCACTAAACGACGGGAGGATGCAGTGATTGTATATATGATGGACGACGAAGTCGCTATAAGCAAAGCAGAAGCGAATGACCCAAAAAGTTCTTTGATAACGACATGTTGGGCCTTGCGTGAGGCGAGTTCTTTTCCTACACAACTTGGTTTTGTTAGCGCGATTCCTCTATACGTTTTAACCCAAAGCACCCCCCATTTGGTCTCGCATGATCAAGCTTATTCTTGAAAATCGGCGGCGATGGAGAATACAACACGAGCCTATCGCATGGTCGCACACTACGTGAATGGGTTGGCGGAAATGGTCTCGAGAAAGTCACGAACCATCATCTTCGTCACAGCGCAGGCCAACTTTTGATGACCGGACTTCTACCCTGTACCATTTGCCTCAAGGCCTGAATAGTCATATTTTCTTTCCTGTCTTTCCTTTCCTTACCCTCTTTTCTTTCCTGGCAGCCTTCCTGGCGGGCAAAGATCGTTTACCCCAACGGAGAGATATTTAAACAGAGCTTTGATCGAGTGGAAGTCGGGGCAGAAAAGGACAGAGTGAAAATCGGCTTTCGCGATGCAATTCCGGTGAGCCTTCGAAGTCTAGAAATCATACAATTATGCCTGAGTTGCATGTTTCGTGGTTGTGGTCCCCCAGCCCATTTTTTTTTTTTTTTTCTTCTTTCCCTTGACAAGCTTCGACACGCAGTTCCATCTGTCGAAAGGTGTTTCTATCGACCAGATGATGCAAGTCACCATCTCCATATCGTACACGGTCTCGACCTCCTTTTGTGACGCGCTCTACAACGACAGTTGCCCGGTTCCTGGCGTCTTGCCGGGCTAGTTCCTCCTCCACGCGTGATTCCAACCTTCACTTGACGGCCAGTCCGTCTGCATCCGGGCGTACTCGATGGGGAAACCCTGCCACACGCCCTCTTTCCTCATCGCTGTTCTGAACAGCCGCCCCTCGTCCTTTCCACCGGGCATGCCGTTCTCGCCAATCAGCCGCAGTTCTTCGCACGCCTTGTTCATCGCCCAGTACTGCCTTTCGAGGTCCTGCTGGGCCTGGGTCCGCAGCTTGCGCTTGTGCAGCTGCCAGGCGCGGTGGATGGTCCAGTGTCTGAGGTAGCGCAGGCGCGAGAAGCGGAGCGGTCGCGGGTTGCGGGGCTTGAAGAGGAAATACCGGATGAGAGCTGGGAGCGATGCAAGAGTCAGCCAGGCCGTCCGCAGACATGTGCGCGCAGGCGAGCCGCCGGGTCGGCAGGGCACGAACTTATCCTGTGGTCCTTCCTCTCCGCCACCTTTCTCTTCAGCAGCACGGGCGAGGTCGAGAAACGAGAAGCGTGCGCGGGCGACGCAGGGAGGCGTTGAGGCCGCCGTAGGAACGGATTGGCGGCGCTGGAGACGCTGGAGAACGGCCGCGCGGCCGAGAGCCTCCACGGGAGATGCATGATCGAGCGTGGGACGATGACGGGGGTGGTGGTCGTGATGATGATGACGATGATGACGGTTGGAGCTGACGGGACGCTGACGATGGGCAGTGTCTTGGGTGGAGCCTGGACGGTCTTAGAAAAAGTGTGCGGCTCCCCGTTCTGCGTGCGTTGCGGCGTCCCGCCACAGCAACCCCCTGGGCCGGGAAGAGAGACGAGGTGCAGCCCTGTGTTCTTAGGCCCCGAAGCCCAGAGCTCCCCCGCCAATCATAGTGGGGTGGGTCGCGAGCTGCTGCTGCACCTCATCTTCTGCCGTGCCAGCTTCTTCACAGATGCAACCTTGAACCTCACACCCTTTGCCTGTCTCACCTTTTGAAGATTCCCCCCCCCCCCCTCCTTCTTCTTCTTCCGCCGCTCACGCACCCGTTCTCGCTCTCGCTGATCGCTCTCGTCGTTCTCGCTTCTCGTTCTCTCGTCGCCCTCACTGTCCACTGCCGCCGGTGCACCAGGACACCCCTCTATCCCCACCCCGCCAAAAAAAAAAAAACAAAAAAAAGGCGCAGACGTCCACTAACACCAAGCCCTTTGTTTTTTTTGGGGGGCGTTTCTAGGGCAGAAGGCAGAGATGGACAACAAGGCTAAGATTCTCGAGGCTTCCGCGAGGCACCCGAAGCCTGAAGGCAGAACGTACCAGTATGGCACGGCTGGGGTAAATCATCGTGCCAACCATTTTCCCGGTCGTCAGGAACCTGGGCTAACCGTCGTCGTCAGTTCCGCATGAAGGCGTACGTCCCAAGGCGATCCCCGAGAACGACGAAGCCGCTCCAATGGCTCGTCGTTGAACCACCGGTCTGTTGTTTTTTGGCTAACGTACGGGTCGCAGCAATCTTCTGGACTCCGTTGTCTTCCGCGTTGGTCTGCTGGCTTCGCTTCGGTCGAGGAAGCTGCTGGGCCAAACAATCGGCGTTATGATCACCGCCAGTCATAACCCGCCCGAGGACAACGGCGTGAAGCTTGTCGACCCCATGGTCAGTATCGTTTTTCTTATTCTTCCTTGCTAATGTCATTCTTAAACTTCTCTCACTAGGGTGAGATGCTGGAGGTACAAGAGCAGCCCCACCACACCATCATTCAAGATCTCACTGTGCCTAACGCCAAAAAGCAAACCTGGGAAGGCCATGCTACCACTCTCGCAAACGCCGACAACGACGCCCTTTACGACACGTACGCCAAGATTGCCGAGCAGATCAAGGTCAATCCCAACGCCGAAGCCCGCATCGTCTTCGCTCGCGACACCCGCGCGTCAGGCTCAACCCTCGTCGCCGCTCTCGTCGACGCCTTCCAAGCGACCGGCACCCAATACACGGACTACAAGCTCCTCACGACCCCTCAACTGCACTACATTGTGCGCTGCACCAACACGTACGACTCGGACTACTACTATGGCGAGATCAGCGAGGTTGGATACTACGAGAAGATGGCCAACGCGTTCAGGCGCGCGATGCGAAACAGCAAGGCCAAGGGCCACGTCACCGTCGATTGCGCAAACGGCGTTGGCGGACCGAAGCTTCGCGAGCTGATCAAGTATCTTCCTCCCGCTGAGGAAAGCGGTCTTGAGATCAAGGTTGTCAACGACGACGTGGTCAACCCGGAAAGTTTGAACGTTCAGGTATAGTGTCGGAACTCGCGTCTTCATGGTCACTGGGACTGACCGCATTTTTTTTTTCTTTCTTGTGCAGTGTGGAGCCGACTTCGTCAAGACTCAGCAACGTGCCCCTCCCTCCTCCAAAGCCGCCCCTCTTGAGCGCTGCGCGTCGCTGGACGGAGACGCCGATCGTCTCGTCTATTATTACCTCGACAAGAACGGTACTTTCCACCTTCTAGATGGCGATCGCATCGCCACGCTTGCTGCATCTTTTATTGCCGAACTTGCCAAGCAGTCCGGCCTCGCGGACAAGCTTAAGGTCGGCGTCGTCCAGACCGCCTACGCGAACGGTTCGTCCACGAAATACATCAAGGACCACCTCAAACTTCAAGTCGAATGCACCAACACCGGAGTCAAGCACCTGCACCATGAAGCAGCCCGTATGGATATCGGCGTCTACTTCGAGGCCAACGGTCACGGCACCGTCCTCTTCTCCGACGCGGCGGCTGCCACTATCAAGAAAGCGGAGCCCACTTCGACCGCGTCCTACGAGGCACTCGAAACGTTGCGTGCACTCCTCGACCTCATCAACCAAGCCGTCGGCGATGCGCTTTCCGACATGTTGCTCGTCGAAGTCATTCTCGCACACAAGAAGTGGACCTGCGACAACTGGCTTGCCACCTACTCGGATTTGCCCAACCGTTTGGTTCGCGTCGAAGTGAAGGATCGCAGCATCTTCAAGGCTGTTGACGCCGAGCGCAAACTCGAGTCGCCCAAGGGCATCCAGCGCGAAATCGACGAACTGGTCGGCAAGTACAAGCAAGGTCGAGCCTTTGCCCGGGCCTCCGGCACCGAAGATGCTATGCGTGTCTATGCTGAGGCAAGCACCCGCGGTGAGGCAGACGATCTTGCCAACAAGGTTGCTGCGGTGGTCAAGAAATATGGATCCGTTTGAAAATCACGGCCGACGACGACATGAATGATAAGATACGGAGTTACGAGAATCCTGAGCATAAGGGGGAGGGCGTTGAAGATTCAGCACATCGACTGGGCGAGCAACTTTGTCAATCAGTTTTTTTTTTCTTTAAAAAAAATTAAAAAATAAAAGAAAGAAAAAAATGGAAGATATTAATGAAAAAAATATGATGATGACGCATTGCGATTCGGTCAAGACAAAAGCACCAGATCAAGCTCGTCCACGTGCGGGCAATATCACATCCGTCATGGTATAAGCGAAAGAGCTCGGAGCGAAATACGCCACGCCGAACCGGCAGTTTCTGCAGATGTGCGTGAGAAACCGAGCTGGCGGGAATTGGCGTTCAAAAAAGTGATTTTTTTTTTCGACAAAGTGGGTTTGATGATTGCTCCTCCGGAGCCACTGTGTGAAAAAGGGGATATAAAAAATGAACCATACCAAACCAAAAAATGTGACTGCCTTTGTCGCTGCATGCCAACTTGTCAGACTGAATTCTCTCCCTTTTTGTTTTCTCTTTCTCCTGGCGAAATCATATGTGGGTTTTATTAAGTATGTCTCGAATTCCGTCATCGTCATCGGTTTAAAGTGAGGCTCTCGTCATACATAACGCCGCCAAAGGCTATCCCTATGTATCCATCGCTAGAGAGGGCAAAAAAAAAACCCCCAATTTCAAAATAACAAACACGGCAAGAGACTTTGATGATTACAAGACGACGAAGAATTGTGACGCCGTGAAAATGCATAAAAAACAAAAAAAAAAACACCTTCCACCGAGTGTTCCTTAGCGGACCTGTCCCTATCGTGTAGTTACCTCCCAGCGAAATGTCCGACTGTTTTTGTTGTTGATTTACGCCCACTCGCTCGGAACGGTTGGGAGAGGGGGGGGAGTGGTGTGGGCGGCAATCCTCGACGCTCCCGAACTGTTTCATACATGCAGCGGAAGAGGGGACGGCCAAACATGCGTGCATCTCTCAAAAGACGACGACGACGACGATGGCGGCGGCAGCGGCGGCCGGGAGTAGTGTTGCGACGCGCAAGATGATGAGTTTGACGGCGGAAGAAAAAAAAAATTTGGGGGAGGAAAGCAAAAAGAACGGCAACGCTCACAAGTAAGCAACCGGTCGTGAGTGCAGGTCGGGAGGGAGGCCGAGGGAAAATGAAAAATAAAAAAAAAGAAGGGACGGTAATGGAGGATGATAAGAGCGCGAGCGGGCGGTCAGAGCACGACGCAGCAGCCCGGTGTCTTTTCGCCTCTGCTGCCGGTGATCATGGCGGCCCTGGTGGCGGCCTCGAAGACGTCGTCGACGCCCTCGCCCGTCAGGCTCGAGCACTCGAGGTACTTGCGGGCGCCGATCTGGTCGCGCATCTCCTCGCCCATGCGCGGGGTGCAGAAGCTGCGGCTCGTCTTGCGCATGTGCTCGATCGCGACGGGGTCCTCGCGCAGGTCCTTCTTGAGCGCGACCAGAATGACGGGGCACTCCGGGCAGCGCTCCCGGGCTTCCTCCGCCCATTTGTCCTTCACGTTGGACAGCGAGTCCGGTGAGTCGACCGAGAAGCCGATCAGGATCACGTGTGCCTTTGCGTAGGCCAGCGGCCGTAGCCGCTCGTAGTCTTCCTGGCCCGCCGTGTCCCACAGCGCGAGCTGTACTGATTTGCCGTCGACGCGGCAGTCTGTGACGTAGTTCTCAAAGACGGTCGGGACGTATCTCTGTCGCACGACGGGGTCAGCTTGACGGTCTTTTGCTGTCGCTATTATGTCGGCACGAACATATACGCATATATAAATAATACGTATGATGTCGCCGGGTAGGAGGGGGGGGACTGAGCAGGGGAAGAGATTCAAAGGAGAGAAGGTCCACATACTGTAGGAAAGTAGCCGAGCGTGAAGACGGAGAGTAAGGATGTTTTGCCGCAGGCACCGTCGCCGATGATGACGAGTTTTCTGTTGCATCGTGTCTATGTTAGCGAGGGTCAGGCGTTTCATCTGAAAAATAAAAGTGACAAAAAGAAGATCGATAGACTGCGTTGGAATCGGAACATTTCAGAACGAGCACAGCGCCGGCGTAGACAGTCGCGAGCGTGCGGACCAAACATTGAGCAGACGAGAAAATGGCAAAACGTTCCGTCGTTTGTCCAAAAGCCAACCACGCAAGCTACAGGTTCACAGATTCGGGCAGCAAGCTCTTGCTGGCGTCTACCGGTGCGGAGCACTTGGACATGTTCGTTCGGACTCTTCGCGACGCCTGGCGTTCCCGGAGAGGCCGAAGTTGGTCACACACGCACTCGCGCGTTGCTTCGTGGACGCTCGACAGACGGATGCTCTTGGAAATGATTGCGATCGGGACCTCTCATGATGGAAGTGACCATTCTGCACGGATCTCGTCTCTTCTGCGCCAAGAAAGGGATGGTGTTTCTTTTCGCCGACACGCCCTCTAATTCGTGCATTATCTCCGTCGATGCTTTCAAGGGACGGACGCTCCTTGCTGCCGAAGGGGAGAGGCGCTTTTCGTTTGCATATCCGGGACCGCGATGGCGTGTCCTGCATTTGCATGGTCTCGACTGAACTTGGCCCGCTCTCACACCAGACACAATGATGGTGCACACCGGGCAGGAAGTCATCGGCCGCGATCAGCTGCGACGGGTAGTAGGACCGCCGGCGCTATGCTTGTATGCTTGTATGGCTGTATGTGCGTTCGCATAGATGTGCATGTGCATTCGTGGACCAAAGAGCAACCGTTTTTTCTTTTCCTCGTCGAAGCAATGCAGATGAAGAATTCGAAGCTCATAGAGCCAACGCACCTTCTCATAACACTCTCTCCATTTTGTGCCATGGTGTCACAGTCTGCCCGCGGCAGCTGCTACCTCACCCAATCAAAGGACCAACACCGGACTCGCTGAATCTCAGCTCCCAGGTAACGACCAGCCCGTGATGTGCTGTTTGCTCGGCGGCAGAAGATCGAAGGGAGGCGTTGTGGCGAAGAGGTGGGCGCGTACGGTGACGGGGCAGCCTTTTGCTCGGGAAGCAGCGGGCGGCGAAGCGCAATTGAGGCTTCGGTGGACGGCGAGGAAGAAAGGGAGAGAGAGCGGGAGGGAGAGGGAGAGAGTCTGGCTCTACGCAGGTACGGGAGAATGGCGAGGCGATGGAGGCGGCGGCAAAGGGGGGGAGGTGGGTGGTGAACCAGTGAGGGCTGCACGTCAAGCACGGTCGTCGAAGGAGACCAGCGAGAAGACGCTGCTTCTTGTATCGAGCTGCTTCACGAGGAGCAAGGGTAGGGTGCTGAATGTGGCGGAGGCGAGTGGAGCAATAATCGCGATGCGGCTTGGATCAGGTAGCGCCAAGCGGAGCACAACTGTCGCGCCCCGTGTTTGCTGTGGACCAAGTGCCCAAGTCAAGGTCCTTGGTCTCTTGCCGGATCGCGCTGGGGACGGGCGGGTGGGAACGAGCGGGACTGAGCGACGAGCGGAGGCGGCCTTCGCTGCTGCTGCTGCTGCTGCTGCTGCTGCTGCTGCTGCTGGCAAAACCGCGCGAGCGACACTCCACACGCCAGACGGTTTGTCTCCGGTTTGGCCTGGCGCGCTTTTCTATTGGGGACGTCTCGACGATCGCAGCGCGACGGGCAGCGGCGCTACTGGAAGGTTTGGGGGAAGTTGGCGAGATCAACGGCAAGGGTTGCAGGCGACGCCAATGACTATCGATACAGCACGATTTGCTACGTCGCGAATCGGCCGTCGCTTCGACGGCGGCGGCGGCTAATGTGCCCCGGAAAGGGAAAACGTCCAGAAGGCTTGGACGAGCCTCGGGTCTGCTCCTCTGCGTTTGTCCATCGTCGTGCTCTCCCGTCATCAGCTTCATCACCACCATCCCCGCGTCGTTGTCGTTGTCGTCGCCATTGTCGTCGCCATTGTCGTCGCCGTTGTCGTCGCCGTCCTTCCTGAGCGTGTTTCTGGAGCTTGTTCCGACGAGACTTTTTCTGACCACGTGCACAAGCAGCCCAAATCTTCCCGTTGAAGGCTGACGACCGGAGGTTTGATGTGGGTTTGATCGCTTGAGCCACCGGCGGCCGCTCTGTAGGCCCAGCTTTGCGACACGCTTGGCTGCTCCCGAACCACAGAAACGCCCCCTCTCAGCTGGAGTTGTGTAAGGCTAGTTAGTGTGGACCGCACAGTCCACGTATGATGGCGGTGGTGTTCTATTCTTGTACTGACGAGTTTCAATGTGGCATCGGTCATAGGGAGCTCACGACTGCTAGTGCCTGCCGCGGACCGTCACAGCCTCACGGGTTAACACCACGCCATCCCCGCTCCCCACCCAGCCCGGCCAAAAAAAAAAAGATAAAAAAAAATAGCTGTGATTCTTGATGCGCTGCGTTTCATCCTTCTTCGAGAGACTCGGGGTTTCCCTCCCCGTCAACGTGAGAACTGAGACTTTGCTCTGGCATCAGCAGCAATTGACGTGATCATCGTGTCTTGACGCCTTCGAGACATCATCCTACCGTGGAGAAACACGAGCCAAAAAAAAAAAAATATTCCTGGATACCAAGAATTGAGCCGACGCCCCACCGGCGATCATGGAAGGCTGTCGAGAGTGCAGGCTTGTTTCAAGACGACGGTCAGGCTAGCAAACTACTACATCAAAGCTGGGATAATCGAGCGGGGCCAGTGGTCTGTCCAAAGAGCTCTGCTTCCCGAGAGAATGTTCTATTCTCGGCTCGTAGAGGGTGCCGCTAGGCCGCGAAGGACAACAGCAGCACCCCCAAGGCTCGCGTGTATCGCGTCTGGTTAAAGTCAACAACCGCAAAGAGGTGACCCAGGTACAGCGTGCGTGAGAAACAGAAGCCCAAAGGCCCTTCCGAGAGGATTGTGAGCCGAGTAAATCCCAGCCGTCGCTCGACCACAATCTGCAAGAGACACACATGCCTCGTCATCCAAAGCAGCTGCATACAGGATGTATCTCGCTGCTTGGCACATCAAATTCGCCTTTCGGCTTTTTGTCTTTTTTTTATTTACCGTCGCTAGCGTCTTAACCACTTTGCCGGCTCCGCGGCGGACGTGCTTGTCACCCTCTAAACATTGAGCTCGTGATCTTTATATGCTTGCGACAAGTGGGCCCCTTTCGCCCGGCAAATCAGACTTCTTTTCTCCTGCCTGACGTGCGGCACGTTGGAATGCATGGTTGCAGTGTGGGTGCTTTGCGGATATGCCGCGTGGAGAGAACACCGCACGCAGCGTATCCAGAATGGGAAACATGAGGTATGAACTGCACCTTCAAGCTGCTATTCCTCTCCCGCTCAGGTAGCTAGGTTGGCTCTCTGGCAGTCAACGTATGCCATCTCGTCAGATTCGGACAACGGATGATCGATCTATGCGTCCGATCGATCCGCTTCTTGCCGCCCAGATGCGAAGAGTCTACAACGTCGTCCCCTACCAGTTCTTCCCGTTTCAAATTCGCTGAGATGGCGTGTCCCCTTGCTGCGAAGCGGCTCCGGCCGGACCTTCCTTGCTGATAGCAGCGCCATGTAAATCTCAAGTGAACCACTGCCGTGCGATAAAAAGGACCCACGATGTTTTGCGAATCGATGGTCCAGCTCAACTTCAAGTGACTACTTGCTTCCCCTTGTATGAAGCACGTCAAGAGTTTATGCGTTTGACTCATGAAGGAATCAACGCTTCCAAAGTGGCGGGCTTGCTCTGCAAACATGGCGTCGTCAGGCCAAGCCCCATAATCCGAAGCTTCTACAGAATGCCAAGTTCAAAGCAGTATCTCACATGAGGAGATCCCCAAGACTTTGTCTTAGCAGTTCCTAGTGCGTGTAGATAGACTCCGTCTCCTGCTCACCCCGTTGATCAAACTTTCTGTCTCTCCATTGATGATCGTGTCAGCGGGTGCATTGCACGTAACAAAGACTATTCAAGCTCCGTTCGCCAGTATGCTTCGTGGAGCTGGTGGAGTGCCGGAGAGCATAACATGATACAGACCCAGAGCTCAGAAAAATCTGGAAACGCCATGAAACACTCCCGTTGTTTTAAAGCATAGCACAAAATGATGATGATGATGTTGGTCTTGAAGGCGTGCATGTAGACGGAAAGTGTCAAGAAGCAAGGAGAGAGATTCAATAAAAATAAGAGGAATAAAAAAAAAACACAAAGTACTCGAAAGAAAAAAAAAATAAAATAAATAAAATGATCCGAATATTTGCTCGTCCATAGTCCGTCCATGCAATTATCACATTTCCCATATTTCTTCCTTTCAAACTTGAGTCTTTCCCGGCAGAAATACTGGCTTTTTGAAAGAAGTTGTGTTGCCGTTACCGATGTTGTCAACCGGACGACGGCGAAGAGGCGACTAGTAACACGTATTTGCATACCTACTTCGACCACCTCGGCGAGAAGAAAAAAAGAATGCATTTCTGCCAACCGTGGAAATCTCCTTCACTGGCGATCGTAGCCTTTCTCGATCGGATTGCGGCTTCCTTCTGGGACGTCGATAGTATGCGATTTGACTCTGGGCTAAAAGCTCGCAGGAGCTTTACAACCCAAAGGGCAGATGGCATTGGAAGGCATGCCATGAACAAGGGAGAGGCAAAAAATGACAAAAAAGATAGATGATGAGAGTGGGATTCGAACCCACGCCGGTTTCCCGACCAGGAGATAAAGTTAAGAAGACCTTAACCTGGCGCCTTAGACCAACTCGGCCATCTCACCCTGTTTGTTGATATTAAAAAAAGACGATTGATGAGAGTGGGATTCGAACCCACGCCGGTTTCCCGACCAGGAGATAAAGTTAAGGAGACCTTAACCTGGCGCCTTAGACCAACTCGGCCATCTCACCTATTCGTTGGAACACGAAAAGAGTAGAGTTCTACATAAACACTTTGCAAACACATCATGAGCAAAAACATTGGCGTGATTTACGTCTGCAGGTCTTGTTAGTCATAGATCGCAACGCTCCAACGTTGTTGGTGACTTATAGGTTATCTGTCGTCAAGTGCAAGGATATCGTACGTTGCAGCGTCACAGGCTCACAGCACATTGTTTCGTGATGAGACAATCACGTGATCAGAACCCGATGCATTGTCGCCTGAGGCAGCGGATTACAGGTACGCAACTCACTCAACGACGGGCCAAACCTTAGGCGTTCGTTTTCCCAGCCCGACGATTCAAGATCACAACTTCGCGGATCAAGACGGCGTAAGACGGGATCAAGACGACTGTGACTAGACTTTCGGCCGACTCCGGTCCTCTCTCGACCGAGCAGACCTTCGAATTCCTGTCTTTGCAGTACGTTCCAACGCGAAACCCCCACCAATACAGTGCGAAGCGTTCGGTACTGGAATCGGAACGCCTTGCTTCACAGACACTTCTCTGCTTCCCAAGGCAACCTCAGTGTGTATGCTAACTGTTCAGTCTTCAGCGCAACATCACACCAACAAACTGTCGTCATGGCTCACGGCTCGAGAGGTGCCGCTGGCCAAACGACCGCCACTCAGAACAACGGACATGCGAGCAACGGTGTCTTGACAGGCAACACCGTGCCTGCACCCGCGAAGATTAATCAGAAGAAGGCGAAGCGGCGAGCAAAAGAGGCCGCCAAGAAGCAGGCGCAGGCTCAACGGGCCGCTGCTGACGCACATGTAGACACCAACCCTTCACGCAATGTTCAGGTCATTGTCTCTAACGGACTGTCCGATTTGCAGCACTCCCAAGGGTCCCACGAGTATGATGAGGCGTACGAAGAGCAAGACGGCTACGACAATGAACAGTACTACTCAGACGAAGATCCGGCGAACCGCCAGCAATACGAACCCGCTTACTCAGCTCAGTCGCAGACGGCCACGACGTCGGTGAATGGCACCGGGAAGAAGAATAAGAAGAAAAAGAAGCGGCAAGATGCTTATGCCTCTGCACAGAACAACGGCTACCGCGCTACTCCGCCTCCTCCGCCTTCCGGAACCATCTCCACGCGATCGCATCAGATGTCGACCAACGATCACATATGGAACACATCAACACAACAAGAGAGGGAGCGCATCAAGGAATTTTGGCTATCTCTGAAGGAAGAAGAGCGACGGTCACTTGTCAAGGTCGAGAAGGAGGCGGTGCTCAAGAAGATGAAGGAGCAGCAGAAGCATTCGTGTAGCTGTACTGTGTGCGGGCGTAAGCGTACGGCCATCGAGGAGGAGCTCGAGGTGCTGTATGATGCTTATTATGAAGAACTGGAACAGTACGCACTCAAGCAGGTTCCGTGGGCCACGTTGCTCGGGACTCCTGCTGCCACCCCTTCTTCAGAGCCATTTGACCAACGTCAAAACAGGTCGCCGCCAGATCGCATACCCCCACTCATACATTCACCGCCGCCCCGAGAGCAGATCGTGGAGGTCTCGGACGAGGATTACGAGAATTCTGATGAGGAGTATAGCGACGATGACTATGAGGAGTACAGCGACGACGGGTCGGAAGAGCTGCCTAGGGCGACTGCGGATTTTTTCAATTTCGGCAACAGTCTCACGGTCAAAGGTTCGCTTGGTGCATTCGAATCTAGCTTTCGCGGGCTTTCTTTTCTAATTCGAGTGCAGGTGGTATATTGACAGTTGCAGACGATCTGCTGAAGAACGATGGGAAGAAGTTTATTGAGATGATGGAGCAGCTGGCCGAACGTCGAATGGCGCGAGAAGAGGAGGCGCAATATGCTGCCATTTCACATCCAGGCTCATACAACGACTTCCGACATGGTCACGGTGTTCCAGAGGACGAGGGCGATGATGACTATGACGATGATGAGGAGTATGACAGTCAGGAGGAGTATGACGATTCAGAGGAAGACATGGTACATTTACAGAATACAAGACCGCAGGCAGGCGCTGATTACAAATAGGACACCATGACCGAAGAGCAGCGGATGCAGGAAGGACGACGCATGTTTCAGATCTTTGCTGCGCGAATGTTTGAGCAACGCGTGCTCACGGCATATCGTGAGAAAGTTGCTGCGGAGCGACAGCAGAAGTTATTAGAAGAGCTAGAAGCGGAAAAGAACGTCGACGCAGCGCGGGAAGCGAAGAAAGCCAAGGACGCCGAGAAGCGCAAGGCCAAGAAGCAGGCGCAGAAGCAGAAGCAGATTGAGGAGAAAGCACGAAAGGATGCCGAGAGAGCTGCGCAAGAGGCTGCACTCAAGGCAGAACAAGAGCGGAAACTAGAGGAACAGAAAAAGCGCCGTGAAGAGCAGCGACTAAAGAAAGAAGAGCAACGAAAAGCGCAAGAGGCGGAGCAAGCAAGGAAGCAGGCCGAGAAGATCAAGCGCCAGAAGGAAGAGCAAGAACGGAGGCAGGAGGCCGAACGCAAAGCACGCGAGCAGAAGGAAGCAGAGCGAAAGATTCGAGAAGAAATGAAGAAGAAAGAGAGAGAGGAGCGTGAGGCTCGCGAGAAGGAGGCTAAGGAGCGCAAAGCGAAGTCTGAACAGGAACGCAAGGAGAAGGAGGCAAAGGAGAAGGCGGAACAAGAGCGGCAACGAAAGGAAACGCAATCTACACAGCAAGCCCAAGGGGCGCCGGCTGCCAAGCGAGCTGCGGCACCAGCAGCTGTCCCCATACCTCCAGGACTTTCGAAACAGCCGTCGAATTTTGCGTCGCCACATGTTCAGGCTGCTGTGCCGAAAGCACCTACTCCAGCACGACCTCGACAGAGCTCGCAGCAGGGTTCCAAAGGCTCATCTCCAAAGACGCCTGCTGCTGCGACGGCGGGGCAATCCAAATCTGGCTCTCCAGGCGTTATCGGTGGGCCATCACAAGCACAAAATGCCCCCGTAGCACCAAAGACTATATTATCTAGACCTCCGAGCCAACCGCCTGTCAGCGCAGTGCAGCAGCCGAACATACCGGGCCCTATGGGCATGGTTCCTCCCCCGGGTATGCCAATGCCACAGGGGGGGCCTTATGGTATACCACCAGGCTTGAACGGCTTCCCCCATGGTCCCGCATCGATGATGCCGGGCAATATGCAGCGGACGCCTATGCCTCCAGGCATATTCTCACCACCACAGCAGCCTATTGGCGCAGGATTTCCACGACCCTTTGGTGTGCCAAATGGCATGCAGGTCCCACCGCCAGGAATGGGTGCTCCGGGCATTCCACCCTTTGCTCGAGGGATGCCTGAAGGGCCACCAGGATTCGGAGGACAACTACCCGGTGTACCATATCAGGCTGCATTTGCTGACTCAATGCCTGCACGAACTGTTCCTGGAGCCCAGCACTCTCGTCAGCATTCAAGTTCTTCACCTACAGTCGATCAGCCACCAATTGGCTCCGCGATCCGGCCTCCTGCGCCTATTCAGCGACCATCCAGTGTTAAGCCTGGAGGTAAGAAGGGTGAGCTAGATGATCTTGCGGACCACCTAGGTAGCAGCGCTCTTCTCGATGACGACGAGTCACCAGAGCCTGACTTCTCCGATCGTCAAGCCGCCATGGCACCTGGTCTTCAACATGGTGCCTCGGACCCTACTGGTTTCAGCGGACCTCCGGGCTTCAGCAATCGTTCAAATCCACCACGTCTGGATTCGTACGCCATGGGCGGCAACACCGCCTGGGGTACGCCGTCTATTCCATTTGGTACACCGGTGCTTCCGGGAACTGCCAATTGGGTTGGCTCACCCACAGGTGGTTGGCCAACAGGCAATGCATTCGGCCTGGGTCTCGGGAATGGGCTTGGTACTGCTGCTGCACCAGGAAGGCCAAGGCACCAGCAAATCCGCATCGCTATTGTTGACGCTTACAAAGCGCAGGCTCACACTAGTGAGGACGGATTCGTGGACGCCAAAACGATCTACTCGCAGATTAGAAACCTACTCCGACCACCAATTGAGGAGCAGGACATGCGCATCCTACTGGACACGGAGGGCACTCCCCAGAATGGAGGTGGATCCTTCCAGTTGCGGATCAAGGGGGAAAATCACCTGGACCTGATGCTCAAGTGGACTCAGGACGATGGTTTGGGACGTGGATCTGTCGGTCAGATTGGCGGTGCCGGCGAAATCGGCAGTCCTGTTGTAGGCGCAAGTCATCCTGTTGGCAGCGCTAATGCCACGCCCTTCGGCAGCCTGAGGGGATTCCCAAGCCTAGCAGGAGGACTGACCGGGCTTGGTCAGAGCCTGTAAAAAGTTGATGACAACAGTTAACGGGACCACGCAATTTACGGGCAAGGGGAAAGGGCTCTCGCTCAGTTACTATTCATTGATTGCATGAACAGCTCTTGAGGTGTTTCGACAACATTGTTTTTATGGTTGAAAGGTGCATTCTGCTGATCTTCGTCATCGGCCACATTTTGAAATGCTATGCATTAACCGCTTCCTCACTCCTGTCTCAAGGCTTTGGCCACTGGGCGAAAGCTTGACTTTTTTGTGTGAGAAGGCGGACGCACCGTTTCTTGGTAGGACGCTTTGAGTAGCAGGTAGTCGTATCGAGAAACATACAGTGAGCAGTCTTGCAGACTTTGTTCTTTTTGACGTTCATGACTCCTCGTCCTCGTGTCTCTTACGTCCCATTGCAGCCTCTCCGCGAGAATTGAGAGAATCGAGGGGACAACGAGCCCTTTTGAAGACGTGAAGCACAGTAGAGAGGTAATGTTTTTTTTTATTCCAATTCTAGGAAAGGGAGAAATTGGCGCTCATACTTTGACATCGAAGCTTGTTCCGCATCCGCAGCTGCTGCTCGCCCTTGGATTATCAATCTTGAACTGGGACCCAATCAGCTCCATCGTGTAATCCACCTTGCTGCCCTTCAAAAGCTCTAGTGATGATTCATCTATTACCACCTTCGGCCTTCCCTCCGCCACAGTCCTCCAATCTGCGTCTCCCGCCTCTGGCAAAGGCGCCTCCGGCGTCGATGCTACGAACAGCACGTCTTCGCTTTCGTCAATCTTGGATGTGTCGACCAAGGACATGAGGTACTGAAAGCCGTGGCATCCACCACTCTCGACCGTGACTCTCAAGGCGAGGTTCGGATTCGAATCCTTGGCCATGATCTGAGAAAGACGCCGGATGGCGCGCGGCGTCATGGACACGCTCATCGGCTCGCCCGTCTCCTCGTCCGTGCGTGGGTTGAGCAGCGTTCGTGTCGCGTACTGCGAGGATGCGGACGAGGTCGCCGAACCGGCGGAGGACGCTGGCGGCGGTGGCGGCGGCGACGGTGACTCCGCATTGGACGGTCCATGCGGCTCGACGGTGGGTTTGCGCAGAGGGCGCGAAGATGTCATCGACCTGTTCGCTGCGCGCGCGGCCTTGGACGCCGCGCCGTCGACGCCGGCTCTGGGGCGAGCTCCCACAACCTGGACGGGAGCCCGGCCGTGGTACGGTCTGATCGCGCGATGTAGCGTGTTCGATCTGGCCAGCTGCGCGCTGGCTCGCATGCAGCGAAAGCAGATGTACGGTGCCGCTGCGCTCATGTCGATGCGGTTCGAGTGCCTGTGGGCGGGTTTCGATCGTAGAGCGCCTGGTGAAGAGAGCTGGGTTGACGCTGACAAAAGCGAACCATGATGTCGGACTTCCGGGCTCCGGTGGTCGGAGCATCGGCTGGGCGAATCACGGCGAACCCTGCACCTCTCTCTTAGTCACTCTGCACCTTTTGTAGACAATAATTCAAGCCCACGCCAAAAGGTCCGGGTCGGGCGTGGAATTATGTTGTACCATGCGTCCTCTAATCTGCTTATGTGTGCATGTCAGAATCAGGATGAACGTGCGAAGCTGATGGTAGGCTTTTGCTGAGCTCTCATGGTTCACGAATCGGTTACCTCAGAGTCTCACTTGGAGTCTCGCACATTCTGATCTCAATCAGTAAACATCTTGGAAACGACGTTCTTTGCCTGTATCTGGACACCCGCTTGACAGTGAGATCGTGTCTTCATGACGAGTCTGATGGTGCAGATGCTTACAACCTTTGCCTGAAGATTTGAGGCAACCAACGTAGAGTTCTGATCGAAAATGAAACGGTGGGACAAATACGAACTTTTGTCTCTCACATAAATGGCAGGTTAGCTTTGTAGTGGTTGATGCATCGCTTCGTCGGTATGAAGCGACTTCTGCCTCAAGAATTCCATTCGCCGTGATGCCATTTCTTGCTTCTAATGAAGCTCTGGCTAATTTGAACTACCGACGGTGGAAAGCTCAAATCTGACGACACAACAACTGATTCCATCCCAAAGATGAGACGAAAAGTCTTTCCACGTTTCTGCTGAAGGTTCCTCCCAATTGTCGGCAGGTGGCTTTGTCCTATGTGCTATGCAAAGTCGAAAAGAAAGACGAGCATGCCGGCGCTGTGATCGGCACGCGGCGCCCGAGAACATGTGCACAAAAGCCGTTGATGTAGTTTTCCCGTGTACCGATCGATTTTATGCTCCTCAGCTCTCGAATGAGCTGTGTTAGGTCCTCTTCCACAAAAAATTTAGTAGCAACTGCATCTAGCCATCGACTCCACCTGGGTTTGTGTGACGGGATTAATTTAGATGTATCCTTCCCGATGTGTGGAACCAATGAAAACGAGGTAGCACATCTACTCTCTCTCTCTCGGGTTGGTGTTTCACATGCTGCATCCGAGATACATGCATATCGAGCGCCCCTTCGGCGACGCTATCTTAGCTCCCGCAGTCCATCAGCCGCTTAAACCAACGCTTAGAACGAAACTACCCAGCCTCATCAAATCTGCGCAACCGGGTATATCAGATATCCGATTTTTATGCTCAGCCCGCTGTGATGGCACGATGTCTTGGACTTGCGAATATTTCTGACTGCATTCCGGTTAACAGACACGGCCAATGGAGAGGCAAGACTACTGCAAGTCCAAGCCATAGACGGGCAGGCTGTCTCTGAAACAACGAATAGACATAAGCTCAGAATGAATCCCCTCGGTATGCTGGATTTTCCTGAAGAACTCAATTTGGCTTTTCACAGCCCGGATCCGTGTCCATCCCTTCGTCGCGCAGATGTACGGCTCTCCGCATTTGATCTAGTCGGACAAAGCTAGCAGACCTCACATGTGAGAGCATATGTGTAAATCCTGCCTAGAAATAAGGTTTGGATCCATCATTGTGTTGTCTCTTTTTGGACTTGTCCTACCTGAGATGTGGCGATCGGGTTACTACTCCGGTCCTTTCTGCGTCTCATTCCTCAAAAGCCCACGTGATTAGACTGAAGGCTGACCATGCGGTATGTCCAATAGGAGATCGAAAGCGAAGGGGGTTCTGAGTAAGAAAAAAACTCTATAAATCTGTTTTCCTTCCCGCTCTCTCCTCACCTAGTCGTCGTTGCGTTTCACAGCATTCTCGATTTTCAATTCTTCAACAGAAAGGATGGCAACTCAGAACGCTGAAAAGGCAACTCACAATAAGAATTTCGCTTCGGAGCTTGACGAGACGACCGGTGTTTTTGTGGTGCAGAAACAAGAGCGCTCTTATAGTGATGACGACTCTAGCCTCTCTGGGCGAGGACAGTTGAAGACTACAGCAGACGGAAAGACCGTTCTCATACCTCAGCCATCTGACGACCCTCGTGATCCACTCAATTGGAGCTGGCTTAAGAAACATGCCGTATTCTTCTCACTGCTTCCTGGATGTTTCCTCACAGATTGGGTCATCACTTACGGAACTACTATGGTGAGCATAATAAAATGCACTCTATTCAACAGAGCCATCACTTACAACACACCTTGTAGTTCGTACAACAAGTCCCATCTTTCCACAAGAGTCCGAAGTCAATCTCCAATTCAATCTCTGGCGCCATATTCATGCAAGGACCTGGCGGTCTCCTAGCCGTTCCTCTTGCTCAGCGATATGGTCGCCTGCCCGTGCTCTTCTGGTCACAGCTCCTAACCTTCATCGTCACTATCGGAGCCGCGGGCGCTGGCAATTATGCAGGTTTCACTGCGTGCAGAACGCTTCAGGGATTTTTTGCAGCATCGCCTCAGGTAATTGGGCTATCCATGATTCACGACATGTTCTACTTCCACGAGCGCGCCAGAAAGGTCAACATTTGGGCTTTCTGTTTCCTTCTCGGACCATACATGGGACCATTCATTTCGCAGTGGATCGCAATGAAACTTAGTTGGCGTGAGAACTTTTATGTTCTGGCAGGGTTATTTGGCTTCTCTGTCATCTGCGTCATTTTGCTTGGTGATGAGACTTTGTACGATCGAGAAAAGACGAAGTGCGAGACAGCCAGGCACCCAGTCGTTGAGCGCTTATATCGTTTGACGGGCATAGCTGGTGTACGCGACTGTGAAGGTCGACCTGGCCTTTGGGAAGTAACCCAGGACCTGTTCAGCTTGCTGCTGCGTCCATACCTCCTCCTTCCCACCTTCGGCTTTGTTACCTGGATCACCATGTGGACGATTGGCATTGTCTCTACAATCACCCTCTTCACAAAGCCTCCACCACAAGCCACTCCTCCAGGCTATGGTTTCAGCGAAACCGCTAGTGCATTGATCTACATCGCGCCGATGGTTGGCACTGTCATGGCAGAATTCTGGGGCCATTGGTTCAACGATTTTCTACAAAATCGTTACATCAAGAAGCATGGTGGCCAATACAAGCCCGAGAATCGCCTCTGGGGTGTGTATCCGGCTTGGATCATCGGCGTGGCTGGTCTTGTCACCTTCGGCGAGACTCTGCAGCACCACAAGCACTGGATTGGTCTCGCATTTGGCTGGGGAATGAATTGTTTCTCGACATTGGGTACAACCACTGCGATCTCCGCATACATTCTTGACGTTTTGCCTCAGCACGCTGCTCTTGCAAGTGCCTGGATCAACGCTTTTAGAACGATTGGTGAGTTTTGGACCTGGCCCTGCTTGAATCACTACATCTGCTGACAAACAGCTTCAGGAGGATTTTGCGTCACATATTTCCAGTCCGACTGGGCGGCAAAGAACGGCCCCGCAGTGACATTTGGTTGTCAGGCTGCCATAGTCGCCTTTTTCATCTTGTCCATCATCGCTACGCAAGTCAAGGGCGCAAGCTGGCGTATCAAATTTCCAGCACCTCAAACGAGTCGCACGTATTGAGAGTAATCTTCACTTCTTTAATGGAGTATAAATCGTGATTGAACTACTGAAAAGTAGATTCAACGGGCTTGCGGCTCTTTTAGCGCGGTGTTCAAGAGGGGGCGCGTCGAAGGAAAGCTCCACAAAACCTAGTGCAGAGATGTAGTTCAGGCTTGACAGTAATTCATTGGGTCAAAACGTATGAAATTGCCCTGTTTTCTTTATTGGCAGGTTGACATTTACGTTGAGAAGCGAGAACCACCGCATCTCAACCACCCAGACGACGAGGCTGACGGAAAAGCTTCGCACCAGCCATCGGGTCCCCACGAAGTCCCGCACAAACTCGAAACAGGGTCTTCGTGGGGGCCGGGGTACCTCCTGGTTGTCAACCTCGAAAAGTACATAATGCTGTCTTTGCTCAAATATTCTCAACAGAACTTGGCGCAGCTGCATTTGACAGATTGATTTACTTGTTAAAACACACAGTATCTTGCTGAGCTCGGCACCAATCGCGCAAACTACGATACCGACGGGACCATGGTACATTGGGCACTTGGAGATCTGTTCCTGAAGGACTATGGCCACCAAGGGAGCATCCAGAAACTCTGGACGGAGCGATGGCAGTTTCCGGTGAGCCTGCCATCGAACCGCTCCATCTCAAGAGAGATGTGAATCAGGTCTGATTGACAATCTTTGTTCATGTAGTGTAAACTCGGGGTGTACCCATTCCACGACGGAAAGTACGAGGATTTCGAGTCAATCTTCACCCAACTCGTCAGGGACGGCATAAACGACCCGTACGATGACGCGTGGTGTAACGCTTTTCTACCGATTGCTCGGCGGCTCGTGTCTGAAGCCGGTACCGCAGAGTCAGCAGACAAACAGAAGGCAATTGAACTGTACAAAAGAGCTTGTGCAGTATACCGCATTTCCCGATTCCCGTACCTCAATCACTCCCCACTGAAGACACAGGCGTTTGAAGAGCAGAAAAAAGCGTACATGCAGGGTGCGAGGCTCTGGGATGTGCCGATGAGAGAAGTCATAATCCCGTTCAAGCATAAAGAAGAAGGAGATAAGCCGGACATTCCGCTGTATACAAGGACCCCTGCAAGTGCAACGAACGATAAGCCCGCACCTGTGGTACTCTTGGTCACAGGCCTAGATGGCCATCGACCTGACAATACAGAGCGCACTCAGGAGCATCTTAACAGGGGCTGGGCTACGGTCATTTGTGACATACCAGGAGTGGCCGACTGCCCCGTCAACAAGCGGGATCCCAACGCGTCAGATCGCTACTTTGACACGATTTTGGAATACATCGCGTCTGTTCCGGAGTTTGATAATCGAAAGGTCATAGCGTGGGGTCTGTCTGCTGGTGGATACTACGCCATCAGGCTAGCACATACGCACGCTTCAAAGCTCGCCGGTGCCGTCGGACACGGCGCCGGGACACATCACTACATCGGCAAAGAGTGGCTGGAACACGTCCACCACCACGAATACCCGTTCTCGCTGAAAGAAGCGTACCTGGGCAAGTATGGCTACGAGAGCTGGGAAGAGCTGCTCGAGAAATGTCAGAAGGACTACTCTCTCGTGCTGAACAAAATCGTAGACAGGAAGAGCTGTCGGCTGCTGCTGATCAACGGTGTCTTGGATGGCTGCATGCCCATAGAGGACAGCTCCCTTCTGGCAGAGTACGGGAGTCCAAAGGAGTTCAGGTTCATCCAAGGACGCGCACACATGGGCTACCCGGAGGCGAACACGTATGTCTTTCCGTGGCTCGAACAGGTCATGAACACAACCTCGTCCGCAGAGTAGGCAAGAAACCAAGCATCTGTTATTCAGCAGGGTAGGAAGAGAAAAAAGTGCGACGTAGCAGGTGTTCGTTTTCGAAATCTATCGCGCCCTGAACTCGTAAATAAAGAGAAAATAAACCCCCAAAATGATAAACCCTCAAGAGCATCCTCGCTTACTGTTTCGTCTGGCTTCTCTTTTCGTTGATCCTCCCCCCTTTTCTTCCTTTATTGCTCATCTCATGATTTAGGATTACGTGTCCTCATGCAAGCGGTGACTTTCACACCGAGTACAAGGTCAAGCTACCAGAACGTGGTCGTCCTGTCTCAAACGCCGGGACAAGACTGGCTTGTGTTGGTCATTGGGAATCAGATGTCGTACGGAGCACCCTCACGTTCCCGTCGCGCTAGGTGCAGTCGCCTTGCCATAACCGGGCTAGACCAGCCGCGTGTATAAGATCCATCTGTATGTTACGTCCCTTTTTTAAAGTACAAGAGTTGATATCAAGGGCACGTGACGGCTTACGAGGCACAGAAATTCGGATCCGAAAGGAATTTCTGTCGGACGAATGGGTAATCTGGGGGCGAGGATCTCGTAGCACACAAGAGGCGCATTGCAAGACCAAGATTTGATTATCGTATGCAAAATCCATTAAATTCGCTAATACAGGTTTTTCACTTTGTATGGAGTACAATTCTTTAAAAACCATGACCGTGCTGGACGCGGGATATCATCACAGAGGTAATATAAAGAAACGGTCATTCCGAGACTTAAAGAGTCTTTTCGACGATGGAGATATCCTGGCCTTCTCTTGCCTCGCCATCCTTGGTACCCATTCGCTGGAGACGCTTGCCGACGTTGTTCGTGAGGAACTTCTCCATGTTTGGCACGAAGAAAGCCGCTGCGAAAAGCAGCGCGCCAAATGGGATGGTGGCGTAGAAAACGTAGTGGAAGGCCTCGAAATACGCGCGACGTGTCTCGGTGGCACCGATAGCGATGATGTTTGGAGTGGCCCCGGGCACTGATGAGAAGTTGCCCGATGTTAGACCAGCAAAGAACGTTGGCAGGGACGATTCGGGGAGGCCTGCTGCAGTCACAGCTGGTGTGACATACTCAGGGATGAACTTCGCGGCCTTGGTTGTCAGGATCGAGACGTAAAGAGCCTGAGCAACAGCTCCGCCGACAGCGCGAATGGAGCCAAGCACGCCAGTTGCAAGACCAATATCCTGAGCTTCAAACACGAGTGTGACGGCGGGGAAGGTGATGTTGTCAACATAGCCGATGAAGACGGTGGCCATGATACCAAGAATGATGCATTGCGCGTGGGTGTCGGCATTGATAGAGGCAAGCGATGCCACAAACGAGGCTCCAATGAACGAAGTAATGACAATCTGCCACTTGACCTTTGGTACGTAGGACAGGGCAAAACCGCCGAAAGCTTGGCCGAGAAGAATGCCACCGCCGACAACAGAAGATTGCAGACCAATCTTGGTGCTGTCAGTAGTGTATTGCGAAAGGATTGTCGGCCAGAGCACAGTCAGTGCATAGTAGACCATGGCACCAATAGTTGCACAAACGACGATTGCTGTGTAGCCGATGTCTTTAAAGATGCGGGGAGGCATAAGAGGTACACCCTTGGAGACTTTGTGGGCGAGGTAGCCTTCGTAGAAGCCAAAGAGAATCAAGGTGGCGATTCCAACGACCAAAGTGGCAATAACGTGAGCCGAGCTCTAGATCACACAGTCAGCAATAGATGGTTAATATATCGAGGACATCACCACAAACCCATGGATAAGCTTGACCTCCCCAGGACAGACCGATCAACAAAATTACAACGCCAGCAAGGTACAAGACCAGTCCAACATAGTCGAATTCCTTCAGCTGCTGGGCAATCGTCTTTCCGTGGACGTGTAGCTGATCGTACTTGGGTGGATGGTAGAAGAATTGATAAAATATCAGGGCCAGGGCATTGCAGATAATGCCAATGTAGTAAGACCATCGCCAGCCGGCCGCGGTATTATCAATAAAGGCCCGGCCGATTGACGGGCCAAAAACCGCGAAGGGAAGCGCCGCGAGGAAAATGACGGTAACCGCTGGGCCTCTGAGTCTGTTGGGCACGAGTTCACCCACAACGATGCCGAATGAGAGCTGGCCAGCAGCAGCGATACCGATCATCGTTTCGGCAGCAATGAGAGCGCCGACGTTGTGCGCAGTCGCAGCAACGATAACACCGACCAATGCGAGGATCTGGCAGAATTGCACACCCCATTTGCGGCCGAAGATGTCGGTCAGACGACCAAATAGAAGAAAACCAACGGCGCTTCCGAGAGTCCAACCGGTTGCGACCCATGAGATATTGACTGAAGGACCGACATCCTCGTTGATCAGAGCAAGTGTATTTGCTGGAACAACCCAGCCAAGATACGCGCAGTTATTGGCAAGACATACAGCCTATATCAGAGTCAGCTGACAATGTCACCCAGTTTGTAGCGGGTGCATCAGGGAACTTGCAATGAACGTGAAGATAAAGTTAGGAGTCAAATAGTAGCCAGCAGGCATCTCATCAAAGTCTCCACCAACGGCGTGTGCATCGATAAGATCGACAGTGCCATCCTTATGGACACGTTTGACGACGTGGATGCCGTGTTCTGAGGGAGGTGCGGCGAGGTTGTCCTCCACCTGGTTGGTGGCAACCTTCTCATTGACTGGCTCACTTGCTGTGGAAGACATGGTGAGGGGCAAGACAGCAAGACGTCGAGACGGCCGAGGATCACCTTAGATGGAATGTGAGGAGGAATGAGGTCCAAGGTGTGCTGATCATATATCTACCCCAGAGACATGCCCCAGACTTTATGGCCTCGAGAAAATTCCCCAGGGGAGCTAACGACCCTCGCGTGGAGAACTAGGACCCCAGTCGGCTACCAAGGATATCGAGACCCGGGGCGATCCCCACAGGCACCTGGATTGCTGCTTGCGCTTCTTAGTTGCTTTTGGCAGGTTTAATTGGGTTATGCTACGAGCCAAGCCTGAGTCTAGAATCAGCTAGGCTCATCGTACGAGAAATCAGACTGCTCGAGAGTGAGGATCGCGTTCTTGCTGTTCAGTCGGCAGCTCTTTTCTTCGCCCTCTTCACCAGGTCCTGAAGACGTCTTGACGTTCGACTCGATGGGCAGTCTTTCTGGTACCCAGTGCTACGCGATTGGCTGTCATTAGTGCGGAGCTGTCGTCCTGGTGAGGAGGCGCGTCGGCTATGTCTGGCACGGATGCCGCGCACCTATTCTGGGGAGCTCCCCAGGAATGCGGCGGTCTTTTTGACTCACGCAAGCGCGAGCATCGACTCTTTTGGCGACCTTATCGACTCGTGCGATGAAAGCCAGCCGCCCAATCAAGACAGACTCCGCCCGGAAGGGCGGCTTTTGGTCCGCTTCGTGTTGAAAGGAGCGTTGACGCGCAGCATCGCCGCCTAACGCCCACGGCGCCCTGGCATTGGGACCTTTGCCCATTCCTGCGTGTCAGCAGAGTCTCGCACAGATTGCCTCTGTGGTGCTTGAATGGCAATTTGGCTTTCTCGGCGACGCAGCACGAGCTCGTCTGGGCCATGAACTTGTGGGTGCGCCTGGGGAAAGGTTGGGGAATCCCCGAGTCGAGGTGGTCATTTCATTGGACGAGCCGAGTCTCCGCGACTGCGCCCCACCATTGGCTGGACGTCCAACATTCCAACCTTGACAAGAAGCGCCTTCACACTGCGCGCCGCCCACCACACACACCGCTTTTGAAATCAGTTGTGCTTCGTCGTCCTTGACGCTAACGAATCGTAAGATTGAAATCGAGGCATCTCCCGCTCCCAGCTACCGCTCCAATCCCCACGTTCTCCCTCCATCCGTTGCTGACATTTGACATACTTCCTACACTTTGCTGGATGACATTCTCCGTACTGACATCCATCTCGAATTATCCGCCGTCCCCTGACCGTGGACATACAGTGTACTCCGTTTTACACTTTGGCAGCACCGCCGTTTTGGAACTCTGTACCGCACCATTTGAGCCAGGTGTCTGGGACCATGATCCTATCGCTTCTCCGACGACCAGGGCCCCGTCGAGAAATGTTCTTGTAAGCTGCTTAGTGCGTCAACCCCCGTTGCTATTCTCGGTGTGAATGGCTAGACGTGGTTTATATCACTTGTAGAAACAGTGCAGTATATTCTACGCAAGCAACATTCTTCTCAATTTTTTTTCCTTTGGTCATGATTGCACCTCGTACTAGTATGAGCTTGGCGATGCGTGGAAGGTGAGCTCTAGAAGGGCTTTTCTGTCTACGGGGTTTTTGACGGGTTAGGCAACACGAGGAATCTTGAGGTATTGTTAAGCAGTTCAAATCAGCAGAGAACGGCCTTATTCTCGAAATTTTTTAGAGCGTGCACGCTGGCCAGTTAAACTGCCGCCGCGCAGGTTACCATACCGCCGTTAACCATGAGTGGGAAAAAGATACCCGATATTCCCTCCTCGGACGACTACACGCCCCTTACATAAGTCTTGATGACGCGAGAACGGTCAAGAACTACCTCCGTATAGCAGTACATTATTCAACCGTCCGCCATGTGCTAACGACGTCGATTGGCGTCTCGACTCATGGTCTTGTGATGAGCAGGTGCCTGGCAACAGTGCATGAGGGAGCTGAGGCGCTACCCGTCGCTGCGCTTCTGCATGCGAGGTGGACCCACGGATTCGGGCGGATCCTCTGCCTTGGGTCTGGACTTTTGCTCAGCTCTTTCTAAGTACTTTCAATGTCGATCCAATAGTATGGGGAAAACAGTCTCAAATGAAGTACGTTCACGCAGTCATTCTCCGCCAGCACTTTACAACAAGTGATGATGAAATGTGCACCTCGTTAGTGAATTTACAGTCAGATGAGAAGAAGCATTTAGCATCTCGAGTTTTTAGCCCGTTGTAAGGTCGTATGCTGGTGACAAAGGATCCGCAGGCTAGCACAATTAGAACGAGCGTTTATCAACTAACGTTTCGCGTTTTTTGTCTAGAACTGACAACTGTCCGAGTCCGCAGCGCGACAGAGAGCCGACATGCAGCCCTGCCTTTTCTGTTGTTCTTCTGGCGTGTTGCCGAAAGTCTGTTTCATAAACATCTCTGGGTATCTAGACCCTTGAACCTCTGCCGTTTTTGCAATGACTCGTATTTCGCGGACCTCCTCCTCGGATAGAGCAATCTTCAAGGCCTCCAGATTCTCTTGCAAGCGTTGTAGCTTTGTTGTACCCGGAATCGGTACGATATCCGGTCCCTGAGCCAACAACCAAGCCAGCACGAGCTGCGTAGCAGTAACACCCTTCTTCTTCGCATACCCGACAATTTGGTCTACAAGGACGAGATTTTTGCTGAAGTTCTCTGGTGTAAATCGAGGATAGTTACGACGCCTGTCGTTTTCGTCCGCATCATCGATGGAACGAATCAGGCCCGAGAGCATGCCTCGACCAATAGGTGAGTAGGCGATCGTCGCCACTCCTAACTCACGGCAGGTCTGAAGGATCCCGACTTGAGGGTTCTCGATGTCCAAGGACCAGAGCGAGTACTCAACCTGGAGTGCAGCGACGTGGCCAATCTTGCATGCACGACGCAGTGTAGCTGCACTGACCTCGCTGAGACCGATGTATTTGATCTTGCCCTCGGCCTTCAAGCCTGCCAGCGCGTGCATGGTCTGCTCGATCGGTGTCTTGCCGTCAACACGATGACAGTAATACAAGTCACGTAGTCCACACATAGACATCGGAGGTAATTTTCCGCGGCCTGCCCGCAGAATTCCGGAGTGGAGTCGACGGAATAAACTCCATCGTCGAAGCGATTGGCGAACTTCGTGGCAAGAAAGATGTCCTTTCGCATCTCCGGGTTGGCAGCAAGCCATTTTCCAACAATGTCCTCGGAGTCGCCATAGATGTCCGCAGTGTCCCAGAACCACTCGCCGAGGTTGTATACTTCATCCAGGAAGGCAAGTCTTTCATGGTCATGCAGTTTGGCGCTATACGCACCGGCTCTGGGCAACTAGTTAGACGCTCGTACGTATCGTTATGAAAGGGGAAGGGCTCATTTACAAGCCCATCAGGCCGATCCCCATGCCTACAACTTGCGGTCCGTTTTTACCTAAGGAATGGGTTGGAACTTTCTGCACCATGATTGTACTCTATATGTTTTGACTAATATGAGATCGGAGACTCTGAATGTTAATTCGTCTTGAGTACTCGAAGACATCTTCGGCGACCCTTTTTGTACTGCACCCTCAAGCATCGCTTCGTATCTGTTCATTGACAAGTTGTTAACGGGGCTTAGACGGACTTAACATATCCTCTCTCAAGTAGAGGCGAACGCCTTGTCCACAGCTAATTTTTTTGGCAGATGAATAATCGAGGTTTGATGCCTTATTCTTGAGAGAAGCGAGAGGCCCGCTGTTGCTTCCGAATGTGGGGTTTACGGTGCATTGGAGCTGTGCGAGCCAGGTTTACCTACTCGTCCGAACGTCGTCCGGTCTCTTGCTAACTGATCTAAAGGATGACGATCTAACAGCTGAAAAAAAATCGAAGCCCTCGGGATGTAGTAGGCAACTTGGGATAATGTCAAGCTGTTGGATCCCCGAAAGACGAGGTCAATAGGGACAAAGAAATACGCAAGTTGTACGAGTTTGACCAAGTAAGATTTGACGTTCATGAGCGAACCTGATCTCAATAAGGAACGAAAGGTTGAGAAGACTGTGTACGATGATTAATATCCATTCTGCAGCTAATTTGTATCAGATAGATCTAATCCGGTCTTGATGCCAAAATCATTATTCCCTTCCGCCCAAGCGCCATCCCATGAACTTCATTTTTATCCGCGTATACTCATGGCCCGTCAAGATCATGTTTCAAAGTATTACAATAAAATAACACATTAGATGCACCCTCTCACGTCACAAACAGTGATGATGTCTTTATTCTTTCATCGTGATTCCTTCCCGACCAGACAAGACTTGAACGTTGTTCAGAAAGCTTACCAGCCCTTTGGTGTTGCGCAAGGCGTGCATGTCGTGCTTGCGACGACAGTGCTGGACGTCGCGCAGCTGGTCTCGTACTCTGTGCACACCTCGACGCTGGGGACGGCAGTCGAGATGACAATCGGCTTGGCGACCGTCCAGACGGAGGTCTCGGTGCAAGTCTCGGTCTCGTAGACGGGCACTCCGGTCTCCACCACGGTGGTCACCCACATAACGGTCGTTACGGGGTACGAGGTCGTGTAGCATTCTTCGGACCATGTGGTCTGCACTTGTTCATTCGTCACAAGCGTCGACATGGTCTCGACGCCGGTGGACGTGGTCACGGTTGGGACCCACGTCGTTTGGCTCTTGACAACTGGCACAACCGTCGACACGGTGTAATAGGATGTAGAGTAGGTGGTAGCGCACTCGGACTCGACGACTCCGCCGCCCCAACCGTTGGTTCCGTTGCCCCAAGTGGACACACCGGGCAGGGCTGATGCGAAGGTGGCGGAAAGAAGAGCAGTAGCGAAGATCTTGGAGAACATTTTGGCGTCGGTGGCGGTAGCGATAGTGGTGGTGGTAGTAGTAGTAGTAATGCTCCCGTGTCTTCAATATCAGATGATCTGAGCGATTGATGCGAGGCTGAGCGCGAGGCTGGAGATCGACCAGGCTGGAGCTTGAAGCGAGGGTGTCAAACAGCTGAAATAGGTCGTCGGGTAGGATAAAAGGACCAGTACTATTGATCCTGCGTTGTTCGGAGATGCTGAGTTGATGTGTTACCTTGATGATCGAGGCTTGTGTTGGTATTAATACTCGTCTGCGTTGCCATTGCGGCGTGGTGGCCAGCCTCAAGCTCGTGTTCCCAACCTCGCAATGCACAACTCGATGTGATCGCCCGCCGCTCCAACCAAAAAATTTGCAAGGAACGGCCTTTGTTCGCGAATTCCAGCAGTTCGATAAAGTCAAATCCCGCCTCCTTTCGGCTTAGAGATCATGGAACGAGTGTCGACGTGCATGATAGTGACCTGGTTATCGCCCGTCCACATGTATGACATGTGCAACAACGCGCGTCTTGCTCCACGCGACAAGCACGAGTTCTACACTTTCGGCGAATTTTTAAATCCACGACTCCATTTTGCCGTCGATCCTTTTTTCAATCTCCTCAAAGATTTGTATTGACTCCTACCATGACCAAATTGCTCGCGGTGCCGATTGCGGACTCGATCGTGGCCGCGGATATCGCTAGCCCCTCTAATATTTTGGCAGTTGTGCGAGCCCCCGGCTGAGCTTCGACGTGCTTGGTACCCAACCACCGCAACCACGTTTTCATCGTCGCGGTCCGCAACAGACACAAGACTCCCGGCGTAATCGCTCATCCTCGTGCATGCTACCTGCCATCTTCTCCGCACCTTGCCGTTTCACTCCTACGCATTTCACGCTCGTTGCAGCAGTAAGGCGCTCGCTAAGGCCGTCATCCCAGACCAGCCCCGCACCTTTGCAAGCGCGTGTGTTTACCATGACAACCAAAGTCCAAGAGCCACGGGTGACCAAAATTAGCCCTCTCCCGTCCGAAGAGGCCAAGTGGGTCGAGTTCCAAAAGATCGAATGGACCGATCAGGAGGGTAAGCCCCGCTTGTGGGAGGCTGCGAACCGAAAGACGAGAGGGAAGAGTGGCATCGATGCAGTCGCCATAGCCCCAATATTGATCCACCCCAACCGTCCGACACAGACGATTATCATCTTGCAATACAGACCTCCGGTGGCGGCGACGTGCATCGAGTTCCCTGCTGGCCTGATCGATGCGAATGAGACGCCCGAGCAGGCGGCACTCCGCGAACTCAAGGAAGAGACGGGGTACGAGGGGACAATTGTCGACATGACGCCGGTCATGGCCAGTGACCCGGGAATGACAACGGCAAACATGACGTTTGCTACTGTGGAAGTGCATCTGAAAGAGGGCGACGAGGAGCCGGAGCAGCATCTCGAGTCAGGCGAACATATTGAGCGCGTCGTTTTGCCGCTAGATGAGCTTTACGGTCGTCTGTTGCAATATACAAAGGAAGGCAAGATCCCGGACGCGAGGCTGTTCCACTTCGCGGCCGGTGTGCACTTTGCGAAGCTGAATGCTAAGAAGTACGGCTTGACCATTGATGGTTAGTGCTTTGGCTCGCATTAGACGACGTCGGACAAGATCTGAGGAATGGAAGAAGCGAGCTACAAGATTCGCCTTTGAACGTTCCACGCAAAACATACTAGACCGGCCATCCGATGCTTTCTCGTAAATTGACGTACACGTTATGTGTGTATTGCTGGATCTTGTGGCGTATGATGGCCTGCTGACTGCCCAATTTGTAGTCTTTTGACAAACTCAAAAACGCGGAGTCGTACCGCTCCTCCGATGCCCATGATAGTCACGTAGCATCCGCATCTCTTCAAGTGAGCAATGCAGATCGTAAATGAAATAAAAGGACAACTGAAGTTTGGGCAATCCTAGCAGTATCGAAGGCAAATGCCTGCTCGTTTCGAACCTCGTTCTGAGATTTCATCTGGAGAAGGCATCGCTGCCTAATGGCCGCCAGCCCCTTCCTCATCTTTCGTCGTGAATGAAACAAGTAAAGATGATATTTCTTACTTTCCCCCTGATCTAAGGGTTATTTCTTACTTAATTTCAGCACGGCGTCGCCTTCAGGACATGGACTATATGGCTGTAAACGATCAAAGCCAGCTCACTACGTGTCTCGAGCTGCCGTTCGAGCGGGAGAAACGCGATGCGATATATAAATTGGCGCTATTCCAGCTCAACAATGCAAATCCTTCGGCGGCAGACCCTACGAAGCCACGTCGCGAAAGGCACTTCTCCGCCGCAGATCCAGGTTCATGGTGGCCCATAGGGCCTCAGTCAATTTACTCGGTCCCGGATATATATCCAACGGTTCCAGGCACGCGTCCTGGTGGTGGGAGGTACCGCGGATATCACGTTATGATTCTAGAACCTAGCATTTTCACCCGACACGGCCGCCGCAGGGTCGAAGAAGCAAAGGAACTGTTTTACGGTCGTGGTGTCGTACTTTTCATACACGACGTAGAGACGAATTTCATAAACCACTGGGCAATACAGAATTCCCAATTTATTTACAAGTATCTGAGAATCGTATATGTCAGGGTGCTCGCCCAGGCCACTGCCATCCCGGACATCGGTGCAGAACACATCGGCTCAAAAGGCAATGGCTGTGCTGCTTGTGCCGCAGAACAAAGGCCGTACGAGTACCACGATGTCCACTGGCAGCAACCTATGTTCGAACTCAATATAGGTGACGCTCGTGGCCAGGAACTTTTTATGCGCAGCTGTGTTCAGCTTGCGAGCAGCCAGTGCCAAGAGATCCAGCGACAGGTCCAGAAGTGGCAACTACGCTCGGTGCCAGGCAGGACGACGCGGTTCGTCGGACAGTCTTTGTTGGCCGTCATGGAGATCCTATGGAAGGTTCTTCAGCAGATCAATTCGGGGCCAGAGAAGATATACTATTTCGTAGTGAAGACGCGGGATGTCCAGCGTTTTGAACAGAGGGCATTCAAGCCTTGGGATTCGAGAACGTGTCCGAACGTGGTTGTCCTTACGAATGGTTACGAGTGGCCTGTGGTAGAGTTAAGGGCTCGGGAGAAAGAGAGTCTGTGACCACTACAGAAGAGGGGCGCGGAAAAAGGAATTTAGAGAGGAGCTGTTGTTTGACGGAGCCAGTGCAGATGTTAGCTGGGGCGCAGCTGAGTTAGATATTTGGTTAAGTCGTTATTTTTTTTTTTTTTTTAATCGAGATCTTTGACTCGCTGAAATTTACCACATGGCCAAATTGTTCAAGGAATTTTGCTTTCGAGTGCGCTGAACATACTGATTTGATATCGAAACGTGACACAATACTTCATCTAAAAGGCAATACAGGGGACCGGCACCTCTCACCTCGTCCTGTAAGAAGCACAGGACAGAGGTCATGATTGCGTAAATTCATGCCTTTGCAAGCTCAGCATCCAAGTTCGCACCTGTTTTGACCCTTCACCATTTGGATCAATCAGAACTTACCTGTCTCGCTTACTCGCATAGGGGCCAGGAGCTGCAGCTGTGTATGTTTCTTCAAATACGACATTCATTCGGCGCTATCGGCCCCAAAACTCGTGGGAATAATTGTTCCAGATGCGACTTTAGGCAACCATATTTATTTTGTCGGCTAAGAATTCGAAAAGAAACATACATAACGCCCATGTTGAAGGGCATTTACCAATATCAATTGCTTAATGCTGATCCTTTCATCTTTGAATGAAGAACATTCTTCGTCGTTCTGGGCTTCTAAACCGTAGTTGCGCAAGGCACTGATTGCAATTCCAAACTTCATCGGTCGAGGAAACCTTTGAACAAACTGCGCTGATTTAATATTTGTTTTAAGCACGTCCATTCTGACATTAAAGCTCGTAGTCTTGGAACAATTGTCATCAGAATGGATTACAGAGCGGTTTTGCAGGAATTGACTTGGACCAGAACAATCCTCACCTTGCTCAGCGCAGTACGTGTATGCAACCTCGGCTTGAGCCCTGCACTAAAATCAGCAGACCATCACCTATAGTGTGACTTGCGTACTTTATAACGCATTCTTGCATCCGTTGCGCGGTTTTCCAGGACCTAAACTTGCGGGGGCGACAGGTCTGTATCTCGGGTTCTACAAATTCCACGGTGAAACACACGTCGTCGTGAAAAGACTTCATGACGAGTATGGCCCTGTGGTGCGAGTGGGTCCAAATCAGTTGTCTTTCATCGAGGAGACTGCGTGGAAGGACATCTACGCGTATCGTGGAAAGGATAGGTCCCAAATGCAAAAGGGAGACAAGCGAGGTCCAGGACCCAAAGGGCCTTATCATATTATCAATGCACCAGACGATGTCCATGCTCGCCAGCGGAAGATTTTATCATCCTCGTTCAGTGATCGGGCAGTATGTGTCATTTCTCACGCCTACCTTTCATGAACGTAACGTTGATTCAAGCAGCTTCGAGACAATCAGTCGCTTCTGATCGGCTATACTGAAGATGTAGCTACGAGAATTCGAGAGCACGCCGCGACGAAAACACCCATTGATATAGCCAAGTACGTTGAGTTTTACACCTCGGACATCATCAGTGATTTTTGCTTCACAGAGTCGTACGGGCAGCTGAAGGCCAGGGAGCAAGAACCGGTCATTGCAGCGATCCACAAATTCATACCTATTGAGGCGAAAATTAGCATACTTCCTGCTCCTTTGGCCTTTTTCATATTGCTGCAGATCTTAGGCCGCAACCAAATAAGGATGCTTGCCAAAGCGGAGCAACAAATCAAGACGAGGCTGCAAAAGAATATCGACAAGAAGGACGTCATGCACCAGCTGATCAGTCACATTTCGGAAGATGGGAACGGCATAACGTTTCGCGAACTGAGCCTAAACACTTTGATATTGATGCTGGCTGGCTCCGAGACAACGGCAACGGCACTGGCAGGAGCATTCTACTACGTGCTGAAGAACAAGCATGTCCTACGGAAGCTGACGGAAGAGATACGAGGCTGCTTTAATTCGACGCACGAGATCACCCTCGACAAGGTAGGTGGGCAGTGACGAAACGGTATGGGTTCGATCCTGACCACGGCGAACAGCTTGCCCGACTGCCCTATCTGAATGCCGTAATTGAGGAGTCGTTGAGACTGTACTCCCCCGTCCCAGCTGCGCTCAGTCGCGTCACTCCTCCCGGCGGCGCTTCCATAAGCGGTCACTGGATCCCAGGCAACGTAGGCAGTTCGCAACACGCTCATTCGATTGGCGCTAACAGAACCATAAAGACCACAGTTGGAATCCCTCACTTCGCCGCCTTCCGTTCGGCCAGGAACTTCGCTGACCCGGACGCGTTCCATCCCGAGCGCTGGCTGCCGAACAGACCGGTCGAATTCGAAACTGACCGGAGGGCGGCCTTCCAGCCGTTCTCTGCCGGCCCGCGCAACTGCCTGGGCATGAACCTGGCGTACGCGGAGCTCCGCTTGCTTCTCGGCCGCCTGTTTTACGAGTTCAACTTTGCCCTTGTGGACGAGGAAAGTCGGTGGGACGATCAGAAAGCGTACATGCTCTATAGAAAGCCACCGCTGATGTTGCACGTTGCTCCTCGCCTTTAGAGCACAAGAAAGGGATAAGGGGTGGGGAAGCGAGGAGTGGAGAAACAAAGAGTAGGTCATCTTCGAGCGATCAGTTTTTGACATTTCGTCCCGCCTTGCGAATATCTTGGCTTATTTCTCATTCTATCCTACAAGTAATTATTACCCCATCTCCTCTTGGACTTTAAGGTTTAATTCCCGATTTGGAATCGTCATGCGTCTCAAGATCATCTGCCTATTGTCCGTTATACATTACCTTTGGCTCTATAGCGTCAAAGCTCTCAAATAGTCGTGTTCATTATCGTACATAAATTTTCTAGTCGCAGATCAGGTCGTAAATTTTTTGGGCCTCTCGACTCGGTTGCATCAACATCAAAGACGCTTTCTCGTCTTTCACTCGTTGACAACCACCCGCTTTCGGTAGTTCGGCACCTGCGTCCTATTGTACCAGAGCGGTGCATCTGTTGGAAGCACAGGTAGTGGAGCAGTCATTCCGCTAGGGTGAGGAGCATGCGCTCCTGGAGGGTACGAATAGGTGGGTTTCGCTGCTACGGCGTTCACGGTGCTTGGGTTGGGAGCAGGTTGGCGCCACGGCGCTCCATCGCTAGGCAGTTCGTCGTCGTCTCCGCATGGTGTGACTGATGGAGCCCAGCTCGATGACGAAGTAGTAGTGGAGATTGATTCGCAGGGAGTGGTTGATGGCCACCACATAGGTGCAAGCGTTGGAGATGAAGAAGATGTTGTTGTTGCTCCCCACGTCGTTTCGGACGGCGAGCTTGTTGTTGAGCTTGAGTTGGTCTTGTGAGGCCAGAACTGCATTGGAGGCTGCGTTGGTGCGACGGTGACTGTGATAGTCTCCGTCGGAGATTCGATGGTCGGTTGGATCGTCACTATAGTGGGCACCACCACCGTCTGTGTGACAGCCGGTGCGGAAGAGGTTGTGCAATCAGGGTCTGAGCTTCCGTCGACATTGACGATGGAAAAGCGCGGCCGTAGATGAGACGAGTCTAACGGAAGCGAGAACGCGAGTCCCAGAAGATTCGACAGCGTGAGAAGCTTGAGACAACCGCTCGAGGTTGAAGACAACATGGTTGTATGTTTTATTTGCTCTTTCGTCGTCCGGCCTCGCCAAGCTTTGATTGATGCGGTGACGTAGATATTCTTCACCGTTTTGAACGAATGAAACCGGAAAAGAAATAGCACGATGAAGAAACCGAAAATCTAGGAGCTCTTCAACGATTATATATAGCGGTTCCACCACATTTTTTTCAATGGTACATGCCGGTTCATGTGGTTGGCATCAAGGCTGGGAGCATTGGGAGAGGCTGGCGCGCTAGCCGAAAATGGCTAGGTCCGGGGTCGGCCCGACGCAGATCACGCAGGCAATGGGGGTTGGCCGCTCGCTTTCTGCAGGCTTTATCACTCGAGTAAGTTTCGAAAACGGTGCTAACAGAGGCTAAGAGACGTTGAGCCGTGTTTGATTCAACGACAGTTTGAAAGGTTTCGGTAGAATACTTGGCAATTGTGGTTTTGCTCTACGTAGTTGACCGTGCCTTCTCGACGCCAGCTTGGCTGGCAGTGTGGTTAGAACTGGCCGTAATCATAAACTTCCCAGTCAAGAACCCCTGGAACCGCAACCACTTGGACAACTTTGTCTATAAATCTTGTAGCTAAGAGATAGGGAAGAAAAAAAAAAGGCAATGTTCCTGATGTAGGTTGAAGTTCAACGTCAAGCTCAGTTTTCATCCAGTTCTGGATCATTATTCAACTATGTCGCTTCAGACGAGCATCGAAATAATGTCATTAATTACTAAATCATAGACGGAGCAACCACCGCATACCTTCAAGCATGTCTCTCTGGTGCGCCTTACTCGCCTCCCCACCATGGAGCTCGATGTGGAACCCGTGATGCAAACCGGGATAGACATATAGCTTTGTTTCTATACCTTCTTCCTCTCTCAGAATCTTCTCGTATATCAAGCCTACGTCTCGAAAATATTCCCTTCCGTGAACCAGGAGTAGTGTTCTTGGTAGCCCCGCGTTTCCCGTCGGCCACGCTACCATCGGGCTCGTCCATTGATCATGTGGATTCGCCCCGCGCGCGATCCTACTCCGCTGTATAGCTTCCTTGCGCAGCGAACCCGTCATATCTTGGTCCCACGACAAGAATTGGGATCGGAATCTCTCAGGAATGGCCTCCGCATCGCATACCGCAGTCGCGATTTGCATTTGACCTGTTACAGGTGGCTCGAGCCTTTCGTCGCGGGCAAGCCGAGTGACAATGTCTACTAGGATTGCGCCAGCGCTTACTCCTTGCACAAGGAAGCCCTTTTCTGAAGGATTGGCACCGAGATCAGCCGCATGTGCGGCGGCCCATTTTACTACGTCCCAGCAGTCATTTGCCTGTGTGGGCTGTTTGTATTGGGGTGCTAAGCGATAGTCAATATTCACACAGCTCGCGCCAAAGGTTCGCACGAATAATCGGCAATGAGCCTCCTCGTCGGTGAGGCCACCCATGACAAGGGCACCGCCGTGGATGGAAATGATCAGAGGACCCGGCTCTTTTGCGCTAGCAGGCCTGTACGTGCGGATTGGAATCTCGTAGCCATCGCGTGCGCTGACGGTGCGATCTTCTATCTCGACCCCCAAGGCTGAGTCAGGACCAAAACTTTCGAGATAGCTCTGATTCAGTTGCTCGTACAAGATTCGAATGCTGTCTGGGTTACGCGCTTCTGGGGGGAGACTTTTCCGCTTGTCGAGCTGGGCAGCAAGCTCAGGGTGGATATCGGCTAGCTTGAGAAGATCGGCAGGCTCACGGGAAATGTGGGCCATGGCATTAAGACGTGGTTAAGTAGCGGGGATAAGTAGGAAGCCTGAAAGTTGAAAATATTTACGATATCTCCAGATTAAAATATTAGAAGGGCCAAGTGCAACAAAGGTGTAAAGATCTTAGCCTCTTGTTGTCAATGTCTATCTTGGCAACTCATCTGGCTGTTTTGGATCTTTCTACACTTGCATATCCACTGGACTGAATCTGCTGGACTGGCAACATATGAGAGACTATAAAGATCTGGAGAGGGGGGATGAGTGGTGTTGGTATGATGGCCTTTCAACCAAATTCTGTCCAAGTCATGACGTCTCCGTACGGCTCGGTGGCCGGATAGGAAGAACGGGCTCGGTTGCTTAGCGGTGAGAAGACTAGGTGAGCGATCCTGGTAGGCATAAAGCGGAAAGCTGAAGAAGGGTCTGGTTTCGGAACAGCGTTGAGTTCGTATTTTCTACAGGCATCTCTGTCCAATCCGGGGAACCGGGGCAGCAAAAACAAAGCCTGACCGTTTTCGTTTGGAAGGGACCGATTCCATTCAACATGTGTCAGCATGGAGTCTGCTCGCACATAATTGGCGAAGCGAAAAACATTTAGCACATATCGTTTGTTGGTTAGCAGTCTTCGCCATCGTCGTCGGCGTCGTCGGTGTCGTGCAAAGACGAGCTAAGCCTCAGCACGATAGTGACCCAGCCACAGATGGAAGCGCGAGTCATGTGACAATCTGCCTAGCTTAGCTTGCATGTTAGCAGCATTGCAACAAGTTAATTGAGGATTGATGACATAGACACGATTCGAAACTTCAAATTATGTGAGATGGTTGCGGAGACGATGGTCGTCGAAGGATGATGAATGCGCTTTGTGGCTGCTGGCGCGACGCTTCGGCATGAGCCCTTGAGCCCTGGATTTCGCGTTGCCGGCCCTCGGGCACTGCCCACGCTGGTTCTCCGCACGCACCCTCACTTCTGCCTTCTGCGCTCTCGCTCGCCATCTTCGATCTATCCTCCCCCCATCAGAACATGTCCGCCTTCAGTACGTTTTTCATCGCTTTTGATGTGTAAACTTGACTGATGGATATAGCGACCGTAAATCCTGTCGCTCCGCCTGCGGCGCCTGCTGTCGCGGCGCCGCCGCCGCCACAGGAGCAACAACAGAACGGACAGCCTTCCCACAGCCCCGTCTCGCACCCGGAGCCCGAGCCAGAGCCCATGGACGACGAATCTGTTCTGTCGGATGTTCCTCCGGACACCGAGAACATGCCGCTGCCTATGTCTGCCACGAACTATGATGGGGCTACCGAGCCTCACGACCAGGAGCCGAACCCCAAGAAGCGTAAGCGCTACAATGATCCACCCAACGAAGTCCACGCGGAACTCAGGCGCCCCCAGTTACCAGGCCAGTGGTATAGCAAGACTCCGGAACAGTGGGAGGAGCTGTCGCACTTGCACAAGCTCATATACTCTCATGTTGGTCGCATTGAGGAGACCGACCTCGGCGAGGAGGTCGAGCCTTGCGAAGCGTGTCGCAAGCGTGGTTTCAAGTGCATGAAGTATAAGCAAGACCACCCGGAGGTAGAGAAATTATATAAAGGCAATGTACGCGTCGGTACGTCGTGTACGCGATGTAGACGATACCGGCGCACGTGCGCGCTTCCCGGCAAGAAACAAAACGGTACAGCTACAACACCAAGCCGACCGCAATCACTCACAAATGGCTACAACCCTCCTCCCAGCGCGACAAGCGGCGAATACAAGACGCAGACGGTGTCTGGAGCGGATGGTCTGGACACATGGGAGAATACTCTGTTAGCCGCAGCTTCCGGCGGCAGCCCGTTAACCTCTGTCGCATCCTCACCTGCAGAGTATAATGATCCTCCAACTTCACTTCCCCCAACAGCAAATTTTCAAGCAAATCAAAATAACCCTTCCGGCCGCGAAAATGCTCAATCAAACAACGTTGACCATGATGACTCAAATCAGACGGTGACAAAGAATACCTTGTTGAATCGCATTAAATATCTTGAGTTTGAGATCCAGGAACTTCGTGCCTCGCAGTCAGATTTCAACAAGGAGCGCGATTGGAACGATCAAAAACGCGACCTGCAGGCTGAAATATACCGCCTGCGAGAAGATCAGCGCAAGACACGCGAAGAGAACTGGGCATTACAGAACAAGGTTATCCAACTCGAGAAAGATTTCATGGCTGTCAGAGGTGCTGATATCGAGCGGATCATGGCAGAAGCAGAGCTGAAAGTCGAGAATCGCCAATTGACGGCTCGCGTCCAGGCGCTGACAGAGCAGCGTAGAGCGGGCAAGGCCAAGGTCAAGGAACTTAAGAAAACAAACCGGCGATTGAGGAGGCGGAATGCGGAATTGGAGCATGGCAACGCCACAAGTGACCAATCGAGCGGTGCTGCTATGCCTCCGCGGATGGACCGCAGGCACAGTGACCTTGCTTGATGAAATCGTCTTTCTGTGGACGATGGTCCATCACCTTTGCAAATATTCTTATCCTCCGGCAAGGAGCAAGGTCAGAGCGGTGGTTGATACCAACGCTTCGCATATGCTGCTGTTGCTTCCAATCTTGCCGTAGCATTCGACAAGGCTACTGGCCTCGATATCCACACAACTCTTGTCATATCTCTTTAAGCTTTATACCTTTCTATCCCAATCAAACTTTCCCACTATGACTGTATTTATTATGGGTAATGGTTTTGACGGATTTAAGCGACAGGATTTTCCGAAAAGAAGTGGGTTCGTGTTTTTTTCTATTTTTAACTACGCGGAAAGACGACTGGATGGGCTAGACTCGGAAATGGCGTGGACAGCATATGCTGTTCAAGCAAGCACGAGTTAGGGAAATGGATACAATATTCTCGTGGGTTCGGAACTTTCTGCTTCGTGGGACGCCTTTGAATAGCAGAGGCCAGAAAGCACAGACAAGCTCTGGATTGTCGTATATGTGCGGGTTCTCTGGCTATACGAAGTCTTACATATTTCAACGTGTAATCATTTTCCCTGCTTAACCTTGCTGATGCCTATATGTGTAATGCCAGTCCTCTCTCGCCAGATCAGCTCTGACTTTGTAGTTCTTCTCCGCAATGTCCAATACCGCCATGTCCAAATCCACAACCGCCATTCCCTCGTTTCCGCCCAGCTTGGCGATAGGACCTGCAAAGGGAATAACGACCTGACTCAATCCAGCATAGCCTTCCCCAATTGGACCTCCCGCGTTCGCAAAGGCGATGGCACAGGTGTTCTCAAAACACCTTGCCGTCAGCGTGCTGTCCAGGAACAGCGCTTCAGAGGACGGATTGTACGCCTTCCCCTCGTCGGTGCAGTCATTCAGCGTCCAGAAGCAAGGGATAATGATCAACTGTGCGCCCTGAGCGATGAGTTCGCGAAAAGCTTCGGGAAAGGCGAGATCCCAGCAAATCAGGATGCCGACCTTGCCGACGGGCGTGTCGAAGACCTGATGTGCCTCGTGCGTGGACGAGGTCAGGTGCTCGCGCTCTGGGTGCCACAGATTTTTCTTCACGTACTTGCCCACGACGGCGCCCGTGTCGTCGATGAAGTACGCCGCATTCAGCAGTTTATCTTCCTCCGAACCGGTCTTGATCTCCTGATGGCGTTCCACGATCGTGCCTGGCACGATGCATATCTTACATTCCTTGGCGAGCGCCTGATAGCGCTTCAAGTAGTCTTCCCAACGTTCGCAGATCTCGTTGAAGCCATCCTCTCTGGGCACCCAGTTCGTAAGATGGTATTCCGGGAGGACAGCAAGCTTCGCGCCCTGATCTGCGGCGCTGCGGATGAAGCTTTCGGCCTTCTTGAAGTTCTCTTCGGGCTGCAATGGCTGTGGGTTTGCACGTGTTAGCCGTATGCAAGGATGTCAGCCTGGGAGGATCGGGTAACCTTTGGGTACAACTGAATAACTGCTATTTTGTGGACTGGAGCCATGATGCGCGGGATGGCGATCGAAATCCGAAAGTCTGGATTCCTTGTAACTTATGCGGTTTCTCAGCAAAACCGGGTCAAAGAGCAAGAAAGTGGATAGCTTCGCAGTCCTAAATCGGCTTGTGAAAAAGATTGGTAACCAAGGATAGAAATGCGGATTACTCCACTTCAGCTCGCAATCTGAAATGATCGCCTTCGAATTTAAGTCTTTGACCTTTCACAATTCTTTGAAGTTCACCTTTCACAACATCTGCATTTTACGTGATGGAATGAAGACGATGTAACCGTCTTAGACAACAGCCCCACATCTTGGATTCTGACTCGCCCTCGTTCATCTGTAGCTACCCAGAACTTCACAGCAGCAAGAGAGCAAAGTCATGAGGAACATAGAGTCCGAAATCTCAAGTATCAATACAATTGATGTGTCGCAGATACTATGCAGTGGTTATCTTGCCATGCCGCACATTTAGTTCTGCCATTGACTTCTGCGCTCAAGCATTTAACACAGCTCTAGTAGAAGTTACATAAAGGACATGAATCTCGACTCTGGTATGTCCAGTGAGGACAGCTAGAGAAGCGGAAGATACGGGTGGCTTTGGAGCAGTGAAGCGTTCATTGAACACGCGACCCTGTAAAGTTTGCACTATTACAGGCTGAACCCCGGGTTTACTTGGAGGAAATGCTGGCTTCGGAACCGTTCGTTTCAATAGCTCGCTTCCTGTTCCGAGATTCTTTCGCATTTCACAAGTAGATCGTGTATTTACTTATATAATCTGACGAGATTTTGCTTGAGAACTGGCACAGTTTAAAACAATTGACTGTGCTAATTTGCGTGCGCTCTTCGCCTTTGTCTGGTTGAGAAGCAGAGAGTAGCCTTACATCGGCCTTCTTTCCTTGCAACTTTATGGGCTTTGCTCTCCTCCGTGATGGGTGAAATACTAGATCCACGTGTAACCCTTTCTGCAGAACTTTACAAATTTTGGAACTCAAAGCCAGTCAGCTAGGCTGAACAGCGAGGCGCATTGATTCTTTAGCCGTCGAAATCGAAACCGGATGAGTATCATCAGAACTATGTAGACAATTGAAGCTCTGAAGCGCATGGGAGTTACTATACGATATCATGTAAGGAGTTACTTGCTTTCCAACGGGACCCTCAACAGCATTCGGCAATTCTACGCCTTGCTTCGTAGACACTTTGAAAATGGAGCACAAAATGTATGGCTTCCTAAGCAGGGCATTGTAGATGGACTGCCTCCTGAGGATATCTAGAATTACACATGCCGATTGTAGCAGTTCTCATCAAGATGCCCTTATGGTTGGATCTATGAAGCTGTAAATTGAAGTATGGAAATGGTAGGCTGTAAACTTGGTATCGGTAAAGATGTTTTATACTTTGCACGAAGTTGGAACATCCTCAGCGAAAAAGAAGACGGGGAGAATAACAACAACACCGAGGAACTTTTAGAAAATATTGCGAAATATATATATATAAGTCTCAGCATTTGCATGCAGAGTTCGCTAGCATTTTGACTGTTGGAGGAGGGAGGGAAGACAAGCCACACTTGAAAAGAGGCAAGCCACATGGTGGGGCAAGTCTAAGCGCACTCGCACGGAAAGTATACGCGAATACCAAAATCCACCGCTGGCACTCTTTGCGCATGTCCAATATTCAGATTTCCACCAACAACAACCATGAGTCTACGACAAGTGCCTGCGTACCAGCAGGGAAACGCGGAAGCGACACGTGCACTCGCTGACGAATCTGATGCCGAGGAGGAGGCCCTCGCTGACGACTACCGTGAGCAGGTGCAATATGATCAAGACGGGTTGGACGATTTGGACCGGACAAGCTCTCTTGGTCAGGGTGGACAGGATATACATGCACAGCTCGCGGCTGCAGCAACTCCTCTTGAATTCCAGGCCACTCTAGAAACCAAGTTCGCAAGCTACGACAATTACTGCAGTCTGTTCCACTACATCCTGAACTCAGACGGTCCAGTGGATCTGGAAGTTCCTTCGGTGAGTGAAATTTGGGGTTGTTGGATAGATTTTTCTTAATGGATCTAACTGGTACGGCAGTATTACTGGGCATGGGAGGTCATCGACGAGTTCATTTATCAGTTCAACAGTTTCTACACGTACCGACAACGAATCGCACTAAAGGGCGACAACGAGGAGGAAGCCCAAGTTTTGCGCGAGAACCCGCAAACATGGGCATGCTACAGCGTCTTGAACGTGCTTTACTCGCTTATTCAACGCTCGCAGATCAGCGAGCAGCTACAAGCCATCAAGAGGGGAGAAGACGCCTCCGCTGTTGCAGGAGAATATGGCAGCCGTCCACTGTATAGGATGTTGGGCTACTTCTCCATCCTGGGTCTGCTGCGTGTGCATTGCTTGCTTGGTGACTTCAGCCTTGCTCTTAAGACGATGGACGACATCGAGATGAACAAGAAGGCCATGTTCGCACGCGTCATGAATGCCCATTTTTCAACGTACTACTACATGGGCTTTTGCTACATGATGATGCGACGGTACGCCGATGCGATCCGCATGTTCAGCCACATCCTCGTGTACGTCTCACGGACAAAGAACTTCTCCAAGAACGCGCAGTACGACAACATCACAAAAAAGACGGACCAGATGTACGCGCTTATTGCAATCTGCGTTGCTTTTTACCCGACTAGACTGGATGACACCATCCATACTGCTTTGCGGGAGAAATATGGTGAGCAATTCAACAGAATGCAGCGGGGTGGACCAGAATCGCTTCCTCTCTTCGAGGAAATGTTTAGGAGTGCTTGTCCTAAGTTCATCTCGCCCACACCACCGGACTTCGATAACCCAGAGATTAACATCGACCCGATTGAGCATCATCTGGCTATCTTCATGGACGAGGTCAAGAACACTATGTGGTCACCTACGGTCAAGTCTTACCTCAAGCTATACACAACTATGGACCTGAAGAAGCTAGCTGGGTTCTTGGAGGTCGAGCCTGAGAAGCTAAGGAGTTGGTTGCTGGTGAACAAGCAGAGAAGCAGACAAGTCAGGTGGACGGAAGGTAGCCTGCTAAGCGGGGAGGTGGTCAACAGCAGTGATCTGGACTATGCGCTGGAAGGCGTAAGTGCAGAAATTCTGACACGAATATTGTTGTGTGACTAACGAACGATGCAGGACTTGATCCACGTGTCCGAGTCAAAGGTCGGCCGACGACTGGTCGATTGGTACCTGCGAAACCTTGCAAGAACATACTAGTACAAAGCGTGGTGCATACTCGCGTCGACGAATCCCATCGAAGAGAGGTCTGCAACGCCATCCAATACTGGGCCAGCATGACTTGGTGGGGTGACGAGGTCTCGGCGTATTGCTTCATTGATGCAAAATGGGATTTCCTTCAAGCCTTGGTGACAAGGCTGATGCGCATCGTGGGGGGCCCATGAGAGTACGAGGTGGGCAAAATTATATACAAGGCTCGAGATTATGTGTTATCTCGGAACACAAATGACGATGCGGGATTGGGACGTGTGTATGTGATGAATGAATGTGTCAGGGAACGGAGCTAGACAGCATGATTGTTATTTGCAAGCAAGCAAGGCAGCAATACCCCTGGGGAAAGGCCAATGTGTGACTCGTTCGCGCTGCCAGTGACGGGCCTGCCTTGACTGCGCGATGAAACATACATGTCGCCCATCTGCCACTGCGGAATTGCGATTTGTTACTCCGCTTGGATGCTCAAATCAAAACTTTCTCCTGAGCTAGGCTTTGTTCTGTGAGCTTCTCAATGCCCTTTGCTTCAGACCCCTTTTAATTTCCTTCTCATAACGAGAAGATCTACATTTTTGTGAGCAAATGACGTCGCGACCTGTGACCAGTCCCGCAACACCACACTTTCCTGTCTCCCAATCCCACATCCGGCCTTCCTTTCCGGCTGTCATACCACAACGCCCTCAACTGTTCTATTGTCGCGAAGGAGTCATGGCTCCGGACCTAAATTCCGTGCCGCCATCCCCTCGTAATGCGCAGCAGCAGCCACCACCGCAATCGGATTCCAGGCGGCCATCAGCACCACCTTCACGCCGCGCGTCGCAGATATATCCCATGAACCCCCCGCCACTGCCACTCGTCTCTCCCGGTGGAAGTATACCGGCGAGTGTACAGCAAGGACATGTTCCATTTCCGCCTCTGAGCCCGGGAATGGCAGAGACGGGCGTGCCAATGAGGCATCCGCGGCCGCTGACTGCGGCGGAGCTACACTTGGAATTGGAGAAGGAGCAAGAGGCTATTGTAAGCAACTCAGACACTGCATCCATCTGGCTGGCTCTTTAAAGAGAACGAAACGGCTGATTTGTGCACAGGTGAACAGGCTTACCCGCGAGCTGACTGCGCTGCGGGCACACAGCTCCTCGGTTGCAAGTACGACATCCATCTCGTCAAGTTCGACAAACCCACCGTTGCCGCACGATCCCTCCGATCCAACGCTCACCGGGCCAAACCACCCGGCACAGTCGCGAAGCAGACACCGCAGTTCGAGTTCCGTGTCCGCGTCCCAGCGACAAGCAAACTTCACGGCCATCGATCCAGCAGCATCCACACCCTCAGCCGCGTCTCGTGCACCCAGCATCAGCGCCACGGGCGGACCATTGATGCCTACGACGCCGCGGTACGAGGAAGTGCTCCTACATCGACAGGAACTGGAGGAGGCCAAGCGGGAGAATGAGAGGCTGCGACGGAGGGTGCGAGAGCTGGAGGCTCTCGTCAGGGGCAGGCGTGCGAGTAGTGTGAGCACGAGAGAGGGAGTCTCCGGCGCGAACACAAGCGAGAGGAGTGAGAGGAGTGTGAGCGTGAGGAGGCGACGACCGGAGGGGAGCGTCGAGGCAGGGAGTACGACTGGATGAGACGATTGCGACAGGTTTTATTTGCTTTTTTTCCCTTCAACAGATCTCTTCACTGTCTGCCCCATCATGGACGGCTGAGATTGCTTAAAGGCGTCCCGACTCTCGCGCCGGCGAACGACATCGCTGACGGACGAGAAAGGGAGGGGGCGCGCGCCTCCTCGTTGACAGCATGGCCGGCGCGAAAGAGGTGTCCCACAACCAAACCCCCTTGAACAAGAAAAGTTCCGACAGAGGAGGGGGAACCGATGAGCGAACGGCGATGCTTGGGAAGGACGTGTGGCCATGTGCCAGGTTGCATGCACCTCTGCTCGCCATGTCCGAGTATCGATACATATCTATCAGATCCCCACTACCGCCACCACCACTATCAACACCAGCAGATGCAGTTCCTATGTAGCATACGCAGTCGAGACAGAACTTTAAAATAGGCTACAGACTTATCTGAAAGGCAATCCTAAAGAGAAAAAGAAATTTTCTTTTTGTTCTCCACTGCAACAGGAAAAATACTCGCCTGCATGGCGTCCTGCATGTGAGCGGCGCGAATTTTTTTTTTTTTTTTTTTTTTTTGTGTGTGTGTGTGTGTGTGTGAGCCCGTTTTCCGTGCTCTAACAAACAGCGGGCGCTCATGATGTTCGAAAGCACGAAACAAAAGTGATCGGAATGGCTTCTCTGACGTGGTTTCGTTTCGCGCTCCAGAAATCGACGTGATCCATCATCGTCTTGTAGATGCTACCTTTGTTCCCCTTTTCATGGCCTGGAACATCACATCGCGTTCTACACTCGTCCGAGGCGAGGCAGAGTAGATCAAGGAATGAATGGAAAACACCAGCATCTATATAAAAAGTCTGGTTACTCTATGTACACTTATCCATACTGGCCTTCAAAAGCATCTCCCTACGCGCTGCCGATCAACTCCGATTCCAAATGCACGCGGCTGGATATATGTATGCTATGATGGAATTCGCGTGTCTTTCTGTGCAATCAAGCCAAGGAAAAGAATGAAAATAAGCATAGCTACTACAAATATCTTCGTAACATCGTTAACAGTCTGATGCGTACCTCACAAATCCATGTTTGCAGCTGCCCGAGGCTTGCTGCCGTCTCGAAAATCCCATTCCTTGCAGGTCCCAACCCAGGATCTCCGTACGCAGCGTGCAGACGTAGAACTTGGGCTAGGTGCGCTGGTCGTTGAAGTGGAAGTAGGGTCAGCGCAGATGAGACCGAACCACTTGTGGCTAGTGCAGCTGCTTCGTGACCGCGTCTCTGTAGGTTCCGAGGCAGAACTTGAGGGAAGAGGCTCATCAGTAGTAACTGTTACAGACGTGCTTGTCTTCGTCACTGTCTCCGTGACCGTTTCCGTCTTTGTTGAGACCGGATCGTTGCACCCAAACCAGCCAGGATCTTTGCACGTGCTCGTCGTGTGGCTCGTCGTGGTGGAAGGAATAGAAGATGTGGGGCTCGTCTGTGGCGGTTGCGTCATAGAGGCATCCGTGGACGAAGGGGCATCTTTGCACCCGAACCAGCCAGGCGTCAGACAGTGTGATGTAGTCGTAGTTGTAGTCCACTGCGTAGCCGTAGTTGTGGTCGAGGTGGTCGTGAAACTTGTGCTGAAATCAGACCTTGTAGAAACCTCACTTGTCGTAGTTTCGTCAAGGCATCCCCACCATCCAGGCGTCTTGCATGTCGACGTCCGGGTCGTTCGAGTCGAGGATGTTGAAGTAGTTGTGGTGCCGGGTTCTGAGTGGTTGCTCTCGAAGAATTCCCAGTTGAAGCAGTCCGTGCAGTTGACCATTGGTTCGCACTTGGCAGGCTTGTCATACTTGAGCAGGACGTCCTTTATGACGCTGACGATCTTGTGCGTTGTAGAGCTGCTTCTCCAGCCTAGATCGCCAACGGTGTCGTATATGCATGTCGCGCCTGTGTGACACCTGGACTGCATAGCATACCCCGCTATGGTACAGACAGATGAGAAAGTGTTGCAAGTGCCCATGAATATAGGATCTGCAGTGTGCCCAAAATGCCAACCACCAGTCGTGACGCTCTCTCCGTCAAATCCCAGTTGATATCCGGGCGGAGTGGGCAGACCTAGCCTTGCAGCTGGCATGGCCTCACCGGGTGCCTCAAAGGTCACAACCGGCAGCCCATAGGTTAGTCCCACAAGACTGCTCGTTGCACCTCCCAGTGAATGACCAGAGAGCCAGATGTCGGCGTTAGGGTACATGTGCGAGACATTACGATAGATCTCTTGGGCGGCGTAATAATACCTGTTCTTGTTCCGTAGTGCCTTGGTCACGCATGTCGAATTGCATTTGTATGCAGACGTCTGACAGTCGCACACCTGGTGCCAGGTGTATTGACCGCCCTGCCCGCAGCAACAACTGAAGAACAAGTTATCGTTTATCTTGTCGTTCGTGGTCGTTTCGGTGCCGTCAAACACGGCTGGGCTTGTGCCCTTAATCCCGATGATGACGGTTTCGTTCTGCGTGTCGGCAAAGATATGTCCTCTCAAACCATCATTGTCCCAGCCAAAGTCCTCTGTGTAATTGAAACCACCTCCTACTTCTTGCCACTCGCTATCACTGTCATCCAGAACATATGCATCGGCAGCGATGCGAGCCAAGGACAAAATAGTCTCCTTGTCCGTCACATTAGGACCCCATATCTCGTCGACTGTCCAAGCATCCAAACCCAAGGCGAGAGGTTTTCCATTTTCTCGTCCGGAGTCTAACAGGGCGTCGATACGCTCCTGCCGCCTGTCAGCGAGACGCTGGATGCTTTGCCGCTGTGGCTTGAGCCTCAGCTTCGGCGACAGTTCGCGAGAAACGTCGCCATCCGAGTCGATAGTGACGACAGCGTCTTTGGGTACGTCTAATCTGCGGTGCAAGTCCGGGTACTTGTGGGTGCCGTGGTGGAAGATATGACGCAGTGTCTGAGATGAGGTAAGAGCATGAAGTCAGCGTATGATGCCGCCGTCAAGCAAAGGGAAAACGCGCGACGAAGCTTACAAATTCAAGATCCGCAGCGGCGGACCGCCGTGAAGAAAGTGGTTCCTGTTGCCCACCGGGGAGAATGACGGGCTGAAGCAGTGCAGCTCCGGCGTCTGGCTGGGAGCCGGAGGCGGCAGCAGCCAGAGAGGGGAGAACGCACGTCGAGTACGACAGATAGTACGCTATGCGCATGTCTGCGACGTCGACGACGACAAGGGATGCAGGAGACGATTAGTCATGAGAGGGGAGAGACACAGCAAAAGGCGGAATGCGTGAGTGATGTCGGCGTTGGGCAGACCTGTGGTGACGAGTGCTCATGTGCTGCAGCGTCCAGGCACTGACTGGGGCACGACGAGCATGCAGGTCTGAACCTCTGCGTCATGCGGGCACGAGCGGCTTCAGCACCGGCAGCGTTGGGGCCTCCGACCGCGTCCGGAACCCTCTACGTGTAGGGGGCGTCGAGGGGGGGATCTGCGCCGGCGAGCGGCGGGGGGCCCACTACGCACCGCCCATTGGCCGGGCGGTGGCGGGCGGGTGCGCTAAGCCTTAGGGGGGTCCTACCTGGGCCCGTCCGCGTCATGCTGAGAACTTTACGGGCCAGACACTCGCGGCGTCTGGGCGCCTCCGGCCCTGTAGCGCGCGGCGAATCTGCTCATCTCTCTCTGCTGCTTCAGCGCCTTTCTCGGGCGCTGGCCTGTCCAGCCTGTGCGTGCCTCACAATCCATGTCCCTCTCGAGACACATCAACCGCATGATTATCACTGCTCCTCCAACGGCTGCGTCTCTTGCGTATACGTCTTACCTTTATTCCTGCTGCCTGGCTGCAGTTTCATTCTGTCAACACACTCCGTCCGGCTCACTCTCGTCTCGCATGCTATTACGAATGCATTCCTCCCAATGAGATAACACAAGGAGTGCCATCATTTCCAGCTCCGGCTATGTCCCTCGCTGCGGCCATGTCTACCATGCAAGCATCTCCCGATGCTCTGGCTTCGCGGCCAAAGGTTGCGTCCGCAATTTCTTTTAGCAGATTCGAAGCCTCGTCCTCATCCTCGCAGCCCACGAGTCTAGACACAAGCAGAGCTCGAGCATCCACGCTATCTGGTACGACCGCTGCTACAGGCAGTCCTATGGTTTCTTCTCCACAAAGTGCACTACCCTCGGCAGTAGATGGAGGGGAGGACGGCGATGACATATTTGCTAGCAAGGACGACGTCTTGAGTCCGACTGTGCGAACGCAGGAGAGCTTCGAAGAGCTTCCCATCGAGATACGAAGTCTCACGGAGAGGTACATGCCCATCCGGTTCAGCACCTCTTCAACATGCATATCATATCTTGATCTGGGACACGTGTATACTAATGCTCTTACTGCGTACTTAGATTCCTGAAGGACCTTACAGCCCCGGTGCATTCCCAACCCGTTACCGTCGACACGCTCTCCGACCTCTTCCAGGAGTTCTACACCAAAGTCGAATCCCACATCGCCGCACATATAGCTACCCTGTCCCTGAAGATCGGGCGCGAACGCTCCCCTGCACCTTCTCGCTCTAATACGAAGAGTGCTGGTGCAGGCACCGCAACACCAACGCGTAAAGTCAGCGCCGAACAGCAGATGCTCACGGCATCGGAAGTGACCGACCGTAAGAAAGCACGACGACAATTAGAGTTGAAAAAGACAGCGTGGGAAGAAACGGTGGAACGCACTGTTGTGGAGAAGGTGTACTCGCGAATCTACCGGCATAGGTCCACGGATGACGAGGAGCGTGATCACAAGCTGCGTTCGCGCATCGCCGCTCTCTCACTCGTTGGAATAGGTCTCAAGGAGCTGCTTTCTGGCGCCAACGAGATTCCAGACGACATGCGGCAGAAAACGGTGGAGGAGCAGGACCGCATTCGCAACCTTCTCGCCGGCGCAAGGCAGAACATCCAGAATATGGACACCGAGAGGAGCCCGCTCGGAAAGCTGCAACACCTTGCGTTGGCGCACAAGTCCATCGTCGAGACTCTGTCGCAACTCTTCCCCAGCACATCCTCTGCTGACGAGATCCTGCCCACCCTTATATACGCGCTCATGACCATGGAGCCGGCATCCGTGAACGTTGTTAGCAATTTGAAATTCATACAGCGGTTCAGAGCAGCCAGTAAGGTTGATGGAGAGGCGGCTTATTGCCTCGTTAACCTCGAGGCTGCGACCGCCTTTTTGGAGACAGTTGATCTAGCGTCGCTGAGGGCGAGTGAAGCACCGAGTGGGCCGTCAGTCAGCAAGAACGTTGCAACAAACAGGCCTGTGACGCCGCGAATAAACTCTGCGCCAATGGATCTAGGTGTGGAACCCGCGAGTGATCCAGCGGCTAGTGGGAGCAGTAGCCCAGGAACCAAGCCTCCTCCGTCCCCAACAAGCAAGCAGTCAAGACGATTGAGTAACCTCATTTCAAATTCGACGAATCGTTTCAACGAAGCAAGTGATTCCTTTAGAGGCGCGGTGTTAGACGGTGCAGATACGGCGTTTGATACTATACAGAACACACTCAACAGCAGTTTCAACCTGCTCTTCGGCCGACTACGTGAGCATCAGGCACAAAGCGGCAACGACGCTGTTTCACAGGATGTTTTACCCAAGACATTAGAAGACGCTCGAAAATTGGTTAGTACACCCCCACAGGGAGCGGAGGAAGAGGGCGATGCGTCCAGCATCGTCACCAGCAGCACAATCCCTGACGGTGAGGATCCACTTTCTAAGCCTGTCGCTCCCAGCAATGAGCGCGTATCAGAACTGTTTGGTGGAAGACGGCAGATGCGGGATAGGAGCGTAGATAGTCACCATTCAGGAAGCAGCGCTGGCAAGCGCGTCGCTTTTGATGGATCGTCCTCCGCCTCGCAGACAGTCCCAAACAACACACCAGCATCATCGAGCAATGCCGCTATAGAAGGCATGCGGAACTTTGGCAACACGATCAATCCACTCAATCAGCTGTCCCGCATGGGTGGGCTCTTCGGTCGCAGCGGCAGCATCGCGACGCCGCCTGCGTCTACACCTCCGACCGTCATCGAGAAACCGCTTCTGGGCTCCGGATTAGCCAACAGGAGCAGAAGTTCCTCAGATGCAAAAGCCCTTTCCGCCGTGCAAGAGCTGAAGAAGATGGCGCCACCAAGTAAGAAATTCATCGAGTGCAAGGACGTGCGGGACCTAAGGGTCGGAGAGCTGGAGGAGTTGTTGAAGGAGTATCAACGGATCGTGAGGGATGTTGGAAAGATCATCGCATCCGTTTAACCTCGACCTAATCCTTTTTGGCGAACTTTTGATCGGCGTGCTATTATTCCATGTTCTGGCGTCTGGGTGTGGTTTTGAATATGAACAACGGCGCGAAAACTGAGCGGCTGCATGGTTTGGTCGTTGAACAAAAAGCATCGGTTGTACGTAGACGAGCAAGAGCTTGAAAACGGTCTGGACTCGGGTGGGCGTTGTCTCTGTCGGGAGGTCTTTGTCTTCGAAACACGGGTGTTTGCAGTGTGCTAAGAATGAATTGCTGCACTCGTTTCGGTTATGCTTTCAATTCGCGGTGTTCTAATTGTGTATCACACGAGACGGAGATGTGGTCTGTCTCCTCATATGTAGGAAAGTCTTGCAAGCGCTTTCTCACACTCGCCATCACCCAATCATCCCACTAAGATCAATAACTTCCAGCCTGGGGGCTTCTCCGCCCCTCGGCGCCTGTGGAGTTTTTATTCTTCTTCTCTTTTCCATCCCAGCTTTACTTGGGAACGTTGGGAACATGTCCTTGTTTTTCGGTCGCGGATCCTCCACGAACCACGGATGCTCCAGTATCTCCGCCGCATCCGGCCGGCGGTTCGGATTCAAGGCAAGCATCTCCTCCAGCAATCTCGCGCCCGAACTCGACAGCTCCGGGAATGTGCTGCGAATCTTCGACGAGGGCTTGTCCGAGACGGGACGCGGCAATTTGAGGCCGCGCGCGTTGGGGAGGGAGCGAAAGCGCGGCCAGGACTCCGCCGTGGGTACGCCGCAGAGCGCGAAGATCTTGGCCAGCTCGTCGACTTCGTTTTTGCCCTGCAGGATCGGTTCGTTCTTCAAGAGCTCCCCGAATATGCAGCCTAGACTCCATATGTCGATCGCCTGGTCATATTTCTCCGCCCCCAGAAGTAGCTCCGGGGCTCGGTACCACAACGTGACGACGAGTTGCGTCAGTCCAGGCGGCGCGGGATCCCCGTAATACCTTGCCATGCCGAAATCAGCCAGCTTGATCTCTCCCCTGTTGTTGAGGAGAATATTGGACGTTTTGAGATCGCGGTGCAAGATCCAATTGGTGTGCAGGTAATCCACCGCGGACGTGATCTGCTGCATCAATGTCTTCACTTCAGACAGCATAAAGGGCTCGGCCATGTTCTCTTGCAACGTCTTCAGATCGTGTTCAAGAAACTCCATGACGAGGTACACGTCGGTGAGTGCATCTCCGGTCACGACCTCGAGTAGCTTCACAATGTGCTTGTGCCGCGCTTGCTGCAAAGTTTGGATCTCTCGCAGCGCGGTGATAGGAAATCCTTCGTACAGGTTGTCCATTTTCAGACGCTTGAGCGCTACAATTTCATTCGTCGTCTTATCTTGCGCTCGTGACACCCATCCATATGAGCCTTCTTCGATCGAGTTCAGCGTTTCGAACTCATTGAAGTGCCTGCAAGGCCCCCATGACGGCATTGGGAAGCGATATTGTGACCTTGAGTCGTCATCGGTGCTGATCTCGGCATCCGCTTGTTCACCTATCTTTTGTCTTTTGGCCGGTCTAAGGCCTTCTGTCGCTCGAGCTTTTTCCTCTTCCTCCTTTCGTCGAAGCTCTGCTTCTTCTTTGAGCTTCTGTTGCTTAAGCGCCTTCTTCCTAGCTTTTTCTTCCTTCTCTTTCTGTCTGAGAGCTTTTTCTTCTTCTTCGTCGGCCCATCTCGAATTCATATTTGCTCAATGTGATCAAACTTATTCACATTCGTGAATTGGAGATATTCTGAGGTTTTGGTTACAAAGGTGAGGTCTTTGGTGGAGCGCGGAGGTTTGTACCGTTTTGGGGCAAGATTCTCCGCAAATTGCCTCTGAAGTTCATGTGTTCGCAGACATCCATAATGGCAGCATAATGGCTCGAACGCTTCTTTCTGACGCCAGATGAGAGGTACCATACGGCCACTGGCCTTGAGATATGCAGCAAGGCCATCGCAATGGCGGTGCACAGCGCGATGGCAATCTTCGCAGGCTTCAAGCACGAGGAAGTGGTCAACTCCGCTAGCTAAGTCATTAGCTGAAGCTATAACGGTGGGATTCTTATATGTATCCACTCTTTATGAATATTTAAACTGACCGTTAAAATATTAGACAACAGGTCCTATCCCTGTAGCGGCGTACATGAGACAGTGCCTTACAAATCCCCATGGTGGCTATTACACTTCGCGTGGTCAAGAGACGAGTAGCGATCCGTTCGGCAAACATGGCGATTTCATCACGTCACCGGAAATTTCACAGATATTTGGAGAGCTGATTGGTCTCTGGACCTTTGCAGAATGGCGTGCCCAGAAGATTACGAGCAAGGTGCATCTAATTGAATTAGGCCCAGGAAGAGGCACGTTGATGGATGACATGCTGCGAACATTGAGGAATTTCAAGCCATTTATGGGTAGCCTTGACAGGATATGGCTCGTCGAGGCGTCTGCAAATCTTAGAGAAACACAGCGCCGTCTACTGTGCGGTGAGCATGCCCATCTTGAGACCTGCGAGGAGGGTTTCAAATCCAGATGCAAATACGCTCCTGACATTGAGATTGTGTGGGTGGAGGATATGAAATTCGTTCCACAGGACACTGAAGCTGCACCATTTATCATCGCTCACGAGTTCTTCGATGCTCTTCCGATCCATATCTTTCAATCCGTGGTTCCACGATCAAACGAGACAACACCCAGCATCACGACGTCAGCGACAGCTGTCTCTGATCCAGCCAAGCAAACAAAAAAGACAAAGCCAAACGAATGGCGCGAAATGCTGGTCAATCCTGTCTCTCCGTACGACGCTATTCTCAATGCCCGTGCAGAAAAAGCAGGACCAGCACCAGACTTCGAGCTCATCGTCTCTCCTGCTCCAACACCGCACAGTCAGCTGCTCCCAAGACTCTCAGAACGTTACCAAAAGATACTGTCTATCACAGGTGCAAACATAGAGATCTCTCCCGAATCGCAGGCCCTGGTTGCGGACTTTGCTAGGCGTATCGGCGGTGCAAACCAGGGGAGCGACAAGAAGCAGCCGGCAGGTGCGGCATTGATCCTAGACTACGGACCTTCAGCTACTGTCCCTACCAACTCCCTTCGTGGTATCCGGTCCCATAAACCTATTTCGCCATTCGCCATGGCAGGGCAGGTCGACATATCTGCCGACGTGGATTTCCTCGGGCTCGCACACAGCGCACTTGACGCATCGCCTGGGGTCGAAGTTCACGGCCCCGTGGAGCAAGCCTTGTTTTTGTCTGCAATGGGCATCAAAGAGCGTGCAGATATGCTGATAGCAAAAGCGGGCGCAGATGACGAAGTCAAAAGGCGGATCGAGACCAGCTGGAAGAGGCTGGTAGATCGGGGCCCAGACGGGATGGGCAAGACGTACAAGGCCATGGCTATACTTCCTTATTTTGCAGAGAGGGAATTGAGGAGGCCTGTTGGATTCGGAGGGGATATTTCAGTGTAGTTGCGCATGTGACGATTTGTATGCAGAAAGAATACCCACGCCATGCTCAGACGCACTCGCCTGCCCTTTTTTTCGACCTTTCTTTCTTGTTTCTCCGCGTGTTCCTTACCCGCTTTGCAAATCTCAGCTCCGCCGCCCCTACGTCAAACACTACAAGGATGCTCTTCATAAAAGATCCCCCTATCATACTCAAGCCGTTCCCCCCGGATGCTAAACTCTCATCTGGCGCTACCCCCAAGGCACAGATCCGACCTCCCCCTTGGTCTTTGTCGTGGGTAAGGACCATATCCTTCGCATCGATTTCTACCTGCTTCCCGCCGAGCACGATGGCGAATTTAGGAGGCACGCTGTCGCAAGGTATTCTACAGATGTCTTTGGCCGTGCATGGGGGCCATATTGGGGGGGACCAGGCTGCCTCGATGGCACGCATGATGGTGGGCGGAACAGAGGACATGGTCGTACCTGTGTCGACAAGCATCTTGGCTGGGAAGTTATACACGCCATCTCCGACCACGAACCCGTCCGCGTCCGCAACGTACAGCGTGTACTGCATCTGCCCGGTGGCTTTGTCTGCCATGCCGATCTTCTCCATGGGCACCACCGCGAAGTCATCCTCGTACCGGAGCGCAGCCGCCCTTTTATACGGCAGCCCGCCCAAAGATAGCACGCCGGGTCCCTCGTTCTTGCGGTTCAACGCGACGGAGAAGACGGGTGCGATGAGCGATTTCTTGTACATGGAGAAGAAGACGGGATCATACCTGGTGGGACGGTCTCCCTTCATCGCGTGAGTAATGGTCGGAAACGCCAGGCCGAACAAGCCGGAGGAAACTCCGTCACCATGCCAATTTGCCTCGTGGGCTAGCGCGATCGTCGTGTTCTTGTTCGTGATCCCACCTATGGCCACCGTCTCGCGGCCGATAATCCCCTTGAGACGCTCGCCGTCTGCGTACGCAATGCTAAATGTGTACTGCTTGTCCTGTTCGAAGGTGGCCGTGCGCTCATAGCGGTTGCCAAATTTGCAATGATCCTCCTCGACAGGCATCTGCGCGTCGTTTTTGCACTGGAAAGGGTCGCTTACGAGCCAGGTATCAGAAGAGCCTGTGTCTATGACAAGCTGGAGGGATTGACCACCCACCTTCACGGGCGTCATGTACACAATGTTGTTATCGTTTTGGATAGGGCTTGACCCGCGATGTTTATCCTTTGATTGATCATTTACGGGGCCAGCCTGGTGCTGGGCTTGTTGTTTGTAACGCTCTGGTAGGCGGTGCAGAATGGTGCCTGCTTTCGGAGACAGCAGGCACGAATACGATTCATTAGCTGTGAGCAGCAATTGAATGTACCGTGAAGACGGACTTGATGCATGAACTGGAGAGATTGGAACGTTGTAGCCTGCCTTAGTCAGCTTGTATCAACATCGTTCTACCTAGCCTGCTCTCTTGACTTAAAGCTCGGCTGTAATTCTCTTTTGAAAATCTAACAGATAGACAACTAACCTTCTGCATAGTTCGCATCTGAGAACGCGATTGGTTTTTCGATATAAGCTCTCAAGCCCATAGCTTCAACCGCAGGAACATGAAGATGTTGCCTTGCCACCGTGGCCCTCTTATCAATAATGCGCAAAGGCTCTGTTGTACATATTGAATATGAAAAGAATAGAACAGGTGCTGTTAATAATGCGAGAAAGGGCATGATGATTACAAGAAACTAGGATGTTGCTGGCATGTGGGAAATATGCTCGCTGTGTAGTCGAACAGTCAAACGAGTTTCAGGACGGGGACGACCCAGCGAAAGTAAAGTAGAGACTCGTAGAGATTCAAATGTGAGCAATTGATGATAGATGAGGTGTGCAATTATTAGAGAAGAGAAGCAAGTCCATCGACATTCGCCATATATTATGCCAGCGGAGCGATTTTGGCCTTTCATATCCAAGACATCTGCTGTCGAATGCAACGCACAAAAAAGCTTACCCTCTCAGCCTTGCTGATTTGCTGTGGGGCATCCAAACTCCTAGCAGTACTCCATCAAATGCAGGGGAGATGTGGTAGCTGTAAGCTCAAATTTGAACCTTAAATGGATAGGTAAAACCAAAGTCTGGGTTCGGACAATGTCGTCCTTTTTCATCTCTGAAGCAAAGCACTCTGTCCAGCGAGCTCATCGGCCATGGCTACAGCACCACCAGGATCCCCTTTATTATACAAGAACAGCCCTTGCAATGCGGCTGTGCTCACATTGCCAACTAGTCCCAGCTCCTGTGCTCGCTCTATGAAAGCCTTCCTTCCAGCGCCAGTTGTGTCGACTTCGGCGTAGAATCGATCCCAAAGCTTCTCAATCTGGTGCAAAGTAGCGTAACCTAGACGCACGGTCATGTCGATTCTGCCGGGGCGCACGAGAGCCTCGTCAAGTCGCTCAATATGATTCGTCGTCAGAAAGATGACTCGCTCTTCCGCGCTGGCGACGCCGTCAAGAGCGTTGAGCAATCCGGAGAATGTGACCGTGGGCCCAGAATACCCGTCGGTGTCGATGCTCCGTCGATTCACAAACGCCGCGTCTGCGTCCTCGAGCAAAACGATCGTACGCTGTGGCACTTTCGTGAGCAGATGATTCAGTCGATCATCCGTGAGCCCTCTCTCAGAAACATTCAAAATGGCTATGTTGAAGTCTAAAGCTCCCGCGAGAGCTTGTATAAAGGAGCTTTTCCCTGTGCCAGGTGGGCCGTATAGCAGGTAGCCCCTTCGATACGGAATGCCACGGTCGAGATACCATGTCCTCGCCGACAAGAAATTCTGTATATCCTCCACTATGCGTTCCTTCACTCCTTCCTCCAGCACGACAGAGTCCAAGGGTCTCTTGCGTTTGGGGTCTCCAAACGGCCGCCACTCCGTTCCCCACGCTGTATAGATTGTTGTCTTTCCTTCTTGCATGCGTTTGGCTAGATCATGCGCCTCGGTGAAGAGGTCCTCAAAGATGTGCCGGTGCGCGTACAGTGTTGTCAACGTGACCGTCTCGAATGGCACGCCGGCTGCTAGGTCAAACGTCTTTTCGCGCTGTCGGTTCACTGCAATGAAGGCGTTGCGGTAGCGGAGGATGTGCCGGCCTGGTCCGGGAACCAGCGCGAAGTTGGTGTGTGCGGAGCCATCGGGACGAGTCACCTTCGTGGTCTGGATTTGAAGGTGGTGGAGGCCCGGCGTGAGGCGTTTGATGAGGGCGCCGAAGATGCCTTGCTTCTCTTTCACACCAGGAGCAGGCTCGCCTATCATCTGCGCCCTCTGATGTGCGGACATCCATCGCAGGAGCCAGGGAAAGGCTTCATCATTGCGGGTTATTTCTACGTCGACGAGCAGTCGTCGCTTTAACAGTGCGGCGCCCTGACGGAGACCTTGCTGGCCAACTCTTGCGGCGGCGGCGAGAGCAGCGAGTCCGAAACCCTGAATCGATATACTTCAGTACCAGAGCTCTGAGGTTCGTGTCAACAGCAGTGGCAACGGGGGATGACTTACCGCAGTAAAGAATGGGTTGCCCGTGAGCTGGCCGAGCAGAGAATTATTTGCGCCATCGCCACTCGCAATTGACTTGGTCACCTGCTCAGCAAGCTGCTGTCGAGGGTTTGACGCCTGATTAGCCGCCAGCGCATTATTGTCCATGCAGTTGATGGCCGGGCAGCGCACGCATACGAAGGAATGTGAATGTGTTGGCCAGTTGCCGTCATTTGTCCATCTCAGTTGGTGGCAGCAACGCACGGCTAAGCGTGAGGCCTTAGGGTGGATCGGCGGGTAGGACCCTAGCTGCTGCACAGAGGCTGGGCACTAGTCGGGGGGACCCGCCTAACTTATTAGGCGCTATGGTGAGCGGCTGCAGCGCGTTGGAAGGCGCACTGCCCCCGTGAGGGAAGTGCTTGGCAAGGCAGAGTCTCTGAGCATACAACTATATATTCTTGTCTTTCCCTCAGCACGCCTTCTTCACTTATGGCAAGCGAATATCGGAGCAATGGCGACTGTTACCATCGCAAGGCCCTATTTCGACGCTTTACTTCGCAGGTAGGTATGGGCTCAGCCATGCTCCCAGCCTTCCAGGGCTACGACAGCTGGCCGTCTCTGCATATATTACACAACGCTAAGTGATAGCGGCTAATGCATTACTTAGAGGAGAATCTGTACGATAAATCGATTTGGCTTTAGACTTATCATCACAGTTCTGACATTGTGTATTTGTGTAGCTTACCAGTGGCGCACGCCAGAGTTGTGCCCCTGGTCACGAGGTGACCATATCCCAGGCTGAGTATGCACAATTGGTGAGCATTTCTCTCGGACAAATCCACAAGTGCAAGAGCTATGTGTTAATCTAGAAGCAGACAAGACAATCCAGAGAGTACGGTAAGCAAGCAAACAGCCGGTATGTGCATTTGCCTGAAACACTCGCTGAATACGAGCAGCCTGCCTTCGCAATGCCCTGTTGCGAGGCGGACTTAACGAAAGCACCCTCAACCTCCTCGTCTCCAATGCGGTTGCACAAAGAAACCTTTCCACAACAACACTCACAGGCTCATCATGGAACCTCTCGACCTTCTTGCGACCAGTTTCAAGCTCGATCGGCATTGATCAGCCAGCAGAGCAGCCAGAATCCGATCTGTTGGAGGACCAAGCCAACGTGTTCCCGTCGCATAATATCGACCAGTTCAGTCGTTCGTACACTGCCGGAGCCTTGGAAGGCGCCGTTTCATACATAGAAAAAGATGACGGTTACGGTGTAGACAATAGTGAGGTGATTCTAGGAAGCATCGACATGAGTAAATCGATAGTCTTGCCAGTCCAGGAACACCGCACACTCTTTTTTAGCAACCTTCCCGAAAGAACGACGTATGCCGAGCTAATCGCGCTGCTTAAAGGTGGTCGCCTGCTCGAGATTCATGTGCGGGATGCCCGCAGGGCAACCGTCTCGTTTGTCGAAGGTGCGGCAAACTTCTTGGCTTACGCGAAGAAGACAGACATCTACCTGAGAACGAAGAGGCTTGACGTCAAATGGCACGAACGGCAATTCCGCCTTTCTCTATATGTAGCTAACAAGATCGCTGTGGGCGCGACCCGCAACATCGTGATTCGTAACGGGGCATCGAGGGAGCTAACCGAAAAGAAGGTAAGAGAGGATCTAGAGCACATACACAATCTTGTTGTCATCTCTGTAAGGATTGAGAGTGAAAGTGGCGATGTGTACGTATCCACAAACTCGATCCAGAACGCATTGTTTGCACGCACGTGTATGATGTCCCGGTCGCTGTACAAAGGCCTGAAGATCGAATGGTATCATGACCAGTGTGCTGTGCCAGTTCCGAACCCGCCCCCGCGCCTGTATACGGCTCCTCCAAGCGGGAAGCAGGTTGCTGTGAAGAATGCTGGAAAAATTCAGGCGCCGAGCAACATATACGCTTTGCTTGCTGAGCTCGAAGCCGCCGAGGATGAGGAGGAGGAGCGAGAGTCGGAAGACGCAAATCATGTTGAAGAATTACCGAGCCTATTCCGATAAGAATGGAGCAAGACCAATTGGACAGACACTACTTTCGCGGCCTGAGCTGCACAAGCGATGTGGTAGCGGCGCTGAAAAAGGTGGGTAGAGAGTATGGGAACCACGTAATGAACTTTCGAGACGAGCCGGTGCAACGGGGGTAGTGTTTTGGTTTTAGTCATGCCGCTGACATGTCGAGGCATACAAATTATGCACCTGTTTGCGATTCAACATTGTTTAGCCGAGCTGCAATGAATAGGAGAAATAGTAATGGGTGTAGGGAGAGGATACCTACAGCAGACGTGCTCTTCTAGCTAGCGTAGTCAAGACCGGACACTAATAGTCTACGTTATGAATACCAACTCATGACATGAATGAAGCCATGGAGGCTTACCAGATTCAAAGCTCGGAATCTCAAATCTTCTTTTTGCCCTTAGCGCAACGTCATAACTTTCTTGCGAGCTGACATACAAGCCAAGATTTCGCTTTGTTAATCTGCTAAAATTGCTACGGTGTGCATTTGCTCTCGTCTTTAAACGTCGTCCAAAGCCTGAAAAGGTCTTGGGTATGCCCGCACCGTGTCATAGCCCTGATTGGTATACAGAGGCATCGGTTTCACACTTGGAGATCCCCGTTACACCACTTATTCAATGCCCTCTTCGTCTTAAGCATTGAGCAAATCGGGTTCCGCAGTACTTACGTGCGCATGGGAAAGAAAAACTTCGTGACTGCTCGCTGCTACCGAGAGAGACTCACGTATGATGTTCGTAACTAATCACAAGCTATCGAGCCTGGAGGAATTATTCCTTGGCGTTGCCTTATCGTTCCAACAGCTGGGTGTCAACACGATGTATCGGCCATGAAGAAAGGCCAGACGTAGACATGTTTCACATCTACGCATTATACCTGAATGGCAATGCAGTCACCTGTGTCTTAGTCGGGAAACCACACCACCGAGCACAGAATCTGAATGGCAGAAATGGAAACAGCCTCGAATTGGTGATTCGGACTGCTGGTAAAATTAGATGCGTTGCTAGATCAGCAACGGAATTTTGAACTAGGTTTTTTATATATATCAATGAGAATGCAAGTTTCAGGACCAGGTTGAGCATTGATTGCTCTATGTAATTTGATCGGCTTTCGTCAAATCTTCGCAAAGGAATGACATATTCAAGCGATGACAGAAAAATTTCTCCTTTGTAAGACATCGGTGATAAAATGGACAAGGAGAGCTGCAAACAAGCCGCCACAGACAGTACTGACTTCGATCACAGACGTTGATCTAAATCAATCAAGTTTGGGGTTGGAAGAGTCGATAGAGTCACTGGAGTGTAATGGTAAGGCGCTGAGGCCGCCTTCCGAAGTGATGTCGTGCATGGATGCATGGCAAGGCTTCGAGAATGTGAACCCGCAATTCTTTTCATCGCGTGCTCATCTGTGGCTCACTTGCCTCCCGAGCCGCACATTCTATGCACATACAATGATATTAAGGTAGTATCCACCTCGCTCGCCGCCATTTCCCCGGGGAAATATGTCGGCCACGCTCTCGGAGTATCTGGAGAGCCTTCAAGGCGCCACCTTGAAGAAGCTGTACCGCCAGCCTTCGACCGTCCTCGCCGTCCTACGGCGGATGCTCCCGCATCTGGCCAAGAATATCGTCATGGCTATGCTGTACATGCCGGGGCCCTTCCCTGAGTCGGACCTTTACACCTGGATCCGCTCCGATGCAGTCAAGGAACGAGACGAAGCGATCGATGTGCTTAAGCGCTTGCACATACTCGAGATCCACCCGGAGCACCCCACACCGCGCGCATATCGTATAGACCCCGCGTTCTCCCTGTCGTTGAGGCAGGCGCTCGCTGGAGGCGGTAACCACAATTCGTTCGGCGTGCCGTGCGCCGTGCCTGATCCACACCCCATGACCATCCAAGATCTCGATGCGTGGTCAAGAGCAAAGTGGGAGGCTATCCTGTACTACATGGTTGGAGCATTGAATGTCTCTGACAACTCCGAGAGGATTGCAAATGGAACTATGCAATTGCTATCATTTGGAGGGTTCGTTCAGCCGCACGGCCCTCGGGTCAAAATCACAAAAGAGGGCTTCTCATTCATATTGCAAGAGGCGAATACACAGGTGTGGCAACTTCTGCTCGTGTATTTGGAGCAAGTCCCTCAGGTATGACTGCGAAGTTTGAATGGTACACATCGCATGCCCAATTCTGACAGGCAAGAATAGTTGAAAATGGACCCCGTCCAGGTTCTTTCCTTTCTCTTTATGCTGGGCTCCCTGACCCTCGGGCAAGACTATAGCACAGAACCGCTGTCTGAGACGCAAATACATATGCTTGACGATTTGTCAGATCTCGGTCTAGTGTACCGCCCTCCGAACGACAAGAGTCGTTACTATCCAACTCGACTTGCTACAACCCTCACCTCTGACGCAGGTGCCATCATCGAACCGTCGGTCACTACAGACGCCCTTGATGGTGTAAACAACGGTGCAATGTCAGCAGCAGGTACAAATGGCAAGGGCTACATAATCCTCGAGACCAACCACCGCTTGTACGCATACACGAGCTCCCAATTGCAGATCCAGATTCTGGGTCTGTTTTGCAAATTACATTCACGTTTTCCAAACTTGGTTTCGGGCCAACTGACCAAGCACTCGATCAACCGTGCTATCCAGCAGGGCATCACGAGCGACCAAATCATCGCATATCTGACAACTCATGCTCATCCACAGATGCTGCGCAACAATCCCATATTACCGCCCACAGTTGTGGATCAGATCCGCCTGTGGCAGTTGGAGGAAGACCGGATGAAGACCACCATCGGTTTTATGCTGCAGGATTTTTCGAACTTTGCAGAATACAAGGATGTGGTGGACTACGCGGAGCAGCTAGGCGTTGTGATGTGGCGCAAAGATCAACTCATGAAGTTTTTCGTAAGTGATATCCGACAACTGCAAGCTTTTATCAAAAATAGGCAGAGTAGAAAGGCTGGCTGAGGAAAACCTTGTGAACGTAACGTGTTCTCTTTTAGGTAATTCAAAAAAGGGGCTTTTGACGGAAATACCCCAGGAGTTGGATGCACAGAGATTCCGATCTAGAAATATATCTAGTAAACCTCTCCCTCAGCTTTTGGTTTCTCAGGATTTCAAGCGTCAATATTCATTTCTGATCTCTTCGAGCGTTGCTGGTCACAAGACAGGCATGTCTGGCTTTGTAGTGTATTTTATCAATCAGAATGTCCAAGTTTATAGGGTATTGCTTGACAGAGTCTGTCATCCCTGAAGACTTCCCATGCTAAGTTATCTAGAAGCGACTAGCGCTCTATGTTCCGTGTTTGCCAAGAGACTGCCTATACTTGTAATACCAGCTAGAATCTCGGAAATGCACAGTTTGTTCCGTAATTGATAAATTATTGGCCATGTCGCTGAGACATCTCGTGTCTTGCAGCTTACTAGCCTCGAAATGTGATGGCCGTCGCCGTAGTCAAAACGCGTCAGGCTTTGAGAGCCTTGAAGAAGCCTTATGCTTATTGCCCACGGAGACAAGAGGGTGGCCTTGGAAGCTTGTGCCCGTTTCTGTATCTACCCACTTCAAGATTGGAAGGATGTGATCTCCTCGACAGGCAGTGACTGCGATGAACGATCTCTCTACATGCGCATGCTGTTCTGGGTTTCGGACTGCCATCTTATCTAGATAAGACACATATCTAAAGTTATTCACCGCCCGTTGCGTGATTGATAATTAACTGGGACTCCTCCCCGTAGACCAACGTTTCAATCTTGGGCATCAGTTCCAGTATCCTGAAGGGTTTGGATATGGTATCATCGATGCCTGCTTCTCTTGCCTGAAAAACCTGCTCGCTTCGTGCGTTGGCACTGACTGCGATTATGGGTATGTGAGTGATTATCTGTCCAGAGCGCTGCAGCTCGCGAATCTCGCGAGTGCATGCCAGGCCATCCATAACCGGCATTTCAATGTCCATGAGTATGACTGAGAGGTCGATCAAATTTTCTGATGGAGTGCTACTTTCGGATGATGAGTTTGACTGTGGTTGTTGGACCCAGAACCTGGTCTTGGTTAGAAAATCCAGCGCCTCACGTCCATGGTTTGCGACGTAGACTTCACAACCAACTTTCCGCAGTTGCTGTGAAAGTACTTTTTGCTACAATAAATATATTAGCCCATTTAGGCAGATGCAAGGTTGCACTGGTTAATTTCTTACATTGACCAAATTATCCTCAACAATCAAGACCACATAATGCGGATTACCCTTAGGTGGAGCCATGCCGGTTGAACGCGAAGGGGCCGGCGTCATCAATGGATCCTTATCGCCATCCAGCTTCAACGGCGTTGGTGGCGTTGCAATACGCGTAGCGACGAAGAATGCAAAAGTTGAGCCAACGTCCGGCTCAGAGTATGCGCCAATCGCACCTCCCTGTAATTCTGTAAGTTTCTTTGAAATGAAGAGGCCAAGACCACTGCCTCCATATCGAATATGAGTCCGTGGGGTGGCTTGAGTAAATCGAGTGAAGAGATTTCCCTGTTCGTCGCGAGAGAGCCCACAACCGGTATCTTGACATTGTATCCAAATGTAGACAACTTGTCCATGTCCCCAATCCTCATCTTCGAGCAGATTCCCAGTATCCGTGGTGACTGGAGCGTAAGAAATTCCATCACAAAAATGGGTCGGCCTCTCGAGGGACGCGCCTAATGAGACTGTGATCTTGCGTACTTTTCTATCCCTTGTGAATTTTATTGCATTTGTGATGAGATTAATAAGGACTTGCAGGCATCGTGATGGGTCCATCATCACATGCGTTGCTCCCGTGCCTTTGAGTGAAGGATCCTCCACAAATTCAAGCTCAATATCGTCTTTTTGGCATTCCAGCTCAAACATGTGCACAGCATGCGAAACAATGTTCGCTGGCTCGACACGTACTGGGCTAATTGTCATCAGATTGCTATCCATCTTGGAGAGGGTTAGAATATCATCCACGACACGTTTTTGATGCAAAGAACACGAAATAATCGTGTTTAATGAGTCTAGAGATAGCCTCAATTCATTCTCGATTTCAGCTCGTTCTTCAGGGTTTAACTTGGAAATAATCTTCGACACCGTCTTGAGCGATCCAATGGTCGAATCCGCACTTTGAATGACGGCTGATAGGGGGTTCCGCATTTCGTGAGATGTCATGTCAATGAAATTCTCCTGCTTTCGTTTTGCTTCCAAAGCTTCCTCAAATCGGGTTCGCTGGATGTCCTCCGCCCATTTGAATTGCGAAATGTTTGTGAGAGTCCCAAAGATGGAAACGAGGTGACCTTCTGAGTCGAGCTCCGGGAAAGCCTGGCTTTCTACCCAAACTTGTCTCTGCACCCCGTCTCCAACGTCCCATGTCTTCTTCAAACGCATATAAGCATGTGATCTCTGCTTTTCTTCCAATAGAGTCTTCCATTGGTTATCGACCACAGCTTCGTCTTCAGGATACACGATGTGCTTCTCCCAGTTCACACGGCGGTAATCATCTACAGGAGGATGACCCGTGAGCTCAAAAAAGCGGCTGTTGCAATATGTCATTGAACCTGCCGGGTCCAAGATGTAGATTGCGATTGGTGCCAACTGCGCAAACTGGGAAAATTTTCGTTCACTGGCTCTCGCCATTTCCAGTGCCTCTGCCCTTTGGAGTGCCTGTTCCTGCACCCGTTTCTGGGCATTGATGTCGATGGTGTTGCCTGCGATACTGACAAGGTTGCCTTGGTCGTCGAGAATAGGGACGCAAGCTGAGAGCACCCACTGAGCGTCCTCCACGCCATCACCGACATCCGTCTTTCCGAAGGCCCGACCCTTCCAGCGCATCTCGAAAGTGACTGGAATGCCTTGAGCTAGTTTATTCCACTGTGATAAGACAAGTGGTCCGTCTGCTGGATAGACCAAATCCATGAAGGAAAAATCTCGATGTGTATCTTTCTCCCTGGGGTGAAGGCTCAACCTGTACCAAGAATCGTTTGCGCGCATGAGCTTTCCTTCTGGTGAATATTCAAATGTGCCCACATCCGACATTTCCATCATGCGATACAAACTGGCAAGCCTTGCATCAGCAATTTTGACTTCGTTTAAATTCTGAACTTCGTGGTTTGGGCTCAATGGGCTATTCGGAGAGTCATGTGCACCCTCGCCGGCCTCTGGGCTGGTCGGCGACGCGCAAATGCATTTCCAACGCCCTTCGATTCTGAAGGCTGTCCAAGTCACGCCTGCAAAGTAATAACGCTCTCTCCAGTGGATCACAGCCTGACACCAAGCTCTAAATTGGCCAGCCACATGGTCAGATCCGAGGACTGCATTTTGCAAACCTTTGTTGTGGAATGCCTCGTTGCAGAGCAGCAGCTCAAACGGTACTGGTGATTTCAAGTGAATTGGCACGATGAAGATCGCTCTAGGGTCGGCATCGATGAACGCTGACAAGTTAGGCAAATTGTTCGTTTCGCCTTTCCCACTATTTACTGTCGGGAGCACGGGAGCAGATTGAGCGCGCCCATAATCCATGTTTTCTGAGTGGTTCTATTGGTATGCAGTTATTCGCGTCAGTGACGTCATGACGATTGCGAGAATCAGAGCATCAGCACGTCGTGATGTACGCCAAACGAATATGTAGAGAGGGATGAGGATGTAAGTTAGACGCTTTGTCAAAGAACGCGGACTGAAGAAACAAGTGGGCTACAGGCTACATAGTTCCTTTGGTCGTCGTGATGGTCCAGAACCTTTAGCGGCATTTCGAGATCGCCTCAGCGGGTCCCAAGGATCTCTCATTTTCTTCTTCTGGCCTGCAGTTGGGCGCGGAGTTTCACCCGAAAATTGTGCAAGTTTGTTAACGGCCCTCGGGCTTTTGACGATTTTTGCTGTTTGAAAGGTTTTTTCTCCCCTCTGTTTGGGGAAGTGCGCTTGTCATCTGGACTATTTCGCCACGTTTTGAGTTGGCTGATTTAGATTCTCTTGTCCGCATCTGCCGAACTGGCTTACAGCTCTTCATTTACGGTCCATTGACCTTAATGTCTCGAAACGCTGAGCTTGAAGAAAAAGCCAACCGGCCAAAGTCAAAATGTCACGATGCGGCGCTTTAGAGAGGTCAATGACTTTAGCCGCTTGAAGTCAAAGCTACCCATGATATTCATGACATCTCCACCAATGACATTGTGGCAAAAGCCACAGCATTCAGGCAGCCTCATGGCACCGGTCAAGGACAATCCGAACATCCAAAGCACAACCAAGTGCGAGAGAGAATCAAGACGTATATAAATAACAATGGCGGAGCGCAAGCAGCAAAGCGCAGCTGAGGATGACTGGGAGGAGGTCCACGCAAGCGAACCAGACGATACTATCTCGCTCCACTCCGAAACCGAAACCGAAACCGTGGAGAACAACCAGCACTATGTCGAAGTAGACGGGCCAAAGAAGACTACATATCCGGGACGAATCTACCAGGACCCCAATGAAAAACTCGTAGGGTCTATACCAACGCTTAGACGCTCCCTTTACAATCTCAAGGACACTCTTAGCGAGAGCATCGAGCAACTCGAGGATTTCAATCAAGAATATGCCAGTATGGAGGCACTCTCCATCAGTGTGCCAATCAAGCAACTTCAGGAGAAGCAAGTCAATGCGCTGAGTATCCTCCTCACGAACAGCGGCACGGACTGGGAGGTCTCTGTCCTCCAAGGCGGCATGAGCTTCGACGAGTTCGCCGAGCTAGATCCTGTGTCGATTGACGAACTGTGCAGGATCATGAAGGATTTTGTGCACGAGGTAAGAGCGCACAAGTATGCGAGGAAAAAAGCTGCGGACTACGACGAAGATGAAGACAACGCCGATGTTGCATTTCTTGATTTCATACTGCCGGCCGTGGATGAGATCAGCCTGCTGTTGAGGATCGATGAGGGCAGTGCTACAAAGCAACATGATAACCTCTCTGGACCAACGCTGCTGAGCACGACCAAGGAGAATTGCGGAGAACAAGAGACTGAACCAAAACCCAAGGATGATCACGATCAGATAGTGCACGAAAGGATGATGATGGCATCAGATTGGTAATGGGCATGATGTGGGAAAGCAGCGTGCCTTAAATTGATAATATAATACTTCCTGCGCTAACTTATGCCATGATGAAATGTTCACCAAAGTTGGTAGACCATGAAATTCAGTCTTCGTCGTCGCTCTCAACAACAAAACCTCCTCGTCTCCTGATCGTTGAACGCACGGGCATCGCATCCTCTTCATCACTAACCACAGCATCCGTCGTGTTGGGGTCAGCCGTTTTCAACGCTTCTCCGCCAGTTTGTGTCTGAGCAGGTTCACCCTGCCCCTGAGAGGAGACAGGCGTATCCGTCATTTCCTCATCGTCACTTTGCGTCTTCTCCACGTTGCTTTCATCCTCACTGCTCGAATTCTCACTGCTAATCGCGATGATCTCATCCGCACTGTCATCACTAACGGTTGCCTTCTTAAATCTTTTGCTTGACTTTGGAGAATTTGTGCCCACCTCTGACTCTGAAATCTCTGGAGAAACAGACTTTCTCTTTTTGCCTTTGGAGAGTTTTCGTGCTTCTTCTTTCCTTGCTTTCTCAATAGCCATCGCAATGCTCTGTCCTGCCTTCTTGCGCCTCTCTTCTTCGGCAGCAAAAAATTCTCGATCCTTCTCCTCGTCGTCTTCGTCGTCCGAATCATGCACATATACCGTACTCTTGAACTTTCGCTTTTCGGCCAATTTCTTGAGCCTTCGTTTCTCCGCTCGAGCCTCGCGTCTTGCTCTAGTCTCTTCGTCCGTTTCCTCGCCATCTTCGCGACTTTTCTTTCGCCTCTTGAGCCTACGCTTCCCTGGTGCATCTTGTTCATCTGGCCTGCGAACTGTAGGACCACCTGCACCATATTCACCCAAGTCAATATCCTCATCATAATCAATGCCATCGTCAGAGTCGTCATCATATGCAACCTTGCGTGAGCTGCGTTCAGCTGCTCTTGCAGCGGCAGCTGAGCTCCGAAGAAAATCTTCTGCAGATTTGCCATCCTCGTAAGTAGGAGGATCGAACTCGAATTTGCTGATCAGCTCCAGTGTTTCTCCCAGCTTGGCTGCAGCTAACGTTGATGGAATAACCCAGCTTGCATCTTGATCGTCCGGTTCACCAAGTCGTTCAAAACCGGCTAGTTTCATCAGAAGACGTAGTTTATTGTCCTTGAACATGGCGATTCGTCTTTCATCGTTGTCAGACTTGACAAGGATAGGGGGTGGTAATGGCTTTTCCTCCTCGATGGTAGGTCGTATATCTGCTCCATCAGTGGTTACTCCTTCAAAGATCTTTGCCTGCTCAGCTGCAATACCACGGCGAGCTTCCTCAGCATCCTCCCACGATTGTCTCTGATCCCTAGCTTCTGATAGCTGCTGTTTAACCCAGGCTAACGCGTCTGATTTGCTCTGATTGATAAGCACGCTGACGGCAACACCGACCTGCTGATCCCATTCCATCCCCGGTTTGACTTCAAGCTCAGCTGGCGGCCTGGGTGCTTTCGTAACGATATTATCATAGCCGTGTTCCAGATAGAAAATTGTTGCCGAGATCTTGCTGAAGAGCATCTCTACTGCTAAAGCAGGTCTTTCCTCCAATTTCCTAATAAGCTTTCGAAAGAGCTGCTTCACTAAATCACGCCACTCGCCGAAATGCAATGCCTCCGGATCGAGTCCACCGGGGCCTTCCACCATTTGATGGAAAAGCTTGATGATGTCGACGCGAAAGAGAAGTACGCTGAGCTCATTCTTGAACGCAACGCGGTAAAAGAATCGATGTGCTCGCTTTAACTGCTCTTTTGAGAGATCATTGTAATAGCGAGTAAATGCGACAAAGGTGTCAATAGATTGCTGTGTCAAGAACCGAGCAACAAAGCGAGCAAAGTCAAATTTCCTCTCTCTAGACACAATCTGGACCTGCTCCATGTCATTGGCGTCATCGACATTATCGTTGTTCAAGATTTCACCATTGGCAGCTTGGGCAGCTCGCTGTTTCTTCCGCTGTCTCCTTCTGGTCCGAATCTGCAAATCGACGTTTTGCTTGGAGTACGATTCGAGCATGCGGATGAAGGTGTGGGCAAGTTCCGTGATTGCATCGAGATAGCCGAAGCCCTGGTCCTTGTAATGGCGTAGCAAGTATATAACACGATCGTGGGTTGATTCCTCGTAGAAGATACGATTTTGGATGTTCTCTGCAATCTCCTGGTCATCTTCAAGGTCCGAAGCCGACATTTGCTGTACCGTTAGCAGAATTTGCGTGAAGCAGGTCATTCCCGCATTCAGCTCCTTCCACTCTTTATTGTCTTTTGCGTTCTCCATGTATCTATTCAGGAGAACAAACGTCTCCTGATTAAGAACACTCGCAACAAGACTGAAGCCAAACTCATCCTGCGCAGTCTCAGGAACGCCGGCTTTTTCCTTCCCTTTTGTCGACAGCTTTGTCTCTCGATATTGGCGTCTTGCACATTCTGCCTTGAGAAACCAGCCGGCGAGGTAAAAGAAGTGCATGGAATTTTCGGTGGTCACTCGCTCTTCTTCTCTCTCGATGGCTTTTCGACAATGACTAAAGAGCGGGTTGAATGACGAGTCCAAGAACTCGCCGACAAAGTGTTTTAAATGCTTCCGAGCCGCTGGAGAAAGTGAGACAGATTTATTGAATTCCATAGAGTCTCTTTCTTTATCTGGATTGCGTTTGCCACGATTTCTCGGCCTGTTCCATCTTTTGCTCATGTCCAAGTGGTGGATGGCACGGTCCGTACCATGGATGACCTCCTGGCCAGATATCGTTCTTCTTTGGCTCTGGCCATCGTCAAGTGAAATCAACGTCCCAAAGCGTCCATGCCTGCTGGGCGCGAATCGCTGGTAGCCTGACAAGAGAGATTTCTCCTTCTGGATTAAATCCTTGAACTCGCTGACGGAATTTTTGACGACCTGAGTCTCTTCCATGAATAATTTTTCTGGGTCAATCCCCTTTAGCAAATGGAAAAGAAGCTCGAGAACTAGGACATCCTGCACGACATATTCTTCGCCCATGCTGGAGGCAATCGCTGATATCATCTGAAGGACGCCTTGTTCGTGAAACGCTACAATTGTCGCTGATCGAGAGACTTCGTTCTCGTTCCCATCTGATGGGAGATCACTAGGTTGCTCAATCAAGGCCACATTGCGAAACAGGAACAATGCCAATCGAATCACACCCTCATCATGCGCCGCGCGCTCGTTCTTGGGCATAAGCATGTAAGGCACGGTTAACTCGATGATCGTCTTTAGAATCTTTGTGACATCGTGGTGCAATATCGCTCGCTTGTACTCGACCTGCGCCAGTCGCAAGTAAGGGACATGTCTGTGATGGTTGCGTTTCATTAAGTGGTCCTCGATTTCCAGCGGCCAAGTCAGGGGAACCAAAAGTTCCACTAGAGTTCTGTGAGCTTCGCTGGAAAATTATAAAGGGAAACCGAAGCATACATGACTTCAGTGCAATCTTCGTCTTCAGCTTATTTTTACGATCGCTCTGAGCCCAAGTTGACAAAATTTCCAACAAATCCCCTTTGACGAGATTGGATTCGGCCAATATCCTCTGCACGTCGAGTCGGTTCAATTTTTGATCATAGACTTTGACCCATCTTCGCAAGTCTTTCAAGCAGGCAAGGGCATCATCACCGAGCACATATCGCCCATGGTGCTCGATACTCGTGCCACCGAGCTTCAGGATCACGTTAGTCGAGATTCACAATTAACATCGCGCTGAGAAAAACGCACCGCGGTGACGAGACTGCTGACAATAGCTCGAGTCTCGACATCGACAGTCTCACGCTGCTGCACCCAGTCGTCCAGAGTGCCGTCCATTTTTTGCGTTGCTGTAGGAGCGGATGTCGTTGCTACGCGCGAATGTGCACTACCACTTTACGCGTAGGGACGCGTCGCGCTTAGACGCCGCTGCCGCTAGGGCTGATCTCCAGCGGCTGCGGCTAGCATCGGAAGTCGGCCTCTTTGCACATGCGGGCTTCGGCTAATGACCGTCCGCACTTTACATCTGAACTTTCGATAGGCGATCAACATTGTCATTCTGCGCTCGAAAGTCTTTCCAATTGCTCATTTGTTCGCGCTCTTTATTGATCGCCATGTTGTCACGGACTAGTCTGCGTGTTGTGCGCACCAATGGCCGACACTTTAGCTCGTCCAGCATTGCGAGAGCTGCTGAGATCAAAAAGCTCGGTGTTGTTGGTGCTGGTCAGATGGTATGTCGGCACTCATTCAAAAAGAGTCACGTTCTCACAGTTATCTCAGGGTTTAGGCATCGCTTTGGTAGCTGCGCAACGTGCTCAGGTGCCGGTCACCCTCATCGACGCCTCCCAAGCCGCGATAGACAAGGGACTTAAGTTCGCAGGTACTGACGACCCAAGTAAGAGGCGATGCATCCAGCTGAATTTTTGTAGAGAAACTATTGGAAAAGGACGTGTCAAAGCAGCGGATCTCCAAAGAAGAGGCGACCGCAACACGAGAACGAATGACCACAAGCTTGAAGATGGAGGATCTCAATGATGTAGACATGGTCATCGAAGCCGTGCCAGAAATCCCTGACCTCAAGAACAAGATATTCGCTCAGCTAGCAGAAATATGCCCGTCACATGCGATCCTCGCTACAAATACTTCCTCGATCTCGATCACCAAAATCGCTGCGGCAACTACGAAGGACCCCAAAGATTTATCGGCACCCTCCCGAGTCGTTAGCACACACTTCATGAACCCTGTCCCCGTGCAAAAGGGCGTCGAGATCATCTCAGGCCTGCAGACGTCTCAGGAGACTTTAGAGACTGCCATGGAGTTCTGCAAGAAGATGGGCAAGATCCCCTCGGTGTCTGCGGATTCGCCTGGCTTCCTTGCGAACAGGATCTTGATGCCGTACATCAATGAGGCAATCATTTGCTTGGAGACGGGGATAGGAAAGAAGGAAGACATTGACAACATAATGAAGAATGGAACCAACGTGCCCATGGGCCCGTTGACACTGGCAGATTTCATCGGGCTGGATACGTGCTTGGCTATCATGAGGGTATTGCATGCTGAGACCGGGGACAGCAAATACAGGCCTAGTGTTCTGTTGGTGAAAATGGTCGATGCCGGCTGGCTTGGAAAGAAGAGCGGGAAAGGATTCTACGACTACTAGTCAGCTTCTAATGCCAATCCTTCGACGGCTTTTCTTCCGCGTTTTATATCAGTGCGTCTTTTCGTCTCTCGTTTTTGTCGCTGAGTTCGAGAGCTTGGATTGAATTCAGTCCCTGACTGCATGTCATCATGAGAGGTCCTTCTAGTCGTGATCTTGAGTGCCTACTCCTTGTACGAGATCTAAATACCATCCCCAAAGGGTGTTCATAATTGATGAGACTACCGAGGCGAAGTTGCCCTTCCACAAACAGAGTAATCTTCCCACATTCGAGCATTATTATTGACTTGTCGAGTTTCTCTTGAGGCCAGTCGTCAAGGATGGCTTGAAAACTCAGTGCTCATCACATTCATGCATGGCTCGATCAAGCACTCATTCGTCTATGCAATTTCGGCATCAAATTTTCAACGCTGGCCGGTCACAGGGGCCGACGTTCGCGGATTTCAATTTCGTCAGCTATGCGATCATCACAGTCCCCTAGAGAGGAGGGGGGGAATGCCGAGCTGCTGAGAATTGAGAATCCCGAAATCTCATCTCAAAGCTCGCTTTGGCGCAGCCGTTCCCTGCCTCGAGAACATATGCGCAGCAGAAAGGCTGTCAAAGACGAAATCCAGATTTGTTTTCTTCGGCTGGGCAATATACGTCTTGTTTCCCCTTTGACCCTGGTGTTGTGGGGTGTTGTGGTCGACTATCACAGACCGAAGGTATCATGCGACCTGGGGACGTGTCCAATCAACAAGATACCTCTCCCGGACTTTTTGTCTGCCGTTTTAAAAAAAATTGTCAAAAGGCGGACACACAGTCGTGCCAAAAAAAAATTTTTTTTATTCAGGCGCCATAATCCATCGCTTTACCCAGCCTTCATCACGCAGAGGCGGGGTTCCTTTCTTGAAGCCACATTTTGTCTCTAAGAAATGCAGCCAAACGTCTCGCTCGTCGTTGCCCTGGGCCTGGCAACCCATCTCATCCGCGTCTGCAATCGCACGCCGAATACACCACGCGTAAAGTACGACAAAGACAAGCTGTTCGCCATACCCTTTGTCAAAGAGCATGGGCCTGTGATCCTCGAGTACCTGTTCGTGATACCCTGTGTCTATCACATTGTTCTCACCGCAACTCTTCGAGATCGCGAACCATCGGCGCTTTGTCCGCACCCGAACCACCCAGATCACAAATACTTCACCTGGTCGCCGTACACTGTCATATGCTTGTCTATCATCTTCGCTTCGGCGACTTTACGCCTCCTTGCGTTCCGTACGCTTGGGAAGAACTTCACGTTCGAGCTGGCTCAGCCCGATCGGCTCATCACGACTGGGATCTATGCTTATGTCCAACATCCCTCTTACGGGCCTTTGTTTGTTCTTATATGCGCTACTGTCATGCTCTTTCTTCCACTTGATGGCGCTCTGGGCTGCTTGCTACCATTCTCAGCAGTAGAATTGTGGATCACGTGGCACTGGTACATCCTCGCATGTATTATCGTGATTATGAGCATTGCGCTAGGAGTGAGAGTTCGCGACGAGGAAGCTATGCTAAAAGAGACATTTGGGAAAGCTTGGATTGAATGGAATCAGAGGACACCTCGGTTTGTGCCATATCTGTTTTGACCACTGGCCGCAGTCGGAACATTTGGTAAGTATCAGGGTGAGGGCTTTGTCTATCAAATGCACATTGCCCACTACGATCACTTTCCAACATAATATAGGGCTTTAAGCGCCCTCAATGGAATGAAAAACCATGCATGGGCTTAAAGCACTTGTAGTGGACCTAGAGCTCTCAGCAGGAAAACATGACTAGCACGCAGTGTATTGAACCGAGACTTGACGCTAGCAAGGTATATGCTCAAACAGCATATAGGCTGAGCTTGATCAGTGTTTCGTTTTGAGGTACATGCTGTCAATGGTGAACGCCCGGGTGATGTCCGCTATACCGATAGAGCGCTGCTGACATCACGGTAACCGGCTTATCGCAGCAGCTCTTGACGGTGAAATACCAGCCTTACCTTATTTAGCCTCCATCTATATTCCGATATTGTTGTCGCCCTCATTATATGAAACATCAAATTGACGAAGACAGCACAGCAATCGTATGGGATTTTAAGTTATCAGAGGAAGCTGAAGTAAAATAAGATGAGCCCACGTGCTGCGTCGTCCACATGAAGGCCAAATCTGTACTCATAATAGTCGCAAAAATTTTCAACATGGACGATTCGATGACAGACCTGGCTTCTTCCACTGCATCCCTCTGTCTTTCGGTGACCGGTTTTCCTTCCTGTTTTATCGAAAGGCATTGCCCAAGGCCATTACAGGAATACCAGACAATAAAGGCATAGAGCCTGTTCGGTGACCTGCCGGAAGTGATAGCCCACATGAACCAGACCAGGACATTCTTCAAATGGTTCATTCAACAAAATGAAAAACACCAATCGGCGCTGGTGCGAGTCTTGATCCCCCCTTTTTCGAAGACCGAGCCGACACTGGTCCTGAGGGAACCACGCGAATGACAAGATGTGCCCCTTCGACGCCACGCTGATTTCGAGCGCTCAGAAAACATTGCTGCGGCTTTGCGTGGAATAATTCCAAAAGGACATTTTACCGTAAAGACTGACGACAAGGGAAAGGCTCATCGCGGCTTGTGGAAGGACCTCAAAATGCCACTATTTTTACATATGATCTCTGCTCCTGCGATATATGAGCGCACTTGTGACCTTGTCCGGCTGTGGCTCAGAAAGGGGGAGGAGGAGGAGGGGTTTACCATTCGGTGTCGATGTGGACATTAGCTTCTGCGCTCTGAAGGCCACATTTGATGCCACGTTCGGAACTGAATATGGGCTCAAGATTCTGCGGGCTAGGTTGCGCCACATCGAAGAGCTTGGAGACAGAGGCTATCTGATCATGAAGGAAGGTACGGTTGAACTTGCTAAAGTCTCACTTCCAGAGGGTGCCAAAGCGGTTCTTGATCTCGACCATAGCGTAGAGCATGCGATCCAGCTTGCTGCCGAGCTCGAGTTAAGCGTGTTCGTGTGCATGTTCGTGTGGCATCTTTTCTTCGAGCCCTTGAGGCGCGACCTGACCTCGCGCACGTACTCGGACAGATCCACCAGGGCGCCAGAGAAATGCTTCGTTCGCCTGACAACCGTTTCCTGAGATACAATAACGTCGTGGTCATCGTCGGTGTTCTGTTTCCCCATGTTCAGATAGCAAAAGCGAGCGTCATCTGAGGACGGAGAATAGGAGAGAGGGGTTCAGCGAAGGGAGAAGTTGCAGAAGGCTACTTTTTTCCACAGTTTTGTTCAACCGGCGGGGAGAGGGGATTTTTTTTTTTTAATTTGATATCGGGTTCAGATCTCTACCATCGAGTACAAAGGGAAAGGGAAGGGAAGAAAAGACCGCTGTGAGGGTCCCGCCGCTGGCAACAACCAGGTGGGGGATGCCCTTTTGTGGTACAGCAAACCAAGGTCCAAACGCACGTATCGAGTCAAACCCAACCCACCCAACTCGAGCATAAGACATATGTGGAGATCCGCGCCCAAGTCTCTCGCAAGCTAAAGGGAACGGCACAACGCGACGAAGAATCCTCCCGTTCTGTCTCCTCACCACCTTCACAACCGTGATCGTCTTCCTCGACTTCCTCTTCTTACTCCTCTGCTACTTCATCTTCGACCCCACCACTTCACCCCCACGACATCACGAATCGGTAATGTGACAGCTCCATCCCGCCAAGTTCGCATCTCCGCGAGGAAAATCACAAAATTAAACAAAAAGAAATAAAGAACGAAAGGAACTCAAGTCTTTGATCGACCCTTTGAGAAAATTTGGCGAGGGAGAAGAACCAAAAAACATCGTCGACACGTTTGGCAAACCAATCCCGCACGTGAGCGTCGAATCAGAACCGATCATGTCGTCTTCCCCGCGCTACCAGTGCGAGAACCCTCTCGTGGCGACAGCGTCCCTCTTTCTGGCCCTGCACGTGCACGCCGTGCCCTTCGGAACGGACGGGCGGGCCAAGGGAGACGCAGGCGAGGGCGGCGAGGGCGCAGGCACGTGCTCGATCTGCTGGAACGCGTTCGGCAGCGTCGCACATCCGGACGAGAGGCCGGAGCCGGCCGTGCGCATCGACCCGTGCGGACACGTCTTCGGCCGGCTGTGTCTGGAGCGGCACTTTGCGTACAACGCGCACGAAGCCAAGTGCCCGACATGCCGGGCGGACCTGTACGGGGTGTCGCGGCAGGCAAGGCGAGCGATGTTGGAGCGGAGGGGCAGACCCGCGCACGAAGAGTACGAGTGGATGCGCAGGCGGCTTGCGGAGCCTGTGGAAACGCCGCACGGGGGGGAGAGGCTCTCCTGGTCGGAGGCAGGAGCTGCGCCGTTGGGACGTGGACGGCTGGGCGTAGGCCCGTCGGCGGGCACCAGGATGAGAGTGGAGGCTAGGCACCGCTCGACGTTGCGCGGCATGCGTGCGCACGTTCTGGACCCGGTTGACATCGCGGAGGGGAACAGCGAGACTTGGGGGGAAGACATCGGAGCAAGGCGAGAATCGCGCAAGGTGACGGCAAGGGGGGAAGGGCGTACGTGCGGAGAGGAAGACGAGGGCGAGGACGAAGGGCGCGCAGGGGATGAGAACTGGTACAGGACAGTGATGAGGTTCAGCAGTGAGGCTGAAATGGCGGACGAGAAATGACGCGGGACGGGGAAATGGGGAGACTTAGCCTCGAGATGACAAGACGAATGGAGGCTGGCTTCCCTCTCCCACGAACTGGACGGAACAGAACATGGACAAGGCAACACGAAAAGGTAGTCCTGACTATGAAATTTTAATGTCTCTTCAAACCCTCCCGAACCTGTCAAGGCCGGCTCAGAAAGCGTCTCGAGACACCTCCCTAAGATTCACAGATATGTTTGCATGGCATGAAGATAAACAATATGACTTTTCTGGTGACCCGGATTGCGGCAGTGCATCAATACCCGTGTAGACCAAGACGTCGCTGCCAGAAGAAAGGTCGCTTCTCGTAGAAGGCTGCGGTCGAGGGATGAAGAAAGCCCTGGTTTGTACCTCCAAGCAGCCTGTGCGACACGAGAGGGCTACACAGGCGCCCCACCCCCAAAAAAGGCCTAAGAAGTATGGAGACATCCGGGACGGGATACAGGCGAACGATCGACGTACACGGGTACCCAGATGCATATCAGCCAGACTGTCTTGTGCACCCGTTGCGGGCCGCGGACGAGGGCAGAATGAGGTTCCAGAATAGTTCTATGCACTTGAAGACCCTTTGAGACGGGCGGTGGGACACCCCGCACCCCGGGCTTCTTTGGCTTGATGCACGGAAACTTCTAAAGGCGTCAGCGGGCTGAAGGCGTGAGCTCGGCAAAGGCAAAAGACGAATGCTCGATGCATACGCTGTGCATTCGTGCATGCTTGGCTGCGTGTGCATGGATACGGTTGTCGCTAGGTGATGCCATAACAGGTGGGAGGGAAGGAAAGGAGGACGGTTGCTGTACCAGCCGGCGGCGCTGGAGAGAGCGAGAACGACGGACTTTCAAGAGATCGATAGCAAGACGGACTGAAGATAGCCTCCTTTGTCCTCGTGTTTGGTGCGCGATGCTGAGTCTCAATAACCGACGGTTTGTAGGAAGCCTCCAAGCACAGGCAGGCCGCGACTCATGAGCTCCCAACGGCGCGCTCCTCGTCTCAGCACCTCAATCATCAGCCGATACGTTAGTACTGGGCCCTACGCGTTCCATCTCCGGCCTGCGCCCACAAGAGCAGACAAAAGAATCTGCCGCGGATGCACATGTCCCGCGCGTCCGTCTGCAGGCCTCACGTGTTGGAGGTCTGCTTGGCCATGTGGAAGCTGGACTGGCCTAGCCGATTGAAACGAGCTGTGGTGGATGCTTGTGCATCTTTGTGCGGTGTTCGCCCGCGCAACCATGACTAACAGCTTCTAAGAGACCAGAAGAAACTCATCTTATGCTATACTCTACGAAAGATGAGTCTTCCCTCGACGTCCCGCTGTACGTGACGAAGAGCGCTGCGAGCGGATGGGAAGTTTTGAATCACGCCAGGGATTTTACGGGAGACAAGTACACCGTAACTGGCTGGTGATCGAGGCGAGCGCTTATTAGGGCTCCCCCTCCCAACGAAGGGTGGACCCGGCCAATTGGGCGGGCCGCAATAAGGCCGACGCCACGGTGGTGGCAAATCTTTGTTTTGCGGATCGTATACAAGGTACGCCGTCATCATGCATGGAAGACTTCAGATTCCCGTGGTAGTACGGATCAGTGGAATGTGCTTTGAGGAGGCGTGGCGTGTTTGCGTGCGGATGGAAGAGTGAGTTTCCGATGATAGATGGCAGGAGGGAGGAGTGAAAAGGACGAGACTGGACGATTTGTACGTGTTTGGACGGAACAGCCTGTTGCGTACGTGCGTGTGTGAAATTTGTCTCTTGTCGTTGTTCGCGTCGTAGGGTGCGTGCATGGGCGAGCGAGTGCGAGTCCTTGTGCTCGTGCACACTTTCGCGGCCCGGTGTGTAAATGCATTTTCCAGCTCCTGGGTGATCCTTGGAAGATGGACAGAGTGAGCCATCGGGAGCAACACAACGGCATTGCACTCAACCACAGAACACAGAACAAGGAAAGAACGACGACGAAGGAAGAGAAAGAAAAGATGCGTGCACGAATTGTCAGACACAAGATAATTGCAGCTCGCGCTTGAAGAGGAAGGCGATTGACCGCGAGGAAAGCAAGGCTGCTAAGTTACTGGTAAAATGCCGTGTGCAGGCGAGAGAAACCCAGCTGATTGCGCTGCGTCGATCAGCTTTGCCCCCATATCGTCCGTCTTCTTTTCCCCTTTATTACATGCTCTTCTCGGGGACAGTGCTGCGCGACCGATCAGACGAGCGGGGCAAGAAGATTGCGATAGGGCAGACAGCCTTCGAAGGTACCTTCCCGTGGAGTGAGCCAGCGGTTGCAGTGCGCAGCGAGTTGGCGCAAGATGCAGCCGGATGGAGATGGTCATGGCGACGATGACAAGTAGGCCAACACGCAGCGGACGGATCAAGCAGCAGCAGGAGGTAGAGGTAGAGGAGAAGAAGCAGGATTAGTAGGAGGAATTGTAGTGCTGCCGGTTCTGGGCAACAGCAGGAGTGCCGGTGCTGTTTGTAGCCATCGTAGCAGAACGAAGCGCACCACCCACAGTCACATGGGCCTGCGTCATCGCCGTAGGCCGTGGATGGAACCAGCGAGCAGGCACACAGAAGGAGCGGCTGACAGCAGATTGAGGCGTGGTGGCAGGAGTCGCCGGTCGAGGCTGCCGCACCTGTGCAGAGGAAAGAGCGCCCAAGATCAGGGAAAGAGAAGGGCGGGAGCTCGCGCAGGCAACAGCCAACGTAGGACGGCAGGCACGACGAGCAAACGGGAATGATTGGCACGCGCTGCTGGTGCTGGCGTGCTGGTGCTGGCGTGCGAGTGCTGGCGTGCGAGTGCCGGCGTGCGAGTGCTGGCGTGTCAGTGCCGGCCTGCTGTGCCTGCTGGGCTGCGCGCAAGAGGCCTTCGTTGCGCCTGGCGGCGCGAGGACATGGCGAAGGCTCGTTTCTCTGCTCTGGTGCTCAACGTGCCTCTGATCTGCTTGAGCCGCTCCACACGTCGCGCCGTCGCCCTGCTGGGCTCTCCCGGCAGCTGAGCAACGCACCGCGCTAGGCCCAAAGCAGCACCCCGGTCGAGCGTTCCGTCGCAAACTACGGCCACACGCTTTACCTTTTTTTTTCGTCGCTCTCTTTTTCGCTCGCTTCTTTTTCTCTCTCTTCTTTCTTCCTGCCCATCACCCCATCAAGACACGAGAGGTGTGGTATCTTAATTATCCATCCTCCTCTCTTCCTCTCCCCTCCCCCGAAGTGCGACACCTCCATCGCGAGTCGTTGTCGTCACTCCCTACTCCCATCTCCTAGCCGCAGGTCCTTTTCCTGAAAGGCCGCCGCATATCTCCACCCTCGAAGAAAAATACGTCGTGGTGTCGCACCAGGCGTTCTCGCGAGAGACATCAGCTTATCCGCGCATACATACATACACACCCACGCCGGCACGCCTGTCCACTCACATACACGGTGTGTGGGTCGCTTCCGTGTGAGATTCCTCCAACTCGCTCGTCGCCGGACGAAGAAAGAAAAGCCGATCTGAAATCCTTGTTGGATTTGTTTCCCAACGCGATTCCATCAATCGAGCAACGAAATTACCGCTGCCACCTGCAGTTCGCTCCCTTTTATCCGGACAACGCCAGCTGTGCTCGTCGAGGCGCTCCTGATTGTTCGCGCTGCACTTGCCTCTGCCACCTCGTTACCGTACACGTTTGACACTGTGCGCCCACGAGTCTTTTGCAGGCTGGTCCTTTGAGAGCTGTCGTCTCCTTGCGAAACGACTCACTGTCCTCGACCCCCTCACGGCAGAATCGTAATATATTCACTTGCACACACTTCTCCCCTCTCGGCCGACGCTTGATCATCCGGTGCTCAACCGCCCTTTCAAATCGACCCGCTAATGTCCAGCACCGTCCAATCCTCGACCGCTCCCATCAACGCTCCCAACAAGTCCGCTTCCTCGTCCGCTGCCGCCTCGGGAACGACGTCCTCCAACGTCCGTTCCTCGTACGCCAACGCGACAAAGGGCCCGCAGTCTTCGCCGTCCGCGAACCCTTCTGGCGGCTCTCCAGCGGTGGTGGGAGGTCTGGCCTTGAGCCAACATGCTCATTCAAAGTCGGCATCTCCAGTGAATGGTAGGCCGTCTGCGCCTACGAACGCGCCCACCGGCCCTGCCATTGTGAGCTCTACCACCGGCTCTGTGCACGCTAACGAATCTCACGTTCGTGCTCCTTCCGTCACCATCCCCCCGGGAGCTGGTAACTCTGCGCCCAACGGAATCAGCACTCCTTCGCGCCCCAACATTAGCTTCGGCTCCATCGGCGCATCCCCATCGCCTAATATGTCGCACAGCACACCTCACATGCACCACAGCTCGCTCTCGCAACCCTACGGCGGGCCAAACCCTGCCCGATCACCCTCCCCTATACCACCTCCAGCGGCCTCGAGTGGCGGGCCGCCACCTCCGAGTCTTTCCAGCCAGAGCGCAGTCAATTTCGGTAGCCTCCAAGGTGCGGATGGCCCCGAGCAATCTGTACGTTCAATCCATGCAACACTCAATCGGATGGAGAGTGGAGTGTATTTCTCAGCTCCTTCTCCCTCCAACATGAGTGTAACATTCCTTTTGCCCCACCGCCTTCTTTTTTTTCTTCTCTTCTTTTATCCTTGACAGTCATGATTGTGACGAAGAGGAGGATGCGCCTTCTGTCGTTTGATCAAGGAAAATAAAGAAGAAAGAGGGGAGAGCTTTAAATATTGTGTATCATATTCGCTAACACAAAAAACTTAGCTGCCTATGCGTCCAGGGATCCCTTCCGGTCCAGGTACAGGCCCTCAAGCCCAACATCTTCGTCGCGAATCGTCGCAATCCGCCCATAGCGATAACATGAACCGAAACTTCATCCCACCAAACGGCCGCGGAGGCGGAGGCCGGCCTCCCTTCAATGGCGGTAACCAATTTCCAGGTGGTGCTCCGGGCCATTCACCGTCCATGTTCCGGACGCCTTTGGCAATGACGAACAGGACCCCATCGAATGCAGGCCCGGCTTTCCAGCATCAGGTTGTGCGAGGCGCAAACTCGCCTTTCCAAGCAAATCGTAGTCCAGCGATGCCTCCGCACCCTCAGCCGCACATGCCAAACATGCAGAACGGCCCTATGCCCCACGCATATCAATACCCGCACATGCAGCAAGCTCCCGTCTACATGCCGGGCTACGATTATCAGCAGTACCCGTATGCACAGCAGCAGGGTTTCATGCCTCCTCAGATGTACCAGCAGGTGCCGCACACGTCGATGAACACGCCGCCTCCTCCCACTCATTTCCGCCCTCAGCAGCCATACGCGCCCGGCCCCTACCAAGCATCTCCCGGACCTCAGTCCATGTCCCGACAAGCCTCTCAGTCTGGAGACCCTCGACCGTCTTCGTCCATGGGACACTCGCCTGGTCCTCATCCTCAGGCCAGTCCCAGTCCGGGTCCGTCTCAGTCGAACTTTCAGCGTCCACCGAAGAGCAGCGCTGTCAAAATTACAAAGCCCGATGGCGAGGTCGTAGATTTCAAGAAGAGCGTTCAGTCTCCGAGTCCAGCCACGTCGTCAAAGGGTCCTGCGGTCGTCTCATCCGGTGGTGCAGCACCGTCCACACCAACTCCCCCTCGCACCACGACCCCGTCTGGTCAGCATGCTCGTACTGAGTCGGTGCGCGTCAAGTCTGCTGAGGAGCGCAAGAAGGAGTTCCACGAGGCATTCTTGAAACAACTCAAGGCCGAGGAAGAGGCCGAGGCCGAGAAGAAGAAGAAGGCTCAGGAGGAGAAAGAAGCAGCTGCAGCTGCCAGCAGTAATGAGCCAGCACCAGAGCCCGCCGCTTCCAAGGAGCTTGAGGCTGAAGCCGAGCCCAAGGCCGACGACGGCGCTGCCAAAAACACATCGACTACCAGTGCCACAGACGCAGAACCAGTAGAACAGGGCGAGACCGAAGAGGAACGAAAGAAGCGCGAGGAAGAGGAAGAGATGGAGCGCATGATTGCTGAGATGGAGGAGGCGGAGCGGCTCGAGCAGGAGCGCGAGGCAGCCTATGCTGCCAAGAAGAAGGCCGAAAAGGAAGAGGCAGAGCGTCTTGCGGCAGAGAAGGCGGCCAAAGAAGAGGAGGAGATGAAGCGCTTGGAACGCGAGGCGGAGGAACGTGAGGAGGCCAGAGCAAGGGGTAAGGCCGAGGGTGACAGCGACGCTGAAGCCCAGACGTTGTTCTCCCAGCTGAAGAAGAACACCATGTTCGGCCCTGGTGCGACTGGCGCGCCTGCGAGCGAGACGTCTACTCCTGGTTCCGAGTCTCCCATGCCGCCACCAGCTCAGCCAGCCTCGGCGTCCAAAACTCCAACAGTCTCCGCGAAGAATAAACCTGCCGCTCTCAAGCTCGAGACGACGAAAGCCGTCGAACCCGCACAGCCAACCGCCGGCATGCAGGCACTAAAGACTGCTCGTTTCCTCGAGGTCAGGAACGAAACAATTACTTACCCTGAGGGCATCAAATCACCAAACCCAGCCTTGAACAAAGGTGTCAAAGGCAGTGGTCAGCGCTACGACAATGCCTTCCTGCTGCAATTTCGTGACGTCTTCAAGGAGAAGCCGTCCGTGGACTGGGACAAGACCATCAAGGAGACTGTGGGCGATGGCACAGACTCTGCCCGCCCCCAGTCTGCTCGCACGCCGTCCATGGGACAGGGTGGACGATCGATGTCGGGTCGCCCCAGCGCCCCTCAGATGGGCGTGATGGGCAATTTCGGTGCAAGTGGCCGCACACTGCCGCCCGGTACGAGCTCGGAGCAAAGGTTCCAAGCCTCCCTCGGCGGCGCCGGTCGCACGTCTGTTGCCGGTTTCCCTGGAAGTTTCCCCGCCGGTCGTGGTGCTCCCTTCCCGATGGGCGGTGCGGGCATGGCTCGCACACCGTCGGCTCAATCGGTCCAGGGCGTCAACTCGCCGCGCAATACGAGCCACCGCGGTAAGGGCAGCCGTCGCGGTGGACCGAATCCGGCTCAGGAGGCGGAGGCCGCCAAGAAGATGCCGCTCACTGCTGGCATGACCATTGCGCCACTCGAGATTTCGCAGACGGGATGGAAGCCCATGACTATCGGTCAGCCTGCCGCTAGCGCCGCTGTTCCGGGTGGCCATCTTTCACCGGAGATGGTCCAGCGCAAGGTCAAGGCGGCGCTAAACAAGATGACACCCGAGAAGTTCGACAAGATTTCATCAGACATACTGGCCATCGCCTCCCAGTCCAAGGACGAGACGGATGGCCGTACCTTACGACAGGTCATCCAGCTCACGTTTGAGAAGGCCTGCGACGAAGCCCATTGGAGCTCCATGTACGCGAAATTCTGCGAGCGCATGCTCCAGGATATGGGCCCTGAGATTCGCGACGAGAGTGTCAAGGACAAACACGGCCAGGTTGTCGTTGGTGGCGCACTTTTCAGAAAGTACCTACTTAACCGCTGCCAGGAAGAATTCGAGCGCGGCTGGGAGGTCAATTTGCCAGAACGACCAGAGGGCCAGACAGAGGAAGCTGCAATGCTGTCGGACGACTACTACATCGCCGCCGCAGCCAAGCGTCGCGGTCTCGGCCTTATCCAATTCATTGGCGAGCTGTACAAACTTGGCATGCTGACGCTCAGAATCATGCACGAGTGCGTTGTCAAACTCCTCAATTTCGAAGGCACTCCAGACGAGGCTGCTATAGAAAGCTTGGTCAAGCTGCTGCGCACCATTGGTTCAACCATGGACGCGGACCCCAAGGGTCATAGCATGATGGATACGTACATCGACCGCATTCAGACTATCATGAAGATCGAGGGTCTGCCCAGTCGCATGTACTACATGTTGCTGGACACAGTTGATCTGCGCCGCAAGCAGTGGCAGTCCAAAGACGCGCTCAAGGGTCCCAAGACTATCTCCGAGATTCGCGAAGAGGCCGCGGCACAGCAAGCTGCCGAGCTAGAGCGCCAGCGCTCGTCGCGCGGTGGCGGGTCTGGTGGCCGTCCACCTGTTGGCCGCGGCGACGCCCGCTCCTTCTCAGGCGCTGGCGGAATGCCACCACCCCAATACCAGTCGAGCTCCGTCGGCATGGATGATCTGAAGAAGCTTACTCGCAACGCACGTCCGACGGGCTCGAGCGGCGGTGGGCTGGGTCCCGGCTCACTTCTGAGCAATTCGCGTTCGGGCAGTCGGCGAGGAGGATTGGGTCCAAGGGTGGGAGACGAGAGTGGAGCGAGCTCCAGAACGAACACCCCCCCAGTGAAGGACAAGGAATCAACCGCTCATGTGAACGCCTACAGGTACGCCTTCAACCTTCCACCCCTTCCTCCCCCTTTTTGTATCTCTATCAACTTTCCCATACATGCCAACTTCCACAAATAATCGCGTGACTGGACCGAAATTCGCTGACTATGTCCACATAGTGCACTTGCTGCCCTTGACGGTGATCATCCGGACGACGTCGCTTCCCCGCCTTCACAACACGCCTCGCCCGTGCTGACAAAGGCCCAGCCGGCCGCGGCCGGGGAAGCCAGCAACGACGCAGGCAAATGAGTTTCTGTAAATCCGATACCCATCTTCTGCACGCTTGTTTTGAAAGAACCTGCATACGATCGTCATCAGCATCAACCTCCATTTATCATACCATTCGCATGGGCATTGCAAAAAAGCGCGTTTCTTCGTCAAATCCGGATGCATTACTAGCTTTAAGACTTTTACTTCCTATTCTTTTAGTTTTTCTTTCTCCAATGGAAAATGGGCGGGCCTTGTATTGAGTGAGTGGGTGTGTCTGGGTCTGTTACCGCTTGCTGCCACTGCTACTACTAGTAACCAATGTTGCTGTTGCTGCCGTTGGAATGTTTTAAGTTTCTCCTGTGCGCCTGGGTTCCATCTATACCGATAGACGGGGGAAAAAAGAACATTGGGTTTTGCTGCCTGCGCGTCCCTTTCTCTTTTATTCCCCTACCATTTCTTCTATATTATGCAGAGTAAGAGCGGATCGAGAATGAGAGAAAAGAGAGGGTAAGATAGGAAAGGACGGAGAACTTGACGAGATCCTGTGAGAGATGCGAGCTTTTCTTTCGGCCAGAGACGTGCAAGGAAAGGCAGGGAATGTCTAGGTAACAATGGCGTGGCAATGGCTAAAAAGCAAGCATTTGTATTTGTACGGCATTTACATTATTCTTCTTCCCTTCGTGTCCCTCTTTTGTGCTCAATTTGATCACCTTCCATCCTCTTTATTTTAACAGTGCGAACGACATTGCATCAATCTGGGGCTGCTGTTGACGAACTTGATGCATTGCGTTCTAAGCAATATTCAGTTTTGCGTCATACGTTTGCAGCATCTTCGCTTTTGCTTACTACCTTCCTACTTGTTTTGCATCTGTTAGGGCAACGGTTGTTCATCACTGGACAGTCTTTCCGGCGATGATTCCCATCCTTGACAGAAAGAGGCAAGCAGAGAGGCCTGCGCATCACGTCAAGAGGTGTTCGAAGGACGATGACGGTCAAGATCTGAAGCTCCACCGTCCTCTCCAACGGGAATCGCACGATGAGAGAAACCGACTGAGCAATTTATGCGGGTCTCTGCGATGAGATCTATCGAGCGAAAGCGCCGCGACCCTAAAATCAGCAGAGAGATCTATTATGAGACCGTTGGGTCATGTCAATCGAAGAATGCCATGGCGTCAAAGAGACGTCCGGTAAGAGCGGCGTTCCGAAGAGCCTTATCGACTGCTCATCAGCAGACGAGGCTGACGGCATTCTTGACAGATCTGTGGCGTGAAACAGGTTGGTGTGGTCCATGGATACCACGGCGGTAGAGAGAAAAAGAGAGAGGCCCAGCACTTTGTTGCTACCAATTGTGACAGCGGTGACAGGGTCGGATATGACCTCAGTGAGACGGCAATTGCTTTTGGTTGTGCCCGACCGCGACTCTGGTTTGCTTCGCTCGAAGCCAACCTGGCAACTCGATGTGCTTCTACGTGGTAGAACAGAGCGCGGGTGGGTCCTACGAGCCCGTGTTTGTCACCAATCTACACTCGAGTGCTTGCTTTCGTCGGATCATGTACGTCGCAAGCGTAATGTACCCGACTGAATCGCTCTGCGCGGTAAGACGCAGCGATTGCGCCGGATAAGCATGCTTCTGCCTCCACCCTACAACGCTAGCCGCTTTGCGTTTCCGCGGAATCTAAGTGATTGATCGAACTTTGGCTGTCTGTCTGACGGAAGGAAAACTGCGGGCCCAGTGCGCTGATCGGATGGAGTCCTCTCTCCTCACGGCACGCGTGTGAGGGGCTCGGCAAAAGGCATTTAAAGTAGTTTAGCATGCTAAGTACCAATCGCGACTTGGTTGTACTCGTCCTGCTAAAACAACAGCCAAACACCAGACACTGGGGAGAAATCTTGCACCTCATAACCTAGATAGTAGACGTCTACTGGACATGACACCCGAGATTTCATTTGATCAACTCCCGCTGAAGAAGGAGGGGCCGTTTGGAAATGCGTGGGGACGATTCGGGTGAGCGAAGCCCGACCTTGCCTATGTGACCACCTTTGGTATGCCATCACGAGCATGGAATGAGGCGTAGTTGAGTCGCCCGAGAGAGACATGGCGTGTTCGTTTCCCCATGAGCTACAGTCGAAAGCAGAGTCATACACTAGACACGCTGCAGTATAGGCATTGCTGACGATTTTCTTTTGCATTCCAGCGCCACGGACCAGCTGGGCACGCTGAATCTGCTCACGCCAGACGTTGTCGCCGATGCGGCGAAGGAGATCAAGACCGGCGACCGCGTCTCGCTGGACTGGAGACTGAACATGCCGTCTGCGCCCATGTTTGGCAGGCAGGCATTTGTGCACGAGATCCGGAACAAGGCGCCGAGGACGGTCAACGACGACGTGCTCCACTTCAACACGCAGTGCAGCACGCAGTGGGATGGTCTCAGGCATTACGGTGAGAGTCTTTGCGGAGCGTGCCAACGTCCACAACACAGTTGCTGACTCGTTCGTGGCTCAGGGTACCAAGAGGCAAAGGTATTCTACAACGGGGTCACGCAGAAGGACATTGAGAGCAGCAACTTGCTTGGTATTGACGGTTAGTCTTGCCCGTGCCTGCTGCGCCTGTCAACCTCTCGTCTTCGCTCACGCACACCCAGTCGTCGCCGAGAACGGAGGCGTGGTCGGCCGCGGCGTCCTCCTCGACTACGTTGCCCACGCCGAGAAGCACGGCCTGCCTATCACGCCGTTTGAGTCGCGCGACATCCCCATCTCCGTCATCAAGGACATCGCCAGGGAGCAGGCCGTCTCCTTCCGCCCCGGCGACATCCTCTTCGTCCGCTCGGGCTTCGTGCGGGCCTACGAGGCACTATCGGACGCCGAACGCGCCGCGCTCGCGGAGCGCCCTTCGCCAGACTTCGCGGGCGTCCAGGCCGGCCACGACACCCTGCGCTGGCTGTGGGAGAACCAGTTCAGCGCCGTGGCCGGCGACGCAATCGCCTTTGAGCGCGCGCCCGTGTCGGGTCCTCACGCCGCCCAGGACACGCTGCATCAGTGGCTGCTCGCCGGCTGGGGGTGCCCCATAGGCGAAATGTTCGACCTCGAGAAGCTTGCAGAAAAGTGTCGACAGCTGGGCAGGTGGACCTTCTTCGTCAGCAGCGTGCCGCTGAAGGTGCCTGGCGGCGTGGCGAGCCCACCGAATGCCGTGGCCATCTTCTGATACGATCCAGTTTCGCCGAGTGCTGCGGCAAGGCATACCATCGCACTGTTTCTAAACCCTCCTCTGATCTAAGATATGCATACAGGTGCTGGCTGGCAGTGGAGAGCCAGGAGCGAAACGTGTGGAGTGCTGTCATCCTAGGTCCGACTACGTACATACGTACGAACAGAAAACTGATAAGCAAAAGCGCTTCTCAAATACAGGTTTCGTTTTCATTGCTCAGTTTCTTGTTCGTCATTCGTCTTTCTCAAGAGCATCTACGTACTCGAGCCAATCAAGCCGTGCCGTTCGCTCCGTAATGCGGCTGGTACGCCGTCGGCACGTCAAAATCGTCCCCTATGCCCGTGAACGGCTGCATCGAAAACCCCGCGGCGCCTGCTATCTGCGTTTCGGGCATGGCGAAGGAGGCGCCGTTCAATGACCCGAAGTTTGGCCAGAGCATCTCCATCGCCGCGCCGTTCTCCGAGAACGACGTCGGACTGGGCTGCATCGACATCGTGTCTTCAGCGGAATTGTAGTCGTTTCCCGTCCACTCTTCGTCCTCGTCCTCGTCCGCATGCGACATCGCCGATTCCACCACCGCCGGGTTGGGCGAACCGGTTGCCGAAGCGGGCGGTCGCGAGCTTTCAGGTATCGCTTTCATGAGCAGGCCCGTGGACTTGGTCAGCTGGCCGATGGCGCGATCGAGGAACTCGGCGCTCTTGCTTGACAATCGCAGCGTCCACCTGTACTCCTCAAGCTTCTCCTTGTAGGCCTCCGCTTCATCCTTTGAGCGGGCACCGATCCAAAGCAAGCCTATGAACGAGCCGACGAGCGCGAAGCAATACTTTGAGGACGAATACCAGAACGACTGCAGGTGTTCGGCGCGGAGGCCTCGCACAAAGTCCATGACGGTCGTCAGTCGGGTGTGGGCTGCGCTCCGACAGATGGAAATCAAGTTTGCATTCTGCTCGTGGGCAAGAGACCGTAAGATCTGGCGATGCAGTGTCATTTCGGCACCGTAGTAAGCCAGGTGGAGGTATCCTGGGCCACGGTCAGCATTTGCGCCGCCTCGACGGATCGCCAGGATCTCTTACCTGCCGAATTGAGCTTCCGCATCTTGACGTTGTCCATCTTGAGGCACTCCGGAAGCTGCTGAAACCAATCTCTGAGCCGAAGCTGAATCGGCTTGGCCTTTTCCAGAATCCATCTGCCGCCCTCTTGTGATCGTTCTCTGATGTCTTCTTCAGCTCGCAACGAGTAGAATTCGCTCAGTATCGACGTGACTATCTCCGTAAGCCGGATCATCTCGCAGAACAATATCCGACCCTTTTCCACTTCTGTGCTTCCCTCCTCGTCGTCCTCGTCGGCGGCACGCTCCGGAAAGTCCCCCTCTGTAACTGGCTTCACAAGCCAGTCTGCTGGCGTGATGTGCGACGGGCGAGCATGAACAAGCGAGCCCCATTTGTCCTGCATGTACAGCGCCCAAGCGAGGCGTTTGCGTAGACCACGTTCCCAGGACGGGATCTTCCACCTCGAGCAATCCAAGTGCAGTCCCAAGTCTTGTCCCAGCGCAACGAGCTGTCCTGTAAGAGCCCAAGAGTCGCCTTCAGGTCGTTGTAGTAGAAGCAAACCGGCTTGAATTGTCGAGATCTTTGGCCGGAAGACAATGTAGCTCATCGTCTTTATGGCAAGCCTTTCGAGCTGCGCCACGTCTGGTTTCGGATGCAGAGCAAGATCGGAGCTGTACGACCACCAGTTGAGCGCAAGAATGTATACGGCGGCCAGCAGCGGAGGCGAGAACTCCCTGTGCGTCCTCTGGTACTTTTCGAGGAACACCTTCTTGTGAAGGATAGGAAAGGACGGGTGAACGATCCTGAAGTACAAGTTGATCAGAGCCTGGCCATGCGGCGCCACGATCGTCTCTATCGAATCGAGGTCGACGATCTCCTCGTCCCGATTCTGGGTTCCGGCGTCCGGGCGCAAGAGAAACGATGTGCTTTCGCCAACCTTGCGGATCGCCGTCGGGCCAAGCGGAATCTCGAAGTTCTCGTCCGCGTTGGCCGAGTTCAAGAGCGCCTGCTCGTAAATTGAGGTTGAACCGAGAAATCGGCTGTGACGATGGTTCTGCAGTCCCAGGGTTTTCTTAAGCAACGACGGTCCTTTCAGGTTGGCGTAGTCGTCGATGGGCTGGTGCTTTCGGATCGAGGCTCTACGCTCCAGAACCTCGTTGTTTCCAGACACGCCGGGCCCGTCAGCAATCTCGAGCGGTGGAGGAACAGCTCGCGTCTGTTCGCGTGAGCCATCGGCCTCGTTGGATCCTCCGTTGCTGATCTTCCGCTTCTTGCGCGGCTGCGGATTTTCCTGGAAGAGGCAAGGCTGACGATGGAATTTACAGAGAACACAGACCGCTTCGCCCTCTGTCATCTCGCATCGGCTTTTACGCTTGCGGCACGCATCGCAAGGCCTGCGTGGGCGGCTTCTACTTGCCGCAAGATTAACCGCCATGCTGCTGAGTGAGCTCTGCGGCGTTGCAACCAGCGTATGTTGGTCCATTTGTCCGAGAAAAACTAGCTAAAAGGACGGCTCTGGTGCATCGATTAGCAACATCAAATCAAGCACTTTCATCGGCCTTTGTCATGTATCAAAAACACCTAGCAGGCAGTATATGACGGTCGCCGAACTTTCACGATGGAATAGAACAGATATGTATGAATTGATAATTGAGTACACCTACGTTTTAAACACCGCCAAATCTCCGAATAGTGAACAGCTGCATGCGCATATCGCACTCATTAGGAATTTAGCAGCAGCACAACCGATGATGGGAGCCCTGTCGGCCCTACGCCGTGGGGTCAGGTTGAGATCTTCACAGGGTCACTTTGCACCGATAGACAGGAACAGACGAGCGTCTAACGCGAGGCCAGGCCTTAAGCATGAGAGACAAGCTGGTGGGCCTGCTTCGTTTCCTTTGGTGGGACAGACACACAAACGATGGGTGATAGACGATTCCTGGACAGAGCATAGTTAAGCCAGCTGCAGGCTGGGGTGCTTGAGCTGGGAAAAAGCAACGTGCTGATAAGGAATGCTCCAATCGATCGAGGCTGAACCGCAGTGAACCGACGGGACCTAGCCGGATTTAGAGCTAGTTCTATTCTAGGCTGGTGCGTCTCGGTCAGGTCCATCTTCTGGTCCTCATCACAGTGCGCGGAAAAAAGCATCGGAATGATTCTTGGTCGTCAATTTGGCATTCAAAAGTTTAGCGGTGCTTCAGCCTTCACATCTACCATCACCGTCGGCTGAAGGTCTCTGAGAATGAAGCGGCTTATGCAGCTTCTCAACATTATGGTATCAAAAACAGATTCCGTGAAAGACAGTGCTCCAGTCCCATCAGATGTGCTGCACTCTCCAAGCCCCGTAAATATAGAACTCTACTTCCTCTCTTCTGATTCTGTGACTTGTACTTAGACAATCTCTTTCTCCTTTGTGATCACAGGGTCTTTGAGCTCATCAATTGGCTCTTCGCCGTCGTACACAGGCGGTGTAAGCGTCTCGCCTAGCTGCGGAGGGTAGATTGCTTCGTCGACGAGCGAAACGGTTTGGGGTGAGAAGTAGTTGATAGTGTAATAGGAGGTAAAGGCAATGAAGAAGCCGAAGATCCTGTCGCACTGTCAGTCTCATATCATGAGCACCAGCGTTAAATTGAACATACCAGGCAAAAGTGTAGATCTTCCATGCTCCACCAACGTTGAGGTTGACATTGATCGACTTTGCGAAGCCAGGCATGAGGGGTGCCACGGCAATGATGAAAGCAGCGAATGGTCTCCAGTGCCAACCGCCCGTGTACCAGTAAATACCATGGTCTCTGTACATCTCGTGGAGATTAAGCTTGCGCTGCTTAATGATGTAATAGTCACAAACCATAATGCCCGCGATTGGACCCATCAAGCAAGAGTAACCTGACAAGAATGCGAGAAGTCCCGCGGCATTCTTGATGATGTTCCAAGGAGTAGACACAACACAAAAAATTGAGATGAAGAGGGTCCCACGGAAAATGTTGACATACTTTGGCGCGAGACCAGTGATATCGTTCGAGAAGGGATAGGAGCCAGCAGCAATCTGATTGCCAATCGTGGCAAGCATGAAACTGGCGGAGACAAAGAATTTGGCTGCTCGAGAGTCAAACTTTGCGATGACTGCAGGCATGTACCATTGGAAGCTACCCCAAAGGTAGGCGTGGGCGCTTGTGACGAAGATTGGAGTGAGGGCACCAAGAGTACCAATGACTGGGAGGGCGAAGAATTGATGGTATCCTCCAAGGCGATTTTTGCTGAACCGGCCAAAGTCGGGCATGTTGACTGCCATAGAACTGAAAAGGCCAATGATAGCGTTGAGGCCAGTGAGCGCCGAGTAGGCAGTGTTCATGTACGTGCTGGTAATCTTCGCATGACCAGTGACATATGGACCTCCTCCATGCGTGACAATAATGGCCCACAAAAAAAGCGCCAAGAAAGTTGGAGGCACTACCACGCCTTTCACCCAAAACAAGACGCGTAACTTCTTGATTGGCATAAGTGACAGCGTCGTTTGGATGATCCAATAAAGCATGAAGCAGAGAAGCCCGGCGCTAGTGATACCCGCATTCTCAGGCAAGTGATTGGGGAAGTTGATAAAGCTGGGCCAGATAGCTTCCAACATGCGCTGTAGAAATTCACCGGCCTGAACGGTGAGGATAGCAGTCCACATCATGGCAACGAATGCTCTGATGCATATGATGGGGAAGCTGCCGTACATGCCGAAGATTGAGCGAGTGATGACTGGAAATGGTACAGCATACGTTGCTCCCATCTTGCCCGTTGCAGTAATGACGAAGGAGCCTGATGATGATGTCAGTACAAGAACAAGACGGAAGCGCGCCAGGACATACAAATGAAGAAGCCAAAGAAAACAATGGGGATAGTTTCTCGTGCCGTGAAGCCAAGAGACATGACGCTGCTGACAACACTGGCAAGAGGTGGAGCCAACATGTCACTCGTCCAATAGGCCCAATAGTCAATACCTCCCCATGTTCTGTCTTCTGGAGGCACTGGATCAAGGTCAGGATTGCTCCATCGTGGGAAGTTCGCGTATATTCCCGTTCTAAAGGGCACCCGTAGGTGAAATTGAGGACCCAGTCTGGCCTTCACCTTGGATCCAAATCGTTTTGGAGAAAGTACCGACATGGCTGTTCTGATCGCAATTGCAAAGGCTCCAATCCGATGACCGTCGTATTCTGATCAGATGTGGATTCTTGACCATCAGCGGACGAGGGTTCCATGCTCCTTCATATATACGCATTTCGCCAGAGATTCATTCCAACCAAAACGTGCGAAAATCCAATACTGATACCCTCGTCGCCGGGCCGGTAGGTGTTCACGAAGCTGGAGATAGGCGACACGACGGGCGCCAGAGGCCACCTGCTGGACTTTGTCGCGTGCAGAAGGCCACATTTTTTTGGCCTCCTCCACTACTCGGCTGCGGCATGAATGACACGAAAGGTGCAGTTGATCGAGATTGGTCCGCTGAAAGACTGGGCGTGCTGCCCTGCAGCTTGTAAATCTCGACAGATAGGAACGAGGGCCAGGTTTTCCCAAAAGGGGTTTAGCCTTCGCAAACGTTGATCCTCTGTGGTTGGCTATAGTCAAAGTGATGATAAGGAACACTGAAGCCTTTGGCCGCCGCCGCCCACCTGCGGCCGTCGCGCTGCCGAATGTTCTTGCTTGGGCCTACGGTCGTTGTCCGCCGGCGCATTGCTGCCACTGCGGCCGGCCAGTTGTATGTCGACTTTCAGCAGACATGGTCCTGTAGCGCTTGATCTTTGGCTGAATACCAAACATCTGCGCTCCGCGTTGTTAACCCGTCGCTGATTTCGAGAACGGAGAACCTCGTGTTGGCAACGTATTTAAGAGCCTTTTAGCAGAGAACGAATTCTTATCGAGCTTTGGTCCATTAACCTTTGTCGGCTTCGTCAGCATGACCACAAAGTTGCCCGAGTCGATCACATTTGATGCGAAGCCATATGGCTTCACCTTCAATCCAAGACACACCGCTTTGGTGATTATTGACATGCAACGCGATTTCTTGCTTAAAGATGGATTCGGTGAGATCCAAGGTGGTAATCTGGAGATGGTGCAAGCCTCCATTGCTCCCACAAAGAGGCTCTTGGATCTGTGCCGGAAAGCTGGCCTTAGCATTTTTCACACTCGCGAAGGCCACAAACCTGACCTCTCAGATCTGCCAAGCTCCAAGTTGCACAGGCAGGCTGCGATGCCAGGGAACACGCAACATAGATTCGTAATTGGAGAAAAGGGTCCTTTGGGGCGGCTTCTCACTCGTGGCGAATATGGACATGATATCGTCGATGAGTTGGCCCCGTTACCCGGTGAAGTCGTTATCGACAAGCCCGGCAAGGGCTCATTTTGGAACACCGATATACTGCACAAGCTGAAAGCAAGGGCGATCACTCATCTTATTGTTTCTGGCGTGACCACAGAATGCTGTTTTGCAACCACCATTCGAGAGGCGAATGATCGTGGCTTCGAGTGTTGTAAGTTTCAAAGCGCAGGCCTGCAGATATTGACAAGTTGACTTTCCCAGGCGGAATCGAAGAAGCAACCGCGGGATATAATGCCGACTTCAAGTGCGCCTCGCTAGACATGATTCATTGGTCGCAAGGCTTATTTGGCTTTGTTTCCTCACTTCAATCATTTGTCGATGCATTGGAGCCTTACTTGCCACATGCAGAATCTACGTTGTCTCCTCCATTGACCCCTTCCGTATGGGACGGCGACGTACGAATCTCGAGCTTGCGCGCAGCCTACAGGGCTGGTCTGTCCCCGGTGACTGTCGTCGAGTCGCTGTACAAGACGATTGAAGCCTATGAAAATGAGAATTCAGGCGTCTGGATACACTTGCAGCCAAAGGACCAGCTTATAAACGAAGCAAAAGCTCTTGTGGCAAAATATCCCGACAAATCAGCTCTGCCTCCACTTTATGGCATTCCATTTAATCTCAAGGACAGCCTGGATGTAGCTGGCCTTCCAACTACAACTGCTTGTCCACCATTGACACACATTGCATCAACGTCTACGCCTACCTATGAGAAATGCGTTGCGCAAGGCGCTTTATTTCTTGGAAAGGTAAACCTTGACCAGCTCGCCACGGGCTTGAATGGTACCCGCAGTCCCTACGGTATTCCACATTCCGTGTATCACGAAGACTATATCTCGGGTGGCTCTTCGTCGGGTAGCAGCGTGTCTGTCGGCGCGTCTTTGGTGTCTTTTTCAATTGCTACTGATACTGCAGGATCTGGCCGCGTGCCTGCCGCATTCAATGGAGTCGTTGGATACAAGCCGACTCGAGGGATTTTGTCAACGGTAGGCCTTGTTCCCGCATGTTTGTCATTGGACTGTATTGCAATTATCGCAAGGACTGTTGAGGATGCTCGAACAGTCTGGCAGATCTGCGAAGGATATGATCCTAGAGATCGTTATTCCAAAACGCCCATTGGCTTTGACCGTCACGTTAACTCAATCGGCCCAGAAGCCACGCGTTTCAAGTTTGGCATCCCGCCACCAGAATCTCTGAGCGTTTGCTCGCCTGTGTATCGAAAGATGTTCCATGAATCTGTGAAGCAGTTACAGAATATTGGTGGAGTCCTCACACCGATTGATTGGACTCCTTTCGAGAAAGGCGGTCGATTGCTCTACGATGGAACATTCGTGTCCGAAAGGTTAGCCAACTTGCCGGACGATTTTCTGGAAAAGAACTCAAAACATCTGCATCCTGTGATTCTCGAACTATTCCAACAGGTCCAAGCACGCAACAGCTCAGCGGTGCAAGCCTATCGAGATCTGCAAGCAAAAGCATTGTATACAAGACAGGCTGAGGAGGTTTTGGGTTACTCTGGAACCGGGGTCGACATCGTGGTGGTACCTACTACAGTCACACACTGGAAAACGAAGGAGCTGCTCGCAGATCCAATTAAGAAGAACAGCCAGTTGGGAGTAAGTACCTTTAACATAATCCTTTGGCCAAGTGGCTGATAAATCTCGCAGGAGTTCACCCATTGCGGCAACGTGCTTGATCTCTGTGCTATTTCCATTCCCGCTGGCGAGTATGAGATCTCTGAGCTTTCTGGGAACAAAGATGACCGCGGCAAACTTCCGTTCGGCGTCATGTTCCTCGCTTCGAGCCGGATGGACGCAGAGATCCTTGAGCTAGCAAGGAGATTCGAGGCAAGGATGAGCTCGAAGTCGTAACCACCTTTATCTGGACGTTGAACTATTGTGTCCTTCCGCATTTTAACGAAGTTTATGGTTGCATTCCATGGCGTTGCGCATGCATACACTGGAAATGTGTGAGCGATAGTGGTACTTTGATGTTATGCTGCTCAATGATCTCTGTTGGATCACATTCCAACATGGGGGTAAATCATTAGTGACATTCAATTCTGAAACGAAGATCTCCGTCATGAATCGTAAGCATCAAATTGTATTCCCCATCACAGAAGAGCGTTCTGATGAAAAGATTGCTGCCAAAGAGGTCAAGGTAACGAGTATATAAATTCTTTTGAGCATCGAAGTTCTGGACAGAGTAAGCCAATATTCGGCAGATATTGACTAATTCTTGTCCATTTGGCCAGTACTGTTCTTCGCGGTTAGAAAGCCGCAAAGCTGTCTCGTATTCAGTTCCGTCCCGTTACTTGAGCGACGCATCTAAGGAAAATGGTGACCATTTGATGCACATCGATACAATCCTCCAGCCAGCGCTCTCATAGTAAGTCTCATGAAATCGGGATATCTATTTTTTTTTTCAAGCTAAATCTCCGACTTTTGGAGCGTATAAGCAATTTGGCATTTTAGGAATTGCATTTGCGCCAACTGCATTCGATTACTTGTTCTCACGACTGCATACTTTCAGTGTTCTGTCTGCGCATTACACCTTCATTCTGTGAGCAATCTGGGTGATGATAAGCTCTGAATTTTGCGTTGGAAAAGCCTTGTCTTGTATTTTCTATGCTTCGCCTACCTTTCACCAGCAAGTTCCCAAGGCCTCATCGTAGCTTTCGTCTTGGTTCTAGTAAGCTCATTTTTCACCGAGACGGGTTTCTCCAAGGAACAAGCGTTATCTCCATTAGCCGTCCCAGGACTCTCTGCTATTGATATACCTGCTCCCATTACAGTATCCACCACGTCTAGAGGTTTCTCTGCTGCTCGTATGCGAATAAGCAATTCGAGGGCATCTTGGTACGGTCGTGTCCGAAGGCACTCAAAAAGTGCTTTGAACCGTCTATTCTCAGTTTCAAGGTTCGCATATTTGCGCTTCACTGCCTCAGAGCGACTTTCTCCTCTGATCGTCGTGTATTGGCAACCAAGAGTATGTCGATCGCATTGTGAGCATGTTGGCCTGCTGCCGTCGCACTAAAGCTCAGAATATTAGCTTTGGAAAAATGTCTAACGAAACAGACACGTCAAGCATGCTTTTATTTTCTTACGACGACACTGCTCGCAAGCTGCGATAATAGCTACTCGTTTCCCTAGAGTACTGGAAGATGTCCTTGATGGGAGCGCAACAGACTTATGGCACACTTGCGCACCAGTCGCGGAAGATAACGGTGTTGTAGTCGGTGCCGGTAAGATACGAGCCAAGTGTTTGTCCATTTCATCCAGTATGGGTAGCTTGAAGCCTTTTAGCTAAGGTTAATATGCTCCGTAATACAGATATTTGCGAAACACCGAAAATTGCGGATGTTTTGTGATTTCGAGACACGAGCAACCCTTGTACGTCATTAAGAACGCCAGAAGGGTTGGGAGGAGCGCCTTACGGGCAGCTGAAGGACGAAATATGCATTGGCCTTGAATGTGAAAGCTTTAGTATAAGTTAAATGGCCCCAAAAACCGGACAATAACCCGGCAACGATGCATGGAATCATTCATTTCCTGAGTGAAAGCAGCCTTTGGCAGCATCCCCTAAGATCTTCGGATCACCTCCCCACGAAGCTCCGACACGCGTTCCCCAAGCTGCACCCCTCAGAAAATCCGATTCTTGGCAGAAAGTAGTGCAAACAGTAATTATGATTCCAGTGATCAGCCTCAATTGGGTTGTACGCCATGGGGTTGCTGCAGGCGGCCGAGCGCCTGCTCAAGTCCAGGTTTGCCTATTCCCCGGTGGAAAGCTTTAAGTCGCAATCTTATTGGATATAATAGACGTACGGAGAACTTGCCGACGTACGAAGGAAAACGTTCCGAATGATGTGGTCTGGTCCGTGCAGGTCCGTTGAGATATTCAGTCGTTAATGGCGGCAATTATGGCCGAGGGAAGAAAAAGATCGAAGTTGGACTCGAACTATGACGAAAGGAAGTTTTGATTGAGGTCTCGTTCTTTGCCGGCGGACAAGAGCGATTGGTGCTGATCGATGGGGTTACAATGTCGATCAACCACGTCTCCGCTTTTGATCCAACGGCCACAGAACGCGATAAGAAGGCACTGAAACAAGATGTAAAAAGCTTCTTTTTTCGGATGGGCCCTCAGAATATGAGTCAAATCACAACGCAGAATGTGCTTTCACGTCCTTAGAAACAATCGCGTGGCCAGAATCTTGAATTGGCTCAACAAACGCGTATATCGTGCATCATAGCGCGCTTACGGAACCTACACAAGTAGTTCGGATTAGGAACTTGCAGGTGCCAACATGCAATGTTTCTGAAAAATGATAAATAAGCACAAAAAAGAGTGTCAATGCCGAGAAGGAGGATATGAACAGGAATGTGCAGGCAGAGGTGCAATGATCAGATGCGCTCGATACTAAGGTTGCGCCAGAGGCTTCATGGAAGATGCAAAGGATATATATTCGTAGGGTATTGGAAGAGATTAGGTTCGAGTCACTCGCATCACTCGTCGTCCAGTATCGAACTCGCGAGCGGGCCGAAAAAGGGTACTTCATATCTGTCCAGCGTTGTGGCTTGAGCGAGCTTTAGCACATCTGTCCATTTTAGAAACGTAGGAAGTGACATACCATCCACATAAGCTCGGAAAGTTAACATGGCGATTAGGCATAGGTCGCCGCATAGTATCAGCCAAGAGAGTATGCTGCTCCAAGAGAAAATAATATGTACAACAAAGAGAAACGTAAAGAGGAGTGAAGACTGCCATGCATGGAACCTTAGTATTGTGTCAGCAACAAGCTTCTTGTTATGCCAAAGTTGAAAGGCCATACCGCACGTAATCGCTCTTATGTTCGAGCACAAGCAATAGTACTCCTCCAGCCGGAGGCAGCAACAAATATGCCAGACAAGCTTCCCAGTCCATCCTGATTCCCAGTCTCGTCTCAAAAAGATCCACATCTTCTCGAGCGACGCCGCCGCCACTGCCAAAGCCCGCCGTTCTATCGCCATAACCGTGCTCTACATCACCGTCGCCCCAACCTCCGCCAGGTGGAAAGAAACCGCCTACATGCCGTGGCGATATCGGTGTTTGCGCTGCTGCTGTTCCTATGTTCTTGGCTGATTCACGGCGCTGCTGTTGCTCTGGTCGAGGGCTCAAGGTTGGAGAACGGACATTGTTCTGCTGGGGGCTGAGCGCACGTTCGCGCTCCGGGGGAACGTCCTGGTACGGCGCAAAATCAGCCATAGTAAGCGTATGAGGATGGGTGAGGTGGTGAGATGTTACATGTGGAACTGCACAGTTGAAGAAGCGTGTACGTGGACGCGAAAGCAGAGCACATCAATGCGCGCTGTCATTGCGTATTAGCGCACGGGAGGATCCGACGCTAGAACAGTCTGTGATCGAGGAAACATCGGAGCGTTGAACGAGGTGAAAAAGGGAAGCTTACTCGACATTATGATAATAAATTGAGGACAGCTGCCCTTTGCGTTGATGAAATGTGCCTTAAAACTCCATATATTCAAGCTAATAATGATGGATGTACTAGCCCGCACAATTTGTCCATGAACGTACGCCATTAACATGCCACAACCCTGAGTGAATGCTTGTACAGGCAGATCAATCAAAAGCATTCCTAGTGTACAAGAGAACAAGCCCGACACAGACGCTGTTGTCAAGCCAGGCAGATCCAGATCAAAATCTTGTCCCACAATCGGAATCGTTAAGAATATCGTGCTTCCATCAAGTCATCTACCGGCATTCTTATACTCCGAGGATTGAGCAGCAATCCTAGCAGATTTGTAGATAATTACTAGGCACCAGGCCTCGCCCATTCGCTTCTTTGCCGCATACTTCAGCTTCCCACCACCCATCGTCCTGATGTCTGAGGACGGCAAGCACGTCGCCCTTTGCGAACCCTAGTTCTTCGGGTATTTGCGCTTGATACATGTACAATGCTCTCGCTACCATCGTTGTCAGTTCCAGTCCACGTTGAAAGCTGTTCATTGAACATACCGTAGTGCATAATGGGTATCCCATCCCTCGTAGTCATTCGACCAGGTTCAGCGACGCTTTTCGACCTCACACGTCCCACCTCATTGCCCCCACCGCCAACATACATGCTCTGTGGCCTGCCCCTCTGGGTTCCATATCCACCTTCGGATTGTGGAGATGGTGAAGCAAGCTGCACTGCCATTGGCCCACCACCAGCACGACTCTGGGGGCGGGAGGCCGGGCCACCGAAGTGCGGTTGAGGGGAAACTGCCCGCGCTGGTGGTGCACCACGTTGAGAACCATAGTTTGTATTTGCTCGAGGCCGTCCGGAATTACCAGGAGGTGTACTGCCGTACGGGTTTGGCGACACTGGTCTGGCATTGTTATGAAGGCCAGCAGATGATGGGGGTCTGTTGTACGCATTGTGCGACGGGGTGCGCCCCTGATTAGGTGATTGGTGCTGCTGGTTGTACACGGCAGGCTGTGGGCTTGCTGCACGTATTGGCTGAGGCGACGCCGCACGCATTATATGATTATTTTGATTCCTGCCCCAAGTTCCACCACCGCTGCCACGGTTAAAAATGTCATCCTTTTTTGCTGTGAATTGCTTGGTAGTTTCACGCATTGCTTTTGCTGTGTGTGCAGCGGGCGGTGCACCAAGACGGCTCACGGGTACATCATAGGCAGGCGGAGGTGTACCCCGTTGAGCTCCGACAATATTCGCGTTAGATAGGGGCGTTGGCATCCCTCCTGGCAAAGGTGAAGCACCTGGTGCAGGTGTCGCAAGACCTGCGTACCTGTCGGCTGTTTGCCGAACAGATGACGCTTTCGTGATACCTTTCAAATCCTCAAGGGCTTGCGCGATCGGATCCATCTCCAGGTTGTCATTGCCGCTCTTCTGTTGTTGAGAGGAATTTCCCATATCTGGACTTTCAACATCGAAGACATTATTGCCGACATTAAGTTGGAATTGTGCGTTGGGGTCAACAGGTTCAGCTTCAGGAGTTGGTTCTTGACCTCGAGTAAAAGTATTTCCACGTCCGCGATATCTGGCTGGGCTGTCGCGGTTGTCGGTGTCATAACTGACGTTTTTACCCGCTGGTGAGGCCGACCATGTGCTTCGAGGATTAGTTGGCGTAGCTGAAGCCGAGGAAGTCTCGGAATTTGCTCCTGCAAGTTCTCGGCCATGCCTACTCTTCGATCGCTTGAACGGGCTGTTAAAGAAGCCTCGTTTCCTTGGTGACTGATCTTCCCCAACAGGTGTCAGCTGAGGGATATCCATCTGTTTCACGGGCGATGCAGCACCGCTAGATGGCCCGTAACTTGTGAAAGAGCTTGGATTCGAATACTCGCTTGCAGAATCTCGGCTTGACGGACGAATAGGGCTTGAGGCTGCACTTCGCTCGCCTGGTGGGGGTATGTTTGGAGTAGAGCGACAGAATTGTGTCATGCCATTGCTGGGATACGGGTTGTGTGGAATCTGCGGTACGTCTTCCATATTTACTTGCTGATATGGATTTCCACGGACAGATTGTCTCCCACTATTGTAAACCTGATGGTGACCTGAGCGTACAGAACGATCAGAGCGATCAGATCGCCGGAACGGATCTTGCTCTGGTGGCGGAGGTTTAGCAGCCATCCCCATTTCTTGCGCGAGTGCTGTGTTTGGACTAGGATCGTTGTGGGATTCAAAAACTGATGGCTGTGGCGACGAGCTCCTAATGGCGGGATTGATGGGTCGTGGGAACTGCGCAACAGTATATGCTTCGTCCATCGAAGCTTCAGATGCTGCATCACTGGCATCACCTCTGCAAAAGTCAATGTATTTTGGTGGGTCTGGAATCTCCTGGCCAGTTCCTTTTTCTTTAATGAAGGTGATGATGTCCTTTTCGACATCGCAGTCTTCAAGAGACAAACGAATTTTCTCGCAAGACTTTTCCCTATGTTAGCTTGTCGTCTTTATGTTTAGGAGGCTAACATACCGCATCATCACTCACACACACTGTAGATGAAATGTTTGCGAACGTCCAGAGACTCGTCTTAAGGAAGTCGATACGCTCCTCCTCGAGGTCCTGGAACTTATCACATGCAGCCTTCCACTCCCTGTTCCACCTGCCAGTCGTTTCTTCGAGGACCTTAATGGCAGCCTCATACTCGCTACTGTTGCTGCTCATCTGGATCTGCGTCTTCTCAAGCTTCGCTTTATTCTTTCTTTCCTCGTGACCCATGACCATATGCCCTTGGGCAAGGTAACCCTTGACCTTGAGGCAATCGTTCTCGTATTTGTCACGGGCCTTATTCGCAGCAGCCGTCTGTTGGGCTTTGCACTTGTGAAGCTTCTCGATACCGACTTGTACAATCTTACGCCTTTCTTTCAAGGCACCTGCGAAGGCAGCTAAGGGCTCGTCCAGTTCTGATCGCATCTGTGCAGCGTTATTCTGGTGGGCTTTACCCATGGCTTCGATTTCTGCGCGGACAACATCGAGCGAGAGACGCAGAGTTCCAGACTCTGCGGAGCCGAGAGGTTTGCGAGCGAGGGATAATAGTCTTTTGGCGTAGTCCTCCTCTATAGCAGCGCGAGCTACTCCTTGTTAGCTGCCGTTTCCTCCTAAGTGAGTCCAAAACTCACCAGAGTAGAATGCCTTCAGCTCGTCGCAAGTCGTCTTCGCATTATGCATGCGCTCAAGTAGAGGAGCGACGCCAGCGTCATCCTTCCCCCAGAAGTTATTTGAGAAGGACAGTGGCACTGAAGGCGGCTCTGAAGAAGTCGCAGCAGGCATCCCGCGCGATTTTATGTCAGAGCCGCTTGACAACGAGTTGTGTAGTGTTGAGGTCTTGAAGTTGTTTTATTTCTCTTCTAACGACTGTCTGTATGAATATGAACAGCAAGTGACAATTATCTTGAGAGAATGTACAGCCGACAAGGGTGGGCTGGATGATGTTCGTAAGGAAACGCAGTGTTGACTTTCGTCGTCTCCATGACAACCACCCTTGATCAGCGCAAACACGTGACTAAACTCAACAAACATACACGCGATCTGCAGACGGCCCTTCTCGAATGACGTGTTATATGATTCAATTGCTTGGGTTTGATGCTTTCTTCTATGTCTGGCCTCGTTGTCGAGGGGCTGGAGGCAGGCATTTGCTGTTGCACATACGACCACGTCCCGCACATGAGTGTGATGATGGTTCACTTGACTTCTCTTGATACTTCATTCTTGCTTGCTTTCCAAACCACATTCTGTAGCAGATATAAGTTGTTAGGATGAAGAACGTCCATCGAGATTCGAATTGATGTGAAGGAAACTTCCCAACATCGCTGGCTTGCCTTTAACGCCGTCAATGTTCTCCATTAGTAATCAGCAGTCTCGACGCTTCTGCGCTGTCAGGGTTTCACATCTAGGGACGAAACGTAATTTGCCATTCTCAGTCCAGGAAGTACAAGCACATAATGAGGCACCTTCGATCAACTTAGCTGTCTTGTATTGTTTGTCGTTCTGGTCTTGGCATTTCGCTACTTCTATCCTAGAGTTCATGAAGACAGAAGATTGCGCGAACGGTATTAACAGCGTCCACACAGCACGTTCAACGCAAGGATCAATTTCTTCCTATCTCGAATTTGCCGTAGAATTTCGCACGTTGCAAATCGTCAATTTCAGAACCTGATATTGCTGGACCGAGCGTCTATATAGGCTGAAGTGTATCTCCTTTTGAACCTCGGTCTCTCGTCATTCACCTACGCTTTTCCACACGTCATGTCTACATTTCAGTACGAGAACATCCTCCTGCCGGATGAACCGGTTCTGCTCGTTAATCGAGACTGGCAAGTTCCGGGGCGAAAACCTCGGAAGTCCAAGAAACTCCACGAAGGCCAGTTCAGTGGCAAAGTCCACAGTTTTAAGAACAGGAGCCAAACACAAGGCTCAAGGCCAATTCAATTCGAGCCCCTGCCTTTGAAGACCAAAAATTCCTTGGTTTTGTGTAATATTTCGTCCGAGAAGACGTCAATTATTAACAAGCGATGCGCGAGAAACGATCAGGAGCGAGAAGATCCGCAGCATCATAAGCTAAAAACAAGTCTTCCATCGCACTCTTCATCTCATGTTGGTGGTTCTTCCCATGCAAAGCTTCCTGGCAGCACTGCTCACGCTATTTTGGCTGGTTCCCAGACTGGCACCTTTGGCAGGAGGCAATGTCCAGGAGCAGACGCATGTCTTCTCAGGCTTACGAACTACGACACTCCCAGCTTTATCCCGAAAGCCAGGTACTTCGACTTTTGTGAGTAATGCATTCTTCACTCCTGCCACTGAGGTATCTAATAACTTCAATTACAGATATTAACAACATCGGTGATCTCATGTATCCTCTTAAAGGAAAATACCTTCTTAATCCGCTACGAAGTGTTTGGCTCCCAATTGTTCTGGTAGATGAGTTATGGTTCTACAGCATACTCTATACCGTAGCCAGGCATCTTCACGCGAGCCCAGATCATGGAGATCACGAGAGGCAATGCTTGTATCTTGCTGATATGCTTTTTCAAAGACTGAGACGACGGCTTGAGATGAGCTCCGATGGTGATGGATTGACAGACGTTGACTGCGCCGCTGTTTCCTGCTTACTTTCAATCGAGCACAACTTCGGCACTAAAGAGGCTTTGGCTCACCATGCGAAGGGACTGGCAACATTCATATCTAAGAGAGGCGGTGTCAACCGAATCAGTGGTGTTTTGAGAACAAAAATTTGCAGAGCCGATGTCGAGGCTGCTATCGACTTTGAGACCGAGCCAGCAATTATATATCCCGACAAAACTGAAGTTACATCACTTCAAAGAGAACTCCCAGGTCCCGCGGCACACTATACGGAGCACCCTGCTTACTCCGCCGTGCTCAGATATCTCAGCGTTCCACTGGCTGGCATTGCTAGCGACTTGATGTCGCTAGTTTGGTATCTGGAAAGCGAAACAGCCAGTTCCAAGCTTCTCAACCCTTTCACTATCGATGAAAAAGTACTCAATCTTGAATACCGTCTTGTCCGCTACAAAGGCGATAATTTGACCCTTCTTGATAACGCTTTCCGCACGGCTTGCATGATATTCATCAAATGTATCATCACTCCAATTAGCAGAGTGAGGAGTACTTCGACCGCTCTAGTCAATTCTCTCCTGAAATACGTCTCAAGGACTTCAAGCTTACCTTACCCGTTGTCTCTATGGATACTTTATATGGGTCAAATCGCAATTTGTGAACTCGACTATGAGAAGATGGCGATTTCGTCGATGCTGACTAATGAGCTGAGATCCAAAGCTCAGGGTACGTCTCCAACTTGGAGTACGGTAAAATCACATCTTAAAAAAATTGCCTGGGTAGACTCTATTTTTGATCAAGTAGGAGAGAAGATATGGACAGAGTTCAATGGTGTGACAGCAATAAAAACAGCATCGTCGTAATAACCGCCCCCACCACCATCATCATCATCATCAACAACAATAACAGCAACAACTTCATCGTCATCATCATCATGAGCCTCTCAGGGAATTGACAAATTCTGGTTTGATTTCGACACAAGCACATGCTTTGGATACTTTCAAGTCTGCGAATGTCGATTCACCTACTCAAACAACGTTAAATTAGAATGAAGAAGCTGAGGACTATCACAGCAGCGAACTTGAAGGTTTGGCCTTTACTCTCGAAGTATCGAAAGACAAAGCATGCCCGCACAGGCCCCGTTGTTCCCTTGGAATGGATTTCCAAATATAGTTCGGACTTTGCAAATTAGAGCTGCAAATTTCGAGTGTCGAATGTTGAGAATTCAAATCACGACAGAGTGCTTCCACGGTGTGCGTGATTCATAAAATATTGCAGTCACGTTAGCCTCATAAGAGCATTCGAATCCAGCTTCACTCAGACATACATCAGGCATTGGGAATAGTTCGCCTGCAATCTTATCAGTCTCGAACAGGCTTTTCTCAGGCCATGGGAACCAATCGCTTTACAAGTATTTGAGTCTGGCTTGTAGTTACAAGAGGCATCAACTTTGTGTTTGAATGTAGTACGCCAAGTGCGTCAATATATTAGACGACCTAATGAACGTACGTCGGAATTGGCTTTTTCCAAAATGTAATAGAGTATACTGGAACTTTAGAGGGAGTATTCATTTATAGACCATGGACGCAGATGTGTACAGATTGATTCGAAAAGCAAACTGATAGAAGATGCTTCTGGATCAGCTTTGCTCATTCAACTGCACATTGGCACATGTGAACTATCAAATAGCTATTGGCGTGAATCGTTTTAGTTCTCGACAACTGAAAACTGAAATACCCAATCTGACATCTGTTCTTTGTCGATTATCCGCTGATGTCTAGAAATCTCCTGTGGTGGTATGAAGATGGACGACTAATTTTCACGGATTTGCTTATTATTTTGTCCGACATTGATGAACAGGAGAAAACGAATCACTTGAAAGAATTTGACCACTGTTCCCCGTGAATCGAGGATGTAACCTCAATGATGTTCATGTCGTACGTGGCTGCGCCGCAAGATGATGAAATGGACGGCTGTGTTCCCGTGCTCCTATTGGTTGTCCGGGCGTAAGCTTCGATCACATTGATGCTCTCCATCCCGTGCTTGTCCTCCAAACTGTGGAAAGGCATCTTCTCCTCGCCCTTTACCCAAGTGACCCCAGACGTCTTGCAGACATGGCGACGTCGCCTCCACCTGTTGAAGATCAGGGGCGTCTGCTCGAGGATGCGCTCACGGTGGTGCGGCAGCAAACTGTTCAGATGAAGCGCTGCCTGGAGAGTCCGGGGAAGCTCATGGACGCACTCAAATGCAGGTACGCATGCAATGATTCAATAACAGTATAACTGGAGTGCAGCTAAGTTCTGGGACAGCTCGACGTTGGTTTCGGAACTGCGAACCAGCAGCCTTGGGCCTAAGCAGTACTATGAGCTTTACATGGCTGTCTTCGATGCGCTGCGACATCTGGCTGTCTTTTTGCGCGAGAATCACCCTGTCACACACCTTGCCGACTTGTATGAGCTTGTGCAATACGCAGGAAACATCATTCCGCGCCTGTACCTCATGATTACCGTTGGGACAGTGTATATGTCGATAGAAGATGCACCCGTCAAGGAGATAATGAAGGACATGATGGAGATGAGTCGAGGTGTCCAGCATCCAATTCGCGGGCTGTTTTTGAGATACTATCTGACGGGTCAAGCAAGAGATCACCTACCGCAAGGTAGCGGGGATGGACCGGAAGGCAATCTTCAGGACAGCATCAACTTCATTTTGACCAATTTTGTCGAAATGAACAAGCTCTGGGTGCGTTGGCAACATCAGGGACAGACAAGGGACAGGGCTATTCGTACAAAGGAGCGGCAAGAGCTCCAGCTGCTCGTCGGTAGCAACCTCGTGCGCCTAAGTCAATTGGTGGATCTGGACAATTACAAGCAGATACTGCGACCGCTTTTGGAGCAGGTTGTCCAATGCAAGGATGTCCTTGCGCAAGAATATCTCCTTGATGTTGTCATTCAGGTCTTTCCTGACGAATTCCACCTCCACACGCTTGACCAATTCCTTTCGGCAACATCCAGACTACACCCGAATGTCAACGTCAAGTCTATCGTCATCGGACTAATGGATAGACTGTCCGCATATGCTGCCAGGGAAGCAGAGGCTCTTAGTCCGGAGCAAAAGCAGCAAATGGAAGAGAAAGCAATGCATGACCTTCTGCAAAGGCTGCAGATCGCAAAGGACAACTCGCCAGCGGAACACCAGAATGGTGAAAGCATAGATGTTGCATCCACGCCCTCGGAGACGACTACTGCGGTGGAATCGGACGTTGCTTCGCAGGCCGAGACGGTCGATGGAAGCAGACCAGGTCGTGGCATTCCCGAAGACATTAGACTGTTCGAAATCTTCAACGAGCAGGTGCAAAGTTTGGTAAAGCTGCAACGGTTGCCCTTGGCGGACGCAGTGGCACTCATGGTTTCACTGACAAATCTTGCTTTGTACGACACGACGCGGCATAATTCTAGCAATCGCTAACACTGCACAGGAACATTTATCCAGACCAATTGGACTACGTAGACTCTGTTCTCGCATTCGCAAGAGAAAAGGTCTCGCAGTATGTCAACAGCGCCGATCTCCATTCCCAAGCCGCACAATCAAGCATCCTTCAACTGCTTCTCGCGCCTGTTAAAGCGTATTTCTCGATATTCACAGCTCTCTCTCTGCCGAACTTCATTCCCCTTCTTCATGCACAGCCATATCCGACCCGAAGAGCAGTAGCTGGTGAAATCGCGAGAACGCTTCTTCAGAACCAGATCAAGATTGATTCTGAGGAAGGTCTGAAGTCAATATTAGAGATATTGCGTGTCATCATCAAGGAGGGTACCCAGCAACAGCCAAATTACTCAGGGGGCCCGCTGCAACGAAGAGGCGCCGAGACGGATGAGACGATCGAGGAACAAGGATGGTTAGCACGGATAGTACATCTGCTGCAAGGACCTAAGAACGACGTGCAATATAAGGTAAGTGGATGTGCTCAACAAGTTAAGCTTCATGCTGACAGATGCACAGCTGCTTCAGATCGCTCAGAAAGCCTTTGCAGAAGGTGGCGAGCGTATTAAATACACCTACCCTCCTCTCGTAACCGCCGCCCTCAAGTTAGCACGATCCTACAAAGCTCGCGAACACCTCGAGGACAACTGGTCGACCCAAACTCAGGCTCTCTACAAGTTCGTTCATTCACTCATTTCAGCGTTGTATAGTCGAGTGAACGGTTTCAATGACATGGCCCTGCGCCTGTACGTCTCTTGCGGTCAGGTGGCGGATCAGACGGGCCACGAGGAGATTGCGTACGAGTTCTTCGCGCAAGCTTTCACCGTCTACGAGGAGGCAATCAGTGACAGCAGGGCACAATTCCAAGCTGTTTGCGTTGTGGCCAGCGCGTTGCATCAAACTCGCAATTTCAGTCGGGAGAACTATGATACGTTGATCACGAAGTGTGCATTACACGGCAGCAAGCTGTTGAAAAAGCCGGATCAGTGCCGCGCGGTATATCTAGCCAGCCACCTCTGGTGGGCGACGCCGAATAGTGTCTTGGGTGAGGAGGACACGAAGGACTTGTACCGCGATGGGAAGCGCGTCTTGGAATGTCTGCAGCGGGCTCTGAGGGTTGCAGACGCGTGCATGGACACCGCGGTTTCCGTGGAGCTGTTTGTGGAGATTCTGAACAGATACGTATACTACTACGAGCAGGAGAACGAAGCAGTAAGTATACCTCCATTCAACACTTTTCACTGCAGCGCCACTCATGACTGCTTCCAGGTTACCACGAAATACCTCAACGGCCTGATCGAATTGATCCATTCGAACCTGAATTCGAACGAGGCTCAATCGTCGCTTGATAATCCGCGGAAACATTTCCAAAGGACGCTGGACTACATCAACGTTTGTAATTTCGAAGGTGTGGTTACAAACCCGCCCTTGGCTTGAGCTGACTGGCTTTGTTTTCCACGTTCAAAGAAGAGCCTTAATTCATTTGTATCGCCCAGATATTTTCCCAAGGACCTCTTGGACACGGCCAGCAGCATTTGCATGGCGTCATGTTGGTCCCTTGAAGTTGGCGGGTGATTTAGTTGTGACATAAGGTCGATGTGCGATAGTCACGTCGGATATGTGAGCATCAAAAATAAATTTCAAAACCAGAGCTCGAGAACTGTCCGGTGGACGGCACCCTGCATCGCTGGACGTGAGAATGTCAAGTTTGATCGGAAGAGAAAGCGTAGCCGATGCTTCCACGGGCGAGGACGGTCGAAACGGCCGTGTCAGCCAGCAGTCTGCAGTGCAGGCGTCGACTTTGAGCCTGCTGTGTTGGGCGGCGATGTTCGGCAACTTGCAGCGTACGCTGGCCTGGGTGTCGGTTTCTTTGGTGCGGCAATTGGACGGATTGGGACTAATCCAGCGTGAGCCTCGGAACAACAGCTACCTGTCGCGGCTAACATCACCCCTCTCTGAAAAAGTGCGAGTCCTGCGTTCCGTCTTGTACGAGTTTCTTCTTTGTTCGTAGCCTTTTCTTCGCAAGCAAATTCTCTGGCTCGCGTGCAGAATCTCAGAATCTCTTCTGTCCGTATATTTTTGGCTCTTGTTTTGCGTTCCACCATTTGATCACGCTCAATTGAGTCGAGATGGCCTCCAACCGTGCGGCGAATGTCGCGAAGCACCTCAACTATCCCCAGGGCCTGCTCGCGGGACAGGTCGCCATCATCACCGGCTCCGGCCAGGGAATTGGTGCTGAGATGGCGAGGCTGTTTGCGAACGAGGGCGCCAAGGTTATTGTGAGCGACGTCGACGGCGGTACGTTGTCCCTTGCGACTGTATCAGGTGGATACTAAAACATCAGGCAGAGAAGGCAAACAGCGTCGCAAAGGCGATCAACGAGTCCGGCGGCTCGGCAATTGCTGTCGCAGGCGACCTCTTGAACGACGCGCACATTCCCGAGCTGGTGAAGAAAGCGGCGGAGTTCGGCAACGGCAAGATCCACATCATCGTCAACAACGCCGGCTTCACCTGGGACGGAGTGATCCACAAGGTGCGATGCTCTCAGCTCAGAAATGCACAAGAGAAAATTCGAGACTGACTATCTGAACAGACCACCGACAAGCAGTGGGACACCATGCTCGCCCTCCACTGCTCGGCACCGTTCAAGCTCATCCGTGCCGCTGCCCCGTACTTCCGCGTCAAGGACGGCGAGCCGAGAAACATCATCAACATCTCATCCACCTCCGGTCTCCACGGAAATGCCGGGCAGGCGAACTACGCACTCGCCAAGGCTGGCGTGGTCGGTTTGACCAAGACGATCGCGAAGGAGTGGGGTCCTGCTTTTGGCGTGCGCGCCAACACGGTCGCCTTTGGCTACATCCAGACACGTTTGACGGCCGCCAAAGAGATCGGTGCCGTGCAGGTGCTTCCGGACGGAACCAAGGTTGCGCTCGGCATCCCAGGTGCTCAACAGGCTGCCAGGGCTGGTGCAAAGCAGACATATCCGGACATTCCTCTGGGACGGCCTGGTAATGCCACCGAGGCTGCTGCAGCCGTCCTCGCTGTTGCGTCGCCACTGTTCAGCTATGTGTCAGGTCAGACCATCAGCGTCACCGGCGGCAGGAATATCTAGACAGATGTGGGACGGTCATTGTGTACATATATATTATACAGCGAGACTCATAGCGTAGTTGCATGGGAATTAGACCACCTTGTCGTTCTAAGTGCTTGTCAAGAACCGGCCCTCCTTGTGCCCCCTTTGTTTTTTGGCATATCGAACTGCGGTGCTAAAGCTCGAAGTGGACGGAATCACCGCCAAGCCAAAATGCTGCTTCGTGTTGTGTCTGGAACGGCGTGTTCCGTAGCGTGAGCCAAATCTAGAACAGGGTCAGCTCGATCTTAGGGTGGGCTGCACGTTCGCTTATGAGGCGTCAAATCATCCAACGGAACAAGCATCCTTTGATCTTGACCTCTTTTCTCCTGGGGAAAGCCGATGACTTTAGTTTTCCATGGATTAAGCCGGCCACAGGTGCGCGTTTTGGCACTTCGGGATCTTCGAGCCTCCACAAGCGAGGCTGAGAAAAGAAACATGGCTGATCCGACGGTCCACTTTTCTCGATCGGTGCTGAACAGTTCGAGAGAAAGATGGCTCGTTATTATTTCTGTTCCCGCCCTCCTTGGCCTCCCAGCGCGCTTTGTTCCCGTTCATCCTTTGGACCGTCCGTATAGATAGTGCCGCCGCTGCTCCCAGGTCACGTCGAGACGTCTACATCCTGTAAGAGACAATGTCTTCGTCGGCCGAACGGGTGTTTCGAATAGTCGAACTGCTAGACTTGATCCTCGCGAACCTCGCCCTGCGTGACCTTCTTTCCGCCCAGCGAGTCAATTTTCATTGGCATCAGGTCATAAAAAACTCTTCGCGGCTGCAGGAGTCCAAGTATCTTCTTCCCGACAGATCGGCGAGCCGTTCTCCAGAACAGTTCGCGATCACAAATCCGCTGTACCTTCAGCGATTCGTGCAGCAAGCGGCCTTCTTTGCGCTCCAGCAGCTGAATCCTGCCGTTCAGTTCATCGGCATGGACCGGTTCGTTCGAACCAGAGAAAGGAGCTTCGCAGATCCGGAGGCCAACTGGAGGGACATGCTGCTGTTTCAACCGCCTGTGCGGCTCGCCCTGCTCAAGTCGATGAGCCCCCACTACGACGACGGTTACTTCTACATCGAGAATAGCAAAGGCTTAAGAATGGGAGACGTGGTCGACTTCTTCCGGAGGAAGGCGTTGGACGGCATGCACGCGGTCGAGTTACTCTCCGCGACTGCCACGCGCAAGGTGGTGTGGAGCGTGATGCCAGCAACTCTCCCGGAAGAGCAGGATGGCGAGCGAATTTGAGAGGAGTTCATGTAGTCAGCTTTGTTCTTTGGATACCCCAGATTTCTTCATGTGTTTCAGCTCTGGACGAGCCAGGCGCCCGATTCCTTGGTTAGTAAGGACAAGTTGGAGCAAAGTAACTGTAAGGCAACTAGACCGTAACAGCGACCTACGAGCCAGTCACTTCTGTTGTCGAACACGGGAAGCTCGATTTGCCGTCCACGAAGTGGAATTTGATTTTGAGGCCAGCGTCATTCTCCATCAAGCTCTGATGCATCCACCATAGCCAGCGACACACTCCCAGCAAGTGGCCGCTACTCTCCGGACTCTGACCCCGAGTGGCCGAGCCCGGCGTGCGAAGAACCGTCAGAGATACGAAAGGCGATGATCGACGCAACCGGCGCTCTGGTCTACAAACCCGAGTACGAACATGAGTCCATCCATTACAAAGAAAGCGCCATCAGCGGCGCTTACGCGGGTTGCAAACTTAACGTCCCCGACGAAGACCCTGTGGATGAGTACATCCGCGGTAAGATCAAGGCGATGCTCGATCTCGTCGAGCAGAGCGTCCAGAGTCGTGTCAGGTCGGTGAACGACGCGCTCACGATCGGCTTAGCCCAGGCCGTGAAGGTATTCTACGCAGCGACTGCACCGGTCACAGATGGCTACCGCAACGTCGTCGCTGCGCCGTCTCGGCTACACGCACGTTTGAACAAGGAAAAGCAGGCGATCAAGGCTGAGCTGGAGCTGATACGGCTGAGACTGGCGGAGGCGAGGCTATAAACGAAGGAAGCAGCACTGCATATGACGGAACATGGATTGATGCTCAGCGTCAAGTTATTTTGGGTGAGTAGTGATTTGTGCCGCAAAGCCTTTGGTAATGCCGAGCTGATCGCCGACACAGGGCCTGTCCTTCATACTCTGCGTGGCAATGCTGGCTTGGGCACTCGATGGCTGGATGATGGACTTGGGTTTCGATTCATTCCAAAATTGGCTGCAGAGCGACGCATTGTGAACGAGACGCACAGACGGAAGCGAGTGGTTTTTTGGAAGTCCATTTGAAACTTCAAATTAGATTTTTGGTTCGTCAAGCGAAACGCCGTCGCTAATGCAGAAGTTTTTCTTTTTAAATACGGAACGATCCTGGTACTCGGATCCAGACAGGCAATCAGAATCATGGCTAAGCTCCCAAAGTATCATACTTCGCCCTGTATTCACTAATTCGCTCCATCTCGTTCTCATTCAGGCCCCGTACGCATACCTCCATGCCATGAACCGTCTCCTCTTCGTCCTCGTGTCTTACCGTGGCCCTAGCCATAACTCCCATTGTAGTTTTGACCGGCCTAACGGGCCTGATACTCGTGCGCTGCACAATCGGATATATGTATGCCCCTTTCTTCAGTCTGGAGCCACTCTCCCCATCGTTCAGGACCAGAGCCACGCTGTCGTTCCAAGGGTCGTCCGGATTGCCAGCCTGCTGATACGTCTCGTACTGGCGAAGGCGCTTGTAGCGGAAAGCGCGGCGGCCGGTCTCTGGGTTCTCGTAATCGTACAGGTCTTCTGAATCATTCTTGGGATCTTCGGTGGAAAATTTGCGCTTGATGGCGGGAACGCTGTCCGTACTCTCCGGAATCAAGACGTCGTAGCGGAATTCTGGAAGTGGCTTTGGTCGCGAGGGATCTGTGCGTGCCAGCGCTACCTTCTCCTCGTACGCGGCTTCCTCGTCCGGAGTGTGCTGCAGAGGTCGAATAAGTGCAACATCAAGGCGCTGATCGTAATGCGAGGTGATGTCTGATGGGTTGTTCTGATACTTGATCAACACGTAGTTGCCGGTATCAGGGAAGGAATCAAGGTCAGGCAAAATAGGATAGCTGTCAAGCAGCTTGAGCGATGGCTTCGTCGGATGAACGGGTGCTTTCCATGCTTTCTTCTCCTCCTCTGTAGGTCTTGCGCCGCGGAGTTGGCTCTGCGAATCCTCGCCAGTATACACGTCCGCCGGATTCGCGATGTCAAATCCTTTCACTATGCCTCGCAATATTGAAATGGGATCGTCTTTGTTGGCCGGCTGCTTCGGTCGATTGCGATTTGCGTTCCGCCCAGCCATCAGGACATTGGTCTTTGGCGTCTTGTTGACCGTCGACGACGAGCTGATGTACTCCGTTCGCCGCAAAAAGCTGACGGCGTTCGTCGACGCAGCTGGCTTGCCGAGCGCATTCAAAGGCCGCAGTAATTCTCGGTCCTTTGGATGTAGGGGAGCGGGATGTTCATCGAACATGATCTTGCGCTCGTCGCCCTGGAACACACCCTCAATGCCTACTAGGTCTATTGGCATGCCCAGCTCGGCATCCGCCTCAATATTGAGCGGCTGTTCACGCGCAAGTCGCGACGCATAGTTGGGCGAGGTGTACAGACCACTGGACAGTCCGGTGTTGGGGATATCAAGGAACTTTGGATAGAACGGCGGCGGCGGCAGAGCATTGGAATACCTTATGCGAGCAAGATAGTCCTGATGGACATGCGGATGCCCTGGGCGCGACATGGCGCTTCGTGACCTTGTTGGTGTATGAGCGTGCGCCGAAGGACTCTGTTACTGGTGTTTTGGGCATCTCGAAATGGAGGGCTAAAGTCCGCATATTACGCTAAACTGAATTTGGGTCCAAGGCCCTCACTGGGCTTTATGTGATTGATACACGGTGCTCTGAGCGACTGACCCGCACGTTACGCAACCCGCTGTGTAATATGTAAATTAATCTATTTCAATTCAGACCATCGGCTCGATGCACTCATGTTATACGGGTAGCTCAATCACAATTCGAGCCTACACTGACTACTTCCACCATTAAAATAAGCCCCTTCCGTAGCATTCGTCAATCCGTGCATCCATCTCATCGATAAAATAATTTGCTGATCCCCAAACAACTCATCTCTATACGAATAGGAACTCCAAAGCATGCAAATGCGGCGTCCCAAATGCATTAGAAGATAAATCCCAAGCTTGCGAACCGGCATTTATTTGGAACGACATGTGACCATCTTGTCTACTGATTGCGAGCCTTCAACTAAGCAATTGCATACGTACGGCGGAACATGTCATCAATGTGGGTGAGATAGTATGTGCCAGGGAAGAGAGTGTCGGTAGCACCCGCTGGGGTGTAGTTCTTCTGCAAGTGAGCCTTCTCGCGCAAGTTGCACATCTGGATAGTGGTTAGCTTTTTCTCGTCTTTAGTCTGCCTATAAATATAGCATACCTCATCGTAGACCTCTGGTGGGACAACACGTCTCGACTCGAGCCTCTTGTGAATGTTCATCTTCTCCGCAAGCTCCTTTGTACTGCCCCTGACTTTAAGGGAGAATATAGAGCTGGCAATACCGCTGCCATAGCTGAAGATAGCGATGCGCTTGCCCTGAAGGTCATCGCTATCAACATTGGCGAGCAAGCTACAGAAGCTGGCGTACACACTAGCACAGTACATGTTACCGCACATAGTTGGAACCTCAATGGACGGTCCAACGCGCTGAGCAAATCGCTTCTTGGCCAGAGCCATAAAGGTCTTCTCGACGGTCTTGTCCGACAACGAAGACGCATAATCAAGCTCGCGGAGTTCAGCAGGAACATCCTTGAAAAGAGGGTTGGCGGGATCAGCGACAAAGTCGTTGTAGAGAAGGCGAGCATAGGACTTCGAGACTAGTTTGCAAGTGGGGGCGTGGAAGCACATGTAGTCGAATCGATCAAGGGGTGTCTCGAGCTCAGTATGTCCATTGGCGTGGCCGTTCGTCTGAGCGTTCTTAAGCTGCTGTTCGCGCGTATTGTACGCCTTGTAGCAGTTATCCACGGCCTCAGTGTAGCACTTGATAGAGAAGTGACCGTCGACAATAGGATACTCGCTGGTAAAATCGGGCTTATAGAAGTCGTAGGCATGGGTGATGTACGAGCCACGAAGACCAGGCTCGAACGCAATTGGAGCGTCTGGGCCAATAAGCATAGCTACGCAACCGGCACCGCCAGTTGGGCGAGCGTTGCCCTTCTTGTACAAAGCGATGTCACCAGCAACTACAATCGCGTCACGCCCATCCCAGCCGGAGGACTCAACCCAGTTAACGGCGTTGAACAAGGCATTCGTTCCGCCATAACACGCGTTGACGGTGTCTACACCCTCAACGTTGAAGTTGCCTGATTCAGCGAAGAGCTGCATAAGCACAGACTTCACAGACTTTGACTTGTCAAGCAAAGTCTCGGTGCCGACCTCGAGTCTGCCGATAGACTTTGGGTCGATATTGTACTTCGTTAGAAGTGAGGACAGTGTGGTAAGGGCAATGGAGTAGATATCTAGACATGTTGGTCAGGATGCAATTTGAATAGGCTATCGCCACAGGCACTTGCCTTCTCTGTCGTCGCAGAAGCTCATCCTCGTCTGGCCCAAGCCAATGGTGTATTTGCCTTCACTGACGCCGTCGAACTTCTCGAGTTCTTTCTGGTCAACGCACTAGTAGAAAGTTCAGTTACGATGCCCCCCTCGCGCAAAGGCTGCGTAGACTGCAGCAGAGATCCGCTTTGCGACTCACTTGGCTGGGAAAGTAGATTTCAATGGCCTTGATGCCGATGTTCTGAGGGCGGGTCGCCATGTTGTACCGAGATATCGTTGCGAGGGACTCTTGAACTTCGAAATTGCGAGACGGCGTTGAGGGCTCAAAGACGTGAGGAGGCCGGTGAGAGAGCAGAAGTCAAGGACTGAGGAGGATGGCGAGAAGTATGCGGCAGTTGTATCAAGGAATCTCCCTACTACACACTAGCGAAAACAGCGGTCCAAATTCGCGTACTAACGGTTGAGAATGATCTGCACAGACGATATCGGCTTCAGGGATAGTCTAGCACCAATTCGTGGCAATTGTGGCGCAGAGCTGCAAGACAAAATCGTACCACTTTTGTGGGCTGCCGTCTTCCGTTGCCAGGACAATGCTGACTGATTTGAGAAGAGGAGAAATTCGATGGCTGAACTGATCCTCTGCCTGAAGACGCCGTGATCTCAACAAATACCTTCCGCTTGTGGGGTTGAGGAGGAAAACGCTGGCCAGGGCGTTTGCAAGTGCTCGAGCGGTGTGAAAGCCAGGAACGCCAATCACGTTGAACGGCAACTTGGCCCAAAGCGGATGGTGTCTGCGGAGCTTGAAAAATCTGATAAGATCTTGCTTATCGCATCATTTTTTTTCTCCAGCTCCTACTCCTGCGATCTCGCACATGATCGTTCAAAGTCTACTCAGCACCCAGCGATGGACGTCATAGTCAAGAGGCTATCCGTCTTGGAGATGCGAGTGGTACGTAATTGCGTACTGTGGGCTCTCATGCTACGTTTCGCATGCCGTGCGCCATGTTATGCAATATTACTGGCCGCTGTCTCAACTGGACGGAGCACTCCACCATGATGGTAATGCAGACCAACACCAGTTTCGGCGGCAGGGGCGCTTCTTTGAACATATTTGTATCATTGGGATGCTGACAGGAGGTTGTGTTGACCATGTTATCGTCATCGACCCAGCCTCAACTATGAAAAGAGCACGGGCATCTCCATGTTTGTGCGGCCAGCAGCAGACGAACAACAACTTTCCCACCATTTCTTTCCCCTTTTCTTCGCATATCCGACCTCGCTTGGGTTCATAGACGGTTCTTTTCGTTATGGGATAGCACATTGCATCTCGTGTCTCAACAAAACAGTTCTGAGCACGGATTGCTGCCTAATTACTCTGTACAGAAAGCTTCTGATGTGCCTGTGGAGGCGCAGCAGTGTATCTGTTTCATGACATGGCTCAACGAACATGTGACAGTTTCAGCGAGACTGTGAAGAGTCTAGCCAGGCAAGCTTGCAAGCGCGTCATACATGGTCTTATCTATCAATAAATGGTTTGGAGAGGGGAGACCGAGCCAATCTCGCAAAAATATATCCAAAATCGTGGGCGGCCGAAGAGTCGCGTCGGCTAATAGCTGCACAAATGGTGGAATATATCGAACCTATTGTATCTCAAGTTATTTTTTGGAGAAGGTAACTCAAGGCTATGAATTCAAAATGCTCGCAGCATAGTGTCTTTAAAGAACCAAGCACCGTTGTCGAGATAGTCAAGGTTAACTTTCTTTGCAGACATTGGTGAAAAACCAATTGGACGATGGGGTCGTTGCTCTCTTTAAAAAATTTGAACACCGCAAGCCATTCTACTGCTAGGCCGAAGTCAAAGGAAATGACGTTAAAGTCCGGGGTTTAGATAAATATATAATGCATGAGAGAATTTCTCAGTTTAAAGAAACACATCCCTCTTCTTTCATTAAGTAATTTCTGGCAATCACAACAGTCTAAAAAAGTCGGCATCGGAATTCTAGGCAGCTGTCCATTTTCTCCCAGGCGTACTAATTTTCACTAAGCTAGAAGATGTTCCAGGACTCTGAGACTGCAGGAGCCTTCTAACTTTCTCTAAAGGCATTTATATTTTTCACACTAGACATTATTATGCACGATCGAACAGCGCTCTGTCGAGCTTAACGCCCTTTGCTCCGGTCATGAAAACTGGAAGACAAACCCAAGACTTCTTCTTCATGTCCCAGTTGCGAAATCCATGGCCCATCACGGCGGATTCCAAAACGCTGCTTGGTTCTGGAGAAGCTACCATCACTGAGCTTTCAACTGAAAGAGCTTAGGAGTTGTGTATGTCTAAATATTATTTGGAAAAGCCATCTTCAAACAGATCACTATTGGCCCTCAATTCAGCCTAGCTTCCACGTTAACTGTTTTTGTTTAATGGTACCATCTGCTAGACGCAGGTACTCGTCGGAGCGATTTGCGGGTTTGCATGAAGACGTGGCGTTTGAACAACAGAATCTGAACTTTATTATTTTGCGGGAGACGAAAGCTAAAAGCCTCACTAATTGCGTTGTCTGTTTTCTAACTCGGCTCTCCTCAGTTCCCGCAATTCGTACTACTTCGCTCTGCTAGTTGAATCGCAGCTAGGGATTCCTGTTAAGCGCCTCCATGCCTCTTGCGGTAGCAATTCTAGGATGGGACAACATGTTCGTAAACCGATGTCCCTACGCAACCAGAAACTTGGCTGCCATTGCTTGATGCTGTCGCCGGTCCTTCCACGCATGGTCTCAAAGAAAAGACTTTGAGGTGAAATGACAAGCTGGCCCGGGAAAATGGCTTATCCAACCCTCTTCTGAGCTTTTTGAATGTAAAGAAAGAGATATGGCAGCTTTCGTATTCGTAATTGACAGCTTAAGCCAGCCAAACCCTCAAATAGAGGACAAACCTGGTCAGTATCTGCAAACATCAGCTGACCTGTTGTCGCAGGATTTCCTCCTGAAGTGGAGGAGAGATGTGCATGCTTGGGATAGATGACACTGAACTCGTCCGCCGTGAAGTCGATTTTTGCAGCTCGGATAGCAGGTATTGTTGGATTCTTTCGTCGTTACAGCCACTATGACTGACCATGCTCTCTTTGAGTGACAGAATATCATCCCTCAGCTGAGAGACTTGAGCAATTAATCGAGCGCGCTTTATCTCTTCCTCTCTTGCTCGCTCTTGCAGAGTGGAGACATAGGACCGTTGCTTTTGGCGACAACGCTCTGCCGCCTTTCTGTTCTTCTCAAGCTTGTCGGCATGTCTTTGCTTCGGATCAAGATTCTTTCTGCGGCGTCTCTGGGCTCGTTCGGTCCTTGCTGGATCCTCTTTGGTGTATTCTTTGACTTCGAAATCAGTATTCGAAGACGAGAAGCTGCTACGCTCAGAATTGATTGATTTCCAAGTCCCCGAAAGCTGTAGAGCATCTTCGTGCGATTGATCGGAGGAGAGATCTCCAAGAAATTGTGGGGTTACACTTTCCGGGCTGCTGACAAACGCGTTATCGAAAGCGGTAGACGATGATTCTAAGCTCTGGAGATTCGACAGTGGATTCGTATTCATAGCCCAGGCGTCCGTAGCAGTTGCGCCAAAGAGAGTGGGAGAACAGCCTACAGCAGTGACTGGCCATGAGGAAGTAGACTGCGAATTATCAAATGGCATGATTCCTGTTCCATACATCTCTTCGACTGGTTTGAAATCAGGGCCTGGAAAGAAGTTTTGGGCCATGGTTTGCTGCATGCTGATAAAGTCGAGAGAGGCTGAGAATTACTGAGACCTTGAAGACTTGAGCTGCAAATTTATCCCAGCGGAAGCATTTTTTTTTAATATGCGATCGGCTGTAAGCCTCGTATAGCAGATTAGGGTCCATTTGAAGCTAGTTGACCATCTTTGTGCATTGTCAAGAACTTCATCGAAGGTTGTGGCTCCGATCAGCAAACTGCAGCCCGCACGGTAATCCCAATAGGTCATTCCAATCACGGAACGTCCAAGTTCCCACGCACAACTCTCGCGCGGCCACATGCATTCATGCTCTCCATTCGCTGGATCGTTCTCGACCCGTAGATTTGTTGCGAAGTCTGGCTGAGGACTGAGATCCCCTCTTGCGATTGGCTCGTTCCACGGAACGTTCTCCTTTTCACATCGGAGAGACTTGAGTCCCTTGGGTTTTTATCATCCTTTGGCACCGTCAAAGCATAAATACCATACCGAAATCAGGCCGTACCCAGCCTTTCGTTCCAGACGATGGCAGACCAGCCTTGCTATTTTGCCTATCCCGCACCTCGACTGCGAGATGGGCCCGGTTCTCTGTGCTCAGTGATTAGCCAGTAGCTGGCTCTACGGAGGATACCTCGCCCCGTGTCCCGCAACCTTTGGACCGCTGAAGAGATAACGAACTTCGTTCGTTTCGAAAAATCTCGCGCCGGTAGGGGACTGAGGATTTGTCAACGGGGTACGTTCGCAAATTTGGCTCGGAAACCATAGACTTTTTGGGTGGATCCGAAGCCTGAAAAACCGACCCAATGAGGGGGCGATTTGCGCCTTCAAAGAGAAAAACCAATGTACTTTCTCGTTATCCTACCTAAGGTCGAAGTATTCAAACAGTTCAGTTGACGTGAAAGTAAAGAGCGGCCACTTTTCTCTCATTCAACCATCCATCCATTTTTTTTTTCAAAATGGTTCATATAGAAGCGCCTCTAGAATGCTCAGAATCGTGGATGACGGCTACTAAATTGATCGACTGTTCATTCACATTGACTGGGGAAGCTATCAATTAGTTCCCAAGGGTTCAGTCTTGCATTCTCCTTAAATCCCAAAGATGGTAAAAGACGTTCGGACTTCAGCGAGAAGTGATAAATAGACCAACCAGCCATTCATTACAATGTGCTGGGCCGCAACCTTATCTTCTGGCCCGCGATGGCTTTATCTTCTTGCAAAAGAGATTGTTTTTTCGTCGAAAAAAAGCCGAGATCTAAATCTATTGATATGACACAATCAAATCTAGACATCGGGTGCCAGCCAAGCGGTCATGTATATATTCAATTTGTGCGGGGAAGGTAGCGAGACCGACGATCTTCTCCGGTAACTTTTGCAGTGCTCCGCACTTCTCCAATTGTCTCCGGAGCTTGCGCCCGAGATACGACTACATTTTTTTACTTTAGCCACACAAAGGTCCTGCTTTATAGCGCAGGAGGCGATGAAGTGGCACTACCAACTGCGAAGTCACGGATCAATTCCTGCAGCCAGTTTGCTTCCCCCCTGATCCTCGTCGCCGTGCTCATTCGACCTGGCATAAAGAGCTGTCCGCCATTGCAGCTGACGATCTGATCCACAATTTTCTTAGCTATTTGCTCAGGCTTGAGCAGCTTCCCTTGTGTCTTCTCCAAGTGGCTTTCATAACCCCCGATCAAAGGAGTCCGAACCCAACTTGGATGTACGACTGTGTTTAGCACTCCAAGCTTCTTATATATATGTTTTATCTCCATATTAAGGCCTGGCAAAGTTTCAATCACCAACGCAATACAGGACAGTGGACGGGTTACCACGTACCTTCGTGGAAAGCTTGAACTGCTGACTTTGTCGACGCGTAATCAACCATGCCTGGAGGAGCGACCCAAGAGGCCATACTTGCAATTCCGACGATATGCCCTTTGTTCTTTGATAACATAGCAGGCATGAATTCCTTGACCATCCCTTAGCAGCCAGTTAGCGAGGTTCCGTAGCGAATTTACCATTGGGTGATGTTCAAAATACGAGGGCATGTTCTAGGCGTGTGCCTCGTTCTTTTTGTTCTCAAATGCGTCTAACTTTTTGCACGAGTCCAGATTACTGGCTTTCAATTTCAGATATAGAGAATACTTACAAAAGTGACTTATGACATTAATGGTAAAGATCTTTGTCACGAAGTCGTCCGGAGTCTCGATTATGGAATGGGGTTTTCCAATACCAGCGTTGTTAATGAGGATTGAAGGATCGCCCCATTTAACACGTAGCTGGCTCGCGGCGGTTGCAATAGACGATCGATCCGTCACGTCGCAGTAAAAGTACTGCATATTTGGATCTTGCACCAGCAGATGAGCTTCAACATTTCTGATTACGCGGACGTTTACTCACGGTTTTCGATCTCTTTTGGTGGAGCCTGGATGTCAAAGATCGCGACTTTGAGGCGCTTTTGCAGCAACTGCTTTACAGTACTGAGGCCAATACCTGAACAGCCACCTGTGATCACCACCACCTCGCGCTCCCAATCCCAAGCTTTGGTATTGGTTGTCCATCGCCAATTATTGAGTGCCCAGCGATTGAGCCTCGCATTTAACTTTCTCGCTATGCCGAGAATGGTGAGCCACTTCAAGGCTACGATGAGCCGTTCGATGTTCGCTTCCGTCAATGCATTTGACAGCAGACCAAGCAGGGGGTCGCGTATGCTAGAGGGACCAAAGGCGAGCGCAAGGCTCAAAGGTGCTGTGAAACTCGGCGTGAAGGGTAGCAGGAGAACAGACCGGATGACTCCCATGATGACGATGAGGAATCGAAATATCCTGCAGGGGAATTTTCGATTTACAAGGGAGGTCAGACTTTCCAACGTGTAATGGCAGAAACGAAACAATATGGTCAGGAAAGAAGCCCCGCTCGCAGAGCCATACAGGAGGCTATTGAAGTTCCTGAGGACATCTGGCTGAAATTGAAGGCTTGGTTAAATAAATTCGATGCGTCGTCCTTTGCGACTCTCTCGCGAGCCCATGTCACATGTGACGCCGAACTTTGGCCTCTTGGAGACGATCCCAAGCGTGGATCATCGAGCCGGCTGTCGTGGGAACTGATTTGCTTGAGGGATGGTCTGTGCAACGGCCGAAAAGCACGAGTGCTTTTGATTCAGAACCGGGGTTTGCATGTGGACGAGATCTTGAAGTATTAAAATACATTGCAGTTGCAGCGTGGGGAAAGCGCCGTAGCTCAGGTTTCAAAAATTTCGTTTTGAAAGGGCCTTCTACACGGGTCATTGTTTTTCCGTGAAAGCTTTTCGTTTGTCAATGCCGGGCAATTATGTATTTACTATGACTTTGAAAGCGGACAGCGTCGAGGTAATTCTTTGCTGAACATCTTTCATAGACGAGATCAACTTCGGTGCAGGCTGTGTCCTTGATGGAAAAATGGTGGCGCTGATCAATCGATGAACTTCGCCGTCGTCTGAGACGACAGGACAAATTGTTTGCTGCCTCTCAACTTGCCCGGCTTTCTTTTCTGTGCTGCTGACGAGTTGACATAAAATGCAAGCAAGCATTCAGTCCACGCCGATCTGATCGACATGCTTAGCATCAGGCATCATATGGTGCATCAACTCAACGCTATAATGGTTTGCACAGCGGCAAGGGCAACGGTAGTGTCTCACAGTTCGGAAATTCTTGGCTGGACTCATGCTCTTCCAAGTCAACATTCCACTTCATTTACGTCTACACCATCATGTATCCAACTTCGCACAAGTGATCAAGAGATTTCTGGTCTCTCAATCGTCATCACCTTCGTCAGCAACCTCCTCAGCATCCGCTTCTTTAGTGGCAGCAGAAGCAGTAGCCTTTTTGGCAGTCACCCCGTTCTTCTCCACAACCTCATGGTCGCCATCCTCCTCGGCATCAGCATCTTCGTCCTCGTCGTTCTCGTCATCCTCGGCGTCTTCCTTGGAAGGCTCAGTCTTTTGCCGCTTCGCCTTGGGCTCTGGCTCTAGTCACGTGATGAATATACATCGAAATCGAACATTGCTGAAACGAGTGAATGTACTTACCTTCAGCTTCCTCATCACCTTCTTCTTCTTCATCTTCCTCGTCCTCTCCATCCTCTTCCTCTTCCTCGTCATCATAGTCGCCTTCGCTGTCACCTTCCTCAAATCTGCAGGTCCATGTCAGCACCAGTCATGGTCGCAATCATGCTGAACAAAAGTAAATTCTTCGATTGCAAAGAGTAGGGTGACTTTTGTTCTTTCGGGCGTGTGCAGGCACGGCTAAATGTAACGACACCGTGAAATGCTGAAAGTTGGCCTCTCCTGAGATGGCAATCTCTCGTCGGTTTCGCCAAGACAAGGGCAAACATGGTCAAAAGCGCTCAACGAGGACACGAGGCTTTGTTCTAATCGTGTCGCATCAGGTAGAAGACAGTCTCTACTGTAACGCGACCGCAATTGACCAAGAAAGATGTGAACGCGACAACTTGAGGGCAAAGGACAAGGTGACGTAACGTACTCCTCTTCGCTCTCGTCCTCATCCGGGAGGCTCACGAGCTCCTCCTCCTCCTCGGCATCCTGCTTTCTCTTTCGGGTGGACATATTTTATCTTGGAGTGACGGATGGAATGAATGGGGGTGTGAGTGCAAAGGGGAAGAGGCGAGGGAACGAGCTGGGAGACAAGGCCAGGTGGGAGTCGAGTCTCGACGACACAGGGCAACTTCGGAGCTCAAGAAAAGCTGGGGGCGGGCACAGCAGTTACTAAGTCAGAGAGCAGCAGCGCCCCAGGCCAGCCCGAGCGGAGCTTTGGCCTCCATCATGGGCAGACCCGCTTCTGCCGTCGCTGTTTTTGGGTGCAAGCCAGCCTTGTCGGACGAGGTTTAGCGGTGCGCCGCACTGTGACTGACAAGCAGAGCAGACCGAGCTACCTGTCGACTCTGTCCTGTTTGATTGGCGGGCTGAACAACATGGGACAACTCGAAAAGGCTGAGGCACAGAAAGCGACACATCGGTGGGAGCGGACGGAGGGGGCGCGACAAAGCCCACTCTGTTCTCAGTGGGGAAGCAAAAAGGTACCCGAGATTCCCATGCGATAGCTGACCATGGAAACTTCTGGGTCTGACCTCTGATGCGTGACTCCCTCCTTGCCTGACCGCGTTACCACGATGCGCCCCACGGGCGTTGTGTCCAAATCCAAGGCTTGCCGGAAAGCTCTTTTGGAGCCGCTGTTGATTACGTTCCGCCTTGCGTCCAAGCAGTCTCTACGCTGCATCGGCGCATCGCAAGGGAGAGGCATTGTGTCAATTCACGTGATCGAACCGTGCTTTATGCCTTGTAGCCCCACATCGTTGTGCCTTATAGCCTTGTTGCCCCAGGTGTCAATACGACCTTGCTGCATTCATGCAAGAGCAACGTCATGGGGTTAGTGCTCGAATCCTTGTAGCATCAACACTCGGTTGCTGGTGAACCAAGGAGTCTATGATAGTTGGACCTTTGAGCGCCTACGATTCTTGACAGCTCAACATCGCCCCTAGCACGATCAAGCGAAACGAACATCTGTCCATTCACAATGTCTCAGGAAGGAGCTGCCGTTCCAGCCTCTGCGAAAAGCAGCTGGTCTTCGTTCTTGAAGGTAGTTTGTTGTTGCGAGCAAGACGTTGCGCGCAACCGCTGAAATCTTCGAACAGAGCATAACGTCCTTTTCGGGAGACATATCCACCCTCACCGCACCTCCCTTCATTCTTAGCGGCACGTCCCTTACCGAATATTCTAGCTACTGGGCGGAGCATCCGAGCATATTTGTGGCGCCGGCCAAAGAGAAAGATCCGTCAAAGAGAGCCCTTCTTGTGCTGAAGTGGTTCCTGACCACGCTGAAGCAGCAGTACAGCAGTCGTAGTGAAAGCTTGGGCACCGAGAAGAAGCCATTGAACCCCTTTCTTGGCGAATTGTTCCTGGGCAAATGGGTTGACGACGCCGGCACAACGAAGCTTGTCAGCGAGCAAGTCAGGTATGAGTCTGGCATGGCACACGCGCGACTAAGGTTTGACTCTGATTTAGCCATCATCCGCCGGTCACAGCGTATTGTATCTGGAACGACGAGCATGGTGTCAGATTACAGGGCTACAATGGGCAGAAAGCTTCCATCTCGAAGACCCTGACCATCACAATCAAGCAGGTCGGGTATGCAATTCTGCATCTGAACGAATATGACGAAGACTATCTCATTACGCTTCCCAATCTACATATCGAAGGAGTGTACACCGGAGCACCGTTTGTTGAGCTAGATTCTTCGTCGTACATCACTTCGTCTTCTGGCTTCACGGCCAAGATCGACTACAGTGGCCGCGGTTGGATATCCGGCAAAAAGAACACCTTTTCTGCAACGCTTTACAGCACCGAAAAGCCCAAGGACGTGCATTATTATGTTGACGGACAATGGAACGAAGCATTCAAGATCAAAGATTCCAAGAAGCAGGAAATTGATGCGTACGACGCCAGCCAGTGCCCAACAACAAAGCTCATGATAGCACCCATTGAAGAGCAGCATCCCCTAGAGTCAAGACGTGCCTGGCAGCACGTTGCTGCAGCTATCAACAAGGGCGACATGGAGGTCACGCAAGCCGAAAAAAGCAAGATTGAAAATGAACAACGTGACTTAAGGAAGAAAGAGAAGGAAGAAGGCGTGGAATGGGAGAGAAAGTTCTTCACACGTCGAGAGAGCGACGAAATCTTCGACAAGCTGTCTCAGAACATCGGCTATGTCGCCGATCCTAAGCAGACAAACGGCGTCTGGGTTTGGGACCAAGCGAAGGCTGAAAAGGCGATCCCGCCAATTCCACAATAGTGCTTTGCCTTCGCACCTGAAGATACACACAAGCTGATTTATAGACTGCTTTGGTTTGAGCATTACATTGCGCCTGCGCCCACAAGGCTTTTGATTCAAGTGGCAAGGCAGCGTTGCTCATTGAGAACTTAGGAGTCCCATGAAACTATAACCGAGGTCCACGTCAATTTCACTGCATGCGGTTGTGCTTGCATGCAAGATTGGTCAAAACGAAACAATACAAGTAGTACGCAAGATTACATGTGATTCTTGCAACGCATATTCTTCCGCCTTTCTATTGGTGCAGTCGTTTGTGTTGTTGCATTTTAGAGGACGGGTGAAGCGCTGAGTCTGGGGTTGACGCTCCCCTTTCGTCTGGCATGGAGATCAAGCTCTTGCAAAGTGTTTTGGTATTGTTTTCGCCAGTTACCATTGAATGAAACACAGACCCGACTTGATATCAAGCTTTAACAGAGTAAGTTGCATGTCGTAGCCGATACGCAATTGATCGATCGTGGCTTGTGCAGCAACGAATCTAGAATAAATAAGAGACGAACAACTCTGTATCGCAACCCGAATCAATGACAAATCCAGCTAAATGCAAGCATGCACTTACTGTAGTAATTCTTGATAGAAGATTCGAAAAGCTTCCTAACGGCATTAGGTATGTGCCGTACAGGGCATCGTAAACCCACAGCGAGTTTGGGTAGAGACGCCGGTTCATAAGTTAACAAAGAAAAAGGTCAAAATTATGACCCGGCCGCACAGCAAAGAAACAGAGTAAAAGCCACGCTTGTGGAATCCCAAGCGCAAGAGAGATTTGTTCAAGCGTCATAGCGCGTTGGCTAAGTTCCTCCAACCAAACTTTGCCAATCCGCAAAGATGTCCAGAAACCCGGAGTTTTCCCACCCATCAGTAAAGACAAAATTATCGAGAGTGCCATTAAGGGCTGGTATTTCGAGCTGGCTGGCGGGAAGAGCTTGACTGACAGTCGGTGTGGGGAAGATGTTGCTTCTAGCCTGCTCTTCTGCTTTTGCGCCGTACTTCGCCGTCCAGATGGTTTCGTACATGATGTTCGTTGCCATTCTAGACTTGACACTGAACTTCAATCGCTTCTTCTTGCCACCGTTCGCAGCTTCTGTCGTCGAGTTGCCAGAAATGGTAACCGTCGATAAGGCACGGCCGCGGTCGGCATCTTCAAGTTTGTGCAACAGCCAATCAATGTGGCCGGAGACACGAGAGAAATGGTCCTTCTCATACATGCTCCACGATCGCATGACAACAAGGCCATCGCGAATGGCATCTATAAGCTGCTTTCGTTGACTGGAACCCAGTGGTTCGATGTTGGCCAACGGAATCGCAAATAGCAAACCATACATTACGGAGTACTTGACGAACACTGGCCAGCAATTGTTGGATCCTGTAGCCGCTGCTGCCGCTCGGCAGGACTGTAAAGCTACGTCATATGCCTTCGCATATAACAGATCGATTTCCACATCTACCTGCGACACATCGCCTCGCATCGATGATGCATCTAAGGCAAAGGAATACAAATGCTGGAGATGAGACAAATACAGCAGTTGAGTTTCTGTTCCCCATTTGTGTTTGAAACGCTCACGTAATTGTGCAGCCTCGGCTTCGAACGCACGAACTGCTGTTAGGCAATTGGGCATTATGCCACTTTGCGAGTAGTCATCATCGCCCAATGCCGTCTGAGCTTTGTTTGCCAGGTAAGCAAGATGAAGTTGACTGATCAGCGGCTCCGGAACGACAGAGAGAGTCCCTTGTGCTAGCTCCGATAGGACTGCATGGCCGGGTTTGATCGTAGCTGGTGTTCCCAATTTTGCTGTGACACTGCGCACTAGTCAACGCCCAAAGAGCTGAATTTCGTGGACTAATCAACTTACAATTGATTCACAATACAGCAACCATACCATACCTTCTTCCTCGCCAATTCTCCTGGGTCAGCTTGGGGTAAATTATTCTCCGTAAAGTCGGCACGAAATCCTGGCCTATGGAGTCCAAGCTGATAGGCGATTTGCGATGCTAGAGCTATGTACATAGGAGAGGGATCATTGATGGTCTGCTGGAACGGGAAGGGCCAAACACAAAGAAGTAGTAACGCCTGCACGGTCTCAAAGCTGCGACTTTGGGATGCATAGAGATCCCCCGCTAAACGTCTTACGGGGTCCACAAGACTTGAGTAGAGAGCCGAGTGCTGAGACGACTCCCGTGATGCAATAGCTAGAACTGTCCATAGGAGCAGTTTGTTGAAGTTATATCTGGAGAGAAACGTCGGCTGATCTGGCAATATGGGGAAATGGGAATGAAGACGAGCATAGAATCTGCAGGCCATAAATACCAGAACTGTCTTTCGTGATGATGTGAAGGACTTACTCTTCAATCAGACTTAGAACAACATTGGGTAGAAGTTCAACGCCATGAACAAGCTCCGTAGATATGTCTTGCTGAGAATGAACAGCTGCATCGAGATTATCTGGCGTTCCGTTGGCAATACCAGCGTTATGCTCAACAGGCGCAGGATCTAGCACAGAGGGTGACGTAGTGTGTGTGGAAGGAGAAACTTGCTTCTGACGAAGCTCTTCACGAACTTGCTGCAATTCCTTCTCAAGCGAATCTAAGCGTCTAATGAAATAAGTCGCGTTTCGCATAGCGCCCATGACGATCACTTACTGTTTGTTAGCTGTCCGTCTGAAAGACGGATCTATAGTGCATCGACGACCGCTTTTTGAATTAGCGCATCGAGAGCACGGCAAAGGAAATCGCTCGGCTGCGTCGCATTTGAACTTGAAAGAAACTCAGCCCATGTCCGCGCATATAGACGTTTGCACCTCTACCTTTAGTTGGCGGCAATATGTGCATGCGGAACCTTTCTTGTTCCTGCGCTTAACGACTCGGTCAGGTGGCGAGGACGGCGCTTCCATGCTTAAACGACAAACAACAGACTTCCGAATTACATCTGTCCATCTCAGCTTCGTCCCGAAGCGCACCGTTATGTTCGTATAAGATGGAATGGTGTCGGCTGATTTTGTAGGGTGGAGTTTCAAGAAGAGATGCTCGGCCTGAGTTACCGAAGTGCCGCCGACACCGCTAGAATGGAAACGGAGAAGGTCACGCTGGTGTCTGGTCTCCCCGCCACCATATTTTCTGGGCATATGGCAACATCATCTGAGCAGGATAATTCCCTTGACTTTATACCTTGAGGTACGAGTCTTGCTAGCCCTCGATCGTTTAACTGATGAAAGAGATATCGGACCATTTTCGGCCCCTACGCACGGTAGAGCAGATGCAAGCCTTCTTTCAGGTCGCTCCGTCGGAGCTGCTACGAAGAACATCATCATTGTAGCCATTGCAAATAGAATGCTTCTGCAAGATGTGTACTTGATCTAAAGACCATATGACCATTTGCTCTGTTGAAAAGAACAATAAAAATCCATTTTGCAAACGCGTCAGGCCATGTTCTCAGAACATCCTGCACATCAGTCCCTGATAACCGAGGCTGGGAGCGTCAACATAGCCAGTTCTGTTTGCCAGAAGTTCAAGCGGGAGATCTACGGAAAATACGGCTTCGTGATTTTGGCTATATGGACAAGGAAAACCCATAAATAAGCTTTATAGGAGCTGTGATCATATCATTGCTTCTGTGCAAGTCTAAAGAATTCAGGTGTTTCGAGCTGGCAGCTGCTCATGCGCTAAGCTTATTTAAGCATTAGTGCAGGCACGTCTCCTATGACGACGGCGAGAGGTCAACATCGTCATCCGCCAGAGACTCCAGCGTTCAATGCTTCTAGGCTGGAATGCCATGAGAGTGTCGATATGTCTGACGTGTCAAATGATGAGTTGGAGCCCGGTGTGCTGATATTAGCGAAGGTATGCCGCACTGCCCTAGTCCATTTTTTGAATCAAGGCTTACACTTGGATAGGATGCGCTGATCAAGCGATTGCAGAAACCTCTCAGTGTTGTTACCTCAAAAACCGCGCAGAAGGCATATCTTAGCACTATTCTCGCGATTTTAACTGCATCAATCCTTTTGTTCACGGCTGCAATTGCCTACGTCGCCTTCTATTTCTCCTACGTGCCAGATCGAGGAATATCCAGGCCAATATACTTGCAATTTGGGCCTAGTCATCCACCTTATGGGTACGCTTCGATCCAAGGAGCTTTAATTTCTCAACAACCATACGACGTGAAGGTTATACTGCATATGCCACGTACTCCAAACAACAAAGCAGCAGGAAACTTTATGATCGATCTCCAGCTTATTGCACCTGGGAGCACATCAGACGGTGTGGTGGATGATAAGAATAAAGTTTTGGCCAAGTCAAGCAGACCTGCTATTTTGAACTACAAATCTGCAACCATGGAGCTTGTTCAACAAGGCTTCTCATTGCCGTGGCATTTGATAGGCTGGCGCGAGGAGGCTGAAGTGCTCAAAGTACCGATGATTGAGAGTGTAGAGTTCCCAAAGGGGTGGAGGAACATACCAGACCACGTGCGCCTGGAGCTGCGAAGCGATGAGAAGCTACAAGTCTATAGCGCAAAGATTGAAATCACAGCTCGTCTCCGTGGTCTCCGGTGAGTTCATATTCTGCTTCATATGACCGTTCCAGCTAAGTTGAAATATAGCTACCTCATGTACAGCTTTCGTATCACGTCGTTCATCATCCTCACGGGTATGTTCTGGACAGTCGAACTCATCGTCACAACTATTGTATGGCTGTCACTTTCCACATACCTTACCTCAATGTCAAGTAGAGGCGCGGAGAGCAAAAAGGAGGACACGTGGTCGACCAAACATGAACCACAAATCAAGGACGAACCAGAGATTTCTGATACTCCTCACACATTTCCTACATTGACTGGGCAGCCTCCTTTGCATTATGCGTCTCCACAAGTCAAACAAGAAAAAGAAGAAGAGGAAGAAGAGAATTTACCAGCGGAGCATCAGACACATGCTGGAGAACAGGCTGATGATGAGGATGACGATGGTGGCCGCGCTCAAGAAATCAGAGGGTACACTGATTCTGGGATTGGAACGAGCATGGAGAGCACTGGACCAAAGAGCACCATTCGAAGGAGGAGGTCACATATGGATGGTGAATGAGATTAGTCGTAATGATGCTGTTGTCTCTTGACAGTTTCTACGTTGTGATACCCCAAGAAAATGCCAGTTATTGCCGCTTGCATTGCTACAAGCCTAAATCTGGCTCTGCCTATTGCACTCAAAGCCTATGTGGCTTGTGATGTTCACATTTATTCCACAATCCACGTGGCACATCGTTGCCGTCATTTATATAGAACTCCGTCGACTCATGCGCAGGCAAAATTTTTTTTATGCAAAGTGCGGTGATCGTGCATAAATTCCCCGCGAAAGTGCCTGTGCAGTCAGCGCCGACGCCGGATGCCGTCACGCCTAGTCGTCGGCAAAAAACTGTACCATTGGTCCAGTCATACATCAGACTTTGAGAATCTGCAAATTTAAAGCAGATCCTGGGCATTTCTTCTCTCACACTTCCAACCTTCACCGTATACACCGTTCAGCACACAAGCTACGACTTGTTTCTGCCGCAGACAACATTCGCGGGGCAAATTGATCGTTCACGCTTTCGAAGTATAGACGTTTTTGAGGCTCGCATCCAAGACGCCACATTCCTACGCCACTATCTACCGTCTTATAGAGAGTTCAATCAAACATCTAGCCGAAGATAGCAGCCATAGAAACCATGTGTGGTGACCGTTCGAACATACCAATCGCCAACGGCGATTCGCAAGTCAATGTATGTGCGAAGGAACGGACTCATGAAACAGAAACGCAGACTGATACCGCGACTAGCGCAACGGCTACTCGAGGGCTGTGAATCCGAATGTAAGCCATACCTACATAAACTTAGCTACAGGCGTAATGACAACTCTGTGCCTCAGAATCCCTATGCGCCTCCTCAAGACTTTCTCAGCAATGTCGACAGATTCAAGATTATCGAATCGACACTACGAGAGGGCGAACAATTTGCCAACGCATACTTTGATACCGAGACCAAGTGCGTAAGAAAATGCTTTAGGATATCGCGTATTTCACTGCCTTGTTGTAAACAACATGTACCGGCGAAGTGAAATTTTCTTGTCACCGAGCATAGATTTCAACATGCCTCCGAACTTTGCTAATTCCCTTCCAGGATTAAGATCGCCAAAGCACTAGACGCCTTCGGTGTTGATTACATAGTGAGTCTTTTTTCATTTCCCCTGCGTGCCTCTTGTATTGCGACCTGGGGACGAATCCGGGAGCCGACTAACATGTAAAAGGAACTCACGTCGCCAGCGGCATCCGAGCAATCGCGCGCCGATTGTGAAGCAATATGCAAGCTCGGTCTCAAGGCCAAGATTCTGACCCACGTCCGATGCCACATGGACGACGCAAAGCTTGCCGTGGAGACCGGTGTGGACGGTCTTGATATTGTCATTGGCACGTCCAGTTTTCTAAGAGAACATTCTCACGGCAAGGATATGACCTACATCAAGCAGAGCGCAATTGAGGTTATCAATTTCGTTAAGAGCAAGGGCCTGGAGGTCCGTTTTTCGAGCGAGGACAGCTTCAGATCCGATTTGGTCGACTTGCTCTCCCTTTATCAGGCCGTTGACAAGGTCGGCGTGAATCGAGTGGGTATTGCGGATACTGTCGGGTGGTGAGCATCAATGACGTCCACTTAAACCGCTATAGGCGCTAATGTGAATCGCAGAGTACTACTTGAGGACCAAACTCAAAATTTCTGAGCTATCTGGCGCTAAGAAGCAATAGCTGTGCATCACCAAGACAAGTTTATGATCTTGTGCGAACATTGAGAGGTGTTGTTTCTTGCGACATCGAAACCCATTTTCACAATGATACCGGCTGTGCTATCGCAAGTATGATTTAATCATTTCGTTGTTCTTGGATCCCGCTAACGCAGTATCAAGACGCCTTCTGTGCCCTTGAAGCCGGTGCAACACATATTGACACATCTGTGCTTGGTATCGGCGAACGTAACGGCATTACGACTTTAGGTGGCTTGATGTACGTAGCACGAAATGACTTCATCTGTTTTTCACCAGCAATGTTCGAATTGCTTCGCCTTCAGATATTGACTGGTTGATGTAGGGCAAGAATGATTGTCGCAGCTCCGGATTATGTCAAGTCGAAGTATAACCTCAAGATGCTCAAGGAGATTGAAGGTAAGTTTTGACTCATTCAGCTATGAATCAAAGAGTGGGAAACTAACAACGAAGTAGACCTAGTTGCAGAGTCAGTATTTTCGAGTCGATGAAGATGAAACTCATTAACAACATGATAGAGCCGTGGAGATTAACACACCTTTCAACAATCCTATCAGTAAGACTATCTTTTCCCTGCATGATTTTAGCTGAAACTGACGTACTGGTTTAGCTGGCTTTTGCGCATTCACGCACAAGGTAAGGAGTACGATGCACAATCCTTAGATATGACTAATAGATCAAAAAGGCTGGCATTCACGCCAAGGCCATTCTAAACAACCCGTCCACGTACGAAATTCTGAATCCGAATGATTTCGGCCTGACGAGATACGTGCACTTTGCGTCACGTCTCACCGGCTGGAACGCGGTCAAGACGCGAGTTGGACAGCTTGGTCTCAATCTCACAGATGATCAATGCAAGGAGGTCACCGCCAAGATCAAGGCTCTTGCGGACGTACGGCCAATTGCAATCGATGATGCGGACTCAATCATCAGAAGTTTCCACTTCGACCTGCACGGCGATAACGTCAAGGTCACACCTACCAACGGTGCCGTTGAGCATGGCGTAGTAAATGGAGAGACCGCGCAAGCGAACGGTCATAATGCGCCGGTTGAGGCGGCGTAGAATAATATTTGTACACTCAAAAGCGTTTCTATTCAGCATTGTAGCATTTTGCTCGAGGCGAGGATGATAATAAATCAAGTCCCTTGAGTCTTCGAACAAAGTATTATGGGGCTTTTGCCTTGGGAAAATCGATAGCATATCCATGAACATCGGCTAAGCTTTGCCCTCTTTTTCTATTATTTCGCCTGTACGAATGTGAATTTGAACGAAAAGGGGACAAAAAATGCATGTACAGGCTTCAATAGGCGGAGCTTCACCACCCGATTCTGAACCTTGAATAAGGAAAGCCTGTGCATTCCTTTGATCCTCCTCGTCGTTCAGGTGCGTATTAGTGTAAAGTGCGTGCTTTGTTAGGCTGTGCATAAAGGCAGGAATTGAGATCCTTGAGAAAGGAGTCAGACGTGACACAAAGTCAGTGTAAGGATCACTATCAAGTAATAAGAATGCTACTCAAACTCGGGTCGGACTCCGATTAGCGCATTCCGATTGCGGCAATAGACAATGCACCGTTGATAGCCGCTGATATGGAAAATTTCGGAATGTGATAATCCGAAGCGTGTCCAACAAAAACTTCGAAGTCTCTTCGAGCGAAACAAAGAGCGGGCATAGCACAGCTCCAATAGCCCCAGAAATCGCACCTGTATCTTGCATTGAGCTCTGGACGGCGTAGTCACGCGTTTGGCCTCTTCTCTGCGTCAAGTTTTGCACACTCAATGACGTCTACTTGAGGCGAAACTTTGTGACGGCAGCGACAACAGTGCTTCGCACGCAGCTCAATTCTAACCACAAAGCCAGGTCAATCCACCCAGATGCAGTCTTACTTACGTTTTCTTTCGCCTCGTGGCGTGAGGCCTCTAGGATTGCGCGCTGCTCGCCCAAGGCAGTTTCCGCTCGTGCGGCGGTGTCTTGCACAGTCACAATTCCGACCATTTTACGAGAGCTCCGCGACCGACCGTCAAGATGGATCACCAGCAAACCAGAATGGAGGGCCAAAACTGTCACCGTTCGTACCCCTTGACACCTTCCCACATCGACACATTGGGCCCTCGTCACCGGAGGTGCAGCAAATGCTTAAGGCTTTGGATCCGCCTGTAGAGTCGCTTGATGATTTTGTAAAGGAGGTGCTTCCCGCAGACATACTGTCTTCAAGAGACCTGCACATTGACGGGCCAGGATCGAGGACCAAAGATGGGAAGAAGTCAAAGCTTGATGAGGAAGGTTATTCTGAGTCACAGCTCCTGGCTCGACTTAGGTCGATAGCAAGCAAGAACAAGGTTTACCGAAGTTATATCGGTTGTGGATATGCGGGAACACGCGTTCCGGAGGTCATCAAACGAAACGTGCTAGAGGGGCCTGGGTGGTATACCAGCTACACACCATACCAGCCTGAAATCAGCCAAGGCAGACTGGAATCCCTTTTGAACTTCCAGACCATGGTCGGTGACCTCACTGGGCTGGCTATGGCGAATGCTTCCGTGCTAGACGAACCTACTGCTGCTGCAGAGGCAATGACGCTGAGTCTGAACTCGTTGCCGAGTTCCAGGCAGAAGAGAAAGAACAAGGTGTACTTCGTCTCTCACCTTTGTCATCCACAGACGATTGCTGTGCTTCATGCACGAGCCCAAGGTTTCGGTATCGAGATTCGTGTAGGCGATGTCCTTGCTGATAACTACAAGAATGTTAAAGACATTGGCGAAGATTTGGTTGGCGTGCTCGTGCAATATCCCGACACAGAGGGCAATGTCAGCGATTTCAGAGGCTTGTCAGATTTGGTGCACAAAATGGGTGGCACGTTGAGCGTTGGAACTGATCTTCTTGCGCTTACGGTGCTCACACCACCAGGAGAATGGGGAGCAGATGTTGCCTTTGGCAATGCCCAACGATTCGGCGTGCCTTTCGGTTATGGTGGACCACATGCCGCGTTCTTTGCTACAAGCGACAAACACAAACGTAAAATTCCAGGTCGTTTAATTGGTCTTTCGAAGGACAGATTGGGTGACCCGGCTGCGAGACTGGCATTGCAAACAAGAGAGCAACACATTCGACGAGAGAAGGCAACGAGCAATATTTGTACTGCTCAAGCGTTGCTTGCCAACATGAGTGCTTTTTACGCTATTTATCACGGCCCACAGGGTCTAAAGGCCATCGCAGAAAGAACAATTACGATCGCGAGAGTGATGCAAAAGGCTTTGGAAGATATGGGCTACAAAACAGGACGCAGCAGATCTGGTCTCGTACAGTTCGATACCGTGGTCATCAAGGCCACGAATGCCAAAGAGCTGGTGAGCTGGGCTGTTCAAGACAAACAGATCAACCTTCGGTTGCTTGACGATGAGCATGTGGCGATCACAGTCGACGAGACGGTAGATAAGCAGGACATCGAAGACATACTCTCAATCTTTGCAAAGTTTGCCTCTACTACACCGAAAATCAACCTTGAAAAGATTGCCGAAGAAGTCGGCTATGACGCTCAGCAAATAGCACCACCGTTCAGGAGGAGTTCTAGCTATCTTACGCATCCAGTCTTCAACACCCATCACTCCGAAACAGAACTGCTGCGCTACATTCACCATCTTCAGTCGAAGGACTTGTCACTCACTCATTCCATGATTCCCTTGGGATCTTGCACAATGAAGCTAAACGCGACTACCGAGATGGTCCCTGTTTCCTGGCCGGAATTCTCATCACTACATCCTTTCGTGCCAACAGATCAAGCTCAGGGCTATGCACAGATGATCAAGGAGCTGGAAACCGATTTGGCGATGATAACGGGCTTCGATGCCGTTTCCGTGCAACCAAATTCGGGTGCCCAAGGCGAATTCACCGGTCTGCGTGTCATTCGCGAATATCAGAAACAGCAGCCAGGAAAGAAGCGTGACATCTGCTTAATCCCCGTATCCGCCCATGGCACAAATCCCGCAAGCGCAGCGATGGCAGGGATGCGGGTCGTGCCTATTAAGTGTGACACTGTTACTGGGAACCTCGACATGGCTGACTTGAAAGCGAAATGTGAAAAGCACAGCGAAGAGCTAGGCGCTATTATGATCACTTATCCAAGCACCTTTGGAGTGTTTGAGCCTAACATCAAGGAAGTTTGCAAGCTTGTTCACAATCACGGCGGCCAGGTGTACATGGACGGAGCAAACATGAATGCTCAAATTGGTCTATGTTCACCCGGTGAGATTGGCGCAGACGTTTGCCATCTCAACCTGCACAAGACGTTCTGTATTCCACATGGTGGTGGTGGACCTGGTGTCGGTCCCATCGGAGTCAAGTCACACCTTGCGCCGTTCCTGCCAGGCCATCCTCTTGTCCCCAATGTCGGCGGTGAAAAGGCAATTCCTCCCGTTTCAGGTGCACCATGGGGCTCTGCATCTATCCTTCCCATTTCTTGGGCCTACATCAAGATGATGGGTGGCCTCGGACTTACACACGCGACGAAAATCACGCTCTTGAACGCAAACTATATTCTTTCTCGCCTCAAACCTCACTATAAGATCCTTTACACTAATTCGAATGGTCGTTGTGCGCATGAATTCATTCTAGATGTCCGAAGATTTAAAGAGACGGCGGGAGTAGAGGCCATCGACATCGCGAAACGTCTCCAGGACTACGGTTTCCATGCTCCGACAATGTCGTGGCCCGTGGCGAATACTCTCATGATTGAACCAACAGAGTCGGAAAGTAAGGAAGAGCTCGATAGATTTTGCGATGCATTGATCGAGATTAGAAAGGAGATCGCCGAGATAGAGGAGGGAAAGATGCCAAAGGAGGGTAATGTCCTTAAATTGGCACCACATAGTCAGAAGGACATCATCCTCAGCACAGATTGGGAGACGAGGCCGTATGACAGGGCCAAAGCGGCATATCCGCTTCCATACCTGAAGGAGAAGAAATTTTGGCCTGCCGTAACAAGGCTTGACGATGGTATGTTTCTCAATTTTTTCTTTGCCTCACACAATTGGGAGAATTAGGGTTAACCAGTCCTTTCCCACAGCTTACGGTGATGTGAACTTGTTCTGCACATGTGCTCCTGTAGACAATGAGCATTGAAGTAACTTGTGCGGCGACACCACGTCGGACGTTCGTATCAAAACCAGCTCGATACAGCCTGGCCTTCAACAAGACCAGCATCTGTAGTCGAGAACTTGGTGAAAGGTTATTATAGGCAACTGATCATGGATAGGCGCTTTGGGGATAGACAGCGATGGAATGCTATTCAACATCTCGTGAGCGTTTTAGCGACGGCGTTTAACATTCTGCCCCGCAGTATAACGTAATAAAAGACGGGGGAGACAGGGAGCTCTTTCTCATCAAAGATCTAATTCCGGAGAACAGTATCTTGAAATCGTAATTCTTTTACCTCTTGGCGAGGTCCCGTGGCTTTCTGTCTACACACTGCGTGCTTGAGCTGGGCACCGTATTACACACGGTGAATACATTATGCTATGCGTTACGACCCCGCTCTCTCCAAACACGACGAAGGTGATATAATCATCAAGCCCATACCGTTAGATATGCGTAATAACATCTCGTCAAATCCGTCAGGGCCTTGCGCTGCCCCTACCTACGGTTTTTTTTCCTTTGTAATCCAATATCCTCCTCATTCGGTGGTCTCTAGCCATCCTCCATCGAACATACAGCATCACCGCATCTTTTAGCACCACGAACGCTGCACCGCCTACAAGACTTCTCCCCCACTTTTGCTGCAGCAGGCCTGTCGGCTGCTTTGTGCCCATCCAGCTGGTTTTCATGGTAGTCCAGCTGCGAGGAAGGACCAACCTTAGCAGCTCGCCCATGATCGCGCTGACTGCAGGGAAAGCCAAAGCACCCAGAACGGATTCGAAGAGATGGGAAGTTGAAACGGCAAGGTTGAAATTGTTGCGCTCAGCTGGAGGTTGAGGATTCGCGTCTCCGACGGGGGCTGCACCATTTCGGCGGCGGTGGGCTCGGTTACGAGGAACATTTGGCGCAGGAGCCGCGGCTGGAACACCTGGTTGTTCTTCAGGAAGCCCACCTGGCATGTGCATATTTGCTTCGCCCTGAGGGTCTGGCTGTTCTGGCTGTGGAACGTCCTCATCTTCATCCCAGTCTTCCAACACGCCGAGGTCAACGTTGATCTCCAGGATATTCTCATCATCATCTAGCCTGCCAGCGTTGTCCTCATTGTTCGCATTGTCGTTTTGGGAATCGAGACTGGCACGAGGTTGAATTTCCTTCAGCCAGCGCTTGACGTGCTTGCCCCACACGCGCTCATAGTACGCATTGTAAAGACTGCGGAGGTAGGGGAGCAACGCGAAGGACAAGCCTGCAGAAGGTGGCCAGTGGCCAACATCTGCAAAGGGGTCTGTATCAGGCTTTGTGACAAAGAAGAGGATGGGGAGAATGGGTAATATGCCATCAGCGAGGTTGGTTCTCGAGAAGATGAGCATGCTTGGAATACAGAACAAACCGATATCTAATCGGAGTCTCTGTCTCCAATGGTCGAGAAGCCTTTGCATGCCCATTTCTGGGTCCGGCGGCTGTCGCAAGAGCGGCGCTAATATCCTCTCGCCGTCTTCTTGGCCAAAGATCAGCATTACAGAGGATGCTCCATGAGCCCAGCATAGATACCAAAATGATGACACGCCCACAGTGAATACGCCAGGAAGCACCAACTTGCTGCCCATAATCTCAATGCTCTTGACCGCATCGACTACGTAACTCTTGGGCCGCGCCAGTTGTATCTCTGACTTGCATTGCGGACACAAAATCTTATCACCAGGATTTCGCTGCCTCCTTGAGCTGGGCGACTCCATGTCGGCTATCCAGTCCAACAAACATTGCTCATGTGCTTCCAGTGCACATGGACATGGACTTCGCCATTCGGAAGTAGTAGGGGTGTCCTCAGTCTCGTCCGAGAAGCATATCCAGCATTTTCTAGGTTCCTGCACGTCTTGCGGATTTGTTTGCGATGTCTGTTTCCCCGTCTGCTCCTCGGTCTCCTTGCGCTTGCCTGATGATGAGGACGGGTTCAACAGTATAGTTTGTGAATCTTCGGAAATGGTCGAATGTGCTTCACTATCGGCTCGATTCAGCGATTGTGACGACGAGGCTTCGGGACTAGCTGGTCGTTGCGAGGGTGATGGCCGCCGGTGCGATGGCGGAAGCGATGCCATTGCTATCGTTGGCGATTATATGGCGAGCGGTTGCCAGTTGAAGCCGAGCGTGATGTCAACTCCCGGGGCAAATCTGAAAGTCGTAGTCCACGTTGCGTTTCGCAGCTGATGAGGTCAAGACCGAGGATCGGGGAGCTTTTGGGCCGTGATCCATGTTTACCTACGGCCAGTAGCAAGTCAGTGGCTTGGTCAAGGCCCTCCCAGGGCTGTGGCTTGCATCCCTGCACAGCTGCACCATATTTATGTAGATTCACTAGCACAGTCTGCATTGGCTCAAGCACACAACGTTGCCTCAAGGACAATCACTGTGCCTAACAAGGCAAACTGAGTTTTCCATGAACGTGTGGAATCACGCAGTTGCACACTTATCTGCAAAGTCGGCTCCTTCTGTGGTCAATGTTGGCTTTACCTTCGTCGCTCATGAGCTCTCTACTGACATGTTCTCTTTATTTTTGACCCATTCCAAAGCGGACATTTTGGCTTCTAGTTACCTCAATTAAATGTTATTTGCTGCTCAAGGACTCTAATGACTCTCCAGTCGAATACACTACCACTCTCGATTGGGCTCTAGCTTTCTAACATTGGAACCTTCTGTTGATAATCTTTAAAAATGTCAACATCAGTCCGTCGCTCAAGCCGGGCAACAAAGCCGAGCACAAAATACGCAGTCGATCCGTTTGAGCAGTATAAAGACCTTCTCGTGCACTCATCTGATGACAGTTGTGCTCCATCAGAACAGGCAGAGGGTCGGGATGAACTATCATCTGACACTGAGTTCGATGCAGAACAAGCCGCCAAGGAAGTTCTTGAAGCGGGAATGGATATGGATGAGGACTCAGACGAACAGGATGACAATTTCGAGATGAATCAGGGCTCTGAGGATGATGACGATGAAGTTGAAGTTTTAGAATCAGCAAGAACAATGTCACATCGTAGGTCCAACGGGCGCGAGACATCAAAATTTCAATCTTCCGCCTTGCCCAAAGGCAGATCAGCTTCAATGAAGAAAAGTACGTCAAAGCGAAAAGCTGAAGGAGGCACTTCTGATGTTCTACCGATCTTTGATCCCATGGGAAATACAGGAGCAAAGGGCCGGAACGTTCACTACACACGTGGTATACCGGAAGCATTACATTCGCAAGGTAGAGAGAGCCGTTTGCTCTATGCAATCGGACCAGGGACTGAAGATTTGGTGGCGCATATTCAAGTCAGGGAACGATGGTTAAATGATGAAACTGTCCCATACCGTCAGGAGCGCAAAGGGAGGAGTGGTGGAGGCTTGGGCTACAGTCCCTGGTATCCAGAGGAAAAAAGAAACAAGGAAGCAGAAGTGGAATTGCGTTGGTATTACGATGAAGGCGGGAAGGAAATCTTTGAGCGAATGCAAGAGACTCGGAAGGTGGATATGAGTTACGCGCCGAACAACTATGCCCCTTCTGACGACATTATCGCGGGTCCAATCAACCAGCAAGAACTATACCCAGGACCCAAACTATTTGAGCAATGGAATTTAGGAGAGGCATACAGAGATATTTCTAGCGCTGGTGAACACCAATCCTGGATAATTAACGCAGGAGCGCGTATTCAAAGCTTGGAGTGGTGTCCTAACAAAGCCGGGACGTCACAGTATCTCGCTGTTAGCACGTCTCAATCACCACAAGATGTACAGATCCCTGAAGGAGTTTCTGCACCAGCGTACACACCACAGGCTGGACGGCAGCAATGTCTTCAAATATGGGAGATTTTTGCTGAGGGGGACAAGGACAGTGCTGCAAATAAGATCGACTATTCGAGGAAGCCTGTGCTTCGACAGATCATTTCGACAGATTGGGGGGTCTTGAAGAAGATGCGGTGGTGCCCGACGCCTGACCGAACAAATATGCAGGAGAAACGGCTTGGTCTGCTGGGTTGCATTTTCACGGATGGGAGGATACGCGTCATCGATCTCACTAATCCGCGAAGAGAAGACGGCGAGGTGGAATACGTTCACATCATCACCGCAGCCTTTGAATCAAAGCCACCTGAGACGATTTGCACCTGTCTCACCTGGCTTTCGAGCAGAAACATTGCAGCCGGTACGGCCGATGGCTGCGTAGCAATATGGACATTACCTGACGTCTTACGACGTACTTCGTCGATGAAGTCACGTGAGTCACGTCCTTGGTTCTACCAGCGACTACACCAGTCGTACATCCACTCCCTCACCAGTGGCTATCCCTCACGGCCCCACCTACTTATAACATACTCTTTCGATGGTCTTGTCCGTGCTACGGATATTCGCTCACCGACCTACGACACTGTGGTATCGCAGCGCTCTAGAATAGCGCAAGGCCCCGTTATATGGCACGATTTGACGCAGTCGGCGCTGAACATCGATGACAATTTCACTCTGAAAAGTTACGGACACAGACTCTTTCACAAGGCAGTTAGCATCGCCCGACTTACAGCATTTGGAGCCGATGTGAGCACGAGCTGTTTACATGCGAGTGTGCTGGTTGGATGCGTGGATGGTACTGTTTGGGTCACAAATCCAATACGAAGGCTTCGGGATCACAAGCACAAACCCCTGGTTCAATGCGTTTTAAAGCACGAATGGCGCCGTGCTTTGACTAGGCATAACTCTGCAAGCGGAGGCAGTCATGATCTGAATACATTAAAATCAAATCAAAACAATGCGGAAGACACAGAGCATCCTGAGTCAGTACTCACCCGGCCGCTCATCAGAATTTTAACAGGTTTTAAAATAACTCAAACAGACATGGGGCAAGAGAGCAGGATGAATGCCACGAAGGATTATGTGAGTTTTGCCACCGTGTATGAGGAACGAACGGCAGTTACGCAGGTGTCCTGGAACCCAAACCTAAGGGCTGGAACATGGGCGTCTGTGGGCACAGGAAGTGGGCTTGTGATCGTGAGAGATTTGGCAGCAGATTGATAACTAGCCTTGCAGATGATTGACGTTGTGAGGAAATTCTACACAACGTTTCTTGTCGCATGGGCCGAAAGCGCTAGCCTTTCGCAATTACGCTTCGGTGAATTGCGTGAGCATTTATGCTTATCAGCAGCACGGGTTCCCCCTCCTCAAACCAAAAAAAGACTCAAGAAAATTTTCGATGCCCACTGGCAACTGGCCAAAAGCAAATGGTAAGCATACATTGTAGGTTTGTAGTCAACCAATGAAGTCATTATTTAATCAAGAAGTATCTAGGCTGCATGTCAATTTGATGAACATCAAGTGCTCCAAGTGATGGCGAGCATATACGGGCTTGGCTCGTTAATATTGTAACTCAACGCAGCGAGAACACGACCATTTCGAGATCAGCTGGATATGTTTCTCATCGCGCCGCCGCCGCGCTTGACACTCTACCTACACTAGGCCATATTCGCCCGTGACAGTTGCAGTTACGGATAAACCAGTCTGCCTTTGTAACCAGGATCTTTGTCCCACTCCGGCCTCATACCGTATTTCTTTATATCGACGGAGTCCTTCGGGATCCCTTTTCTCTGCTGCTTTTTGGAATTTTTGCAGTTCTTCAGATGGACCGATCGTGGAGCATAGTGTTTAGAACCAGACAGGTAACGCATCTTGCAACGAAAGCAAAATACGCTCTTGCAAGCTTTGAGGCCGTTAGTCATAGTCGAGGAGCAAGGGATGAAAAATAAGATAACGACGCACATGGGCACTCAAAATCTTCACATGCCCCATCATGCTCCAAGATCTCGCCGCAACCAGCTGCTGGGCAACGTTTCGACAGACCAGTACCTCGTTGCAGGTCCTCGTTGCGACGATGTTGGAGCTCCTTGTCAACCAACGCCTTGATCGGATTGCATGTAAAGTTGTTCTTTGGATGAACGCCCTTACACAAGTCGCAGTTCATTCTTGCGCAGTCAGGACAGTTCCATATTGGCGCTCTATTCTCCCTCGAGCAGGCGCTACGATGAAGGAAGTGATGCATAGACCGTCGGCGGGGTACACCTGCGTAAGTGCATCGAGATTCATTGGCGTTGCCTTTGAAATAGCATTGTCTGTAACCAGGATGTTTACTCATGGCATCTTGTGTCGCATGTTCGTTGTACCTTGAGCGCGTATTAGTGACAATGCTCTTATCATGGGAAGAAAAACAATCACTTGTCCAATGTATCGGTGTCTGCAAGTCGTTTCATGTCATCTCCATCAAGCACCTGCTTGCAGCCCAGTTCCGGACATCCAATCTTTCTCCAGTTCCCTAATCCGACTTGAGCTGAGAGAAACCACTGCGCACAGGGTTTGCATAATGAAGCATCATGCTGGCATCGTGGCGTCAATGACGCTCCATGTGTGTACGTGACCGTTTCTGAACACACGATGCAACTAAACACGTTTTTCGCACTCAACAGCTGGAAGAACTCGCTGGAGCCCGTCACCAAAAATTCAGCTTCCCATTCCGAGCCAAAAAGAACCTACGTACACGAAAAGCGCGCTGTCGACAAACCTGTAGGTCTCCATTTTTCGACTGACCACGGCGAGTTTCCTTCGGCAGTCTTCGTGGAAGCATTCTTGCTGCCTTGTCACGACGGCCCAGACAAAGTTGATATCACATTGCGGACAGATAAGAGTCTTTGAACCAGTGTGATTGCCGGCGCACTTGGTCATTCGAGCGAAGGCCGACTCGCGAAGCTTTGTCTTGGGCTTCTTGCAAACTCTGCACGACTTGGCTGCACTCACGACCGGGTCGCTGTTCGCCACATGATCCTGTTCGCTCGCTTTGCGTTCAGGTTCGCAAAATTCAATGGCGGCATTGACTTTCCAGCATACTTTCCATACCTCGAGTTCAGCACGTTGCATACTGCGATAGCCACAGACTCGACTGACGAAGGTGGCAGGAGAGATCGAGAGGCGCCGGCGTGAAAGAGCCTCCTCAAGTGCTGTATCCCACTCTTGAAAGCACGTTGCCCCGCTTTATGCACAGCGTTCGAGCCGGCGGCCATGTAGCCTGAATGAACTAAGAGGCTGTTTCAGCCCGAGCTTTCTCTTTGCCTTCAGCAAGGCGTCGTCTGCAAGCCAAAGCCTTGGCAGCTAAATCGAGTCTTGAGCAGGTGAGCTCGACCGGTGAGGGTACCTACAAATGGCTGTTGGCAGAAGGTCATGCGGTCTTTATTCAGGTCGAGCCTGCCACGATTCCAGAGCATTCTTCACTTTCTGGCTTCCTCCCCTGCCCCTGATTGTGATACAGCGCACGATGTCCGACTACTATGACGTGATCTTTGTCAAGACTGACGATGGAGAGAGGGTAGACTTCAGAAATGTTGCAAAAGACACGACCATTCGTGATATGCAGAAGCAGTTGGTCCGCAAACTGAACTTGGGACGGTACGAGTGGAATACCTTCGAACTCCTTTTCGCAGGCGCCCCCTTGAAAAACAGTACGAACATGTGCCGACTATGATTCCTTAAGAAGTTCTAATGGTTTTGAATCATAGGCTCGACTTTGGAGCAAAGCGGCGTCCGAGAGGTAGATGTGGAAAACCAATCCGTCACGGTGAATACAGGATCTAACTCTAGAATTACAACCCGAAATCCGTTCTCTACTCTGTTCCGGATGATGACGCCGAGCATGGCCCTCCACCAGCTTACGTAGAAAAGGACCAAGCGAAAGATCCGTCTTCCCCTAAGAAAATTCGCAGCATGTTTGTCAACTGTAGTGGAAGTTCCAAGTTGCTGGCGGACGTTGATCTCAATTCCACCGCTGATGACTTACTCAAACGTCTTGCCGAAGAGAAAGGCGTCGACATTAGAGAGGCGCATCTGCTTTACGGAGGAAAAGAACTGTATGGGAGAAAAGGCTTGGTGCATTACGATCTGCATAAGGTCAGAACAACCGGTTTGTGAGCAATTCCATAACAAAAGCTTACCAGGTCTAAAGGACTGCACCGTATTCATCTTCTATCGCGGGCACGGTGGCTGATAGCCAAGCGGATTGATGGCTCGCCATGAGACTGGAAGTTACTGAGCCTCGGGAGGAAATAAGTGCTTTTAGTGCAAGATCGATGATTGGTGCCATAGTCCATACAACAGTAATTGACGTAATTTCCTTTTGACGGGGACAAAATGCTCCAGGGTTCAACCTCAGAGCTCCGCACCATAGCAAAAAAAGGGAAAATCATCCTCAGGCAGTTAAGAATGACTTGTGCCACGAATATGTTCCGCATTTTCTTTCTGCTGGAAGGGCGATCACTCTTTCCAGCGACCGCTTGGACGAAGAGCAAAAATATGCCCGCGACTGAGACGAGCATGCTTAGAACCACACCAGCTTGAAGCGTCGTCAGCCCAGATTTGGCAAGTTTCGATGACCTGACCAATGACTTCGCCGCCGGTGGTAGAGAAAATATATCAGACCACAGGTACCCCTATAATGGAAGTGCTCCGACGCTGTATAGGGCCTCCACATGCTGGAACTGTGCTATGTTATCCACATAGCTCGTGCGACTTATGAAACATGTGATGGAAACAAAGGTCGCTGGTAAGGGACGGCCGATCCAGATTAGCAGCGCATACGCGAAGGCCAAGCTGCGCCAAAGAATAGCCGCTGTGCTTGCGGTAAATATGAGCTGTACGAGCAAGCTCGTCAGGTGCAGCAGAAACAATTTCTCACGCGAGGACGTCCTTTTCGAAGCCCATTCTAGTCCGACGCTTTTGATGAGCCTCTTCGCTATCCATATCTGCAACTCTATCCTCCCAAGAACAAGCACCGAGAGCGCCGTGAGGGTCCACAACGAGAAGAACCACAACGCGGCAAAGCTTGCCGATCTACATATACCGTGTGGCTCGTTGTGGAACTGCCAAAAACGGGTGGCATGAAGGATTGCCTGAGACGACTCGTCAGCCATGGATTCTCTTCCGGACGTACTTCGTTCGCGCGCATGAGCAACGAAGTCAAACTTCACTCAAAGAGACGAGCAGAAGGTTCGTGAGCCTCAGATCAGGCAGGGAGAGAATGGCCAGTCAGGACCTGCCATGAAGAAAGGCTGCTGGGCGGGAAAGCCGTCAGCAGATGTGGGCGAGAAATGCATCCAGCAAAGACTGCTTTCTGGTAGGATCTCGTCACGCTGCTGTTCAGCTCGCAAATCTTCTTATCTGCGGCACTTGGTATATGCAGGAGCCTGAAAGCCGTGATCGCTTGGCGCCCATCAGACTGAGCAGGAGAAGACGTAGAAATCGCTTCATTCACGCCGGAAATGGCTTAGCAAGGTGACGAGACGTTCGCGGCAAAGCCTCTTCCTGGATGGAATGCTTACAAACGAAAGGTTCCTGTCTCAGCCTGAAGCTTTGACCGGTTATGGCTGCTCTGAAGCTTTAGATTTTATGTAAATCGGAATGTTGTTGAGGAATAAAAAAAAAAATCCAAGACCACAAGCAGCTCATGAGCAGTTCGACAGCCCGTCATGAAACTTGTCCCTCGCCTTGCTCTGGCCAGCACGCCATACTCGACGGCGACCAATTACGGCATACTCTGCGTGAACGACACGTGCGTCGACTCAGTGTACGGGCCCTGCTGCTCTACGTCAGGATTTTGCGGCAGTTCCGATAGTAAGTCATGAAGTGAAAAGCAATAAGGGGGAATGAGCAAGGGACAATGAAGTTGCACTTTTGGTGTGCAGAGCACTGTTTGAACTAACGTATCGCGACGAAGATTATTGTGGATTCCTGAACTGCGTGTCTGGCCCATGCCAGAAGCCAGATCTGCTCGCGAACACGTCAGACGTGATCGTCGAGGCGGCTGCGCTGTCCGTCCTGACGGAGTCGTCCGTTCGCAACGCATGTCTTCTGTGGATGGGACTGGGGGTGTTTCTAGCGCTGCTGTTCGTAGCCGTCGTGCTGGGCGCCATGGAGTCAGCGTTTGAGACGCCGACCGAGAAGACGCGACGCCTGGCTCGAGCCCGGGAAGCCAGAATCAAAAAAGCGCTTGCGAATGCGAGGGCAAGTCTGGACGCGGAGAAAAGACGGCGGGCGGAGCTGCAGGACGTCCATGACGACGAGATTGCCGACCACGAGCGTACGACGCAGGAGCTGCAGTCCCTGCGCACCCAGCTGATCAGCGAGGAAAGCCGTCACGAGCACCAGGTCGAAGAGCTCCGTCGACGCCTGAACGAGCTGACCGAGGATCGAACGCGTCTGAATCGCGAGCTCCGTGAGAAGAGGTTGGCTCTTGACGAGAAAACGCGCGAGGTAGACGAGCTAGTCTCCCAGTTTGAATTTCTTCAAAGCTCAATGGCCGCCGTCTGATCGTCGTCTCGGGCATCTTCTTTCCACGATCTTAATAGGGGTTCGATTTTTTCTACTTCCTTTTCGACTTCGCAAGAACATGGTTAAGAGCCGATCAGAGCGCGTACCGCGTCTCCTGAAGTGATCCAAGACAAGGAACGAACCCGAAGCGGCCAACATTGGGACAAGCGATCATGGTTTGAAGTTTTCAAACACCCATGCATCTGAAGTATGCTGGACGATGTCGTCAAGAGCTTCAACACCGTAGCAGGCGCCATTCGACGTTGAACACATGCGAGAGGGAATCAAGATCCGCCGTCCCCCCTCCCCCCACTTTCTCTCTCTCCTTCCCTCCGCACTGAGGCAAATAGACAAGTGAGCAGCTGGTCCCGTAAGAAGATCGTACTTTTGGACGAGCCACATCAGCCGGACTTGAACCGTCTTCCAAACCCACGCCGCCAATAAAAAAAAACACCGACTACTCGATTTTCACAATGGCTACACACAGGCGTTTGTTATGATATGCTCATACAGCGTTGACAGTTGCGACGCGGCCTGCGTGGTGCTGGTCAGATTTGGCCGTAGAGTTTCCCGCGCGCACCAAAATCGGGATGCGTTCATTGACGTCCCGCGTTTTGAAGCGCTATTTGCGCGACTAGCAAGCGAACATACACTTGAGGCTGATTAAGGTCGCATCTCTATGGAACATGCTCTCTCCGTCCACAAGCCACCACTTCGCAGAGAAGGGCGGCTCGCCTAGCTGCAATGCACAAGTGGATAGGAGGACACTCAATACGGGGGCAGACGTGTCGAAAGTCTGCACGAGCAACCATGATGATCCAGAGGCTGGACGACCACCGCGGGTTTTTGGATCGCGTCGCCGGACACGCGTAGATGGCCGACGCTTCGTCGCGTCCTATCCTGAACTTTAGCTTTGGGACACAAACTTTCTTCGCTCTACCCTAACAACAGCGGCCGGGGCGTCTCGCAACGCGGCTAGCCCAGTCGTTCTATGCGGCTCGACAAACAACGCCATGCAAAATGCGAAATTGGCCTCGGGCTCTCTCAGCTTTGGATCTTCTCGGTTCTTCACAGCGTGGAAGAAAAAACGATCGTGTTGCGCAGACGTTTCTCGGCGCGGTCGCTGTACTATGTGCACGCAGATGGAGAATGGAAGCTTGTGCCGAGCGGAATTCCCAGGCAAATCACGCGAGCGGCTCATCTACAAGTGACAGATTGCGCTGTGAGCACGACAGCAAGCCCCCGGCTGTTTCTCCTCGACAGGCGATGTTGCAGCTTAGCGGGCACCGGAGCGAAAGTCAGTTTTTTCGTCGACAGACGCAATCAGGCCAAGGAGCTGTTACCCAGCCGATCGTCGTCCATCGGCAGAAGAGATCGGGGTCCCATGACGCAGCCTCGTCGCGGCCTTGCGTACCCCTGATAGGATTCGCGTCCTGGAGCAATTGCTTGCCTCCAGAGCCGCCTCCGGCAAATACCGACCAACGACGTTTGCCTCACCAAAGCCCCAGCTGCTGGGCCGTTCGCGTGACGATTCTTTTTGGAGTCGTCCGATCGTGCAATCCCGCTTTGTGTGTCTTTTCCTTCCGCGCTTCCGATCAAACCAGAGGCGCTCGTCCTCTCAACCGCCCCCTCCACCAGGGGGAAAAAGGGGATCGCGGCCCGGTTGTTTCTGGCTTGAGGACGATCACGACCGACGGGTGGGGCATGGGCAAGAAGATGTGAAGACAAAAAACGAGTGTTTTGGTTCGTGACGCGGGCCAAAAGACAGCAGCGCAACGCAAAAGTCTCCACCCGGGAGAACGGGTGTGGGAGTGAAAAAGAGGTATCGCGCTGCTGCTGCTGCTGCTGCTGCTGCTGCTGGTGGGAAGCATCATGCAAGGTCCCAAAACTGGGCGGCGCCGCCGGAAATCCTAATCGATTGGCGCAGCGGGGCGAGCATATCCAAGCAAGACAGCCAAATGGGGAACTCTCCGACCCACCACTACGTACATGGCGAACGAACCCTAGCACGAGGAATTTTCCTTTTTTTTTCCGCGCCGTCTCTATCCCTCTCGTTCGCAATTGCTCATCAGAAAGAGGGGAAAGAAGAGCGGAAAAAATCCGCTGACCAATACATCAATGGCTGTTGGTCTGGTCGCCCAGTCTCTCGTTGCTGACACGTCCCCGAGTCGGGCGGGATGGCTCAAATGCTCGGAGCAGAATCTCCATGGCGTGCTGCGCCGGTAAGGGCGAGTGTGCAGATCAAACCACTTTGCCGTAGACGTGGAAGGCGGGGAAGGCGAAAGCCTCGCGCTCGAGGTGCAACCGTGGCAGAGCGTCTTGTTCTGATCTCCGAACGTTCTGTTTTGGTATCTTCAGTTAGCCTGCGACGTGTAACGAGAAGCAGCACGACAAGGCAGGACGATGCGTCGCAGCGTCTGGGGAAAGCTCGCTGCGGCGAATAGAGAGGCGCAGATGCGCCCAGGGGCTGGACGCTGCACGATCCGCGGGAATGCCATTGATGTGCGGCAGAATCACACAGCTCTTTGACGGTTCTGGCGGGGAGTAGCGGGAAGCGCAGCAGACATGCGTTCCTCCTGCGACGTGCTTTGCTCACGATGGGGTGCAGATCCGTCGCGAAAGCTGACAAAGTGCAGCACGCGAGCTACCGAGGACTGCACAGTGCTGAAGGTGCTGATTTGGCGTGTCGAACGTTGAAGCTTATGATGGGATTGTGATGGACCTCCGACGTCACAGTCCGGCGCGTTTCGCTAGAGACGACTCATGAGGCGGGGCCAAGACGAGCCGCTAACGTATTATTAGTTGTGATCAGAGCAGTGAACTACTGATTAAACGACTGATTAACCCGACCAAGCTTGGGCAGGTCCTGTCGTCTGGCTGGATCCGCGAGCCACGAGCGAAGCAAAGAGAGCAGGATCCCTTTCCGAAAGCACGACCACGGGAAACAAAACAAGGGGGGGGGGGGGGGGAAGAAAAGAAAAGAAAGGAAAAAAAAAACAGAACATGACGAGGCTCTATTAGCCCAACCATCTATCACATGACCTGTTGCCTGTCAGTCAGCAGTATCAGTCAGCAGTGAGAAGGGCTCCTCATTGTTGGAAACCAGACAAAACGGAAAGAAATGGTTTGATATTTTTTTTTTCCTTTTTTCCCCTTCGATATTATTTCTTCCCGCGCAGATGGCTAGGCTGGACCGAGGATGCGGGTGGCGGCGCACAAATTTTACACCCGCAATTTTTTTTTTGTCGATGGGCAGCATAATACCGTAATGAGAAAGGGAATTTTTTTTTTTCCCCCGTTCGCCGTCAGCCCGATTCTTTTCTAAGCCATGCGTTCCCATTCGCTGCGACCTGACCCGAGGGCACCGAGCTGTCGTTGGCGTTCGTGCAGGGCATGTGGTGGTGCGGCGAGGAAGATCAGCTCTTTGGCAGCAAGAGGTGCTGCAGCACGTCGTCTCGCGGGCACTTATAGGAAGACGGAGAAGGGAGCAGGAGCCGTGGGCGGTCGTGGTAGATCAATCGTTCGACCAAGGCGCCGCAGTCTCAGCGCTCGCTGCCTGAAGCTTCGCTAACGCGGCTGCATCTTCGAGCACGGCGGCCGTTGTTTGTTGTCGTGTGCTGCCTTGACTTCCTGTGCAAACCAAGAGCCGTCAAGCGCCGGATCTGCTCCTCGTTTCTTCTTCTTCCTCATTGCTGACTTGGCTTGGTCGTGACTGGATGCGCTCACCTTTAGCCTTCAGCGCTCCTCGTATCTCCCTCCGGCGGACCAGCAGCATCATCGTCATCGTCATCACCATCGAGCAGGGTCTCTCTGTTGAAAAAACCCCCCCCTCCTCCTCCTCCACGTCTGTCCCTCAGCCCTTTGCCCACTCATCATCTCTCCCCTCCATCACAGACGTATCCGCTCCTCCAATACAAACGCGGTCTTTCTGCCAAATCATCTGTGTGTTTCGTTGCAGCAGACTGACTGTTTTCGCTTGAAACACAGCCTCACCATTATTTTTCGCCCAACTGAAGCCTGCGCTACCCACCGGGGCCAACCCCCCCCCCCTGGCTGGAGATCGGGCTCAGGCTAGGCCTTGCTACGTCAAACAAGAAAAAAAAAATCGAGCCCCCGTGGGCGCACGCGAGAAAGCAGAGAGCTTCGCTGCGCCCAGGGGCAAAGAGGCGATCCATCCCGACAGTAATCTCTCTTTCCCTGTCTGCTGTCGCCTCTCTCGCCTCTGACGGCTCTCACGTCCCGCCCGCTGGGAGCCAAGCAGACAACGTAGGAAGAAAGGGCCAGAAAAAACTGCGTCCAGCCCACCAAGAAACTGCTGCCTCGTCGTCGCTCACCGGCGCCAAAGCCGAGCAACCCCAGCAAAGGCCAGCCCGCGCTGCGATCCGTCGCACATCCGCACGCTTTCGCCGCCTGTGTTCTCCCCCCTCTCTCGCGCCGTCCGTCAGTTGCGCTGGTTCTGCCTTTTGGGACCTTCCGTGGCCTTTGCTGTATTGGTGCAAGCTCTGTATCAGGACTCACCGTCTCATGCGCGAGCCCAGCGTCCTGCATCCGAGCGCCAATCAGTGGGCGTGCGCAGCCTGCGCTCAGCCGACCCCCCCAGTCGGCTGTGCTGCACGATCCTGGAGTCGCGAGCGTCAAACAATCTTTTTGCATCCTGGAACCGCTTTTTCTGCCTCGTCCCCCATCGCCATCACAAACCACATTGCCCACATCTCCCCAAAAGCCCCTCTGCGCCTCTGCCCAGCGCTGCCAGACACAACGTTCAGTCCGCCCTGCTCTCCGCCAGAAGACTGATCGCAGCCGCCCGTACCATGCCCTACAACACCCGGCGCAAGTCGGTCTCGCTGTCGCAGCTGGGAATCCATGTGCCTGCCAGCTCGCGATCGTCATCCCATCGCTCACCGCCTGCCTCAGCTACCACCCCCCCCGCCGACGAAGACATGCAGCACGAACAGCAGCATCCGAGCAAGAAGTTGAAGAGATCGCACTCGTCGGCCGGCGACGAGCCTCTCTCGCCCATATCTACGTCGTCGCCGTCAAGAGCTTCGCCACCTGCCCTGAGGGATGACCCTCTCCCACCAAGCGCCGGCCGCGTGGCGCCGGGCGTCGACGCGACCACTCCGCCGCCAGAGGCCGGCGTCAGCAGGGTCGACACGGAGGGCATCAACGACGAAATCGTCGTCGCCGTCATACAGCAGCTCGAGAAGACGGGCAACCGCCCGCATCTGCTCAAAGAGCTCGCTGCCATCCTCCAACACAGCCTGCCCATCGTGCAAAGGTAAGGCCTCTTCTCTTGCCTACACTGTCAACGGGTGTTCTGCTCTTTGGATCAATGTGCTAACGCGTCCTTTGTTGCGTTGCAACAGCTCTGCGAACCAGCCCGCCATCATTTCCTCGCGGCTTGCCACCTACATGAAGCGTCCGTGGACGGCGCTGGCTCCGTGTCCCATAGGGAAGGAGCTCATCGGCACCCACCCAAAGCGCATCTACTTCTACCTCACCACTCAGCCGAGGCAAGCGTTCCCGGATCCTCCGGAACGCGCAGATCAGGCCGCGCGCATCATCTCGCCGTCGCTCACCTCGGCCGAGAACGAAGAGGACGACAAGCAGGCCAGGAGCCGCGCTGCCTTGTCGCCCTCGCCCGAGGTTGACCTCTCGACGCCGGAGCTTGAGCAGTACGAGTCGCCCTTGGAAACTGAATACTTTCCGCACGGCCACGCGCTCTCCCGGTTCCAAGCGCACGACGGCTCGACCACCAGCCTCGCGCAGAGTCAGTCCACCCCGCCGCTCGAGGGCGACGAGCGCGAGTTCACCCAGACGGCCACCTCGTTGCAGCAGCGTCACAAATCTGAGTCCATGGATTTTGCCACCCGGGCGCCGCCCGCCACCAAGGTCGAGCCCGTGGACGAGATCATGACCGAAGATTCGGAGGAGAGCCGGGCGCGCCACAACCGGTCCGACGCGGCCGCTCTGTTTGGCCAAGGCGACAGCCATCTGTCCATTGCCAAGGTATCTTTCATGGAGAGCAGCCCGATGCTGAGACCGCAGGTCGACTTCGACATGCTTGTCACGCACAAATTGGAAGTACACGACATACGGCTCTCGGACGAGTACGACTCCAACTTCCTATGCGAGACGGTCGAAATGGACGAGCTTGACGATCTGTTCGCCACGTATTAGAGGCGCCCCTGACTCCTTTCGACATCCGCGCATAGCTCTGTTTGGGCCGTTCATCCAAGTCGAGCAGGAGCCCGCGGCGTCTTCCCGGGTCCGTTCGTTCTTGGGTGGGGGGGGGGGGGGGGGGGGGGGGTTTTTTGGCCTCCCTCCCTCTAATATTCCCTTTCTATCCTCGCATCTACTTTTTGGACGGCCACTGCATGTTGTCATTTTTTTTTCATCTCTTTTTTTTTAACATTAGATTTGGGGGCCATGCACGCATGCACGATAGTTTCATGGATTGATTGATTTATGTTTCGGGCCAGAAATCTGCTCTAAGCTGGCTTAGGTAACAGCGCACCGGATAAAGTCTGTTCGGTGCATAGGGAGCCTTGTATGTGTGACTATAGAACGTTGTCGTTGTTGTCGATTGGCATCCCTGGAAGGGAAGAGGGCCATCGGAAGACAAGAAAAGCGCTTGGTGCGATATGATGCAATGCATGAGGAGACGCAGAGTGGGAGACTGGACGTGGGAAAAACGACGATACCAACCACGCATGCACCTTCGCGTCTTCCTTTTTACGGGTTTGTTTTTTATTTCCTCTCTATCATTCTTCAGCGGGTGGAGGGAGAAAGCACGCCTTTGTATAACTAGCACTCTGAATCGTTGGGCTGGGGGGTGGTTGAACAAGCTGATATCCATGTGCTGCTACTTTCTCCTTCTCTTCGTCATTCCCCTTTTGATCATTGCTTTTGCTTCTTCCTGGCGAAAGAGGGGCTGGGGATCAAAAACTCATGGGAGGTAACGAGGTTGGCGTCAATTTGGTGGTTGTTTTTTTTTAACATATATTTCAATTTTTTTTTTCTTTCTCTTTTCATCGGGTGCTTGTGTAAATTCTTGCAAAAGACCAAGTTACTACGAAACAGTCCAAGAATATAAAAAGAGAAATCCAGACAGTCAAGAGTTTTTTTTTTCTTTTCTTTTTTCTTTTTAAATTAAAAAAAATTTTTTTTACATATGTTAGAGACGTAATTTTGATTCTGTATAAGGAACTTAAAACAAAAACCCTTTCGCTTCGTTTCCTTCGCGAAAGAAGGAATACGAAAGGTGACGGGCGAGATGTCAAGCTAGAGCGTGAAAATAGACGAGAGGGATAACAAAGGAAGATAAGATGCTTGCACGCGTCTCCTCGCTGGCGCCGCTTTTGCGAACGTACGTCGCGATCGTGCATTGGCAGATCCGCTTGTATACACATCTACACACATCTACACACACATACACACACACACACATATATATATATATATGTACGTATGTATGTACAGATGTACACGTGTGTGCGCGTACGCGATTTAAAGCTTCGCATCGATTTTCGCACGTCCCAGCTGGCGGCCTCGTCCGGACGCCGGCGCCGGGCTGATTGAATTTGCCATTTTTTCTTCATTCTCTTTTGAGTGGTCCTTCGCGCGCAACCGTCGAGTTCGGTCCCGGCTGCGTGGGTTTTACCCAGCCCATCTATACAAGTACAGGCCGCAGCGCGCAAGAAGAAGCCGTTGTGCTAAAATAAGGGTTTTTTTTTTTTAAAAAAAAAAAAGCTTTGAAGTTAAACCTGATGCGCACGCGCCAGTGGGGCCACGTGCAATTGCTGCCTTTTTGTGAGAAACGGCGGCGCCCTTGGGGTTCCGAGCAAGAAGAGCGCTTGGGTGCTTTCGCTGTCTTTTTTTATTTGTCCCCTACCCCTTCCTTCTCCCTCCTTTATTCTTTCTTTTTTTTTTTTTTAACTTTTTTTCCCTCGTTCAGAACGGTGAGGAAATAAGGTTGCGCGCGCGTGTGTGTGTGTGTGTGTGTGTGTGTGTGTGTGTGTGTGTGTGTGTGTGTGTGTGCGTGTGCGAAGGAACCGTGTGTCGAGCAGTCTTTTGCCGTGCGTCACACGCCGGCCTTGCGCGCACCGCGCCAATGGACGGGGGCCTGGTCTCGAGAGATGTGCATTCGCCGTTTGACGACGCGCGCAAGTGGCGGTGTTGCCGCCGTCTTCTTCGAGCTCTCGACGTCGAGGACCAGTCCATGGCGCACTCGGGTTTCCGTCGACGTGCTCTTCCGGCGCGAGTGATTGTCGAGGCCTGTTGCGTGACTGTACATGTGTGGCTGTTGGCATGGGATGAAGGAACATCTTCTGTTCGAGGAGAAGCGAATCGCACTCAATGTAGCCTTTCTACGCTCTGTGCTGGCTCACTAGTCCCCCTCCTGAATCTCTTGTTTAAAGGCCGATAGACAAATAAAATCGTATATCAAGACCAATCTATTGCTTCACTACTGCTTGGTCATTGCATATCTTCCCCTTCCTGGCCGAACAATCTGTCAACCGCGAACCCCACCGCCCATACTAAAAACTCTTCAATCGCAATACGCTTGACATGTAGCTCATGTGTGTTGAACCAAGATAGCTGTGCAAGCTGTTCCAACTGGCCAAATTATGAGACAGATTGTCTTGTGATCAGCAACAGCAAAGGTTTAACAACACACCTGAGACATCATTAGCAGAATGCGAGAAGTAGGAATGCTAAAAAAAAAATCACACTATAGATCTAAATCACTTAGGTGTCGTGGAATAAGCAGACTTGGATCACCACATGATTTACGTGGGCTGAGGTCCAAACGACGACCTACAAATGGCGGCGCAAGAGACGACCATTTTTTGTTATTGGCAGCGTTGTTCAAATACTTCTAATGGAAATGCACGTCTCCTAATTTGACCGCGATGGCTGCTGATTGGCAGAAACAAGTACGGGTATCGAATTTCGAATCACTCGTTGACGACGTTTCGCGAAACGAAGGGTCGAAGGCGCAGCTTTTTGGTCGACGGTCATTCTCCATTCTAATTGGGGGTTATCGTTTTCGTGAAGGTGATGAGCACACAAACGCACAATGGGACAAGGGGTGCCCAGCACAACGATTTCCAAGGCGTCCGACAGCGTGGCTGGCCGTGATGCATATGCTGAACGGGCTTGTTAACTTTTTCTTCGAATGCATGCACGTGAAGTCCAGAGCACAAAAACTTGTTCCACGGACTGGGCAGCATGTGATTAATTCTAGTTGTTGCCTCAGCTGCCGCAGCAAGGCTTCGAATCAAAAACACTCACTCCGCTGTTCTCAAGACATAGTCACGCGACAAGGACCGCCAAACCCGACACCCGCCATAAAATAAGGGCAAAACTCTCATATACGTCTCATATGCGCGAGGCCAGTCTGTCTGCTGGATGTGTAGTCGAACTCTAAGCGCAACGCATCCGAGCTCGGAGGGCCTGTGACCAAGCTTCGAGTGCCTCTGTTTCGGTCTCGAGAAGAGCCGCGCACCATGTCCCGGTACCACGACGAGACCGAGGAAATTATCATCACCACCGGAGGATCTAGCCGGCGGGATGACGGGCGGAGTAATGAGCTGATTGTTCCAGTGAGGACACACCATTCGAGAAGTCACAGTGGATCCAGATCCCCGCGTCCTGACCGAAGTCCGGATCGACGGCCACGGCCAGGCTACAAACGACTGATAGCATGTTGCGATGGTCTGTCGCTCACCTGAATCTGCTTTAGACTTGCCGCTGATTGGATTGTCTCCAGGCACATGGCTAAATAGCGATGATGGCATGCTCAATGGGGAGCTTGCCGTGCCCAGCAACGTGACTAGGATGTCCAGGGCTATCAAGTCGCAATCTAGAGACGGAATCCCCCAAATTGTGTACTATCATCGCGGCGTTGGAAGCCAGGGAGGGATCGTGGACAGGGTGTTCATGGGTGAGTGAGACCGCACGACAAGTGCGGCCAACACAATGACCCGAACAGCGCTGATTCTCGCACCAGGTGCTGTTGGGGAAGGTCTTGGTGACGCAGTGAGGGAAGCGTACTCTTTCATTTCGACCAACTACACACCTGGAGATGAGATCTTCCTGATCGGCTTTTCCCGAGGAGCGTTCACTGTTCGTGCCGTAGCTGGAATGATTGGGACCGTGGGGCTTCTTACAAAGAAAGGCCTCCCGTACTGGCCCGAGATCTTCAAGGACGTAACACATGCTCACGACAAGCATTATAGACCCAAGGAGCCCAATTTGCCGTTTCCCAACAAGCCGCGCATGGGCCCGGCGTACAGAGAAGAGTTGTGGCGGAGGGGAATGACGGACCTTGACGCCATGGTAAAGGCGATCGGGGTTTTCGATACCGTCGGTTCGCTTGGTCTGCCTCGCATTGACCCGCTTGTCAAGATTGGCCTGCAGAGAGATCAATCTAAGGAGATGCGATTTTATGACACGAAGCTGGGACCGAACATCGAAAACGCCTTTCAGGCGTTGGCCTTGGACGAGAAACGCGCGGCCTTCAGCCCCGCAGTGTGGGAGCGGCCTCCGGGCTGTCGAACGAAGCTGCGTCAAGTCTGGTTTCCCGGCGTGCACAGCAACGTCGGCGGCGGCTACGACGATCAGGAGATCGCCGACATAACGCTCGCGTGGATGATGGCGCAGTTCAGCCCTTTCTTGGACATGTACGACGACTACATCATTCAGCAGTGGGAGGAAAACCAAGCGTACTATCGCGAAAGAAGGAAGAAGCCACGGCCGTGGAGCTTTGGGAAGATATACAATTCGTCGACCGGGGTGTACGCGCTCGGAGGTAGCAAAACCCGCACGCCAGGCTGCTATTATGCCACGGATCCGGATACAGGCCAACCGACCGATCGGCCGTTGGAGGACACAAATGAGTACGTCCACCCCTCGGTGCGGACCAGGTTTGTGCTTCGCGGCCCGGGTGAAGAAGACAAAGGCGACTACCAGCCCGAGGCGTTGGACGATTGGAAGCTGGTTGTCGAGTATCCGGACGGAGAACGAGGCGCGCCGGAGATCTATTGGAAAGCCAGGTTCAAGGATCGCAACGTGAGCACGAGGATCCTGCCGGAATGTCCGTTGTGGCGCGTAGAGCGCAGGCTGCTCGGCATGGATCCGGAGATGGAGGAGGAAGTGATGAATCCGCCGCCGACGTCAAGGAGGCAGAGACGAAGTACTTTGGGTCCACCACCTTGAGAGATGTCTGGCCTCGGCTCTCATTTGGTGCTCATTTCGATGTCGTGTTCGCATAAACATCTCTGACCAAGGTATTAAAAATTCTTTTTTTTTAAAAAAAAAATTCACGGTTTGGTTTTACTTTTTAAGGTCTCGCGATAGAAAGGATTGCCAAAATCCAAATCTCTTTTGTGTGAGTCAGGTCATGTCCGACTCGATTCGGTAGCCCGCGTTTCTGGACGCTCTGGACACGCAAAGAAGCGCTCGACCTCTGATGGTCGAGTGAGTGTCAAGTGAATGGGACGTACAAACATGCGCGCTTTCCCGCCTTTAGCCACCTGCATGCCGGGTAGCAGGGTGAGCTCTCCGTCAACGATGAACACGAGTGATCTGTCGTGCACGTAGTAGCCATTACTCGATAGACAATGGGTCTAGAGTAGTATCCTTTGAAAAAAAAAATTCTCTATTGTCACAGCGAATTTACTCCTGGACCGCGTCGCACGAAGGGCCACATTTGCCTCGCCTTTCTTACTCTTCCTCTTGACAATGCTCGACTCAGGCGGCGTCTACCATCCGCCTCACCCAGCCAGCTTCGAGCGCAGAGCAGCCGAATTTTCGGTCAGATTCGAGCTGGCTCTTGGCCGCTGTCCTTCCCTGGCTTCTTGCCTTCACCCCTCGGTCTCCAACATCGTCCGTAACTAACGGCCGTGCCGTGGGGAGGCGGCGACACCGAAAAGCGACGTGGTGGTTTCTCACATCGACAGTCCACCGTCCACAATGCCACCGTGGCGATCTACGCCTCGGCTGTCGACTTCGCCGTTCAATCCTGTTCAGACGAGAGAGGCGCATGAACTTCAGTCGCGGCCCAGACGACCGTTCTTTGCGCTCTTCCAAACGTACGTCGTCTGCGCATGTGACCGCCGACACGTGTCGCGCGGCAGTAAGATGAGCGTGCGCATTCTGGCTGGCAAAGCAGCGCAGGAGAACATTGAGCTGATGCGCGGGCTGCTGCAGCTAGAGAGGGAAGACGATCTTTGGTTCGAAGACGAACGCGGCGGGAGCGTTGTTCCCGACTACGACGGACTTGAAGGCCAAGCGATGAAGGTGAGCGTGTACGTCAGGCGCAGAGACGGCGAGTTCATAAAGTCGCTGTCGAGACACAACGTCGAAAGGCGGTTCGACATACACGAAGACACGGCTACCGAGGGGCGGGGAGCGGGAATAGAGGGCTGGTACGAAGGGGGGAAATGCACGTGTTATCAATGTGTATTGGGTAAGGAGCGAGATGCGTATGAGGAACATCTTCAGGTGTTGGCTGCACAATTGGGGTCATGGAGCTCGTCGACTGCGCGAGCAGAAGAGAGTATTCCGCAAGAGAGCGTGGCGATACAGGAGCTGGGCGCAGACTCCATCCACGACACGCCTCCGATGCGAGGCGGTGAAATCGAGCTCGACGAGACGGTCGATCGAGACTCGACCAGAAGCAACGCCAGCGCGCTCGACACCGGCTCTTTTGATGAACATATCGTTACAGAGTATCATTACGGTAGGATTATTCCAGGCCCGGACTCGTACAGCGTTGAGCACGCATGGGAAGAGAAGAAGGCAAGGACCAGCCGCATTGCGCCGTGCAGGATGATGATGATGACAATGCCGACAGACGACGACTATCGATCTGCAGCTTCCATTCTGCGGAGGATGAGGTGAGCTGGGGAACGGGTTCGCTGCCCCGCAGCTCACCGTTGTGTCAGTCAATCGATCGTAATATGCATCTCGTCAGAAGGAACATGCCGCAACTGGAATGTGGAAATCCATAGTCTTTTACTGACAACTAAGGAGTGCTCGCTCGCGTGAGATTGAAGGGCACGTACGAGAAATCTAGCGCCTCAGGCAAGAAAGATCGCGACTGCTCCGTTGAAGTGAGTTTCTTTCAGTCAGGATGGCAGAAACCTGCAAAGCCGAGCTGACGGTCGTGCATGAAGCAAAGTGTCAGGCTGGGCGACGGCGCTGCAAGAGAGCGGTCAAGAACAGGCATGACCGGCACGCAAAGCTGGATAAGATCATATGAGTGCATTGATGTAGAATCGAAATGGAGCAGACACATCAAATCTGGACCATGCACCAGTGATCGTCGTAGTAGCAGCCTCGGAAAGTTTCCGTTTCGCTTTCCTTTTTTTTTTTTTCCAATTGAGAATTCAAACAATGCTGGTTGGATGGAGGGAGACGCGCTTCCCGGAACGGCAAATGTTGCAATTGCAGTACACATATGAGCAACTCAGCTGTGTGAGCGAAACAGCGGGAAAGGTTGATAAGCCCGACTGGGCTGCGGCTTTGACTACTATTTCCGGCACGCATGTAAGAGAATTGTGAGGTCGCACGGCTCATGCGTCGAATGGCACTAGATGGTGCGTACTGGCAGCACAAAAACTTAGCGGTCCAGACCAGGTGGACGAGGGCGTTTTTCGCGTGTCGTTTCGCGCTTCCTGCGCATTTCTCCCCCATCTCGCTTGGACGACGGGGGCAGGCGATCTACCTGCAACGACAGTAGGAGGTGAATTCACACGCTCGCTACGCTCCGGGCAAAGCAGCGAAGAGGGTCAGAAGCGCGATTTAAGCTTCGGAATCGTCGGCAGGCCTTTTGCTCTGACCTAGCTGGCCCAGCGAGCCCATGGCAGATGCCGCGACCCGACAGCTACGGCATGCCGTGGGAACCCCATCAACATTTGTCAGCCATTAGGAATCATTTTCGACTGTGGAGAAGAAAGGTGACGATCTGCCGATGCCGTCGTGCGCAATCATGGCCTCATCGGGTAAGAAAATTAGGGTAGAGGCGAGAAAAGGCAGAGGGGAAAGGCTCGACGAACGTACGCGCAAGCGAAGACCATGGCCTGGTACGGGACTGATGAAGCAAACGTGGATTTCATCTGGTAAGAGTCCAGTCAACGTTAGCTAAGAGCGACAAGGCCTTGGAGATCTATTCCTGTAACAAGTACGTATAGATATCTCCCAGGCAGGCCAGGGTCGCGATACGATAGACAAGCGCTGCAGCTGAGGAAGAGACGCCCGGGGGAGGCAATCAAGAGCGAGGCTGCTTTGGGAGTACAAGACGTCGATTCGAGGTCCATAACACTGGCTGGAAGCAGCTAGGCTTGGGTTACGTTCACGCAGCTGGAGAGCAGGCGGGCGCGTGATTGGCGCTGGGTGTCAATTTCGTAAGCAGGCGACGTTCGGCGCATACACCCGAGCGAGAGCAACTCGGCGAGACGGCGACCTGCCAGGCCAGCAGCAGGCGTGGGCCCATTCATCCTCGCCGTTCTCACTTTCCTCCGCCGATGATCAGCATCTGTCCTGTTGTTCTGATGTCGTCCTGTCACGCTGCGCGAGACAAGCGAACGTGAAAGCGTGCATTGTCGCTGAGGAAAGGCTCGCTTTTTGCAGGCCGGATCGCATTCGTTCGGTGACGGCCAGCGGCGAGGCCAAGGTGTGGTGTTAGTCAGAGCCGACGCTTACGTTAGCTGGATTGGTGCGTTGGAGAGGGCTTGCAGCGGGTCAATCTCCACTGCTGGACACTCCGGCCCAGGACGAAGAGAGACGCGACACTTTTCTGTGCAGCGACAGCCAGGGACAACTCTGCGACTGGAAGTGCGAGGGCCTCTACAGGGACCACGGCTGCGTCGACTGCAGAGACTCCTGCCGGACCCGTGCCGGCACCGGCACGCACGACTCTGCTTTGCACGGCCGCGGACGGCGAGCGCTGTCTGTACGACGTGTACGACCTACGGTATCTGCACGACCCGTGCTACGGGCACTGCTGAGGATTCCGGACTGGCCCCAGGGAGCATTGCGCGGTGCGCGTGCGCCTCATTGGCCGCAGCTACTCGCACGCCTCGTGCCTTCCTCGCAGCGCCCTGCGCTCTTGCCTTTCCCCTTCGCCCTCCGCGCCTGCCCTCGCCGAGCGAGCCAACCGCTACGGGTGCCCCCCCCGCTCGCGGCCCCTCCCCCCTCTCCACCCCCCAAGAAAAATCTTCGCATTTAAAACCCGCCCTGGCTGCCCGCGTAGTCATCATCCATCGTCAGGTTTTAGTCAGCCGCGCTCCAGCTTAAGGTAACCCGCCCCAATATGCTTCCCTCTTTTGTCCTTCATTTCACAGCCATGTCAACCTTCCACTGCCCAAAGCTTTGGCTTGTGTCGTCCCTCCGTCATCAGCCCCAGTCGGGTCGGTCTCGGAGCCGTCATGTGTTCTGTTACGGCCACGCTTGGCCGCGATTAATAAGTCGACCTGTTCACATCGTTCTAACTGCACGTCCTAGTCCCGCCCGCTCCGGCACCCATTATTCTGACATAAAGTTCGCATAACCCAGCCGAGACGCGCCGCCCCAGACACCCACCTACCCGCACCCTCACAGGTACCCTCAGCCTGGGTTCCGAAACACCGCTTCACTCGGCCCTCGAATACCTCTAATACCACGCGCCATTGGCACCATTCCCTCGCTGTGCTATTTAGCGTAATCATCGACTCTCGTGTGGCCCCCTCTGTCCTGCTTGAAACAGACTACGCGCTTATCCTTTTGCTGACGTAGCGTGCCTGCCCGGAGCTGTGCAATATCATGAGTTAGTAATCTTGGCCTTCCCTTGTTCTGCTCCCGTCCATGATAACGCTCGGAAAGTCAGATTTGACTACGGGCCACATCTTTGCTAATATGAATAAAGGCTTGCGCGAACATCTACTAGCCGCCCAGTCTGGGCAGCCAGCTCCGCCCGCCTCGAGCCCGACGCTGCAAGACATACACTCAAGCTATCAGACGCCCACTCACCACCACATAGATCCAGCAATCGGCGGCAGTCCTGGACAGCCAGTACCGCTTCACGAGATGGAAGTTGACGGCTCCGAGACTCGCAGGGGCAGGCGCGAGTTATCGACGTCCAAGCGAGCCGCCCAGAATCGCGCAGCCCAGCGCGCATTCCGCCAACGCAAGGAACAGTATATCCAGTCGCTCAAGGACCAAGTGAAAGAGCATCAGACACTTGCACAGAACTACGAGACCATACAGAAAGAGAATTTCCAGCTGCGTCAGTACATCATCACCTTGCAAGCCCGTCTCCTCGAGTCACATACCGAACTTCCACCCCCGCCGGACTCAATTGACCTGTCGCGCGGTCCACCCGTGATCGCCACGTCGTCGGCGCCGACCGCACACATGGCTTCACCTATGCTGGAGAGTCAATTACAGGCCGCCGCTGTGGCGGCCTCGAACGATCAAGAGCAAGAGGATCGCAAAACAATTGTCAAAGGTGCGATATGTTGATTCTTTTCGTATCTGCCCGTCTGTCGTCATCTCCGTCGCAACGACACGACCAACGTAACATCACTCGTAGTATCTTTGCGCCGGTTCGACCTCGCACTTCTGGCACATAAACCACTTTCCTTAACTCCGAATAAGTCATTCCTCCACAATACAGGCTTTCGCTGACATTCACAAAAGTGCAGCCCACGGACAGTAGCCCGAACCAAGCATCCAGAGACGCGAGTGGGTGACTTTCGCCCTCCATATTCTCGCGAAATCTTCACCCCTTGCAACGACGTTCACGCCCCTTGAATCTTTACGTTCCGATACCTTGATTTTCCCCGGTACACCTTTCTCATCGTTTTCCCGGTTTGCATGGCTCTCTATGAGCGCACTTACCTATTTCCATCATCCAAGCGAAGCGGTTCCGATATCAGCCCGACGCTTTTTTTTTCTATACTACTCGGCTAGGGGGAGTGCAAACTCGAATAGGCGTTCAACTGGCGTTGTCACTTTTGGCCCGGAAAAATCAGGTCGGCCATGGGCATGTTTACATGTCGACCGTTTTTGTTTTGGCGCACACACTTCTGTAATGTCATGACGCGGTTTATTTCCACTCGCGTTGCTCTTTGGGGGACCGGGAAGGAGGCCGAATTGCTGCGATCGAGGAATGCAAAGCAAGAGCGGGTCACGAAGCGAGAAGAGTGGAAACACTGGAACGATCCAGTAGGTGTACGCATATCCGTTTGCTTGTTCTGCGTGCATGTGTGGCAATGCGTTCAATCCGCCTCGCGCAATCTGTCTCCCGTTTGTTTTTCCTGGGCGTGTATTGATGCCATTGTTGCTATTATTGGTGTAAAGCTCAGCTTTTGATTCATGTATGACTACATCCTCCTCGGCTGTAGTGCCGTGTTATTGGGTGACTGGCAAAGTTGAGTTGGTAGAAGCATGGGGTCTGGTGGTGGAATGGGCCGCAGTGGTTGGAGGAAATTTCCCCCATGTCCTGGGCATGATTAGTCACGCAGGCTCGAGCTTTTTGATGGCTGAGCTAAGGACCATTTGTGAGCAGACTGTCATGCGATATTTCGACTCAGATCAGCCCAAAAGAAAAAGAAGACTTTTCCTTTGCTTACAGATTACCACGGCATTCTAAGCCACCAGCGCCTCTCCGTGGGGCTCTCTAGAAACGAGACAGGCGTTGGGATTGGGGTCGAAAAACACAGTGCGGTTGCTTTTGGCTTTCAATGTTGTCTCCAAACTAATAGCTGCCAGTACGGGGCGAAGACTCTCGCGTGACACACATCCAGCCCATTCAACTAAATGAACGTGCCATTAACGTCAACGCGGCCCAGGTTCTCGCCCACGAGAGAAGACCAAGTCACTCGTTATGGCAGGTGGTCTGCACCCAACGTTACAACCACGTTGACTAGGCGCCATGTGGACTTGCGAAGCGATGCGAATGCTCTCACCGCACGGAGGACACCCTGCGATAGATACCAACGTCAAGCTTCGGACGAGAGCGAGACCATCAGCAGTCCCTTGAATTGGTTTCACTCAGTGACGGGATCGCAAGCCTCACAAGCCTGTCGGTCTGTACGCATTTGCAACACCAACCCGGGCACCCGGGCATTCATTTGCTTACTATACACGACGCCAGAGCTTTGCTATGTAGGACCAAGTCTTTGTTGCCGCGAAGTGCCGTTCTAGGAGAGTGAGGCATCCATGCGTGCGGGACGACAGGGCAAGTAGAGCGCCTTCATCAGCATGAAGCTGTGAGCGAAGCAATAATACGCACGATACGATAGCAGATGCCCCGATCAGGGAAAGCAGACGCTCTTTACCGAGCACCTAACGCGGGCGGCCTGCCAGCGCAAATGAACAAACCCGCCCCCCCCCCCCTCTCCTACTTCCGCCCTCCCATCCCTATTCACCAATGTCCTGATTTGGCAGGAAAAGCACGAGCTCGGTTTTTTCCCAGGCCCTGTCAAAGTGCGATCTTGGATGTGTCTTCTGTTCTTCCCGCTTCTGACGCCCTCCGTCCGCGTCCCCGCTCTCTGGCTACCATAATCTCTCGATGAGATAGCGATTCTTCAAGATGGCGTTTTGATAACCCGACCGGTGCTCTGATCTTGTGAACATCTCACCCAGACCATAGTCAAATATTCGTAACCCGTTCATCCATCGTATGACAATTGTAATTCTTTATCTCGCTGATGCGGGATCAAACTGCGCCAAGCTTCGCAGAATGCTCAAAGCAGCGTGCGTGACGCACCCCGTCTCGCGTGTGAACCCATGCCGAGCATTTGGTCAGTAATCAGGCTGCACCTTGTCGATGGCCGAAATCAGACGCGCCCATGTGGCATCTCCGGACTGTTGGCCGAATCGAGCCTGCCCCTCATGCTTCCAAGGGCCAGAATAAAGAGCTGTTCACTCCGGGTCTCGAAGTAATCGCAGTCATCTTGATCATTGGACGGCAGTGACTGCTTTGGGACGTCGGGCAGCGTGCGACATATACGGGGAAAAAAAGTACCTCGATCTGTTTTTGACCGCTTACGGCGCGGTGGCGAGAAACTTGGAACCTTGTGGCGATGACGACGACAGCATCATCTTGGTCACGCTGAAGACGATCCGTAATGATGTACATCGACAAATGAAGGTCGTGTCGCTGTGCTTGTTTGTCTTGCCTTACGTGACTCTCGTCAATTCCCCCCCCCCCCCCCCCCCCCCCCCCCCCCCCCCATTTCAATTCGTCTGTTCTGCCGTTCCAGATTGAACGATCACACTCCCGTCGTGCTGCACCATTTCACAAACCAGTTGTAGTTTTCCTTCCACCTATGTCCAGACCGAAAGGAAAGAAAAGAAGGGAAAGGAAGAGACAAATAAATAAAAAGGATTTCTTGAAGTATAATTTTTCACCGTCCTCTTAACCAATCTGCTACGCCGCGAGAAGACTGAACTTTTTGCACATCTCACTCGCACCTTCGGAATTCCAATTCTTCCAGTGCCCCGTATTCTTGTACCACCAGTCTCGCTCTTGCCCGAGAAACGACGCGGCTATATGTTCGGAAGCCACTTCTGCACGTCCTTTTCCAGGCCTCGAAAAGCACTCGTCAACTTGTGCTCCCTGCACCAATCAGCGGGTTGGAAATTACGCGATTGGTATTTTTTTTTCCCCCTTCTTTTGTATCTTTTGAAGGAGCGGGAGGAAGAGGGTACAGGGTAAAGAAAAATGAAATGAAAATAAAAAGAAAAAAAAAGGATAAAACAGGAAGAGAGCTAAATCCACGGGGAAAGGAGCAGCCTTACTTGGGTTTGATGCTCAAGAAGTCCGGCTCAAGTTTGGGCACGTACTGATTGAGCAGGTCCAGCTCCAGCTGGGAGAGAGGCTCCTCTTGCATGACCAGGTCGTCCTTCTTCCACACGATGCTCTTCTGCCCTTCCAAGATTTGTTGGAGCGAGAGAGGTGGTCTGCCCGGCGCAGGAGCAGACGTTCCAGACAGCTTCCATCCTTCCAGGGCGGGCGGGTTGTACGTGCCTTTGTCTTCGAGACCCAGGCCCGGCACGCCCATGCGGATGCGCACGCTTGAGTGAACCTTCTCGCACGTGTTCACGAGCTTGCGGCTCGTGATTTCCTTGCCTGTGTTATGGTCGTACGGATGATACTCCATCGGAGTGCGGTACAACCAGCCGCCGAGCTTCATCTTGCCCTTGAACTCGTCATGGATCTGCCCCAGTCCCCACGAGCGCGGGTCTTTGGCCGCAGGCACGGTTGGATCATGTAATTGCAGCTTCAGAACCTCAAGGTCAAACGTGAGGTAGGGGGACAGCTGACTGACCATCCAGGCAAGGGTGATGTCACCAGGGCGCAGGTCGTCGTATCCGCCGCCTACGTCGGCGTGCGCGCCCTGGAACCAGACCTGAGTGAGTGTTTGACCTTCTTTTGGATTGGGGAGCTCCCAAATCGTTGGCGAGAAGGGCTTGCGCATCTCGTCCAGTGCCAGTGCGTGGATGGCATGTTCGACTTTGTCCGGGACGGTGGTGTCCACAAAAGCATAGTCTAGGCTGATCTCAGGAGGTACACCTGACGAGAAAATACCGATCCTGGGGATACCCAGAGAGCCTACTGTGTCATAACAAGCCACAGCCTTGATACGCACATCCTTGCGGGTCATGCCTCGCTTGAACAGCTCATTCGTATACTCTGCCGCGTTGCTGTACAAGTTTGGTCGTTGACCTTGCCATGGATAATTGGGATTGGGCTTCCAGTCCTTCAGCGGCTTTAGTTGATTCTCCCAGTCTGCAAAAACCATCCCAGTGGTCAGCCTCCAGACCACGAAACTACCAGACCTGCGAACACGGGAGGAACGAACCTTGAAAGATTGGGTAGAAGTACAACATGCCCTTTTGGGTGAGCAGGCCGACTGCGTCAATGAAAGCAGCAATGCTGCGAGCAGTGAAAGATCCTCGGGAGAAGCCCACGAGGTAAATCTCGTCCGCCGCCTTCTGGTCGTAGTTCTGCGCCAGGAAGTGGTAAGCCTCTCGAATATGCTCACCGAGGCCCATGCCCGTGGCGCCGCCAACGATGCTGTCATATATGTCATCTGTGCCAATACCGCTTTGGTAGTAAGCAATCTGGTTGTTGCCGTTGGTATCCACGCGCGAAATACTGCGACAGATACGCGTCACATTTGTCGGCGGCTGCAGAACAGGATCTTTCTCATTGTCTGCGTCCATCCATGTTCCTGTGCTATGTATCAATACCGCAAGATTTGCGAAAGGATTCGTCCTCCGCAGCAAGCACGGAGGCTAAGGCGGAACATAGAGCACATGACATGGGCAGAACAAAATCACTTGGACAGAATGAGAAGTAGCGTAGCGAGCGTAGAAGTAAGCAAAGCAGCGTACCATCGCAGCAGACCACAAGTTTCTTCATTGGTTGGATCTTGTTCTTGTTCGAACGGGGAGACGATAGTCACAAGAGCTCAACAAGTGAAAATTAAAAGAATTCTAAAGTGCGCAGCTCGACCGAGGAGAACACAGGAAGAAGAAGAAGAAGAAGAAGAAGGAGGAGGAGAAAATGCAGATGTCAGCGAATAAATGGGGGCCAGGAGACGCTCTCAGTGGACAGCTGAACAGCTGAAGGAAGGGGGAGGGGTGGGCAGAGCTGAGAGTTTTCTTGCACATGGTAAGCATTTCTCTGACGAGTTGCGTGCGTGCATGCGTGCGTGCGTACGTGCGTGCGGGGCACACACTCAGCACAGCACGGTAGAGCAGAGCAGATAGCTACAGCTGGGACTTACGCGTGGCATTTCAGAGCGGCCTGTGACTGGCGTAGACAAGCAAGCCCATGAGGCCGAGCAGCACAGTCCGAGAAGATGCTGAGGCCGCCTGTGACCCATTCGCCAAGACAGAAGGATGCGCGTGGTGCAACATCGTGGGATGAGTGGCTCATCGCGGGAGCTTATCTTCTTGCGGTGCAAGAAAAGGGGGGAACCAAAGAGGAGGTAAGATCCACGGTGAGATGTAACTCGCCGTGCAGACAACACTAACTCATTCGGATGGCGCCGAGACTTTATTTGGGCTGCAGCTGCGGAGATAGCTAGAGGGAATGCTTTTTCTTAGTAGCGGACGTGGCACTGCTTCCATGAAACGATGAACTGCCGTCGCTCTACGTGTCTCAACTCTGGAATCGGTGATCCGGAGCGCCAGGTCAGCAAAACAGGACGCGCCCCAAGTGCCAGGCAGTTCAGTTTATGTTCCGCAATCTGTCTCTTCCATGTTATTGACGTCCTTCACCAGCTCGGCTTGCGGATAAGGTTGCAGGAACGGGATGTGCAACCTATCGAGATCGTTGCGTCAGTAATCTTGGTGAGCTGGCATTTTTGGGCGATGATGTCACGGAGACGACACAGCACTGCGCTGCTGTTACCTGTACTGCGCAGCGCTGGTTGGGCGTGCTTCGCGATCGGCGGGTGCGGGCTAAGCATCCCCAGATTTTCGGTCTCGTGGAGAAAGCAGTCCTGCGCGTGTTCACGTTTGCTTTGCCTTTTTTTTTTCTTGAGTTTTCCCCGAAAGTTTCGCTCTTCCTGGCTGACGAGTGCGCTGTTGTTCGTGCGACTACGGTCGGCTGGCCATACCGCTTAGGATGTGGCTCGCGAGCTTCGGCACGAAAAGGCCCCAGCAGACCGACGAAGCGCTTCGCAAGCCGACCGAGATTCCTTTCTTTCGTTCACGGGGATACCAAGTCGAGGTGACCAGAGCGGCTGTGTTTCCGACGGTCGGACGTGTCCGTTCTGCGTTCGCAGTCGACGACCACGACGTGACTCGAACACTCCCGCTGACAAAGCGACACGTTCGGTTCTGGCACAGACGGGCGTGGCATACGTGTTTTGGAGTTTCGCTCGTTCGTCAGGACAAGGCTGAGAACAAGAACGAAAGCTGCGCACAGTTAGGCTGTTGCTAAACGTGTGGTCGTGGTACAAGCATCCGTTTGTAAGCGTGCTGCCCAGACTGGTACAGCGGAAGAACCGAGCGTGCGGCGACGCAAAGGTGGAAAATGCTCCGGACGCGCGGTTGAGGCTGGTGATTGGGCAGGGCAAGCGAGAGGCCACGAATGCTGCGACAAGATCGGACACAAACGGTAGGCCCATACAAGAACAGGTGTACGGAGTGCTGTGCAGCACTGCACGGCGAAGTGACCAGCCAGCCAGCGACAAGCTGGGCCAGCCTTGCAGTAGCGGCATGGCAAATGACCGTGGTGCAGCAGATAACCCCGTCGCATGATACGAGTTTGCATTGGGCGAAAACCCTGGCTCAGATCGGAGTGGCTCTGGCAAAAATCTGCTTTGGGTCCCAAAACTCGGCACGCGATGTTGCGATCGTCGGCTGAGACAGGTCGGGCACCAGTGAAGGAATTTTTTTTTCTTTTTAGTCTGCGCTTCATGACCCGTCATCCGCATCGCCCACTCTAATGTTTCTCGTCGCCACGAGGCCGCTCTGACCCGACGAGCAGACAGCAGACGTGAATGATGGCAGATGGCCGTGGCAACTCTTTCTGGCAGTGTTGACCGGCGACAGAGCGGGCAGGTGCGGAGCCACAAATAGACACGAAAATGACCGAGTCTCGCGAGGAAGCTACTACCGTCTACGGTCAAACACGATCGCTATGCCGCCGCTGCTCATCTTGAAGTAAGCAAAGCTGGCGTGCGGTGATGGAGGCCTGTTTCGGGGGCGCAGACAGAGGGAATCACGGTGTTTAGCATGGAAACGCCTCGCTTGCAGCCACGAGTGTTCTTCGAGGAGATTCTGGCGCGAAACTACAGCCCTTGTAAGGAGACTGGCGCTAAGCCGCACTAGCGAAAAGGCTACCTGGCCTTGACCGGAAGGGGACTAGTGGCACACGCTTTGACTCACAGTCGGGCCAAGTACTTAAGGAGGTGGCCTCCCACTTGCATTGTCACCTTTTTCCGCCCTTCTCGCTTGCGCACGGTTCCTTTCGACGCCGTCATCACCCTCTTCCCCCCCAGTCCAACCTTTGCTTCACCGCAAGAGAGCCTGACCAGCTTCTTTGCGCAATTCTCCTGTAATCAGCTCTCTCGCGCGCTCTCTGTTTTCTACTTAGTAGCCTTGCGCTCACTGGAAAGTTCCCGAGACGCCGGTCTTGGCATAACAGAGAGCAAAACCCTCCAGGCAACCGTTCTCTCTCTCATCGTCTACTTACTGTCGACGACCTCGATCAACCCTTCTCGCATCGTCCTCTCAAGGCTCTCTGCGAAAGGTTTCTTTAAGGTCGCCACACCTGATCCTTACTGTCTACGCGCTTGCCGTCGTCGCAGCGACTGATACTTTGCTGGACACTTTGAGTAGCTGCTCTGGCATAGTCGGTACGACACCTCACACCACTGCCTGTCACTGCTCTTCATAATAGGGCCGACGCGATCTATCGACGCCCGGAAGCCCAAGCTTTCGATCACTTTTGCGCCGCGATCACTTCGACCTCTTCCGTCACCTTAGAAGCTACACCTGAACGTGAGCCGCTGGTTAACACCGCGCCTGTCTATCTAGTCACTGCCTCCAACGGCCACATAAATAAAAACAAACAAGAAGCTTTACTCGTGCCACAAACCCGCCGTCGTCCACTGTGCGTGACGCGTCATCTGAGCTTTGGTCGCCATCATGGATTTAACTTCGCACCCGACCACGGCTGCGGCTGCAAAGAACTTTGTGGCACCAGTAAGCACTTGATGCTACTTCTTTGCGCATTCCTTTGATGTGCTAACAGAAGTTCTGTAGAACTCACTCAGCTACCCCTCTGCGCACCAGGACTTGAACACCCCGTCGCAGGAGGTCCAGCCACAGGCAAATGGAACCGTCAACGGCGCAAGCGGACAGCAGAATGGACCAGCTCCCGCGACACCAGCCGCAACGCCGGGTCAACCGGGCAGCACTACGTCTGGAGTTGTCCCGAAGCTGCAGAATCTTGTCGCTACTGTCAATCTCAGCTGTCGCCTGGATCTCAAGACGATTGCACTGCACGCGCGTAACGCAGAGTACAACCCCAAGCGTTTCGCTGCCGTCATCATGCGTATCCGCGACCCGAAGACCACTGCTCTAATCTTCGCCTCCGGCAAGATGGTCGTCACGGGTGCAAAGTCAGAGTCGGATAGCAAACTTGCCTCGCGCAAGTATGCGCGCATCATTCAGAAGCTTGGTTTTGACGCCAAGTTCACCGACTTCAAAATCCAAAACATCGTCGGCTCCTGTGATGTGCAGTTCCCAATACGCCTGGAGGGTCTGGCCAGCACACATCACAACTTCTCTAGCTACGAGCCTGAGCTGTTCCCAGGTCTAATCTACCGCATGATGAAACCGAAGATTGTGCTCCTCATCTTCGTCAGTGGCAAGATTGTCTTGACTGGTGCGAAGGTTCGAGAAGAGATATACCAGGCCTTTGAGCTCATCTATCCGGTCTTGAGTGATTTCCGCAAGTCATGAGCTGTCAATCAGCAAAAAATAACTTCCGAGAACAGACTCACCGGTGGATTCTCAAACCTGCGACACCGCTGTATCACCAGTCTGTACCAACAGCACGTATAGTTTGCAAAGACCCCCTGAAGCGTTGGGTGTCGGCTTCATGGTCCTACTCAGCTCGTCATCGTCGTCATTACGACCAGGCGTGAGCATGACTTCTTTTTTCTCTCTTCTCCACACTTTATACGCGGCATTGCATGGTGTTTCCGGCGCGACAAAACAGTTTGACCTTTTTTTACAAAAGGGGAGATTCAGGTCATTATTTTGATGATTAGACCAACTTTCACGACCGACGCTCGGTCGTTACACCTTCTGCACATTACAAAACATATTTCGCACGATGGCCAGCATGTCCGGTGGGGGCGCCGGTCGGTCGATCGGGTATCACGCCATCGTGTTTTTTTTCTCAACCCATACTAATCCGTACGTCCGTTTACTTTTGGGCTGAACAAAAGACTGAAACCGGTTGCTTTTAAACAAGTTGACTGCCCTAGGGATGGGTTTTTTGTCTTCATCATACCCTTAGAGGCTTCCGCGCGAGAGGTGCTAGCGTTGATTGACGTGGTGAATGTAAGGAGGGGCGTAGTCAGGTTGCTGGTGTCTTTGATGGTCCCGATCGAGGTCGGTGACAGTAGCTGGATCATGAGAAACAGGGTCCAAGGAAGCATGCTTTTTTAGGAGACGTAGCATGCTAATGAAATGCAATGTCAGTCGCTTATGGACAAGAGAACTCTTGTGCCCACATTACGCCCTTAGTCCGTCGTGATGACTCAGCTGTTGGTTGGTTCTCCTCGCGCTTTAGTGATTCAGTATTCAAGACCGCTTTTCGTTAGCTCGTCCTTGAGGATTAAACCACGAGAGCCGCTTCTGCTGCCGTCCAGAGACCACTCATCCATGGCGGCTTCCTTCCACGCCCATTTATTCGTGAACTCGCTTGGGCGATTGCCCTGCATGCAGTCCACGATCTTATCACCAATGACGGGCAGGAATTTGAATCCATGACCGCTGCCGCCTGTGGCAATGAACAAGGATTTTGCATACTTAGGATGGTAGTCGATGAGGAAGTCGCCGTCAGGAGTGTCGGCGTAATGGCAAATCCTCGTGAACGCGAAGGGACGGTCAGCGATGTCTGCGAGAGGCGAAGAGGGTGGAATGATGGCCTGTAGGAAAGCGCGCAGGTCGTCTTCGCCTTCCTTCGGAATGGGCTGCGACGCCTTTGCGGCATCGGGCTTGGTGTGCGGCAGAGAGACTGTTAGTTCGCCGGCGGAGGCATCCTCCGGGTGAGGAATGGCAGTAGGATTCGTGTAGCCCCACGCGTGGCGTGCGATCTTCAGATAGAGCGTGCCTTTGCCCATCTGCGAAGGGGGCTGCGGTATCTTCTCCGGGTGCGGCGGCGGTATGGCAAAGACGCCGCTGGACATGTTGAGTTGCACGGGCGTCTGCGATAGCGCCTCGGCCTCCTGCTTGGTGACCTCGATGTAGCCGAGCACCTGTCCTGTGGCAGTGACGCGGCCGGTAAGATCGATCAAAGACCCGGACCAGGCGCCTGCAGCGAGCACGATCAGGTCGGCGGACAGGTAGTTCCCGTCGCAAAGCTCAACACCTGCAACTGTGCCGGTCTCTGGATCAAAGACGAGCTTCTCCACCCCCACGCTGAGGAAGCCAACACGTTTGTACGCCATGACACGCTTGCGCAACCAACGAAGCGACGACTCTGCATCTGCCCAGCCGGAGCGACGGTTGATGTAACCCATCGTTCCGCTTGCTCCACCCGTTCCCGTTACCGCCGTCAGTTCCTCGTGGCTAGAGAAACTTTCAATGGCCTTCCCATTCGGTTTCGGCTCGGCCAGTGCTGGTGTCTTCTCAATGAATTCGAGTGCCCTTACATTCTCCAGGCTCTTCTCCACATATTCGCTCTGACCAGCGTCTGCTGTGAGGCACAGGCCGACCTCATGGTAACGATTGTCGGCACCCCATTCACCACGCCAATGTTTCTGAGCTTCAAGTCCAAGAGCTGCGTAGGCAGCGTTGGCGTAGTCTGTTATAAGCGTGAACGTTAATATGTGGGAGAAAAAGAAAGGCTGGAGCTAGAGTTTGATAAATGAAGGAAGAAAAAAAAAAATTTCAAAAGAACTTTAAAGCTCAGCTGAGAGAAATTTGCAAGAAAACAAAGGGCGCTGGCGTTACCAGTTTAAGTTGAAGAACCGGACGTACTTCCGGCCAGAGATTGCACATATAACTTTATCCTCCCTCTCATGGAGCTGGCTTTAAATTAGACAAAGGAACGCAAAGGAAGAAACGAAATGAGGAACAGCGGCAGTCTGGTAACAAAGAACGAACGAGGGAATGTTACACAACGTACCGGCCCTAACGATTCTCGACGTGTCTATCTGCGGACCCCGTGCGAGGGGCAGATGGTCAGAGACGTACTCAAACTAGCCCGGATGAGGGACGGTGCAAAGCAACTGGTCATATCAAAGGGAAACGAGAGCACAGGTCTTGTAGAGACAGACGGCCCGGCTCCAGAGAAGACAGCCACGACCCTTCTGTGAATCTTATCTTTTAGCACACGATAGGAAATTGAGTCAACTTACGCTGGCGCCGTCAGGAGCCGGGAACGGCAAACGATCGACCACGACGATCTTGGTGTCTGCGTATTCGGGTCGTCGACAGAGAGCGTCTGCGGTCGAGAGACCAAAGACGCCGGAGCCGATGATAAGGATCGAGGAGGGCACCTTTTGATCGGGGGTGGCGGAGGGGTTAGACGACATTATGAACCGTGGACGTGCTGCGAATTTCAGAACAGGTCAAGGCGATTGTGCATGAGCCAGATCGTTGGAGAAGACGGCGAAGACGATTTGTGAGAGGGACACGGTTGGGAGGTCACGCGAGAGGACTGAAGAGTTGAGAAAGGCCAAAGGACAAGAGGGTTTTCCATTTGAAACGACATGACGGCCGGCGTGCTGGGTGTGCGTGTTCGGGAGCATCGTTCACTTGCGCTTAGCCTAGGGCGTGATGGGTCGATGCCCTGCCGCCGTTGGAGCGCGAGCCCTTGGCCGAGCGCGGAAAGCGGAACGCTCAGCGTGGGCCGGTGGGCACGCTCGCCGGGATGTGTCAGAAGCTGTGAACGAAAACCCAGGTCTCATCGCCTGTGAGAGCCTCGTTATCCCGGAGCGATTGGCTATTTCTTTGTGTTCTTGCCTTTTTTCGCGGCACACTCCCGACGCACGTCAGTTCGCTGGTGCCGCCGAGGATGTGATGCGTGTCTCATGAATTCGGCTCACTCCATACGTACACGCGCTCTCAGCTTCGCGCGCAACATGCGCTTCGTCCGGCCCTCGATTTGCTGGCGATGCGCCCAGTCTATCTTCATCAGTCCGGCAGCACCACGGGTGCCCTTGAGGAGCTACGCATCGAGACCCAAGCTTGCCAAGGGTAGCTATACAGGCTCGTCGCGTCCTGCAGCCCCGTCACACGGCACATCCTACCCGCCAACGCCGTCGAAGGCAAATCAAAGGCCAAAGGCTTCACCCGCAGGAAGCAGCGTGAAAGCATGGTACGATGATGACCTACACAAGGACAGGCCTTGGGCGAGAACTTTCACCATTTCCGTAATTGCCATATCAGGCACGGCGTTCTTCGGACTGATAGGATGGTACGGTGCCCTTTACTACAACGGTCTCAATCAGCCAGCCCCTGAAGGCGATGAGCAGCCCATTGACCTCACGGCTATATACGACGAGTACGCACCGCACTTTGATGAAGATGTGGACAGAACAGAGTACTGGAACGGGATTCACACGCTGCGCAGCAGGCTCGTCAAACAGGCTCGGGGCGACGTGCTGGAGAGCGCGGCGGGCACAGGCAGGAACGCAGAGTACTACGTTTCGTCACGAATACGGAGCCTGACGATCGTCGACAAAAGCGCCGGCATGCTCGCTGTGGCGGAGAAGAAGTGGCCCATCGACCGGCGGGGCGAGGACTGGACGGGCCGCGTGCGCTTCGTGGTCGGGGACGTGGAGGAAGGCCTCTCGGCTGCGCAATACGACACAGTCGTGCAGACGCTGGGGTTATGCTCGACGGATGATCCAGATCGCTTGATGAGGAGCCTCGCCGGACTGGTGAAGCCTGGAGGAAAAGTGCTGCTCATCGAGCACGGCAGGGGTTGGTTTGAGTGGTTGAACAGGATGCTGGATCAGTCGGCGAGGGGGCACGCGGCGAAGCACGGATGTTGGTGGAACAGAGACATAGGAGAGATCGTGAAGAGGTCGGGCTTGGAGGTCGTTGAGCTGTCGAGGACGTGGAGGTCGCTGGGCACGAACTGGTACGTTGTGCTTAGGAAGCCGACGGTTTTGCCCGACGATGCGCGGCGCGAAGCACGGCAACGCGCGAGCTGATCGGCGAAACCGTGTCAAGCGGCAGATATAGACTAGCTTTCGCAAGATCAGATGAGTCTTTACGACCCTTCGTCTTTGTTCGTCCAATGTGTGTTCACCGGCGCGCGACGGGAGATTGCCATGTTCGCCGGCCAAATTCCATGTTTCTCGGAAATGCATCTGCACGCCACAGGCGCGACGTCATGGACCTTGCCTTCGTCTCGTCAAACTCCAAAAACAATCCGACCGGGGAAGCTCTTTTTCCCTCCCCTGCCATCGCTGGGGGGTTATCTTCTTACATATTTCCCCCGTCCAATCCCAGACCTCTGTAGAGTATTAGAATTCATCGGCGGGCGCATTGAGTCATGTCCTTCGTGGTGGAGTACGATGCACATGCAATCCGTTTTGTGTTTTTTTTCCGTACACTGATGTCACCGCAGTCAAGTCCGCCGCATCGACGGCCAGCTCGATCGCCTGCAACTTGCGCATGCATCGTATCCGTCAGAGGACTTCTCGACGGCAGACGTGCATACCTCTGAGCGATTACCGCGGATTCTTGAGCTTCAGCGCCTGGTCAAGAACTTGTCCGCGACCACGAGCTCGTCTACGCCGCTTGCATCGACAAGCACTATCATATCCACGTTGAAAAGCGCGAACCTGTCTTCTGACGCGGAATCTGGGTATGAGAATGAGCTTGAGTGGTTATTGCTTAGCAAGGCAACGGCGCAGGCGTATGGGCAGGTCTTAAACACCATCTTAGAGCAGACGCTGGCAGTCAGTGAGCACATCTGGTATTGGGATGGCATACTGTCCTCGCAAAGCGCTGCTGGCCTCTATTCGCTGCAAACCTCACCGTTGCGCATGTGGACGTGGGCGAAAGATGTATATCAAGATGTACGCGCGCATCGAACGGCACAAGGATTGGAAGAGGGTTGGAGGCAGTTCTACGGATTGGTGCAGGACAGCATACGAAACAGAAGCATCGCGACGCTGCAGGCGGGCGTGGTCAGTCCAATCTCAAGGGTACGCAACGAAGCACGTCGAAATCAGAAGAAGCTCAAGCAGCTTCGCGAAATCAATGCCAATGCCCTTGGTCTACTTCTCGGCGAAGGTCTAAGCAGCGAAACCCTGAACGAAGATGGGACTAGCACACCATTGTCAAGCGGTCCCAGAGACATGACAGAGAGTGGAAGGAAATGGAAGGGTGCAATCATGAACAGTATTGCCCTCATTGACGCCGTCTTGGCGCACGCCCAAGAGCCCGAAGCAGACTTGGACAACTTCGAAGACCGCATCCTATCTACAACGCGTGACGATCGATATTACGCTTCGCCAAATGACGTCGGCGTCGCTGCATTTGACGAACTGACTACAGCAGAAGTGGCAGCCCGCGTACAGGACCTCTTACAGACTATCCTCCCCCGGTATAAACAGACTTTCGACGGCCGCCTTCAAGAATGCGGCCAACCTTCCCGTCTAATACGCTACTGGCTACCCGCCACGGCCTTGCTCCTCTCGTCCAGCACAATTCTACGCATCGTCACAAACAGAAGAGCTCAGATCCTGACTTGGATACGCGAATTCGGCTCTACGTGCATCGACTTTTGGTACAACTGGGTTGTGGATCCTGTAAAAAATATCATCGGGACAATTCGACATGACGAGAACAGCGAGGTTGCTCTCGTATCAAAACGTTCACTTCAAGGGGATCGCGATTCCCTTGAACGAATGGTAGTCGACTTTGCGCTGGACGAGAACCGCAACCTGTCGGCCGAGCAAATCGCTGACATAAGAGCAAAGGTCCATGAGGGAGACTTGACGCCGGTGCTGGTGGCTTATGAGCGAGATATGGCAAAGCCTTTCATGGGTGCTGTACGTGGAAATTTGATCCGTGCGCTGCTGGTGCAGATTCAGAAAACAAAGGTGGACGTTGAGGTAGCAATCGGCGGTATTGACAGTCTTCTGAAGAGCCAGCAGCTGGTATTTGGGTTCATTGCATTGACCCCCGGACTGTTGGTGAGCATTGGCGTGGCGAGATATCTGAACGGCGTGTTCGGGAACAGGAGAGGCAGCCGGATGGGCAAGAGGCAAAACCAGGTCCTTGGTGTTCTGCGGTATGTGTTAGACCCATCCCTCAATGTTCAACACAGTTGGACTGATAATTGGACAGGAACATTGATCGCATCATCACCGCCGCGAATCCTTCGGAATACGGCGTACTGTACTACAAGGACTACGGCCTCTTGGTTGCCGAGTCGCATGTCTTACGTCAATGCGCACGCAATGTTTTGCCTCCTCACGAGTTCAGGGAGTTTCTCGTCGACGTCGATGAACTTGTGGATATTAAGGCAGGTATAGAGCGCCAGAAGCACGTTATCAGAAGATTGAGGTGGGGATATTCAAAGTGGTACTAGTGGAAGTCCATTTGGTTCATAGGCATTTGCATAAGGGAGCGTGGAGCTCTGGGTTGAAAAACAAATACTCACATTTCGCCACTGGTTGTGCACAAAGGAGCTTCTGATGAACATTTTGTTTCTTTTGTTTCTCATAAAAACACCTTTATGCAGCACTGCGGGCGTTCCGAGACAATCGAGTGAATGTTTGACTTCATTCTTGATTCGAAATCCTCGAAGTACGGAGTGATAGCGTTGGTCCTGGATCAACCAGAGAAATAAGGTAAGGAGTAGCGAACTGTTCGATTTGAACGTTGCGAGGGCTCCTCTTCTTTCCTTCCTCGGAGAAAGGGAGGTGGTTAAAATTTCTGTCAAAAAAAAAAAGCTGCTGCGCGTTCCGCCATACGTGAACTAGACTCGAATTTTCAACGACAGATTCCTACGGCCGAAAATGTGTATGTGGAATTATGCGCCCAGTGATTCGAAGCGACGTTCAGCAACGTAAGGACTAAGATTGATTTCTATTGAGATTATAACCCTCTGGGCAAGGGAAAGAAAGGTCGGGCATGGAAACTATTTGCAGTCATGGTGCCTAGCCGAGAAACTCGGAACGTGGATGCGGTCATCGTGGTTTGGATCAGAAACCCATGCAGTCTCCAATTCTTGCCGTGACCCAAGATTGCTCCGATGAGCCAGTGAAGGTTCTGAAGGAAGGCATGATAGTCTGAGCAGCCTCTGCGTGTTAGGATTGCAACTACGGTTATGCTGCTGTCGTGCACCGAGTGACAGCTTTGGGCGTATATGAGTCTTCATAGCACGAGACCCACGATAGAGCTGTGCGGGTGAGACAACTGCCGAAAGCATGTAAATACATTTCCTACTGTGTGTTGCCCGACAGAGTGTACTTTGCTACAATCAGCTTAACTTGACGCTCTTGCCGCTCAGTTTCGGCAGCTGGGCTCTTGCATCCTGTTCTCTGCAACGCGTTGAGGATGCGCCACACCTGGTGAATTCACGGCGTTCGAAACCATTTGATACAGGACGTCCCGATCGCTATGCAGCAGCGCATGCATGGTGGCGGACAGGTCGGAAGCAAGATTTTGCAACCAAGTTTGCTGGACTTTCGTCATGGTGTTGAGCGGCTGAATTGCACGCTAAACCGTATCAGGCACGCAGCCAAGCATCACTGAGACCTGGTCATCCTCGCCTCCAGGCCTGGATATACCCACCCCCAGTTCTTCCCGCACGCCGCCCTCTCAGTCACTTGTCACACTGTTTGCCAGACTTTGTGCGTACAACTGCATAGAACAAGATCCAGACCGCAGCTCCGCCGCACGCCTTGCTGCCATATCTCACCGGCAGAGCTACGAACCCACGAGGGGCATTTCTTACCACACGCCCCAACTACCTCCTACCCTGCCCTTCTTCTATAGCGACCTCCGGAGTCTCGCCGCATAGTCACGCAGACGCACCGCCGTAAGCGCAAGTGATACATAGGAAGCGCATCATGGCAGGGACGCGCAACTACGACTTCCTAGTATGTGCTCCCTCCCTTCCAGCTCAAACCCTAGCCCGATGTTATCATGCCGACAACGGCCATTACGCATGCCTTTGAGGAAGCTAACCGAGCACCTGCTCGCCATTAGATCAAACTCCTCCTTATAGGCGACAGTGGTGTAGGCAAGTCGTGCTGCTTGCTGCGGTTCAGCGAGGACTCCTTCACTCCAAGCTTCATCACTACAATCGGCATCGACTTCAAGATCCGAACCATCGAGTTGGATGGCAAGCGCGTCAAACTGCAGATATGGGATACCGCCGGTCAAGAGCGCTTCCGTACCATTACCACGGCGTATTACAGGGGTGCTATGGGCATTCTGCTAGTCTACGACGTGACAGACGAGAGAAGTTTCAACAGTATGCGACCAAGCCTCCTTGTGCACAAACGGGGCGAGAGCTAACGTGAACGTGAAGACATCAGGACGTGGTTCTCGAATGTGGAACAGCACGCCTCGGAAGGCGTTAACAAGATCCTCATCGGCAACAAGTGCGACTGGGAAGAAAAACGCGCAGTCTCCACAGAGCAAGGCCAGGCACTCGCCGACGAGCTGGGCATTCCGTTCCTGGAGGTTTCTGCAAAGTCCAACATCAACGTCGACAAGGCCTTCTACAGCCTGGCTGCCGACATCAAGAAGCGCATCATCGACACGCAGAGCCAGAATGCGCCTGCAGCAAACACGGGGGTCAGCATCGGTGAGCAACAGGGAAGCGGGGGAGCATTCAAGCAGTGCTGCTAAGGATTGCCTCGAGTTCGTTAGCGACGGAGCTGAGGAGAGAGCGAGAAGAGACACGACTGACGTGAGGGACCTGCCGGTCCCTCTGCATGATAGAGGCGGGTGGGCATCGGCGTTAATTATCAAACGGGTAGGCGTCAGGTCGGAGGGAATCCGTGCTTGCTTGAAGAGTGATCTAGCATGTGTATAGCTTTTTCTGGCTCGCTTTAACGTTGCAATTTATAGGATATCCTGCGCTTGACTGCGAATATCTTTGATCCGTCCTCAGTTTTTGCACGTCGGTCTCTTGCTAAAGCTTGAATCTGGACTCGATCTTCACAAAGTAGACGCAGGACCAGCACGATGGAGTTTCCTTACGCACTTATCGTTGTGCATTCGTGTGTCTCAGCTCTGCCGTCTGTGGCGGATTGTCCAACCATGTTAGACTTGATCCGCGGCCTGGGACTATTCCTCTCGTTCGGAGAAAAGTGATGGACCTAGTCACACGTCCAAGGTGAATCTACTTGTTCCTTGCTGATTAAAGATATGGCAATCTTTGTGTACTTCATCATTTCACCTCGGATCAAATTGAGCAAATCATTATGGACACTTGAGGAGATTGGTACGGTCGTTTCGAAATGGGTAAACGACAGTGATACCTTACATTCTCATGATAATTGCCTAGGCTTGAGTTCACCGTAATACACCTTTGAATAGGTTATAGCATTCCTGATTTACTATGCAAGATGTCTACATGCCGAAGGCCCTGTTTTAACGCGGAGCTCAATCGTCTATCAGTTTGGGCACCAGTCGGAAGGGAACCCAAGTTCTGAAAGATACTTAGATAAGCCTAGATCCTCCCAAGATCGCCTCTCAGCGTCGTCAGCGACCCATATCACGCCCATCATGCCCATGCTGTTGGCTCCAGGACGTCCATCGGCGCCTGACTGTCTACGAGGAATGACACACATCCAATCCGCCGTGAAGACAATATTGTGGGCTCTGATTTCACGTCCGAGGATTCCTTCGAGGATGGAAAGCAAATGCTGATACATCTCGAAGATGCCTTGCGCACCCATATCCTTGATAGACCCGAAGCGTACAAGATATGGAACACTGAGCTCCACGGGAGGGCAGTAATTGAGGCGCTCGATGGAATCTGCGGCGACCCTATCCGGCCACATGATGAATTCATACCGAGCAGGCTTTAACATGATCTGGACATGCTTGTACGGCTGTGACGACCCTGCCTCTGGGCAGCAGTTGTAAAAGGCTATCGCATCAATTGGGTCAAGCTTTAGCATAATTTCTCGAGAAGCTACAAAGTCGTCGATCGACAACCGAGTTGTTTGGGACGAGAAAGTCTGGGGATGCAGCAGTAGCTGTGGCCTCATCACGCAAAATTTGTTCAACTGGACAGTATAGCCGTTTACTTGGGTGACGACAAAGGACGGGTCAGGGTTGCCAAAGGGGTCGGGTGTCGCAGGGGTTTCATCAGGCTGATGGTTGAGCTGTGGCTTTTTCCTGATCGCTGGAACAATGCGGAATTGTAACTGCCATCTTGAGACTCAACTTGCTGTGCCTATCAAAATCATCCTGTCGTCAGGGAAAATTAAATCTTACCGGAAATGCACCATGTACCAGCTCCGCATCCGTGTCACCGTACAAAAGAAGACCTCGTCTACGCAAGTTGTCAAACTGCTCCAGGCACGTGTCTAACATGGGACTCATGGCTGGTTCCGTGGGGCGCAACTCCATCACCTTTGGTTTAGGCATCAAGGAAACTTGGCCATATCGGCAAATTTCAGTTTGGAATTGCTGGTGTGGAGCCAAGATGTGAACTAGCAGCGCATTCGGGGACAGAGAGCCAATTGCCGTGGTAGGATTGCGCCACGTTCGATCTGTATCAAAGAAGAGTGTCAGCCTGATGTGGATTGTCCACCGGTCTCTGATAAAAGAGTGCAGAATTGACGAGACGGCGATGCATCGCATTCACCTTGCATTCATCTTGAGGCTTAGTCGAGATATGATACGGAGGACCATCTGCAAGACCCATCTCGCAGGAAAGAACTCCTGCTAGGCTAGATATTGACACTCTATTCATTACCACAAAATCTTAGTCTCTACTTTTGGCTCTGCATCACCTCCTTACTCTTGTGCAGGGTATTGAATTTCTTCTTAAACCGGACTTGACCTATATGTGCCCAATCGTCTTACTGTGGGCCATTTTGATAGTTCTATTGACTCAGATCCTGGCCGAGCAACCTTCCTAACAACGAGGGACGATCCGTGTAGTCTAAATCTAAGTCAGTTTCAAATCTCTGTTGAGCTCAAATAGTCGGCTATAATGTTGCCATCAGGCAATCGACTTGCAAGAACCTATACTCAAGTGGAAAGACGAGATTTCGACGTAAAGTCCTGGCCATCACATTCTCTAGGGCTAAATCCAGCTCTCCACGACTTGAGATATTATCAAGGTCTAGTCCAAGAAAATCGCAACTACACAAGTCCAGGTGAGACTAAATGTATTGTCCTTGAGTTGATTAAGGATGGAGGTTCGAACATGCATGATTTCGAGGATGACGAGTCCATACTGGATTACCTTGGTGCTTCAAAGGATGCCAACGGAGTCATCCTTCGTGTCATTTATTGCTGGCTCGAAATAGTAAATCAGGATAGAGGGGCAAGCTTCAGACACGTCACATCTCTGTCGCAGGAAGTCGCAGTCAGGATTCTCACAGAATTCGAGGTATCACCACAGTTCCTACCGAAGCTGCTTGGGGAGCCAGACTACTTCGCACCCGCAATTTTTCAGTTGCAAAGCGACTGGGAGGACAACCCGGAGCCGCATTTCTACTGTCAACATCCTCGATGGAACATTCATGTTTCCGAGACTCCAATATCGGTTTACATGTCCCACAAGCCTCAACAAGCGTGTACGACGTATGTTGTTTCCTGCGGCACTCAAGAGCGGTCTGCAATGAGAGAACATAGTATGGAACGGCTCAAAGACTGGTGGGCATCCAATACTGTTAAACAATCTAATAAGAACCTTCCGAGCCCTTATATTTTGCACTGCTTAATTTCTCAAGCTAGCCTGGAGAGTGCGAAACAACTATTTAATGAACTCAGACATCGATTATATGATGTTCTCGATGCGGTAGACGCTTATGCGAAAAGCGACTATTCCATGCGACAAAACCAACGTGCAGTCCTTGAAGGTGCGACTGTGAAGCTCCATAACGTCTCACAAGACATCGATTCTACAATGGCGGGCTTGGACATGGCGACTATGATCGCAGAAAACTTGCTAATGGCCCTCGAGCGCAGCAAATCCACGCTGGGTGTTCAGTACACCGTTTCGCAGGAGCAGACTGCACAGGCAGCCTCGTATTTGGCACGCTCCCACGCTTCCCAGAAGAGGTGGCTTCTTTCGTGGAAGTCAAGGAAAGACATCGCCATGAATCTCGTCTACAACTTGGTGACCCAACAGGACGCAGCTTCCTCAAATGCAACCGCCTTGTTGGCCCAGGCCGATGGAAATGCGATGAAAGCAATTGCGGCTCTCACCATGGTATTTTTGCCAGCAACTTTCATGGCAACGTTTTACGGCATGTCCTTGATGCAGAAGGCAACATGGAAAAGCTACTGGATCGTCACCAGTCTTCTTACTCTTGTCGTTCTGCTAATCTGGTGGATCTGGATAAAATTTCCGATTCGTAAACTGAGAAAGGGTTTCAAGCTCCGATTGAGAAAGTTCTTGCGGACTCTGTGGTACAAAAAGCGTAATAATGTGTCCACAGATGACGAAGAGAAGGCGGTATCACAGGGCCTGGTCACGACGTTATCTATGACCACGACGTTGCAAGAGATTTCTTCAAAGAATGGCCCGCCTCAGGTGTTTACTAATAAGAGCTAGTTGCAGATATAATTCTGATAAGTTTTGCTTAGATTCTCATCTCTGGGGGGCTCAGTGCGAGCCTGAAATGCGCGCATTTTTTAGGTTCGTACGGCTAACAGCTGAATTCTGCGAAATCCGATTACCACAAGTTTTGCATGCGTATAATGTAAGTCTTGCCATGCTGCGCCCAAATAACCCCCCACCCCCGATTTGTCCCGCCTTAAACGCCAAGATTACATCTCTACCTCTATAACCTGCATGAGCTCTAAAAATTAGTTGGCTGTGGCCATATAGAATTTAGTCGCTATGTTTTTGACAGTGAACAGATTGTTGGAGACGCTACAAGGAAAAGTGTTGCGTAGTGAATAGGACGAAGCTGCAGGAGTGAGGAGAATGACGAAGCTCGCTTACTACAACATGCCTTTGAAGCTGCGAAGGAATTTAAAAGTCTTCGTATTCATCATAAGTGACGACACGGGTTTTCCAAAGTCTTGATTGCAGAAGCGACAACCAAAGACTCGGCGAGGACTTCTTGGTTGAGCCACTCTTGTAACACAGCTGAAATCGGCCTAACTTCGGCTGAACGTGTTCCTAAACTGAAAGATGAATGTTTCGCCTATCTTGCCGCACACAGTTTCGGGGCCAGAACTCTGGTACATCATCTCTCTGCTTGGCTCCTGATCAAATTCTGGGCTCGGTTTTCACATGTTTTGAAGGATGCCCGCGCAGGTCGTTCCGAACGTCCTCCCAGAGATCCAAGAATGGCTCAACATTAATTAGAGAAGGATCCACACTTTTTGGCTTCATGCCGATTGGCGATGTTGGGCCCGGAACGACCTGTACGCACATCTCGATCAAGGGATGTGCAAGAGGCTGCGCGAAGACCATCCCAGGTGGGATTACATCGTTTCCCATAGCGTTTGGCCGTGGGGAGAGGACGAGGTCAAAGAGGACCTCGTCGCTGCACCGGCTGCAAACCAGAAGACGGACGAAGTAGCCATTTGAATTTGTGCCGCAAAACCTGGCGAGAACGACACTAACTTTGCAGACTACGTCGAGAAGTTTCAGCGAGAATGGGAATCGCTTCAGGATCTGACGAAGAAGAGAGGCGAAGGTAACCTCGAAGGTGGGAAACTTCTATTTCTGGGCATTGGTGAGAGGGCGTATGACGAGGTCGAGCTCAGCTTCGACGGCAGATCTGAGTATGAGGAGGCCGTATACGTCTATTACCTTTGGCTTGATTTGTCGGAAACAAACAAGAAATATTCTGGAAGATAGCTATAGAGCAGATCCTGCAATGATCACCCCAAATTCCATACCGCAATCATAATCTTACACTATTTATTAGTTACGAAAGAGCAAAGACCTTTATCCTCTGCACGAGTGCTTTCAAAGACCGCATCGACGTCGTTAGCAAAATCTCGACATTGAAATTTCTTTGCTACTTGGAAGATCTCAGAGAATCCTTGTCTCTACATTGATCCGATGATCAAAACACTAAGGGAAAAAGGGGACATGGAAGTGGTCAAGGTAATGTGTAATATCAATAGCATCATATAGCTATATAGTTTTTTTATTATCCTATTATTCACAGTGTCTACCTGTGTATAACATGTACCCATTAAACACTGACAAGTAGAGGTTTTGTTTCTACGCCGATAGGATCCCGCGCTGTGCAGATGAGATTCGCGTTGATAAAGGAAAATTGTTACAAGATTGTGTAAGGAAACAAAAGAGACTTCATTCGTCTACATGTTTGACCTTATCAGAGAGCAAGGACTGCCATGAGACCAGCAGCCAACATGCCAAGCATCTTTCCGTCATGAGAAGGAGCAGCGTTTGTGGTCACCATCGCTGGGGAGAACGATGAGCTGCTTGTTGGCTTGTAACCCGACGGTGTGAAAGTCGTGCTCGCACCAGCATAGCCTCCTGGCGTGACAGCATTGGCGGGGCTGGTGGCAGGAGCAGGACCTGAACCAGTGGCGGAATAACCGCCAGCACCAGGAGCTGGGCCTTGTGCAAGACCGACACTGTAAGTAGTAGCACCTGCAACAGGGGCTGCCGTGGTGAATTGCACCCAAGGCACCGTGACAACTGTTGTGAGCTGCGTGATAGTGCTCGAGCTTGGGATGGGGAAACCTTGGCTGACGCCCTCAGTGTAAGTGCACGGAATTGTGTATGTACTTGCGATAGTAACGGTTGTGTACTGCGGAACGACTGCGGATGTCGCTGGGGCTCCACCGTTGCATTTGGCACATGTAGCAATAGTGGCAGTCTTTGTGAGAGTGATCGTGCTGATCTTTGATGACGAAAGGACAGTGGTAGCACCATTCTCTGTCACGGTTTGACCAGGCGTGCATGTTGAAACGGTCTCAGTCACAACTTGCGTTGTGTAGGTAGTGCTTCCTGTTTCTGCAGGGCTTGCTGGTGATGTGCTTGCTGGAGCTGGAGGCGTAACTGGGATAGAACTTGGGCAGTTCGTGACGAGGCCTGGATTCTGCGGGATGTAAGCTGCGCAGATACCTTGGAGGTAGGACAACGCCTCTGAGATGATCGTCACATCAGCTCCGTAGGCCGTGACGCATTCGATGACATTCTTCGTGAATTCGGAGTTCTTGCAGTAGCATGTGTAATCCGAGTTGTCCTTGCAGCCTGATGATTGAATCCAAGTGCTCAGGCACTGAGGCAGCACATCTGGACATGAAGCCGTGGGAATGCTGGGAGACGAGGAGACTGGGCTCGAGCTCGAGACCGGAGAACCAGGAGTGGAGGCAGATGGCACGGAAGGCGAAGCCGGCTTGCTCGAAGTTGGCGAAGAAGCCGGACCTGAGCTGGATGGCGCGGGCTGAGACGACTGAGGAGACGCCGGCTGAGAGGATTGAGGTGCAGAAGCAGGACCAGAAGAGGCTGGTGGAGAAGAAGAGTTTGAGTAGTGTGGAGCGGAGCTTGACGGGGAAGGCGCCTGCTCTGAGCTTTTGGGAGGAGCTGGCGCGGAGCTCGACGGCACAGCGGGGCCAGAAGTGGAATATTGTGCCAGCGAAGTACTTGACGGAGAAGCTGGCTTAGAGCTTGAAGATTGCGCGAGTGAAGTACTCTGCTGATAAGCTGGGCTAGAGCTTGAAGCTTTTGCGGGTGAAGTACTTGATGGAGAAGCTGGGGCGCTTGAACTGGAGGAAGCTGGCTTCGTAGACGCAGGTGATGCAGGGGTACTGGTGCTCGGCGACGGCCCACTGCAGTCGAAACCAATCGAATGAATACCAATGCTGCAGCTGCTCGTCGAGCCCTGTGGAAGTTGAAATGACACCTGCTGAGCACCACCACACTGGGTGTTCTTTACGACCGTACCACCCGATTTGCAAGAGGCGGTTTGCTTGCAAGTGCTGCCATCGGGCATTTGATAGTGGAATTCGACATCGGTGTCCTCAGAGACAGATATCTGGTAGGTGTCGATGGAGAAGTTCTTGCTAGAACCGCAGCTGAAGCTTGGTCCTTTACCGGCGCTGATGGAGCCCTGGATGCATTTGTCCTGGAAGCTTCGCTTGGTCAGAGGGTCGCGTTTTCCGAAGCTGTTAGCACAAGTCCAGCCATTGAAGCTGAAGCCATCGTAGCTCGAGAAGCTGCCAGTGCCAAGGTTGGACCAGCTCCAGCCAGATGACTGTTGGCCATCACATTGATTGTCGTTGTTCTGGGGCGTCTTGAAAGATGGGTAGTCGTTCCAGCTCTTGAGTCCTATTAGCGTTCTGTCCCTCGGATAAGAAGTGAAATATGACCTACGGTAGCAGACGCGACGCCCAGTAAGGTGGCGATCGCCGATGCGGTTTTCATGTTGCCTTGTTAATCAACGATGATAACCACCAAGTGTTTGTTAACCGTAAGGAGGCCGAGGCGATATACAGAGCGAAGAATATGCAAACCAATAACGAATGTATCGAGATATCTATCAGAAGCGAATGTGACAACTTTATAACGAAGGATGCCCTCAGGACAAACGAAGGAGCAAAAGCTTGCGGTGAAAAGAACCTTGGGTTACGAGAACATACACGGCCTTTATGAGTTTCCTGCATCCTGTATGACGGACTGTGCATTTGTGGGCCACGAGAAAGACCGACGGCCTTTGCTCCACCTTGCTCTTCCTTCTTCACTCCATACCAGTACCCACAGCATGATGCTATTCCAATCCATGACCGCGCGCAATCATGAAACATGTGAACAACCCATCCCTCCAAGGCTCCTGGCTAGACGGTCGGCCATTAGACGGCGGCGTGGAGCACTGAGACAGTGCGAACAGCATTGGCAGTTACAGACAACCTGACATGCTTGACTGGCTTGAGTATCTGTTCCAGGCTCACCGGCAGCTATCCTGGGCGCGAAGAACGGCTATGGGGGGGTGTGAGGAAACAGGCAGTTCCAAACGTGAAGCTGCACAGCCTCATCCGTCAGGGAGCGCGCCGTGGAATCATGGTTGGATATTGGTGCATCGCCGTGTGAGCATGAAACATCGATCCAAAAGGAGTGCCGCCCGTTAAAGCGTCGATCCGGATCCCGGTGTGGGCCACTTGGCAGGACGTTCAGGGGGGCCGCCAGGTACGGGCGGCAGCTGGTTGGACGACGTTCAACGCGAGAAGGCCAAAACCGGCTATTCTGAGCCTCTAACCTTGCAGGCGTGTCGCCGCACTCGTACGGATTGACACCAGAGCCAGAAGCAGAAGTCCAAAAGGTGATCCGATCTGTGGTGGGCCATGCTTGTGGGCCACCAGGTTCAAGCAAATAGTGTGGGATTAGTTCCCTCGTCGTCACGATGCGCTGAGGGAAAACAGGTTGTGACGAAGATCTGTGTGCAACTGAGTGGTTCACTAGTAGCGTAATGGAAATTGAGGGCAATAGTTAGAAATGTCAATCTCATGTGTTTCGATCGTGGAGTTGCATCTTTCTATGGATGCAGTGGAGCGTTTCGACATCATATGTGGCAAACCATTCAACGAGATCTCCTCAAGGCGTCCACTATAGGAGCGCCCCACCCAGCCAATGATTCCTTCTTCAGAACGACAACCAAACGAATTTAGCTGCTCCCCCTTGTTCTCTTTAACCTACTTTGATTCCTCCGTCCAAGGATGTCGTTGTTCGGCTCTGATGGCCACAACTCACGCATCATGGCGGATCGCAGGTGCATCCACACCGTTGGTCCACTGACTGTGCAGAGTTTCAGCCACCCGTGTCCTTGTACAGTCAGGGAAAAACCGCCGTTCATGACGACCTTGTACCCAGCTCACGCTACAAACGGTATCAGGGCAGGCTATTGTATCACCACCTCACTCGCCTCCATTACCATCTGCAGAAAGGAAAACTCATGTGGTTCGATTCCCATCCCCCTTGGCTTCGAATAGGGGCAGGTGGAGACCCCACAGCCGGAACCAGTGAACAGAGGCGTACTGCTGAGATGCTCTGGAGACTGGAACACTAGATTGAGGCGGAGAGGCAAATTCGTGATTTGTAGTGTTTGTGAAGCAAATGGGAGTCTTTTTCAATTGATGGAATCACAAAGCTTGCATCGGTAAACCTCTATAACAGCAGAGCCAAACGCAGCGCACTAGCATACTTCACAATTCTCAGACCAAAAAGAAACGGAGAAACTCGGATAAAAGCCAGCAAGCAACTAAAAAAAGCAACCCAAAATGCTTTCACACCATGTCATAGAAAGAATTGATCCGCATCCAACAAGCTCTTGCTAGCTACAAAGCTGAATCCTCCAAAAGGATCCGGTGGTGCATCAGTCATCGGCTCATCCTCGGCAAGCACGCTCCGCTTCTGCGTCACTGGGCTAACAGCCAATTCCGTGAATTCCGTATCGAAGTTCTCTGCTAACTCCGGGTCCGTAATCAGAGGTTTAATGGGTGGCTCCAGCTCACGCTTGGCCAGCTTCTTCCAGTCAATCTTTTTGAAGAAACGATGACCCTTGATGATTTGCATGTCCTTGGGCATGTTATTTCCTAGTCTTTTGTGGGGCTCCTTACGCAGAAGCCGAGTGAGAAGGTCCTTTGCATCGGGTCCAAGAAAGAATGGAAAGTTGAGCTTAGCCTTGAGAATATTGGCCTGGATCTTGGCATTGTTGTTGCCAGGGAAGGGTGGCGCGCCTGTGAGCAGATCAAAACCTAGCGCGCCTAGGGACCACCAGTCGACGGCGAAGCTGTATTCCTTGCCAGCCACGATTTCAGGGGCCATGTAGTCTACTGTGCCTAGAAAAGAGTTACACTTGTCGGCGTCATCGGTTGCAACCTTGGAGAGACCAAAATCAGTTAGCAGAAGATGACCCTCTGCATCGAGCAAGCAATTTTCAGGCTTGAGATCACGGTAGACAACACCGAGATTTTGGTGAAGGTGCTCTAAGGCCAGTACCATCTCAGCCATGTAGAACGAAGCTGTTTCCTCAGGGAACATTCGCTCCATGGCCAAGTGATGAAACAATTCCCCCCCTTGTGCATATTCAAGGATGAGATATAGCTTTTCATGATCCTGGAAAGCGTAAAAAAGTTTGACCACGAAGGGATGGCGGTTGACCGTCTCCAGAATGTGACGTTCCGTCTTCGTCTGCTCGATCAATCGCTTATGAACGACCAGAGACGCCTTTTTGAACTGCTTTTGGGCATACAATCTGCCAGTCGTAACCTGCTTGACAAGCAAGACCGTCCCAAATGCCCCCTTACCCAAACACTTCATTGGCTCAAAGTCAGCTGCGGTCATCTTCCGATGAACAGAATTCTGACGAAGCCCACCTTCGATGGAAGAAAGCATGGTAGAGGGCTTGGACTGAACATCTGGGCTGACGAAATCATTGACAAGGGGTACTTCGTATGTGTCCATCTCGGTCCTATCGCTCAAACTGGCATCCGATCCTGTGCTGGAGACTTCACGGCGCATGTTAGGGGGTGAACTCGCTCCAGAATTTGTGTCGATGCTCAGCGCGTCCAGACGTTGTTTCAGCGCACTGATGCCAGAAGGCGTGCAAGGCCGCATCGCTGGGCTGCTCGTGACGCTGGTAAACTCGCGAATCTTCGAGCTCCATTGCGGAGTATTCGCGATTGAATGATCCGACTCTTCTCCAGCAGACGTAATGGGCGTCTGGAATCCCCGAATCGTCTGCGTTGCCGGAGCAGCTGGTCCCATTCTCTGTGCACGCTGCCTCTTCTTCTTTGCGGCCTTCTTACGCACTTTCTCAAAGTCAAGCTTCGGTGCATCAGTACTCTCGTCAAGAGGAATATGGCTCTTCATTCTCGCGGGAGACTGTGAGGCGATCCGCATGGGAGGAGTGGAAGAGCCCATAGTCTCTTGACTTAGGACTCTACTAATGGAGCGCGGCGTCCTGTCATCCTCGGCTTTCAAAATCGAGCCAGTCGCATTGACCAGAAGAGTTTGGCGCAATGCACTCTTTGAGTCGCAACAGGACTCTCCAATACTGACTCCAGTGGCGCTCATGCTGCTAATGATAGTGCCAGAGCCTGTTGTTGTACTAGGGGCCATATCGACTACGCCTTAATCAAGTCACGGTATATGCTCCGTCCACCCAGAGACGATTAGATGAAAGCCAGCGTTTAGAGATCGAGGCAGTGTTTACGCTTGAATCGCGTGCTGCGCATCTGAAGTCAGTATTTTTAAACCCTTCGACATGCAATGAGGAGCAGCCTCACCGTTTAGATCCCGTCAGATCTATTCCGTAATAACCTTTCGCCCGCCCTTCAAGGCGGGCCTCGCACACTTAGCTGTTCTCGAGTGGCAAAGGACGCCTCGATTGTGGAAACTCCGAGAGCGATGTTGCGATTCACAAGCGCAACTGAGCCAGCAAAGCCGAACACGAAGGAAGAGTGAGAGGAAGCGCCGGATGCGAAAGTGTAGCCCATCGATGGTAATATCAGGTCGATTTTTGTGTATCCGAGATAGTTCGCCAGAGCGGTCTCCTGGCGATATGACAGCGTGGTACGAGGACGCGAGAAATGTGGTGTTGCAGGTGTGTGGATTTGAAAGAAAGACTAGCGGTTGCTGAACTTTATTTCGTCTGCCTTGGTAATGTGAGAGCCGAGTCCCTGAATGGGCTAGGGGCAGCCTAAATTTGGGGACGGTCCGCATGGGCGAATCCCGTGTCCCCAGACTCGCACATTGCGAAACTTAACCAGCCTATCTTACTCCAGCTTCAACACGTGCTGATGTGCAATACGTTGTGGCGCGCCATTCTCTTCATTCCCCTTGGCCACATTCTCGATGTCATACGCGAGAGGACGACACACACAAGTACGGTGTGATGCTGAGCGACGGGCTCGTGATCGGACACACCAAATGCGGCTCAGTGTCTACCCTTGCAAAAGAGTAATTAAATGATTTTCCTAATCAAATCGTACACAAATTTTTATCATGTTTTGTTCCTCAATCTTATTATATCACTTCGGGTTAGCGCGTGGGTATTCTCATTTCAACGACGCATTCAAATTCCAAGCGCCGACATCACGAAACACTACGGACGCAGTTGAGCAAGCGATCCTAATTCTTATCCTCCGAAGGGCTAGGTGCTGGCAGGGGAAACCGACGTTGGCGGAGGTTGATTGAGAATCCTCTGTACCTTCGCTTCGTTCTCTAGCAAAGTGCTGTCTTCGAGCTCAGATGACGTTTGTTCAAAGTCAGAGTCAGAGGCCGCGTCCTGAGCAGCAAGGCGTTCCTTTTCGAGCCGAGTTTCTTTACCGCGCTTGTGGCAGTACCAGAAAACGAAGAGCAGAACTAGACGACTGCGTTAGACGCTGATGAAAAATAAAAAGGAGAGGAGCATTTACGGAAAACAGCCAAGGACATGAGTACATTCGTACCGGTCACAACGGCTGGGAAGCGCAGCTTCAAAAAGTTGAGTATACTCTTCAGCATCCCGGTCACAGCGCCCTGCGCGGATACAAGCTTCTTCAGTGATGGGATCTTCTTCTTCGAATGCTTCTTATCCCTGCTTTCTGTTGTTACGTCCATCGCCTTCGCGTCCGCACCCGGCTTCTCCGAGGCCGCGGCTAAGAGCCCTGGCGCTATACTCGCGCTCATTTTCGACGGCAAACTCTTAATTAGATTCTTTAAGAAGTCTGGAAGATCGTCGTACATCTTGCGAAGGTACTCATCCCAATTCTTGAGAAACTTCTCGAGGTCGTCGTATGCCGTAGGTACACCATTAACAATGTCTTTGAGGATCTGTGTGAACTCGGCCATCATCTTCTGAGACTTCTCTGAGAAGCTGAATGCGCGATTATTAACCGCAGAGAGATTCAATTGGTCGAGCACGCTAGTCAAATCCTGCTCCTCCTTCGTCTTCTCTATCTCATTTGATGCTGCGGGGTCTGTTGTGACGATCTCACCCTTCTTCGCTGCCTCGACGGCAGCCTGGAGATCGGAGCCTGCTTGCTCCTTACTTTTACCTTTCTGAGTCTTGTTTAGTGTTTGCTGATATTGACTTTAGGGACGTATATACATACTTTGCCTCCAAATCTTTGCGGGAGAGTGCGGACATAACTGAGATAGCTTTCAGTCTTTTTGTGCGTCTTGCTCTCTTTGTGCTTCACTTCCTCCGATTTTGATGGCTCAGCCTCGGCGTCTAGTGGAGGGGATTGTGGTAGAGGAATCTTGTTCGCGCCATCCATCAAAGCAATTTGGGCATCTTTTGGCTTTGCCTTCTCTGCAGTGTCAAAAATCACAGCAGGTCGCTCAGGCAGCGGCGGTGGTTGTTCGTCTGAAGTGATCAACTCAAGAAATCTCTCGTCCTCGTCGGTAAGAATTGGCGATTTCGGTTCTTCCATTAAGGCTGCTGAATTCGGGACCTCCTTGCGCTTGATGTTGAAGTATTCCGAAGTCATGATTGAGTAAACCCCACAAGCTTTCTCATGCGCTACTTCGTAATTGTATTGCGATGACAATGTCAGAGAAGAAATTTAACCGTGCGAAATGTCAATGAAATACAGGTTTTGACTGCGAAGCTCACGGGCACTGACGTTCGATTCGCATATTCTATTAAGTGTGGCGGTGGCTTTTGTCCAGGCTGCAGCTCAGGCGGGGCTGACATCATTGATCGCAAAACTTGGCGACGATCCGATCCAGAAGCTGAAACCTCTTGTAGCAAACAAACACTTTTAATCTTAGCTTTGGCTGGGAACGCATCACGACTTAGCATTGATACAAGAGATCACGACTTGTGCTTCAAATAGAACGCAAGGCAGCACTCGGGGTTCACTTAATTGGAGAACGGTGAGAACTTTTGTGACTATCAAAGCCATTCGAATTGTGATAATATGTGTAGAGGGCATTATTACTGCAGCATCCGTAAGGGGTCATCTAAACTCATCATAAAGCAAAACAGAAGGGAAATTGGCAGTGCAAGGGGGGGGTATATAGATCTCCACCTTATGTACATATCAGTCGGTCAATCTTTCATTTGCCATACGACCTTAGTCCTTGTCCGTCATCGTCTTCTTCGTAAGCCAGATCACCAGCATTGCCATGACCTTTACTCCAAAACCCATTAAGTACACAGCACCCTTGAAGCTGATGCCGAGCAAGCTCAGGATTGCCTTGGTGATGCGTGGCAGGTCTTCTTTCTCAACAATATGTTCAAAGCCCAAACCCAAACTATTTGCCATGATAGTGACCGGCCTAGGTTTCCTGGCCTTCTTGGCTGGCTTTGGTGCTGGCTTGACTTCGGTGATCTCTTTGATCTTTGGTGTCTTCACCTTCTTGCTTGTGGCCTTGAAGCTAAGAAGGGAAGGTGGAGGGGCCGCAAATACGAGACCTGGATCTTCTGGGCGTTTGCCTTCCGAGACGGCGACGCTGAGAAGCGTGGACACGCACACGTCGATCAAGTAAAGATTGCCCAGCTGTTGGATCGCAGCGGCGTCGATGTGCAAACATCCATCCTGGAAATCCAACCGAGCGAGGATTTCTGGCTCACGCTCGACTGCCGTCATAGCTGATGTTCGACTACTGGAAGATACTGGAGAACCAGTCAAGGATGCCATGCAAGAATACGGATTCAAAATGCTTATACAAGTTTGACCTTTAACAACGCCGAGCTCGAAGGCAGATTTGACGTCTCCAACAACAGAGATGTTGAAGACACCCAAGCTTGGGTGGTGCAGTTCATACTTGCCGTTGAGGGCATCGATCGCAGACCAGGCCAACGTACAGCCCTCGCGTTGACTGGCCTCGGCAACAGCACGCTCAGCAAGCCTTTGCGCAGCAGGCGATGTCGCATTCGGATCGACCTCCGCAATGCTCTTGGCTTGTGGTGTTTTAGCTGCACCTTCTAGCGCGTGAAGAGAAGCGAGAATGGGCATGATGGTTGTGACATGCTGTGCTGGACTGTCAACGTCCGACGTGACTGATCCTCGATTTATTTTTGACAGGGTCGGAGGCGGTGGCGGAGTTAGGTCAAGGTGTGAGACTGGAAGAATGTCCTCTCCAGATGTGTGATGCCTTTGTACAAATAATTCGTGGTCGTCGCCGTCTTCAGTTTTTGTGTGCGTCTTTGACAAAGTGTAAAATGGCTGATCCTCAGCTGGTCCAAAGACAATCTTCTCCTTTCCGCTTCTATCTTCTTGCATAGGTTTGAACATCTTCAAAGTAAAGTGCTTAGGGTCAGGAGCATCTAGCTTGCCATTGGCCGTAGCCCAAAGAGAGTTGAGATCTGAGATCGGCGTGATGTATACAGGGTCCCTCTTTTCAGGCAACAGCAAAGCACTGTTGAAATTTGGCGAGTATGGTGTCCTGCTGATTTTTTCCGGTGAAATAACCGCTGTAGGTACGATGCCCTGCGGCCGATACGCTTGTTGAGCGAGGGGGACGTTTGGATCTAAGATAGGAAACATCGAACGTATGGGCAGATCACTCGTTGGAGGGGCCGCAATCTGCGTCCATTGCTTATTTCCCATGAAGCTGTTTCGACCAAGAGTTGAGCTCGGGGAAATGCCATCGTATTCTGTCAAGGGAGTCTGAACTTCTGACTGTCTCCTCTGGTCTGAGCCGATCGGGAATCGACTTCGAACTGTTGACCTGGACGCATTTCGCTGAAGCGTCAAGTTTGATTGCAGTGTTGAGGAGGACTGAGCTGAATGACTTGATTGAGCAGATCTGACAGATGCTTGTCTCTGCGGTGGCATGAAATAGTAGTTGCATGGATTGATCGGCGAAGTAATTGCGGCCACTTCGCCGCCGTCTTCTGCCCTCTTAGGGACACAGACTCTGCTTCGATTTAGAGATCGGGATGGAGACGTACGTTCCGACGCAAGGATGGGTGCTGTAGAGACAGATAATTCCTTGTTGCTTCCAGGAGAACCATGATGGCGCGCAACGGATGGTCCCGGGGATGGAGTTCTTCGAACTGCAGGACTAACGGCAATATTCCTATTGCGAGCGCCTACTGAAGAACTTCGCCGTGGCCGAGTGCCACGTGTAGCTGAAGGCTCTCGCTTAGGCACTTGGATAGGTGGAAGCTTTTGGAATGGGTTCTCCCGCGGACTTGACTTTGCCTCTTCGATAGGAGGCAGGTATTTGACGCGCTGTTGAGCTGGAGAGGGAGAAGGGTCTCGTGTTATTGCAACGCCGACACGTGTATGATCCGAAGACGGACGGCTGGCGTCGCCGCTTGATGCTTTTGCCTTTGTGACTAGTGATGCACTATCTCGACGCACCGGCCAAGGTCCCGACGGTCGCATGTCCATCGATCTTCGGATAAGATCGTCCAAGCTTTCTCTTCTCTTCGCTGCCTCCTCCACGGGAGGGAAAATATGCAAGGTCGGACCCGCGGCCATTGTAAGTATTGTTAATGAATGACTTTTGCTGATAACAAAGCACTACCAGAGCGCACAGAGAGGGACTGAAATTACAACGGGACCCAAAAGAACAGAACAATGAATGAATATCGGACGACCTCGAAGTTGACCGGAAGGATTCACTAACGTGTGGAGTACAGGGCGGGATGCACTGTCATTTTAACTTAAAGTCCACGAGCATGGGCTCAACGGACGTCAGCGAACAGCTGGCCTCGCATCCGTAGACCTGCGAGATGCCAATAGCGGCTGCAAAGCGATGGCTTTCTGTGGCACTGTGTTCTGCTGCATTGCAATTGTGAAGAGCACAGTGTAAGGCTAAGGCGCCAGGTACAAGGCGAGCACTCTGGTTGGTTGACTCTAAGCGCCGACGAGACCGCCAGCCACGCCAGTCAGGTCACATCTTTGTCGACCACCAGGCCTTGACAGCGGCTGCGTAGCTGACGAAGATAATTTGCTGATCCCTTGCAGTTCGTTGGATGTCCTTAACCAGATCTGGCCGGGCCGTTGCTTGCTGACGGCGTGGGTGTATGCAGACGATGACTCTGAACCTCGTGAGAGATGTCTAGCTTAGGCGAAATACGTTGGAAGCGCCAGTCGAGAGATTGAGTTAATGCTAGGTACTAGTTTATGATTAAAAAAAACTTCTTTAGAGAGATGCGTTACGGTAAGATATGGTTCAGCTAGCGTATCAAAGATGCATTCAGATCCATGGCCAAAAGCATGGAAATCTTAAGACAGTCATCGGTACCGAGACAGGGAGTGATCCCACTGTGTTCCTCGCAGACAGATAGCGCCGCCATCAGAGAAAAGTCGGTGATTGACAATGATGATGACAGAATTACCAAGACGCTACATAACTGAAGATCGAAATGATTTCAGGGGGGAAACAACGGACTCTGCTTGGCTCAAATTGGTCATGGCGCTTTCTCGTGCGTTTTGATTCTTCAGATGTTTTATACCAAAGAGTCAAGTCGTGTTGATAACAGCAGACCTGTAACGAATCCTTGAGTTTTTCCATCTCCCAAGAGACCGCAATTCAGAAGCATGAAGATACATTGTAGGGCGCTGCAAGGCCCTCTGATCCACCGACTTCTAGATTTTTAGTCGGATGATTCCCATTCTCTATCCCCAAGCCACCGCGCTACACCTCTGCGCATCCCCAGTACCTCGTCACAATCCTCCCGGTTCTCGTGGCATCTACAGAGGCGGACAGACGTTCAGCCGCTGAACATACCGAAGTCAGTTAAGTCGATAACAAAGCACGTGCAACACACTCGCAGGTTGACAGACGCCAAACTATGTCTTCTCAGATCCACCCATGCACCTCAGCAAGCTCCCATTTTCCCACTTCTTGTCTTGCTTCAACCACAGTGAGCCCGTGTCTTCCACTAATTTTGGCTCGTCGTTTCACCGTCCGGACTCTCTCACTCTGTGATACCCTTCAACTGCACATGGCGCATATCCAGCCACGTGAACTTGTTCTCGCTCTTATGTGGTGCAAGTGATGGAGATGGCAAGTAGACCCTCGTTGAAGTTGGCTGATGCGAGAGCTTTGTTATTAGCGCGCCGAGGGGGACTAAGCATGGAGGCCGATCCGGTCACAGCGGCTCCAGCAAGGTAACCATGGGAGTGCTTGACGCTTGAGCGAGGTGACTCTAGGCGAAATGACCATAGAATTGAAACTCTTGTCCGCCTTGTTTGGCCCCTTCTTATCAATAGACACTTTGCTTGAGCGCTGATCTTAATATCTGGTCGATGATACATTGGTATTTACCATCAAGCTTGGTATGCGACTTCGGTTGAGCTGAAATTTCAAACGTAGGCCTTGATCTCTGTGATTCCTCTTCTACATCGGCGAGAAATGAAGCTGTTGCAGATAATTCAAAGTCGAGGTAGCGGAAACATTGGCCCTTATGATGTGTACATTCTCGTCCTCATTTTTCAGCAGACCGAGGAAAGTAGCAATCAGTGTTCGTCACCTCGCCTTGGTTCTTCAAAGCTCCCTCGTCGATCAAGCTGGTAATCTGGATGCTTGGTACGTAGCTAAAGCATCGTTAGAAAGCGATGAGCTTATTTCTTTGCTAAAGAAAAACTACGAAGGAGAGAGAGATTGAGAAATGCGACGATAAATTCGCTTAGAGTACGAGAAGTTATGATCAAGCAGAGAATTATTAAGATCTTAACTGCAACCCCCAAGTAAACATCAGCGTACGTTATCGGATTAAGCTCGTATCGAATGTTTTAAGGCACGTGCTGTTATATCTCTAGACGAGCTCTAGCCTCTAGGTTCATAGTCATCACTCGAAAAGGCACATAGCCTCAACTGCATCCAGAACACAAAGGAGCAAGAAAAATGAAAGGAGGATATGAAAGACAGCATTACGAGAGCATGTGCGTTGAAATAATAAAATCTATAGTGAAAGCGGCCAATTCCGTGGTACCTATGTCAAATACACATTGTGTAGAACATCCGTATCAGAGCCTGCTTCCCATCTTCCATTTTCATGTCAAAACGTTTCAGCATCGCAAGTTGACTAAAGCTTCGGCGAGTTGCTGCCATTTAGTCACAGTTGACCGGCGGTGTTGAAGTCCTTGAGCGCCTGTGCGACACGCTTGCTCATCGTCTTCTCGCCCTCACGCACCCACACACGTGGGTCGTAGTACTTCTTATTTGGTTTATCCGGGCCCTCTGGGTTGCCGACTTGCGAGGTCAAGTAGTCCTTCTTGTTGGCCATATAGTCACGGACACCGGTAAGGTAAGCCCACTGTAGATCAGTATCGAGGTTGACCTTGACAACACCGTAGCTAATAGCGTCCTGATATTCCTTGAGGGTGGAACCAGAGCCGCCGTGGAAGACGAGATAGACTGGCTTGGTCTTGTCCGAACCAGTCTTCTCCTTGACGTAGCTGTGACGTGATAATTAGCGAGGTCAAAACAGCGTTCTTGGGCCACTTTGGAACTTACGCCTGGTGCTTCTGGAGGAGCTCTGGGTGGAGCTTAACATTGCCAGGCTTGTACACGCCGTGCACGTTGCCGAAACCGGCAGCGATCGAGAAGTATGGAGAAATAGGGCTGAGAGTCTTGTAGATCTCGTAGATATCTTCTGGCTGGGTGTAGAGGGAGTTGTTGTCCACACTCTCGTTGTTGACACCGTCCTCCTCGCCACCAGTGATGCCGATCTCCATCTCAAGCCACTGCTTCATTGGTGCAGCCCTCTTGAGGTATTCGGCAGTGGTCTTGATGTTGTACTCAACAGGCTCCTCAGACAGATCGATCATGTGGGAGGAGAAGAGTGGCTCGCCATGCGTCTTAAAGTATGCCTCGTCAGCTTCAAGCATGCCGTCTAGCCATGGAAGAAGCTTCTTGGCGCAGTGGTCGGTGTGCAGGACGACGGGAATACCGTAAGCCGGGGCCACGGCACGGATGTAGTGGGCTGCGGCAATGGCGCCCTGTATCGAGGCATACTGGTCCTTGTTGTCGACGCCCTTGCCGGCGAAGTACGCAGCACCACCCTGCGAGGTCTGCAGGATGATGGGGGCTTTCGCATCACGGGCGGCTTCGAGGGCAGCGACCACGGTGGAGGACGAGGTAACGTTAACTAGGTACGATTTCAGCGTTTTACTCTTCGTAGTCTAGCTTTCATTATCTCATACTGGCCGGGATGGCGTAGCCGTTGGCGTGAGCATGGTTGAAGAGCGCCAGCACGTCGTCGCCGACGATCTACGTGATCGAATGACTGTCAGTCATTACATATTTTTCCGTGCCAGCCCGTGCTGGACGAAGCCACGGTGGTGAGGAGAACTTACAACGCCAGACTTGCGAGAGAGTTCCAATGGGGCCATTCTGATCGGATCAAGAAGCGGTCGAGTCTGCTTGAAAGAGGTTACTTGGGGAATTCTTGAAGAGGAGGCGAAAGATGGTTCTGAGGGATTTGATTGAGATTTTGTTTTGCCCAACGGACAGAAGACCAGAGCGCAAGCAATGGTGGGGTCCCTCAAACGGAACCCCACATTGGGAGCAGCTCACCACGTCCCAAGCAATCTCTGCTCTGCGGACTGACTTCATCCGGGCCAATCTCGAACCAAACAAAAGCGTGGCCAAATTGACGCACCTTGCTTTTTGCTGTGCACGCCGTGTTTATCGCTCGTTTGTGGGTGGCTTCGAATTCGCTCCACGCGTGAGGGGCTGATCCACGGTTATATACTCGGGCGACGGAAAAATACTTGTGTCATCAGGACCGGGTTGCTCGTTTCCTCCTTCCGCGGTTCTAGATGCGTCGAGCCTGTGTGTCTTCTGTGCTCCGAATCCGCCCGTCGTTTTCCCCCAGAGGTGGATATCGATCACCAACTTCACGATCCTTCGTCGCAACGTGCGCCGAAGAACGGAGCATCCTTGTCTTCCGGCAAGCCATGCCTCCTAACGTACCTGCAGCACTCTCCCGGCATGGGTGCTGCGTGTCGAGGGTTGGTTCACGAGACCGGAAAATATGCGAACAAGGTAGAACGAACTGCGCGCCATGGCGCCCAACACTAGCGGCTAGGAGAGTCATGGGCTCGAGCTGAACATTCTGTTGCTATTATCTACGATGCACAACCTCAGACCCAGCAGGCGAGAGCGCCTGCTCCATCGACGGATCCATGGCTGTCTGATTCGATGTCTGGCCAGGACTCTTGACCACCACTTTCTTCACCATCGGGGCATCAGCGCCCTTGAACGATATCTCTACCTCATACGTGCCCAAGTGCTTAATCCTTGTAGCATCATCTCCCTCTATCGGGTTCACAAACCTCAAGTTTGCCTCGCTAAGTTGTATCTGCGCCGCCTCATCGTTGTATGCAACTGCCTCACGAATGTATTGAGCTACATCTGGTGTTGAAACGGAGCCGTAAATGGCCGTAGGTGTCTCCGGTATGCTCGCCTTGAGCATGGCCTGCACTGAGGCCGGCAGTTTGCTCTTGCTGTCGTTTTTGCCAGAGCCCTTGGGGACCGGTTTGCGCTCGAAGGTGAATACTTCGGGAAGCAGTACATCTAGAAGCGCTATGGCGCGATTCGGCTGTGCAGAAGTACTTAGTCCGGCTCTATGAACGATTCATCAACCCCAAAATACATACCTCAACTGTCTTAATCTCGATGTCGGTCGAAGCCGGCTTATTGACTCCTGTCACCATGCTTTCAAATGGTCGAGACTTCGTCTGATGTTTCCAGGAAGAGGCTTCAGCCATAACCTGGAACTCATAGTCCCGCGAAACATTGATTTCGCCTCGTTTTATAGCAAGTCGCTCCTCGGGCGTGGCATACCGAGCAACATTGGAGGGGAACCAGTTGTTACGCATTGTTCCTGGCGGAACTGCAACGAATGCGCCTGTATTCCCTCTGTCAGCTACAAGTCGCACTCATTAACTACCATTTACACCCACCTTTTCGGCCAAAGCGATCCAAATCCTTGAGGAGCTGCACGGGTATAGTTGTGCTTGACTTCGCTCCGCGCACCTGTTGCTGATGAAGTGGTCGCCATGATGCTTCAACAAAGCTACGGAGACATGCCGAGCATTGAGGGATGAATGATGGACGCACGCGACAGCTCATGATGATGTGTGCGGTTCAATGGCCATTAGGACGCTGCTGTTTGTGTCTTTACAAATTCAATGGGAGCCGCAAACGTTAGGAGGCTGTAATTTAAATGCTGTGACTAGTCCATAATTAGATTTAAATACAACAAGTTTGCTTTGTCATGAACTGAAATTTTCCGCCAATCCAGAACTCGTAACCCGAAAGTTGCCAAACACTGAAAAGAGTTATTCTGTCAGGTTGATCGTGACAAATTTCAAAGGTCCCAAAAAAGAGAAAAAAAAATACAACATCAACTTTACCTAATATACGTGTGTCTGTTCTGAATCTCTATCGTTGTTGCATCAAGGTCTCTTCCTCACATCAAGAGATATCGAAGAACATCTTCAAGAGAGGGTAGTAGGTGACTTCAAATTTTGCTGACGACGCAATGTGGTTGATTTGTACAGAAATGACTCGTTCAAACACCACATGATAATTGCGTATTTCCCGAATCGATGTCTCATTGAGCAACTTCCCGATTTGCACCCGTAGCGATTTCAGAGAAATGAGATTCTGCTGTTTCCTACAATTGCAACCTGTCGTCCTATGAGGCACCGTAGTTTCCTTGCTACAAAGCTGGCGATGAGCATGTTCAAGATCTGCTGTGGATCTCCTAATCCGCCATCAGCCTTTGGCATTGTTTGGAGATTATACGATCTTGACTTACACGTGCCACTGTTGATAATCCTCTCTAGGAGTTTGGTGAAGAGGCTATCAAACCCTTCCTGACTTTGACGAGCGTGAAAAGCCACTCCAAGTGATCACGACCCTTATTTTGGCAAGGAAGAGATAGTTGGCTTCTGCTCCAGGCGGGAGGAGCTCTCGTAATCTGCTATATGGTCATTTTGGCAGCGCAGATAGAACCTAACTCAACTTGTTTCCATTATTGCCTTGCCATACTTTTCCGAACCATTATAGCAATTCTCGCCGCCTTCCATTTCGTTTTCATAGCCAACTGACGTGCATAGTGCATTAAAGAAACGCTCACTACCTTGAAAGAATTACGTACTTTTTGCAAAAAAAAAGGTCTTATTTTAACAAGTGTACCAGACTTTGGATGTTCTCCAATTACCTGTCATGGCAATCATCGCGGATAGCCCTGATTCTCTTCCATCTCAAGGAAGTGTGTATTAAGGATCTAGTACGCGATTAAATTCAGTTCCTAAGCAGAAAAAAAGAAGAGCGAATCCATAACAGGACCTGGGGGACCAAGTTCAATAGCCCGAGCTTAAAGAAGGTCAGTTTGAATCGTAAATGTGACTCGAGGATCTGGAAAACGTAGGAGAAATACTCCCAAATTGCAAGGATAGAAGACAGGCCGCTAGACTGGACGATTAGTTAAGGGACATGCAGACTAACGCTGCCCACACTCGTAATTGGTGTAATATATATTGTTCTGAGCCAAGCTTATTTCCATTCTAATGACAAGGATAATTCTAACTTGGCTGAGGAAGAGACGTCAAAATTGGCTAACAATGAAACTTCCACAATCAAACGCTAAGATGTTCCGAGTGATCATGAGTAGATGAATATGTGTCCTGACAATCAGGCCGGAAATAAGACTTGGGAAAGATATTGGCAAACGCAACATTGCGAGCATATCCTTTCGGAAATGTTGACCAGCTTGTCACAGATATTGTGGGTTTCAAAGTCGATACCATGCAAATGGGTTCTATAGCTGACGTAAATTTGCTCTATCTGAAGTCGGGTTGCACGGATCGGCAAGCTGAGGGCCGTCTTTGGATCAGGAACATATGACATTTGCCCTTGTGATGCGAGCGGGTAATGGGCTTCTGAGGTTGGTGAGGTCATTTGTCTGCTCGGGCAGACTTTTCGCGACCCTGACCCGCTAGTTTAATGCAGGCAACGATCTACAGATCTTGACGGACGCAGGAGTTGTCGACGTTTGGAAAGTCTAGAGAAAAAGCCATGTACACGAAATTTTTTTCGGAAGTCTGAAGAGAAAATCCCGGCTGTACAGCCGAACGAACCGCCCTCGTGGCGTTTTGTTCAGGAACTGTTGGTGCAAGCATGGAGTAGTAGATTGTCGAATGTTGATGGCATCGATGCCGGGATGGGTACTACTTTGCGTCTTGCATGCAGATAGCCGGCCTACAAATAAGTCCTCCATCCCTTCGATCATATCTCACTTGTTTTCTTCGCTCTTTTCCCGCCGGGCGTCTGCCCTCTCGCGCATCGACTTTACGTTTTCAACAATGACGTATCTTCGCGGCGATTACACCTGGGACGATCGCTCAGGTTGGCGAGCAAATCGGAATTTCGTCCCTTTTCGTGGCATGGTGCATGATGTTCGGCGTCGGTTACCGTATTACTGGTCAGATATTCGCGATGGTTTCAATTACAGAACGTTCGCGGCTACAGTCCGCATGGTTGGTTCCCCATCGCCTAAAGCATCAACTGAGCCTGACACTGGCTTTGCAGTACTTTGTCAATCTTCTTCCAGCGCTAGCGTTCATTCTTGACATGAACCACAACACCGGTGGTTTTTATGGCGTTAACGAAGCATTGTTCTCTTCAGCACTAGCGGCACTGGTTTTTAGCATACTTGGCGCGCAACCGCTGACAATTGTTGGCATCACTGGTCTTATATCGTTATTCAACTACACCATCTACGACATAATCAAACTTCACGATGTGTCGATATATCCGGCGTTCATGGTATGGGTCGGTATCTGGACGGCAATAACACATTGGATTACTGCCGTGTTCAACTGGTGCGATTATATGCGCTACGTCACGGACTATTCGAGCAATACGTTCGCGCTATATGTTGGAACTGTGTACCTAAGTGAGTATACCGTGAGGATCTAGAAGTTACGTGAATACTGACAAAAAATAGTCAAAGGAGTCGAGGAGTTGTCTATCGACTTTTACGACGAGAGAATCACGAACGGTTACATGTCTGTGATGATTGCTATTCTGTACAGCATCACTGTCTACCTCTTGGAGAAGATGCGCAGAACAACTCTGTTCAAACCTGCGGTGCGCGAATTCCTGTCCGACTACGCCTATCCGATTGCCACTGTCTGGTGGACGGGTTTTAGCCACATTCCAGGAAATCTTCGACGAGTGCACATAGGAACTCTTCCCATCACAAGGTCATGGTATCCAACAATAGAACGACCCTACGTGTGGCTCGTTGACTTCTGGCACTTGCCTGTGAAGTGGATCTTCGTTGCTCTCCCTTTCGGATGTCTCGTCACACTCCTCTTCTACTACGATCATAATCTCAGCTCGATCACAGCACAAGCGAGACAGTTTCCGTTGAAAAAGCCTGCTGGTTTCCACTGGGATTTCTTTCTGTTGGGATGTACAACTATGATCTCAGCATTCATCGGCATCCCCTTCCCGAATGGACTTGTTCCACAAGCACCTGTCCATACTGACGCCTTGACGACCTATAAAGATGAGCAAGACATAGTCGAGAAGAGAGACGGCGGCCACATCGTTCACAAAAAGACAATCGCAACCCATGTAACCGAACAGCGCATTTCGCACTTCCTCATGGGCCTTGCTATCATTGGTACTATGACGCGTCCATTCCTTGTTGTTCTTGGAACCATGCCTCGCGCAATTTTTGGAGGAGTTTTCCTTGTTGTCGGCTGGGGATCTATCGAAGGAAATGGAATCATCAAAAAAATCATCTTCCTCTGCACCGAAAGACGATTCATCCAGCCAGACGAACCACTGCTTAAAATCAAGCGAAGCCGAATACTACACTTTGTTTTCTATCAGCTCCTCACGTGGGCGATCGCTATTTCCATCTCGCAGACATTGGCTGCGATTGGGTTTCCCGTCATCGTCACGGCCCTGATACCGTTCCGTGTTTATGTCATTCCAAAGATATTCACTCATGAGGAGCTTGCAATCATGGATTCATTGACTGCGACAAATGACGTAGTACTTGCCAGTTTGGGTGGCCGGCCCACAATGAGAGAAGAAAAATTCGCGGAAGAGATGACACCGGCCGACAGTGATGGTACAAGAGTTGGCGAAGAACAAGAAGAGAATGAAACTAGACGACGGCGACTACCGCCAAATGCGGCTATGACCGGTGCCGGTGAAGACAAAGAGCCAAAGGAAGACGTTTAATATTAGATTTAGAGAAGAGCCGTAGATTTCTAGAAGACTTAGACTGCTGAAGAAGCAACGGGACGAGCTCCCGGTAGAAGTTGAAGATAGTTGGATCTAAATTGCATCTTCTACCCAGTCGATATCAACGTTGGAAAACTCACCAAGTAAACGTTCACGCTTGAATCAGGACTTCAAACATTCAAGCTGTGCCTAGTATCAAGGCCTCGACCCACGAGCCAAATCCACCCGCAACATTCCTGCTTATTGCGACCCAAAACACCATGCTCTCGCTTCCAGGAACCGGACAATGTTCAACAATCGGTCTCACTTTGACCACCCCTCCTTTGCTGAGTCGGACCCTCGCAATCTCCTTCACCCACTCAAAGTCAGCCCAGTTCCTCCACTTGACCATGGTCTCGAAATCCTGCTTGCTCCATTCGGGAATTCCATCCCAGCCATTTGGTCCAGGCTTGCCAGCGACCACGCCCAAGTGCAGATTTCTAAGAGACGGCAACTGGCTGAGCGCAGACGTTGCTGCCGTCCATTCGCACCGATCGAAATCGCGGTCGTACGGGGTGGCGCGTTTGACGAGACTCACGCTGCGGACACACTTTTTCGCCGTTGGTGTAAGATCTTTGAGGAAAGCCCCAATTGCTTCGACGTGCGTGTCGAAGTCGAAATTGTAGCTGCTATAGAGCACCTCGGCTGCCTCAGAGTGTACCAACTTGCACGTTGCTAGAATTGCTGGTTCGATTCCTGGGTTGTTTGCGGCTGTGTACGTAGTTTGCATCGTCCTGGCGCGGAAGCGATCAGTTCTCACGAGGCATTTGCTTCGTCGTAAAAGTGGAAGAGCATCTGCAACCCAAGATAATCCTGGCTGTTGAGGATCGATGATACGTATGTGCAGTACTCTCCCTATACTCGTAGGATCTAAATCCGTCTTTTCGTATTCATGATAGTCGGATCCTAGAACGTCTAACCTTACTCCTACGGAAGACCGCTGTTTAGGAACGAGCAGGTACTGGTAGATCTGGAGGCGTATCTCAACTGGGAGCTTAAGAAACATTGATTTAGTCCGTATATGTTTCCGTTCTACTCTATTCTCAAGGGCCCTCTGCTAGACGGAGTGATGTTGCCTTCGTGCGCTGTTACGATGGTACGTATTAAGTCTGTCAGTCAATGACGGTAGGATTGCCAACGAACTTCTAGCGTCGCCCAAGACACTGGAAAATTGCATTGATCGAGATATCCCGCCAAAAATGGAACTTCCCGGTGCGGCTGCCCGTGTGATAACTACCACAGGTCCTTGGACGTTGGCACGACCAACGTTGCGTTTCCTTCGGTGATGGCAAACAAAGAGCTGGAGAAAATATCTGGAGGCAAAGAAAAAAGGACAACAGAGAGCGAAAGAAATTCCTCACGAGTAAGCGGACAAAGCGGTGAGACACGCATCTCGCCGAGGGGGTATACAAATATGAAATTCCCGATTTAAGCCATCACGGTTATGATAAGCCGATACGCTATTCGCGCATCCGACTCGCCTTATTTGGGCACTAACGCAGGATCGGATAGCATACACGCTATGGCGCCAAATGCCGAATTCTTCCTTCATGAAGTATAAAGTGAGAGCATACGAGGCTTACACGCATGAACTGGTCCTCATTAGACGCGGTCATTCAAACTACATATATTGCAGAGGCCTTGTACAAGGTACGTTCACTAATCAAAACTAAGGTTATGTCTATTATCCATCCTCGTTTATCATACTCGTTACTGAGGGTCGTGAAAAACCTAAAAGCTTTTGTTCGCTAAATATAAAGGCTAATATCGCCACTTATATTGCCAACATCCCGCCAGCTAGCGGAGTCCGCCGCTCTAAACCTTCGAGTGTGCGTAGGTTTTGGTTGGGACGGTGAACGCCAGAGCCTCCCCGTCTTTATTACGCGGACGTTTGTTGTCGTCATCTGTGCTGCTGTCATTTCGGCATTCATTCCGATTTGAACCTCCTAGCAAGTGGTTGGGTCTTGTTTTACAACTTCCTCATGTATGCTGGAAGTTCGAAAATCAGAACCGCGCGCGTGATTTTGTGACCGACACGCCTGGCCCTTTGAAGGCGAGGACAGGTGTTCTGGTGGCATGATATGTGAAAGAATTCATGGCGAAATTCATTCCTCAACTTCACCTTCTTCACTGCCCGCATCCTCTTTCTGCTCCGTCTTAGCAGCCTCAGCCCCGTTATCAGTCTCGCTCCCTGTGGGAGGCGCTGGATTTCTATCATCTAGCTTGATCTTCTTCGCAGGGCTTAACCCCGTCACTGCCCCCGCTGGTATCCTGGAGCTCGATCCATTTGTTGTCGTGGAACCAATGCCATTTGCCATCGTAGTCTCTTCATCTTCTCTTTCTCTCTTAGTGCTCAATTCGCTACCACTTCTCTCCATTCTCACGGGTGTAAGCGGCGTCTGCTCCTTCATAAGCCTCGTCCTTGTATCATCCTCTGCATTGTCGAGCGGAGACCGAAGACCTACATAGACGCTCTCACTGCCAGTCTTGAGTTGCATGCCACCCGGAGCATTTGTGTAGAAATCGGCCATATAATTCATTGCTCGCTTAATCTGCCGGAGTGGCACCTTTTGCACCTCCCACCATGGTTTTCCGTCCTCTCCATCTCCAAATGCGCTATCTGTCTGCCTCGCTGCGAACCATAACGCAGCGCACGCGATCGTTCTAGACGTGAACAGGAGGCATGCCTGCGTTAGATTACTGTCGTTGATGAACGACCACGCAGCATCCCGCAGCTTCTTTTGTTTCTCAACGCCGTAATATTGTAATAGACCGAACAAGATATTATAAGGTGACTCAACGGTGAGATCGAAGCATAATAGCTCGAGCAAAACGTCCTCGTTGAGAATAATCGTATCCCGCCAACGCCAGTAGTCTTTCGTGTTCTCGTCAACTATCAGATTTGGGTTCTTCTGTGCGACACGACAGCATGCTATGACCAATTCTCGCACTTTGCGGCAATGCTCTTCGACTTTTGTGGCAAGAAAGAGTGCGGTCGCTGCTATTTGCTGTAGCCCTCACAATTAGTCACGGTCCAGAGGTCTATGAGCAGTTCTGAGATCCGCAACAAGGACATACGTAATGATGCAACTTCTTCTCTCCGCTCTTGCTTGCTTTGAGCGAATATCTCATCAAAAACCGGTTAAAAAATACAGTCGCAGAACTGATCGTCGTCTGCGGCAATTTGAGCATAACGCCCACCTGTGAGATAAAATTGTACCCTTTGTATCTGTACGTGCGTTCTTCTTCGGGGGGCAATCCATCACATATCGATGGGGACCGAAGGAGCTCTTCTTCTGTGTAAATCCATTGTTGCTCCGCCTCTTCGATGACTTCGATTGGGCGGCGCGAATGTTCTGTTGGAACGGTACGAGAAGGTATGCGAGACGATATCATTGTGCGTATTTCCTACATATAAGGACTAGAAGTGAATGTGGGAGTGAAAGAACGAGGCAAACTGAGGTTCTTTCACTCTGGATGTTAAGTTGACGTGAGCTTGGGATGTTCTTGTTCCCTACAACATTGCACTATACGCATCGAGTCGTCAGGAATTTATTTTGAAATTCGAGATCGCTCGACTCACTTGAAACCGGGAGTTTGACAATGAAAGCAGATACAGAGAGGCAGTCGGCTTAATTTGTGTTTGAAATAGAGCGTGTTTGATTTGAGATCAAAGTATCCATGAAATACAGGTCCGCGCATTCGGATCTACGCGCACCACCAATTCATCGTGAGGCAACAAGGCCGGCTTCACGCTACTACCGACTTGATATCAGATCGGCTGTGGCCCCCATATATCGAACCGGAAGAAATCACGGTGGAGCATATAAGAGCACAAGAGATACGATTTGAATGCAGATCTCCCGGACTACTTATGATGATGGTACTGGCCAGACTTTCAATTTCTGCTTCTTGCTACTTCATCGTCGTTCATCTTTTGATGTCCTATGTCCCAACTTTCAAACACTTATAGAAACTTAAGTCAAGATATTCATACGCAGTATTGTGACACAGTACCGGTTACAGTGCATGTGCAGTCGTAGTTAACCAGTCCCTTTTCCCCCGGTTGATTGCGTACACGCACGTCCCATGCAAAACCTGAGAAAAATTCCATGCCCCAAACGAAGAAGGCCAAATTCCACACCCTAGCCTTTTTTAATAGCAGCAATTGTTGAGAAAGAAGATGCCCAAGGTTCTTGCGAACGCTTCACAGAGAGATAACCTAGTTAGACACACATATGCGCACACACCATATAAACTAGAAGAAGAATGAGAGAAGATCTGCGGATGTTGCTGTAGCGCTCGAGTATACTGGTACAGAATTCCCGAGGGTCGCTCAATGATTTGTAGATAGTGTGCAGAGGACTTCGTGACCGAGAGTGGTTTGTCCGATCGGAAAGAGTCGAAGTAGTAGTATCTCAAGAAGCCAAGGTAATGAGGAACTCAGCAGCACACCTAGTGGCCGTAATTCTGTCCCCAACCTCCGCGACCATACGATCCGTAGTTGCTTCCGAAGCCTGCCGCACCGTAGTTACTACCATATGCACCCTGTGAATGTTGCTGCGCACCAGCCGTATGTCCACCCAGTCCACCAAGGGCACCGCCATACTGCGAATTCGCTGCAAAGCCTTGTTGATGCTGGCCGGGATAAATTCCGAATGCACCTTGCTGATGGGTTTGAGGGGGTGGCAGTCCAGACTGGGAAGAAGCCTGAGCCGAAGTGTTTGTTGCAGATCCTGGACGGCCGGGCTGTTGTTGGGCTCCAAGGGCGCTGGGCGAAGGACCCGACTTTGAATCACCAAAGGGTTTGAGGGCGTCTTCACTGGCATTTGCTTGCTGACCCGCTTGAGTCGCACTGCCGTAAGACGAGGCCTGTCCCTGGAACCCACTGTAGCGATCATTGCCACCGAATGCACCAGTTGCGCCTGACTGAGCGGTTTGCGAGGGCTGGGCTGAACCAGAGCGGCCATAGTCACCCATGCCGCCTCCTAGACCGATGTCACGTCCAAAACCGGCACCGTAAGCTGGAGAAGACGAATGTTGATCATAGCCGCCGTGGTGGGGCTGATTGTACATGCCGCCCTTGTTGAACTGACCGCCAAAGCCTTGCTGGGCATATGGGGAATATTGATTCATGTACGCAGAGTAATACGGACTGTTGTAGTATGGGTGCTGGTAAGGATAGCCGCCATGTTGAGCGTGAGGCTGATGCGAATGACCAGCGGCGCCCTGGCCCGCAGCATGCTGGCCACCAATTGTTGGGTTTGGCGTGTTATGTCCACTCTGGTTGTCTCCATAACGAGACGAGATCTGCACACAGAAAGCGTTAGAAATGTTGTGCTTCGGTATAATCTGCATCGTGTCCAAAAAGGAGTCGGAATTCCGCAATCCATCCTCTTCTATCAACCGAAATGTACTTACCTGGCTAGCTTGGGCGGCGGGGAAGCCTGATTCGCCAGCTGCCCCGAACGCACTACCAGTGCGTTGCTGAGACGCGCCAGCATCTTGCTGAGCGCCGGAGTGTTGTTGTCCGTATGAATTGTAATAATTTGAGTATGCGTTTCTTTGATCCGCTGTGTAGTAAGAGGAATAATCGTTGGCGGAGGACGAAAAGCCACCAAGACCCTGCGCACTTTGTTCTGGTGCCTGAGTGTTATTTGGAAAACTACCATAGCCAGCTTGTTGAGGTAGCTGCTGGCCGAATGGATCGTACTGCTTCTGCGCAGAAGCATCATTCTGGCCATAGCGGCCAAATTGGCCGTATCCCTGAGCAGCTTGCGCGTTTGGCTGAGCTTGCGAAGCTGTCGCACTGGGTGATTGTTGTGAGAAAGCTTGCTGTGAAGCAGGTGCAGGTGGGAGACCAGGTGCTGGCTTTGTAGTTGCCGGAGCTTCTTGAGTTGAAGCTTCAGTACTTGTATTAGCGGCTGCCGCCGCTGTTGAAGAAACAGCTGGCTGGCGAGGGACTGGAGGAAGGGAAGCCCTTGGCTGCGCCACAGGTGAATGTTGTGGAGGTTGAGCACGGGTTTCGAGCTCTTCACGATCCTCATCGACATCAAGAGCGTCACCGCTCAAACCAAGACTGCCAAATTGAACGGCAGTTCTGTCAACGGCATGGTTGCCAGGCATTACAACAGCCTCCTGCTGTTCCATAAGTCTGCGATTAAAGCTGGCGGATCGTGAGCCGCTAGCAGTGGCTTTGTACGCCGTTGTTTGGAATCCTCCAAGTTGTGGGCGGCCAATTGGCGCCTGCGCGATAGGCTGGCCCGATACTGATGGTGTGACACTGTCTGGTCCTCGTGAACTTTCAACCGTGCTTGCCGCTGTACCTGTGGGAGCAGGTTGGGCGGTATCTGGTAGGTGTTCGACGTTTTCTTTCGTCAATTGATCTTTCGATGGAGCAATCTGAATGGAGTGATCTTCAGCCTCAGTTATCTGGGGTGGTTCATGACCAGGCGTGTCTTCTGTTGCTGACGGAATAGTCTCCTCGGGCTCCGCATCTGCATGTGTCACCTCAACGAAGTCAGATGTCTCGCTAGGCGTCACAGCGACGTCTGATGTTGGTGCTGCTTCTGGTGCAGGTTTTTGTGTGGCAGGTGCTGGAGGAGGCACTGCTGGCTTAGCAAACATCTGGGCCCAAGTCTTCTTCGGAGGTTCCGCGGGCGCTTTTGGCTTTGCCGGCTCAGATTGTGCCGCTTTTACCGACGACTCTGTCGAACCATCCCGCGCAGCTGAGGACGCACCATCTGTCGCTGTTGAATCACCCCAAGCATTCGAGTCTCCAGTGGCCGTAGACGTAGCAGGGGCACGCGAGCCGGGAGCAGTACTGTGCGTTGCGCCGCGCCCACCTCTGTGTCCACCACGACCACGCTCAGATCCTCTACCACGGGTGGCGCGCGAAGCATCGGGGGCACCACGACCGCGTGCTGCACGAGTCGACGTCGCTGCTTCGGCAGAGCCTTCCTTAGCCTTGGGCTTGGCCTTTTCCTTGGTACTTTTGACGTCTGAGAATTTGGAGACGTGTCCTGAACAATTTGTTAGCGAAGGCAAGACCAAATACAAAGATGGCGAACAATAGTACCTTCGGAGATGCGCTCGATCGTGCTTTCCAGATCGCCGTCGGTCTCTTGGAGAGCAAACAATAGATCGACTTCAGTCCAGTCTTGGAACAGTTCCTTGAGCATGGGCAATTGCGACGAGAATTGTTTCTTCATCTCGCCAAGTTCTCCCTGCTCGGTGATGAAGTCGTCAGCTGACGCTTCCTTTGTGCTGTATGTGCCATTTGTCGGTCGGTCTCTGCCCCGGGTGGAACCTCTGGCGCCGCCTCGCCCGCCGCGAGCAGAACCTCTGCCGCGCGCAGGCGCCGGCCTTGATGCTACTTCAGACATTTGAATGTGAGATAGTGTGTGATTGGTGTGGCGATGCGTTGTCTATGTAGAGTAGAGCAACGAGGATGATGAAAGATTCTGGGGCTTCAGGCTGCCTAGAACAGGTTTGGCTGGGCTCTCGCGATGCAAGGATTTGGATTGGGGCGTTTTTTTCTCGATCGAAAGGGACGGTCGAAGTGCGCAGAAGACAGCAACGACGTGTCTGGAACCGACCACACGCTGCTGGAACGGCTGGCGGTGGCGAAGACGACGGCGAGAGGAGATGATGAGGGTGTTTGTGTGGGGAGGAGGAGGCTTTTGTGAGGCTGTAGGAGTGCGATGTTTGGAGCAGGAACGAGTGCCTCGCCTGGCCTTGGGCTGGCCTTTCTGGGTCTGGTTCTGGCTCTGGCTCTGGCTGTGGTGCTGGTGCTTGTTTGGCCAACCAGCCACTGGCGCTAGTCCCCATCCGGCACGCTCCGCCTCGTTCCTCGCCCGCTCACCACCGGCCTACGTCAGCTGAGCAGCACCTGACCTGCTGACCATCTTCTCCAATTTCTGTACCACCTGCTTTTCCCCCAAAAGTTTCGACCAGCCATCATATCACGGAGAGGCTGCCTTTCACCGATGCTCTGCCCTGGCCCGAAGAGAGATTCGCCTAAGGACCCGTCTCGCTAGACGATTTGGAAGCGTTCTGGCGCGCTCTCTCTGGCCCCAGGTTCTCAGCAAGCGATTTGAGACATCTACGTGAGCTTGGTGCGATTCACAACGTGGAGGCCTGGCTCCAAGGTGGAGCAGACATTTGTGAGCTCGAAGTCCTCCGGAGGAATGTAACCCGTCGTCCTTGGACGAGACTTGTAGCCCTTAAATGCCGTCTCGACTTTATTCAACCACTCTTCGAAAGAGAGGCATTCGGGAAGACGGACATCATCACTGTCTTAAAGAGCTATCTGGCAGCGGAAATTCAATAGGGAGCAGGCCTAAGACACGCAATCGTGGAAGTCCCTGCTCTGAAAGAGAAGGCTCCTTCGCTTCCCATCTCGCACGTATCCTGGACAATGATGTGATGGATTCCATATCAAGCAGACACAGTAACGCTCAAAATTCTAGAAACCTTGATGGACTGCCTACAGTGCGCCTAATTCTGACAATTCGACACCGCATTGATCACGCCTTATCATACCACACATCCGAAGACTGACCCAGCATATGACTTCTGCTGACTGACCAATGAGAACGACATTTGAATTGTACATAACGTCTATTTCAAGGTCGATGAAGGCGAAGCATGTTTTAGTCGAGCTAATGGCTCTGCGATTGGTCTATCTGTTGATTCAAAAAAAATTTTTAAAACGAAGCCGAGAATGATCTTGCGTTTTCGCAAACTCGTTCTCCAAGTGGCTTGGACGTTGTCATAACGAAGCGTATTCCAACCGCAGAAGAAGAGTGAAAATGCACAAAAATTCTCGGTGCATTCCTAGGAACCTGAAAAATACAATGTGGGAGCTTGGAAATCAAATGCTCATGCCGTCATATACAGTTCTAGATGCCTAAGATTCGCCAAAGCGTACTGCGTGAACCGCCCATGCAAGCATTTTTCGAGCAATACCAGTCGAATCTTTCGACACCCGTCATACCCCTGAATCGCTTCATACTATCTATAATCACCCTTTCGGCGGTTCCAACCCCACTGTGGCATACATCTCCTCAGCTGAAACCGTTCTCCCAACGGCACTACCTGACTCTTGATATTGATGCAAATCTACCGCTAGCAGGACTATTCTGTGTCTCCCATTCTCTTCTTCTACATCGGCGACGACGACTGTGTGTTCCTCACCTTGCCTGTCCAAGATTCGCACTAGTGTAGCATGCTTTGGCTCCAGCACTTCTCCAGAATCGAGTTCGATGGGATATGGAGTTAACGGTCCGTCTGTACGAAATAGAGGTGGTTCAGACAGCGAATGCCTGCTGGAACCTGAGTTCCTCTTGCGTGGCGGTGCTGTCTTCATCCTGGTGTCGATTGAAGAATCGAGCCCTGAAACAGAAGCTGCTGTGCGGTTGAGAAGGTTTTCCACGAAACTTTTATGGATGGACTCGACTTTTTCACTGTCCGCAGCGGATGTGACAAGTGGACTACTTATTGGGCCACAAGACGGCGTTTGGTTTTCATGTGGATGTGTTGTCCCACCCCATAATGCTAGCTGTTGACGAGCTGAGAAGCTCCGTTTATTTGGACGCAAAGTCCTCTGCAACGAAGAAAAGAAAGGTCGGTGCATAATGTTATGCTGGTTCCGCTTATAGGAAACCCAAATGCAAGCCCATTAAGTGCTAGTTGTTGATTTGAGGATTCGATTACCTTTACGCAAATAGACAGCTGTGCAAACTTGAGCTTTCAGATTGCGGCGCGGACAGCTTCTTATTATCTGAGCTATCCATGTGTCAATCACGAACTAAGTAGCTCAGAAGACTTTAGTAACCTTGTGATGTATGTACAGGGTGATGAGATTATATCATTGGAAGAGCCAATTCTTTGCCGATTTGGGCACCAATAGTGCTCGCAGGCGATGAGAGTCACAGCATTGGCGTGTTCTCGGTCAAGTGTCTTGTTCTTCGGTGATCATGCCGGGATGCGGGTGGAGACGTGCCGATTCGCATGTGAATACGATGATTGGGAGGGGTGGTCAGCATTGAACAACGTATGCAGCAAAGACTAAGGGTTCGTAACCAGAGTGATAGAAGCGTTAAGAATCAATTCATCAAATGGAGATACTACCCCTACTTATGAGCATGGATCAGAAAGCATAGCTCAGCTCTCCTCTCGAGCCCGCCTTTCTTCAGCTTCTACTCCGACAGTGTGTTAGGTTTAAAATAGACTTACCGCGCGACGGTAGCTTAAATCAACTCAATAAGAGAAACTTGATCCTTTACCTCTCTGGCCATCTTTCCATGCATGAAACCATGAACGTATGTCTCGCCTACGAGAGAAAGTTGTGCCTGTTCTCCCCTTCGTAAGACGAAGGGCACCATGGCTCCTTGGAGCATCCAAATCTCGTCTCCTTCGACAGCATTTTCGGGCCCCAGTCCAAGATAACCATGTTCTGTGAGGTACAGCCGTCTGAAAGGGATGGTCGGGCCAAGTGCAATACGAAATTCCGCCGACCTGCCCTCAACCATTTTGGTTTGTGCTTCGAATGATGGCACGTCCTCGATTTGTGCTAGATTGGAATGGGCGCTGACGAAGTTGACAAGATTGAAATGATGCATCAGTCTACACTTTTGGAGGACCTCGTCTTCAGTTGGGACGCAACAAAATTCAAAGCCAGCACAGAGCTGATTTAGCTTCTTCAAGTCGTTGAGGCGATCGCGAAGTTGATTCTCGTCGAGCTTAAGCAAGGGCTTCTTTTTTCCGGATGAATCTGTTTCAAAAAAGGGTGGACTGATTGCACTGGCTATCCTGGCAGCAGCCCAGTCTTTGAAGTTTTTGGCCATGTCAGCTCGTGGCGCTTTGAAATTGAAAGAGTCAGCGATCATGGTACGCCACAAAATCTCTCCGTGGCCACCGTGTTCTGCTGCAAAAGTTGGGTCAAGGCCTAGGACAAGTGTAAAACACGGAGTGAAATCAACAGATTTCAGCATATCCCACATCGAAGGACATACGCTTGAAATTCTATCGAATACGGCACCCTTTACTTGAAGAGAATGGCCATTTATTTTGCATTTTTCCTCCGGCAAAACATCGGAAGGACAGCAATCGAATGGACATATTTCCCCTCTGACCATGATGAATGGCAGCGGAGCAAGTGTATGTGTGTAATCTGGTACCCAAGAAGGCAGTCCATCTAGTCGACCTTGTGCTTTGAAATCGATATGCGAGAGATTTGACAGTCGAGGTAGCTCTGTAAGTAACAGACTTGCAACTGATGTAAATACTGAGACTGGTGATGACGATTCGGAATAATCTGGACGTATGGGGATCTCCATTTTGGAAGGTAGACACTTCTTCATCAGCCCTAAAAGGGCAAATATCTTGTCTCGAGGGTCAGTAGCACTGTAAGATCGCCCTTCAAGCAGGAGTTTTTGTAGATAACGATACCATATCAGCTTGGCTTCTTTGGTTACGGAGTTTCCATCTTCAACTGTTAGAGCGCTTAGTGCCTGTGCTCGTTGGACATTCAAGTTTTCTCTCATCATATACAACCGTACGGTATGATCACCAGCCGCTCTAAACAAAGTTTGTGCAACATTCTTTCCAATGAGTGGGGCCCAGCGCTGCACTTGGATTAGGTGACCCAGTGTCTCTACATTTTCCCATGGAAGAAAACGATCCCCGCAAAGCAGGACTAGGTTTCTTGCAAGTGCTACTTCCTGCACAATCCACGCTCGAGAGAACCATCTTCTAGCTCGACAGAAATCGAAAAATTGGTCCCAGGTTCTTCTCCAACTGCCCGAAGGCGGCACTATTCCAAGCTTCTCCGTAAATTTAGGATCGAGGGGGTCCTGATCTTTAATAAAATCTTGACCGTTGATTTGGATTTGTGTTCCAATAGCCGCGAGAAAGTCTTCGTGTAGCCACGCAAAGGAATCGTAATCTTCTGAATAAGGACCAAGCCAGACAATTACAGACGAAGCTTTCGAATAAATCTCGTCCATGAGACCTACTTGTATCATCTTTTCTTCAATATTCTTTTGATCGATGCAGACTGCGTCGATCCAAACCCACTTATGACCCATACCAGAGCAATACAACTGCTTCATAGCTTCCTGGAGATTGCTCGTGGCCTTTTGCATTTTGACTCCATTCTCGCCTCCCCGGATGACATTCTCAAACTCGCCACTAGCTTGTTTGGTCGGACCTACTAAAGGATCTTCCGTATGCACAGTGGAGTTGTCCACGTCAGGGTGGTCAGGATCTTCGCATATTGCGCTTCCCCAAGTATATGACAGTGCATAATATTGAGGGTAATCATCTAAAGAGAAAATTTTAGTGCGATAGGCTAAAAGAGGCCCAATCACTTCGGGAGGGTTAATGTTTCCATCCATGTCCATCGTAAACAGCTGGAGTAGCCGAAACGATCTAGTGTTGGGAAGATTTCCAAGAGGCCCGTTGTCTTTGTCCATCTCCTTCGAATCCCTTTAGGATCTAAACAGTTCCGACTATAGGTATGTATGCTTGACGTTGGGACAAACTCTCGATTCCTCGCCGAGCACATCATAGGAGAGTTAGGCATTCTATTCCAAGGCTGGACTGCTGGTCCAAGCTCTCAGATTTGCGCTCGAGCTGTTGCGGGGCGTGGCCAAGTTAGTCCGTTGATGTCGAAAACGACCAACTTGGACTGTACCTAAGAATTTTTAAGCAGCACATTATGGTTACCATGATTCGCCTTTTAAGATAGCAACTCAGACGGACAGTCATGTCACTCTTTCGGACGAAGGACCAAATCTTCGAACCACCTACTCGCTTGGAGCGCTTGCTATCGGCGCCGTTGAAGTATCTGATCAGTCTAGTGTACAGGCTATCAACTCGATTAAGAGCCTCTCCGAGGCCTAAGTCGCCCTCGATACGAGTCGTTTGTATCTCAGATACTCATACACTGAAATGGGATGAAATCCCAGATGGAGATCTTTTGATTCATGCTGGAGATTTAACCAACAACGGGACGATCGCAGAGCTACAACAGGCCTTGAATTGGATTGCGTCACTGCCGCACAAGTATAAAGTTTTGATCGCGGGAAACCATGATACCTTCTTGGACCCAAGGTCGAGGATGACATTGAGCGAGGCAGATCGTTCAGGAACGCTGGATTGGAAAGGCATGTATTATCTACAACATCGCAGCATCACGTTGGCATTCCCATCTCCAACCGATGGGGTCAGGAAAATAAGTATATATGGTGCACCGCAAATTCCTCAGTGTGGGGGAAGCAACTTTGCCTTTCAGTACCCGCGAAGGCAGGATGCATGGACAGACACAATTCCTAAACATACAGATATATTGATCACGCATACTCCGCCCAAATTTCATCTGGACTTGCTAAATCCCTCCTTGGGTTGCGAATACTTACTTTCCGAGGTATGGCGTGTAAAACCGCGTCTTCATGTCTTTGGACACGTTCATGTTGGTGCGGGACGAAGAGTTGTTCGTTGGGATGAGGCACAGAAGGCATACGAGCTTGGACTTTCAAGACAGAGCAAGGGCTTAATTCAAGAGTTATTTGACATACGTTCTTGGCTTGCGCTTCTCAAGGTCATCATATACGGCACAAGTGGTGTTATCTGGAATCGCATTTGGGGGGGTGAGACCCGCAGCACAACTATGATTAACGCGGCATTGATGTACCACAATACTGGTAGGCTTGGAAATAAGGTCCAGGTCGTGGATATTTAGCGGTTCATTTAGATGCCAAGCTGCGCATTTTGTCATAAGAGTTCACATAGAAAACTAATGTGAATTTGCTTTTGCAACCGTGTGGTTTGAAAAAAAGGCACGGTCGCGACACGTATAACGAATTTTATAGGAAGCAATGAGCAGATTGCTACGTTCCTCGATGTTCACAAAGGCTTCCAGATAAGCTTCGTGTACAGCAAAGAACTAGCCGTGGGAGCTAGGCTGTACAATCTGCACTTCTCAATTCATTCGGGTTGATATCCTCGTAACATACACAGATTGTATTAAGCCAGACTTGCAATGAACATGATATGGTCCGTTCATTTACTGAAACGAAGATGTATGATACTAAGTTAATACTTACGCAAAGGCTTATGTCATAAGCTACGAGCACAAATGAACAAATAAATCACGTGATAAACAATCGGTCTTATTCCTCCAGATTTGAGATTTCTCCGTTCGCAATTCCAAAGAAGCATTCCTTGGAGTCTTTCTAACCAGAGAGTGATTTTGAAGATATAAGACGAGCCAATCGCTCAAAAAAAAGCGAACAGCTCTGTAATCACGTATTCTTGTACGAGCAACAAGCCAAGCACTCTCCGCCTTGCGGATTCAGTGCAGCCAGCTCTGGACAGCTCTGCACACCCCCTCACTTAGAAGCAGACCACTCAACTTCCAACATTAGACACGCTCATTTGCTCTTCATTCAGTCCTACATTTTGTCGATTTGAGAAGTTTGACCGTAGTGACTGTGCGTAGATAATAGGTGTCACCGCCATTTTCTATTCTGCCTTCCTCAGCTACCGAGACTACCTATTGTCTCCAGACCTTTGACCGGTGATCGAGTTGCGCACTCTTTATCAAAAGTGTAGTCCATACTTGATTTCTCATCACTCGCTTTTATTGCTTATGTGACCTCAGTCACTTGTATTCACAATCTTATTGAAATAATGCGTCTATCTTCAGACAAGGCGTTCACTGCAGGTCCCTATTAGCATTATTCAGTCGCACTTCCAGACGCGCACTCCTAGTCAGAGTTCTAAAATGGCGGGCACTTCTAAACGTTGTATCACTTCAGTGGCTGACTCGCGACCGAACAAGATTCAGAAACTTGAGATCTTTGAGGAGCTTGGAGAACCTGCAAATTTGGGCACCTCACTCAGCAATCCTATCATTGTCGACGATGATGACGATGATGAGTACTTAGGATGGGAAGCTTCGTTCGAGAGAAGGAACTTCGCATTTAGTGACATCACCGAGGTTGATATATTCGGTACGGCGATATCCCTCGTGGACATAGCTAAATACATCACTGATGCAGCATACATAATAGGAAATCCAATATTTAACCCATCTATGACCTTGACAGATTTGGAATCAGATGGATTCGTAGAATTAATTACTTCTCCAACCTATTTATTCTATCACGACACTGGTAGAGGGGCAGAAACACCAGCGTTTCGCTCGTTACCTATAGTTGCCAACGACCAAGCTTCTGGAAAAGCAAGACAGAGCGAATTGTTAGCACTATCCAGTGGTTGGCCGAGGTTAAAGGATGACCGAGTTGTCAATGTCTATCTCGAGGGTGAATATTTCCGAGACTCGAAATTCGACCGCCACTGCCACCTTCACATTTGTCACAATGGTGCGCCGGACCTCGACACGCTCCAGCTTTCGGATGTGCGTCGAGAGCTAGCACGGATTCTAGGCATAGAAGACCCGTTTACCTTGCAAATCGAAGTCCAGCATGCAAAAGCACATGCCAAGGCCAATATATTTAGTCGTGGCCTCTGCAAGCGTTTCAATGCCGCTTGGGACGATACAACTATAGACGACCGCAGCTCATTGAGAAAGGCGCTCCCGTCTTCGGACGCTTGGCTTCGTGTCCGGACCTGTGACTACATTATTATTGAAATTACCACCAAAGATATATCGTGTGCAATTACGCCATCCGATTCTACTACTATCCATCAGGTGCGACAGCTTATTGCCTCCATTGCTGACACGGCAGTCGGTGCAATACACATGTATACCTCAGATGTGGAACTTGTCGACAATATGGACAGGTTAGACTCTTTTGACTTTACTTGCGGCTCAAGAATCAAAGCGGTCATTGAAACGCGAGAGTGCGTTAATTGTTACGACGACGTGGGATATGCAGATTTCCCTCTTGAGTCAACAACTGAGGAGTGTCTTCATGAGCTAAATATCTGCAAAAGCTGTATATCAACCTGGATTACCACTTGCCTCAACAACGGTAACTGGAATCATATTACATGTCTCTCAGCCAACTGTGGAGCTGTCCTACAGTATGGCGATATCAAGAGGGCTGCAACTGACACGGATATGCAACGATACGAGCGATTTTCAATGCGAGACGCTCTCTCAGAGATTCCTGGATTTAGATGGTGCCTCTCCCCAACATGTGATGCTGGCCAAATACACGAGAACAGCGAAGGTACGGAACAGATCCTGACCTGTATAGCATGTGGTTTCAAGCGATGTACTGCTTGTGATCGCGAATGGCATCAGGATGAAACATGCAAACAGTATAGTGACAGTTTAGCTGTGCAGCCCTCGGAAATAAACGCGTCTGAGGCTTGGATCGTCAATAACAGCAGGAAGTGTCCCGGATGTCAGAGCCCTATTCAGAAGGTAAATGGCTGCGATCATATGACATGTGTGTCAATGTTCCAATATCGGAAAATATCAATTACTAATCATGGCTTAAGGCACACGCTGTCTCAGGCAATTCTGTTGGATATGTATGGCCGATTACCGAGACATTCATCGCAATGGCAATGCAGGTCATGCACAAGATTGCCGATACTGTACGTCAGACCTCGCGACCATCTTTATAGCGCAGCAAACAAGGCAGGATGCTAAAACTAACAGATTCTGGTAATATTCCGGATCCTCATGCCCCTAATAATGCTCACCCTCATGCACGCTTAGCTGCCCCTGCTCGACGAAGGCGTCCGCGTGCGAGACGAGCGGCAGCGATTCCTCAGCCTGTGAACAATGCAGCTCCTCAAGTAAGTCTTCGACCTCCAGTGCGTTTGACAGAAAAATACAACAGTATCCACATCATTGCTTTCTGATATTTTTTTCCTTTTCCATCAAATAAGTTTTGCAATGGCGCTCTGTAATAGCACCCTAACAATGCTAGCCTATCTCACACGTCGATCGGTCCATACCAGCAATGGAAGTTGAACAGCAGGTGCAGGCAGAGTCAAATAATAATATTGGTGGCTTCGTGCCACATGTTGTTCCTGACGTCTTAGCAGAAAGGCCTGCACCCACTGCGTTTGTTACTCAAATGAACCATGCCGCGCATCACAGCTCGATTCAGTTCTTTCAAACACCTGCTTTGCAGCATCTACAGGAGCTTCACAATGTGACAACCCCTCAGTTCATTTACAATGCACCAATTTCAGTAGGACAGGACCAAGTACGTAGAAGTGTGACATGGGAATAATATACTCATACTCGGATCAATCTAATAATCATAGGTAAACCGAAACATCTTTAACGGCGTGCTGATTACGCACTATCAGGAGCCCCGAGAGAATGGCTTGTTTCGCCAATACAATCCTGAGTTCAACAACATTTTACAACACAATCTTGACTTCGCACAGTACCAATACACGCTTGGCGATCATCCCGCTTATCAATCTTAACACCTTTTGTTTCTTCGACAACAATAATGAAACTGACGTTTTTGAATGATAGCTAAATTGAATGAATTGCTTGAATGTAATCTATATATTAATATTTCGGCACTGTCGGAACAGCAAGAAAATAACGGGCGTACAAGAGGGGAATTACATTAATACCTGCTTGTCTACGATATTGGATTACTTTCACTGAGGGGTGAACCCACGGGCCAACAAACTCGATTAGAGCGAGAATATTTACTGCAGAAATTAGAAGCTATCTTCAAAGTTCGAAATCATCGTGGCTTTACAATTACCTCGACATCTGCGTGCTTTGGAATTAACGTTGAATGGCGAGGCTGAACATCACGTGCATGGCTGTAAAACAGAATCTGATTGGTTCACATGAAGTCAAACCAGTCCATCAACTGCAAGCTTGGTGGTCGGTCCTAATGCATTTCTACCATTCATCCGCCGATTTGCTACCGCATTTGCGACCAGAAGCCGTATTTGCAAGTCATGCATCGATGAACCCATAGTCTTTCTCCCATTTCGCAGTCGAAACATGGCAGAGAAGGCGTTTCCGGAGCTTGCGCAGAAGCTGAACGCCCCAGTGCGCAAAACAGCCTTCGAGCGACAGAAAGAAGAAGCGGAAGCAAAGCGCAAGCGTGAGGAGGCAGAAACTGCGGCCGCACTGAAAGAGTTTGAAGAGTCTTTCGCCGATGATGCCGGGCAAGGTCAGGGCAATAGTACACATAACAACCACGGGGGTCGAGGTGGACTTGGACTTAGAGGCGGCATGATGCCAGGACCGAGGAGACAATTTGGAAGCGGCAATGTGAGGGCGAGCGGTCCAGGTTCGCTACCGCCTCCACCAATATCTGGGCGCAAGCGAGTCTACGATGGTTCCTTTGCCTCAACGCAGCTGCAGGACAGAGGCATGTTCTCGTACAGCGATCGGTCACAAAACGAATCGAGGCATACACTACAGGCCGCGTCCGACAGCGAGGAGGATGTGGAAGACAAGGAAAAGGCAGCCCCCAGGCAGACACTACAGCTCTCGGACCTGCCTATAGGGACGACGCAAGATGAAATCCTAACTCTGCTTCATGAACATGCACCCAAGCTGAAAGTGGACAAGGTGGACCTATTACCACCACCAGCGCCTGGTAACACATCACGGAAATCACTTTCGGCAATCGTCACCATGGCAGAAGGCACTGTCAATCGAGATCTCGACTCTGCAATCACTACACTTCAAAGACTATATCTAGGGCTTGGACATCGACTCTCCGTATCGCGACATCTGTCATCAAACCTCGCAGGACTTGGTACAGGCCAAGCACCTCAGCATGATGTCCTACCATTTGGTGCCAAAGTCCTTGAGCTCGAACAACACCAGCCTAGGATGCGATATAATATGGCTGCGCCTCCGCCAGACCAAGGTTTTGGACCGGGCAGCTTCAATTCTGCATCTAATCATAGTCTACCGTCAACCGTGTACGTCAAGGTTCCCTCAGACCTGCGTCAATTGAAGCTCATCAACAAGACTATTGAAGGGCTTATCAAGAACGGTCCTGAATTCGAAGCAGCCCTGATGCAACGCCCGGAAGTTCGCTCCGAAGAGAAATGGGCTTGGTTATTCGATTCAACTAGTGTTGGCGGGGTGTATTTCCGCTGGAGGTTGTGGTACCTCACCAGCGGACGTTTTGCAGAGCGTGAAGAAGAGAGAAACGAGGCGGGTACGCAGGCTCCTGAAGTTCTCTTCAGAGATGAAGCTCCGTGGCAAGCTCCAGATCGGCGACCGCGTTTCGAGCGTGTCACGCAAGTTGAAGATTTTCTGTCGGATCCCGAATATGACGAGGACGAAGAGGAATATTCTGACAACGAGGAAAGCAAAAAGGCACCGGAACTTAACCTCACTGGGGAAGCAAGCGAAGCACAGTATCTGAATCCATTGCACCGCGCGAGACTTACCCACCTGTTGGCACGATTGCCCACAGGACCAGCAACTTTGCGTCGAGGCGATGTGGCTCGGGTCAGTGCATTTGCCTTCCGACATGCAGGTCAAGCAGCAGAAGAAGTGGCGCAGTTGCTTGTGGCCAACGTAGCGCACCCACTATCGCTCACGGATGCAAATCCATACAACCATCCATCGGGTGGTATCGAATACGTAGAGGAAGACTTCTCAGGTGGAGAAAATGACTACAACTCAGAGTACGAACCACCGGAAGAGGTTGTGCCTACAACCGAGGAGAAAGTCTCGACAGAGACAAAGTCAAGTGACTCAAGCGTGCTGGGTGACATAAAGATGGAAGATGTGCAGGACGAGAAGGAAGATACGTCGTCCGCAAAGCTCATCGGATTGTACGTTATTTCGGACGTACTTCATGGGTGCGACACAGCAGGTGTACGTAATGCATGGAAGTACAAAGGTCTGGTGGAGAAGGCTTTTAAAGACCAAAAAATATTCGAGCATCTGGGCCGTATGGAGAGAGAGATGGGCTGGGGTAGGGTCAAAGCCGACCGGTGGAGAAGCCGCGTTATGAACTTACTCGACATCTGGGCCGGCTGGTCACTCTATTCCACCGACACCATGCAGGGCTTTATCGACGCGTTCAAAAACCCACCCTTGACCGAGGAGGAAAAGGCTGCCGATGAAAAGGAAAAGAGGGAGCGTGAAGAGAGAAGAAATGCGCAGAAAGCCAAGGCTCCAGTCATAAAGCAGAGCAGTGATCTTGCGGCGGACGACACGATGGACGGAACATCGGAATCTAATAACGCGGTCTCTGCCCTTGGCGGAGATGCAGAAGGCGATAAGATGGATCTGGATAATGCCAGTGATAAGAAGGGCGAGGCAGAGACGAAGACAAGAGATGCCGAAGACGTTGATGCCGCTAATGGCATCTTTGGCTTTGACACAGTCACGGAAGAACAGAGAAAAGGCGGGCAACCTTCGCGTCCAGCAGCGCCTAGGAATACCATCGTATCCAAGGGACCCAAGCGGCCGAGTACGCGAGAAATGCTCGACGACTAGTGATAAGATCAAATATTTTGTGTGCTGCCCCCGAAGTTCCGCGTGCGTCACAACTTGCTGTACTAATGTAAAAGTGTCCCTGAGCTCCTTCTACGAATGAAATGGGCGGTTGGCCCATCTTAACATGTAAACAGCGACCAGGCCCTGGCACGACTTTGCAACGACCTCGTCGCGAACAGCTTTTCAATTGACCTTCGAGTGCTCCCGGCCGTTCGACACTCTTCGAGCATTTGATTTCGTCAATTCATTCCTCCGTTCCGTTCCCATGGTCGGGTTCAGCGCTGTTCGCGCCAAGTGGGATAGCGCGCATTCCCACTGTGATGACTCTCTCACCTTGCCACTGCTTAGACCCAGTGAGGCTTCGGCCTCAGAGGACGTGGAGCAGAAGTCGTGCTCGGCGGTCCCTTCAAGCAGACGCCTGAACTCTGGCTTGGGTGTTTTTAACAAGCCTCTGACAACAATTAGAAACAAAGCCTTCAGCCGAGCCTCGAGGAGCGGTTCTAGTGGGTCATTGCGTAGTGGTGGTTTTTGTGTGCGAGATATGCAATCCGAAGAAGCCGGGACATTAGTCCAAGCAAACGTGCACGGCAGGGAGTGTGGCGAGAAGATGGCAAGAAGTCTGACCATGAGTTTCTTACCAGTGCCAGTGAAGGTGAGGACTGCATCAGCGCTTAGTTGATCCTCGGCCACTCAAATTAACCGTATATGATAGCCTTCTGTTCGCCAATTTCCGAAGCATTCGAACCGTACACGCCCAAACCAACTTTCAACAGTAGCTGAGACAAGCATCCCTGGATCGCGTCAAACAAGCTTCCGTCGAGTTACTCAACTTCCACGCGCTACGACACAACCAAACCTCGGCTCTGCCGTTGTTGAAAGTCGAAGCCAACGCGAGCCATCACTACGCTCATCATCGTTATGGACTTTAACAGAAGACACGAAACCGTTACTTACATCTCCATCATATAAGACGCCAATGCTGGGCTCACCAACACATTGTGAAGAACGTTTCATGCTCAAGTCGACAGCAACAACTGATCAGAAAACCGATGAAGCCAAAGATGTCTCGCCGACGAATCAACAGATTGTGTGGAGCGTGCTTGACAGCCCGCCGTTGATTTCGTGTCTCAACCACGGCAAAGAGAACATTCGTGGACCAGATTCTCAGGATTTGATGTGCTTAACACCTCCCAAGCACTCTCCTCATGTTATTCAGCACCACCAGCTTCTCCAACCAATACATCCCTCGTCACAACAAAGCAATAACGCACTCACGGGTTTTAGCTCCTCGTCGATGCAAGTGTCATCAAGGGTCGCAAAAAATACCTTGCTATCTGCCTCTCCGTCTTGCCCAGTTTTATCGAACTTGCAAACCCCGCAACGTCTAAAGCCTCTTCAGCTAAGCCCTACTTCGGCGGAATCAATCCATAGAGTTTATACAGCGCAAAGTAATGCCTACTGGTCTGGCCGCTTCGTCAGTCTAAATGATAAACTACTAAACGACTCGTTCGACGTTGAAACGCGTCCGACACATGAAGATGATGCAGCATCCTCGGCTAGCTCTGCAATATCCGCCCCCAAGATGGTTCAGGAAACGGTTCATCAGACCTCTGAATTGAAGCGCGTGGAGAAGATATTTCAGCAACTGGAGGAGCTATGCTTTTCAGACGAAGCTAGGCGTTCTCTGCTCATCTTTCGAAATATGTATGCGCTTAGATCCAAAATGCCAGGCTTGCGGTGTGAGATCCCACCAAAGTCGCCAACCGAAGCAGAGACAAAGGAGGAGATGCCGAACTCGAGCCTTGGAAACGGTACTATTGGTGGAGGGTTGCGCAAGATGAGCCTCATGGCGATATGGAGAGGACGGAAGATCAGCGGGAAAAGCAATCAGGCCTCAAGAGATTGAACGAAAACGATGTCGAGATGATTTGTTCCTTTACAGGTACTACCAGGCTAAGATTGAGCACAATAGATGATCCTAAGATTATTTCAATGGAACATTATGATTTGATGTAGTCTGGCTACGCTAGGACCTTAAATATAGTCTAACACGTGATGCTCGGTTTGCTTTGTATAGCTACACTCTCTTAATGCCCGTTACAACTTAATAGAGGGGAAACATAACGTTGTTTCTTTTTTGAATAGGCTATGATGTTTCATTTCCGCGTCGTTGCCCGGATCAGTGATATTCTAAGTTTTCAGAGCACTCGTATTCTAAATTACACTCTTAGAAGAACTTTTTTTTTCAATACTACGCGTGCCGTTGCTGTTGCGAAATGTCTATCTTTTCTGAGTTGGCTCCGCTCCATGTCAATTGTGTTGTCGTGGTGGCTAAGCGGCAGCCCATCTTGCCGCTCGTCCATAATCGTCTCGCCGCTGCCCCTCTCATGCATGGACGGAGGTGTTCCCAGCCAAGCGTTGCCAAATCATTAAACGACTCGATGACTCAAGCAGCGCAGCCGCTATAGGTATTTATGCGTCTCCGCGAAAACTCCACCTCCCACCATACTATTTTCTTTGCAATGACCACGTCCCAGAACGGTCCGGTATACTTCTGGCACGCGGATGGCGAGAATGGCCATTTCGGGCAGTGGTATCGTGCGCCGTGGGAGCACGAGGGAGTAAGATATGAGACGGCCGAAATGTGGATGATGGTTCAAAAGGCGAAGCTTTTCAAAGACGAGGTAACCGTCTGCGCACGTTTCGATGATGTTTTGTGCTCACGTGCGAGAAATCCAGGTCATTGCGGCTCAGATGGCGGCGACGACGGACCCAAAGAAGCACAAAGCCTTAGGCCGTAAAGTGAAAGGCTTTGATGGAAAAGTGTGGGACCAGCATAAGCTCGCCATTGTTGAAGAAGGTAACTACTGGAAGTTCACCAAAAGCGAGGACGCAGCGAACCTTAAGCGGCTACTTCTGGAAACTGGAGACAGGGAAATCGTCGAGGTGCGTTCCGCCCGTGCACGCTCTCTTCCGCCTCCGCTGACGCGAACCAGGCCTCGCCGCTTGACAAAATCTGGGGCATAGGCTTCGGTAAAGAAAATGCAGAGAAGAACAGGGCTAGGTGGGGTCAGAACCTGCTTGGAATTGCGCTCATGAATGTCAGACGGCGGCTGAGAGAAGAGGAGGCGTAGATCTTCGAACGAAGCGATGCGGTCGGGAAATTTCGAGAATTATTTACTGCGATCACACAGTTTGCATGACCAGGGGGGGAAAGAAAAATAAGAAGAATAAGAACTTACACAGATGGCCAGGCAGCCTGGACAGTACAGTATGCCGCAGAAATCAAATGCTACATCTTCTGAAGGCAGCCTCGAATTTCGACATGGCTACTGGCCGGGCTTCCCCTTATGTTTAATCAGCAGTCTACGTATAACTAATGTGCACTCTAGATATTCGTCAGAGCCGATTTTTTCAGCTTGTCGGGCTGTAGCTCCCCTTCAAGCATTCGTAATCCGTTCAAAAGTTAACACCAGATGCGGTGCCAAGAGCTGATGGAGATTTCATGGTGTTGTTGCAGAAGTGAAATTGAAACACAACCCAAAGACCATACTGAAAAACGGCGCTGGTTATCATAGAATGAGCGATAGACGATTGTGGTGGAGCACGTCGTACGTCGTTCTCCGAATCAAACGGAGTCGGCTTGGACTCAAAGCAGAAAATTGGTTCTTCAATAGCCAGTCCTTGCGTGAAATCGCGTTCACTTCCTCGAGTGAAGTGGCGCTGCAATTGCCTCTGCTCCAGATCTTAACAAGAGGCCTCTCAAATCATGTGCTCACTGCCACAAATGTGAGGGAGCTGTGACAGCATACGCTAAGCCATATTCACAAGCTCGACTTTTGGCCGTCCTCGAGGACAGCTCTGGCTCAGCTGGAATATGACAGAGCCGTATGTTGGACGTCGTGTACATGGTCCGGATTACCTAGTGCTCGCAGAAAACGTATGGACTACGCGCGGCTGTGTTATTTGTCTTGCATCTGCCCCCAGTAAAGATCAAGCATCGGTTCCGATTGCATGATGTTCTCGGGTTCCCACGGCACTTTCGTCACCCGCGCAGAATCAAAGAATAAAGTTGCGTCGCACTACACTGGTTGATTGTCCACGACTTGTAGGCGTCCAACTACTGATGGTCACTGTGCTAGTAACATGTCCTTTGTAGCCAAAAATCCAAAACCTGACCTCGACGACTGGTCGCTGCAGAGCAAATTGGATAGATGAATCAAGACGGCAACGCTGACTGACTCTGGAAAATCTACAAAATAGGGGCGAAGAGCATGGATTTGAATCATTCCTTAGGAAGAGACGATACGCAACGAAAGGCTAGGCCATTGGAAAGCCGTGGTTCAGACATACCTCACGTGCATTTCGAACCGTTTTGCTCGTCTATTTCCAGCCTAATACAGCCCTATCTGAGGCCTTTCTTCAGCATCTTCGCGCTGATAGGCCAGCCTTGCGCTCTGCAGTTCAGCTCATGTTCAGCTCCTGCGGGGTACGAAACTACTCGGTCGGCGCTTTCCGTTTTTATGGACTTTGCATCAAGTTTCGAGCCTAGAATATATTGGCATTAATGCCTACTAACCAATGTGAATCTTGTTGTTGGTCATGCCATCCTTGGACCGGTTGTCAATCCTCTCGGCAATGCTTCTGCATGGCACTTGGCGCCAGCGCAGAAGACTCAAGAAAAGGCAATTCAAGCTCGTGCGCAATAATCACAGAGGGGGCTGAGGCCGTTTCACAGCGAGCAAGCACGTCTTATGTCAGCTTCTCGCAGAGTACATAAAAGCCATGTTCGATCTCAGTTGCGTTCATCCAGCAGTTGAGGCATCATAAACTAGATGTGAATCCGTGTTAAGGTACAAAATCAAAGTCTCTTGTGTAAACACTCTCACAACGAACAACATCATGGTCCTGGAGAAAAAGGAATCGAAAGTCAGCCACGGCCGCGGTTGGGAGGACGCCAAAACCATACCAGTCTTAGCCTGGATGGAAAAATACACAGTCGAGTTTTTCAATCAGCCTGAGCTCCGAAACAACAAGGACGTCTTTGCAAAGTGGCATACCGCGGATACTGTGCACCAAAATTCCGACGGGAGCGTGTACACTGGGTTGGACGCATGCTTCACAGCAATACAGCAAATCTACGCACCGTTTGCGGCGTTTGTCCATGAGCCTCGTTTTTGGACCGTCTGGGAAGTTGACGGTGGATTTGAAATGGTCGGCCAAGCCGTGATGTACGCAGACCTGCCTGTCCCAGGTGGTGAGAAGGCACATGAGGATATGAACGGGAAGAAATGGGACCTCGCGCTGCAGGGAATGTTCCATTTCTGGTATTCTAGTGATCCAAGCGGGAACGATGGCTTCAAGATGAAGCGTAGTGAGGTGTACAGTGACACTTTTCCTGCCGTCCAAGAGATGATGAAGAGAGGCATGGTTCCATCATGAAAATGTATGAAAGTAAGGAGCTTTACATACTTAGCAAGCATAGGCTGAACTAAAACGCTATCAATTTTAACCTATGTGACGGTGACAAAAAGCAACTAGTAGAACAGATAAGGACTCCGTCAGAGGAGATCGCTGATGTACATATTTTGTCAAAGTACAAGGGGGTATCGAACATTCTGAGTCGTAAGTCGTTAGAGTGGTCATGGCGTTTAATGAGGTCGTTGCGGTCGTAAATCGTGAAATTCGAAGTCATTGCAAATGCGTTATTTCCTGGCAAGTTTTTTTAGGGTATGAACCATAATTAAGAATTTTTCTGCGTCTGAACAGAGTCAGTATTGGCGATATATGCATATGGTAAGACCGACCTCTTGCTGTAGTGAAATGCAATTGATATTTACCCTTCTTGCCCTGGGGAGGCGAGTAATTAGGACAGAATACGTATGGATGTAACTCATTGAGTTGCAACACTTTAGATGAGACGATACGTATCCAGTCTGGTTTGGTCATGTCCTTGGTGATAAATGCCGTCCATATTGGCGTCTCGGTGTGCAATCCACGACGCGGGCGAGCTTCCAATCGAAAACATTTCGAATCCATATCACGGTATATCCGCAGAGCGTGGAGCATGGTGTCATCCTTGATCTCGCCGGAGTATTCTTCTTTTTCATTTACTTTGTCATTCTCGAGCGAATGGTATTTGTCCCGAAGTAGCTTTGGACATTTGTAGGGGTCTTGATCTTTCATCGCCGTAAAGGTACAGTAGAACAGCACCAGCGGCTCATAAAATTGAAACTCCAACCTCGCCCACAGCTTAAAGTCCTTGGGTTCACGCTCAAGCCTCCACAGCGCCAACGCTGACCCACACCTGGTGAGTTTCAGAGCTGAGAGTGGAATACAAGAAGAGACAACGAGACCGGCATCCTTTTTGCTTGTGCACACCAAGCGGGCTCTATGATTCGCGGGACGCCAGTATAAGCTGACCCAAAATTTGGCTCCATCCAGCGGTAGCCTGACCACTTCAATGAAACTGTCGGTCGCAAGGCGTTGAAAAAGGTCTGGCGGTTCTTCTCGGCCAAAGCATTGGGAGCCAGCATATCCATTTGAAAGTGGGGTCCCAGAGCGTACGTACTCAAAGACCTTCATAGCCCAGTGCGAAATTGGAACCCGAGTAGCAGACGAATTACTGGACCATCTGGTCGTCGGTATGTCTGGCGCAGGAGGGGAAAACGGGATCCAAGGTGGGTCTGGAGCGGGAGGAGGTATACCGTCGTCTGAGAGATCTGACCATATTGGAGACATTGGCGGCATCATCGGCTGAAGTCTCGGAAAAGAGAATTCATCCAGCCATGGCATCGGCATACGGGGTGGCGGTGACCATTCTGGAGATTCCTCAGCAGGTGCTCTACTTTGAAATGGGACTCAAGTACCTTGAGGGTCTTGAAATGACAGGCCAGAAATGATATCTTCTATCGACTCTTGACTCCGAAGTAGAGATGATATACGGTGCCGGCATTGCAGGATAAATTCCTTATCGACGTAGGCGCTGTCGGGACTGTGATTTAATATGAGACGTGAATGATCTACATTGGGAGCACATACCCTCCTAAAACGCTTAGGATGACCTGAAGGAAAACGTCGTAAGTCTCTAGCCGAGCCATCAATGAAAGGCCACCTTCTATAATCGTGAAGTGTCCGTTGAGTTCTTCCCACGCCCTTGCATAAGGGCGCTCGCCAGAGTATTTGAGATGTCTGGTCTCCCCGAACATCACCCGGACCTTTCTTAACGTGAGCTCTAGACTCCGGATGCACATGTGCACATCTGAAGTCAACTTCGGCGTTACCATCTCATAGTTCGGATGTTCGTCGGCAATCTCTCGAATAGCGGAGCCCAAGGCAAGCAGCTCTCGGATGCAATCTACAATGTCGGTCCGGCGCTGTGGTATGTTGTCGAGGAAGAGTTGCAGGCCGGCGGAAACCTCGTCGGCATTGTCTGCCGCGCGTAGTAACTCTTCGCGAGTCATCTGCTCAGTTCTCGTATGTCGCCCGTCTACTTCCGGACGACCTCATTTTCTAGGCCACTAGAGCCCAGAGCGGGGAGAGGGTCACCTGGAAATTGAGGTCCTTACGCAGTTGCGGTCTTCTTGGTGCGCTTGTTGGCTGACGAGAGGAGAAGTCCAACTGAGCGAAGAAAAAAAAAACCCAAACCCCGCCGATCGGAAAACACAAAAAAATAGGCCACTTTGTACACGAGAAACTGCTGGAAGCGAGCTTGACCGGTCCGCGGCTCCGTCTGGTTACTCCCTTCAATTTTTCTGACGTTTCGAGGACAGTCGAATGCAATGCAGGCCAATGGTCGTGGGGTTGCGCTGAGTTGGCATTCCACATCCGCGGTCGGCTTTTATTAAGCGATGCATACAGCCAAGCCGCGCAGCAGCCATATCTCGTCCACGGTCATATGTCAAATACCATACTCGTTGACATATGCCAAAGTCACGTCCAGTTCTTTTAGCGGCTCATGATATTGATCTGATGATGGTCTAACGATGCCTGGACTATGAGAGGAACCGGGCGCATCCTGGTCGACGTACCAAAATCCCAAAAGCGAAGCGTCATCTTCTGGTCCTCAGACTAATACGAAAGCGGAAGTAAAGGAAGCTCTGTGCGGAGAAGGTTGGTACAGAGAAGAGGATCCAGAAAAACAAAGAGCCGGATGCTTTGCAGCGCCTCGATCTGGTGACTGGTTTGTAGCACCAAGGTCTCATCCAACCCAGACATCATGCTTTGGCTTGATCCGTCTCCTCAGGCCGCGCGTGCGGTGTTGTCGAGTCCCGGGTTGCCTTGATTGGACCAAGTGACTAAGCGCGACACTCCTGCGCGCGAACATCGAAAACACTGCCGTGGGATGCAGTTTGCGAAAATCGCGACGAGAGGGGAGAATGGTAAACTGGAATGCACTCTGCTTGTGGACCAGCAACACGATATATATTGTCAGATGAGCTGTAGCCTCACTGAGACACAACACCCAGTTATCGTGCACTGCCTCACTCTTCGTACCCAAGACAGACGGAGGCGCCGTATGGCTGCCTAACATGGCCGGGTAACCATGCGCCAGAAGTGATTGGAAGCCCGCAAAGCGACTCATCTTGCTCCTTTCAGCTTCTCATCCACTATCTTTTCCACGAGACTGGCAATCAGTCCGCCAGTCCCTGCACCCTCCTCAAAATATGCCGCAACGTTCTTCTCCACGTACTTGCCCACCATGTCTACTTCGATGTTCACCTCGTCACCGGCTTTCTTACTTGCAGTGACAATCCTCTCTTGCGTGTATGCAATCAGCATGACCTCCCACCACCCGTCATTTCCGTCCTTGACCTTTGTCACGGTCAAGCTGGCCCCGTCAATGGCGATGAAGCCTTTTTCCACCACGTAGCGCAGAACGGACGGATCCCTGGGTTGAAAACGGAAGGTAAGCGCGTTCCCATCAGGAGTAACAGACAGCACTGTTGCGACTGTGTCTACGTGTCCCTGCACAAAGTGTCCGCCCATCCGTGTGTGCGCCGAAACTGCTCTTTCGAGATTGACCTTCGAGCCCTCCACCAGGGAGCCGAGATTTGTGCGGCGAAGAGTCTCGGGCGCCACGCCCACTTTGAACGTGGACTTGTCAAACGCGGTGACCGTGAGACACGTGCCGTTCACGGCAATGCTGTCGCCTTCGTGGCAATCATCGAGGATGGCTTCGGCCCCAGTGATCGTGAGAGACGTTCCGCCGCCGCCACTCGCGGTTGTGTCGAGCTTCTCGAGTCTCGAAACCGCTAGTGCTCGTTTCAGCTACGCGTGCGATGAGGGGTGGGGCGCGGCCGCTCACTTCCTATGATTTCCACTATGCCTGTGAACATCTTGAGTCGCTTCACAGAAGCCTCCGTGACACTTTGCGTGGGTGGTCGTGCTTCGCGTGCGAGCTTGTGGGAACAAAAGGCCAGCCTTACAAGCTGCGGCGACTTTCGTGCCGTGGGACCGAGATCGGCATGCGACGCTTTGAGCTTCATGCCTCGGCGATCAGGAATGTTCTCCTTCTTATTCGTCGAAAGACAGCCTGCTCATTCCTCTTTGATGTTGTCCCCGGCTTTCCCTTTTGTATTTTGCAATGCTGTTTGAGACATCATGTCAGTGACTAGAAACGTGCTGCGACCTCTTCGAACAGCCAATCGTGCTCTGAACGTCCAACGAGGGCAATCATGGCATCGTTCACTTTCGAATGAAGCAGAAAGGCTTCCGCTCTCAGGGATACGCGTTCTTGACATGACAAGAGTGCTGGCTGGTGTAGGTAGCTCTTTTAAATACGTTCGTTTTTGACGCAGAACTGGGTGCTGAGAACGGGTCATAGCCGTACTGCACGCAGATTCTAGGAGATCTCGGGTATGGCTTTCGATCTGCCTAGTATGGTCCGCCTCCACTCGAGGTTGGCAGAACCACTTCAGCCACTGACCCTCCAAATTTAGAGCCGAAGTAATTAAGATTGAACATCCAATCCGTGGGGATGACACCAGAGCATGGGGCCCTCCGTACGCAGCATACACAAACCCCGAACACGAGGGGCCGGGAGAGAGCGCGTATTTCTTGTCGGTATCTTTCCCCCTTTCCGCGCCCGGTGAAGCTATCTGATCGTTTTCTAGGTGAATCGAAACAAAAAGTCAGTCGGCTTGTCCTTTGCCCATCCAGCGGGCGTGGATATTCTGCATCGACTGGCGAAGAACTGCGACGTGCTCGTGGAGAACTACCTCCCGGGTGCACTGAAGAAGTATGCTTTGGATTATGGCACTATATCGGATATCAACCCATCGATTGTGTATGCCAGCATCACGGGCTACGGCCAAACTGGTCCATACAGCAACCGCGCAGGATATGATGTTATGGTCGAAGCTGAGTTCGGTCTAATGCATATAACAGGCCACCGAGATGGCCCTCCAGCAAAGGTTGGCGTCGCTATCACCGATCTAACCACGGGCATGTACACTTCAAACTCCATCATGGCTGCATTGCTTGGGAGAGTCAAAACGGGGAGAGGTCAGCATCTCGACATAGCACTTAGCGACTGCCAGACAGCATCTTTGGCAAACATCGCTAGCTCAGTACTTATAAGTGGGAAGAAGGACTCCGGTCGATGGGGCACCGCTCATCGTAAGTTGCCTCGAATCTTGACTCCCGGCTATGGGCTCACAGATCAGCTTCGATTGTGCCTTACAAAGGCTTCAAGACCGCAGATGGCGACATTTTGCTTGGCGGTGGCAATGATCGCCTGTTCGGCGTGCTCTGTGAAAGGCTTGGTGTCCCTGAATTGGCTCAGGATCCTCGCTTCAACAGAAATAATGTCCGCGTAAAGAACAGGGACGAGCTCGAAGGGTTGATCGAGTCGATCACGAAGACGAAGACTACAAAAGAGTGGTTGGATATTCTGGAAGGCAGCGGCATGCCGTACGCTGCCATCAACGACGTGAAAAGCACACTTGAACTCGAGCATAGTAGGTTCCCTTGCAGTAGCGCGTGACAAGTGTCAAAAGCTGAGACTGCGGCAGCAAAAGCACGAAATATGGTGGTAGAGGTTGACCATCCGGCGTGTGGGCCCATCAAGCTGGTAAATACGCCAGTTAAATACTCGTACTCAAAGCCGAGCGTACGATCCCCACCACCAACGTTAGGCCAGCACACCAACGACGTGCTTCAAGGGCTTTTGGGCATGACGCCGGAGGAAATCGAAGGTCTGAAAAGCGAGGGCGTGATTGCCTAGGAGAAGCCGTCAGCTTCGCGGCAGCGAAGAAGTGAACACGGTGGCCAGAAACAAAACCCCAGGTGTCGCCGATGGACGTCGCCAGAAGGATGACTTGTAACTATTGACCATGAGATCAACGCGTTGCAGCGTTCTCAAAGAGGGCAAGGCTGAGCGAGCTCTGCCATAGCCTCAAAGCTCACCCCACGTTTCACCAAGGCTGAAAAATTGCCTCATCTAGAAGAATTGGATCCTGCTTCTAGGCTAAATTTTTCTTTTTTTTTTCTTTTTTTTTTTTCGATGCTGCGTGACCGACATCAAACCAACGCTCGCCAACGCCGGAGTTTGTCTGAGCTATTCGCAGCAGATTTTACGGCTGGAGCCCGAAAGCTAGACTCCGTCGTCCCGACCGTACCGTGTGGTTGAGTCGTTTTTTTCTGGTCCTTGCCAGCGCAAAGAGGCAACGTGGGGCAATTTGGAGTCTGGATTCGCACGGTCATCAGGAACATCAAAAAATGTTCGGTCTCGCGGTCGACGCTGTTCACAGCCGCGGTGCGCATTGAAGCTCACACCACTCTCACACGACGATAACTGCCAGTCGATTCCATTACTGACGCCGTCTTATCAAATTGTGAAGAAAAACCAAGTTGAACAGGAGCTCTGGCTTATCTTTTGCTCGGTGTGGGGCAGATCTGAAGGGCTGCTGCAAGCTTGACATCACGCTAGAGCCTTGAGCTTTCCCTCCCACCCCCGCCGTCCCAAAGAAAAAGCCCTCTCACAAGACTTTTAAAACAGGCCCGCTGAGTCCGATCACAACAGACCACCGCGTGTTGTGCAAGCCTGCGGGATCCGAAACCTTGTTCTATTCTATACCGCCTCCCTCGTCCTATATCTAGCTTTGGATTCACCTGCAATTTTTTATCTGCCTTTTCTCAATCGCACCCTTGACACGACCCAAATTCATCAAGACACTCAGCTACCCAACAAGCTTTTTGTTTGTTGCCTCCCTCGAATGCAATGGCCACGGCCACCCCACCGAACAATGCTGTCCCTCCGCCTCTCCCCGGACATAAGAGGCGGATTGCCGTATTAACGAGCGGGGGTGACGCTCCTGGTATGAACGGAGCGGTGAGAGCCGTCGTACGAATGGCCATCGCGAAAGGCTGTGAAGCTTTCTGCGTCTACGAGGGCTACGAGGGCCTCGTTCAAGGCAACGAAGGCAAGGATCCCAAACATCACATGATCAAAAGGGCGGAATGGGACGATGTGCGAGGCTATCTGTCAGAAGGTGGCACTTTGATTGGCTCCGCACGCTGTGCATCGTTCCGGGAGCGATGGGGCCGCTTGAAGGCGGCGAAGAATATGGTCATAGAGGGCATCGATGCTTTGGTTGTTTGCGGTGGCGATGGTAGCTTGACAGGCGCGGACCTGTTCAGAAAGGAGTGGTCGGGCCTGCTGGAGGAACTCGTGTCGAAGGGCGAGTTGACGGCGGAGCAAATCAAACCGTTCGCTACGCTGAACATCGTGGGCCTCGTTGGCTCAATTGACAACGACATGTCTTCCACAGACGCCACAATTGGATGCTACTCCTCCCTACACAGGATCTGCGAGTCCGTCGACTCCATCAACGACACCGCACAGTCGCATCAGCGCGCGTTCATCATCGAGGTAATGGGTAGACATTGTGGATGGTTAGCCCTGATGGCTGCCATCGCCACTGGCGCTGATTTCCTATTCATTCCTGAGCATCCGCCAGAGGAAGATTGGAAGAAGCAGATTGGTCAAGTCGTTATGAAGCACAGAGCCATGGGCAAGCGAACCACGATCGTCATCATCGCGGAAGGGGCCATCGACCGAGATCTAAAGAAAATCACCCCCAGCGAGGTCAAGGACCTGTTGAGCAACGGTCTGAAGCTTGATACCCGGGTTACGACGCTGGGTCACGTCCAGCGTGGTGGCTCGCCTTGTGCGTATGATCGAATGCTGAGCACGCTCCAGGGTGCTGAAGCAGTCAACGCCGTGCTAGAGGCCACTCCCGAGACACCCAGTCCGGTCATTTCAATCATCGAAAACAAGATTGTGCGAAAGCCATTGCTGGAAGCCGTTAAGCTGACGCAAGATGTTGCCAAGGCAATCGAAGCAAAGAACTTCCCTGAGGCAATGAAACTGAGGGATTCGGAGTTCGGTGAATACTACCGCGGCTACCTGCTCACCACATCACTCAACCAGGAGAACCTGTTGCTACCCGAGAACCAGCGGATGAGGGTGGGTATCATCCATGTCGGCGCGCCTGCCGGTGGCATGAATGCTGCTACACGAGCCGCGATTGCTTACTGCTTTGCGAAGGGTCATACTCCTGTGACCCTGCACAACAGCTTCACTGGTCTGGTACGGCATCATAGTGATGAGCCTCTTGGATCAGTCCGTGACGTCACATGGGTTGACGCTGAAGCGTGGTGCAGCAGAGGTGGATCTGAGCTTGGAACGAATCGCACTCTACCTTCAAAGGCAGCCTACAATGAAGAGGATGGCATTCCAACCATCGCCCAGGTATTCAAGGATAAGAACATCAATGCGCTGTTCATCGTGGGCGGCTTCGAGGCCTTTGCGTCGATGAACGAGCTACGAAAGGCGCGTGAAAAGTACGATTCACTAAAGATTCCCATGGTGCTACTTCCCGCAACAGTCAGCAACAATGTCCCTGGCACCGAGTACTCGCTTGGAAGCGACACTTGTCTGAACGCACTCATCGAATACTGCGACACATGCAGACAGTCCGCGTCCTCGTCAAGGCGGCGGGTCTTCGTCATTGAGACCCAAGGCGGTGAGTCGGGATACATCGCCACTGTAGCTGGTCTCTCCATCGGTGCTCTTGCCGTGTACACGCCGGAAGAAGGTGTCACGATCAAGATGCTGGATAAGGACATCGACTTTCTGCGCGAAATCTTCTCAAAGGACCGCGGCCAGTCGCGTGCAGGCAAAATCATTCTCAACAACGAGAAGGCGTCCAGTGTCTACACTACGGACATTATCGCACGAATCATCGCCGCCGAGGCCAAGGGCCGCTTCGAGGCACGAGTCGGTATTCCAGGTCACTTCCAGCAGGGCAAGGCGCCATCACCAATGGACCGAGTACGCGCTCTGCGATTCGGGATCAAGTCGCTGCAGCATCTGGAATCATTTGCTGGAAAGAGCGCTGATGAGATAGCCAATGATCCGATGAGTTGTGCTGTGATCGGCATCCGTGGCGCGAGAGTTAGGTTTACGGACGTCGTCAAGATCGAGACTGAGGAGACGGACTGGAAGCACCGCCGACCAAAGCATGAGCATTGGATGGGGCTGAAGCAGTTGGTTGATATGCTGAGTGGACGGCCAAAGACGGACAAGGTGCCCCAGGTACCAGCAACTGTGCCTGTTTAGGTGGCAAATTTTGGCGTAGTCGGGTGCGCATTTGGACCGGATCGCGCTTTCTCTGCTCTTTCTTTCAAGCACACACGCTCTCTGATCGAACACAACAAGAATCCAATTGGACGGACTGCCAGGCGATACATGCTTTGTTCTGCATACAAATGCTGAAGCACTTTTTAGAGCAGATGAATAAAAGTTGTAGATACATGCCCCCTTCGGGGCTAGATATCCTGTCTCACGATCTGTCGCATCAATCAGCCGTACGTTGTCTACGAATCCCGTCAGTCACATCTCTCTCCGCACATGGTGTTGAAATGGCGAACTGGTTTAAGCTTGCCACGTGGGTAAGTAAAGCAGGGACAAAAATGTCATGAGAGGGTGTGCGCTCTTTGGGCGCCGCATCCGCGTGGCTCGAGTGAAGCACGGGTCATTCCCATCAAGTGGTCTTGGATGAGCACAAGACGGACGGGCTTGCCAACTATGGACTCACTACCGGCGTACGGCCGGCGACGTGATCAGCTACGTGCGAGGAGCACGCCAGTGCTACGGGCATCGCATCGTCCTTTTATCATCCGCTGTGTCGTCGTACTGGGGTAACGAATCGGCGGATGGTCACGCCGGACGGCGATACGACTGGCCCGCGCGTTGCATCCACGGTGCCCAGACTAACTCAGCTTGGTCGTGGGCCTGGTTCGCTCTCGAATTCGGTCTGGGATGGCCCCTGAATGCAAATGCGTGCGGTTGTGTGCCGTGGCCCCTGCAAACAAAACAAGACCGCAGCACGCCCGCCCGCCTGGTTCTCCATGGACGGCGTTCGCACCACCACTCATGGTGCGCGTTTTTTTGTCTCGTTATTGTAGACAGTTACCTGTCAACGGTAAAGCACTCTGTCTTCCCTTGCCGGTCGTTCTCATGCTTCTGCTTGGCTCCCGCGCCTCGTTCTGCTTCCCCCCCTTCCCTCGCCGTCCGTGATTGGCTCCTCGCTTCGTTGGGGAATCGTCACTGGGATTTTCTTCAGCAGCAGCAGCACACCTCACGCTTGCTAACACTAAGGGAAAGAAAGGTCAGCCTAGTGCTTGGATCGCAACTTCCTCTCGTTCTTTCCGTGCTCCACTCTCCGCCACAAGTGCTCTCTCTCTCTTTCATCCTCCTTCAACCAGACACGCTCTTTCTGCACACAGGCCGGCGCAATCGGGAAAGTACGCCTGGCCTCAAGCTAGCCGTCCGCGGCTGCCTGCCTTCGTCCTTCCATCGCTGCGTCCTTCACAAATCTGTCCCTCGTTCCTTCCACTCCCCTTGCACGCTACCCGGTCAGTCGATCCCATCATATCGCGCGCGTCACACCTGCCGCGCAAAACTCAGCATCGAGTAGCCACGACCTGAGTTAGCAGGCACACCGCGAAGCCGCACCCCCTGCGTGTCGTGGTGGTGCCTGCCTCCCCTCGCCTCGCAACGGCCCAGTGGAAAAAAAGGCCGAAGCAGAACAGCAGCGAAGTCTCCAGGGTCTACTACAAGTACTTTCCTCCGTTCACTGGCTCCCCCTCACGACGAGTGCCTACGCACACCCCCCTCCCACCCTCCCAATTGCAGCTCCCCTTTCCGCTTTCCGCTCTCTCGTTCTCGCAATCCTTCCCAATCCATTCGGTCCGCGCCAAACAAACGCTGAAGCTTCTATTGCTTTAGCTCCCGCTCCTCTACCATTCTACTCTGCTCGTGTCGCCCGAAAAGCGTCCATTTGTCGCGCGCACGTCACCGTCATTGCTGGCAGATAGGACTCCGAGTCTTCCTTGAAACCTATCCCCGTACTAGGACGCGAAGGGGAGGTTGCAGCATCGGTTTCAAGAGGCGCACCACCACAACCGCCGCACGCCTGCATATCATCATCCATCGTCATCAAATCCAGAAATATTTTTTTGGCCTCACGTTTACCCCGTTACCCGTATCTGTTGTAGTCCCAGAAGCATGGCACCCATCAACTTTAAACCTCTAGACATCCCCGCCGCAACGTCCTTCGACTTCGCAGACTCCTTCGAGGGAACCAACATACCGAAGCCGCCACCCTCGCCGCCACCACCCGCTCCGAAGGTGATTGAGAACAAAGCGAATGCGGCGTTGTCTTCACACCCAACGACTCCAACCAATGGTGACGTAGAAATGAAGGACGCGCCCGCTGACGCGTCGACCATGCCACCCCCCGCAACTACGTCGACGACCACGAAGCTCTCGCCTGCCTCGCCTACAAGTTCACAGGGCAAACGACCCTCGTCCGTGCGGAAACTGCTTTCCCTTCGGTCGTTACGAGAGAAAGATAGAAACTCACAGGCACTCAATGGCAGCAAGACAGACTGGAACGATGCGGCACGGCCGGGTAGCCCCTACGGTGCTCCGAGCATCACAAGCGATGGATCGCGGCTGAGCCTCGCGCGCAAACGAAGCAGTGGCTGGTTCGGCAGCAGGAGGAAGAGTGGCTTCTTTGGCGGCGGGCTGGATGAGAACTCGCTGCCCGATGGAGGTGCTGTGCAGCCTGTAGAGAAGAAAGGTCCACCTCCGCCGACAATACCGGAATTCAAAGAGTTTGGCAGTATCAATGGAGCGTTGAGCGATGGCAGTTTAGGGGCCGAGGATATGTTCAAGCACATCAAAGGTTGATAGGTGCTCGCGAAATTGGCAATAACAAGAGAATGGGAGCGTTTCTTTCGTATGTTTCTTTGTTTTCTCGGGTTCAGCAGGTGGTAGATGGGGAAAGTGGTGGATGCTCAAGAGGTATGTTGGAGCCAACCAGAAAAGGCTTCAATTGGGCTGCTTGAGTTCTGCTCCACACATGCTTGAAAGCATCCATGAGCGAGCGAGTGAAAGAAGAGGCAGACGTCGCAGACGACCTCTCCCTCTCATGCGCCGTCCTGCACTTCCCCCCTTCCCCCTTGTACTCTTCTACAACTTTGCATCAGGTGCGTCACTTTGCATATACCCTCTTGGTGTTTTTGCGTGCTGTATTTCTACCCACATCATGGAGAATAAAAGAAAAGGGGAGACTACACGCGCTGACAGGCTGGCTCTTATCGGTGCGATGAAGGGTTGAAAGAAGAACTAGCTGGAGAGTGGTGGATTATAAAATCGGAGTCAACTCTTGGAGTCGGAGTTGGCTTCTATACTAGGTCTGGGCCTCATACCCAAATTTTTTTTCCTTAATGTATATCGACAATGAACTGCATAGTTCTTTCCTGCAGTTCTGTTCCTATTTCTCCGAGTATACGCGTAGTAAGGATTTTTGTCTTGTCTGTTTAGAACTTATACAATGCAGATATGGCACTCCGCCGGAATGTTCATTGCGACCTTGCGGCACATACGGAGGCTGCAACGGTCTGCTCTTGAACTGTTCCTGAATTTTGCTACGTCAACAGTGCTTGGATTTGGAATTTTGCTAGATTTCTCATTCATTCAGCTATACGCCACCGAATCGCACGAACTGGTCTCGGGAGAAGCATCTGGGCTTCGGCAATGATGTCGATCCGTTAAGTGCTATACACTCGTCTTCTTTCACGCTCTTTCTCGCTTTCGCGCGCCGCGTGCACGCAAAGAATGATCTGCTCCTGTACTTTCACGGTTAAGCGCAGATATACCGCCCATGGAACTTGCCGCTCAGTCCGGATCGTCGTTTTGTAGGCAACGATCGTGTGCAAGTCAACCGTGTGACCTGCGTTACAAGAAGGCTTTAAAGGAGATAACATATCCGGAAACGGACGTTCGTCCGCAAGCGGACGTCGTTGAGGGACAAGCCGTAAACTAGGCCAAGCTTCGCGCCAAGGATGGCGAACATGAAAGCTGACATGTGTGACATGGAACGGAAAAGGCGAACACACGATCGAAGAGCGTAACAGATGATTCACAGTCTCTAGTTCTGTCCTCTTCGAATGGCCAAGTGCCTTCGTCCTGCATCAACCTCTGTCCAAGCTTTTAACGCCCAGTTAGAGCTGAAGCTATGTCCGACTTCGTCCGGGTCTTTGAGTTCGTCCGAGAACCAAGCCACATGGTAAACTAAACGTGCTGTACATAGGTATACCAGGCTCCTGCCTGACGCAATCATTGCTGCAGATAGAGACGGACGTACAAGTAGAATGCGCCACAAAATATAAAAAACTCCGCTGCCCACGGTTTGGTGGTTCGCGCCGTTCAGAGAAACTACATATATATACATACATCCATCACACCCATCGATTCGTCGCGCTACTTGTATCCTGTCCACCTCACCCAAAATTGCAAGCGGATTTTTAGCGCAGACGACAGGAAACAGTCATTATGGTTTTTGGTTGGCTCTTTGAGACGCCTTTCAAGCCTTCGAGGGACATTCCCCCTCTCGAAGGCAAAGTGATTCTTGTCACTGGCGGTAACGCTGGGCTGGGCAAGGCGCAACTTCGACATTACGCGGAGAACGGCGTCAAGGCCAAGGTGTACCTGGCAGCGAGGAGCAAGGCCAAGGCCGACGAGGCCATCAAGGATATCGTAAAGGACACGCCTGGGCTGGACCTGCATTTCCTCGAGCTGGACCTGACGGACCTGGCCTCCGTCAAGGCCGCCGCAGAGACGTTCACGCGCGAGAACACGAGGCTGGACATTCTGGTCAACAACGCGGGGATCATGGCGCACCCGCCGGGCTTGACAAAGGACGGATACGAGAAGCAGTTCGGCACCAACCACGTCGGCCACTTCCTGCTGACGGTGCTGCTCCTGCCCCTTCTGCAACGGACGGCCGCGGAACCGCAGAGCGACGTGCGCATCGTCAACCTCAGCTCGGTCGGCCACGCCATGGCTCCCTCCGGCGGCTTCATCCCCGAGAAGGTCAAGACGGACATGGCCTCGTACTCCACCATGCAACGCTACGGCCAGAGCAAGCTCGCCAACATCCTCTTCACCCGCGAGCTCGTTCGGCGCTACCCGCAGATCACGAGCGTGGCCATCCACCCGGGAGGCGTCGCCACGAATCTGTCGAACGAGTTCGCCAAGAACCACCCCGTCCTCACCCTCTTTCTGATGCCGCTCATCTCTCTGTTCATGGCCTCGCCGGCTTCTGGGGCTCTCAACCAGACGTGGGCCACGGTGGCTGACGTCGATGGCAAGCCCGCGACGGGAACGAAGTCGCCCAAGAAGCTCGTGCAGGGGGCTTACTACCGGCCCGTTGCGAAGCGAGGAGGTGACTCGGCCTACGCGAAGGATCCGGCGCTGGCGAAGAAGTTGTGGGAGTGGTCCGAGGACGAGATGCAGAGCAAAGGATTCTGGGTTCCCCAAAGCTAAAGCCCATCCCACACGTGGATCTATTTGTACAAATATGGAACCCCCCACCCCACCGATTCGGATAATGTAATGGGTATTCTTTCGATTTTATGGTCTTTTTAAAATATTAAAATTAATTACCTGACACTGAATGCCCACACTTGTCAACGTGAGAGCAGGCTGGGGCATGTCCCGTCCACGCGTAGATGTCCTGAGAAAAAATTCGGGCCGATGGCACCGTTCAGGATCTCATGTCAACAACGCCTAAAAGATGCTTAATCATGCCTTGCAAACGCTTCTACAAACACTCCATCTCCGACCTCTCAATGCTCGCGTTCACTTTCCTGGCCCTCCCTGGCCCTCGAATGCGAGCAATAGACAGCATGCCCATCTCGCTACAACTACCTGCAACATTTTGCACGCCATTCTATCAACAATCTACTGGCTCTTCTTGTGCTCTTCCTCAGCCATCCTCTTCTCACGCCTCCTCTTCATGGCCTCTGGGCCACTCTCTGTATCGAGCATGTAGTCCCACCACCTGAAGCTCGAGGCATAATTACCAATGAACTTCTCGTGATGAGTGTCGTGATGATCAGCGCCAGCCCAGAAGGGTAGGAAGTGATGCAGACTCCAAGGGAACTCATAGCCAGAATGCGCGTCGATAGCCTGGAAAAGGCGGAGGACGATCCAGGCGTACATGGTGAGGATGTGCAGATCTCCTGTAATGGCGCACCAGAGGATGGGCGAGCCAACTGTGCCGAGACCAAGCATCATAACCTCGATCGGAGAAGCATATTCGGCGGCGAGACCGAACGGCGCCGAGTACTGGTGATGAATCTTGTGGATGTTCTTGTACAGGAAGGGATAGACGTGCATGGCGCGGTGAGACCAGTAGTGCCAGGTGTCCTCCATGACAAAGAAGATGGCGATTTGGTAGGCCATCTTCCATAGGCTAGGAAATGGGACGGACGTGCTCAGGCCAAAAAACTGGGCCATGGGGTGGAAAAGCCTGGTGCGTCGGTGTCAGCAGTTCACGCGGTAGAACCCACGACGTTGGACGTACCAGATCTGGGGCAGCTCAACGGTGAAATGCGAGAGCAGAACCAGCATGGCACACTGCCATTGTTCCTTCGCGGTCGGTATTTTTTGCTGTCTCCGTCGTTAGCCTTGCCCTGCGTCGCCACCCGCGTCAGAGCCTAACTCACTTGCTGAATCTTGTACTTCCTGAAGTACGGGATGCAGTCGATGATAATCCAAGGCAGGCTGCGTCCGAAGTACACGACCTCGTGCATGACAAAGCTCATGATGCCGGTGGCGAGAACGTCGTTTTGCATGTACGTGTACCAAGCCAACCACAAGCGCTCAAAGTAATTGAGGTTTACATTGTACTTTGAGATCTCTTCGAACTGGCCCCAGTATGTGTCTTGAGGAGTGCCGAGGGCGTAGGCTCCCGTCGAATTCGAGGTTCTAGAAAACCGTCAGTACCGCGGACGTGTGGTATGCGATTCGCGGTTAAGGAGGCGGGCATTAAGGAAAAGAGATGTACGGAACGACTCAGGCGAGCAGTGAAAACCTACATGTAAGCAGCGTCCATGGCTATGCCTCGCTGTCGCACAATGCTTCCAAGAGAGTGTGTTGTGGGTGTGGACGAAGCGACGGCGCGAGGGAATCGAGAATAAAAGATGTTGAGGAGGCGTGGTACGAGCCAATCAAATGATTCGACCAGACGGTTCCGAAAGTGGGAATCTGGTACGACTCTCAGAACATCGGTAGCGCCAGACTCCGCCCGATCATTTACGCAACCCCCTGTGGCATTCACCGCTTTCGTCTTCCGGAATTGCCACAGCCGAAGTGGTCTTACGGCGCAAGCACATGTCAACGCTGAGTTCGCTTTACGTGGCTGCTACCACTTCTGCCCTTCTAGCGGCCTCCACGCTCCACATCTCGCGTCAATGTCATGCTATGCATCAAATATATCCGTAGTCTCATTTATGAGGTGGGAATCAAACCAAACAGAGCACCCCGGGAATTTTCTGCCGGCCTCGGCAACAGAGAAAGCAGGCGATGGAATGTAGTTCAATCCGGGACTTCCTCCATCTTCCCGTAGCCACTGGTCATTCATATCATGGGTTTTTAAGTAACGAATAGTATACTCTATGAAGTCGGCTATTACACCTAGCGAGCCACGACTGAAAGTTTCCTGAGACATCCTACGACACGCGTGGTTCAGTCGGGATCTCTTCACTCAAAATACTTTCCGTGCTCAAGATCCTCCAGCAATGTCCATTGCTTCGGAGTCCACCCCAAGGCTTCTCTGGTCTTCTTGCTTGAAACAGGACTATTCGCCCCAACAAGAGCGGCGAAAAACCCAAAATGCTCCTGCGCCTGCTCCATGGACTTTGACACGACGGGTACCTCGAGTTTCTTTCCAATGGCTTCCGCGATATCCTTCATCCTGACGCCTTCTTCGGCGACCACATGGTACGTTGCTCCGGCGCTTCCCTGCTCCAAGGCAAGGCGAAAGGCAACTGCGGTGTCGAGGTAGTGGACCGCAGGCCATCGGTTTAGCCCGTCGCCAATGTAAGCGGAAACCCCCTTCGCTCGTGCGATATGGATTATTTCGGCCATAAACATGGCATCGCCGTCTCCGTGGTTGGTTGGCGCAAGTCGCATGACCGCTGAACGGACGCCGTTCGAGGCGAGGCTCTTGGCCAATTCTTCCGACTCCCCGCGGATGGCTAACGGTCCCGTTGAAGGGTCGTAGACGTCGTCCTCAGTCGCGACGCGGTCCCTTGGCAAAAGAAGTGTTCCAGACGTGATGATCAAAGGACGGTTCGAACCAGCGAGCGCGTCTGCCATTGCACGGATGGCCGCTTGGTCTGTGTCACAGCTCTTCCTTACATTGGTGAAGTCCATGTCGAAGGCGAGGTGAATAACGCCATCCGACGCAGCAGCACCCGCCTTCAGAGAGTCCAGATCGTACAGCGACCCTCTGTGAACTTCTGCTCCGAGGTCAGAGATAACCTCTGCCGCTTTGTCGGAGCGCGCCAGGCCAAGCACAGTATGGCCTGTGTTCAGAAGTTCTCTGGTGACTGCCCTGCCAATGAGTCCAGATGCGCCCGTAACAAAGACACGCATATTGGGTTCGACTGTGTAACCAAGCTCTAAGATCGTATGAAGCTTCAACTTCCACAGTGGCTAGAAGTCCCAGGCCTTTGGACAAAGATCGAGTAGATTCCTAAGTTGTCTCAAAGCAATATGAGACGTCGGTCCCTTATACTTCACAAGATTCGGATCCTTTGCTCTAGTCCGCTGTAACCAAGGCCGGAAACAAACCCATCATTTTCGGCCGAATATACGAGGGCATAATCTACATTGGCAATCTGATTCGGAGACTGTCGAGTTTCTCGGTCGAAAAGAATGCAGAGCCATGAAAATCAAGTGTCATTTGGATTTGTAATGCACCTTTTAAAATCACGTGATAGGCATTCTGCTCGGCCTATTCAGCCGAATCGGCCGCTACTCATTGTTGAATAGATTATTTGGGAGACAAATACTTGGTGGAACCATAAGGGTCCATTACAGCATTCGCTTAGGGCATGCGAGGAAAGTATCAGGTGCTTGAACGCCAGGTTACGAGTAGAAAGCATGAAGGCACTGCAACGTTTGAGACACAATCAGGATTGCGGGAGAAACTTGCGCGTGAACATGGGTATGTGTCACTACCAATAATAGATATACCATGGGCTTGACGATTGAGCTTCCAAGACTACTTTCGTTATTACGATTACTGCTCCTAAGATACCCCCCTCTGTTTAGAACTACGTCTTAAAGTTGCAACCAGCATATGAAATCGTACATGCAACGTTCGTCTATGAGAAAATAAAAGTCACTCCAAAAAGCTGGCGGGCCCCAGCCTTTCGGCCAAAGCTTTCTTGATCTCCGTTGTGCTCATTGTTAAGAATTTCCTCTCTCGAAGCGGGTTCGCTGCGACTTTGAAGCTTTCCAGCCCATCCATGAGTGCGATCCTTTCGTCGAGCTTAGCCATGTCATTGCCCGTGAAATCTGCGTTTCGTAGGCTTGAAGCATCGGTGAATCCGACTGGTAGTTCCATGATCTTATTGTCCTCTGCCAAGATGGTGGTCAGTTCCGTCCAAGAAGAGATGGCTGGAAGCGCAGTTATAGCGTTGAAGGCCACGTTCAGTATGCGCAGATTTGGCAACTCCGGGCCAGAAGTGCCGCTGCACAGAGCAGAGAGCTGATTCACAGATACGTCAAGAGTTTGAATTCGGCTCATGGTGACGCCAGGTGTCGTGAACAGTGCACCGGAAAGCTTATTTTTTGAGGCGTACAGTTCAATCAAAGGCAGATTGCTGAGCTCAGTCATCGGCAAGCTAGTAAGCTGGTTGTTAGACACGTTTAGGTAGCGAAGCCTAACGAGATCACGGATCTCGTCCGGAAGGACGGATAATTTGTTTCCTCGAACGTCAAGGACTTCGAGTTTTGTAAGAGATTCAATAGACGTTAGCTCGCCAGTGAGCAGATTGTCTGCGATCTTGAGTTCACGGAGGCTGGAGATCTGCGCAATTGTTTCCAGGGCGTCGTTCATCAGACGGTTCCGTGACTGCATTTCCTATTAACACAAAGATCAAGAAGGCTAACAGAAGAAGCATACCAAGTTCAGCGTGGTCAGGCAATCAAGTCTTCTCAGTCCGATGGGTACATCAAATAAGTTGTTGCCGTGCAGATCCAACAGCTCAACGCCACCAAACTTTGGCGTGTCCGTATCGTCATTCTCGTTGTATGCATTCACGTCCACGTCCGGAAACACTGCGTCAGGGATAGTCTCGATCTCATTGTCCGCAGCAATGAAGCGTGTCAGATCTACAACCTCATTCCATTGAGTATCTGAGTCCTTGTTGAAGTCGTAGTCGTACATCTTCAGCACCTCTTCGGGAATTTCTTTCAAGCCCATGGCCGAGATGTTTAGTTTGCCATCTGAGCGTGCGGTATCGATGCGGATCCTGATGGCAGATCGCTCATCTTTGGGTTTGGTGTTGAACGGATCGGCGAACGCGCTTGGATCAAAATCAGGAATCGAATCTTGCCGGATTTCCTGCTTGTTACTGGAGAGTCGAGCTGCCTTCGCCGCTCGAATTTGCTCGCGGAGAGAGGCAGACGACTTAGCTGCCTGTGTCGCTTTCGGCGAAGGCGTCGCTTCTTCCTTGGGTGGGGCAGACGGAGGTGCTGATTTCTTCACGACAGGTCTTGACGTAGGCTTGGAAACTGGAGCTGACTTTTGCACGCCTTCTCCAAAGAGATCTGCGACCGGGGCGCGTTGTTGCTGAATCCGCCCAGCGACAGTCTTGCTACCTCTGACAGGTGTTTTCACGACTGGCTTTGCAGAAACAGCTGTCGTGGCTGTCTCACCTCCTGCAGTTTTCAACAGGCTTGACTTCGTTGGTGATCGTGCTCGAATGGTCTTTGCAGTGTTGCCAAGTGGAAACCTGTTCGGCGTACCACGAACAGAAGAGCTTAGATTTGGGAGGCTCGGCTTCGTAGCAAGTGCTCGTGGAGTAGTGGTCAGGGGTGGGGGCATGTCCTTATCTTTGGAGCTCGGCCTGGAACGATTGTCTATTGCTGAAGCCGGTCGCGAAAGAGCCTTCATAGGGCTGTCTGATGTGAAGAAGCTGGACTTCCTCCGAGAGCCTGCAGGTGAAGGCGGTATCGACGCCAGGCTTTCAATTGTCCTCTCTGACAGAGATGGACGCGATGCTTTACGGAACGTTGGAGTGACTGGCGTCGTAGACGGAGACGTGGCATTGGTAGAGTACGTAGCATCGCTTTGAAAGCTCCGATGAGATCCTAAGTCATCTTCGAGGATGCTTCCCTTGCTACTCGCCGCCGATGCCTGTCTCTGCTTTGCCTGAACATTGGTTCTCGATAAGGGTCTTGTGGATGGTTTCTTGAACGAGGCGTCCTGGCCGGCAGACAATGCAGCGGACGCATTTCTTAAATGAGCCGGTGCTCGATCATTCGGTTGTGTGTGAGACAGAGGTGGTCGGGCTTTCTGAGCGAGCGAGGCCGTAGATGCTTGCCTCCTCGCAGCGGACGCATTCGTGGGACGTGAGATCGATGACAGGGAGGGTTGCTGGCGCAGATTGGGAACGCTCGATCTCGGCAAAGGCAGTTTTGATGCGGCAGGACGCGGAAGAGCTGAAGGATTACCACTGCTGGTCGGCTGAGATGCAGCCTGGCGGAGGTCCATTGTGCATCCCACACAGGGGACGTCACGACTCGACGCGCGGGACACGACCAAGTAGTGAACGAGGTTGTAGAGGAGATATGGCTCGTTTCGCGGAAGCTCTGTTGCAAGGGACGAGCGGCAAGCATCGAAAAGGGGACAGTGCACCGGTTGAGCCCAAGATTTGCGGTGCACAGAGGAAAAGAAGGACGGGCGCCGTGGTGGCGTCGTCGTCGCTAACTGTGTTGTCGATAACCGGCCCAGGGCGCGATCAAGGGCGCGTTGCTCGGTGGGCACGGGCGGTTGTCAGGGACGCCGGCGCGCTACGCTGAAGGGGGCATAGCCTGTGTTTTGAGGGGGGCCCGCCGCGTTGATGGGGGGTCCCGCGCCACCTGACCTGGGCCGCCCACCCGCCATCTCTGACTTGGCCCCGGCGCTTCAAGTACTGGACGCTTCCGTCGCTCCGCCAACACCTCGCGTCCGCTTCAACACCTCAAAACGAATCGGTCGCATACACATTGCTCCGCTACTGCGCGGTCGCCGGTGCTCGCAGCTTCGTCGCCGCAACATTGGTCCCACTAGCTACACGTCTGCAGTCATCGCACCAGCGTCACGCGTCGACCGCGTCCGGCGCATCGCCATTGGCTCCCCGGCGCATTCCTGGTTCGCGGCCTGCTCCAACCACCGCATAACGGGCCTTGTCCCGGTCACATAGGCGCTCGCTCAGTATATCACACTTCCCATCCGCTGCCTGTCCGCAGGCTTCCCCGCCATTTCCGGCCTCTTCAATTGTGTCGCAAGGTCGCTGTTGATGCTGTCTTGGACGGTACAAACAGTGTGACGCTCGCGACCGTAGCCGACAACGCAGACTGGCCATTTGCTCTCGATCTTCGGCTCCGCAATTCTCGTCTGTGTCACAGCTTCCGACCGCAAAACCCACGCGCATCATCCTTTGCTCATCCACAGACCTCCGTCTTCTATTGCTTGCACGCAGTCCACCATGAGCAACGGGCCGAACGGCAGCCTGCAGCCTGCCTTGATACCTGAGAGTCCGCCGCTGGCTCCCAGAAGTATCGGCGCAGAACCGTCTGCCACATCGCTAGGTCCTCGTCTGGATCGCTCCAAGTATGCGTCGCCAGCACCGCCAGCGACCTCCTCAATCACTCCACCGCCATCCTCCCAGGTGCCGCAACTTGCCAAACATGTTCTACGCACGCCGTCGCCACCAACTTCGCAGCTCACGTCCCCGCCGCCAACAAACAGGCCTTTTTCATATTCGCAAGGCTTCACTCCAGTCAACGACCTTCCCTCCGCCGATGAGGTCAGAAATGCGTCCGTGGAGGACCTACGGAACATGGTGGAGAGCTTGAGCATCGCTCTGCGAGAAGCCCGCGCGTCGGCCGCCCACTTCAAGCTACAGCACAACATGCTTCTGATTGATAGTACCGAGGCTACCAAGCGCATGGAGGTGGAGCTGCAGCTCACCCAGCGAGAAGTTGAAGTGCTACAAGAAGCTGAAGAGAGGAGGCGACAGGACTACATCAGCCCTGCTCAACAGGCCGGCACTGCCGCATTGATTGAAGACCTGAACCGCCAGTGCCTGCTACTTCACAGTGAGAACGAGCAGTTGCGCACCTCCCTTGCTCGCACAGTGCAATCTCTTGAGGACACGGAAAACGTCCTGGCCAGTTTGCGCGAGGAGAACAGTCGCCTGCGCCATCGCATTCGCACAAATCGCGAGCACATGAACGGAATACTGGATTCTGTATCAGACGGGAGCCCACGATCTTTGTTTGGCACCCCACACAGACCATCGTACCATACGACTCCACGGCACCCTCCTCCTTCCAGGCCAGCCATGTCGCAGCCACGTGAACCCGGTGCTTTCGAGGCATTGCTGCTGGCGGACAAAGTCCTTAATAGTCAGGAGACTGTAACTGCTCCATCCACGCCAAAGTCCACGCCATTAAAGCACAGACTTGGCCATACACGCAATACGCACTCGCTCTCCTCACTTCCTTCGACACCATCCCGACGTCCAGTGCCTCATCAATCTGCTCTCCGCACCCCGCCACATCTTACAACTATCCAAGAGCCACCATCCGTTGGCCAGCCACATACTCCACACTACTCACATGCGAATCCAACCGCAAGTGCAAATCGCCGACGTGCTTCCTCTGACTCTACCATCACAGCGTCCAGCGTGGACGAAAACACGAAGGAACACTACGGACGTAGTGACGATGAGGACATACCGCCGAGTCAGGCCAGTCAAATTGCTGCGAGTATGTTGAGAAAGACGCCGAAGTCGTCTGGCATGCAAGGGAAACTTACACAAACACGCATAATTGGGAGAGTGACGAAACCAAACATCAGCGAGAGTGAAAAGAGAAGGCTGACGAGCTTTGGCGGAGACATGGGCAGCCCAAGTAAGAAAGGAAGAGTTGGTGCCGGGGTGGCCGTTGGTTTAGGAATTGGTTTACCAGGTGAGAGAAGGGATTGAGAATGATGGGAGAAAATGCTTGATGATTATTATTGACGTGAACCATCTGGAGTGGTTGGATATATGAGCTAGGGTCAAGGTTTTGGGAAAGGTTTGGGACAAACGAATTTTAATGAACAGGGTGAACAAATTTTGGGGAGACTGACGACGCGAATTACTGAGATGCTTACGAGGATGGGCGGTAAGGGTTTTTGGCATGATTTCGAGCAGGTGAAAGAAAATGAAACTGCTTTAGCAAAAAACAAGAAAGATCGTAAACCATACATGGGTATTGTATAACGGGATGGGCCACCCTCTAGCTTGCTAATCATATTCTCCTTGCAATTGTATCGGTAGTATCTGATGTACTCTCTCTCGCTCTCTCTCTCCCTCTCCCTCTCTTTCTTTCTTTCTTCGCTGAGATCTCATCCACGACTCCTTCGACGAGGTCGAAATACTCGTCCATTGCCTCGTCCGCTCCGTCACTGGCTCCAGCGGCTATGGCAGAGATCTCTTTGCCGAAGTGTCTCCCTCGCTCCTGGTAGGGCCATCTGCATATTGTGTCTCCAACAAAGAGCCTGCAAATTGACACAGACTAGCCAAAGGGGTACTTTCCTTGGTTCTCGTCCTGGGTTTTCAGACACGAACAGATCACCGACATCTGCGCACGGTTTGACGTCCACGTCTGGAGAGGTTCCTATTGCGCCATCCTGCTCCTGTTGTGCTTCGTCAATGTCTATCTGCACCAACGCCGCAGGCTGAATCCATGCTTCTTCTGGACGAAGCCGCGCACGGTGGGGCATGGAGAATGATATATGCTCCTCTTTAGCATTCAGGCGCGAGCTGTTTTGTTCCAAGATGGTCTCCGACGTCGAGCTCAGTTTGCTTTCTTGGCCTTCGTCTAATCTGGTGGGACGCAATTTTGGTTCACTCTGGAGCAGGAGTGAAGGTAATCCAGGCTCAGGTGCTGATATTTCGAGTGAGCAGGGCTCTGGGTCGTTATTGAAATGAAGGGACGTGTCTTCTATGCAACTATGCCACTCGTCCTCGCTCTCGTCACTTGTCACAGAATATATTGGGGTGAGTATATTGAATGATTCTTGCAATTCCATATAGAACGCAAAGATTCCCTCGCCCTCTTGGTACTGGTCCTGGTAGTAACTTGCTAAAGTCAATTGCAGCGTCGCATACGATGCTTGCGAAGAGATTGTCATTTTGGTCGAGACTATTGCTGAATCTGCTGTAAAAATGAATAGACGAAAACGAGATCCTTAAAAATAGCAGGAAATTCTCTCTGATTTTCTCAGATGAAATAATGCAGCAATGATTAAGGTACACTCCGTTCGCGGTTGAGACTGCTTAAAACGGCAACCATGTGGAACCTGAAATACGACCATCAGCATTACATAAACGCCTCAACAGGACCAGATTCTCCAGAAAATAATTCCTTGAAAGGCGCCGGAACCTGTGATGGTCCAATCATAATGAGACCAGCTGTGCAAGACAAATTGAAGAACTCAAAACGAATCAGTGCTAGCAAGAGCTATCCATAGCGACACCGATTCGAAGTTGCCCGCACTTCTATCTTTCATAATCCGAGGTGTAATCAAGATGCCTACGCCGATATTCATGATCGGTCACAAAGACTCGGCATTTCAGCGTAGTGGGGAACCTTACAAGAGGTGTTTAGAGGGAGCCCAGCTTTGATGATACAACAACCCAAAAGAGGTAATAGGGGGAGCATTTGCTGAAGGACCAAATACAGAAATAAAGTGGAGATGCGATTTCCTTGCTGTTCAATCAAACTTTCCGCTTTAGCAATCCTTTGAGAAAGTCGAAGCTGTTGCTGTCACTTTGTAGCTCCCATATTTTGCCGGTGGGACGATCCTCGAACGCCAGTTCCTCTGCAAGAAGCAAACCCCAGTCTCGAGTGATACCTTTGATCCTCGCTCTTGCGCCGTTTTCCATCTCTAGCGTCACTATCTGATCCGTGTGCAGCCAATTCCTATAATATTCGCTCTCTAAAGAAGCGGACCAGCCATGATGACAGAATGTATAGTATATGCTCTCAAAAGTAGTGAGAATTCTTGCCAGCAACTTTTCCGGCCTGAATGGTTCAAGTGTGTGTCGCGATGCTGCGGCGAGGGCATTGAGGCTTGTAGTTGGAGCTTCGTTTGCCATATTGACACCAATTCCTACAACGAGGTTGTAATCTGCTCCTGCATAAGATGAATTGACCAAAATTCCACCGATTTTGACATATTGTTTTTCTCCTGGACGGGTGGGATCCTCCGCATAAACATCATTAGGCCATTTCAGCTTCACTGGAAGTGAGGAATATCCTGGGCCGTATGTCTGGATGCCGCGAACGATGGCCAAGGCAGCAAGGTACTGAATAAATATCACCGGTGCCTTTGGCATAAGGTTCAGCGGATGATGAATGATGGTGCTAAATATGAGTTGACCGGGTGGTGCAACCCACACGTTGCTGCCGCGACCACGGCCTGCGACCTGAGTTGTTGCCACTGCCGTCACCCCGTCGTGCAGGCGCTGGAGTAACGAAGGGTTCTTTTCGAGCATTGTGTTCGTGCTTGTCACCACTTCACCATAGAGAATGTGTTTCCCAAAACGGCCTTCTACCGCGTTCGTCTCCTTCACGTATTGAGCCCAGTGTGAATAGTATGCAGCATGGTTGAAGTACGGAGTCTCTTTTGCTGTTGGTAGTGCATCGTCGTGTACTCGGATGTATTTGACAGCTTTATCGTAGTCGATCAAGCCATGCTCAGAGACGCTGGACTCATCGTCAGCACTCCCACCTGTCGCAGAGGAAGGAAGGACTGAAGAAATAGCTTCTTTCAGCTTGCCCATGGAAAAATTACTACCCGATCTCTCGAGCTCAAATGTATCGTTAGCTCCTATAATGATCTCGCGTCCATTCTCACGAACGATAATATCTTCGAGATCTGCGAGTAGATCTGGCAGTTCCGTGGGCCGAACCGATGTAAGATGCAATCGAGATAGGGACGGTACCGTTTGTTCTGCTTCGTTGACCCGAAGACCCAGCTTGCGTAGACACGCTCTGAAGAATTGCGCACGGTCTTGATCACCTCGCTCAAGAGCTTCCACAACTTTTGCGTAATCCGGACCATTGCCTTGTTTGTTCAAGTTAAGTGCTGCGAACCTTACTTGCGTTAGCGAATTTGCAGGCTTAATCGTAATCCACACTTACTCCGGATGAGGCCCGCTGAGTACGACATGCCCATCGCCAATCTTTCTGTACACGAGTGCTGCCGCGCCCTTCCCAGAATCCACGTTGAGAGGTTCCGTATAGCTCGCAAGTATCTCAACACCACGCTCCTTAAATCTTTCTGCGTCAACAAACACTCCACCGCCGTTGAAATAACTCCGTACAAACTCCGGTAGATTTGCACCAGTGCTACCAAAAACTTCTTTGTGCACTTTTAGCTCGGCGGCTTTTGCGCCAGCTTCGCTTGCGTAGACAAATCCCGGAAACGCGAGGCCACGACATATTCCAGGGAAAAACCCAAGCTCACGATCTCCAACGACTTCCATGCCTTTAACGCCAACTTCGAACTCGCATCGCGAAGAGCCATAATAGCCGCCCGCGCAAAGTCCGAGGTAAGCGCCGCCGCGATTAACGTATTGTATGATCTTGCGATTGCCTTCGCCGTTAAGTGTTCTGCAGTAGCCTAAGTCGGCACCACCGGGCATCACGAACAGTGCACAGGATGCTGTCCATGGTTCTTTGATGATTGCGTCCGCTGTCACTGAAAGAACAGCATAGTTTGGCGACAGTAACCGTCGCAATGTGTATAGACAGTGTCGAACAGATTCAATTGTGCTTCCAGGGCCTTGAGGTAATTAGCTCAGATGCGAATGTGTTATTTTGTCCTTGAATTACCCGAATATACAAGCACATTGACCCTGTGAGTCGTCATCCTGAAGGTGGCTCCACCTGCGCTGCGCCGAATCCGTGTGGTCTGGGATTCTACAACATCAGATCGAACTCTGCACTGCCGAAGATATCTTCTTCTTTGGAACGATGTCAGACGTAAAAGAGGTTAGAAATGATGCGAAAGCCTCCGTAGCCGATGATGAACCGGATGACTGGTGAGCCTCGTCCCCGCTTCAGCCGATGCAATCTCACCAAAATTGACAACCTCAGGGACAAGAGAATCTTCAGCACAGGATGCGCCGGTATGTCTTCCCAAACAGTAGAAAAAAACTTCCAGTTCTCGCTAATCGATGAAGCCGAGAACATGAAGATGACCGACTGTTACTATGAAACGAAAGACTGGAGGGCTTGCAAGAAAGAGGTGATGATACGGGTCCGAGTTCGCTTTACGCCGAGTTTTACGTACTGACGTGCGAGTAGATGGAAGAATTTCGAGAATGCTGGAAACGCAATGGAAATATCCAAAGAACAAGTCAGAAAGATGCTTAGACTGCCACTCTCCGTAGGCAGTCGGAACGGGCTCTCCTCGAGCCGTACTCCGTTTGCCTCATGTACATGTAATTAATGTACGAAATTCCCACTCTTTTTTTCTTTCATGTACACGACTTTATAAAGGTCAAATAAGATAAAAAAAAAGTGTTTGACAGATCCACTGCCGAAAGGAGATCTATAGGGCTTCCAATATTTGTGCAAAGTAATGACCTAGAGAGAGGGCAAAGAATGACGAACCCTTATGGGATATGCATGAGATGTGTAAGCAGTTACCTTACTCTTGTCAAGTCTCCGAGGGCTGCTACTTGACGAAGAAATGGATTTTCTTTTCCTCTTTTAACAAAAGAAAGCCCGGAAACCGTCAAGTAATGAATCTAAGTTAGGACCCATTGTGTCTGGAGTGCTTCCTTCGGCGGAGAGTTAGGAGGTTTATTCTCATTTCTTACAGGATTGGGCTTCGGCTGTTCCTGGCTGTGAAGATCTGAATGTCTCAATCACCCATTGGAGAAGATTCAACGGCAAAAAAGCATCTACGGGTGTTATCAGCATCAAATACACCTGCATTAGCCTTCTAATTCAGTTCATAGTGCGAGTAGTGGAGCTGTTCCGGCTTCAAGGTTCGAGCAGGATGATTACGGAATTGGGAAAGATGATTGCTTCCGATATCGGCGACGCGTGCATTCAGTCGTAACGCGACTGTACGTCTCACATCCAACAGAGCGAAGTTATTACCTTACTCTTAATTTGTTTCAGTAGACAATGGCCACACCGGACATAGATTCTCAGCGACCATACAACAATGGCCACCGTGCTTTTCTTCAAGCTTTTATGTCGCGGGGTACTATGACCTTTGCGGAAGCGAAACCCATCTTGGCGCACATATTCTCCATTCAAGGTTCGCTGGGGAACCTCTCGTCAATGCTCTCAAGCTGATAGGAAAAACAGAAGCGAGGAGGGTTCTCGAAAACGACATAACCATAGACGATTTTTCAAACATGATCAACACCATAAATTCGACCATTCACCCATTCGATATGGAGATCGGGTTCTCCTATCCGCAAAAAGCCCAGTCCCGCACGTACAACGACGCCGTTTACGCTCTTGTCAATCTCACTTCGGATCCGCAGACACAGCTTGCGACGACGCACTCCCCAGACGAGATCGCCTACGTTCGCCGCGTGCTGGACGGCATGTTCGAGACGAACAACACGAAGAACCGAGAGGTTATGGCCATACGCGGCATAGATGCTATTAATTTGTCGAAGCCACGCCCAGGACAGGACTTGTCCGCAAGCACGAATGGGAACGCAGAGAGCCAAAATGCTTCGAACAAGGGCTTGACAAAGGATCAGGCTGAGAAGACGTTGGCCAGCCTTGTGGAAGAGGGGTGGTTCGAAAAGAGCAGGTCTGGATTTTATTCACTCAGCCCGAGGGGCCTGATAGAGTTGAAGGGCTGGTTGGTAGAGACGTACAACGAGGAGGACGAAGGAGAAGATGAAGAGGAGGGTCCGACGTGGCAACGGATCAAGACGTGTTACGCATGCAGGGAAATCGTCACCGTGGGCGAGCGCTGCGCGGAACGAGAGTGTCTGTGCCGCTTTCATGATTTCTGCGCGCGCAGCTTCTTCAACAATCAGAGGGAGAAACGGTGCCCTACGTGCAAGACGGAATGGACGGGCAACCACTACGTAGGCGAGAAGGCGGCTGTGGGCGCAAGACCGAGCAATTCAACGAGTCGCCCGACCACGTCAAGACAGCCGGGTCCTTCTGAGCAGGAGAGCGAGACAGAATGAGCACGTTTGTGATGATTTAATGATAAAAAAAAACAAAAGCGCGATGAGTCTCGTCAAGTGCGGGAACATGCATGTACATGTACGCTGAAGGATTTGGGGACTAGCTTGCACCCGTGGTGTCAAGATGTTGACTTCGAAGCGGGCAATGCTAATGAAGTCGCAACACCCAAGAATCCAAACCTCCGTCATGTCAAAGTCGTAGCGCTATACACAGGACTGCTTAAGCGCGTCCAGCGCTGAAGGTGGTGGGTGGGGGAGGGGTATCTCTTCTCGCCTGTGAACATTGGTAGGGGGATAGGACTGCGACACACATGGATCGTATCGCCATTCTGGGCAGATGAAGGCCACTACAGCATCAAATTTGATCGTCATTGCCCGTAAACACCGTTCTGCGCCTCGTGTTCACTTCTGGCCACCGCTCCCCCTCTTCTCTGCCACCTATATCAACTTGCTGCGATGTCGTGCCCACTTCCTCGTCTTCTCCGATCTGCTTTTGCGCGTCGCTCAGCTCTGTTGGCTCGCAAAGTTCATTTTTCGGTCTTTCATCTGTGTGATGGATTGTTTCGCTTGTATCATGTTCCGGTGGTCTTATTTCCGCCTCTTCATCCTCTTCGTCGTTTGACGTAACTTCAACAGTCGAGTGTCGCCCTTCCTCCTCCACGTCTTCTTGTTCGACATAGGTAGCAGCGGGGACACCAATGCCCATGACTCTGGGGTCGCCTGTAGCACGTTCTTTCAGACTCGGCGCACGCGGTCTCTCCCTACCGCGTGCCCTACCACCAATAATGGGTATCTCATAAGTAATGGTCCGGAAGACGTAGAGGATGACGTCGTATATGAGAAAAGCGAACCACGGCCCGATGGTGATCAGGAAGAGGACGAACTGTCACCGCACGCATAAGTGTCAGGTCTTTGGAACGGATAGATAGCAAAGGAAGGGATGCGCTGGCTTTTTTTTAGGGGTGGACGTACAAACATGGATGAGATCCAAGATTCAATCATGTGGAGGGTGGCGCTAACATTCTCCGAGAAGACAGAGCTCCATGGCAGCATCGTGACTCGCGTGCAACGGATCAAAAAGGGGTTCCAAAAACTAGAAGAGTCCAAAATCCTGTCTCAGAAGCCCTCGGTTGATAGGCAGTCGGCTGGCAGAAGGAGAAGTAGACCACGCGACATGGAGTGACAGTTCCGCACGGGCGACCGATAGCTGCGATAATTGGGGGAAAGTTTATCTCAGCGAGCGAAGGTCGACAAGCTGTGGTGTGGATCTGCTCATGTCTGTTGGGAAAGCAAGGAGAAGGAAAAGCAAGACAAGGATTCTGTCTCCTTCGCAGAATTCGGGGACGAGTAAAAAAAAATCAAGCCGGAGACACGTGCGAAGAACGCAATTGCTGACGAGTACGGAGGTCGCATTGAAGTATGATGGCTGTGGCGCTGCTGAAGCCAAGTCCGACTGTCCGAGCGCTTCGTCGTGTCTTCGTTGTGTGCTGATGAAAGCTGGCCAAGTCTGCAACCTTGAGAGCGGGTCTGCGTGCTACCAGAGACTCATCATCACTGTGACTGCATGTGGTCTCGCGTCCTGCATGTGGGAGCATCTCAGGCTTTTCAGCCGTCCCTCCTCCCTTGCAGGCTTGCAGGCTTGCACGCCAGCGCCATGCACGTGCTGCCGGCCCCGAAGTGCGGAAAGCGTTGTCCTCCCGTTGGTCCAGATGCGCTCAGCGGGCCCGTGACGCGATATATCATCACGACCACGCCTCCAAGCCTTCGGACAACTCGAGCCAGACACGCCACATTTGAAGCAGAGTGCAAAAGGCATTTTGGGGATTTGCACTGCAGCTCAGTGCTGACCGGTGACAGTCCCGCCGCACGCGTTCAACACGCCCACCAGTCTGATTGGCGCAGCCCCACCTTTTTGTAGCCACTAGCTGGAATGGTGTAGGCTGTGTCGCTCAGCCTTGCCGGGCAAAAGAGAGAAGGCAGAAACACGTACGTGGGGCCTTCAGCAGTCACGAGCTCCCGTTTCCATGCGGCCTCCAACACAGTTGAGGCCCGTCGACGTCTTTCAAGAATCCTCATCTCCATATGTTGCTATGCCAGATGCTGTGATCCAAGGTCGCGAAACTCATCGCTGGCAGTCTTAACCGGAAGGCTGACGGCTTTGTGTGAATCGGGTCTTCCAACGTGCCGATTCCCTCTCGTCTTTTCGACTGCATTCTGCAGCACCGTTTCTGCCGCTCTTGAACTTGAGGAGTTCGGCTTCAGCGTCAAGAATGGACGAACATGACATCGCTGGATTTTTGTCTCTGCAGCCCCAGGGCAACGGAGAGCTCATCGTGCATGCTCTGGACGGACAGACCTTCACCTTCGCAGGCCTTGACCTAGACTTAATCTTTAAGGTCTGTCCTCTTCTGGCTTTCAGCTTCGAGGAAAGATCGAACGGTCGCAAAATTCACGTCCTCACCGCTAGCTCGATCGAATTGGTCTCTCGCTTTCTGAGGTTCCTCTACACAGGGGAATACCACGTGTTAGATCACACAGGACAGGAATTGCCATGCTCGCTGCTGCTGCATGCCCAGTTATATCACTATGGCGAGTTGTACGACGTCCCATTGCTCGTGAACACAGCGTACCTTCATATATCTCAGGCGTGCGAGATAGCATGTTCAATGCCGTCTCCACCGGCAGACCTTTGTAATACACTAAAATACCTCTACAAAAACGTGAATAGTTGTTTCGAAGTCCACCACACGATTTTGCATTACTGCATCACCTGCTTCAGCCACCACCATCTTGGAGATAGCCCGGACTTCAGAAATCTTCTTTTGGAGCTCCCAGAATGTGAGCAGGACTTGTGTAAGTTGAACATGCAACGTGGATTTGAAGACGAGAGTAAGTGCTTTCGGAATCAACGTGGCTGAATTGATCATCGCTCTTACGGACTACAGCTTCAGCAGACATCATCCGAATGCAGTTGCCTAGGACCGAGCAGCGGCAATGCCGAAGTTACGACTACATCTACGACATCTTCGGCAGTTCAAATGCATCCACGCCCATGCAGACCCCGCTGATGACGCCTGAGATGCGGTCCCCCCCTTTTGGATTTACGCTCGTGCATCAGCCGCGCCACCCCGGCAGCCTATCTGCCACTGAAGATAGCGATGGTTATTATAGCGATGGTTCGCTCTCGTCCGATTTTGAAGGCTTTTCTTTGGTCGATCGATCACAGGAACCTCGTAGATCTGGATGTGGTCGTTTTAGAGGACACAGTACGCATCCCCCGTTTCCAGCTGCTGATGAAGGAATGGACTCGAATCAGAGAGGACTACAGTCGCGATCGGAAAACGACACGTTTGATGAAGATGATAGGGTAGCGTGTCGGTCAAGGACTCCTTCGGGCGACGACAAGCGGATCAGGCTGTCGAGAGATGCCAATGGCTCCTCTCCAATTCCATCATGCATCACAGAAAACCATGTGCTTAGACCTGCTGCCACACACTCCATTCAAGTCCCCGAACTGGCCGAATCTCTCGCCCCCCTCGACGGGATACAGGGTGCTGAAAAGGCGTCGAATGGCCCCATTAGTGATCCGTCAGATGCAGAGTATTCGGAATCAGAATGGTCCGTCCTCAGTGACCGGGCTTCGCCTCACAAGACGGCAGGTTCCCCAGAGCGTAGTCTCTCGTTTTGCGGCCGCTTCGGCATCTCAGGCTCCACGGAGACGATCGTCTCGGCTTCGGATCTTGAGCCGTCAACAAGCAGCCATGCAGAACTAGATGGAGTAGTGAAGAGTTTAGACTCGGAACGGGCAGTCGTGTCGGATGGAGAATCAGAGTAGGTGTCTTTCTGACTCAACAAATTTTTTTCCTGGCAAGAAAACAAAGGACTGTCACACGCCAAGAGAGCTTAGAGTGAGTTCAAAGTCGGTGGTCGGTCAGACTGCTGTCCGTGGGGAGGAAACCATACGGCTCTTTACACAGATGGCTTCAACTGGCTCGGAAGGATAAGGTGTGAGTGATTTAATCGTGCGTGATATTTCTGGCGGTCGAGTAGTGCTTGGGAATGACGAGCCTTTTTTTGGTGCGCCATATGCAATTATGCTCATCGCGACGGTGTTAAAAGAAAGGGGCGGGAAACCGGTGGGAAGTTTATATTTCTTCCTCATTTCGATACAGTAGATAATATCACAGCTCAGTACACACAAGTTATGCAGCGAATCTAGTCACAGTAGCCAGTAACGAAGAGATTGAAAACAGAGCACTGACATTGGGAAATCTTGGAGACTTTAGGAAAGAAATGATTGGCTTTTCGTTCTGCGGGCAGGAAGACCCTTTCCCGGTAGTATGACGCGCACAAGAGCGGACCGATGACCCACTGACTTAGGACCGTGCAAAGACGCGAGACGAGCCAGTCCTAGGCGGAGCAGCAAGCGCCAGTTCACGCTTGTTTGCAGGTCTGCGACCAAGAGCAAGTGTGTATGGATTCTCGATTGCAAGAAGTCCGTAACTTGGGAGGGAGGGGGGTGCAAGATTGGTGGGGCCTTGTATTTCCAACCGCGAGGCCGGAGCCCATCAGCAGCTAAGCGGGTAGCGGACCAAGGAAGGAAAAAGGAAAAAAAAAAAAAGGAAAGCTGATGGGAAACGCAGGTATGGCGTGACGAAAATCCCATGCGATTTGGGGCGGAAGCAAGCGTCCTGCATAGAGAAGCGCGGCACACGCACTGTGGATATCCAAAGGCCAGGACCACAGCTACGGCGTCGAAGCGCGTCATGGATCCAGGCCAAGGGCGGGGCGGAGGCCAGGGAGACGAAAAAAGGGTTCGACCTTGCGAGGCGATCGTGATCCAGCACGGGGGCTGCTGTGAAGCTGGGAGGCGCGGCTTTTGCCCTGAACGCTGCGAAGGCCGGAGGCACGGTAGAGCAGCAGCACAAGGGACGGTGGCTACCGCAGCGCGTCCAAGATAAGCTACAGAAAAGAGCGCCAGGGCGAGGCCTCCATCGTTGGCGGTAGAAAGAAAGTGAGGGCCACAGGCCCGAGTCTCACCGCATCCTCTTTCGGGGGACGCATGCGCATGACGAAGGGGGCGCCTTTTGGACAAAGGTCCAGAACCACGGTCTCTGGCCTGTACTGCTTGCCCATGACGATGCCGACACTAAAAAAGAACGGGAGCGAAGTAGAGTCACGTATGACAGGAAAAAAAAAAGGTGGGAAGACGACGATTGGAGCGGAGGAGGGGTGGGAGGGCGAGGTGATAGGCTAATAGGCTACAAAGTTACTACAGTGTACGCGAGCTGAGTCAACCTGAGTTCCCGGCTTCAGACACGGTGAACGTACGATCCTTTCCTTTTCAGTTCATTTAGCAGTAAGGAGAGGCGGCTGGTCGGCAGAGAGGTTTTTTCAACGCGACCGTCTATTCTCATTTTCTTTTGAAAAGAAAAAGAGCAAAAAACAATAAGGAGAGAGAAGAAGAAGAAGAAGAAGAAGAAGAAGAGCAGGACCAGCGGTTGGTGGACGATAAGGCATAGGCAGAGCCTTTCCGGGATCGCGGTAGGAGGCAGCAATCCGGCTGGAGACGAGACGGCGGGGGGGCGGAGCAGGGTAGGACGAGGGAAAGACGAAGAAGTAGGACCACGCGGACGAGAGCTGCTGGTGGTTTCGAGCACGGAGACGGAGGTCGAAAAAGCAGGTTTTTTCAGCCGTGCGGGGGAGAGAGAGCCTGGGGAGAAGTAGGAGGAGGCGAAAAGAAAGCGCGAGCGGAAGGGGAGCAGACAAAAGCTTCGGTAAGGTCGGGAGCGTGCTTGTGTGCATATCGTGTATATTTTTGCGCGTGTTTTCAGGGGAGAGGGGAAGGGGAAGGAGAGGGAGCACGAGAGAAGTTACCGCGGGATCAGCGACTTTGGCTGCGCAGTAAGACGTCAGCCAACGTTGGCCACCAAGTTGCTTTGCAGGCACGCACAAACATGCAAGCAAGCGCGCCGGCCCTCTGCCCTCTGCCCTCTGCCCTCTGCCCTCTGCCCCCACCGCTCCGTCTTCTCCCTCCTGCTGCCTCGCAGTCTCTCCGGCGCGAGTGGACCCTGCGTGCCCAGAACCGTCTGCAAACAATGGATGATGCACGCGATCCACGATGAGCCCTGGCCATGGCCAGAAGGCTCCAAGCACGGCAGCAAGGTGAGGATGCAGAGGAAAAACGGCGGAAACGGTCGGGTCGAGACGAGACTGTAAAAACGGCCAGCTCGGGCAGGCTCCCAGCGAGAGGCGCCCGCGCCCGCAAGCTTCCATCCGCGACACCATCACCGCATCCTCTTTTGGAAGAGGGGCCCCCATGACGGCCGGATGGTGCCACTTTCGGATGCGCAGAGAGAGAGAGCGACAGAGCGTGTGCGTGGGCGCGCGCGTGCGTGTGTACTTGTCGGTGGCATTTCTAGTGTCTGCCATCCCGGCAGCCTTGGATTTGCCCTGCATACCAACAGCCCGTCGCCGCCAGTGGGAGATGACCCGGCGCAGGCGGGTTCCAGGGTTAGCCCGCACGCAGCGGGAGCACTGTAAAAGACCTGGCGTGGCGCCTCCTCCATTATCAATTGTCACCGTTCCTCTCCGGCCTCGTCCAGAGCATCCTCTCTCTTGCAAAGCGAAGCAGCGTGGCTGTGGTGCACAGCTGAACCGCAGCGTTCGTCGCCTCCGCCGCGCCGAAGCCTCTGTCGTCTGACCTGTTCCTGTTGGCTGTGGCCTCTCCTTGGCCGTCGCCCACGCGCCTGACGTCACTCTCGCCCCTGCCCGGGCGTGCTCGACTTCCGCAGCGAGGCAAATCCTCGCAACGCTTCCATCATAGACGTTGCACTCTCTCTACACTCTCTCTATCTCTCTGTCTCCCTCTCTCCCGCCCTTCCGCAACGTTCGATATAACTGCGAGCATGCCACGTCTGTAGACGGCCGACACTGGGCCCGCACATCGCCGTTCCGCACCCACCTGTCCTGCAGCGCTTTTGCGCATCATATTCGCCATGACGAGCGCAACCGCGGGCGTGACGCCCAGAAGCCACAGATCCACCACCACTCCTCACACCTCTCGAACCCCATACTCCGTCGGCCAGTCCCTTCCCAATCCCAGATGCTCTCCTCAGTCAATGCCACCCGGTGCGCGATCTCCGAGCCCCAACTACTTCGGCTTGACCCTCGACTCGTCCAAGCACGACCCGCTGTCGTCCGGCGGAGGCCAGCACGCGAGAAAGAATTGGAGCCCTCCCACGTCCAACGTACGATCCACGGCGGCCGTGTCGCCACGTATAATCCCTCTGGACCAAAACCCGGACTTTGAAGCGTTCAGAAGAGCGTCCGATGCAAATGGCTTCAACGCCGTCCGCATGTCGAGTTTCAGCATGGGCATGCCCTCCAACCCGCGCAGGACCAGCAAGACCGGCAGCGTTTCGCACGCCGGGCCGCTCTCGCCTTCGCAGATCATGCTCCCGCCGTCGCCCAAGACAGCCGTGTCCAGCCACGACACCAAACTCTCGGAGACGAAGCAAAGATCACCCAAGCGCTTGCTGTCTTCGCCTTCTCCCAACCTGACCGATCGACCACGACGAAACTCACCGGCCGGTTTCAACGAGCGCGACGCTGCCCTGGCGCCTCAGGTGGCGCGCTTCGTCGACCAGGATGACCGAGATGCAAGACATTCAATGCCATTGGTCGAGTCGGCGCCGCCGATTCCGACCTTGATGTACCACCGAGCGGAAACGCTGCCCGTTTCATTAGACGACCAGGTCGCAGGCGACGTCGGCGACGGTGCGCCGCAGTTGGTGTCTTCCCAGTTTGTTTCCACCCTGCTCGAAAACGAACTCAGCGACACGCTTGTTCTCGACGTTCGCGTGTCCACGCAGTATGCCAAGTCGAGAATAAAAGGCGCCCTCAACCTGTGCATTCCGACCACACTGCTCAAGCGGCCCGCTTACAACACCAACAAGCTGCGGGAGACCTTCACGGTGGAGGAGCAACGGGCCAAGTTCGACAACTGGAGAGACTGCAAGTCCATTGTCATCTATGACGCCAACTCGACCAAGATGAAGGACGCCGCACCCTGCCTCAAAATGCTGGAGAAGTTCAAAAACGAAGGCTGGAACGGCGCGTCGTACATCATTCGCGGGGGCTTTCTCGATTTTTCCAGAAAATTCCCCAGCGCGGTTCTGCACGGTCTCGAGGGTACATCGGCAACGGCCCCGTCCGGAGCGGGCCTTGCGCCCGTTATAGGAGGCTGCCCAATGCCTCAGACGGATAGCGCTGCGAATCCGTTTTTCAACAACATCCGTCAGAACCAGGATCTCATCGGCGGGGTGGGGCAAATACCGTTGCAACGGCCGTCAGGGATGTCGAGCAGCCAAAAGGAGCACCTGCCACAATGGATGAAGCAGGCGATAAGCTCGTCCAACGAGGGCAAGATGGTGTCCGACAAGTTCCTCAACATCGAGAAGAAGGAACAGAAGCGCATGCAACAAGCAATGTCGCAATCAGTCAGCTACGGTACGCCGCTTGGGGAAGAGGGGCGGGTACAACTTGCCGGTCTCGAAAAGGGCGCGAAGAATCGGTACAACAACATCTGGCCCTTCGAGCACACGAGGGTCAAGCTCGAGGGCCCGCTCTCCAACAACTGCGACTATATCAATGCAAACTACGTCAAGTCGCAATGGTCGAACAAGCGATATATCGCCACCCAAGGACCGATACCAGCTACGTTTGCCGTAAGTCACACCCG